CAACTGGTCGTGGTTTATATATACCATGAGATATAATGGGTTCACGGCAAACACGAATGTGGATGAACTCGCAAGCTATTAAATAAACAACAAATGAACGACAGACATAAAAGCCAGTAGACACAAATTGACATGTTTCTGCACCTGGAACATACACGCCCTAGTAACTCTTCTCTGTGCCTGGTACGATGTAACAGCATCCATATGCACTGGTCTAATGTACCATAGGCAGCCTGGACTCTCACAACTTCTACATCTTGGGGAACGCATTCAGAGCATCGTGAGATCTCCCCTCGAGCATCTCGCCTAGAGCACATCTCATCCAAACCAAGGTGCCGCCAATTCCATTCCCAGCGAACTTGGATCGCGTATCTCACACGAGTTGGCAGTGGTCAATCAAGAGCCGGTCCTCAATGGCATCAAGGTTGTCCGACTATGGAGTACCCGGTCATCTGTGCTCGTACTCGTAAGGTCATGCACGGTCATGCCAGGAGCTTGGACCCTTGCTGGAAGTTGTGATTACAAGATACGCTAGGGAAGGTTCGGCTTCGCGCGAAAGCCGATGCCTGTACTCGGTACGTGGCAGGAAGGTCTCCTTAGGAATGTTCAGGTTTCAACGTGCATTTCCCTGTACAAGGCATCTATGGGATTGCTAACTGCTATCGTTGCGTGTTTAGGGAAGGCCAGCAGTACCAGCCAGCACCATGTATTGGAATTATCCCGTGGCTCATCCCCCAGCGGTCCGACTTACAGTACACGTTGTACTCGTACACCGCCAGCAGGTTTGCCCCTGACTGCCAAGCCCGAGGTCGCATTTTCCCCACCACCAAAAAAGGCCTGGCTGGGAACTGCGGTCTTGGCAAGCGTCCCGTTGCTTCAGGGCTCCGTGTCCCTCGTATGGTTGAACTTGCACCACACTCAAGTCGCTGTCAGAATTGTCAAGACACCCTTCTAGCCTCCTGAAACTCTAGCCTTCGATCAGAAAAGGCAGAGCCCTGGGACCGAGACACGGAGCTAGCCTCACTCATACCCACGTCGTGGTTTGGAGTGCGCGTGTGTGGCCAGATGGTCAGCTTTCTGCCATGGTTAGCCCACCTCGCCCACTACCATAGGTGATGAGACCAGTGCGTGCGTGGCTCTGAATGTAGCTCAGGCGAGCTTTACAGAAGTGAAGAGCTTACTGGCTTCGAATTTCTCGATCCCCTGTTGTCACAACAGACCCAGAACTCGTGGGCAGTTGTCCCGATAAATGGACGCCGCTCATCTCTCTCCTCCAGTTTGGGATGATCGTTCACTATCCAAAAGGAGGATTTCATCCAAGGACCATCCGCCAGAGTGATGGCCATCACCCCTGACTTCTCGTCTTCTATCAACGCGCTTCTATGGCTTCTTTGGTCATGACATATCCTCATACGTAAGTTCCTCGCCACCTTCGGCATATATCTCCCTGTAGCCTGTGCTCAATGGGGTTTATTTGACAGCCCAAGCACTGTCTCGACAGTGGCCTCTTGCACACGAGCCTTGACAGTCACCTTCTTTTGGACAATCCAGCCAGTGAGTACTTCCTTTTCTTGTCAATGCTTCTGCCACGCCGTGCATTGCCAACCCGTGACGTGACATATCAGAGACACGCGACAAGTCCCTCATTATCTAAACCGAGCCTTCACCGGGCTCCCGCCATGGAGTTTCCAAGCTTTCCATATAGGACGGACTGTGGCACGTTCGTCGATGACTCGACGAAGTCAAGACGTATCGAATGTTTGTTTGCTATTGTCGATGCGACAACATTGCAAACGTCAAGAAGAGAGGTGTAGATCAGGGAGGGCTCTGGGATGTCTGACTATCGTGGCTCCGTTCTTGAGATTCTCACCATTGCACTTGCTGGTGTTTCTCTCGTTATCGTTGTTCTTCGGGGGGTAGCGAGGCATAGGATCGCTAGGGTTTTTGAGTCAACGGACATTCTTCTTCCTCTAGCATTGGTGCGTTGGGACTCGGGCAGACTCTTGTCTCTTGTGGGAGCAAGCTAACACAACCAGGTGATCCTGCTCGGCCAGAGTACCTTTATCCGTCTGGGAATCTCCAACGGGCTGGGGAGACATATCGCCACCTTGAGTGAAAATGAACTCTTGACATTCCAGAAGGTAAAACCCAGTGAACCTGGTCAGCACATCCCAAGTCTAATGGAAGAAATAGTTCATATATTCTAGCAATCTTCTCCTTCAACTGCTCCTCTTGATTTGTCAGGTAGTCGTCATCCTGCTCATCAAGAGCGTTGAACCTCAACGTCCAATCAGACGATGTTGCAACATCGTCCTTGCATTCATAGGAATCTATTCAGTCGTGTCATTGACGATATTGGCATTCCAATGCTCCCTACCAGAGCCGTGGCTCGTCGCCGCCTCAAGGTGTCTGAACCGAGTAAGTATGAGACAGTATCCTCAGAGGATTCAATGACTGATGTTAGGATCCCAGGAATTCTTTCTGTCCCTTTTCACAGTAACCAGCATAGTCATCGATTTTGCCACACTCATTCTGCCGATCATAATGGTGTGCAAGTTGAAGACGTCTCGGGATAAGAAGATTTTTGTCTGTATCCTGTTTGGTGCTCGAATCAGCGTGCCCGCGATTACGATACCTCAGCTCTGGAAGATTCAACCGCTCTCGATCTCCGATGACACCACCTGGGACATGGTGGACTTCCAGACTTGGAATCAAGTCATCATGAACGTTAGTCTTATCACAGCATGTCTACCTTCCCTCGGTCGCATGATGTGGGAGCTATGGGCATTCGGGTCTGGCTTGCGGACGACCTGGTGCTCCAGAGATGCGGAAGGTCGAGATTTTGGACATGAGCTAGGACTAGAGAAGGGGAAAGTCCAGGCCAAGGAGAAGGCTGAATCAGACGATATGGTGCGGGTGCAGGTGCGCAGGGTCAGGAGCTTCGATTCCGGCACCACAATTGCTGATCGACAAAAAATCCTACCTATCTTACCAAGACGAACAACCTCTCGATTTCGTCCAGTCCGAAAGCAGGACCACCATTACAGACGTCCGAGGTCGTTCTCACCAGTTCGTTCTGAGGCAAATTACCTCCCGACCATGCAGTTCGCAGCCTTGAACATGCCGTCACCCACTACTATAACTCAGCGTTGCCAGAATGAGGAGGAAAAAAACAGACAATCGAGATTTCCATTTCCACCTCAAGCCGTCCTGGCAGCTCGAACATCGGCTGCTGAGCGTCCCAGGCTTGTCAACCATCCACCACCAGCCGCGACTTCACATCCTCCACTCAGCCAGTCACCCACCTTACCCCAGATCTCAGATTCGTACTACGACGAAGACGCTTCCTCCATAGACATCGCCAGCTACTACCTGATGAACAACACCGGCCCTTACGACCCCAATCGAACGGAGATAGTGCTGCAAACCATGATTGACGAACTCAAGAGCCAAAACAACTCTGTCTACTCTTGTGCACATCGAATTGAGAGCTCAGTGTACTCTGCGCCAAGAGTAGAAAGCTCAGTGTATTCTGTCCGCACTAGGAACGACGGCGGATGGATTTAAGCGCTCTGACCACTGCGGAAGGTGTGGCAGGAGCTGGAATACATCCTTCCAGCTGTGCGATGGATTTGCCTCTTGTATTATGTGTAATGCTTGACGATTCACATGATACAGACGGATGAGGTTATGGTGGCAGCCTGTTCAAGGACGAGTTTTATGCTATCGTAAATATCTGAGGACTCGGCAATGAATACAGAGAGAACATTCAATGCTTGGTGCATCAGCTCAGTCCTCAACGCGGCTCACCTTTTGACCCCATGAGAGACGCCATGCAAACCTACACGCTGTGATCCGGCTGCTGCTAGCCTTCCCCCCCCCCCGGTCCTCTGCCATCTTCCGCCCAGCGGCCAGGCGCACTTGCTCTTCGATAGACTGATATATCCGCCTTGGTGTGTCTGATGGCGTTTTCAGGCCAATGTGGTCGCACACAGAGTCTCTGTCTCTGTGCATTTCTAGCTGGAACCTCGTGTTCCCGAGGTTACTCGTGTGTACTCCGTACTCGGTATTTCCAACATTGCATCGGGTAATCTGCTTCCCGATCGCATCCTTCTCACAAAGCGGACCGTTCGATAATTTGGGATAGTCTGGGCCACGGCAGTCAGGGATACTTCGATCAGCGATTCGAATTGGGGTTAGCGTGCCCAATTGCATGGAACCGTCGATCTTACTGGGTCCGAGGTCTGTGCATGCGGCCAGTCGCTGTCACCGAATCCCGAGGATGGTTCCTCCTTGGGTAAAGAGACCTCGAGCAGGGGGAGTCGTTAAGGGCCTATAAGTGCGGAATCCAAGTAGGTACATTTTGAGGGGAAGAGCCATTGGACTCAACTGGGGTAGCATGTATCCCAACAAGGACCGTGACTGGATTTTGCGTGTGGCCGCCTCATCTAACCCAAGGACCTTGAACGTGGTGCATACATGAAAAGGGCTATCCCAGTCTTTTGCAGATGGTGCAGGGCAGTCACACGCTCCTTCCCTGTCAATTGACGGACAATTTCAAGCGGAAGGTACGGAGTGCGACCTCGGATTGTGCTCCTTCCAATGCACGAGTACAACTGCCAAGGAAGGAAGCCACACGAATCAGAGAACTGGTGGAAAGCCTTTTCAACTGCAAAGTTTTCTCTCGTCCCCCACCACCCGAGGAGTGACCCGAGAAATGGATATCCGGTCAAGTCGTCAGCCCATTTGCAACGGTGAGACAGTCGCCAATGATCCCATATGTATGTCAAACCGACGGTGAGGTCCCAAGTAAAAGATGAATGGAATTCCACAGCCCCACTCGCACTACACGAACACGCTGAGGTGTGTGGAGAGTCCCTCGTGCTTCACGCCTTCGAGTCCACTTGCTTGGTTGTTTCGAACACAAGGACTCATCGGGGCGATCGCCCGCTAGTCCAACCAAAAACGCCTCACCAGGGTTTTTTTGGCCGCCTCTTCCTGCAGGCTCCTCGAAACGAGAACCTTGCACCCTTCCACCCCATGTTATATGGCTAGGAAACGGAGCCTGATCCAATTTACCACGCCCAGGGTGTCAATATGACACCTGTCAGCTTGACTTTCTAGAGATCTACCTATGGGGAAATCTGCATCACCCAACAACACCTCATCATCCCTCCCAATGCATCTTTTACCAAAAGCAAAACCATACATGTCCATCTTTGACTTTCGCTTTATTCGTATTAAGCGGGACTCGCCACGAGTCCATACGGAGGTGTGGCTCGTTTTCAGAGCTTATTCAACCCAACTCACGAGTAGTGTTCAGTTGCAGAATAAGCGTCCTCCCACCTCGAGCGGTGGAGACGACAGTTGGGACCAGATCTGGCTTTCGACTCAACCTGCACATGGAAGATGCCAGACCAGCGCCGTTCTGTTGTCCTCTGCTGGTTATTTCCACCCGAGGCTCCACTCCTTAGCCATCTTCCACACGGCCCATAAAATATTGATTTCAGATCTCGATGCAATCAATCTTCGCAGCGATCACGCTTATTTTAATCTGCTCGAGTACGGAGGATTTAGTCCGCGATGGTTGATATTGATATGTCCTGTTAGCTGATTCGTCTTGTCTCAGCTCCGAGCGAGCAACGTGGTACAAGCAAGGCTTGCCGCAATTTCAGTCGCGAGGTTGTCGATTCGAACAAGCGAGTGAATCACACCCCTGGGTTCTCGTCAAACATGAAGCATATCAATCGCTTCTCGTGATGCCAGCGTTCCAGGCTACGCGCAATGTTCATGCTGGTCTGTTGAGTTCAATGCTGTCCAACGGGTCCCAGCATTGTTGCGCCATTCGACTCAAAAATGGTCTCCCAAAACGCTCTTCATGTACTATCAGAAGGGGACAAACTTTCCCAAATCCAAGGTTCTATCTGCAGCGGCTGAACTTTGAGTTTGCACTCGTAACCTTTGAATTGGATTCAAACCTTATGTGGGGTGTGGGGCCTGCTCTCCCCTCCCGCCTCGAAGATCGAGCTTCCCTCACCAGTCCAACAACCTTGCCAGAACACCAGATGCATCTAGGGTAGCAATTGACCGCCCCCGAAACCTAGCGGTGTTATGGCATGCACCGCGCAGGTTATCACTGCACAAAATGGTGAGTCGACATTTTCCCAGGGGGCCTGAAGCAAGGACATAGCTTCGTGTCCCCGTAATTCAGAGAGGGGCACTATCATGGTCCCAGTCTCCAAAAGGCTGCCAAAGGCGAATCTACCTAGGTTTTGGTTGTGAGTGGATGTCAACTGGCTGACAATCTCGACGGGGCTTGCCCAGAGTTGGGGTCGACTGAGCATTGTATCGATTGGCGTCTGGTGTCCTGCAGACGCAAAGGGAGATTCTTCAAGAATTTCCTTGCTGGTCGGAGAGTGGATACACAAGCACAATTCCGGGGCTCAATCTTCAGACCTGAAATCCTTTTCGTTGCACGAAGGTCTGCCTGAACCGGCCTAATGGTTCCACGAAGTCCCCTACCAGCTGGCCAATGCTCACTTTTAGCGGCATTTGATTTGCTGCTAGAATCAATTGCGCTAGTTTATGCTCTCCAACTTCGTCGGCGCAAACCCTAATCAATGTGGTCAAGACTCAGGGGAGTGTTAGCGGGTTTGTCGGCTCGCTTCCGTTTCGAGCATCCATCAAGCTGTACCCCTGTGGTTCTCGTGGCTAGCGGAACACGCTCCACTTCGAAGTGCCTTCCCCGGCCCGTCATGCACGGTCAATGACACCAACAAAGAACTTTGTAACAGTCTTGTTTATCCTAGGCTCGAACAGGTCTTGCCATTGCCCGTCGGCGCAAGATAGAGCAAGTGAAAATTGAAAATACTTGTGCTTCCTCCATGCCCGAGGCGCTCTAGGCGTGTCTGGAAGCCAATGGGCACTTTTCAGTCTCCTCTCTGCTCAATTGGGGAAGTGGAAAAAAGAATCCAAGAACAAATCGTACCAGCTGAAGAAAGCAAAGCCGAGTTCGAGACCTAGCTTAACGAGGTCGAGCTATCATCGGTACCCTTAGTTGTGTTCGAAGGCAAACCCCCCATGCAGTGCTCCGCCACTATTGATCTTCAAGGGTCGTGCCCGTCTTTGTAGACCAGGAGGGCTGCACTTCGAGTCCATAATGTTTATCAGGGGAGGTCCATCACGCTTTTGATTGACCTCGCCTCTGTCTTTTTGCAATCCTCCAGCTTTTATATGGCAAGCGATCCCCCGCCCCCCCTCATGAGAATATAGGAACATTCGTGTCACAAGCCAACCCTCAACACGTTGTCACCATGGCACCTAAGAAAGAGTCTCTCCTGGACCTATGTACTCGTGCAACCAACCTGGGGAACAGCGTCTCTGTGCGCCTGCTCGAATATCTGAGCACCGTTAAACACCATCCCCATGGGTTCCGTGAACTTGCCACAGACTTTCTCGACATCTCCCGCATATTATGGGCAATTGAAGCGGGATTGATCGAATCATCGCGGTCGCACAACACGTTGCCTGCTGACATGGTCAAGGAACTGGACAAGAAGTTCCGTGGTACCCATGACGACTTTATGGTTCTCAACCAGCTTCTGGTAAAGTTCCTCGAATACGAGAAGAAGAAGGGCTTCGGCAAGCTCTCCAAGGGATGGCACATGATGTTTGTCGACACAGACATCCATAAGATGAGAGAGTCCCTCGAAAAGAGTCGGGACGCTCTGAGAATGAGCGCGTTAGTTTTTAGATGGTCTTTAGGCGACGAAAGAGTGGACTCGTCTGTCGGCATCGGCTACACTGGTCTCGCCGCCGCCCTCGAGCGGATGAATTCGAACAGGCCAAGCGTGGTGTTTCCACCACCAAGTGAGCGTGAGCAGCCAGCTCCATCCACCACCTCTCACGTCTCAGACATTCCCGATCGTCTGCCGCCCCTCCCAACTCTCCCACCTACAGAGAAGATTTCGACTTATAGCCTCTTCCCCAAGACAGAGTTTGGGCGAGAGGAGGCCGCGCATGAGGCCCACGCCATTTCAGCGCAGCCAGACCGCCACAGCGTGAAGGCCGCATCAAGCATTAGATCAAGCAGAATAACAACTCATTCGACTGGAAGGGATACCGGAAGAGATCATTCCTCCATCCACAAGAATGGAACGTTGACGACTGAGGTAGGCATTCCTGAGGATCACGTATCTGTTAGGGATGCAGACTCCTTCACTCAGATTGAAGATATGATACATGACATTGAGCTCGATGACAAACACTCGAGTCAAGGCACCACCATCAGACCGGATCCCAGTGCCGTACCTCGATGGACACCGAAACAAACCTCTGGATCCCACTCATCTGCATTGAAGACTTCGCTTATCAGCGCAGTTCAGCAGAGGAAGCATAAAATGATTGAGCAGCTCCTTGATTGCGGCGTTTCGCCAGAAAATACAGGAGAACTCAATCTGTTGAGAGAAGCCGTGCTCACCAGGGACCTTGAGAGCGTCCGCCTGCTATTGCTTTTCGGAGCAGATCCCAATGGGTTTGACAGAAATAAACTCACACCTCTATATACTGCAACCGAGATGTCATTCATCGATAGCGCAAGACTCCTGATCAAGTATGGCGCGGATCCAAACCTTCCGGCAGGCCCTGATGGAGAGTCACCCCTTGCCTCAGCGATCACCGACAACAAAGCGGAATTCGCTCGGCTGTATCTCACTTATGGTGGTGATGCCGGACAGATGATGTCTGATGGTAACACTCTACTCATTAAGACAATCAACAAAACTGCTCCGAAGGATTTGACAGAACTTTTGCTAAACTACGGGAGCGACCCCAATGGAAAGAGCGCTGAGGGCGTAACCCCTGTGTTCGAGGCAATCCAAGCTCGGCGACTTGACACATTGACTCTTCTCCTTGATCATGGAGCAAACCCCAACTTGCCGGGACCCAAGCATCCCCTTTGGCCATCAACATATCAGTCCAAGATTCTCCAACTCATGCTCTCTCGTGGTGCAGACACCAAGAAGGCGCCCGGTTGTCTCGAGCTGGCCACCAGTCTCAACAACGTCGAGTCTGTCAAAATCCTTCTCAATGCTGGCGTTGATCCCAACATGAGAAAAGACGGAATCTATACCCCACTTTGCTCTGCGATCCGAGACGACCGTCCTGAGCTCATCACCCTCCTGCTGTCCAAGGGCGCTGATCCTAACCATATGGCCTCCGAGTACCCAGCATGGAAGTGCGTCACGCACAACCGGTCACAATACATGCCTCAGCTTGTGGCTGCAGGTGCGGATCTACACAAACCAAAAGGCATCATCGAGAAGGCAGTTGCGCACAACAACATGGATGCACTACAGTATCTCCTTGCACAGAAAGTCAGTCCCAACGACAGAAGCCCCGAGGGCAATACACCTCTGACCACAGCCATTCGAGAAGATCGAGCGGAAATGCTCGATCTCCTTTTAGAGCATGGTGCAGACCCAGCGATCAGAGGCCAGGATTGGCCCATTTGCATGGCTGTCAAACGGCCCGCCATCCTCAAGAAGCTTCTCCCATCTCTACAAAATCCTCGCTCTGTCAAGGGCGTGATGGAAATGGCCGTTGTCGCAAACCAGCTTGAAAGCATCAAGCTTTTACTTAAAGCTGGAATCAGCGTTGAGGACAAAAATGGAGGCGTCTTCTCTCCCCTCACAACCGCCATTAGAGAAGATCGAAAGGAAATTGTCCAGTTCTTACTCGACGAGGCGGGCGCCGACATCAATGCACCCGGAGAGCATTTGCCCATTGTCAAGGCCATCCGCCGTTACCGAGGAGGTGACTTGGACATCATGGAAATGCTCCTTGACCGTGGTGTCGACATCAACAAGATGTATCGAGGCTGGAACTCCGTCCTTCAAGCCGTAGAGAGCGGGAATGCCAGGATCCTACACCTACTCAACGAGAAAGGTGGTGGCATCAACCTACAAGTGAAAGATGAAGACTCTGGCAAGACTGCTGAACAGATCATGGCAGAAGCCGGTTGGGAAGAAGCCTACCACTCCCTGCTGGACAGCCAACAAACAGATTGAAGAAAAGACCCAAGCGCCACCGAGTTTTGACAAAATCCAGTCCAAAAACACAACCCGAAAAAAAATATAACGGCTTGACGCCCTTTTTACTTTCTCTGTGACGACGATTACCAACCATATCACATCACTCATTGTGTTTATGTTTCCCTATGTACAAACACCACTGGAAGCCCTGGAACGGCACAGGATCTGAGAAATTTCCACGACTCCAGGGCTCAACAAGTCTTAATGCCTGCATGCCAAACACAATTTTCTCTTTGTAATTACGAACGACGAGGGAGGACTTCTGTGACATCACCAAATACCCCTTTTTTTAACTTGTGCTTTTCTTTCCAACTTTGCTCTGTTTCCCAAACCGCCACCAGGGCACTCCTCCCAGAGAGAGACATCTATATTAAGCTCCCTTTATTTTGGCTTTTGGTTTTCTATGTCATATCTGTATTTGTACATCATCCGACTAATCTCTGTTTAGAACTTTCAGGCAGAGGCGATCACAAGGGGCAGTGGCAGTGGCAGAAGCAGTACTGATAAGTAGAGGGATTACAGAGACCTAGATTGATTGTCCTGTTTTTGATAGTTGGCTTTATCCACGGGCGTTTTGGACAACAAGAAAATTGATATATTAGAAGAAAAACCATGCTTGGTCTTCGTGTGATTCGTTCTGTGCATTCACTTAGGTATCCTTTCACCGGTTTCAGGCTAGATGTGGCCTCAAGGACAAACTACTGCCGGTATCTTCATCGTAGCATCTACGGCCCATAATAGCATAGCAAAACACGAGTTAACTACAATTTGTTTTCAGCCAGTACTCCCATGCTCTGGATCCCACATCCAATCGCAATGCCAATCTCGGTGTGGTTCATCCACGCCTCGCGCCTTGACCCTGTCACCCTGTCGCCATGTGCGAGACCAGGCCACCTTAGCCGTTTGGCATGGAAACTCAGCCTTGTTGTGAATACCGGGGTCCCCGCGAAGGGTGTGGGAAGAAAGCTGGGCTCCGATTTTTTTCCCGTCGCAGTGCCCTGCAGATGCCACTCGGCGAAATCAATACCAATATCGATATCACAGCCAGCCGGCCGGACATCCACTTCACCAGTCGATAAGTTAGTGGCGGGGGAGGCTAAAAAGTGTCATTTTCCATCCACTTGGACTCACCTTGGCATGATGTCCGCCCGAACGAAGCGAGGACGATCGATGGAAATCCAGAGTCCCAGTACTAATCGGTCTAGTCTTGAATTGCGCCGACATTTGGTGTTTCGTTCTGAGTGTTCATCACAAGCTTTGATCTCAAAGACAATGTGTCATGACCCCAGAACCAAGACCTCGGGTCAAGAGGAGCAGGGGAGTCGCAACTCGTGCTGAGGGGATGAAGGCCGGTAGAGCCGGGTAGCATTTTCCCGCTCGAGACGATGACGATAGGATGAAGAACTGCAATAATGGCCCTGCAGAACCCTGGCTATCTTCAAAGAATGAGTCTCTGGTGGCAGGTCGACGGCGAAGAAGGCAGGTCTGTGAAATTCAGCACTAGCTTTAGGGGGGGACTGCTGAAGCAGGTCTTCGGTCTCCACGACCGCCCCTTCGTGTGGCAACGCTGCGGGAGATGAGAGTGCTATATCTAGCAGGCTTTCTTCACGAAGGCATCAGCGGGGAAAGATGGTGAAATTCGAGCCTCGATCGAGGGCAAGAATTCCTCAGTTGCCCGTCGCACATCTGTGCCTTCCCGCCCGCAATTTGATATTCCAATCACGCGACGCTCCTCCCCTGGGCACAAAGGATTCATCAGTCGCACATACCTCGTGGCTCAGTGACAGGAAGTGCACCTCGTCCGAGCCAGCACGGCGATGGCCACGAATCATTCAGCTTGTCGTAGAGTATAGGTCACCCCGAGAGTCGATATGACCTTTACCGAGCCGCTTTTCTAGGACATCAAATGGATGATCACTCTGTGTATCTTTGGTGTCATTCCCGTTGATTTTCTGAAGCCGTATTTACAACTTGATACAAGAGCAATTAAACTGAAACGCCAGTCTGCCTCATGGTCTGCCTTGCGTCGCATCACTCCGGGTGTCGTCGCCTATCAAGCAGATTTGTCTTCATCTTGATCAAACCGATCACTTGGTCCGACAGGGCATAGACCTGAAGACTCAGCGGTTCTTCCTCGTAGCGATGCAAACAGTTTCCACCAATAACCGCCCGGGCCGGGGAGCGGGTCTCCTGCCGCCACAGTACGCTTGAAGCGGACAATCACGATGGCCTCGTGTAAAAAAAAAGTGAAGGGATGAAGGAGGCGCAAAGCTCCAGGGGTCCCTTTTTCTCTGCAGAACGGGTAACTATAGATCTGGAAGGGCCGGTCCATTCGAAGCTAGGGAGTACCAGCGAGAAGCCGACACCCTCAGAGGAATGCCTGAGGGCCGCGCAATATTCGCCTCCAACCTTATGCAAGCGGTCTCCTTGGAAGAAATATGGAATCACATTCGTCAAAACATCAGGTCGCTTAGACGTTAGGATGGCGCCAAAGGGTAAAATAGCATTCCTCCACACGAAGGAGCCGCCACAACTCCGCGAATAGCCTACGGCTTCGTAAGTGTTTCAGCTTGGGAGTGAGATCGGACCCTGCAGGACAAGCGTTGGACTTTCTCGTACCTGGATTCAGAGGCGAGGAGAAAACTGAGACATAACATGCAGGTCCGGAAGTGCATCCGCTGCAGGTATGGCGAGGCCGCAAGTGGTTAATTGCATGAAGCTATGCAGCGTTATGCACAGCCACAAGACAATGTGCTGCAAGTTGATGATCTTTACGTGTTCATGTGATTGGTTGATGGATAATTGAATATGTACTCCGAAAAACAATCCGCTAATTATGTGGGTGTTGAAGCTGCCCAACTGCGACGTGGTGGGTACATATGACGTCGGTCTTGCAGACACTGAAGCAGCATGCCTACGCCGTCACTGCCAATGCTATCAAAATCGCAACATAGCAATTATTGCACCTGGCTTGAGGTCACATGGCTCGTTGAAGTCATCGGTATGATGCGCAAGACGGATTTGTGATTTCAATTTTCACTTCGTTTCTCAGGACACCAGCGATGTCATCCGATCGAGGAACAAGATGGGGACACTCAGGAATACATTGATCCTAACGACACCATGGCCTACTCGCGACTACTCGTACTATTAAAAAGGATTCAGCAAGACGTTTCGGGACTGACTTTTCAGATTGCAATAACGAGATAGATACTAGGGCATGGTGGCCTCATATTTCAATAATTACAGTCGTAGGTAGATATACAATAGGGGCCGGTATGACGGCCTCATACTGTTGGGTGTTCCACGAAATGCTTGTGGAAAGGCATCTCCACAAGTGAAAGCTCTGCCTTGAGCACTAGCTAGATCCCAGGGCATGGCGGCCATATGTTGATAGAACGCTGCACGGGATACTAACCCATATCTTCGACTTTTCTCTCGACAAGACATTAACGAAGATGTTGCACGAGACACCAGCTCAGATCATCCACATTCTTGGAGACAAGAAGCTTAAGGTCAGGACCGACATGGTCGGACTCATTGGACATCTTCACAGCCTCGTAAAGCTTGAGCATCAATGCTGCAACTTTCTTCAACATGCTACGATCATCGTCGACCTTGCGAGAGATCAAGGCTAGATGTTCTTTGTCAGGTTTGGTGGATCCTTCCGTCCGGCCTCTTCTCAGTTCCTGTACGGTTTGATCCCGGCGAGCGAGCGTGATGGTGAGGAGTCGCTTCGACAGCACATCCTTGAGATGAGCAAGGTGAGAATAGAGCCCATCGTGTTCCCGGGCCTTGCTGCCCATGGCGGCCCGGAGCTTTTGAAAAGCATAGTCGAATTGAGTACAGTGTTCTGTAGCTCTGCTTGTCAAGGTTTCAAAAGTAAGCTCTCCGTGCTGTCTATGCGGTTCATCACGATGCTTCTGAGCATGTTCTTCACCACAGCGTATACATGGTTCACCAGCGTGAGCGTGAGGCTTCGGCGGCGACTTGTCCTTCCCTTGACGAGGCTCAGCGGCCTGTGGCTTCTTGGGCGCATCCCATTCCGAAGTTGGGAAAGAAGGAGGTGGTCGAAATTCCCGAGGAAAGCCTCTATTCTTGTCAGCAGGAAACTTGAATCCAGCGCTGAATCCCTCGAAATCAGTAAAGGCTTCAAAGGTGAACTTGGCCTCGTAGAAGGAGTCACGTGCAAAGAAAGAGTGCCCTCCGCGTCGTCGCTGTTTCGTGTCGCCATCTGGTCCCTCGGCGTACTTGTGGCCCTCATCTCGCGCACGGTGCTCGTTGGGTGTACGTGGTGGTCGATGAGGCCCCTGAGCTTCGGGCGCCTTTCGCTCTTCTTTTCCTCTAGGAGCTTCCTTGCGTGCCTTCCGTTGCATGTATGCTTCTTCTTTCTTGGCCTGGGCCTCTTCTCGAGCCTTCCGAGCCTCTGGGCGCTCCAGGCCTTGGTCATATAATTCCTTCGATTGGGGATCTCTCAGGACTTCATACGCATTCTGGATCTTGATGAATTTCTCATGATCGCCGCCTTTATCTGGATGATTGATCAGCACAAGCTTATTATATGCTGATTTGATCTCAGCTGGGGTTGCGGTTTTACCTACACCAAGGGTGGCATAGTGGGCTGGAACGTCGTCGGCCATTTCTGCAGACGAGTTCTTGGAGACTGAGACTTGCGAACGGATTCACCACCTAGGCAATAAATTGGTTCGAAAGTCTGAGTGTGGGTTAGATTCTGCTGTGTTTGGCGGATGGTAGATGACTGTGGTTATACAGAAGGTAAGAACGAGGACATGGGCTTCGAGATCCGTGTATATAAACATCTCAGGAGCATCACGGAGATCCCAACTCGAAACTGATGGGCTTTGTTGAGCGGAGAAGGAAGCATTGTATCATTTGCAGTATAAGAACCATGCGCGATGAAGGAGACAATGATCACAGTATAGATCAAAGACCTTGACCGAACAATGAACGGCGGTCATACCCAGACGCAACCCATACAAGCCTCAGGTGCCTGTGGCACAATGCGAGTGTAGGCAAATCATCAGAGCGTTTGTATGGCTTGCTGAGAAACCCATCCCGGGGAAGGTCGTTGAGTGATCCCTTCTATGGTCGGCACATAGAGCCTCTATCGAATTTGAGGCCACACTACAGTCTAAACAATTCTCTACGGGGTTTTCAACAGCAGATACTTTTGGTGTACTCTTGGTGTACCTAGGGCAACAAGAGCTGTTCGCAGCAACAATAGCAGGACGCCACAGGCTCAGCCTGCCGATTGCAATCGACCATCAATAGTGTCCATACATGCATGCACGTCTCTGGCCCTGGGGAAGTAGAGATGCCTTTGGCAACTTCGTGGGGAGGACGTCGGTACCTGGAAAACTCGACGAGAAAGTCTTACGCCACAGTTGACATCAGCGTGTGGCGCAGTGATAGTGGCTAGTGAGTTTCTGAGTTCACGGCTCGGTAAAAACTATTATCCGGAACAGAAGATCGACCGCTTGTCGTCCCTCTTCCATCTAAGACCCGTGACATTGATAACTTGAAGATCTACAGCGCCTGGCTCCCAGCTGAGGGAAGCCTAGCCTGTGCGATAGTTTGTGCGCATACGCTATCATCTCTTCTAATATTAAGATTTCTCTGGCCAACTGATCGGCAACGTGCTTGCACGCGATGGGCTGGCAGCGAAAAAACATGTCTCAGTGCTTGTTCTACTCCTCTCCCACGCAGTGGCTGCCTCGTGCTCAAGGGGAGGGCCACACACACCTCGCGCAAACTGTGTTTGAACAGAAACCCCGTGTGGCGTTCTTTTGTACCCCTTGCCCAAACGAAAATGGGCTTCGCTGTTGTGGCTGGGTGTGTACACTCTCCTCGATCTTCTTTTGGGGCATTCAAGTCACAGTTCCGCCCGGACTGCTTCGCATTTGGCTTGGCTTTGCGGGAGAAAGAGAAAAACTCTTTTGTGTCAAGGTATCTACTGAGTACAGTCCCTCGTATCATTGAATGGAAGCCGGACAAGGTGCCTGAAATAGACGTCCAGTCCGAGACCCGGTCTGCACCGACGTCATCGTGGAAATCCGCCGTCGCCTGGTTCTTGGGTAGAGGATACATCCATAGTCGTAATGCAATCAATCCGTCCGTTTACCGAGCACTACTGAGAAAAGTCGATCTGCAATCGCTTCGCATCTCCATTCAACAATCTTCTCCTACTCGATAATTATGTACTTCTTCATCCGCCACACCGCCGTCCCCCCTTTTGTGCCAGCCAAGCCGCGACCAGTTTCTCGGTTCAACGTGCCGAATTGCAGTCCTCCTGCAACTCCCTAAATGTAGTCTGTTGCCGAGCAATGCGGTCGATTGACCTCATGATCGACCCTTTTTCCTACCCTCTGTTCGCTAATCAAAGGCATCCCTTAGTCTGTAATGCCAGCTGCATGGTATGGTTGTATCTCCAAGCACCTTGGTTGAAGGCACAATGAGAGAGTAAAAGTTGAGCTTCAGCTGACGTGGCACCGTCCTTTGGCCACCCCCTCCTCTCCGACGGGCCTGGGCCCTTTTTTCTCGATGCGCATTTGCCATTGTTGCATTTGCGGCGACTTTTGTTCTATTATTACCCCCAAGTACGAGGTGCCTATTATCCACCGCACAAGAGTCTGGGCCGATCGCATCGTTAGCATCTTGGTAATGTACGATTGGCCTGGTTCTGCCAAGCACGAATGCGTTGGACTATCTTGCCTCAGGTAGGTACCTAGGTACCCAACTAGGTAATTAGCCTCATGTATGTTCCAAGTTCCCATCAGGGTATTACCGAGTATTCCCTACGGCATTGGCAGACCGATAGGGCAATACCACGGCGGTAGTCCATTGTGCGCTCGTCAGCAGACGGAGATGAGGTATTGCTTGGTGTATAACCCGCCTGTTGCGAGATAGTTCTGAAATTTAATCATGGCACCCATCAATTCATCCTTTCGAGACAGGAGGTCAGCCCGCTGGGCCCTAGTTTGCATAGTATCTAGGAGGTAGATGGGCATTTAAGTGCTTTCATTGGTGCTGAACTATGGAACCATTGAAGCATTATGCCAGGATGAGGAGATGGCTCCCGTTCCTTGCAGACCTAGCCTAGCTGCCACTAGTACTCCGTACCAGGGATCCCATTTCCTCGCTTTCTCCGATATCCAACGGTATGCCAATTCCCGTCGTTGTTTTCGAACGGTATCTGCGCCGGCCAGGCGGTCGGCAGCTCACTCTTGCACGCCATTCTAGCTGTGACGCGAAACATCTCAAGGTTGCCACCGTCTTCTCTGTCGACCTGTGTATGCGTGTGCGTGTGCGTGTGCGTGTGCGTGTGCGTGTGCGTGGATGTATCGAGCACCATCCTAATCCCCCGCCGCTCTCTCCCGCTCTCCCGTCTCATCTTCAACAGCAGACAAAATGGAAGCCTGCAAAAGCAGCGAGAGGAAATATATAAAAGGGCGTTGTAAATGAAAAATTTGTGTTAATCAGTATTAGATAATCCAGTACAACCTCGATTTTCTTCGAGGTCCCATGTGGTTTGTTTGTGTCGTTTCAGACAATAGTCCGACGATGGGGTATCTTTCGAAAAGTCGTGTATCTCGTTAAAAAGTAAAAATGTAAATAATGGTAGGACCTCGCTTCCGGGACCTTGTGTATATCATCCCCGTCCCGTCATTTCAGTCATCCTTTGTGCTTGAAAAAAGTGTCGCATGGATAAAAGCGTGCAGAAATAGTCCAGTTGCAAAAGACCCCAAACATCCAAACCCCAAAACCAAGGCCGAGAAGAAATCCCCCGTGCGTGCCATTCTTCTGAAGTTCTCTCAGAACTGTACATGCTGAACACCACGATAGCAGTGTAACGAAGCTTTCGGGAGTCTCAGCAGAGCCATCGGGCCCAACAGGGGGTATCAAGTAGAATAATCCGACAGTCCTAATGAAAATGGCCTCCAGGAACAATTATAACAATTATTGCCCTGTCGTTCTTGATCCTTCGTCGTATATATAAAGGAATGGAAAATTCATGTAACATAGCCTGGGTATCAATGCATTTGCACGTCCATGTGTGCACCCACGGCGCCAACATATTAGTTCAGTAATTCAGCCACATTTCCAGAGGGTCCGATATAACAATTTCGGAAGGCAGGATGTCACCGTCGACCATGACCTCCGTGACTGCGGGTTGAAGAAATTCTTGTTTGAGCTGCTGATCATGTTGCGCCGCCGGTGATAATTCAACAATCATGTCTTGACCTTCCGGTAGTTCTCGAACCACATCTTCGTCAACAATGATATGAAGTCCTCGAGAATTGACATGTGTCACTTGGGTGACACGGTGGGGGTCAATATCAAATTTTTGAGATATGCTGTTGACCAGATCCTTGACTGTTCGTTGCATCAGATACACCGCGCGGTAGTATTCTTTGGCGGCATCCTTCTGTCGCACGTAAAAGCATGCAACTGCGCACGAGTTAGCTATTTTCCCGTAGGCCCAATGCGTTTGTCACTTACTTGGCCGTATAGGTCTCTCTGATGGGGGCTGGTAGCTGCTGTCTACGTCCAGGGCAAAGAGGTCGGATTTCGATTCGACCTCCGTTTTCGGTACCTTGATTGGTCTTGACGCAGCTCCGCTTGTAGTCGGTGCAATGTCATTGTCGCTCTCCTGTTCTTCCAGTATGGTCGATTTCCGCATATCTGAAAACTTCCGCTTCGGAGTGGTTTGGGATGCTGAGCTCGCAGATGGTGAAACCATATTGGAAGGCGGTGAGTCAGATACGCTTTGACGAGATTCCCAAGTGGTAGTGCGTACAAGTTCCTTCATTTCCGGGTCGTCTCCCGGCAGTTTTACGGGATGAAGATCCGGGTCATCTTCAGGATCGCCGCGTAGGAAAAGAACACTGACGGGTTGTGTTGAGGAGAACATGTCTTGCATGTTCACGAGTTTCATCTGGAGGTCTTCTTCTGCAGAGAATTTGGTGCCTTCTCCTTCAGAATCAACAGACCAGGTTCGTTTGTGCTTCACAACCTTTCCCGGCCTAGAGGACGACGTTCTGGCCATTGAACCACTTCGCCTCCTCTTTCCGGCATTTCCAAGGCCGGCCTCGGCTTGAGCAATTTGCTGTTTGAGCTTTTCGATGGTCTTCTTGACATGGGCAACATCATTGGAAAGCTTTCGTTCTGCACCGTGATCCCGGAATAACTTGACCTTTGAAAAACAGACTTCGGGTTCCGCAGAAGACATGGGATCCGCCGTCACCAATTCTGTCTTGGCACATAGTCGAACGGGAATACCCTTAACCCCTTTAGAGTGGCTGAAGTCGGTGGAAAGGAAGTTGAACCGGATCGATATAGAGCAATCGGGACCCGCATTTATAGAGTTTGGGTACCAAGTTACCGCAAACCCATCAAATGAAGCCTTTTCCAGTTGGATTTGCGATTTGCGCAGCTCGTCGTCTCCTCCCTGATTCGGATCCACATATTCGACTGCAAGTAATCTGCCACCTCGTTGATGGGCCTCGTTGGATCCACGGCCTTCTTTCCAGAGTTGCCAACAAGCGCCGGGCCGTGCTCTTTGTTGTTTGTCTTCAAATGAGACTCGGACATAAGTGCGATACTTCAAGACTGTGTTGGGTTGGGGCACGGGGGGGGTTGTATCAAAGATTGACATGGTGTACGCTTGGCCTTTATTGAGATAAGTGATGGGAATCTCGTCCGAGTGTCGAGTCATTGCAGTCGGGGCATTTAGAGTCGTATGGAAACGGAACCTGCCACCGCTGTCAGCGTGGCCATTTTGTTCTATGTCAAATACTGACTTCTCCCCCATCGGTAATGTTTGCAGGCCGATGGCCCCCGTCACAGAAGACTGTATGCTTTGGCTTATAGACGACGGAACAATGCCCACGTCGACGTGTGTGGGGGCTGTTTTGTGGGGAGAATCGTCCATGGCCACGTACCCAGAATCCTGGTGCTGTAGGAACTGTTGAGGGGCGAAAGTTTGAGCCTGCTGCTGAGGCATTTGATGCTGCGGCTGGGGCTGGGGGAAATGTTCCTGGAAAGGATGTGGTTGATGCAGAAACTGGGGGTTGAAATGTTGAAATTGGGCGAGGGCATCGTGGGCGTGCAGTCCATGGATGGAGTGAGGGATGGATAGTGGAGTGTTCATGCCCATTCCAGGCGTGTGAAGGTCGCCTGCTTGAGGGTGATATAACGTGCCGTAGCCGCCTGGAGTGGGCGTATAGTAGCCAGGCGGCTGGTTGGCAAAGGCCGAGAAAGCAAACGAGTTGGGATCCATGAGTGAAGGTGTAAATCTCCATGCATCTGTAAAGGGCTTTGGAGTGGCGTCTTGGTCCTTGACCTCATGTTGAGTGTCAAAAGGCCTGGTGAAGTAGTCAGTGTTCGTATTTTGATAAGGCCCAGTTTCTGGCTCCGAAGCTTGGGACGACGACATGTCTGTTGGTGAAAGCCATACAAGGCGACCAGCAGACAGAGAGTTGAAGGGTTGAAGTAACCATGTCTAAGACATACCTCTGGGAACCAGTGGGTTCATCTACAATAGCCTCGCTTAAAACCGACGATCGGCGAGTAGGCGCTTCAACCGTGCCCGGAACAGCTGAGGAGGTTCCAGGCCCCACGTTGGGAAAGTTCTGTCGAAAGGACGCGTACAACTCCTCGTCGGGTTTCTGGGTGTTCCGCCTGTTGGCAAACATGGCAGCGTTAGTATGGAAATGACGGTAGAGGCAGGTGGTAGAGCGAAGGTGAAACGAAGGCAGTGTAAAATGTAAAGACGGACCTGTTACGAAACATTTGCGACGATTGCGGCTGTCTCAGGCCGCTAGTCGGGAAAGCACAAGATCAAATCAAAGACATGTGTGCTAGAAGAGGCCGTGCAGGAGAGTTGAGGTTCAAGCTTCATGCATCTGCCAGGGGCGTACAGATATCGGTAGAGTCGTAGGATGGAGCCAGGGTGCAACCAGGATAGAGCGAGCAGATGAAGTTGTTAAGTTGCTGCGCCTTCGGTACTGCGTGAGGAAGTGTGCGTGTATGATGAAGGATCCAAGAAGGGTTTCTTTGCAGGTGAGCAGCTCCGATTGAAGGAAAGGATGGCAGAGGAATTGACTCAGGACCGAGGCGCAAGGCGTTACGATGATGCTTAGTTGCAGAGAGAGAAAAATAGACAGAGGATCGACAGGAATGTCTACAAATGATGTAGTCTCGAAGTTCGACAAGAGGATGTCAGTTGCAGTTGAGGTCAGTCGTGTCAAACGCAGTTAGCCTGACCGGGGTGAGTGGTAGTATGTAGTAGTGGTGGTGGCAGAGGCCTCGGTGCACATCAGCCACGGACTAGGCAATTAGCATCGATGGGGGCCATGGATCAAGGATGGTGAATCAAGAGTGGATAGAGGGCCGGAGATGGGATGGAGAAGGAGGAGTTGATGGCGGTGGTGGCAGAGGTGGTCGACGATCGGGCGGTGGTTAGTCGTGATTCGCGTGGTCCTGGTCTGGTCCTGGTGGTTTAAACCAAACAATCGAGTCGAAGGAAAGAGGAAGACGCGATGGCGATGGCGATAGATGGCGCTGGGTTACGAGAAGACTGGACCAGGGTGTGGGAGGAAGACTGTATCCGTAATGGATATCGATGGCACTGGGTCGGAGTTGGTAGGAATGGATACTTGGGCCTAAGTCCAGTTAGCACGAGCTACTCGGGAGGAGGTGCTGAGTACCGCGCACAGTCCGAGTCCGAGTAAGAGCATGAGGAAGCCTACGGCTGGTCTAGCGGGCTCCTACAAGCACGTCCACCCTCACTCCTAGGCGGCAAGAATAAGTAACAATGGGTACGAGCTGCGTACTCTCTTTTCCCGGAGAACTTACCCAGGTACTCACTTAGCGGCAGAAGCAAAAGAGACTTTTCGTCAGAGGACAGGGGTGTGCCTTCTGGAGGCCTTTGAGGGCACCCGTGGCCCGTGGTCCAGGGCCTAAAGGGGCCCCACTGGCACCGGAGACCCGCCCATTGCAGCACAACGCCTCACAGTGCAAGCCACTCCTTACGCCTAGCAATTAGCTCACGTACGCCTGTGCCTCGATTGGCTGGCCGGCAGCTGGGCCGGTGTGGGCGCCACACTCTTCACACCCAACGGAGCGCACGTTGGTCGAAACAGTCAAACTCTAAGGACAATGAGAACGAAAGGACTCGGCACAACTAAGGCCTCGTGCAGCAGTGCTGAATATCGTAGATACGCGTAGTTTGGGCAATCGTCTTCTGTGGTCGCGGTGGTTGTGGCGTGTGAGGCGCAAGGTGAGGTGGTGACTGTGAGATGTGGCACCCTCTGTCCTGCTCTTTCCTCTCCCCGTCTGACACTGTGGCTGCTACCACCATCGCCCTCCTCTGACTGGTTGCTCTCAAACTTCTGCACCGGCAAGGTAAGCCTGTCTACGAGGTATCCGTGCCTGTGAGCATCTCCCATGCGGCCTGTGCTCTTCGTGCCTGTTCACTTCCCTATTCCACTCAAGCTTGCGACCAGAATACTGGGCCCATCCTTGCGTTGATCACAGCAAGCACTCCCACTATACCTCGTCCTTCCATCGCCAAAGACAAGGCCTGTCAATGGCCGTCCTAATTTGAATGCCTGTCACCACAATGATCGACGGTGCACCGCCACGCCTAGACAAATCCAGCACCTGTGCACATCCACGCATGCTGGAACCCTGGAAAATGGAGCCCTTGTGGCTGTTGGTGGCGACCTGTGTGGCACCCCAGCCCGCAATAAAATTAAAACGGCGGAACAACACACTGGCTAAGCGAGTCATGGTGCTGTCCGAGAAATCTCTGGGTAATGCGGCTAATGGGAGTACGTGTCCACGAGGATCCTCTCCCGAAGTACACCATCGGGGAGGACCGTGGGTGAGTCACTGGTGGCTTGTGTCGACGGTTGAACCATTTTATTGGAGACGCCAACTACAAGAGGGTGGCGAACTGGAATGATCGACAATCAGAGAACCAATCCCTTGACCCAGTGGGTGATCTCCAAGGATAGCGATAAAACACGTGTGAACGATCCTTGCCGCAAAGCGACGCGAATGCTCATTCATAAGAGTCGGGGAGTATACAGGCGTGCTCGCTTGGTGAATGATGGGTTGAATTACTCGTACAGAGTGTGGGTGGGGGCCTTGCACTCAATCTGTGACGAATCTGACGATGGTTTCAAGTGAACTAGCGGTGACGGGGAGAGCGCCATGCGAGATGCGAGAGAGGATGGAAGAAATGTGAAATCTCATCCTTTTTGTGAAATCTGAAACTCAATCCCATAGATCACACAGGCACGGATTGCTAGGTGGACACTGAGGCGCTCCAGGCACCCCCGGCACTCCAGCCACAGTCGAAGCCGGCAAATGTTACTTGGGCACGTCGCCGCCGACTGCGGGTCTAAGTGGGGGCTCTCGGCTACAAGTCAAGCCAAAGCCTAAGCCAGCGAGGTCCAGCTCCAATAAATTGGGGAAGGACAGCTCCAGCAACTACCTAACTTGGGGCCCGTCGGCCCCCTCGTTGGGCTCTTGTGGGCACCGGCTCGGGTGCAGGCAGGTGGGCTCGGGTGCAGGTGCTGTCGCTGTCATCGCCCAAGATAACTGCAAGCTTCCAGTTTTGGGGGTGATGGTGATAAGCCCGACTTGCCAAACTGACCACCTGATACTACCACGACTGCCTATCGTCATCCGCCCGCTCATGCACCAGTGGAATGCTGCCTACTAAACAATCTGCCCACCTATCTCCATCTGGCCGCCTCCGAAACTGCAAAGACAGCAATTCAGTACCAACGAGAGGACTAGACCACCGAATCAAAGCCCGTACCGCAAACCATGCCATACAATGATGTCTCATGGGTCTAATTCGCTGTATGGTATGCCGCATGCGACTGGCTGATACTGGTCCGGTGCCTGAAATTACATCATGGGTCCTTCACGTCCTTCATATCAGCCAGCCGTCATGGCTTCACAACCTGAAACACCAGGGAACGAGGCAACGGCCATGGTCAAGTGACCCTCTTCATCCGCCCATCGTCTTGACGAGCTTAATTCTACCATTCCAAACTGACATTCGTCACCTTGTTCAAACCAAGCCAACATCAGGCGCCAGTCAGCTATTCGGAAAGTAGCCTAGCACGACATCCGTCTGAGAGCCCCCGATTGTCTCTTGCAAGGTCTGACCGTCTGACACAGGCGCCCTGCCTATTTCCAATCCGTGCAGTTGCCGAGCATGACCCGATGGCGTTGGTGTTGAAGACAAGCTCTGTCTCCATGCATCACCCGGGCGTCCCAACCAAAAATCCAGAATCAGCCAACAAAATGCTTGACACGGATAGTCGGTATGATGCTGATGCTGATGATGAGATAGACGGGCTCTGTCACGAGTCCTTACTATGAACACAACAGACACCACTCTGGAGACGATTTGGTTGACCCATTTGAAATCATCGCCCAAGAACCAAAACCATTGGCAGTAATTACAGAATGCCCAGCGCCTCGTACCCCGTATGTCTGGACAAGAAGCTAAACCCCGGCAATCTCGATTCCATGCTATGGAACATGAATGGAACAGATTCCTCCTCTTCAACCGCCTCGTGAACTTGTGGCCCATGACGAGCGCCACAGGGTGCACCAAGGGGAGAGCACATTCCCGCCATCTCCTCATCCTCCAGCCGAGTGCTAACTTGCTAACGTCTTAGAGTTCCAATGGCCTGCACGCGGTTAAGCGAAACGACTTGTGGGACATTAAAGACGTGGTGCTCCATAGACAGGTACGACCAAGGACTCCACTGGCTCGTCGGGCGGGAAGTCTCGGGGGCCCGCCTTCAACTATTAGCAAGCGAGGGCACTATGCAAATTGCAACTAATTCCATCTTTGCACACCCAATTTTCCATCTCAGTTCCAGCAACAATCAGGTTGTCCATTAACCATGGAGTACTCCGTACGGACTCTTAGCCAAAGCTGAAGCACGATCTTTTGGTTTGGGCTCTCTCCACAAATATCCTTCACTGTACGTGGGCTCCCCCTGGAGGAAATTGAACAGACGACCAGTGGAGGGAGGCATCGTCGACATGTCAGGGGACCAGGGTCCCGTACATGGTAAATGAGCTTTCTCACCACTAACCACAAATTTTGTGAGGCACTTCAACCGTTCCCCCAAGCCCGACCCTTCGAACTTTCTTTGTTCGAGCGCGCCATCCTGCATCAAGCATGAATGGAACCCAGTCGACGCGGTGAATGCGTTGCCCTCGTCTGCATTTACCAAACCTTTCTGATATCCACGCAAACCTCCACACCTGACCTGAGAACAGAGTTCAAATTAGTCAACGTAATTGCCAATGGCACGAGAGGCGAATGCATTGTTCAGAAGGTCCAGGTCGACCTGTGGCTTGAAAACTCAATCCTTCCCTGTGAACGCCACAATATGTGCGCCACATTTTTTGCGCCGCAACGTGACCTTCCATGTTATTTCCTGCCCGGGACATGGTCACCACTCGACATGATGAAGATGTGGGTTGCCCCTCTGTGGCTTCAATGTAACGAGCCACAGGAACAGTTCCGCTTGAGCCGAAGAAAACGGCAGCAAGAACTCGATGTGGAGACCATGCGCCTCACACCGCGCTGATCCTTGCAGTCTTCAGAACTTTGGCACCAAGAGAGTAACGTAAGTTCATCTGCACCACTCTTGGGAGGACTGAAAGGGAACAAATAGGCCGCGCATGATTGGGAAAAAACAACCCGGATACGAGAGGAACACGCAAGAAAAATACAATTCTTTGAATATCCCATCGTTCAGGTCGAAGGGGAACTCGATTGCTGGACCCGAATCCGAAGCGCATGACTGTTCTCAAACATCTTGTGGAGCACTAGCCTTCGGTCAAATTGAAATGAACGAGCGAAGAAAGAACGTTCAAGCACACGAAGCGCATTGGCAAAGGATCAAGTCACATCGTGCGGAGAATGCGTAAATCCCATCATCCCTACTCTTACCAATAACGACAAACGATGAGACCCGACCCTGCTATGCTACTTCTGGCGCGCCTTGAATCCCTATCACAAGAGGATGAGGTACCACCCCCTTCAAAAAAAGGTCCTTCTCACGAGGTACTGGTTCTTGAATGATTGAACGATTGAACGATACCGGCGGAGCCGAAACAAATAGTGTAGTGATGGGAGGGGGCATCGAAGCTCCAGCCCATTGCTTGTGATCCTGAGTTCTCGACCTGGCTCCAACCTAACTCTCCCGTATCAAGGTCCAGAAGGACGAACACAGCATAGAACTTTTGGCAAGAGTATAGGGCCTGCTGGTAACCGCAACAATCCATGTACATTCGATATTGCCACCTGGATAGCGTGTTCATCACCTCCTTCTCCAATCTCGAGTGAGTCTGCCCGACCGTCCCACTTCTCATGAAATCTATATAGCAATGAGAACGGCGTCGTCTCGTCTTCCAGAGCCGTTTTCGAAAGGAGCCACGAGTCACGAGCCAGGACATACATAGGTCATACCAGAAGAACTCGAAGCAGAAAAAAGCCTCGTCCTTCGAGAACCCATGCTCTTGCTGTCACATACCATCCCCCTATCTCTTTGCCCGCACAGCCAACTAGGGCGGTGTGAACCCAATGAATCAAGATGTTCTCCTCTCCTCCTGCCCTGCCCCCACACAGGTGCTGCATCTTCCCGAGAATCTACATGTCTCAATGCGTAGCATCAAATGCTCAACGCCTTGCTGCACAATAGTGACAACAAGTCGCTCCAACCTCCAAAGTTGGGCGACTCTTACGCCCGCGCTGAACAACCCGAAAGACAAAATAAGTAAAAGGCAAAGCTGCCGATTCTCATACGGTGATGCTTACACAAATACTCTTGGGCAGCTTCAATGCGAGAATTCAGGGCCGTTTTGGAGAGGGACGCTGGGACATTGGGAACATCGACAGACGTTTGCCAGCCTGCTACCTCATACCTCACAGCCGTTGTTTCTTTCTGGGCCCTAGACGCATAAGTCTAGGCACGAGCACGTATAGTTTATCGACAAGACAGCAGCCGCGCACGAAAATATCGCAAGCTTTGTTTCTAATCGCTTAGATTATCTGTTCGATCTAGACCCCCTGGCGGTGTGACGGTGTCCGTCAAAGCTCGGGAGTCGGGATCCGCGTCCACGAGGAGCTTGGTTCGTCAAGAGCGAACATGTCGCATGTAATGCATCTAGAGCCGTATACAATAGTATAAAGTACAATACCTGCGTCGCACACACTGTTCACGATGCACAAATCACGCTCGATCGGTCGATCATCGAGGGTACAATATTTATCGCTACAGCCATCGCGCGTTCCTGTTGGATTCAATATATCTGTCCTGTGGACCCCTTATCCACTCGCTGGCGGCGCTGGATGCAACAACCAGCCCATGGACAGTCAAAACCGCAACCTGGATGCTCCGTGTATTTCCCGTACTTTTTTTTGGTTGCGAATGAACTGGACAGCTCTGATTCTGTACAATCTCTGTTAGCTGTCTCAACGCCTCTGGTACCGAGAAGCAATGTTGACTCGAGGTTCTCTCATCGCTCTTCATCCCTATATCTCCGACCGATTCGGGCTTGCACACGAGCTCAGAGCTCTCTCGTTTTCAGTATAAGATCAAGGCCGACTATCCATGTCCATGAGGTCTTCACTCGCGGCGCGAAGAACCTGAGATAGTATCGGAAGTCGCCAGGTTCCCAGACCATCGATCAGATCAGCGAAGTGCGAGAAGATCCTCCTGGCAGTTACATGACCTCCAGGATGGTAATCGCCGGATATGCGAGGAGTTCCTCCAGCTGCTATGAACTCCAGTGCTTTTGCCGACACTCCTATGGGAGATGATGATTCTCCTCGTGGATGCTGCGCGTCTTTGGCAAGACCGGCAGTCTCGATTGCTTGCCAGTCAAACCTGCTGATTAAGTCAATGTCACATTCTCTGGTCGCTGATTCAGAAGGAACATTGAGGTAGTAGAGTCCCATGACGAGACCTGCCCAAAACGCCCCGCAAACAGTATGCAAAGTTACGGACTCCCTGATTCTTCGGTGGAATAATGTCGCAAATATCTCTCCAGCGTGGAGACACGCCCTCCGTGCTGTTGGTGACATGGCCCATGATTTGATATCTTCAAGCGCAAAATTGGCAGCTCCATCGCCTGCAAATCTCAGCGCCGTTGCCATATTCTGACAATTCGCAGCGAGCATGAGGCATGTGAGATGCCATGATACTGCGTCGTTGATGTTCAAACCATCTGACGACCTGATGCAATAGGGAGACAAGCTCAAGGTTAGTCTAACAAGGTCTCTTTCGCTCAGTGTTTCGCATGCCTGCCAGGGATGAATTCGGGTATCAAGCTGTACCACGAACCTCAATGTGTGAAAACTATGGTAGGTCTCCCATAGTGATGACTGCAAAAGTGTAAGAAATCCTCGCGCAGTCTGCACGCTCCAGTCGTCACCAGTGGTCGCACACGAACTGAGGCTAATTGTATCCCTGTGCTTCGGGGTTTCTCCCTGCACCAGAGTCAACCATTCAGAGCTTGTCTCCGTCCAAAACACGTCGTCGGCACTAGGCGATATGATACTGACATCGTCAGTTAGAACAAGTGGCCTTCGTCCATATAAGGCTGAGAAGGACAAGTTTAGATCTATAAGAGCGTTTGCGAGTCTCCTCGCAGATTCAATGCGGGACCATTTAAGCCATCGATCTTGAACGTCGTCCGTATATGTGATGCTTTCATGATTTGATTGAGGCACCCGGACGGAGAAGATCCCAGCATTACGTGCCGTCAACAACACAGTTGTCACAAAGAACACAGTTCTGCAACCTTCTTCATTGCCCTGGTGCTGCAACAGGATAGCCATGTTGGATAACACTGTGGCCGCAGACATGGTTGCCAGCCAGCTTGCATCTTGGAATCCGACTGTACACTCCTTTTCTAATTGTCTCAGAACCATGGAGAGCAGGGTTGGAAGGAGGTTTCGCACATAAGATACTGCACCTTTTGTTCCCAAAGTATTAAAACCTGTCAAAACCAGTGACAGGAGCAGGCAAGTCGGAGCTGTTCTAGCACTAAATGTAGCATGGTGGATGATCGGGATCGTTGGATCGCATTTTGCGAAATAGACATCCAGAGCAATGTCCAGGAGACCCGCAGGGGGCATGTCACCCTGAGAAGAAGTAGTGCTGACAGAGGAGAAGCTCTTGTAATTTGGGCCGGTTGCCTGCTGAGGAAGTAGCTGGCTGAAACGCTGGTGCGTTCTAATGGCATCTTTCAACCGTGCTCTGGTGTCTTCGTCAAACCTTCGACGCTGAAGAAAGGTTTCCCTGCACGGAACGGAATTTGTAGAAGGCTCATTCTCCGTGCCATCTCCTGGTAGAGCCATCCACACACTCGATTGGGGCTGACCTCCGCGTAAGTGCCATTGCCGACGAGCTCTAGGAAATGAAGCAGTGAAATTGTTGGAAATGGGGCTGGGTGAATTGAAAATACTTGTGATTGGGTGCGTGCTTGATCTGCTGGTTTCGAGTGTCTGAATAGTCTGAAGGGGGCTCCTACTCCCTGGAGTCCAACCATCTAGGACCTGCTCGGATTGTGGTACAGAAAACGGATTGACGGAGATCGAATCTGTGCCTGGGAGCAAGGAAGGACACCATGAATGCAGGAAATTGTCCTGGTCAAAGTCGGATATTGAAAAATCACCGAGCCAGTGGTCAAATGAGTCGTATGGCGTATTAGCTCTATAGCGCTGCTCATCGAGCAGTGGATCATGGCGATTAATACTAGCATTGATAGGTCCAAGAACGGTCTCATTGATGAGAGAAGCCTCAGGTTCTCCTGAAGGGGGTTCTGCCGTTCCGTGAGGCTGAGTATCGCTCATAGAGCCCGTGATGACAGCAGTCGCCGCGTGTGAGTTGGATGTGACATTTGTTCCGGCAGGCATCTTGCCTTGTCCTCTGTGGCACAATTCATCATTGAGTGGTGATTGTGAAGGCGCATTGCTTTCAAGTATTGAAGGATTGTCTTGAGGCGGAAAGCTTGGTGGGATGCTACCATCGCTGCCACTCACCGAGCCATGCAGGCCACGGCGTCTTTTGTGAGGAGTATAATGTTCCCAGCCGACGTCGTTCTGATGGCCCTTGACATGCCTGTTTAGGACATCCCTGGCCGCTCGCGCGTCAGACATCAATCCACTTGACGAGCTTTCGAGTCTTACCTTCTACCGTACACCTTGAGACAAACTCCACACTGGTAAGGCTTTTCGTTTGTATCTAAGTGTCCATTGTGAGTTGTCACATACGCGGCAGCGATACTGAATTCAGGAGAGGCTTACGTGATCGCTCATGTCGGCGGAGATGTTCTGTTTTGCTAAACACCCTATCGCATGTCTTGCATTGTTTGTTTGTCATTCTTGAGCGGAGGTTTCTGGGAACACCGAGGTATACGTCAGCCAACTAATGACCTCCCGCATATGAATTTCGACGTTCAAGTAGATTGAGGAGATCCCAACTGAAAGTCGCTGTTTCAAGATCGATCGAAAAGAGCTCATGACATCAACTGCGGGGAAGCCTGATGCATTATTTTACCTCCCGTATGTAGATATGTACAGGAAGGTGCGTCTACCACCTAGCCAAGTGTTTCCTTGTATTTTTGACGTACGTCAGTGGCATTGGACTCGTGTCTGGGGCTGCCGGGGCTTGCTCCATTTGTAAGGGCCAAATCAATCTTAATCTGCGAAGCTTACAGTACAACGCTTCCAGCTTGCCAGTACGGAGTAAAGCATTGAATGACACTTGAATCATGTTACTGGCAATGTGGGGCCGACTGCTGGAAGCCTCCTCAGTTCCCAAATAGGGGGCGTCTTATGTGGGGCTCCACGGAGACGTAACGGATGCTGGAGTTGCGATTACCGTCGACTGCCATACCTATGACCCAACCGTATTCTTGCCATGGCATGCTTTCAACAAGTTCAGAAGGAATGTAGGACTGGACTTTTGATGGTTAGCATTATCTCTCATTGACTATCTGCCGTCTTCCAACAACCCATCACCAAGATTCTGTGTCGTCGTCAATCAAAGTCGGTCGGACTGCGTGTACGCTTCGTACCTGGGGCTATAATGCATACAGCCGAATGGGTGCGATATATTTACATTCCTTTCTCGCTTGTGCTGAAGACGATAATCCGAGTGTATAATGTGAAACACCCTATTTTCCACATTGAGGAGGTACCTGTTCCCTCAATACCCATTGCCATATCGTATGCTTGGCCATTAGCTGCCCCCCAGTGGCAGGTGAAATTAAGCCCTCTATAAGGCTGAACGTGATCTGCGACCAGAGGGTTGCACGTCCCACGTCATGGGCGCTTTTCGTGTAGAACTGTCGAAACTCTTCATGCCTCAATTGTGAAGATCACTTCCGATCCATGTACATTAAGTCGATATCCGTTGCCCCATTCGATAATGCAAAATAATTATCGTGTAATTATGATCTGAAACCCGTCTATCCAGGCCGCTGACGTGCCTGATATTCCGGCAAGGCTATACCCCCTGGGAGCCATCAAAGTGTGCCTGGATAAGAATTAGCCTAAACACCGGAGACACCGCTGTGACACTTACCCAGAACCTCCGGTGGGGTTCCCAAAAACTCCAGACCGCCGCCCAGCGCTCGTCAAAATATCGATGCCATCAAGCCAGAGCCCAGCCCGTACATAAAAACCGAGGATTGTCTCTCCACGACGAGTGTCTGACAACGTTGGTCAATATAGCGCCACTGAAACTGTGAGAAGATCCTACCAAGCAAAAACTCATCGCCCCCCGGCTTGCCACCTCGTTTGCCAAACAATTGACTATGGCCATCCTCGTAACAAAATTCGATCCCGTCAAGAGCGTAACCATGGTATACTTTGACTGACGTCAAGAGTTTTGATTGGAGAAAGGTACTCTCCAGAATCAGATCCTCCGGCGTACTTCCTTCGAGCTGCGAAAACCCCAGCTTTTTACTTTTGAAACCAAGGCGTGAGTCAAGTGACTTGCTTAGTCCCAGGACATTATTGACTGCATTCATCGTGAGCCCTTCGTCTCGTTTGGGTGCTAGTCGGACAGCCGGAAGGGTGATGACATTTTTCCTGGAAAGAATATCTTCAAGGTCCTCGATTTTCTCACTTCTGGAGCTACCACAGAAGACTTGTAGTGTGACCTTGGCCTTTCTTTTGTCCTCGGGCAACCGGCCTCGTAACTCGCTTTCTGTCAGAGTCACCTGCCTAGGGATGTTATTATTTCTAGGGTCGCTGCTCGTAAAATCGATCCAGTGACGGCATAAATCGTCTCCTTCTGTCCATATTTCGACAAATGACACTCCAGTGGGTGCCGAAATAATGAGCCGTCCATTATCGATTGGGAAGTATTGGATGCTGTCGTCCTGAGAGAGTGGCTCGTCACTTGGAAGCTTGAAGCAAGGATGGTGTCTGAATCGGAGAACATCCAGTCGATGCCAGGCACACTCGTCTTCTTGCCGGCAAATCTTGAGACCTTGAGATTGTGTTCTTGTTGCGTATGGTTCTCGAACGAGGAAGGTCCGGTTGAGACGGACATAGTCCCTAAGCATCACTCCGCTTTCTTGGTGAGGGCAGCCGAACAAATGCCCAACTTCATGCATATGCGCACCAATACCAATATTGGCTGCTTCCCAACTGCTGCCAGATTCGTTGCAATCATTGGCCACATATTTCGTGTCGGTCCTGGTGCAGTCCACAAATGCAGGGACGACCTCTTCAATACACGCTGGGTAGCTCTGAAGGGCATGTGAGCCGAAAATGGCTAAAGCAAGATCATCGCCAGTCCCGCCCAGTGCAGCGTGGCCCGTGATAGTGCCGGCTTCTGGGTCCCAGTGAGAGTCCAAGAGGAGGCATGCTACGTATTGCTTCTGCCCGGGCTTCACGTTGAAATGTTTTTTGACTGCTTCCGCAGCGATTGAATAAAGTTCACCCTTCTTGGAAGCAGGTCCGTGTTGTTGTGCAAACTCCAAGTCTCGTAACTCGGCAGTAGTCTTGTCCGATCGTACTACATGAACTCTTGTTTCATTCCTCATTCGCCCCGATTCCCAGTCACGCAAAGAAAGAGTGCCGGTCTGCCATTCCTCGTCGAATCGGAAACACCTTCGGCCGAATTTGTTTCGGTACATTTGTTCGGCGGTAAACGTTTGCCATAGATGTGCGGCCATTCGGAACTTGCGAACTGCCATGCTAAGATCGTTGCCTTCGTTTTGGATCCTTTGTGGGACGGCATCGTATGTGCAGGGAGAATCCTTGCCTGCCAGTATTACTAACTGCAGCGGAGGCGCACTACTTAGGGGGAGGTAGTTCAACATGATGTAGGATGAATGCAATGTAGGGTTGGACCCGTTGGGTGCTGAGCTTAGCTTCGGGGATGCAAAATCAAATCGAAGTCTGTTCCATCCAGGTGACAGAAAGACCAAGGCCTTGAAATAAGAATCGGAAACAGGCCAATTCGTTGGCGGGAATGACTGGCCATCCTTGTCGTGGTGCACTGTCAAGTTACCGTCTAACAACCTGGACTGAGGCTCGCCGATTTCTCCATTTATGAGCAAGACTTTGTGATAGACCTGGACAAGTGTCAGTGACCCACATCTCTTTCTGGAAGGGTTCAGGAGCCCGTACCACTGAGTTGTCAAGTATAGATGTAATTTTGGGGGCATAAGCGGAGGTGGGAAGTGGACTTCGCATAGTGAGGTTCGAACCGGAGGGTGACAGAGTCTTTGTGTACGCTGTCAGTATTTCTGGCTTCAACTCTCTACAATCGGGCTAGAGGTCTCACCATCATGCTGTTCCGATTGGAATTGGGGACTGTCACATTGGGACGTTGCGGGATTGGGGGAGGAGCGTCACCGTTGCTCTTTGCTGCAGCAACGACGTTGGATGCTGAGCCATTGGCATGGTATGTTGAGGGAGGAGTGGCACTTCCTTGAGCAGAATTGAGGGTGGATGATGATTTTGCCGTTGGGACTGTGCTGCTGGACCCGGTAGACGAATCCGAGGTACGAAAACTAGCTCTTGATCGTCTGCGCAATTCTTTGAAGAAGGGCATGATGGAGGAAAGACTGTTTTCACGGAGTCCACGAGCGTCCCATCGAGGTGGGATATTATGAGAACTCAAGGTCGAGGGTGCGACCTGGGTGTCGCAATCTAGAGGGCAGAGGGTTGCGAGCACATGCGTGTGCAAGGGAGCTTTTTCCGATACGTTGACAAGGGTGCACAACAGCAGATATGCAGGTATTGGAGAGGGCGAAACGAGCGACAGTGAGGTGGTTTAATTTGTAGAAGCGACTGGGTGAGACAAGGAAGTCGACGATCAACAGCATCAACAGTTCAATGCAAGAAACATTGACGGGTTTTGCCAATGGCCTATGCAAACTCCACTTGCGGCAGCTGCGGTAGGGAGGTGGGAGGCGGGTATCGGGCAAGAGCGATGGCAGCCAAAAACTGGGCCGTGCAGCAAGAAGCAGGAGCAGTGGCAGTTAGCGAGGCTACCACCTAGGTAGGCACCGTAGATAGTCTAGTCCTACTAAGTGAATTCTCTCACACACACAGATACCAGATACCTAGATCAGGTGGTGAAGGGCAGAACCAGTGACGGTTTTCTTCTGTTCTGGTTGGTCTGCTCCATAGGTAAGATCAGTAGCAGGATGCAAACTTCCCTTCAGATAGTTGGCATGCTGCAGCACAGATGTGTCATTCGTCAGTCCCCTGGCGGCAGCAAGCCGCATCATCTAGCAACGGCAGACTGCTTGGCATTAGATATTGCGAGATAGCGGGCAGTCAAGACCGACTCCAGGGAAGAGTCCTCCGTATCATGCTGATGTCAAGTTATAGGGTGGAGATAGGGAGAGAGTGATGACGAGGATAGCAGAAGCGCCAGTTGCTAGTAGTACGTACTAAGCTCCAGAGAGTTACATTGCACGGGAAACAGCCCCGGGTAAAGCACAGGGTAGAGTGGGCTTTGTGCATGTGGTTGAGAGAGGAATGCCATGACTTGGCCATTCTCTGGATTGGATTCGCGTTGGGAGAGACAGCCGGTTCTGGTGGACCCGACCATGGTTTTGGCGAGAGAAATGACGTTTGGGGCGCCGTAGGCGACCGTGTGGTTCCAGCGGCGGTTGAAAATGGACATTTAATTGGTGTGGGCGGTCGCAGTGGGATTTCTAGATAGATATCCGCACGGCAAAAGAGATAAGCCTTTAATTATCGCTTCCCATCAGTCTACTGTACAAGTGTTTCACGTCAGACCAGATTTATGCCGGAACTGACAATGAAAACACAGTCACGTGGCCTTAATTAATGCTCCACTGGTAGAGCGAAAATCAGAGGACTCGATCCAAAATTTCGGCGTGTCTGACGGACTAAATTATCTTCCTCACGTTTTCCTTGACACAAAACTTGATTCTCCTACAGTCCTCTACCACCCCAGCATTATGGATACTGCGAGGTCGGCGTTTGTGTCACAATCCTCCGTCTCCAGAACCATTGTAGATAGGTATCATAGTCGGTGTATGGAGTACGGAGTCCTTGATGCCTCGCACTCCGTACTCGACACTCCCCTGATGCCATTCAGCGCGGCCTCTACATAGCAAATTGCAGATGTCATGCATTCTGCCCTTCTCGTTTCCACCTCGACTTGTCTATGCCAAACGAAAGTTGTACGGCGTACGGAGTATCATACATACCGGAAACAAGAACTTACAAACAGTAGCATTATCTTGGCCTACTCATACATTTCCATTGTGGAAACACACGTGCAACGGAGAAGACATCACGTGAGGGGATACAAATGAAGTCCCAGCGGTTTCACCTGCGAGGGCAAGTTGAACTGATGCCAAGAATGGACGGCGTACTCGTCCACCCAACATTGGATACGGGATTTCACTCAGCAGTGAGGCCCTGGGTACCTAGGTAGATGGCTCTGCCAGCATTGACAAACATGGACATCGGAAGGCCAGGGAAGTAGTTAGGTTCTGAAGGTACGAAGTACACAAAGGAGTGCCCATGGTGTTTAGGGTGGAAGTTCAAAGGATGTGGGGGAAACCCAAATGCTGGGACCAATATCAATAAACCTTCTGCCGGTGCTTCTGCAAGTATACTTCCCGCTGGGCAGGGAGTCGGCAATTCGCACGGGTTACTTTGCTATCCATCAAAGGCTGATTGGCTGATGATTCACTATGCGAGAAGGCCTCCGGAAGAAAGCTTAATACCGAGATTGTAGTCCTCGTACTTTTTGAGACAGCGTCCACCGGTGAACAAACGAACAGGGATCCCGACTTGCTGGCAAAAGGCCTGCGGTCTAAAAATGCCCAGTAGGGTTAGGTGGCCAGGTTGCATAGCGGATTGTGTTCCTGAGCTCTACCCAGGAGTGCTACGCCTGTTAGGGCAGGCCGTCGTGAGCATTTCCTCAACCCCGGACCCATTGAAAGTATATATTGCATGGACAAAACTTAACATCTCAGTGAGAGATCTAGACGAGCAAAGAAATAATCATGAGATTTGGCTGAATTACAGTCGGTACATGTTCTCGATGGCCGCCACGGTAGCCCGATAGGCGAGAAAAGAGCGGTCCGTTCTTCGGAGGAGGCTGGTGGATTGAGCAGGCGCCAGATCGGTGACAATGCAGGTTGACGATCAGAGAGATTCAGGAGGAGAAACGCTCAACTGACGGCGTTACTGGGTGATGGATTAACGTGGGTTTGAAAGGGATTCAGCCGTCAAGAGGTCTGTGGTTGGAGCAAGTCGACGGGGTGCATGCGACCAATGCAGCGGCCAATCTCCAAAGGCCAGTGAGTGGTGATTCTGGTGACTTGAGGAGCAGATCGACCGGTCAGCAATCCGTGTCTGGGGGGCAGTCAGTCAGTGCAATTGGCCTTGACATGAGACTCCAGCCACGGCTTGGCCCTAAAGTGGGCCGAGGGAGCCTACCACAACTACGTACTACTACATACTACTAACCTGAAAGTTCCAGGTTGGCAGTTGGGCGGAAACCGTCAATGTGTGGAAGCAGGAGGACCCCAGGCTCGTAGAACCAACACCTAAACCAACACCTAAACCACCACCTAGCATGCCCAAGATGCACCCTAAGCGACAACGACGACCACCCCCACCTGTCGCCCGCCAAACTGTGTGCCAAACATGCATCCTAAGTCCAAGCAAGTCTAGTAGTGTAAGTTGCACTACTAGCCTCCCCTCGGCCTCTGGCAAACTGCCACTTCCACTGCCACTCGCATTCACTCGCAGGCTTTTGACTCTCTACTTGCCATCACAGTTCACTGCTTTACTGCCTTTCCCTTACTTCCCTACTCTTTAATCTACATCTACCTTTACTATCCACTACTGCTTAAACACACACCCTCAGCAATTCACCATGTCGTCTGGCTAAATTCCTTATCAAGTGCCACGAAACGCCGTAGCACCACCCGTTGCCCTGTTCAGGGAGCCCGCCCCACGCCCTGGATCCAGCTTGCCAGGTATCCATACGCCGTCCGAGTGACAAGCTCTGGTCTTCCTGGGCCAGTCCGTCGTGCGCTTTGACGTCCCGGGGCAACACCACATATTTGACACATCCTTCCGTACTTTCTCTCCTTCTTAATATCTGTTCTCGACAGGCCGTTCCCTAAATGTTGGTCTCGCACAGTATTTGCACCAACATGGCTTCCCAGCAGCAGCGGCATCCCTTTGCTGCAGCTCAGGTGGCCGAGAAAGTCATGAGGAGAGTTGAAATTGCAAAGGTACGAACCCGTCTTATTGAGTAGCCCACCTTGCCAATTCTTCTGGGCTTTTGCACCTCACATTCAGAACTAACCTGGAAATTTCCCCTTTTGCAGGTTGCTCGGAATCTTCAAGACTGCCTAGCTTTTGCAAGCTTCAAGGCCCAAAACGGCTGGCAAGATCGAACCCTCTCGACCATCGAGCCCGAGTTCACTGAAAAGTTGAAGAGAAAAAGACCATTTCTGGATGACGATCTTGCATCCGATGGCTCCTCTGGGTCCGACGACGACTTTGTCCCCACCTCATCCATCGCAAGTAACCGCTTCTCGAAGCCTGCAAGTACCACATTCAAAGTCCCTGGCCCTCCCTTCGGCTCGAGGAAAAGAGTCCGGGCCAATTCCATTGGCCTTGAAAGACCTTCCGACACCATGACATGGAAGCAAGACTACCGTCTGTCACAATCCTCGCCGGTACTAGGCCGCTCACAGTCTATCCAAGAGCGTGAGCCCTTCCAAGCAGACACGCCTACACTTCCTCACTCTGCACACGACGATTCTCCTATGTTTGATGTTCACTCCGACGACGACGACCATCCCATGCCGTCCTTTGCAAACGAACCGTCCAGCAGTATTCTATCCTCATCTCCTCCTCGAACTCCTCCGCCTACGAAGCGTTTGCTCAATGCCAATCCTAAACAAGCTGGAGCTGACCTTCTTCTTTACCTTGCGAACTCGCCATCTCGCTCCCCAGCTATAAATCTTCATCAGCCTCTGATGGACCCCCCCTCCACCCCCCCTTCTCAACATACTCACCTACCTTCATCAGTCATGACCACGCCGGGAACTAGTCTTGGATTATTCAATGGTGCTCTACAGACTCCGGGACAGAACTTCAATTTGGCCGACTTTTGCAATGTAACTCCTTCTCCTGGCCCCGCTCAATGGGGTGGACGGACCCCAAAACTTGCAAAGACCCCTAGTCGATTTGCACGAAGGTCTTTGAACTTTGACACACTACAGCCACCATCTGGTAGCCCAACACTACAACGGAAAGCACCATCGAATCATGGTCTCGCTTTGCAACTTGGAGATGAACTCATTCCACGCTCGTAACCTTTCCATTCAGTCCTATAAAGTCCATATCTTGTCGTTCGATCGATAAAAACTCGTTACGATAAACCAACACCAAAAGGCACACCAAAGCTGTGCCTACGACCTGCTCGAAATATCACGAATAGCATACAAACAAGTTTCTTTTTCTTTTTTTTCTCTTGCAACGAATGCATGCAACGATCAACACGGAGTACGTTTGTTTCGACCTAGCAAAATCAGAAGACTGGAGACCGGGACGGGGGCGCTGGTAAGAAGGCATTTCAGCATGTTTGGTTGCCCTTTTCGTCGTCAAAAGACATCAACCGATTCATCTCACTCAATTGTCTACTTGGAGCTGGTTTCCAACAAGGACTGGAGGGCAAAGAAGGTACCAAAAAGGCAAGGGATGGATATCTGGAGGTCTGCCTGGTCAACGCCAGATGTGGTAGGTATCTTTGTCTCCCAAGCTGTTTGAAACAGCAACATGATTGTTGCTTCACACTCTCGCAAGGACTCGGGTCTATCTCGAGTGTTGCATCCGTTAATTGTTTGTCAACATCAGTAAGAAGTAGCTCAGTTAGCAAGTCCAAAGGGCACGTAGTTAGTTCAAAATCCCAAATGATTAAGTAGTATACAATCTTCGTTCTGTGCAGCGTCCTTTTTGCAGATGCACTGGGTTCAGACTACGAATCTCGACATTAACCCTCGGTGAACTAGACAATGAGTCTTCTTACATCAAGATTTGGTGTAATCCAGCAAAGACAGCCGCTTTGACATCCAGCCTCACGGCTCCAATCCATTCTTGTGTCCAGCTTTCTCGACTATCCTCAACGACATAGATTATCCACGCTCAACAGCTTCTAGCCGCACCACTCTCTCCTGCTAGTCCAGGCTTACGTTTGACCTCGGCGAGGGAGGTGAGCGACTCCTCCTTGGTGTTGCAAATACTGCATACGAACGGGGACAAAAGGGTAGCAAGCCAACGTTAGTGTCGGCTTTGAGTGCGATTTTACGGCCTGATCCCCACGAGGCGTTGTTAAGCTTCCGTGCAACTCCGGGTTTCTTTGTCGGAGCCAGAGGCGCAGTGACGATCCGTATTGCGACTATCACTACTTTAACCCACGAGAGATTTGAAGAATGACACCACCTGCATAAGTGGAGAGTCTTGGAAGGCGACGATCTATCTGCCTGTCGTCTCAAGCGTCCAGTTCAGCTGCCGCGCGAGTAGTCTGTACTCCGTACGCGAGGTTTTCTTTGCTATGAACCTCGTGTTCAAGGTCGATATCCACTCGCCATGCTACTGGCCACGCCATGGACAGCGTAGTGAAGCCAAGTGACCGAATGGCATCCACTGCCCAGTGTTGGCCAGCCAGCCGGCCAGCCAGAGAGCGGAAGTGTTTGCAGCTTAGCTTGCACCCAAGGCTGTTTGCGTTTCGCTCGTGCCGACCATGCGTGCCTTTCAATGCATGCACTTTGACGTACACCTACAGCTAAGCCTGCATAGCGAGTTGCAGAAGGACCTACTCGTACCTAGCCTGTCCTTCCACCAGTTCCGCTCACTGACTCGTACAACGCCGCAGCAGCAGCAGTAGGAGTGTCTGCCGCCTCAATCCAAGGCCAGTACTCGCGTCCAGTGCAGGTGACCAACTGCAGGTCAGATTACGCATCAAGCACGCCCCTCGAAGCCCCCCGCGCCGCCCCCCCCCCCAAAAACATATCCTTATGAGTAGGTTGCAGTGTGTGTGTGCTGTCCCTTTGTTGGTACGAAGCACAGCGCCGGGACCATGATTTTTGGCGAATTCTTAGCTCATCCCGCTTAACTTGCTTTGCTGCGTGCTGGCCGTATATCCGTACAATAATAGCAATATCACGCGATCGGTCGCCATCACTGCATGCTAGCCAAGATTAGTTTTGCCAACGTGTCCCGGGCCTTGTATCCGGATCAACTTCAATAGTTCGAAGTTCAGCCCGTTACGAGCGACGTGGTACGTAGGATTAGATGCCGGGGTGGGATCGCTATTGCTAATCAGGTCGACGATCCTAAAGCTACTGCTACATATGGGTGCTCGGTTACCCTCCATCAGCTTACAGATCAGGATAGTGGCGCGCATCATCTCATCCGTTGTCCATCATCAGCTGTGCTGTAGCTAGTGTGGCGGCCTAAGCGAAAAAGCTCACAGGCGGTTGGATGCGAAACCCCAAGGGCTTCGGAGACGGAGCCGCCGATCACGTACACAACACATCAGCTTCAGATTGCGAATCCCTTGATCGGTCACTGATGAATCTGAGGAGGGAATAGCAGTGACCTAAGTTATGGTGATGTTCATCATGGGTGTAATCCAACTCTACGAGCTCGAAATCGCTGGAGTACACAACCAGGGAGGCCGAACGTTGGTCGTTGCTCAATTCCAAAAAAAAAAAAAAATTTGTTTTCACATAACGCGTGTGGACGCGACTTAGCGTGACGCGCTAGTTGGCCAAGGAGCCGGGGAATCCTGGGCGAATTTGTCCGATCTTGGAGAGGAGAGTGGGTCCCCGCCCATGGATTGGGGAACATGCACGGACCGCTATAATTGACAGCCACTGTCCGTTGGAATTGGACGGGAATTATGATAAGATGGCTCTGGAGACTAGAGTCGTCCATGACGAAGTGAAACTGCAAGTGCTTGGGCTCCATGTTGCGGGGACAGGTATCAGGGCATTCCAAACAGATGGTGGAGATTCGTTTTTCGTGGAACAGCCGCCATTTCCCCGAAATCCCAAATGCCCGTCGGATGGGAGTGCTTCTGCACCAGTGCGGCACCATTGATGTCCGTTGCCTTCTCACCACGGCATGGTTGTCGAGTAACGACCAGCTTGAAGAACTCCCGATCATCATTTCCTGGCCACCCTTTCCTCCCACTGCACACCGACCCATTCCTCTCTGAAAGACACCTTACCAGCCTCGCCACAGTTGTTCACACAGGTCCCGAGAATAATGGTTCCCCACTCCATGCCTTCTTCTAGATCCATAGCCTCGTCTTTCTCGAGTTGGTAGATTAGTCCTGGTACAAGCTGCAGTTCAAAGGCTCTCTGAGATCCACATTTTTCGCATCGAGGCATGCCTCTGACGGCCCCGGATTTTCCATGCGGAACGACGAACCGAGATGCTACATTATCCGTCCCCGAATAGAGTAATGGCTCACCTTTGAACTCGTAACGCAAGACTTGTTCGGGATTTTGCGCTACCCGGTCTGAAAACTTTTGAAACGTCTTATCCAGCGACGACTCAAAGGTGTCTTTCTCAAGAGTACCGCCACCACCGTCTTCTGTATCGTACTGTACATTAGATGCTTCGGCATTGGCATTTGTAGTATCCTCTTTCTCCAGCTCTTCAGGGTATGCATCTAGATAATAGGAGGTGAAAGGAGGAGGAAAGGCGGAGCTTTCTGGCCATCGTTCTATCGTGCTGTCCTTCGTACCCTCCGGTTGAGACTCCATGCCAATTTTCAATTTACTAGTGAAGGATTCAACAGGCGGTTGTGGCTCATCGATCGGTCTTTGAGGAGGCTTTGCTGCCAGCGTTGAGGGTGAGCCAACTGATGCGAATGGGTTTGCAGGACCTGGCTGCGTTCCCGCACCGGCTAAGGAAAATGGATTGGCTGCATTCGATGTTGGAAGAGGGCTCGTTCCTCCGAATAATGCGGTTCCGAGATCTTGTTGTGGCTTCTCCTTTTGTGGCTCCTTAGGTTTCTTCTCTTTTCTATCCCTCACTTCACGCTTCTTCACTTCTCGAAAGGCTCTGATACTACCAAACTTCTTGGAGCATGTCTTCTTTCTGCAGCAAAGAAGATGTAGCCGTCGTTCATCATGGGGAAAGAATTGTAGCAAGTCTGCATTGAGCTGAAGCAATAGCGACATGTAGCCATTGCAGACTTTACATTTGGCAAGAGCAGCTGGTGGAGGGTTTTGGGTGTCTAGCCAGGTGGAGTGGCCTCCAAGGTGACTGATATCGTCGCCTGTAGATTCGGTGGCAGCATAGCCGAGAGTGACATCCGTGGTGGAATAGTCCTCAGCATTATCGGACGAGTCGCTGTCGTAGTCTGGCATGGCTATCAGGCACAGAAGATAAATCAAAATCGCATCTGTCAAGTTTCTTTTCACCTTATCGGCCCGCAGGCATCGGATAAAAATTGATACGACCCAAAATCATGTGGCTATCGGGAAATATCAGCCTTACTATAAACAGCTAGATCAATTTGTTTATTCCCCCCTGCCTCAATTGCTCTTCCCTCTTCCCCACAGTTTCCTGTTTCTCCTCTTCTTTCCGTCTATCTTCCGTTGACTCGCTGTCCTTTACCGTATTTGTCAACCGTTCTCTACCATCACTCCACCAGGTTCAAGATACGGATACAGGGTACCTTGCGATGCATTCTGCACTCCGCACTTAGCAATTAATGTCCGCATCCACTCCCATGTGTTGACAAGGTAAGAAGGACAGCAATATCTGTACTCCTTACTCACCTTCCTCCACAACTCCCGCGCGGGGAACCATGTCAGTGAGAGGATCATATTGCTCGGCGTTGTGCACCAAATCCATCATTCAGACTTGTGATTTAAGGCGTCCGTTCCTCCGGGGGTAAGTGCTGACGCTCAGCTGTACACTACGTCCACTTGACTTTGAATCGACCAAAGCCTCAGGGCATCACGCACCCCCATGGCCTCACACAAAGCATCCAGCGTCACTATTGACGAATATCATCTTCCTAAAGGCAGCAAACTGTTGGCGACCATAGTCATGACCGGCTTGATGACTATCTCGGCCAGACGAAAATTCATCGAGCCTCGTTCTCTCCTCCACGATCAAATCCTTGCCAGAGGGGGAGCAAAGACCATTAAATACTCGAAACCTGTTCAAGCTTTTCTCTTCTATTTCCTCTTTGGATCCCATTCGATTGAAGCAGTCTACTTCGCACTGACAAAGCTGAAGCAACACAATGTCAAAGCGTTCAGTATTGTTTGGCTCAAGTGGGTAGTTACCATCTTTCTTGGCGGTAGTATCGTCGCCGGGAAGCACTTCGATGAGGTGGTTGAGCAAAAGGAAATCAAGGCTATGAAGGAGATCTAATTACTTGGCAATGATGGGATGTGGGAGAATTCTTTGTTGTGTGAAGGTTCTGTTCTTCCATGTCTCTGGCGGTACGAACATCAAGTTGTGTGGGCGAAGGAACCCGCTACTGTTGGAAGCTATCTTTGAGGCAAAAGCAGTCTAACTAGCAATTGTTCAAATGCGGATGCATCGTCGAGTAATCATTACCATTGAACCAATCTTTCAGCTCCTCCTATTTCCAAAATAGACTTACGTTCTGCTTTATGGCTGACTTGCAGCCAGGAGGAGACTTGATGGATGGCTTCAAGTTGACCCATTCATTCTCGTCTACTGATTTGATGATCATAATGGTAGGTCACAGGCATCAATACACTGCCTGGGATGCCCGTTTATCGGCAATTAGCCTGTCAAGTCTCTGCGAGGCTATACTTGTCAAAGCAGTCTTCTAGAACCCTTCTCTTGCATGTATTGCCAAGGCTTTCCAGCTCAACCCCTTCTCTTCTATGGCCTGATTTGATACCTACCTCAAACTGTATCCCACCAGGTAGTGTTGACAAACAAACAGTTCAGGCTTGGACGAGGTCAAGTGAGGGCATCTGCGCCTTTGTTCGTATAGTCGGAGTTACTGTTTACACACAGACACATTCAAATTCTATTTTCGGGGTACCTCTACTTGGCTGCTCGTACACATGACGTTCCCAGCGGCTCCATACGAGCAGGAATCAGCTTTCCTCCAGCTCCCCACTGAGACTCGTTTACACATTTACTCATACATTCTACCTAGGAAGACACTCGACATTGACCTGTGCACCATCCAGCGACCAACACAAAACTACTTTCCGAGCATCAGGCGGCACCGGGCCAGCATTGGCAAGCTGTCACCGATCTCCAGCCTTGTCTCACAGGTCCTCGAGTTGGAGAACATCACTCGACGCAATGGGCTGCACCTTTTGAGCGTGAGTCGACGCACGCGCGACGAGTTGAGACCATTACTGTCGGCCCTACTCGTCCGCTTCCACTGTCCCAAGTGCTTCGAGGACCTGCTGGCCAACCTGTCGCACGGGCTTGGTGTCGGCGTCGCCTCGTGGATGCGGCACGTGGAGATCCGCTTCGACTGCGGCAACGGCTTGTTTGTCCCTGGCACTCGCCATGCACCACATTACAGCCGCGGCGGCACCCCCAGCTTGGCGCGCTTCATGGCTAGCGAGGCAATGCAGGCTGTCCAGCGCAGTGCCTGGCTTTACTACGGCCGTTTGGATTTAATGGGACGGGAGAAATGGAAGCTCATGCGTGCGGAGACGAAGGATTCGTCCGATTCCGCCGTGCAGTTCTCGCTAGGCCAGCCCCAAGAATCTCATCGAGGGTGGATCATCAGCGGTTGGTTTGATATCTGACAAGAAGTGTCAATGAAGCACGCAGAGACGGATGAGGATCAGTTGAGACAAGAGAACATGAATTCACGAATTAATGACATATTTCGGGTAGGCAGGGTACTGCGCTGCTGCAATCTTCAACGTTTTTTTGAGCATCTTGATGCTTCAGGCTGGATCCCATCTGTGGTGCAAAGTAGGATTGATTCCAACAGTGTACCCTTACTCCTAGCAATCTAACAGTAAAATCTCTTCGAGTTGATTTTTAGGATGAAGACCTGGCACCGCTCACAACTATATCCCGGCCAATGGGTGGTATGTTATATCCACTCTCAATTTTGCCACCAAACCCCAATACCTCAAATCATTAGAAAGTGAACTGCATCAACCCTGGGTTCAGCACAAGAGGGAGCAGAGCATGCGAGGCTACTCATCGCCAATGAAATCAGTCGCCGTAGTCAAACACAAACTATCAAGGGTTACTTACCAACAACAGTCGCCAAAGGCCAGATGGCTGTGAAGAAGTTGATCTGGAAATCATAAGGTACAAGGTCACCGAGGGGCCCGACACCGGCAAGCACAATCATACCCAAGCTTATGACCGTACAGAAGAGGAAGGTCACACGAAATTTCCTCATGATGAAAGGTATTTCTTTGAAGAAGCTTGTATCCGTGGCCTCTTTGCTTGTCGCGCCCCACGTCATGTCCACGCTGAAAAGGTGACTAAGGATTGCTTGAGAAACATGCAGACTGATGCCGCCTAGAAATACTGTCAACAGTGGGATCCAGCGGAAATTTTCCCACATGGCCGAGAGCAAATTTGATTCCTCGATGCGGTAACGCAGGACGGCAAGTGCGAAGTTTCCCAAAGCGGTAAACACCAGAATAATGGCAAAGTAGATTTTGAAACTGTCGATATAGTAATGATCAAGCCAGCCATTGTACCAGCCGATGATGCAGTAATTGAGCAGTGTCAGGATCCATGCTGAGCCAATGGCGTAATATGTGCCGATATAGGCCATAATGGTAAGTTTCGATGGCAGGGGCATGCCGCTCATGATGAACTTGCGAAACAAAGGCGTGAATGGACCTTTGGTCGGCCATTTGACGAGTGGGTGGAATAATAGTTCGCTACATCCGTAAGCGTACTTTTCCCACCGGGCAAGTTCGTCGTATACAGTCAAAGATACGCCTTCTTTGAAACCTTGACCTGCATACGCAGCAAGGCGAAGGGTATACCCGCTAGTTTGTAGACGAAGGGCCATGTCGAAGTCTTCTGATACTGTGGATTCAGACCAATACTTCTCTTTCACAATGCCATCATTGACGTCCACTTCAAGATATGCGACATCTTGTACAGCACTCCAGCGCAAGAACGCATTATGTCCGACAAAGGGTGCGACATCTCCGTTCGACACCGCGTATTGGATGGCAGTGTAGACAAGATTTGTGAAGAAGGTAATACCCTTCTCAAACCAGCTGTCGGTAACATTCATCACTCCGGAGGGGAACTGGATGATTGCAACTTGAGGTGATGCTTCCATCTCGCTCACAGCGTCCAAGAGGCAATCTACTGGAACTCGGGTATCAGAATCAATAAGTAAGATATAGTCACCAACTCGGACATTCCCACCTGCCCATGTGAGCCCCTTGTCAACGTCAATAATATTTCCCTGGGCTCTCCAGTAGATATATTGTTCTTTCTCTCGATCCCAATCATCGGAACGGTCGGTCTCAGCCATGATGTCTTCGATGCGATTGCTGACGGAGAGCGCGTAGTTCATGTTAGATGCCTTTTTGAATTTCCCAGTCCGAACGTATCGTTTACTGGGGTCTGTCGGCCAAGGCTGAAGATGTCCCGGCCTCGCCACCCAGCCAATGTTATGTTCATCGTAGTACTGACGCCTTTCAAGTGCCTCTTCAGCACTTATCAACTGCATGCCATCATCGTTAACAAAGATGTTGGCTGAACCGCCTTGCATTTCGTATGTTGAGATTGCATCCTTGATAGATTTGATAGTCGGATCAATCACGGCCCAGAGTCCTTCTTTGTAGACTGGGCACTGGATGGTAACGTGCGGCAGGATGCCCGTGGTGGGTAGACGACGAGGTGGCTGGCCAGAATAGAATCGAGTGTTTTTATTCATCTGACTGATTGGTCCGACAACTTGAGCAATACAACCAGCAATAGATTGCATGAAGAACAACGCTAACCAACACTGCAAAGGCACGACTGCGATAAATGCCAACCGCAGCCATGACTTGTCAACCTTGATCTCGATCACGATCTCACGCCAACCACTACCAATGGCAGAGACAAGGAGGATGAGAGTGACAGCTGCAAGGATTGCCTGAATGAGAACGACCCTGCGTGGTGACTGGACAGCATTTCCGTCCTCGAGATGGACACCGTTTTGGAGATTGACATCTACCTGCCTAGGCGTTGCACTCGTGGGCGTGCAAGACTCATCTCCCTCAGGGTATTCCTTCCATATCATCTGGATGAGTTGATCTTCAATGTTCTGCACTCTTTGTAGAATGTGGTTCGGATCATCGTCCCAGACGACCAAAGTTGCCGAGTTCTGGATGAAAGCGGCAAACTGGTGGTTCTGACAATATGGTAGGTGCGAGATATCAGGGAGAACCTGTAGTCGGAGGCTGGACTTCAGGGGCACGAAAGATATATTATTATCCTTGAGAAAAAGTTGGATGATTCGTGTATTTACCGTCATTGCGCACTTCTAACAGTAAGCGAAGGTGAGCTGTGCAGGATAAGATAATCACTTACTTTCACATTGAGTTGAAGCACAGCGTCAAAGAACCCCTCTGTATTTGATCGCAGGTCTTCAGGGCAACAGGTATAGTCGCCTTTTGCCCTCTTCAACATAACACCCTCTTCCTCTGCATTTGTTGACCACATCTTCTCGACTTGTTGATGGTGAAGCCAGTTGCACATGATATCCATCTTGAGATCTCGAAGCTCAGGAACAGAATTATTCCGAAAATCCCCATCAGGATATATCCAGGATCGTCCAGTTGAAAACAGCCAGGCGGATCCTGGAGCCAGTGGAGCCTGCGAAGAGGTGGCGGAGCTTGTTTGTACATCAGACCCTCGTGTTGTTGGCCGGCTGGGTGGCAGGGATGAGGTGGACGACGTTGAAGGCATCGTTCGTGGGAAGAACGCCGCTCGAGGTACAAACAGGCTCTCTTACTCGGTGAAGTTTTCGCCAATTCCAAAGGGTGTGAAATGGACAGCTACAGTAGATCTAGTGGACATGTATAAAGATGACATGGAGAACCCAAAGCTTCATTGGAGGGAAACCCTATTTGTGGCCGGGTCTCAACCCTGAGACATTGTGGCGGCCAGCTGGTTGATTTGCGAAGATCAATTGAGACTTCTCTATCTTATTCGTGTTTGGCAGCACTGAGGAGAGCTGTCTGTGACCACAGTGAACCCCCCGCGGCAGAAGCCAGCATAAAATGCTTTAAACAACCTCATTATGAATGGAGAGCCCGGTTGAATAGGGGAGTTCATGGCACGCGGTATTCCTGCTCGAGCACTCAATATGAGGTAGAGCATGGGGAGTGGTCTTGGTCAAGGCTTCGTACCATGGAATGTAATCAGGCATTTGTAGTTGAAAGGTGGAGAGCGGAAGCCACAGTGATAGTCCTTCAACTGTAGTTGCCTCGAACGCTTGGCTGTATATTTTGGGTTCCAGAAGCTGTCTCAGCGTTAGTCTACGAACTCGGACCGGAGACCGGCACGCTACCAGGGTAGATGCGTTCGCTAAAGTAATTGGCGGAGTCTTACTTGTCCAAGTTTCAATTCCAGCTGTACTCGTATTTGCCCAGGGGGATGAAAAGTACTCAATGGAAACAGGTTGGAGAAGAAAGTGTCCAACCGAACTTTTGCTGCTCGAATACAGCCTCGGCGTTATTCATTCTTGTTCGACTAGTAGTAAAGCTTTGGTATTGGGGTAAAACTGAGAATCACGATTTTGAGCGTGTTCGATAAAGCGAATGGATTCTGCTTCTGCCCCCAAGAGCAAGGCGCACTTCTATCTGGTTTCATCATTGCTGTGTCCAGCCTTTGAGCGTCGTTGAATAAGTCTCTGCTCTTCTAGAGTCGAAGTATAGTCGTTTATCTGGAGAGGGCCAGCATCCCATATCAATACCGCCTGAAGAGTTAGGCATTGTTCAGAGTTCTGCTGCTCGGGGCCATCTTTGCTTTCGCCTAGAGAAGGTGTATGTCTCGTGTAACCAATTATATTGACCCAAGAACCTTGATATAAAGCCTGCGGGTCGATGCTTTCAAGGACAAGATTAACGTCGACCCAAATCTGATAGCGGGACTGGACTAGCTTTGGAAAGGCATGTTCAAGGAGGAGACGACCCTCAGCGAGATCGTACCGGACTACACTGTGCAAAGAAGTCAATGAGAACGCGCGCGGAGCAACAGCAAATCTTACCAACCAAGGCACCTCACTTTGGTATCAGAAGGGAGAGAAGATAATTCTGAGATGAAGACAAACCTGCTTGGTGCAGGCGCGCTGGTAGCTGCACCGCTCATGAAGGCAGGGAGTGAGAAACCGGGATGTGCACCACAACGTCAAATATGCTATTGCATCATGTGGGACTAGGAGTATAGTCTGGACTCCCAGGGCAACAACTGGCAGATGAGACTGTTCTAACAGTGCAGAAGGTGGTCGTGGTGACGATGGTACGTGTGGGAGCGTGTAGGCCTCAGGACACGAATAGTAGGCCGCAGTAAGTAACATCTCAATACGTGGCTTGGCACACGTGTGGCCGCTCGGCAAACTTGCCACAGAACGAGGGGCGCTGGCAGTTCCTTCATGGCCGACTGCGAGTGAAGTCCGGCTTGTCGATGTCATGCAGTGCCTCTGCAGTGCCTGGCGATTCTTCCTAGCCAGATCCCACTTCTCTAGGCTCTCGTCAAAGCCACTATCTCATTTCCACTGTGTTCCTATTCTTTCTTAGAGTTCCCAGCTTTTGGACTCTTCTGCGTCGGCCATCATCCTGGTCTATTTCCAGCAGTTCCTGCACGCAGTGGCTAATTGCGCTCTCGGCTGACCACGCGATAGCCTCAACTCCTCTTGGGGTCGCCGCAATCATCATCTACCGCCATTCTTCCTGCATACGATACGCCCACACGCTCGACAGGGCGTATCCTCTGTTATCCTGCCTTGCTACGATTCAATAGGTCTCCCTCTACATCTAGGATACTATGTGGAGTTGGTTTGGCGGGGCAGCCGCTCAACAGCGGAAGGATGCACCAAAAAACGCCATTCTGATGTTGCGGCAACAGCTGGACATGTTACAGAAGAGAGAAAGGCATCTAGAAAGTCAAATGGCAGAGCAAGATGCTTTAGCCCGGAAGAATGTATCAACCAATAAAACCGGTAAGTTTGGACGGTGATATTCTAGACAAACTAGGTCCATGCCCGAGAGATCGATATTACTGACATATCTCTTCCTTGGATAAACAGCTGCCAAAGCTGCTCTGCGTCGCAAGAAGGTCCATGAGCGTACCCTCGAACAAACATCAGCGCAGATCGCTCAAGTTGAACAACAAATTTACTCCATCGAGGCCGCCAATATCAACCAAGAAACCTTGAATGCAATGAAGAATGCCGGAGCCGCAATGAAACAAATACACGGAAATCTCACGATCGACAAAGTCGACCAAACCATGGACGAGTTACGTGAGCAACATGCTCTCGGTGAAGAGATTGCGAATGCTATCACAAACGCTCCTATCGGCGAACCAGTCGATGAAGCCGACTTGGAGGATGAGTTGGAAGGCTTAGAGCAAGAAGCCATGGACGAGAGGATGCTGAAGACCGGGCCTACTCCGGTGACTGGAGAAATCAACAGATTACCCTCCGTATCTACTGGTCCAGGTAAGTCCATGCAGATTGGAGTTGCCCCTGGTACTAATCACTCTATTCCAGTCAAGCAATCCACTGTCGAGGAAGACGAGGAAGAGGAACTTCGCAAGCTGCAAGCCGAGATGGCCGTATAAACCCGATTCCAACCGATAAACCTGCGTTTTCGCCCTCCATCATTTTATCTTTTTAGCAGGACGGTAATTCGTGGATTTTATGAAGGCAATCTCAGAGTTCCATGTGTCCGCGTAGTAGAACGGCGTTCAGAGTGGGCATGGCAAAGCATTTGTCGGCTCTCGGGTTCCATGATATTCCAATGATTAAATCCCAATCAATGAGTTCACACGATACACATAGGTCTTCCCCTGCTAGGCTAGATGATGTTCCTTGAATCCGCTTGGGTTCTGATCGATATGACTCCCGCGATATGTGAGGTGACACATGAGTTATACTCAACCTACCACTGGTACTATATATCCATGGTCTCGTGTATCTATTGGTTCTCTGGCTTTCCGGTTACCCGATGGGCTTTCTTCCCTCTGACAACAATAGATTTGTCGCCATTTACGCACTGGTCCACGCACTTAAGCTCGCGCATAGCAACCTACGGCGGAGTAGGAGGTAATGCCGGAGAGGTTTGTTTGAAACAGAACAGATGGAGAAAATTGTACGTAAGAGCAAGAGCTCGAATGAGTTCAGGTTAGAGGAGATTGCCAATTGTGATAGCTATCTTGGTCTTACGCACGACTAGGGAAGTCATGTCTCTTGCATGCCGAGCTACCGTACTGTGATAAGCTATTGCAGGTTTTTGCCTGGGTTGCAGGTACAAGCCGCGAGCCCTACTTCATATCAGGTGGCGCCTTTCGAAGAGTCCAAAGTCATTCCAAGGCACAAGCGCCTAGGACTTGAATGTCATACTCTTTCCCGCAAGCTCTTTACCCATCTTATTCTGTCTTGCCCCAGTGCTCGTGTCCAGGACCTTCGCAAACGGGTTCATGCGCTTTGCTCCGCTCTCATTATCACCCAGATCCGAGCCAGAAGAATTCAGAAGGGATGCTGCATTAGCATAATCAAATGGTTGATTGGTTCCTTGCCCTAGGGCTTGTGCTTGTGCTTCTGATGCTTTGAGAGCGTGCTTCTCCTCTCTTGCAAGACGTTTACTAGCGCGTCGCGCCTCAATAAAGGAGTCCTCAGGGCGAGCGAAAGATGGTGATGGTGCCGAACTGGATCCAAAAGCCGGCGATCGAGGTGTGCTGGTTATGGAAGTAGGCGTTGCGACACCGTTGAGTCCTCTGGTCCGAACTGCCGGTGTATTGTCTAGTAATGCGTCAGATACCTTGCGCTTTTTTGAACGTGAAAGCTCGCCCAGTGTGAACACCACTGTTTCTTGATTGTCACCTCGTGAGGCATCAACAAGAGTTTGGTTTTGGTCAAGCAAGGGCTGGGGAACAGGCTCGGCAACTTGGTTATCCCCTTCATGTCCTTCATGTAGCGACGCGGTCGGAATGGGTAAGACTGAGGCCAGAGCTACACGCGCACTGCTGACTTCCGGGGAAGGTTGAGGGAACTGTAGAGAAACGTTGCCCCAGAGAACAGAAGTAACGCTTCTAGCAGCCACTGGTTCTTCAACTGGGCAACCCCGGTAGTCCAGTGGCGCCGGGACACCCTCTTGCTTCTTATCAGCAGTCATTTGTTGCAGGGTAGCGGCGACTCCAGACATGGTCGTTTCCTCCTTTCGCCAGGTCAAATGTCTAGGGCGACGAGGTGTCGAACTGACCCCGGGTGCATCTCCGTTCGATTGAGCGAAGAACTCGTACATGGATGGTCCATCTTTGCCTTGCGCCTTGGCCTGTTTTACAACCTCAATAAGCTCGATGACATTGTCCATGACAGGCTTAGTGCTGCCGCCCCTACAGCTTTGACTGAAGCCGTACGGAGAGGTTGGCATGTTTTCCGCAATCTGCCAGATGAAGCGGTTTGGCAGGACATTCTGAATGCCTTCATCTGCATCACGGGCTCTGTTGTCACGCCACGCATGGACAGCGCGAAAGACCGCGAACTGCTCGTTGCTGAATCTGGTGGATCGCTGGTTGAGGAGTGCAAGCCAGCCAGCGGGACCACGGCCAGTTTCGACATCATAAACAGGATTGACGTAAACTTGCAGAGCCACTTTTTGAGACTCCCGCAAGACATACTCCAACATATTGTGTTCAGGCGTCGAGCCTTCAACCAGCATATTACGGAGATGATCATAGATATTCAAGAGAAAGTGTGTGTCCGCCCTAGCATAATCAAGAAGCTCTTGAGGCAAAGGTCGAACACGCCAGTCAGCGAGCTGGAACTGCTTTTGCGCCTCAAAGTTCGCAAATCTTTGGAGGAGATATTTTAAACTCTTTGCTGGGAACTGCAATGCGGTCGAGGCGTAGAACGTGTCGAAGAGGCCGACAACATATAACCCAAGGTCACGCTGCAGCCAGATGATGTCCATACTTGCGCCTTGAAATACCTTGAGGATCTTAGGGTCGGCAAACACCTCATTTAGCATCTGGAGAGATTGGCGCCAGGGCTTCAGCGTATCAATTATCCAGTCCTTGTCTCTTGTGCTGATCTGCATGAGACAGACAATGCCAATGTACGAGTGCTGGTCATGGTGCTCAAGGTCAATGGCAATTTCATCTGCAGATTTCAATTCCTCCAGCATTTTCACAACGCCTTCTTCAGAGTCGACATATGTAGCTTTCGATTCGCTTGGAGATGCGAATGGGATGGGAGGTCGAGTTTCTTTGACAGAGGCAGGGTATGTGTATTCTTCAATCTCTCGTGCGTAAGGGTGATTGTACCTAGACTGTCATCAGAAACCGAAACATCAAAGCAGAGGAAGACTAACCCAGTGTCTGCGTCGCCAACGCAGTCCGAAAGTGGGACTATAGCATGTGGTTTGGTCTTCAACAGTGGTCTGAATGATCCAGTGGCATAATTATCTGGCTTGACCTCGAATGACAACTGGGGCTTTGGCAACGATTGACGGGACCATTGTTGCAAGGGGCGGGGAGAATTTACCGAGCGTGGGGACGGCTGTGGTGTATCTTGCATGGCAGGACTCTGGCGCTTGATTACCCCGGAGAACTCGTCAAGAGCGGAATCCGTCTTCTCTAGAAGATGGTCCACGACATCGATTATCCGACGCCAGCTGTCATCAATGTCATCCTGCTCTTGCAGTGAAGGGGCTTTAATGGCTGTGTCTTTGGTCGCGGCCTTGAGTAGTTTGTTAGTTAGACGCAATAAATGGGCATTTTGACGGTCAAGAGAGCGGGAAAGATTTTCGCTGGCAGACCGATGGAAGCTCAAATCCTGGTTTGCAACCTGGCCAGCGCTTCTGGTCACGTCGACGAGCGAGGCCTGGACCAGGGCTTGAAAAGACTCGAAGTCCGTGCGTAGATCGGGTTCCATAGCAAGGAAAGCTTTTTGCAAGATGGAAGACTCGCTCCTCAAAACTGTGGCTCCCGTGTAAGAGAGAAAGGCCTCCCTTTCGGCCCCAGCGATCTGGAAATCAACAAATCGATGTGAGTTGTGCAGTGAAGCAGGGAAAAAGTCGAAGTGAATCTCCAAATTCAAGAATTATCAATATCCGGCGGAGCATAAACGCCGCAGTTAGCAACGGTGGATCACAAGGTCAACTCTTCTGGGCCATCGCAAATTATCCCCATTGTCCCCTGATGCTTCAAGAATGAAAACTTCAGATACCCTGGCTATCCTTCCAGTAAATGGGTGGTACACTCACAAGCACCGGCTGGGTACACACTCACCAACAATATGCCTCTTGTACCAATTTTCCGCGGCCCCTGGCTGTGGAACACGACCAGACATTGAGCGCCTTGTTCCACATCTTGAATCAATCGTACCACGTCTCCCAATTTCCTATCAAATCTCTCGGAAATTTCTTTCAGTTTATTCCCAGTCGTGTTGGTTATAATGCGGCACTAGACAAAGCCATCTCATGCTTATGCAGTATGCACACGAGATGGCGACTTTGCACTTCCCGAGTCTCCAAACACTCTATACGACTGTATCCTGAAACCCTAAGTCATGTGCGAAATTGCCTGGCCGTACCACAGTTACGTGCCAAGTCAGAGACGATATGTGCATCTATAATTCTGCGGTTGTGCGAGGTAGGTGCAACGCTGCCCTCTGTCCATATCTTGGATTGGGTTGTAACCTTGGCTAGCTCATGTTCAACGATGATCTTGGCGGCTGGAATTTTCTGGTTCGAGGGACGAAGCTGCTCATCCAAGAATGTGATCCCGCAATGTACTCGAATCCGTTTGAGAGGTCGATGCTAGAATCTCAACGTGCTTGGTTTGTAAGACTGATGGCCTCATTGTGTTGAGCCCGTGTTGCTTACCTGTACATGACTCTCAGATTGTGCAAGATCTCAGTGAGGGGCAAGAGTGCTTCCTATCCACTCCTCGTTGGCGTCAACTCCTCAGTGCCGAATATCCTTCCATCGTTGTCGGTGGCCCGCCAGGTCTTCGTCTCCGAGTGGAACTCTGCGAGTTCCTTGTCAAAATTCCAGGATTCATGAAGCAGGCGACAAGGTTACTAACTTGGTTGCAGAACAGAACAAGCGAATTGCCATGCATAGAGATTCTTCATCACATGCTTGCTACGAGGAATGAGATGGATACTTGGTATACCCAAGAGGTTCTGCCACTGTTGCGAGCACAGGTCGGTCCCATGGACCATGCTCCTCTGGGCAGCATGCAACATTCATTTCTAGTATTGCGAGTACACTGACGAACCAGGATCTTCTGCTTACTATCACTGACCCTGTGGCAAATGCAACCATTGCTAAACTCGAAAGGCTTGCACTTCAATTGTTTGGTGTTTTGCCACATAGTGGCAACCTTTTTATCTGCGACATAAAGCCAAGCACCACGACAAAGCGAGTCGCGATGGCTCTTGAAGCTCTCAATCGCGTTCAAGTCACAAATTTTATGGCAGCAAAACCTCTCGAATTTGGCCTTGAACAGCTTGGGTGTACCAAAGGTTGATGGAATCACAATCGATCAATCCTACTAGGTCTAGGACCCCTGTCACCTAGAATTTGTCCGAGAAACGGGCTACTTGAGAAAGAAAATGCAATTTGACCGCATCGACTCAACTCATTTTGGTAAAGCTCCGAAAGCCACTCGATGTGTCGACGTACAAAAGGCATGATTAGGGAAAGCCTTGATTGACCTATAATTGCCAACGATCTCTGCCTTGGGACATGAAACTAGCGGGCCGATAGTTTATTCCACCCCTCGTGAGATCGAACAGCCTTTTACAGCGTTGCGAAAAATAAGGGAGATCGCAAAGCTAAACTTCGTCAAATATTTACATGTTGCTTGCTGAATCTTGCAGTTCATTAATGACGACTCGAACAAGATTGCCTGTGCCCTTTTCACCCGGTGTTCCTGTTATTGAATCCTCCCCTTTCGGCTCGGTGAGCTCGTTTACTGGGGTGGCGATGCTGCTGGAGGTTGTGATGCTCGACTCATCGTCACTTCCGTGCTCAGCGATCTCAAGCTTGGCTCCCCCGATTTCGACCTCAGCTTTTGAGGGGGCCTGATGCAAATCTTGGCGCATTAGATTGGCGAGAGCGTGGCCCAAATCCTCCTCAGGATGCTCACTAAGCTGGGTGCTTCGCCACGCCACAAAATTATCCGGACGAACGAGAACAGCTCCACCCGCGGCAACCTCTTTAAGCTGAGCCCATGAATCTTGATGGTCGAGGTAGAGGCCCTTCGGCTTGGTTAAGTCATTTGCCCTGATCTGAGTCGTGGAAACTTTGACATTAGTCTCCTTTGTGAGTTTTTCGGCAGCCTTGACCCATTTGTCGCCAGTTTCATCCGTTAGAAGCACAAAGTCTGCTCCAGCAGTCTTCATAAGATCATGGGTTGAAACTGCGGTCCCTTCTTGGAGGAGCCAAGCATGCGGAAGGCGGTGGCCCGGACGGGTCGTGGGCTTGTATATCTGGCCTTCAGGATCGGGCACAGGTGCGGTGGTCCCGTCGGAAACCAAGACGCCACAGCTATAGCTGAACCCAAGTTCAATATCATGGGCGCTGTACTCAACATTTTGTGTCTGAAGGACACGACGAAGGTGGTGAAGCGCTGATCGGCCACGTTCACTATCCTCGAAAAGCTGGGCGAAGCGTTGGTCGTTGAACTCTTTCGCACCTGGAATCGCGCCAACGCCTGCACTAAGGACATTCATATTGCTGAAGCTAAAGTAGGCCCAGTCGCTGTTACGAATGCCAACGGGACGCCTTTCTGACTCGTACGTATCGAGTAGTGACGGGTCGGCTTTGTGATCCAGTACAAATGCCAGCTTCCAGGCAATATTTTTGGCATCCTCAATGCCAGTGTTGAGTCCTAATCCCGAGGCTGGTGGTCGTCGATGAGCTGCGTCTCCAGCAATGAAAACCCGGCCAACTCGATACTTATCTGCGACCACCCTATCGAGAACCCAGTGGTTGACATGCATTACCTCCATCTCTAGATCGGGAAGCTTGAGGAGCTGACGAATTCGTGCTGGTAGAGCATCTGTCTCGAAGCGTTTGCTGTCGTTCATTGGAAAACCAAAGGTAAGAACCCATTCTTCCGAATAGCGACCCCATGTTGGACCCATCTGGAGAAGGGCACCACAGTCGAGGTGGGCCATGGACCCGCCCTCTGGGTTGATAAAGTGAGTGATAAGCGTTCTTTCTAGAGGGAACATTAAGCCTGTTAAAAAATGTCGGCGCAAGGGTATATCCTACCGTCCCAGTAATCCGACAAATCAGCCTTGAAGTGGGTGCTCACAAAGTCGATGATTCCCGCCGGCCCCTCCATATTAATACCGAGTTTCAGCGTGGACATCTTTCCACCATCGCAAGCAACGACGTATTGCGCCCGATATCGGGTGAGGGATCCATGTGCATCACTGACGGTGACGATTACAGAATCATCAATCTCTTCGAAATCGTCAACCTTGGCATTAAAGAACACGCCGTTCGGGTTACGGTCCTCGGCGATACCACGAAGGATCGGTTCGAGTCTCAGTAATGGAAGATTTGACGAAGAGACGGGGGAATCTCGTCTTCCCTTTGTGTCAGCCCATGGACAGCAGAGCTACGGCCAAGCTCGAAAGGCTGGCTTGGCTTACTTATACGCTTCAGAAGTTGGTGTGGTCGGGCCTCCGCCAGCAGCATTCATCGTGCTAATTAGTTTGCGGTCAAATGGCCCATCTCCTCCAAGAGTTGTGCGCCACTCGACGCGGCTCATGTTATGGAGGGGTGCAGACTGCGCTGTGACCGCATCCCATATTTCATGTTGACGGAATGTTTCTAGAGTACGTTGATTTAGATAGTGAGCCTTTGGCAGAATGGATGTGGACGGGTGCTTCTCGAACAGCACATGCTTGACTTTGTAATCGGACAAGAAGCAAGATAGTGACAGTCCGACCCCGCCTCCCCCGATGATCACAACGGGAATGTCAATGATTCCAGAGTCCATTTTTTCAAGTTGGACTGTAATACTTAGAAATGAACAGTGCTACTAATCGCCTGCCTTTTTTAATTGCAAAATTGTCTCTGGCGTTGTTGTTTCGACGTATGGATATAATATAGGACTGAGACATTTGTACGTCGCACTGTGCCATGAGCGATCCAACCGGGCTTCATTCCTAGCATTGCACCGGGCACTCCCAATTTGGTAATGGAATCAGGCCATGCATCGAAACCTTGTCAGCTGTCATATGGAATTGAATGATCGAACGTATCTATTTTCCAGTGTGGATGGGTTTCAGCCACCGTGAACAGTGGCTCGGGGGAATGTTTGGTCGCCGGCGGGTGCAAGTATTTCTGCCCCCTTCGGCGCTTTTTCGACCTCATCACAGAGTGGATAGTTTCAAGAAGTTTTATGCTCCGATGAACTTGACTGTCCTTGATCTTGCATTTCAGTGATCTCACAACGAGAGTGGCCTTGAAGCTGGGACTTATCGTTGCCGTGAACCAGTGAACTCATCCGTGCACCCGCTCGTGGCAGCGACTGGCCGGAAATGGCTCAATCGAGTTCATGATATACTCGCGCACGAGCCTCAGACTGTCGCACTGCCTATACTAACAATTGCTCTTGATTCTGTAGCCATTTCCGTGGATTAAACGTTGAGTGTTGTTGGTCACTAGAGTACACTGGTGACAAGCCACCAGCAGGTATCTGGATATGCATCATTACCAAGCACTTTACTAGCTGGCAAGGAGAGTTAAGACATGAATGACCATTGGAAGAGCGCATAGGCATCCAGAAACAGGAGTGATGCATGCATGTATGAGCGATTTCATTACACAATGCTTGCTACCTGATATGATAGAATTCCCAGGCCACGAAACAAACTCAATCCCCGTCACCGAAGTATTCGTCTAGTAAATCCTTCAAAACCGAACTTTGAGTTAGTCTGTAGGCCTCTTGGACATATTCTTTCTCCAACGAGAACCGCTCTGCCATAACATTAGGAACAAACTTCCCTACTAGCTTGTTAGGTTGTATGTTGCTCTCATGAATGCGCTTCTGCAGGAATTTGCGGTAGGAGTGCACCCCACTTCGTAAATGTGATGAGTGGAAGGGCACATCGATCCCTTGAAGCGGAATGGTTGCGGTGCCACGTTCCAATTGAATTGGCTTGGGCAATTGGCTCACCTGATTCACACAACTCGCGATGTAGTCGTGGAGTTCACCCGACGTAATGGTTTCCACCCGCAGAGCTTCGGCAACCAAGACATTCGCTCTAGGGTATGTAGCGAGGTGATCCAGGACCATCGAAAGAGCATGAAGGTTTTTGTTCTGAAGGAAACTATCATCAGTCAAATATGGTTGGTGAGCGGTAGCAAGAACTTACAGTCCCTGCACACACATATTGTTCGCCTTCCACGTTGAAGTTGACAATTTCCAGTAACTCCTTGCTCTGGCATGAGATCATGCGGACAACAGAGTCTAAGGTCGCTTGGTTGAAGCCTGTGTGCTGGTGAGAACTTGAGAATGCAAGAAAGCCAATAGTGTATCTTTACCTTTGCCCACGCGTTTAGGATTTGCCGCAACCATGGAATACCCAGTCTCGCCATTCTCTTCCCTTTCCATAGCTAATTGCATGCTAAGGCCACGGTAAAAGACCACGTCCATGAGATCATTCATCGGCAAGAAACCAGAAAATGCTGATAGTGATCCGTATTCCCCCAGGGAATGACCCGCGTAAGTGGCACTGTCCTGGATAAAGCCCTTTGCTCGCATATCCTCGAAAGTTGCTTTTTGCTGAACAAGAATTGCACACTGGGCGAACTGTGTTGAAAAGAGGAGGCCTCGTGGCTCAGAAAATGAGAAAGACCTTGTTGTAGGACTCAAACCTGGCAAGGCGGGTTTCGTAGCTGAGCACCCATCTAGCAGAACCGTCTCAACTTGCATGCCCATGTAGTTCTCCCTGATCCTACGACCCCGCTTTCCACCGAAGTGGATCGTGAGGGTTTTAGGATTATTTCGAACAACGTCGAGAACAGACCATCCTAGCCATGAACGACGTCAGTAAACTCGGGGAATTATTCGCCAGTGTGCAGGGACGTTGCTGAACATACCATATGAATCCATAAGATACCTGTCCGCAGAATCCCAGATTGCTTTCGCAACGGGGCTGCTGTCATAGAGATCCATCCCCATACCTTTTGCCTGGCTTCCTTGGCCAGTAAAAATATAAGCTGTTTTCGCCTGCTCGACCTCTGCTTCCGCTTCGAGCACAATCTCATCAGTATCTTGTTTGTATGCAGAAATTTCTATGCGCATTTTGCCCTCGATCATTCCTACGTGCTTTAACTTTACGTTGATTTTGTCTTTGGGTAGCACCATGCCGGTGAACGTTACTGAATACCGGCGGAGACGTTCTGGGTTCCCGTTTGCAGTGATATGCTCTAGTACACTTGCAGTGAGGGCTGAGGTGTACATACCATGAGTGATGGTGCCTGGCAACCCGGCGAAGTCTGCAAATATTTGTGAAACATGAATAGGATTATAGTCCTTCGAGATTCTTGCGTACCTCTCGTTGCTGTTCGGGATCTGCACCTGAACGGTCCTGTCGTCCGACCATCCAGCATGCGGAAGCTCACTCTGCGCGCTCTTTGAGGCTGCTTTGCGCGTCAAGAAGTCCATGACTGGGTTTCCTACGCAATCAGTGTCGTGAAAGTCAACCTTTCCAATCTCTCGACTGTCGGTATCTGATCGTCGAGCAATCACTGTACCGGTAACGGCGAGATCTTTAAACATGTTTTGTTCTTTCCATGTAACAAACGACTCCAGTCGGAAGAGCAAAGTCGCACCGAGGAGGGAGCAAGTCGACTCATGCGGTTGAAACCACTCTCTGTCGAAAAGGATGGCTTCGTCTTGTCGTGATGCGATTTTCACTTCCATAACTTGTTCCTTCTGTTGGCGAAAGGTTGAGCCAAAAGTGTTGAACCTTCCCTTGAATAGAAATTTCGACCTCACGATCATGACCCGCTGCCCTGAGCGAAGGATCTCTGCTTCAACCGTGACGTATTTGCCAGCATCTTCAATATAAATGGCTTGGACTTGCGACCTTGCACAGACGACGTCGCCAATATGGAGTGGCGATGCCTCGTCGCAATAGTAAAATTTGTTCGAATGATGGACCAGGCAAAGCAAGTCACCATCGATATCCCTCAAAACAAGAGGTCTTGAAATTACGTCCCATGCAATGACAATACCAAAGCCTATTGGGAAAACCTCAGAGTTACCGTACATCATTGTACCATTTGAGTCTGATTGAGCCACAGTGGACACGTAGTCCTGGTACATCTCCTTCGTCAGTACCATCTCCTTCCCCCAGAAGATGGACTGTACTGTAGACTTTGTGTCGAGATCTTCATTGAACCATAATTTACTATAGAACTTCTTGATCCGAAGATTGCGATCCTCCATGGATTCACTGAAAGTACACGGGCTCGCTCCTGGCTGCAGACAAAATTCCAAGGGAAGCGTAATAACGTCACTGTGGTGTGGGTTTGGGAGGCGGAGCTCGACAACCAGCCTGTTGTTATTGTAGCAGGAGATCTCGGCGAGAACTTCGCCGACAGGGCTACTATCTTTCTCAAGGACAACTTTGCCACCTTCTCTGTCGATTGATAGAGAGGTTCCATCGCGAGGATCTAGGATTCGACGAAGAGGACTTGGTGCGTAATGCCCGTTCCGAATGATGTGGTCAGACTGAAAGAGTGCTCGAAGGAGTGTCGATGAGTTGCTGCATCTTCCTGCTAAGAATGAGGGAGGGAAGTAGCTGACAGCCTCGATAGAAGATTGTAGTTGCTGAGGAAGAACGGGACTCTTGCACGAGAACGGAGTGTTTTCCATGGATGTGGGCAGACTTGCAGGAGATGCATTTGTCCAAGAATCTGGCGTCAAGCTACCACTTTGGCTCATGCTCTCTTCACCAGACATCATGATAATCGACGTATCAAATTGCTCAGATAAAAGCATGTCGATGTGGGATTTGGCAATGGTATCCAGGATAAACTTCGCCGGCTCGTCACAATTTTGAGAGTGTCGTGCCGCGACAGGGCCGTGTAAAATGCAGACCCTGTCGGCATCTTGGTCGACTACTGCTTCCACGTCTTCTGATTGCCATAATGAGTCCTTCTTAAAGTAATACTCAAAGCTGTCGTCCAAAATAGGGATGAAGTTGACAGGCTTCTGCCCGCGTGCCTTGCATCGATGGAGAAAGAATGTAGAGTCTTCAGGATTCAAGACGGTTGTCAATGCGTCGGGGCACGAGAGACGAAATTTATCCAGAAAGCTTTGCGGGTCAAGCAGCGCTGTCTCCGATATTTCAATCCTGCTGCATAGGGGCAGTCGTTGCACAGCTCGGCACGCAAAGTTGTAGACAAAGCTGGCGTACGATGGATGGATCCAGCGAGATTGATGGGAGACGTACATTAGACTTATCATTCTCTCCAGAACTTCCATGTACGTCATGGCTGATAGGTCTGTGACCTCTCCGTCCGATGTCTTTCCAAACCACGGCTTTGCGAAGTCGGCGTTGAGCTTTTGGATGATAGAGTCCTTGCTTTGAAGCAGTTTCTGCACACGCTCACTTCGGGGGAGACTAAATATTGTTCGATCCAGCTCACTCCATAGCATCACACCTCTGTTCGCGATTTTATGAATAGGTTGGCCCATTTCTGACCGAACAGTAATGATCCCACCTGCAGGACCCTTGTACGTCTTCTCCCAGTCGGAGTCGGAGATGCCTGGGGTTTGACAGATGAGTTTGCGAGTAGCAGAGGATGTATGAGCTTCTCGCGCAACCATCATACGACTCCCAAGTAAAATTCCGTCGAAAGGCATCAGCGCATGGCCAAACCGGGATGCCCATCGTCCAGTCAGGTATGGATATGTGTCGTCAGCGGCACCAAAACCGCTCCCAGCAACTAGAATGATATTACTCTGGCTTCGTATCATCCCGTAGAGCTTCAAGATAGGTGCATAAAAATCTTCATAGGAGTGGTGGCCACCTCCGCGACCTCCAGTCCACTGTAGAATAATGGGGTAATGCGGATGGGCTTTGGCGATCTCGACTACGTCCTTGATCGCTGCAGGAGAGCCAGGTTTAAACGCGATGTGCTTTATCCCAAGCGTGCTAATGTAATCAGCGACGACATCCGCAGATGGAACACCTGCTCCGATGGTTAGACCGTGAATTGCAATACCTCTTCGGGCTAGCTTCCGCAAGGTCGCAACTTGCCATGCCATAGTGTGTGGGCTAGCATAAATCAAGTTGCAGGTTATGCCTCTGCCCGCAGGAAGACTTTCCGCCAGCTGCTCAATTGCAGATGTCATGGCCTTCTCATCGTAGAAGCCACCAGCAGCCAGCTCAACATGATAGCCAGCATTCATGATGGCTGACACGAAGTCCCAGTGACTCGTTGTTGGCGTCATGCCAGCAACGATGACCGGAGGGCACCCTAGTAGCTGGGTGAGCTTAGTCTGAATTGACCATTCACCAATGTGAGATCGAGTCAGCCGGGGCTGAAATTGCTGACCCCAGGCGAGGATAGGTGCAGAAGATGCTAGCAAGGTGGAGGAATAGAGATCGATCGCAGTGCCAGCATCTTTCTCCCGGGATCCAATGCTGGTCATATCGATGACTCTTACGCCTTCCCCATCCTTGAGTTTCATCACCAACTCACTGACACCACTGTCAAATGCCAGGATTTGCGTAGCCCCAGGAAATTTCAATGCGGAGGGCCATCGGCATTCGTCACAGGCAACAGCATCCACTAAAGTTTCCAAGACATTTGGTGCATGGCTATTCCTTAGATCTTGCGCAGTTTTGCTGTGATAGACTGGGATTCTCAAGTTTTCCTTCAAGAGTAGTTTGCCAACGAGCCGAAGCTTGACCATCTCGGCAGCACTCTTCAAATAAGTTGTGTGGAATGGTACACTTATAGGCAAGAACTGGTGTTGGATGACAGGCTTCCGGCTGCTGAATGGTACTTGAGTCTGATCTACTCCATCTTTTGCTTTAAGTGCCCGTAGATGCGAGCTTAAGTGAACCAGGGGCTTCATAGGGCCAGCCACGACGTAGTTATCCCTGGCGTTTTCCAGTGCTAGATGTAGCTGTTCCTTATGGGCCAAATTCTTGTTGAAATTGACAAGCAGATTCTCGATACGCAGACGATCCAGTCCGCGCACGCTCAACATGAACGAAGGTTGACCCTCGTTGTTCTCAAGGCAGTCGTTTACAAGAGTTGCAGACACAGAGGATTGAGGCCTAGCTTGATGGCTGTAGAAGCCAAGCCAAAACAAGAGTTCAATTGTGACTTTGCAAACCTGGTAGAACGAGTCCCATGAATCAGCCATCGAGATCGCGGCTGCAATCACTAGACCTTGGGAGTGTCCGGTTGTGCCTCTGAAATGTGATCGAAGCTCGCCAGGAGTCATCCCAAGAGCTTTACAAGCAACACAGTAGTGAGCTAGACTCAGAAGGCCGGCGATGGGCATGCTGACTGGGGCTTGCGAAATAAAGTCCGTATCGGGTATACTTCCAGATTCTTGAAGCCAGCTACTCAGATCGATATAGCGCCCGCAATAATGGTCGTCTGCTTCAGGCAGGCGGCAAAGCTCTGAGAGCAACGGTGTGGCAATTTCATTTACGAGTTCCGACAGCAGAGGTTTGTAGGTCGAGAAAAGTATTGTCAGTGATGAAACACACTTTGGGTTATTTGTGCTTTGTCCTCCAAAAATGGCATATAAATTTGCTTGTTGGCTTTCTGCAAGATGTAGCAAGGCACTGTGCTGTGCCTTGATCGTTTCGCATCTGGATAGGGCGTCATAATAGGTTCGAAGAAGGTCTCGGTGAACACTTGAAGTGACAGGGAGAGCGCAGATGGCCGAGTGAACGTCAGTCCCCTTCAGGAATTCTTGCTCGAACGCCCAGACCAATGATTGTATGATGGAGGAACGAGCGTTGTTGTCGATAAGAAAGCCTAAAAACGAGAGCACAAGCTCCTCAGCTGTTGATGGTTCCACGGCATCTGATCGAGGCTGGTGAGACAGGGAATGAAGAAACAAATCTCTTTGCCATCTGACTTCTGCAACGTACGCAACATCAATGAGCAATACGTGTCTCAAGTCTTTGAAGAGCATGGGAAGTGGCACCATGTCCATTGCTGCAAAAAGCCTTTTCTGTGGATGGACAGGTGGGTCTTGGATCTTAATCATCTTGTCGATAATTGAAACATCGGTACAGAGGTCTAAAGGTGTCGTTGATAAGGAGGTCAATGAGCGAGCTATAGAGACAACAGGAGAAGCGGTGACACTCCAGAATGATTTGTTGCAATGTTCCGCCTAGACGGAGTTTTCTATAGATCTCAACCTAGAAGCAGACTGTCAGTCTTGCAGTCGAACCTCGGCGGTTATATCGGAATGGATACATGTGGGTGCATTTTTGGCTTATCCACTGTCGGGCCATTTTTGTATATCTAGTTAGGAGAACAGGTAGATACCTCATTGGCCTTCTTATTAACGCCGATGTCTCCTCCGACCATGCGGTGCATTTTCTAATGAAAGCAGGTGCATTTTTGCACACAGTGGTGGCTGATTTGGCACGACCCCTGCACAACGGCGATGCGTTCGTGTAGGATTTCGGTAGCAAGACCGACTTTCTCAAGAGCTATACAAGATCCTCTTGTTCCTGAGCGAAATCTGTATCACCAGTACTTCCGATTTCGCCCAGAAACTGGAGCGCTGGTGCCGATTGGGATCATCATGCTAGCGTCTAAAAGGTACCTGAGGGCAATTCGAGCTGACGGAACTCTCTAGAGACACTTTGTAAGAGACAATGTCATGCGCAAGGCCATAGAGAAATGGCCTCTACGTGCAGACTCGTGCGGTTGCATTGTCCCACTGGCTCTCAATTAATACCTAGTAACATGAGTGTGCGACGCGTCATTGGGGGTGTAAAACCATATCTTAATTGGTTTGGACTTTCTAGCAAAGGTAGATAGGTGGTTGTTACACTTATGTCAACATTCAGCAGGAGCCAGCTGGTATGTTAGAGCTAGCTATGGTATCGTCCACTCCACAGAACGCACGAGAGCAAACCAGTTGCTCGTAGCCTCGTAGGTACGAGTACCTCCTCGCTTCAGGAATCCAGATACCTTCGTGCCAAGACAGCCCAAGTTGAAACAGCGTTCTTGGCAACCTTAATTAGCAATCAAGGCAGGTAATTAAATGCCAAGCTAGACTCGATGTTTTGCCATCCGAGCTTACTGAGGCATCCATGCGAGAGTAGTTGATCATGCATTTACACTTCCGCAAACCATTCCTTGACATCATGATGGCTTGAGACGGCTTCGGACTCTATCTGGAGGCATGGAGATACAGCTCTCACACTGGTCATCTCATGATGGTTGACCGATACCTTGGGCCCGGTGCATTTCTGACAACCACGTCTAAGCTTGTCCATCTAATCCTCCGAGCACCATCGCCGGCAGACTCAGCTCCGCCGGAATGGACCTGTGGTCGCCTTATGCGGCCTCGATCACTACTGAATGGGAGGATGTCAAGACTGGATCAATGCTGCAAAGTGCATCCTTCCCTCCCATCGAGTCCCGACGCTATATGAAGGAAACGGTAATGCCACTTATAGACTAACACCATTATCAATTTGCTTGACGTTATATAAAAATATGTTGAAGTGGCTTGTTATTGTTACTCTCGGATCCTTGTTCAGAAACCAGCAAAGATCATCGAAGAAAGCCCAGCCGTGATATCCTACTACCGGCTACCATGGCTCTGATCACTGGTGTGGAGATAGCCCCAGGTGGCAATGTGGACAGTGCCGAAAGAAGGAACCAGACCTTGGCCTGCAAGATTTTGATTGAGCTCCTTTCGTGGGTTTTATTGAAATCACATGAGTGAGACATCTAACTAAATGCTCCTCCAGATATCAGTTTGCCTCTCCAGTGCGATGGTACGTACATTTCCAGACCAAGTTAGTCCTCAACTAAATCTGGGAAAGGATCGAAACACAGAAGGAATTTCTCCATGAGAGAAACGGAATCGAGCGATATGTCGAGATCGGCCCAGCAAAGATCCTAGCGACCATGATTCAGAAGAGCGCTTCGAAATGTTATGCGCCTCACACAAAATCTCGCTGGTCCCATTTTAAATTCTTATCTTCCACGGAAAACAAGAATGAAGTCTATTACGAATATCCAGAAGCAACGGAAAATGCTGTTTCATCCCATCCCGCTGCCGACGAGGGTAGCAAGGGGGATGCTGTCAGCGTCGCCCTCAAAGTCGAGGTCCAAAGCTCTGCTCAGAAAGTGCTAGACGCACAGTTTAGTGAAGTGGTTCCCGTAGCTACGCCCGCAGCCGCCGTGGCCGATGCCTCACTCAGTGCGGCTCACGTTGTTCTAGCAATAACAGCGCAGAAACTAAAGCGGCCCTTTGACCATGTGCCAACCCAGAAAACTATTCGAGAATTGTCAGGAGGTATGTACGAAGCTGGATCTCCAGTGAACTCATATTGACGAGCCCTAAATAGGCAAATCAACCCTTCAGAATGAACTCATTGGTGATTTGGGTGCAGAATTTGGCAGTGTTCCAGATGGTGCAGAAGACTTGAGTTTAGAGGCTCTCGGCGAGGCTCTGCAGCCTGTATTCTCGGGGAAGCCTGGAAAACAGCTTTCTGCCATGGTCTCAAAGTTCATCTCTGGGAAAATGCCTGCCGGCTTTACGCAAGTAGCAGTGCTGAGTCATCTTCAAGATACCTGGGGACTCAGCAACACTCATTCACTCATCCCAATTGTCTTGGCTGTCACAATAGAACCGCCCTCTCGTCTCCCAGATATTGCCTCTGCAAAGGAATTTTTCGGCGCTCAAACGCTCCGATGGGCGTCCTATTCAGGTTTAACCATCTCTCCATTGAGCGCACAGACTTCAGCTGTTGCTGTCCATGCTCCTGTAACGGTCGATTCAGCAGGCCTTGAACTCGTCCGAAAGGAACAAAAAGAATATCATTTGAAGCAGTACAAACTTTTGGCGAAGTTCCTTCAAATTAATCCTGATCTGGATCAAGAAAGAATTCAAGAGCTGATGGCTTCCGAGACTATACTAAAAGAAAAGTTGGAACAGTGGACCAAAGAGTTTGACGACCATTTCTTCGATGGAATTCAGCCTTTGTTCGATATCCGCAAAATCCGCACGTACGACTCATGGTGGAACTGGGCAAGGGAAGATTTGCTCAGATTACTGAACGATTATGCACAGGAGCAGCCCAATATGGACAATCTCGGCAACCTTGAAAGCGTGCAGGTGCTCCTGAGTAGGTTCGAACCAAGTTGCCTGGATATCATCCAAAATTCGTCTGACTACCTCAATCTACGTGGATCTCTTGGGGTTGCCAAGGAAATCGCTAGACTCGGTCTTCAAGCTATGGACATGGATCCAGTCTTCAGATACACTCAATCTACCATGGCACCCAAAACCATCGTGAGTGGCGCAGGTGACATCGAATATTGCGAAGTACCCCGAAGAACTACAAATTACAGTGCGTTAGTGGAACACGGGCGTATGACGCCAAAGGGCGACCACATCCCTTTTGTCCATCTCCGCAAGCGCAATAATGAACAGGTTTGGGGATATGATCCAGAGTCTACCAGAATTTTCCTATCAGGTCTACGTACTGGTACAACTTCAGGCATCACATTTGCTGGCAAGACAGTTTTGGTCATTGGTGCGGGTCCAAACTCAATCGGTGCTGAAGTTGTCCGAGGCCTCTTGTGTGGAGGTGCTCAGGTCATCGTGACAACAAGTCGCGCTGTTTCAAAGGCAGCCAAGTACTACCAGGACTTGTATCGCAGACATGGTGCCCGGGGGTCCGCCCTGTCGATTTTTCCCTTCAACCAAGCTAGCAAAAGAGACTGTGAAGCAGTGATTGATCACGTTTACAGCCCTGGTTCAATGAGCGGCGATAATCTCGACTATATCATCCCCTTTGCAGCAATCCCGGAAAGTGGCGCGATTGATGCTCTGGACAGTAAATCAGAGCTAGCACACCGTGCGATGCTGACCAATGTGCTTCGAGTCCTTGGCTACCTTTGCAAACAGAAGGAAGCACGGGGTCTCGACACCCAGCCAACCACTGCCATCTTGCCTCTCTCTCCAAATCATGGTACATTCGGAGGAGACGGCATGTATGCTGAATCCAAACTCGGCTTGGAAACCTTATTCAATCGCTTCTATTCTGAGAGTTGGTCTGCCTACCTCAACATCTGCGGGACGGTAATTGGTTGGACCAGGGGTACAGGTCTTATGTCCGCGAACAACATTGTTGCTGAGGCCATTGAAAGCCATGAAGTGATCACCTTCTCACAGGCTGAGATGGCCTTCAATATACTCGCATTAATGACTCCGGCTATTGCAACCTTGTGTGAAGACCATCCTGTGTACGCTGATCTCAATGGCGGCTTACAATTTGTGCAAAACCTCAAACAAGAAATCGTTACCGCCAGACAAGGCGTTTCAGATGCCAGTCAACTTCAAAAGGCATTGCTTGCTGAGCGTCTTCGACACCTGACAGTTCTTAGAGGCTCTTCAGAGCCGCAAACAGAGCCTAAACCGATGAATCTTGCTACTAAGCTTGCAAACATGAATATCGGTTTCCCTACGCTTTCCGATTATGGAGACCTTACCAGAGACATAAAAAATCTCTCTGGTATGCTTGACCTCTCGAGGGTGGTCGTTGTAGTCGGCTACTCGGAACTTGGCCCCTGGGGTAGCGCTAGGACTCGATGGGAGATGGAACATCAAAATGAACTCTCACTGGAAGGCTACGTCGAACTTGCCTGGGTCATGGGTCTGGTGAAGCGCAAAGATGGCGAGCTGAAGGGCCAACCGTACACTGGTTGGGTTGACAGCAAAACCCAGGAGCCAGTGGAGGATGCTGACTTCAAGAAACGGTACCACGATGAAATTATGAATCATTCTGGACTTCGATTCATTGAGTCCGAGTCTCTTGGAGGTTATGAACCCACTAGGAAGGAGCTTCTCCATGAAGTCGTTGTCGAGGACGACCTTCCGCCATTCGAATGTTCTAGAGCGACGGCTGAGGCCTTCAAGCTAAGATTTCAAGATAAAGTGAGGATCGAACCAATTCCTGAGAGTGACGACTACAAAGTGCAAATAAAGAAAAGTGCACATTTTCTTGTCCCAAAAGCGTCTTCATTCGACCGTGAGATTGCTGGACAACTCCCGAAAGGTTGGAGTGCAAAATCGTATGGCATTCCAGAAGACATTATCCAACAGACGGATCCAACCACGCTGTACGCTCTTTGCTGTGTTTCTGAAGCATTATTGTCCGCTGGTATCCAGGATCCTTATGAATTCTATAAGCATATTCACGTCTCTGAGTTGGCTAATTGCATTGGTACTGGTGCAGGTCCTTTGTTGGCAATGAGAGGAGTCTATCGAGACAGATACCTCGATCGACCTGTCCAAAGCGATATTCTCCAGGAGTCATTTCTAAACACAATTGGTGCGTGGATTAACATGCTCATATTGTCTTCTACTGGCCCTATCAAATCGCCTGTTGGAGCATGTGCAACCGCGATCGAATCTCTCGATATTGGATGTGAGGCAATTCAAGGGGGTAAGTGCAAGGTAGCACTAGTGGGCGGGTGTGACGACTTCCAAGAGGAGATGTCCTTCGAATTTGCTAAAATGAAAGCCACCGCTAACAGCGACGAAGAGTTTGACCGTGGCAGGACACCAAGGGAAATGTCTCGACCAAGTGCTGCTTCGAGGGGTGGCTTTGTCGAGTCAGCAGGATGTGGGGTACAGATACTGATGAGCGCAGAATTGGCTCTCCAAATTGGTCTTCCAATTTATGGAGTTGTCGCGTACACGCAAATGGCTGGTGACAAAATTGGACGCTCCGTACCTGCACCTGGAAAGGGCATCTTGACAGCAGCAAAAGAGGTACTCAGCCACGGAGACTCGCACTTACTTGACGTTGAGTTTCGCAGGCAGCAACTTGAGCAGAGCTTTGAGCTCATCAAGGTTTGGAGAGATTCTCAAGTCGAGAAAGCCAAAAATCATCCCGATTGGTCTCAAAGTATGGTCCAAGAAATCGAAACTGCGGCCGCCACCAAGGCCAGATCAGCTAAACGAACGTGGGGCAACGATATCCGTCTTCAGGATCCAAAAATAGCGCCTATCAAAGCAGCGTTGGCCACCTGGGGTTTGGTGATCGATGATATAGCTGTCGCATCCATGCATGGCACATCCACCAAAGCAAATGATACAAACGAGGCTGATGTTATCAGTACTCAGTTGGCTCATCTTGGACGCACAAGAGGCAACCCTATTCTAGCTGTGTGTCAAAAGTCTCTGACCGGACATCCCAAAGGCGCAGCTGGTGCGTGGCAATTGAATGGTTGTATGCAGATGCTACAAACAGGAATAGTTCCAGGAAACAGAAATCTTGATAATGTCGAACGCAACTTACGACAGTACGAACACATCGTATATCCCATGGAATCCTTCCGGCCAAGGAACCTTAGAGCCACCATGCTCACATCATTTGGATTTGGACAGAAGAGTGGGCTTGCGATTTGTGTCGCGCCAAAATACCTGTTTTCGGCCATCGGCAAAGAAGCATTTGACGACTACCGGCCCCGAGTCACCATGCGACAACGCTCTGGCAATGTCGCGTTTCAAAAAGCCTTGATGACTAATTCCCTATTCAAGGCCAAGGAGAGTTCGCCATGGGATGGCCCAGAAGGAAGACTAAAGGAAGTACTTCTCAATCCCAAAGCCCGTGTCTCAAGCGACGAAGCCTCAGAGACCTTAGCTTTTAGGGAAGCGGACACAAGTTCGCACGGATCTTCCTCTGCGGCGACTCCTCGTGACGAAGTAGAGCAGGAGATGTTACTCTTCAGCTCAGTCCAAACCATGTTGCGGGCATCATCCATATCTGACCAGACATCGGTCGGCATCGATGTTGAGAATATCTCCGACATACCCGTTGACAATGAAAATTTCATCAATCGCAATTTCACCACCCTAGAGCGCGATATATGCAGCTCAAAGCCCGATGTTCGAGCTTCGTTCGCCGGCGGTTGGTGTGCAAAGGAAGCCATCTTCAAGAGTCTCAAAATACCCTCGCTCGGGGCTGGAGCTGCCATGGATGGAATTGAGATTGTTCGTGATACACACGGGGTTCCCAAGGTTGAGGTAAGTCAAGACTAATGATCTTAAACAAACTACATTGAGATCTGACACTTACGGTTCAACAGCTTCATGGTAGAGTTAAACAGGTCGCAGAGGCCCAAGGTGTCAAAAATATTAATGTCAGCATTACTCACTCTGGGGGCATGGCGACTGCGATTGCTCTTACATCAAAATCTCCATGACGCAGGCGCAAATTGCTTTCCTTGAACTACTAGAGGGTGTTATGACCAATTCGTCTAAGTGAAGTGAAATTATTTAAACTTCAGAAACACTGAGCAGAATTATAACTCTTCCAACTCTGTTCCAATTCATTTCACATTCTTTCCCGATTTAACAAGCTTGACGCTCTTTGGTACAAGGTCAAGGATCAGAATGCACTTCAAACAATTCCAACGTGCTCTTTTCATTTAGTTGTTAGTAATTTGATCTTCTGCTAGAGATCCTTCACTAATGATACTTATATGATCTTACTCTTCCTCCTCAATCGAGTGCATGGCTTCTGTCAATGCTGCAAGGTTAATAATCAACAGCGAGGTAATCTGGATAGTCCAAACTAAGCCGAAATACTCCCAAAAGAACGTGACACAATGCCAATACAATGCGGCGACTTAATCACATGTCAAGATCAGCTCCAGGTAACTGTGGAGACAGCCGGCTGCAAGCCGCAAGGTAGTCCTATCAAGAAGTTCAGGCAGACGCTTCAAGTTCACTAACGCTCTACGGGTTCCTTTCACAAGGGTATATCTACCCTTTAAATTTTGAACCACCCAGACCACGAGGCTGTCTCACTATCGCCCTGGCAGCCATTAAAGATCGGTCAAGAGAAGCAGTTCGTAGAATGACGTGTCCCGCTCAATGATATTGTGACATTATGTGCACATTACCCAAAGTTCATTTGGAGAGGGAATTTTGATGTTTCTCAATCTCAGGGTATAGCACGATGTTCCTTGTTTATTCTGAAAGCTTTATGATCTATCAACGATACTAATTTCTACGGATGCTACCAATATATGCCTGAATACTACCTAGCAAATGCAGGACATTCTAACCATATGAGCAGGAGATTTGATCTAGTATCCCCTTGCGATGAAGTAAGCCGACATTGTTCGATGCGCGAGAAACAATCTAGTGTCATCGTCGATCCAATATCTTCTCGTTGCTCTCGCCTGCAGGTTTCAGGTATCCTGCCTCCTTTTCAATGGCCGGTTTCCAGTATTCGGCTTTCAGCACCGAACCCCTCTTTGTATCAATTTTCTTCTCCATCGTGATTTCGCTCTGGTTTTCAATGAGCAAGGAATCGGGAGACTGCTCTATTGGTCCGGCCAGTTCGGCATCTCTGATAGCCTTCACCTCGGTCCCTTCTTTGATGTTCCTCCACTCCATGATCAGTGCTGGCAGAATGCTGGCGGCACTCAATGCAACCGAGACAAAGAGGCACCGAGTCACACTGCTGTTGAAGGCCGTTTGAACCTCAGGAATGAGCGGTGGTGGAACTATCTCTTTCAGTTTGAGTACACCGGTGTTTCCAAGGTTTGCAGCGTTGAGACCTGGGATCGCAGATATCTTCTTGTTAAGCATCCCCTCGAATATAGTCTGCGCAACTGGGACAAAAATGGCACCGCCAAGATTTTGCCCGAAAAAATTCAAGGCCATGCCAATGCTGATGTCGCTTCTTTCCAGCACAGTCTGAGCAGCCATGCTGGTGGTTTGCATGGCCATGCCTGTTCCGAAGCCATATAGGACTTGGTAGCCAATCCACTTAGAACTGATTGTTGTCGTCTTCAACTCCGTAAGAAGTGCGGCTCCCACTGTGGTGAGCACAGGTGAAGTCAGAATGGGCGGCATATAGTAGCCCACACGTTGAGTGAACCCACCCGCAATAATACTCATAACCACAAGGCTTATGACTAGCGGCAACATGCTCACGCCGGCATGAGTAGCTGTTTCAGACCTGACAGCTTCAAACCAGATGGGCAGAAAATACACAATGGTAAAGAGACTGCCATTCAGTAAGAAGAGGAATATAACGCCACCTAGCACCGATCTTTGTTTGACAATACGCATCGGGACGGTGGCGTTGTGAGGCAGGAGAACTTGGAGAACCCAAAACCCTACAAAGAGAATGCCGCTCGCCACCAGAAGGCCGATGACTTTCGAATCCGACCAAGCATACTTGGTGCCGCCCCACTGTAGTCCCAGAACTAAGCACACAATACTGGGCACGAAGACGAGTGTCGCAATTGGGTCGAGTCGGACAAGATGCTGGATCAGGGTAAGCTGTTCAGTAGGCTGGGTTTTGATATGGAGGAATAAAATGATCGACATGATTGTGAATGCACCGACGGGCAGATTGATGTAGAAGCACCATCTCCAGGAAAGGTGGTCGGTGAATACTCCACCTAAGAACGGCCCCAAGAGAGAAGCAATGCCAAAAACTGCCCCGAAAAAGCCATAGTACACCGGGCGCTTGTGAAGGGGAATCAGAGGCACTATTACCATCATCCCTCCAGTAAAAATTCCCGCCGATCCAAGACCGGCGATAGCACGGCCAATGATCAACGCAACGGAGGTTGGGGCGGCACCACAGATGGCTGATCCCACTTCGAAGCAGACGATCGAGCCCAAGAATACTGTTTTGATCGAGTAGTGTCTATAGATCTTTCCGAACATTAGGCTGAAGGCAGCCCCAGTAATCATGTAGGCACTACCATACCAGCCAACATCACCAATTGAGTTGAACGTATCCGTAATCTCCGGGATGGCCACAGAAATGATTGTACGATCCTAAAATGAATAATTTCCAACGTTAGTGTTGTTAATTGGGTGACTTAGTGGTGACTTTTTCTGCTAACCAAAGCCACGAGAAATATTGCGAGGTACAAGCCTAACATGACCACATGGAACTTGAGTGTCCTCGGTCGATAATTGTCCTCAGATTCCACGTCGAATGCTGCGAGTGCACTCGCGGCTGCTGGATCATGCGAGGGTGCAACATCGACCTTAGCACGGTCCTGCCGCGGGAGTGAGCGAGTGCTGGCTCCAGAAACAGGAGAAGCAGGAGAGTCTCCCAGAGATGCATCTTCGTATGACATGGCGTAGAATCGATCGGTGTTGGACATAGTTGGCGAGGATTTCATTCGGCCCCTTATAGCGATTCAAGGTAGAAATAGTGAGAGGCCGGGTAGCTAGTAGGTGCGCTTCCAAGCATTAGATTCACGATATATAGGAAGTGAGAATGAGGTGCGAGAGTGTCAAAGGAAATTTGTGCGGAAGGAATCACATAACGATAGCGTATTCAGCTAAAGCTTCAGTTGTTAGGGCTTGTCCGGCAGTTTGAGAACGTGCAGGGGGAGCCTTTTCCATTTCGTCCTTGTAGTGGAAACCTAAATGACGTGCCGACCTTGGGAGGAAAGTAGGTTCTAAAACGAGTTTGTTCACTGCATGCTGCTTTGAACGCCGATGCAGGGGCCAGCGCTATCCGCCAGGCACCCTTAATAAATCTTGACAGGTTGGCTGCTATACAGCTCATGGGTGGGAGAGGCACGAGGGCCAATGATAGCAGCGCGTGATGAATAAGATGGGTGGCATGGTGGTAGGCTTTAATGAAACAAGCATGGACAAGCCATGAAAGTCGTTGCTTGGCTGATCTTGGCTCGGCGATCTCTTAGGAGCGAGTTCGTGTGGAGCGACATTGCACGGCTTCACCCGGCACTAGTGCCAACTAGAGCGGGACACGTCCATTTAAGCTCTTTTTCTGCTGATCAGCCTCCGAATGGGGAGTAGTGCGTGGATGAGTTCTTCGACCCTTCGGTTCGGAGTTTTCGTCTGTCGCCCTTCGGCGATCCATTTGCTAGCCACCAGCTCTCACAAGCGTCGGTGCATTTTCTGAAGCATGAGAAACACCCAATCATTGAAATCTTACTGCCTGTAGCCACCGCATCCACGAGCCCTGCACAATGACCTCTGCGCGTAGGCCTTCGGTCTTCGGCCGACCGGACATGACGCAAACTGATCTGATAGTGTGCTTATGCATGAAGAGAATCAGGGGTTGCGGCTTTTTGATGCGAGGCATGTGGCATTGCTAAATAGCCCACCTTCTCATCAACGATCTCTTATTCTTCTACGTATATTGTCTGACTTTAGCACTCTGCCTGAACTCCACAAGACCCGGTCCCGGTTCGCCCATTCTCTTCACTTGCTTGTACATCAACCACTACAAAAAGAATCGAAGACTTGTTGAGACAATGGCTAAACGTCCCGCAAGAATTGCCGTTATTGTCTGCTCTAACCGAAAGCCTCGCGCTAACCCACAAATTGCCAACTTTGTTCTTGAGACCATTGAATCCACCTACGAGAACAAATGGGACCTAACGCCAGAATTGAAAGTCATTGACTTGGCTGAACTGAACCTGCCCTTCTTTGACGAGCCTGGCGTCCCATCTCAAATCCATGATTATACCCAGTATGCGCACGAGCACACGCGTGCATGGAGTAAGGAAATCCAAAGTTATGACGGTTTCATCTTCGTCACCCCTCAGTATAATTGGGGGTATCCGGCCGTCGTCAAGAACGCTATTGACTACCTCTACAACGAGTGGAAGGGCAAGGCGGCCATGATTGTCTGCTACGGAGGCCATGGCGGCGGGAGGGCGGGTGAACAACTGCGACAGGTGCTTTGCGGCGTCCATATGCTTCCCACCAAAAAGGTTGTTGAACTCGCATTCCCAAATCGAAAGGTGTTGCTTGAAGCCGCGGCCGGCAAAGATCTTGGCCTCGATGGCTTCTCTGACAAAGGTGTCTGGAGCGGTACAACACGAAGACAGATTGCCGAGACGTTCGCTGAGATGATGGATATCTTATGCAGCGACGTAGGTTGATATATGCCCTCGATATTCCTCAGCTGCTAACGATATCTAGAAAATTTCAAAGGGACTCAAGTCGGCAGCCACAACCTTTGGCTTTGCGAAGCAGGAACTACGCAGAAAATTCCAAAAATCTTCTTCTGATCGGTCAAGTGGTACAGTAGAAAAAGGAAGAGATTAGGGGGATCCTGAAGAGGCTGTGGCTAGCACTAATCGGCGCATGGAAGTCAGCGTGAATGAAAACTCGCATGCTTTTTCGGCCAACAGGTTTATGATCTCGGTCTAGGTGGCATTAAGGATCTGATTTGCAACTATATTGCGGAGCTTGATATCGGCGCCAAGAGCGAATACTGATAATGTTTTGATGGCTTCCTATTACTACGACCGAGAAGTAGCATACCCCATTCTTCAAGTAACCATTTCCCTGCACAAGTGACCATCCGAAAGCCGCTTTTGTCTCGAGCTATGCGATAGGTGGACGTGTACAGTTAAAGGTGCTTAAATTTGTCGATCCACTGGCGAGAGGCTATTCGGCTTAAGGGGGAGGGCATAACGTTGTGGTTCCCATTCTTTGTACGCAACCATCTATCAATTGTCGACCTTTCATGAGGCGACATCTACTTCATCACTGATAAAGAAATGGAGTCAATCCCTTCTGTTCGGAGTGGGGAAATCACAACTGTCTGTATGTGATGCCTATCGGGTCACCATTAGCTGCGGCTGCAGCCTGCTAAGGGCAATAATTGGCCGAAATGCGCCGATGAAAGAAATGTTGGTCCAGTGGCTAGTGGCACATTTCATTCCATATGGCGGCGCTCGTTGTCTTGCTTATTATTCATGCAGCTTGTCGTCAGCATTCATAAAATTATCTACAGTGACATCCCAGGTAAGGAAAATGACCGACAGAATTGCCATTCTGACCCACCCTTGGAGGACCACGGCTCTAATATGTCAATTACTATTACAGAGGCACTTTTAAACTCACATCTTCAGTGTCTTTCTCGTCATACACTCACCAGTGCGAACACGCAAGCGACGCTGCTGTGACGTTCCTCAAGAATGCCACAAACGTGAACATCTGGGTACAATAAGACCGTCTCGCCCGACTACTATGTCCTATCAGTATGGCAGTTGCCAAGCGCCGATTCTGACGATAACAACGCCGTCGGCCATACTGAGTCTGACCGCAGCAACATCATCTACGCCTCTATCGACCTTTATACCAGCGTTTTCCATAGCACCAAGCCCGCCTGTATCGCCTGACCAGCCGCCTAAATATTCGCATGGGCCTTACCAATCCCATACAGCAATCCTAGGAGGAACGCCTTCGAGATGGGTTGACATTCCGATTACGACAGTCTTCCTGGTTCTTTTCATTGCGGGTGCCGCAAGCAACATGGCAATATTTAGGCGGAACAAAGCCAAGGGCCATCTATTTATGCCCTCACTTTTCCTATACGTGTTTTGCATGGCGCGCGTGGTGAGCTGTGTAATGCGGATAGCATGGGCGTGCTATCCTGAAAGTCCACAACTTTCGATTGCCGCGTTCATCTTCGTATCAGCCGGGGTGTTGATTATGCTTGTGGTCAACCTGACCTTCGCGCAACGCATCCTCAGAGCAACACAGCCTACACTTGGATGGCACCCCGGTTTCGCCAGATTGTTTCAAGTTCTATACGCCTTGACTGTCATTCTATTGATCACAACGGTAGTTGCCATCGTCCAATCCCACTATACCTTGGATCCCCGACAGCTCCGAATTGACTTGGATCTGGAGCTCGCCGCAATGACATACTTCCTGTCTCTAGCATTCCTCCCTGTTATTCTCATCTATCTTAGCCATGTGATTCCCAGAACTCAATTGATCGAGAAGTTTGGATCAGGTCGCTGGAAGACCAAAGTGCGGATATTGATGATCGGGACCACACTTTGTACATTGGGCGCAGCTTTCAGAACTGGGTCTCAATTTCTGCATCCTCGGCGGCCCAGTGAACCAGCGTGGTATCACAGCAAGGCATGTTTCTACCTATTCAACTTCACCATTGAGGTTCTTGTTGTCTACATGTACCTTATCACAAGAGTTGATCAGCGCTTCTACGTACCGAATGGGAGCCGCAAACATGGCGACTACTCGGGTAACAATGTTGTATCTGAGGGTTCAAGCGAAACCAGCGGAGCAAACAACCGTCACTCCAGTTTTAGCAGCTACGCTCGCATATTTGATGGAAGCTCTTCCATATACTCATGGGGCGATGAGAAGGAAGGCAGTATAAAAGCGCAATCAGACTCATGGTCTCAATTTTCGGACGACAAAATGGAGTACGCGGGGGCTTCATCTGAATCTCCTCTCGAACTACCACCCGCCGTGGTTCAGAGTAGGATGCGGGTGGTGCCTATCGAAGAAGCGCCATACGTGGACATAAGATTTCTCCGCGATAACTACTATCAGAAAGACTACTGGTTTTCCGTACCGCCATCTGTAGCTTTACAGTCATTTGGAGTATAATGACAAAGGTTCAGGCTTACATTATGCACCTGTATGGAGGCAATTCGAGGATATATCGCTTGAGGAGCGCACCTTAACAGATCGAACACTTGAATGATGATTGTGTCTCAATCCCAAAATGGATCAAGGAGCTGGAGTGAGAAGACCATCCTTACATAATTCTAAATTCAAGCATTTTGGTTGCCTTCCTGATCCAATCCGTCAGCTCTGTGCGACTTTGAGTTTCCCTGGAACAGCGATTGTGCATTTCGAAAGGAGACCGGGCAATTTAGTCAGTGCTCGAATGCTTATCTGCAGGTTTCCAATTAACGGCGTTAATGGTGGATGTAGGACTCTTCGGCCTATTTCATCTGCCGATGCACATGTTGCCGGCAAATTTTGTGTGATTCTTAAGCAGTTGTATCAAATGTCCTCGCCAATTGAAAGTCGAAACACGGCGGAACTTGGGATCTGGGCAGCTGGTGACCCAAGACGATAGTATACTTTTTGTTACTCTCCGGTATTTCCGGAATCCTATCATTTGACCTTGCCTCTAAATAAAATTAGACACCGGATGGCCACTCATGGGCTGAGCTCAGGTGAGGAATACCAAAATCATATCCTGTATCTCGCACCTACGCCTATCATCCGACTGATAGTACGGGGCATTCTAGAACACTGGCGCTCGATGACGTCCGATACATTTGTTCGTGCGTTCCTAGCTGATGCGACACTTCAATCCTTGACGTGCTCGGGGTCTGTCTGCCATACCCCAGCTTAAAGGGCGGCTGTCCTTGTCCACTCAAAGAACTGAGCCTTACCCCTGAGTAGGCACAGTTCTGTGACTCCACGTAGCTAGCCTTCATCATCTCGAACTCTTCATCGATAATGGGACTGAGAATCATTGTCGTAGGTGCTGGGATTGCCGGCTTAACAACAGCTTTAGCGTTGAGGCAAGGAGGACATTCTGTCGAGGTGAGTCTACTCCGTACCCTTTTGTATTTGCTGCGAATGCAAGAGCATCATTGACAGATTTGTCCACCTAGATATTCGAAAAATCCAAATTTGCAAAGGAACTCGGTGCAGCACTGGGTCTTACTCCAAATGGATCGCGTGTGCTCGCTACGCTAGGATTCTCCTTCGAACGTGCTCGGGCAAGTCAGGTCACCAGCTGGGATGTCGTTGATGGAGTCACTCTCCATACTGTCAAAAGTATGGACTTCAGTGCAGCACGGACCCAGTTTGGATTCCCAGCCTATTCTGTTCACCGTGTTGATTTTCATGGTGAATTGCTATTTCTGGCCCAAAGATCTGACGATAAGGATCAAGAGCCGGTGAAACTGCACTTGGCTTCACCCGTGGTCAGCGCTGATGCAGAAGAGGGACTTATTGTACTCGAAGATGGATCACATCATTATGCAGATCTGATTATTGGCGCGGACGGCATCCATTCTGTGCTCCGGCCTTTTGTGACTGGTTCTCAGCAGAAACCGCGTTTTACAAATCTCAGTGCTTTCAGATTTTTGATCCCGACCAAGACAATGCGTGACGACCCTGCCCTCGAGAACCTGATGAAGTGGAAAGGGACAGGAGCTGCGACCCTTGCGAACCCAGATGACTTGTTTCCAAAGCGCCATATGATGTGGTACGACTGTCAGAAGTAAGCAACCTTGGGCTCTTTGCTGCATGTGAAGGTCTGTCGTTGATCTTGGTATTAGTGGGGAGGTTCAAAACTTCGTGGGCATAAGTCATGCGCGAGATATGCCTCTCGATAATCATGGAAATCCAGGTTAGTCCCAGTTTTCACTGTTTGGAAAAAATAATTCGGGAGCTGATACATTTCCGTTAGATTTTACTGGTGCAATGCTTGAAGACTTCCAAGCTTACCATCCTGATCTCAAGCATGTGATGAAGATTGCCGAAGGGATGTCTTGTTGGCCTCTTATGGCTCACGATCCACTACCATCATGGACCAACAGCAAGATCGTCTTAGTGGGCGATGCAGCTCATCCTGTGAGTTATCTCCGCTGGATCCGACAACAAAGCAGCTCGCCACGATATAGGGGCCATACTAAGGCTAAATCGACAGATGCTTCCATTCGGCGGACAAGGCTCAAATCAAGCCATTGAGGACGCTGGCGCACTAGGGGTCGTCCTTGCAGGGGTAGAAACTCCGGCAGAAGTACCAGCACGATTGAAAGTGTTTGAGAGTGTGAGAATCAGGCGAGTGTCAGTCATTCAATTGTTATCCACGACCCGAGCCGGGACCGAAAAGACTGTCGAAGAAGCACTTAAGCAGTATGTATCTCCTGGTACCAGAGTGCCTGGATCTTTGGCGGAGCGCAACTGGGATGCCTATAGGTAAGTGGCACACCCGTCCCTGAACAACACACTGACCAAGTGATCTAGCCATAACGTACTTCAAGCCACTGCGGAGGCTTTGGCGGCCGCCAGGATGAATCCGACAAACTCACCGGGTAAAGAAGTTCTCGTTCTCTTGGACCAAAAGCATCCCCTCCTTCCATCGACTAGCGAGCTCTCAAGGCTCGGGGTGAATACACCAAGAGCACAAATTACAAGCGTCTAGGGGTTGCACCCTTCAGAGTACTTGAATTGCCAGGCGAAAGGGTTGGTTGACTGTAAAGCCCGAATTTTCCCTAGACACACTCATGGTCTTCATTTCCATACAGCGCACTTTTAGTAGAACAGCAATTTCAGCCGTCGAAATAGTGGGGGATGCTAAGGACCTTAATATCACCTGTGGCCAATAACCTCAATTTGGGGCAGCTTGTGCTATCAATAATAGTGATAAGTTGTATAATGCCTACCTATGTCCTCTGGAGTCAAGAGTCAGGACTTTGATCTTAAGGCTGACGGGCGCTCTAAAGTTGCCCTGCCCGCATTACGCGAACCTGAAGCGCTTGGCACTACAATATCTTAATTGTGCATCGAAAACGTAATTACTCCTTTCACATCCCATAGCCTTCCATCCTCGTTATGGCAAGACATGCGTCTTCATCCAAACAAGTGCGCCGGCCCCGGAACCTGAATTCAGTGAATTTTAGCGGTTTCACCACATATGGTGGTGGTCAGATTTCTGCACTTGAGTCGTCGTGATGTGATGATGCAGCTAGGAGCCCAATCTCCCCTTCGGTTCAAGTTTAGCCGCAAGATGAACGCCGACCGGAGCTTTCCAATACAACAATGGCTTCTGAGGTCGTGAATGATCCATGTCAACTCCAATGCACCGACTGCAATTAATATTGGTCGGTATGTTTCAAAGCCTCGATCCATCATGCCTGAACAATATGCACCATCCCTGAGCCGGAGTCTGCGTGGCCCTTGCACAGGTGACATCTTATATACCGCAAGAAGTCATCTTAGCTGGTACCTAGACCTCGACCCGAAATACCAGTAGCGGTTGCATGCACCCTTCCCGGCAATGAAAGAACGAGGAGAAAACATGGCCATGGCTGGGCAAATATCGTTCTTTGGGGATGGCTCTCTGCCTCTGCACCCATCTTTTTCACAGATTCTCCAGAGTCGAAGCCAGCATTCTCTTCTCTCAGTGTTCTTGCACAAAGCTAGGCTGGCTATTCAAAATGAAATATCGAAAGTTCCTCTACCGGATCGGAAGCGTATGCCAGATCTGGCCGAACTTGAACGTCTGATCCCATCTCCGAGTGAGAAGCAACCACTTGATCATCAATGCTTGGCCCCAGCCATGCTCGTCATCATTCAATTGGGGCAGTTCATTAGGTGAGACGATTTGCATACTCTGAAAACCGATGTCGAGTTGCTTAACGCTTTGTCACAGTTGGTACGAAACTCATCCAGCAGAATCTTATCCAACCACCCCATCGTCCTTCGTCGTAGGGCTATGTGTGGGTCAACTGTCTGCAATCGCAGTCAGCCTCTCTCGCAGCTTGACTGAGTTGCTGCCTTTGGCACTCCAATCTGTTCGCTTGGCATTTCGCTTGGGGATGCTAGCAACCACAGTGAGAGATGAATTAGAGCAAGGTAGTGAATCAGAGACATGGGCAATGCAAGCTTCTCGTGTGACGCTGGGTGAAGCCAATGTGTTGGATATGTTCCATCGGGAAGAAGTAAGGGCTTTTTAATTTTTTTTCGTTTGCATGATCCTAGTTCAGCAGCCAACCATGATATCAGAGAATACATTCTCGCAAAAGAAGCTACATAAGTGCTTCCTTTGGAAAAGCAGTCACAATCCAGGGTCCGCCCTCAACACTCGACAGACTTGGAAAGTGGTTGGGTACAAATCATAATCTTCCGCCACAGAATTCCCACCAAAGGCTGCCTATATATACTCCGTATCACGCACCACACCTCTACGCGGAAAAGGACATTGAGCGGATTTTGAGCTTCTCAGATGTGGCAATCGGTCTTTACAACAAACCTTTTCTGGTCGGACTTAAGCCTAGATTGGTTTCACCAGTCACAGGTGCATACTACCAAGCAAAATCCAGCAGTGATTTACTTAAAATGGTTCTTCACGACATTTTGAGGGCTCCCATTGAATGGAGCAACGTGGTTACAGGATCTATACACCACGTCTCTGAGCTACAAAGCTCTGACTGGGTTTTGCGTGGGTATGGCCCAACACTCGCTGCTGGCAGTCTGGTCTCTGCCTTGAGAAAGGGTGCTCAGGTGGACGCCATCTTCGATAGTACTTTCGCCTCGGCAAAACCCGATCAACAAGGCTTGACAGCCAATGAGCCTATAGCGATAGTAGGTATGGCTGGTCGATTTCCAGAAGCCACCAGCCACGAAGAGTTGTGGAGACTCCTGGAGGCGGGCGTAGACACTGTGAAAGTGGTCTGAAATTTCCCTAGATGTTATAGGAACGAATCAGCTACTAACCTTCTCCTAGATTCCTTCTGACCGGTTTGACCCCGAAGTATACGTTGCCAACGATGGAAAGGCCAAAAATCCCGCCGGCTCCCCCTACGGATGTTTCATAAAGGAACCAGGATTGTTCGATGCTCGATTCTTCAATATGTCACCACGGGAAGCCGAGCAGACTGACCCTCAACAGCGCTTTGCCTTGACCACTGCTTATGAAGCGCTTGAGATGTCCGGTTTTGTACCTAATCGTACACCTTCCACGAAGCTTGAGCGCATTGGGACTTACTACGGGCAGACGGGCGACGATTATCGCGAATGGAATGCTTCTCAAGATGTCCAAACTTATTATATATCTGGAAATGATCGTGCCTTCGGACCAGTGAGTGCTCAAGCCGGGTTTGTGCTGATCAAGGGAGTTGCTGACCCATACTTCTAGGGACGTATTAATCACCATTTCAAATTTGGTGGTCCGAGTATGAGCATTGATACTGCTTGCTCTTCCAGCGCGGTTGCCTTAAATGTAGCTTGCACAGCGTTGTGGGCGAATGATTGTGATACTGCTGTTGTTGGCGGCATGGCTCTTTTCACAAGTGCAGATACATTCTGTGGACTCAGCCGCGGCCACTTTCTGAATCATACCGGTAACTGCAAAACATTTGATGATGCTGCCGATGGCTACTGCCGAGGAGAAGCAGTCGCAACAGTTGTGATCAAGCGCTTATCAGACGCGAAGGCAGACAATGATAACGTCTTAGCCGTCATCTTAGCCGCAGGCACCAATTACTCTGCCGCGTCTACCTCTATTACCTATCCACACGGGCCTACCCAGGAAGTGCTTTACAGAAGACTGCTAAATGCTGCTGGTCTGCATCCCTTCGATGTGGATTACGTTGAGATGCATGGAACAGGAACCCAAGCTGGGGACGCTGCGGAGATGAGCTCAGTAAGCAATGTTTTCGCACCTGACGCACCAAGACGCCCGGAAGAAAATCCCCTCTGGTTAAGCGCAGTTAAATCTAATGTCGGACACTCAGAATCCGCTTCTGGTCTGGTGGCTTTAATCAAATCGTTGTTAGTATTGCGAGAACAGAAAATTCCTCCGCATGTTGGCATCAAAAGTGGCATTATCAATCACACTTTTCCGAACTTATCAGAGAGACATATAAAAATAGCGCTGAATGGTCCCGTCGACTTTCCCTCCAAACAGGGTCGCAGGCGTCGTCTCATGATCAATAACTTTGGTGCTGCGGGCGGAAACACCGCCTTATTACTCGAGGAGGCTACAGTGGAAACCCATGACGATCACGATAAACGCATCGACCACATCATTGCTGTCTCTGGGAAAACTCAGCAATCTGTTAAGAACAATGTCCAGAATCTATTGAGATATCTGCAGACACATCCGGAGACTCGGCTGTCAGATCTTTCCTATACCACGACCGCCCGACGCATGCAATTCTCTTCAAGATTTGCAGTGGTCGCTTCATCTATGTCACAACTGGAGACCTGCCTTACAGCATTCAAAGACGAAGAACTCCATAAGAACGGCAAGCCCTCAGGTGTTATATTCACATTTACCGGTCAGGGATCGTTATATGCTCCGCTTGCGAAGGAATTCTTCGAGATCTCGGAACAGTTCAGATCAGACATTGGCCGCTTCAACAAAATATGTGTCGACTATGGCTTCCCTAGCTTCATGCCCGTTCTGGAGCGAACAGATGGTGACCTCGACGACTTGACACCGATGCAAACACAGCTCGCTATAACATGTGTGCAGATCAGTCTTTACCGGCTATGGACAGCGTGGGGTGTCGCCCCAACTGCGGTCCTTGGCCATAGCCTGGGAGAGTACGCAGCTCTGTTTGCTTCAGGCGTGCTCTCCGTGAACGACACAATCTATCTGGTCGGTCAGCGGGCTCGGCTTCTGGAACAACAATGCATGCAAGGTACTCATTGCATGCTGTCTGCTACTGCTGACATGGAAATTTTGGAACCGCATCTTGGCAACCTCATCGATGAGGTTGAAATCAGCTGTGTGAATGGACCTGCTGATACTGTTCTAAGCGGTGGCAGAGCGCTCATTGATAAGGTTCGGGATCGATTGGAGGTCTCAGGGATCAAATGTATTATTCTGAACACCCCTTACGCGTTTCACTCTGCGCAGGTCGACCCCATCCTCGAAAACCTGGAGTTTGTGGCGCAAGGAGTCAAGTACATGGAGCCGACTATACCTCTCCTATCTCCCTTACTCGGCAGTGTGGTCCGTGAAAGCGGACTAATTGGGCCTGCTTACATTCGAAGGCATGCTAGAGAGCCAGTGAATTTTGTCGCTGCTTTGAAGGCGTCCCGGGATCAAGGCTTGGCTGGTGACAATACCACTTGGATAGAAATTGGTCCGAAGCCAGTATGCCTTCGCTTGGTTCAAAAAACGCTTGGACATACCCGATTGGTGCATTCCCTACGCCCAAATGAGAACCCATGGACTAGTGCTGCCAAAGGTTTGCGCTCTCTGTACAACTACGGCTTTGATATCAACTGGAACGAGTACCACCGAGACTTTCAGAAGTCGCAAAAGTTGCTGCATATTCCTGCATATGCGTTCGACGAGAAGAATCATTGGCTTGCTTACAAGCATGATTGGGCTCTGAGAAAAGGTGACGATGTGTTCTTCCAACCTGCGAATTGCAGTATCGAAACTGTACCTTCGACAATTACAACTACTCTTCATGCAGTGGTGTCGAGAGAAAATCGTGGCTCTGATATCGTCTTAACCTTTGAAACAGATCTTTCTGAGCCCGCGCTACACAAGCTCATTTCAGGTCATAAGATCCACGGCATTGCTCTCTGTCCTGCAGTAAGTGCATCTTTTCGGTTTATCATGAATGCAGATCTTTTCTAACATTTCTCAGGGTGTTTACGCCGACATGGCGCTCTCTGTGGCTGATTTCGTTCGGAGGAACTACACCCTCAAGCTCCCAGCAACAGGAATGAATGTGACGAACATGACGATTTTAAGGTCTGTCACCGTCCCGCTCGAGCTTGCTACCACACGCCAGCTCCTCCGCATTGTAGCGATAGCAAATTTGGAAGCCGGGACTGTAAATATCGAGTTCAAAGCAGAAAGTCCTCAGACAAAAAAGTTCGCTTCAGTTGCTAAGTGCGCAGTCGAGTATGGCAGTGACAAGATTTGGCTGCGTGATTGGTCCAGATCGGCATACTTAGTGCGCAAGAGAATGGAAGATCTCGAGCGTGGGGTCGACAGTGGTATGACCAACAAGATGTTGAACAAAATGGCCTACCATCTGTTTTCCCAATTGGTCGATTACAGTCCTATCTACCAAGGGATGCAACAGGTCCTTGTTAACACTGATGAGTTAGAGGCCACTGCAGTAGTCATATTCCGAGATGGCTCAGATACTGGGAACAACTTCGTCGTCTCACCGGTTTGGATTGACAATCTAGCCCAAATAGCAGGATTCGTTATGAACGGTATCGGCGCTACCGACTTAAGCTCCGATGTCTATATTTCTCATGGCTGGGGATCGCTTCAACTTGCGAAGCCTCTGGATGACACGAGGCCTTTCAAGGTACACGTGAAGATGCAGAGACAAGACAACACCATGATGGCGGGCAATGTATCAGTCTTCCAGGAGGATGTAATGATCGGCCTGTTTGGAGATGTCATGTTCCAGAAAGTCCCAAGCTCCTTGTTCAAGACGCTGCTGGCACCGCACCTGGTCCCGCGATCAACAGGAAACTCGATTTCAAACACCACAGAAATTGCTCCAAAAGCCTTGGCCGCGGCATTGAAATCAGAAGTGGCTGGTCAGGGAAAACATGAAAAAGCTGACAAGCCCTCCAAAACCAACACAGTCTCAGAAAAGGAATTTGCTCGGGTGATGAGAGTTGTAGCGGAAGAGATTGGAGTTGATGTTGAGGAACTCATTGATGACGGTGATTTCGCGAATCTTGGAGTTGATTCCCTCTTGTCTCTAACAATCCTTTCCAAGGTAAGGGAGTTTGTCGGCATTGAGTTGCCACAATCTACCTTTACAGACTGTGCAACGGTTGGCGACTTCAGGGCCTTTCTCAGCGACACATCAAGCCAGGACGCGAGTTCTGAATCATCTCTCGAAACCCCTCCTAAATCTGGCCGGGACAGTCCAACAGTGGAGTTTAACCCGGTGGCGGCGACCACCACTGCGGACATAATCGAGACTTTACATGCTACTCTAGCTGAACAAATTGGAGTCGATGTGGACGAGCTCCTCTTTACTGATGATCTCTCCGCGCTGGGGGTAGATTCATTGATGAGTCTCAGCATTGTCGCAGCGCTGAGAGAGAAGCTGGGTATCATTGTTCCCTCGGATATACTGTCTGAAAACACCTCGCTGAAAGTCATCAAGGAAGCCTTGAACCTCTTGCCAGTATCTACTCTGGAATCATCTGTACCGGCCGTGGAGCCACCCAGGTCAAAGTCAGATCCTTTCCCAACAGTCAACAGCAAAAGGGCTGCAAATTCCTTCCTGCTCCAAGGGAACCCAAAGACTGCCTCAAAGACCGTGTTCCTTTTCCCAGACGGAAGCGGTTCTGCGACCTCCTACAGGAAACTACCAGATGTTGCAGGCAACACGTGCGTCTACGCTATTGACAGCCCGTTTCTCAAGCATCCGACCGAATACACATGTTCTCTCGAGCAGACCGCATTAATCATGGTCTCCGAGGCACGCCGACGGCAACCCGAAGGCCCTTACATTCTTGCTGGTTGGTCTGCCGGAGGTTTGTACGCATATGAAGCCGCCAAGCACCTCATCTCTGCCGGAGAAACGGTTTCAAAGCTCATCCTCATCGACTCACCGTGCCGTTTAGACTATGGACCAATGCCAAATGACGTTCTGGACTACGTCTGCAGCTCTGGAATGATTTCTGGTGAAGGAAAAGCAATTGCTGCCCCTGATTGGCTTGTCAAGCATTTCCAAGGTACCATCCGCGCTGTGGAGCAATACTCGCCGGAGCCATTTCGAGCAGACTTTTCTCCACCAGCCTACGTGATATGGGCCGCTCGGGGTGTTTTCGAAGATTTCCCAGAGGCAGAAATCGCCGGGCTTGAACTCTCTGATCCTGTGGCCTCATGGTTGTTGAAGCCGAAATCGAACCCCGGGGCCAATGGCTGGGACAAGTTGTTGTCTGGTGAGAAAATGAAGTGCTGCATGGTCGACGGAAACCATTTCAGCATGGTCCATCCCCCTTATGTGAGTAATGATCTATTGTATAGCGTCTTGGCTTGAAGTGCGAGACTGACCAGAATTCCAGTGCTCATCGCTCAGCCGTGCTGTAGCTGCTGCTCTTGATGAAGACAAAAGCGTCGAGTGGCGATCGGCCTAGAATACAGCATTTTGGTTGCTGCGCGGTTCTTGCGGGCGAAATGGGCAGGCTGGAGGCTAGGATAATTTTCGTTTGAAGTGGTTCAGGGCGGGCTAGAAGTTTTCAGGGTGAGCCGTAACATGATCGCATAGTTTGGATGAAGATCGAATGCCAAGAGGAATAAACTCGGCGATAGTTTACGCAGATTGTTCCGATAGTACATGTAGAGTGTGATTGAGATACCACACGCGCCTTGGATTAGTCCTTAGAGTTGACAAGCTACCACAACAAAGCGAGTTCTATGCCTGATAGATTTTTACCAAATCCTACCAACCAGCGAACACGAATCTTTTCTTACCCTTGAGTGAATCAGGTTGCTACCGACAACCTGGTTTTCTCATAGGAGACTATTTGGCTCATTCGGCTAAGAGGGTGCCAGCAGGTGGCTTTAGACATGCCACGAGTGCATGAACGTGAGTAGTGCCTTCTGCGCCATAATTATGCTAAAGAGCAGTAAATGCGAGCTTGAAGTTTAGCGACAAAAGTGATATGGATCGCAAAGGCCTGCCTGTTATGGGTAAGAAGGTCTCTGCACATCTTCGTCACTACCGCTCGGAGAGGAAGCTTGATGCCGACAATACAACCCACCATCGCCGGATGTCACAGCATAAGCATATCCTCCGATGCAGTATCACGGCACGGGAGATCCCGAGGCCATCATGCACGACATCTCTCGTCGCCTACCCATGTCAGGGCAGAAAAACTGAGCCCGGGATACCTGGCTGCCAACACGAGGCAAGCGGCACAGTAATCAGCTGAAGACATGACGAGCGTGGCACCCTGACCCATGCCAGAATAGTGGACTGCAGTGGCCTGCAGTGCTGTGAATTGGTGTGGCAGCCGAGCCATTTCACTGGTGACTCGGGCGAGGAACGACGTTCCTCGCTCTCGCCGTCTTATGCATGGTCCAGGCACTGTCCTCACCATTCCAATAAGACCTTGAACACAAGCGCCGTAATACTGTCTTTTACGTCAAATACAGCTAAAATCGCGTGCAGTGCTTTGACTTTTGCCTTGCAAGAGACCTGTGGGAGACAAGTTAGACGCTGAAACCCACTCCTTCATTGAGCATTTCCCTGCGTAACCTTGCGCAGGGGTTGGAAAACTCCACCCAAAGAGAAACCCGGTCTGAAACATAGCTGTCCCTAGCCACACCAATTCCTAGGGCTTCAGTCCCTTCTTCTTCCGGCTCGTGGAGGAGCCATTCAGCATCCAACTCTCTCTGCGATATCTGTCTCTTCATTCGCATATTGACAACATAACGAGTGATTTCCATGGAGAGTTCATGAAGGTTGAGTGACTAACAATGAGGAATGTTCATGAATTTAAACGTAACTGATAGGGCATTCAGAAATCAGATATATAGGAATTTCTGGGGAGGAGCCAGATATGTCTCGGCGTCGTTTTCGGGGCCTTGCCAAGAAATCTTGGGGGCCAAGTGTCCAGAACCGCCTTAGAGTGCAACCTAAAAACCAGCTCAGTGTCGACAAAAAGTCTTCCTTCCTATGATGCTAAAATCCGTAGTTCTATGCTTGCTTTCTATGATTTATGCCTGGTCATGGTGAGCGTATATGGCAACCCAATATCAGGTGTATGCGCGAGCCCGCGCGACAGGCTCGAGAACGCTTCTCGAGAACGCGCCCATCAGACAAGTCCAAGATCCCCCTCGCGAGAAACGGTTCATCTATTTAGATGCCTGCATCCTCCTGCATATACACTTCATCATGATTCCAATAAGTCTTCCAGGTATCACAAGTATTCCTCAGAGCGAAAGGATCTGTGAACGTGGCCATTATCTCATCCTGGCGCTCGACAAACTGTAAGCCCAGCCCTTCGCTTGAGTGTGCGGCTATATGGCAGTGCATCAGCCAGGCGCCCGGGTTGTCGGTCTTGAAAGCCATGACCATGTACCCGTTCAGTGGTACGGTTGCAACATCCCTACGCGGCGGGTTTGTTAATGTTAAGTTTACGGTGTCGTTAAGAGGTCCGAAGCCTTGCGCTACAACGTAGTAGTCATGTCCGTGCAGATGCATTGGGTGAGATCTGTTTCTATGGGAGATGTCCTGAATTCCGAAGTACACCCATTGGTCAGCGGTCGCGAGAGGGATGGCATCGTAGTTGGTGAATCCCTTCTCGGGGGTATAGCCTGTGTTGGGCCAACTCGTGTTCTGGTCCGCAATCATCAGGTCGGTGGGTGCGGAGAAGTTGACCCAGATATATGACTGATTCAAGGTGAAGAGAAAACCAGCCGGCATAGGGACGAAGCTGTAATTCAGATTCAGCAATGAGACCGATTCAGGAGCCGGCACATCCAGAGCTACGTGTGGCACAAGTTTCTCAAACGGCTCGTCTTCGCACTGAGACTTGTACTCCGTCGCGGGATTTGTGGTTGTTGGGACAGCCGTGGAATTGGCGTTGTAACGTACGATGCCTAGTGTGTTGTTCCAAGCATCATTGTCGCAACATGTGCGTTGCCAAATTGGGCGAAGCCAATAGTCACCAGGAGACGCATTAGCCTCGATAATAACGTCATAACGCTGTCCCATTGAGATGATCAGGCTGTCTGTCGTGTACGGCTGAATGGGGACCAGGTCATTGGCGATCACGGTTAGATTATGTCCGTCAATTGCGAACCGGAAATGCGAGTACAAACCCGTGTTGACGAGTCGAAGGCGGTATTTCTTGCCAGATTCGAAATTCATCTCGAATCGTTGGCCGACCTCGGTTTTGTTTTGGCACTGTTTGGTGTTGTCCTGGCGGCAATCGAACACGTTGGTGCCATTGATGAGCGAGTTGGCCTGTGACGGAGGGCCGGTCTTCGGGCGATCCCACCACCATTCGTTGAATGACGAGATGTGCGTCCAATCCATGAGCATCAACGCACCAAGGTCCTCGTCATAGTTGGCTGTGGCGGGACCGTTGATGATGATGGCCCCGAACAGGCCGGCCGAATACTGGAAGCTGAAATGCGAATGATACCATGACTGCAAAAAGGTCATCACGTCAGCTGCAAAGTGTCTGAAGGCGAACGTAGAATATATCGAAGATCACTTACCGAGCCGTATTGAGTTGCTCGCCACTTGTAGGTGTACGTTTGACCGGGCGACTAACCAAAACAAAACATGTTAGGGCAAGCCCAGTCAGGATGGACAGGATGAGAATAAAGGGGGTATACAATTGGACACTGTGTCACTCCAGGTACACCATCAAATTCGTTGTTCTTTAGCTGTCTCAAGCCATGCCAATGAATGGCAGTGCCGTTGTCCTGCATCGCGTTGGTCACGTGTATGATGACTGTGCGAAAGTGGTTGGTTCAGCCTCGTTCACCCCTTTTAGCTATCTCTGATAGGGAGCCTCCAGCCTACCTTCATCGCCCCAGTCCGCAAAAATGGTCGGCCCAGGCATACTGCCATTAAAGACCAGTACTTGCTGTTCGTAGCCCTATGCATAGTAAGGGATTCATATTAGCCACAACCTGGACATGGCTTGACTGCCGCTCATGGCCTTGAAAACTGCACGTTACTACTTACATCGGGTGCCATTGTGATATTCTCCGCAAACAGCCAGTACTCCCTCGTGACCCCAGTGTATGGCGTATCATCGTACCAATTCGTGTCAATCGAATAGTCACCCCAGCATTGCCTTGACGTGGGCGAATGAGCACATCCGCCCTGTGACTGCAGATTGTTGGGAGTAAGAGTGTAGCACGGAGATGTGCCATTGGACAGAGGAGAAGCTCTAGGTTGTACAGGGTATCTTGGCAGCGTACCAGCCTCAACCGAAGCCAGCAACAATGTTACAGTGGCGAACCAACGCATCATGAAGAGAACAATATTGATATTGCGGAATCAGTCGCCTCTGCATCAGCTGTGGCGCGTGATGATAAGCAAGATGTACTTATGAATGAGGGTTGTTGCTCCTGGTGGGTTCATTAGGGTCTACCTAGAATTCTGAGAAGTGCAAAGTGCACCGAGTTATAGTAGCTATACCTAGGGAACAGGAGTTTGACCGGTCTTGAACCTCTACAGCGTCCCCCAACATTCTAGTCGTACCCATCGCTCCTGCCCTTCCGATGGATGAGGCAATGACACTAGCGCCTTTATCCTGATAGCATGGTGTAAGCGATATGATTCTGTCGGCTGAAAAAGAAATGCACCGCCGACGAGGACAGATTCCACGGAGGGCAAATGGATGCTTGACACATATATGTCGGAGGGTTTTTGTCTTAGCTGGTGAGACCTGGGAAAATGCTCCTTTGACTGGCTGACGAAATAGACCGGTACAATAGCTTTGGTGAAATGGCATCTTCACACTCGCAAGTTGAAACAAATGATCCACAGAAGCGGCCCGAGATGCGCAATGTCAGGACATGGATAGTGCGACGCGGATGATTATGCACAGTCCAGCGAACCGTTTAGATATTGTAGAAAGTGGGGCAACGATCAAAAGCACATGTTTCGACATCTGGTCGGTAGTTCTTGTAGTTCTCCAAGCGTCCAAGTCACTGGCGGAGGACGAATGGATTCGTGTCGAGGTGAAGTTTCTCGTGCCGATCATGGATGATCAACCTGTGACCTATCGCGAAACAACTCACAATTCCCGGTGGGATACCGGGCTATCGGTCTATGATTATCGCTAATAAGGTACGTTTACGGATTCCAAGACCCTTGCAGGCGTTTTCTGCGACCAATGGTGGGGGTATGTGAAATAGGCGTGCCAATTGATGGGTTATTTGGCCCACTGTGGCCTCCTGCCGCCCTCCTATCTTATCTCATCAGCCAGGATGAAGGTGACAGTACATTGCAGTCTTATGCATGACAAGCCAATACAAGCTCATTTGGAAAATGCTTGTGAAGCGCATTGTTAGCGGCAGTGCGATCGGAATTCAGCGCCAGCGCTAGAATGGGCCAGTTTCTGATGCCGCGGAATCAAACCTGCAAATTCATGTGAACCTCTCTGTTCCAGTATCCTGTGAACTTCTTTTCGTCTGTGCTCGATTACTGCTTGTTAGTGATCCTACGAACCCCTCATGAACAGGGTCCAATGCCCGTGATTTGTACAAGCTTGTCCAAGTCCGCAGAAGCACTCTAAGCACTCGTTTGATTGCTTGTTGTGGCGACCTTCACGACAATCCTGGTCTTGGCTCGCTTACAAGGTGACATACACGTAAGTATTAACCAGGATAGAGGTAGTCTACCATGAGTAGAGTCCACTTCTTTGAGGCCAACGGCACGTGAATGCAAGACGGCTTCAAACCCCTACCAAGGACCTTGAAACGTGCAGGAGCCGAACCTGACTGCAGCAGCTGTTAAGAGAACAACATTTCCATTTGTCTACAGTCTCACTCTCCACAGCAAACAATCATGGTCCCCTACTCTACCCTCGCGGAAGACTCGTCTCAAGTTTCAAGCTCTACCAAAAAACTTCGTCTAGCCTGTGACGTATGCCACAGCGCGAAGACGAGGTGTTGTGGCAGCAACCCATGTGCAAGGTGCGTGCGTTGTGGCACGCAGTGTGTGTACAGCCAGTCAAATCGAGCGGGCCGACCAAAGGGAACACGAAACAAGAAGAGTGTTGATAATTCCAAAATTGACAGCGATCATCGCGACTCTAGCAGTCCCCAGCAACAAGAGCAGCACCGTCAACAGGAGTCGCAGCAGCCGCCAACTCGTAACCGCCTCAATCGAAGTAGCAGCTCCTCTTCAGGCACTGGAAACCCAGCTTCTAACATCCCGTCGTCAATACCATCTTTCACAGTACCCTCCTTCTCACCACCACTAGAGCACTCACAACCGCATTTACACCAACAGAAATATGTCAACAACATGGTATTCGACTTCAATCCAAGCGGTGACTTCTCAGACCAGGCTAACGCCATGCTGCATTCATCTCTGCCAGCTCAAAGTCATTTCTCCTTTCCCATGGTTCCAAATGACATGAATGTTGACGCGGCGGAAATTCAAATGGCGTTTGACATGGAATTTAACGTGGACGAGATGCAGCACGGATGCAACATTCCCAACTTGTCCGAAAACTTCACCATTACGCGTCACAATACTGGCGCCTCTGGAACCTCCATGACTGAGATTTTAAGAGATTCTGTTCTGCAGTCATTTGAACAGGAGGACATTCCTTATTCCCAGCCTCAACACGTTTATTCAGAACCATTATCAAAGAGTTCGACAAACAGCCACAGTAACGGCAACAGTAGCGGAGGTAGTGGAAGTCCGTCTATGCTGCATCCACGAGATCCTATCGACGCATACTGTTCCAAGGGAGCACAACCAAACTCAGCCGCGTCGTCGAATTCAAACCCCGACAATATCTCGTTGACCGAACTAAGATGCCAATGCCTCCAACGCCACGTACAGTTTCTAGCTCATCTACAAGAACTCTTAAACGAATTTCACCGATTACCCCTTGACGTGGTCTTGAACGGCGTCGACCAAGGACTGAAAGTATGGGACCTTTGCCTCCAGTGTCGGATGTGTCAACAAGACCGCAATCGGGAGGTGATGTTGCTGACGGTCACAAGCATCCGAGCCGTCGCCCGGATATTACAAAAAGCTTCCCAACGCATCTTCACTCAGTCCCAATTCGATGATGGCGACCAACATATTAGCTGCAGCGACGGTAGTGAGTCAGGTGTAGAGGTCGAAAGGCAAAGACTGGGCAAATTCACATTTGGCAGTTATGAGATCAAAGGTGAAGAGAGCTGGCTAGTAGTTGGCGTGATCTTGACGAGAATGCTGGCCAAGATTCAAATTGTGCTAGTATCGTTCAAGAAGTCTTTGAACTCACCTCACTCCCACACGGCAAGCAGTCATCGAGGGGACAACAGTGCGGAATATCTGCACAAGCTATTGGAAGGGTTACAGGCAAACGTACATGCGCTCTCTGCCAACTTGATGAGTGGTACATATGATAGACTTGGATAGGTGCAGCTAAGTTTGGCACTGCAACGCGGGGACTTTTGTGGGTCTCGCATATTACAGGGGCTACCCCAACCGTTGTTGAAGGAGAGCCAGCAGAAAGGCTTGACAGGCTTACTGCAAGCAGCGAATGCGAGAACGAGTGTTAGAGTGTGATAGACGACGCAGTACTTCACCCAATAAGCTGTCACAAAAATAAACCCCTAAAATCATACTATCATACTACCCTGCATTACGATCACATGCACATGGTTGCAGCACACGAACTGCAAGTCGACTCGAGCGGCGATTGTTATTTGTCTGGTCTTGGATATCCCACACCTCATGGGATGTCATCTTCGAAAGAAGGATTTTGGACTAAAGCGCAACAGTGAGTTTTGATCTGCAAGGAGGCGGTTCACAAGTCTCCGATCCCTCAATCCGAAGCTTCGCTTACCTAGTACGATCCGTCGGAAGGTTTGAGCCGGCGTCTTCCTCCGATAAGTAAGTCTGTCAATAGCTAAGGAAGGAAGGTGAAAGGGGATATTGTTGCAATTGCTGTACCTACGTCTAAACACTGTAGAACTAACTTCCGACACTGATATGATTTCTGAAAGCGATGATCTCGACCACGCTCGGTCGCCGGGCATGGACATGACGTATTCGCAAATGGAACCCAAAGGTGGCTGTGGGCCAGCGTCTTATTGCAGTTCCCCGATGCTGGGAACTTATCTAGCCTAGATAACTCCGGGTATTCAAAGGAGCGCTCATTTCGGTAAGTGCTGATTTCCCGTTCTGCCATGGTGTTGAAACACGTGTGCTCGCTTTATCGGACCAGTTGCCTCCATTGCCTCCATATCTCTATAGTCTTGGCCAAGATGCTATGATAAAGCAAATTGTACCGTCAAATCCAGGGGCAGCGGCGAACAAAATTCCTAGCCAACAGCTACAAGCTTGGGGGATGACATAAGAGAAGAGGATCGCGGGCAAGCTTCTCCGAAGCCGTGTTATTGTGCGGGGTGTCTGGTCACGAGAATATCTTAAGAGAGTAATTAGACATCGAAAGAAGATTGGTCAGGTAACTAATGAAGCTAGTCACCTAAGGTAGTATTGCACAGGTAATCAAAAAAGTCCGGTGGGTAGGGATGGAATTGTTAGCAAGAATGTATACCAGAACAGATAACAGAAGCGTTGATATTTACGAGGAAGGATAGTAGCCCTTTTAATGTCAGCGGCCTGCGAAACCCGCTTGACACCGCTTTATAAGGTACTACGAGTATGTGTGCGGAGTACTATACAGCTTTGCACGTGACTTTGAACATGTCACGTGCCGCTCTGTCAGCTTGTATCTTGGCAACAGCACCCGGCTTTAACCTACCGCGGTCGTTTCCCTGAGCCCGAAGACCGACCTCTGATTTCAGACGAATGGCTGCGGCCTGTATCAAAACAGTGTAGTACGAGTACTCATTTTGCTTCCGTGCGAAATGACGTCATTGCTAGCCTCAATTTGCTGATTGGATACAGCGCGACATCGACCTCTACCTCTATCCACTGGGCGGATAATCATTTCAGTCTTTGAATATGTCAGTCAACATTGCGTTGATAAGTTGCAGATATCATAGCCCCTTGAAAAGAGAGGAGAATTCCTCGCACTACTTAGAGCGCGGGAATACCACAAAGCGGCCAATTTGCGACCAGGATTCGGTGAACGTGGGTGGCATAAAAGGGACAAGATTCCTTCGAGTTCAAGACATCTAGACGTAAGTCTAGGCTGTCTCCCGTCTCGCAAACAACGAGAGCTGTTTACGTCTTTCATCCCATCGCAAATTTGAAATCAGCCCGAAACCAAATCTACTCACCACGACAACACTCAAGGAGATGGTCCTCAGCAAAGTGGCCCAGTCAGCCAAGATTGGCGTGATCACTGGCTCACAGCGCAATCCGCGGGTTGGCCCTCAGTGAGGATCGCAACGTGGGTGCTGAATGTGTTGCGAGAATATCAAAACTATCATTCTTCCACCGGCCAGCGTCCTTACAACCTATTGCTCATCGTTCTCAACGACCACCACTTGCCACTCTACGATGAGCCAGGCACCCCGTCTAGAATGACATCATTTGACGGATACGCGCATGAGCATGCAAAGGCATGGTCCAGGTGTATCAACTCGTTTGACGGCTTCGTGTTCGTGACGCCGCAGTATCACTGGGGTTACCCTGCCAGCTTAAAGAATGCTATCGTCTATCTCTACAATGAGTGGAAGGGAAAGCCAGGCCTCGTTATTAGCTATGGGGGCCACGGTAGAGGAAAAGCTGCCGTCCAGTTACAAAGTGTTCTAAGTGGATTGAAGATGAACGTGGTACCAGAAGCTCCATCTTTGACCTTTCCAGACCACGATTTTATGGTAAGAGCGACCATTGGTGAGGAGCTGGGTTTAGCTGAAGAGGGGGGCAAGCAAGTATGGGTTAAGGAACAAGATGACATTGGACTAGCATGGGCACAGTTTCTAGATCTATTGAACGCATGAGAAGCTTTATCGAGATACCTCAGCAGATGTGTTGTTTATCGGTCGAGGAGAGCGGCAAGGGGCTGTTAGAAGAACACTTACCAGGCCATCCATATTTGGCCTTCACTTAGTATTGACCTGTAGCTCTTTTTATCTCAAGCTCTTTCCATTGTCAACGTTGAGTTCAAAACGCCCCGAGCAAAAAACATCCAAGAATGGATTTGATAGTCCGGTATTATCTTTTCAACCTTGTATCACCCCAAAGTGTCGTTCTGCATCTTGAAGATCAAACCCTTCCTCTGCCACCACTTCCACTCTCAATTAAACAGGGCTAGGACACGAGGTTGAAGCATTCCAAAATCATTGTTACGGTGGCTGGAACTGCTGAAGTCGAATTTGTGAAGGGCAGTCGGGCACCCGCCACTTATGCTACTTCAGCAATTTCCAACACGGCCGGAACTTCGTATGCGTCTACGAAGGCGCCCAATTCAGAAGTGAGCCGGATCCATTGGCGACGATAACCTTGATTTTTAGCCCCGCGGGTGCCCAAAACTGGCCGGACAATCTAGGGCTACAAGGATATGCTGTGTCATGCTCGAATGGCACGAGGTCCTCGTCTGATTCATCCAGGGCGACAGGGCCGGATGATTGTCAGGCTGTTCTCATGAGATTCTCTGCAACATTGGAGCGTAGTCTGCCAGAGTTTTGAATGACCCGGCGCGATTTCGGGAAAGAAACACCTCATATCCCTACTTGTTATCCAGGCAGTGGGTGTTTATGTAGTCTCACGAGGCTTAGGATTGAATGTGGGGTTAAACTTGAAAACCCCTCCATAACCCCAGCCTCACCAGCCGAGGCATATTCGTCTTCAAGTTTGCCGGATCAGGGCACCCTAGCCCACTCCGGTGCCGCTGCACGCCCTCATTGGCAACCGAAATCTCTGATTAACAATCCGTTGACGAACTGCCATCAGGCGGTGCGGAATTCTGACCAGGTAGGTATCCGCGCCGTGTCCCACTGAGATTTTCCCCCCTTCACGAACCTTGCGCCGGAAGATACTCACATAACTCCCATGGTCTGGGTTTCTTTTAGGTTGATTTCTTTATGCGTTTAACTACAAGGTCGAACGTGCCCAAAATGTGGACGGAGCCAGGCGGAGCGACGCAGTCAAACCGTTTTACTGACGGGCGCAAGAGTTTATCCCACCATTCTTATCTCCGCCAAATCCAGATTGATCTTTGCCGATCTTGACTTGCGGGATTTTCCCACTAACCTCCAAAGTTTGTTGCTGCCCCCGTGTAACTGGCTTTGCACGGCACACCATCCGAAGAGTTGGGACACCAAGCATTTGGCGGTTCACCTAAGTCCACCACACCTTGACTTAGATTACAGGTAGGCTCGTTCGTTCTTTTGACTTCTTTTGCATTAATGTTATTTTTTCGCTTCCTCTTACATCGAAATTGGTGACAAACGGTCTCAGGAGTCCAGACCCGAGAGTCGTTTTACATAATATCGATCTCGTTCGTTATTGAATTGGATACATTCTAGCCTATCATGGCACCGGATCCAGAGAAAGTCTATCCTTCTGTCATCACTCAATCCTCGTCTCCACAACTCATAGTTGAGCCAGCAACTCCAATCCACCATACAGCCGATTCTGAAAAGAAAACATACACATCTACAGATAATTCACCGACCACTTCCGTTGCACGATCAGATTCAGACCGGGACGACCGACCACTGACGCTTACCGCCACCCAAAATTCAAGGCTTGAAGCTACGAGAACTGTAACGAGACTGAGCACGCGTGGGACAACTTTCACGGCAGACCCCTCATACGAGGTTGATTTCGAAGATGATGACCCTGACAATCCGCGTAATTGGTCTATGTGGTACAAATCCTACGTCCTTTTCACCGTATCGTTCGGTACTCTCTTGGTTGTGTCCAATAGCACGGCGTACACTGCTGCTATTGGAGATATGATGAAGGAGTTCGACATCTCAGACAAAGTGGTTCCAACCCTTGGAATCACTACTTACTTGTTCGGCCTGGCAGTTGGATCACTAATATTGGCTCCCATCGCTGAAACTTACGGCAGACGGCCCGTGTATACAATGGGACTCCTTGTATTCGCCATTCTCGTACTTCCAGTTTCTCTAGTACACAGTATGGACGCAATCATTGTTCTACGGTTTTTCTCGGCGATATTCGGGAGTGCCACCATTGCCAACGCTCCAGGAACCATCGCTGACATGGTTTCCGATGAGTATCGAGCCGTGGCGTTCTCGATCTGGAGTATCGGTCCCATGAATGGCCCTGTCATCGGCCCTGTCCTCGGCGGCTATATCACCCAGTACAAGGGTTGGAGATTTACCAACTGGGTCATTCTGATATGGGCAGGAGTGTCTTTTCTTTTGCTCGTTACGGTGCGAGAGACCTACAGTCCTGTCTTGTTGCAGCGAAAGGCTGCAAAGTTACGAAAGGACAACGATGACTCAAGATATTGGAGCCGATATGATATCAAGGTTGGCTTCATTGAGCTTATGAAGATCAATCTCAGCCGACCTTTCATAATGGCTGTGACCGAGCCAATTTGCATCTTCTGGAACGCTTACATATCCCTCATCTATGGAATCCTCTATCTCTGTTTTGTTGCATATCCGATCGTCTTCACCGAAGAACGTGGTTGGTCAGTGGGAATGACCGGGTTATCGTTCGTCGGCATCGGGATCGGCAGCATGATAGCAATAATTCTCGCCACCCCAATCAAGCGAATGATCGAATCTCATAAACTGGATGAAGATGGTACTCTCCCACCTGAATCCATGATGAGTATTGTTTGCATCGGCTCGATACTTGTTCCCATAGGCCAACTCTGGTTTTCGTGGACGTGCTATCCCGTCAGCATCCACTGGGCCTTGCCAATCGCGGCAGGTATCCCTTTCGGATTCGGCAACTGTGTGGTCTTTATTTACGCTGGAAATTATTTGGCTTATAGCTATGGGATTTATGCTGCAAGTGCAATGGCTGGCAATGCTGTCCTTCGATCTTTTATTGGCGGTACTCTGCCCTTGGCTGGGCCTGCAATGTATGCTGCAATGGGCCCCAACTGGGCAGGCACGCTACTTGGTCTTCTTGAAGTCGCCATCATTCCCATTCCATTCCTGTTTTACAAATATGGTCACCGGATACGACAGAAGTCCAGCATGATCCGCGAGATGCGGGAGAATGAATTACGGCAAGAGCGCAAGAGGAAAGAGGCAGAGGAGAGATTGAGAATTGCTGTCATGAGTGGTGACGAGACGGAGAAGGAGGAGGCCCAGGTATACCTGTGTCGTGTCAGGAGTAGGGTTGATGAGCGACGAGATGTTGAGGAACATGGTCACGAAATCTTAAATCGAAATCAGGGTCTGGATAAGGAGATGGTGTGAAAGGGCCAAGAGCCTGAATAAGTCAGGACTTCATGAATAACGCTTCGGTTTCATGGCTTCCGGAAAGCGATGTTTTCTTTGCCTGTACAGCATGGCGTCTGGAGTATGGGCATTGGCGGCGACTCCTGGAAAAGTGCAATAGGGATGGAGCGCCCCCCTTGAGCATTGGCAATGCCGGGTGAATGCCTAGCTTATGACAGCGAGTCTCATCCAGCTGCTTTCTAATGACTACTTAGATAATATATAGAACATTTCAAAATAATTGATACCGAAAACATCGAAAAGTTAAAGCCAAATGAACGCCGCCAGCTTACCATCCAGTCTCACTAGATTTTGAGGCAACGGCCCCATTACGACATATGCCTAATCGGTGTGCAAGTATCTGCACAAGAGCCAACGCGTTTGATCACGTGATATATTCTCCCCTTCTCTCTTCGTTCCTGCCGGCAAACCGGGTATCGAGCTTTCCAGCCCCACCTGCCCACCTGCTCATCCACTTCCTCCCCAACTCATTTAATTTTCTCACCCACCGATCTTCGCCTTCCATTCACTTCAATCTCACTTATCATTCCGTCACATCTGAGTCATTGAAAATGGAGCACATTTCAAGGATAAACGGACTGTGCGCCCATTTTTCAGCTCAATCCTAACAAAGTACCAATTCATGAGGATCCCTCTGTAGGCGGATAACTACCCCGCTCCCAGCCAACAGGTCGGCTACAACTGCAGCATGCTTTTGACATGGGCTCCAATTGGATCTCATCTAGATATCAACCATTCTGGGATTGATGACATAGCAATATATCCCCGACGAGATCCCAGGCTGCGCTCCAAGGTAGGATGGTTTCATTTTTCTGCTTATCCTCTTCACCTCAAAACCTTTCATGTCCCTTGTGGCCGCTTGATCTTCCACCGTAGAAACACAGAATCGTTCATCCCCGCTCCTTCTCAAATCCCACCGTGCACCATGTCCTCCAGCCTACTTCAGGTTCCCTTCAAGCCTGTGCCGGATCGACGTCACTCCGTCAACAACAATACCGGGTCACCCCAATCGCCCGTCATCTCCCGAAAAGGCAGTGCTTCGTCTATCACATCACATAAATCCGAACCTGGATGGATGTCGGCCATGAATGGGATCGATCGCAGTCGGACTGGGTCAACTGCTAGCCAAACATCACACCTTTCTACAAAATCTTCCAGTGGCGGCTTCAGCAAACTCTTCGGGAAGAGTAAACATGACGAAAAACAGAAAAAGAAGGGCAAGAAGAAGGATCTAGATCAGATTGTCATCACATCACGTCATGCGGCAGCAGTTAGGACCAAACTAGCACTTGATCCAAAGCTCAAGAAGGCTTCACACAAAGACCAACAGCCCGTGGTCACTGGCACTCAAAGTAGTGCACATTTGACTGCACAGGAGCAAGAAATTCGTCGACCTCATTCAGGCCCCCCTTCCTTGCGCCATGCAGCAAAGAGTAACAAAGCCGACATGCCTTTCCTTACCCGGATTATAAGCGGCGACGAAGCCGATGAGCCGGATGAGTGGGAGAGATTGAGGGAAGAATGGCGAACGAGAAAAATCCCCGGAGTTGAAATGCTGCAGGTTGTTGAGGGAGAGACCTTGGATGGTTCAACAGCTTCATCTTCTGGTACAGCAACCCCCGAGGATAGGGATGTTCTTACAAGTTGTTACAAGTCTGATATTAACCTTCCACCTACAAAACTTATCGAAAGCGAAGGTGTCCGCCTCGTCACGGTCAATAACCTTTCGTCTGATACTGAGCTTGCGAGGCCAAGTACTCAGCGACACAATACTCCAATTGGGGGCAGGTGGAAAAAGGATAGGGCGGGCGTGTGGAAGAGATGAAACAATTACCAACCAATCGTGCCATCGTCACATCTCTGTTAACCAATTTCCCTCTAGCCTGGGTGTCTCATTCGCTGAATTGAGAGCGATGCACTAGACGGCTCACATTTCGTACTCTGGCAATGGAACGCTTCAAGTGGTTTTATTCACGGCTTCCCGAGACAAAGGGCATGATCGTTGAAAACACCGGTTCAGAGTATATCGATCATCTGTATGCAAGTCGTTTAAGGATTCTCCAAGAGAGACAAAGCAAGAAAGATCTAAATTGTATTGGTCTGCAGCAGCAAGTCTCCTTGCGGTGGGGGTAGCAGAGGCAAGACGAAGAAACAGAACCACTCAACAGCGATGCTCGTATATAACGATACGTTTGGAAAGGAGGCTGACTGAGCTAAGGGAATAGAGCATAAAGCCGACGACGAGAACGATGAAGAAGCAGTTGAAGGTGCACAATGCGAGGAGTAATGGAATTGAGAAAAAGGTTCACCGACGCGTTGGCTGATGAAAAAGTCGAGTAGGATGAATCTACCGGGCAGGAAGGAGACAGATGTTCTTTGCAAAGAGGATGTATCATCCGAGGAAGAGGAAAGTTCCGTCCAATCACCAATATCAGATTCGGCAACAGCCCTATATACCATGTACAATGGTGCCGCTCCCCATCTTCATCGCAAGCTCGACAATGAAATCAGCCACAGCCATATCCGTGATACGAAAACCAATACTCTTATAGACAACCAGCCCATCCCGAAAGTGCTGTGGGCCTGTTCTCGAGACAGGACTAGAGTCACGTCCGTGTGTGGATAGGCAAGCACCCAGCTCTTGGATTTGATCCCTCGCAGCCCACTCTGAATGAGATCGCCACACTCGCCCGTGTTGCTATTAGGTCGTCGACGATGACTATGCCATTGATGGAGGCGGATGCGCTCACTAAAAGACCGGGAGTAAGATCTACCATGTCCGGCTGCCATGATCCGATGCTCGAGACATAGCATGACCTGTGTCCACTCCTGTCATTTACAAGATGACATGCAGAATATAGCATCTGCTGATCCAATTGCCTCTGCCATCTCAGCCTCGAATCCGTGACTAATGGGGTCAGAACCCGCAGGGTTGTTGAGGACTTCCGCAGACGCTGGTTCTCATCTTGTACTTGGCTGATCAGCAGTTTGGCGTTCGCTACCGAGCGATTGACGATGGCGATATGTTCTTAGACTGATTATCGGCGTTCGAGTAATACTAGCCAACACAATTTCTTATCCTTCTGTTTAGCCAGGATCTCTCGACTGTTTGAATCAGAAGGCGAGTCAATTAGTGTGTCTAAACTATCGCGGGCTGATAACAATCTTGACGATATCTTACATAAAACAGCACACTCATATCTATCTAATCTCATCTTTGCGACCCTCAGTCAGAGCCATGGCAGCCTCGCCCGCCTCCCAAAACGTTCTGTGGCCTTCACCTTCGGTATGTGAATTCTCGTTGAATCCATTGCAGAACCCACTCCCGGGACCTGGTCCTGGTTGGGGCAATAATTTGACCTCTTATCATCCTTGAGGGTAAGTCTGCTTCTCGTCGGACGAAAGGCAGGTGACAATAACCTAGTTTCACCATTGTGCCCTAGAATTCGGACTGCTGGGGCTGCCCGATTCGGGCATTGAAGCCTTTGGCGTTAGCCTTCTCTTTCATCACTAATCAATCCATTGTTGAGTGCTTCTCGGGAGCCCAACAGCACCTTTACTCACAATGATGCCGCGATGCCACCCATGGTTAGGATCCCCTAACGTATGGTTCGTGTTGACTCCATAGTGGTCGACTATTTAGTATTCCTTCCAGCGCTCTCCTCATCCCGCCTCGTCAAACTTATATGCCTTGTCTACCCAGGTGTCTATGCTGGGCTATATGAGTCCCCGATATAGATAGCTTCACGTAGTCAAGGCTGGCCGAATGGCGTGCGCCCTACAGTCTTACCCCACACTTCCTGCAACATAAGGCTGCTAAATCAGGGGATGGTATTTGTATGCCACCAGGACAAACAGCAGAAGGGCAAGACTCTTTTGGACGCTCCAGAGTACTTCCAGAGTACTGTCCACGATGATTAAATCATCTCAATCACCACGGGCATTGTCACGTTCTACGATATAGCTCGTCTTTTCTAGATGCGGTTGTGGGTTTGTGGCGAGCCTCAGACTGTTAGAATTGCGGATGGGGAAGCCCGGTCTTGAGTCACTCAGAGTTCAACTTTTCTCCCGTGGATTGGACTCGGCTTGGGTTCAGCACCTCACTATGCAACATGGCTCGTGCAACGTTGAAAAGTGCCAACACCTGCAAGAGTGGGCAGCAGTACAGCGAAGCTTCTGATCCTCCAAGCGCCTGCCTTATTGGAAGAATTATGCTACTCAGGCCTCGCAGGTTGACCGAACGGATAAAACGCAGTCCTCTCTAAGACACCCTGCATGACTTGGAGAGCGTAAGGCGTGTCCGAGCTCTAAAAGTAGCAAGCTACTCGTCATTATCCGCAACTGCCTGGTTCCATTCATCTTCACAGTTGTATAAAACCCTGCGAGCTTCTTGTGGGAACATGGCATCCGTAGGGATGAGGCCTTGACTGATCTTCTCGCGGGCGAAGCGCTTCGGCTCAGGTGCAAAGTCAGCAACTCGGTGTATGTTTTCGCGTCTAGCTGCGTTGCAGTGGTATTGGTTTCCATTTTCAAAGTGTAATTCCCAGCACTGCCATGCCTTTCCGCCTCGACGCGTTGCTTGCACAAAATTTGAGAGGCAATCTGGACCTTGTGATCCTGCGCAGCCTTGTTCGTGGCTGAGAAGAGCTCTACAGCCCCCGACTCCCCGCCAATAAGGAAGGGAGGTATTGCGTTCAAGACCTGACATTCCACCGATGGTTCAAACACATGATCCCCTTTCGAATTACTTATTTTCAACCTAGCTTTGAAGTGCTACGCAAGATGGTCTGTCCGTTCAGACAAGCTGAGCAGTTTTGAATCACAGAATCCGCACCTTGAGATGACGTGTGGCATATTGATTCTCCAGCCATCGACAGGCACCAGGCTGTACGGTCTCCAGCTGATGATAATGCCGAAGATGTTGAGTGAGATGATTTTTTGGCCGAACAGTGCGCGATTCATTGGGGCCAGCTTGGCATGGTTGATGACGATAGCCCTTCAAATGTACAAGATCTGGATCTGAAAGGTGGCAATAGGCGCAATGATCTCTGTTGGTGTAAGATAGGACTACTGAGCCACCCGTGGGGTGCACAGAGCCAGGTTTCTGTGCCCAGTTGCAGTGAACTCTCGTGTCGTGTCCAGTCGTGTTTGTTCTTAAAGCTACCACAGCAGAATGTGCACTTGAGAATGCGTGACATGTCTCCGGTGTTGTGGAAGGGGTTCTGGCCACGAGCCTTCATCGTCCGTGAACGACCTCTGGCACGGCTTTTTGAAGATGCTGATCACATAGAGTGGCTTGATGTATCAGATTGAGCGGATGATGCACTGTTGGTACTATCTCCACTGATAGTCGATGACGCACGACGTGCTAAGCTTCGTCAGATGTTGGAGCGAGACTGATTTGATCCTCGCGAATCAGATTGGCGCTGGCTGTTTTGTTTCCCTACAGCCAGTTCTATTGCAGGCATGAGCGCCTGTCCTTGCTCGGGTGGTGAGTTCCGCCACCTTTATAGTGGATCAGAGGAGTTCGAGCCATAATCAGGATAACCCTTGCTATCAAGGGTGAAAAGGGATTGTTTCGGCTGGGGTATGCAGCGGCCCAAGTAGGATCATTACAGGGTGGTGGGATTCCCCCATTGCAACAATGAAGCGTCAGACTACGGGGTAGGTATCTTTATTACTACATCATAGCCTCAGAGAACGGTCGACGGATGACAGACTCATGTGTGCATCAGAGCTACATACATGCCTACCTTGTCGGCCTGAGTCACCATCGTAAACGATGTTCCGTCACGCCAGTCCGTTATGCAGGGCCTCGTGGTGCTGGTGCACGTTCCGGATCTCGAAGTGTCGCCGAAAATGACCACGCTGCCTTCCACCTCACACCAAAGGCAATTATTGGTATTGTCATCACCGATGGGCAGAGCAAGACTGACATTCGATAAGGGGTATCATAAGAGTTAACCAAAAGGCTACATAAAGGCCAATATATCATGCTTCCAGCCCCCCATCAGAATGATCTGAAGAGTTCATCTCTCAGCGTCGCTGCCGACCCTCCATCACTGTCAGAAGTAGCTCCAATGTTGAAGACGCCGCTGGTACCTTCGAAGGGAGTAATTGTCCCTCCCAGAGACTTCGCATCGCCGTAGTATTTTAGGCGGTACATGCCGGGATCCGTATGTGGTTCGATCTCCCATTCAACTGTGGCCTCGCTCGTTCCCAGCACGGTACTGACGCGTTTCCAGTGGTAGACAAGGAACCAGTCCCTGTCGGATCGCACTTCGGTCCATTGGCTAGCCTTAGCGTCGAATTTCTCCACCGCCGCAAATGTGCCTTCAAGGCGGAAACTGTTGCGTGGGTTTGCACCTACGAAACGGGCTGTTACGGTTGCTCTAGGGGTGAATTGTTTCGCTGGATCGGGAGATTCGAGTGTGTCGCCAAATCTTTTTAGCAGAGCAGGATTATCTACGATGACAGGGTTGATAAACGATAGTGAAGTGTTGACGTTGATGGGAGGGCTGGGACCTGGTGGGAGACGGTCCAAATATGACGTTTCGTCCTCCGAGCCCAGATATGGAAGGTATGTGAGAGTCAAGTTGACATAAGCTGCAAGCGTGTGCGGGCCATATAACGTACTTGCACCCTCGTATCTCTGTACGCCGTATTCTTCTTCCGTGGCGATATAGTGAGCATACGTGTTAGCTGGTCCTCCAAGGACTACTTTTGGTTCACTGATCCCGAGAGTATCTGGCGCGGCGGCTGCCAGTGCCTCGCGCCACCGCCGGCCTGACATGGTTGTGGCTTCTCCAGGACTAATGATCATGATCAGCGGGCCGACTCGGAGCAGCTGTATGTCGACAATGTTTGGAGACCAGGCGTACGGACGATGGGCTTCTCCCACATCGAGCAGGATAGGCTTGGGTTTCTGGCAGGCAACTTGCTCATCGGTAGGATCGTGAATGAAACCTCGAGCCAGCTTCCAGAGTGGATTTTTAAGGGATGGCGAGTCATCCGTGTCGTTTGTCCCTTGAGAGAAATCAAATGCGCCTGGACCGTCGGTAGTCCCACCTGCGAAGCCATAGCCGAGTGCTGCAGAGCAGGTTCTCAATTGTCGAGATTGGTTAAAGGGCGATGTGAAACTAAAAGAGGAGAAGTTTGTGTAAGTGTGAAAATAAGATATGGTGGAGGCTGGAATCCTTTCGAGGCTGTCACTTTCGAGAAGAGCTTTTGCTGCAGTAGCTTGTCGATGTCCAATTTCAAAGCAAGAATTAGTACCTTGATCAATGGCTCGGAACAAGGGCCCACGCCCGTGGCATGGTTGAGTCTGACCATCACAAGTACTGTCGTTAAAAGAACATTGAAGGCCCGTGTCTTCGCAAAATGGCCCAAGAACGTTGGGAGACGTATCGCCCACGTTCGCTTGGGAAAACCCGGCCACGAAGCCGGGATTCTCTTTTTTGACAGACTCTTCCACCAGGTAGGCCGCAACCCCTTTGTTGTCACCTGTAATAAGCGTGTTGTTTTGATACAGGGATGTGCCGTGAACCGGAAACCAGGTCAGAATTCCAATTGGTCGGCCATCAGAGGCCTTCTCGAATCGTAGAATGGTCAGGTTCTTGTCTACATCATCGGCATACCTGTCCCTTTCTTTTTTGGGATTTCGAAGATAAGCATAAGGACTTCTGTTGATGTTTGCGTCTGTGACCTGCTTTTCGCCTATGCTGAGGTGGCCGGGAACAAGACTTTGGTGTGCTCTCTGAATTGCAAGCACGGAACCATCTACGATGGCCTGATAGCTGTCTTTATAGAAGCCCTTGCTGGTAACTTGAGGCAAGAGGTAATTCAACCAAGCACCAGGCCCACTGTGGCTGTGAGTACCTGTTACGGCCACATTGTCTTTATTGTAGGCGGCGTATTCAGGACCCAGCCCCTTGAGTTTTCCGAGTATCCCATCACGAACAGCGGTATCTCCAGACTGGGTGTCAAGCACTAGATAGACTATTCGGCGTGAATGGTTTGAGGCACTTCCAATAATGAAGGCTCTAGAGTAGATACGCTGCCGAAGTCCAGTTCCAGACTGAGCAGTATCAGCATATCCCATCAAGTTGATCTCAACAACAGGCCTTAGTAAAGTCAGCTTTGATTCTAATTCGCCGAAGCGAGGGCAAATTACCCAGTTATATCAGCCTTCCCAACACCCAGGAAGTAGTCACCCTGGACACCATTCTGTTGACAGACTCGTGGCTGACCACTGTTGGCAGCTACGAGGGCCTCGTCTTGTGCATTTGCAGGAAATAATAGCCAAATCAAGGAGGAAGCAGCAACAAACGTAACACACAGCACCAGGAGAAGTTGAAGAATAGGTTTCCGTGCCATTTTCTAGTGCAGACTTCTGCGTCTGCACGAGCCGGTTCCAAGTGGATGCTCGTTTGATCAACCCGATCTTCTGCTGGGATTTCAAGGAAGTTATCGGAATGAATCATTCTCCATCGAGCACTCAGAATGATATGTAAGGCTGGCTGTCTTACACAAAGGGGAGAAAGGTTGAAAAGTAGATTATATTTTCCCTTTGCACTTGTGGTTCTACTACATCTTTCAAGTTCATGAAGCCATCCAAAGGCGGCAACCTAGAGTTTCATGGTCGTCTGTCGTCATACTGGCTCAGCCTGGTGGCCAGTCACGTGAAGAGGCATCATCACGTGAGTGAATAACTTGGCATCAATTCCATGATCGTTGAGATTTGAAGAGAGAGAAGTTGCAACCACAATGTCTCCCTCCTCTTCCCCTCCAACATTTTCAGGATGTCTCTTATTCTACAATCTCACGAATCCCTCCCTTGTTCGTATCCTGCCGTGTGGTTCTTGCATATGCTAACTCCTCACAGATGTCGATGGAGATATTTCTGATGCCGATCGTGCGACAGCGCTCGCTCTGATCACCAGAGAACTTCCTCTTGATCATGATTCCACAATTCACCCCTCTCTCGGTCTTCCTCCTACAGTCAATTTTTCCGAAATCGTTCTCACCGAGATCAACCGGGTAGCGGCGGGTGAACCCTGGCACGGAGGAATTGACCTGACCCGGTACGAAGCACCTGATGGGCCAGCCAGTGATACGTCGCAAGATGCATGGCGGCAAGCGCTAAGGAATGCATACGTCTCAAACATGTATCTTTCAGGCAGACACTCCAACCTCACATTATTAGATGAATATGGCAAGAACGCTTGGCTGATCGGCAATTCTCAGCTGGAGATTCTTCTGCAAGAACTTGAACAGGAGCTAGCCCGCCTCAAGGTTGACGTTGAGAACGTCAACAAAGCTCGGAAGGCAGCACAAGAAAATTCTAGAGGAGAACTGCTGGGATTGGAAGAGACCTGGAAACGTGGAATCGGAAAACTACTCGAAATCCAGGTTGCCGAGGCCGGCCTTCGACAGCTCATCCTGGAGCGTAAGAACAATACTGGGTCCTTATCTGCCTGAAATTATTCCAGGCTGAATGAACCAATGCAAGTAAGCAAGGATCGGTGTGACCACAGGGGGTGACGCACATCGACTGCAGGAGACTTGATCGAATGCGGAGAGTCCCCGTTCTTTACATCGGGTCAGTCACCTTGGAACGACTCCACAATGTGCAGACTCAATTCCGCATGTCACCCGTGAGTTATGATGCTCATTGAGAAGTGCTCATCGACAACTCGCATTAGACCTGACGGTCACTTCTCAAGAAACAGCCACTTCCGACCGTGGAAAACCAATCAATTCCTGCTTGTCTAGGGGGTGTGGCCTGGTGTATTCAAGGTTTACGACGCTCAGTATCTGGTCAGTCCACTTCAGTCCTTATTTTCCGTGCCGGTATTTGATGTTTTCGACGGATGCTCTCACGAAGGCCTATTTCGAGACCAAATAATGCGTTGGCCCGAGAAGCTAAAGCCTGCTCCTCTTCTTGGGGTGGGCCGTTGTACTTTGGACAAGGATATTCCCCGCTGCCTCCAACTCTTCCACGTACCCCTGATGTACTTCCACCGGTCTTGTCGGAGAAAGAGTGTCTTGTCTCTCTATGCTGATAGGTCGGTGGATACTGCCCCAGTACCCAGATTGGGTTAGACCATTGCTCCCCGCAAATATGGGTTATCTGCACCACCTCCACGGGCAGCTTCGCATCGGTCGGCAGGTCTCCTCCGTAAGCTTGCCACAAGGATTGTCCCCCCAATATCACCCTGATGGATATGTGCTCGCTGCTCCTGCACTCATTCGAGCATGGTGGCTTCCCCGCGTTTCTTGCATTGGCTGGTCGGGCTCAAAGCTACCCGTGGGGCGCAGAACAGTCGCAGGCCGGCTGACGGCGCCAGGAGAAGGTACTGACTCGACGCCTTGGCTGACAATTGACTTTTAACGTCAATGTTATACCGTCGTATTTATGGGATTTCTCTCCGGTGCCGCTATACCTCGAAACGAGTATTGGATGCAATGGCTGAAGTATGGGAAAGTCTAAGGCAAAGACATTCAATTCAGCTAGTCACGAGTCATGTTGACCTCAGCTTCAGGCTCAATGGGATCGTTTAGATGTGTGGGGACATCCCTGTCTTGCCCGAAGATCAAGGCCCAGAATTTCTAGAGCTACATCGCATCTCGAACTTTTTTGTCAAGGATGTTGCTGGTCCACTGCTAATTACATTTTGTCGATACTGGTCAGATTTCCTGCAGCACCGAGACACGCCCTGGTTTCTTCCTCCTCAGTGTCTCGCTTTCGCTTCGATGCACGTCGGGGCTATGTCACAGATATTGCCGTTGTTGGTAAACGTCGAGGACAAGTATCATTCCCAAACCCCGCATCCAGTCCGAATCTATTCAATTGAAGCCTTTTACAATGCTGCATTGACCAGGATCATCAGACATAGCCTACACCTCCTCACTTTGTTGATGTACACGGGAGCTTTGTGCATGAAACCCCTCCCTCCTCTCTCCCGAGAAGTGGAGTGTAACGAGGTTGTGAAAACTTTATAATGGGAGCTCCTCTTCTCTTCCCCTGGGTTTCTTTTCTGTCAGCCTGCTCCCGGTCGAGCAAAGCATCCCATACTTTCAGTATTCCCTGATCATCTTCAAACCAACTCGCAACCATGACCGTCCCTGATGAGGTTGATATCATTGTGTGTGGTGGTGGCAGCTCGGGTTGTGTGCCCGCTGGACGTATGTTGTTCCACCGCCAACATCAGAAAGGCAGATACTGACAGGATCGAAGGTCTGGCCAACTTGGACCACAAACTTGACGTCCTCTTGATTGAGGGTGGAGAGAGCAATCTCAACAACCCATGGGTCTACCGCCCCGGTATCTATCCAAGGAACATGAAATTGGACTCGAAGACGGCAACGTTTTACTATTCTCGTCCCTCGGAATGGCTTGATGGCCGCCGTGCTATTGTCCCTTGTGCACATGTCCTCGGAGGCGGCAGCTCAATCAACTTCATGATGTATACGCGTGCCTCGGCTTCAGATTACGACGATTTTCAAGCGAAGGGATGGACTACTAAGGAGTTGATTCCCCTGATGAAGAAGCATGAAACCTATCAACGAGCTTGCAACAACCGAGACATCCATGGTTTCGAGGGACCAATCAAGGTCTCCTTCGGCAACTACACCTATCCCATTATGCAGGACTTCCTCCGAGCAGCCGAGAGCCAAGGATTCCCTGTCACTGATGACCTTCAAGATCTTGTTACTGGGTAGGTGTCGACTCTATACGTTTTCATATCTCACTAACCAAAAATGCAGACATGGTGCTGAACACTGGCTGAAATGGATCAATCGTGACACCGGTCGTCGTTCTGATGCTGCCCATGCCTACATTCATGCCACTCGTGCCAAATACCAGAACCTCCACCTGCAATGCAATACCAAGGTCGACCGTGTTGTCATCGAGAATGGTGTGGCTGTCGGTGTCCTCACGGTGCCCACCAAGCCTGTTGGCGGAGTTAACCCAGAACGCAAATTCTGGAAGGCCCGCAAGCTAATTATTGTCAGCTGTGGAACACTGAGCTCACCCCTTGTTCTCCAACGATCTGGCATTGGTGACCCAGAGAAGCTCAAGAAGGTTGGTGTGAAGCCAATCGTTGAGCTCCCCGGTGTCGGCCTCAACTTCCAAGACCATTACCTCACCTTTGCAACCTACAGAGCCAAGCCAGACACAGAGTCTTTTGATGACTTTGTTCGTGGTGACCCCGAAGTTCAAAAGAAAGTATTCGATGAATGGAATATTAAGGGCACGGGCCCATTGGCCACCAATGGCATTGATGCCGGTGTCAAAGCGCGTCCAACAGAAGAGGAACTTGAGGAGATGAAGTCCTGGCCGACGCCTGACTTCAGCCCCAGCGGCTGGGATAGTTACTTCAAGAACAAGCCAGATAAGCCAGTGATGCATTACAGTGTTATTGCTGGTTGGTTTGGAGACCATCTTGATATGCCGGCCGGCAAGTTCTTCACGATGTTCCACTTCTTGGAGTACCCATTCTCCCGTGGCTTCACTCATATTACGTCGCCGGACCCATATGATGCTCCTGACTTCGATGCTGGTTTCATGAATGACAAGCGTGACATGGCACCGATGGTCTGGGGCTACATCAAGTCTCGCGAGACAGCACGTCGCATGCAGGCGTACGCTGGGGAGGTGACTGGCATGCATCCTCACTTCAGCTACGGCTCGGAAGCCCGCGCCAAGGACATGGACATTGCTACTCGCAATGCATATGGTGGGCCAAACCACATCACCGCTAACATTCAACATGGCAGCTGGACCGCTCCTCTGGAAGAGGGAGAGCCCCCAGTGGCAAGCATTCTGAACTCCAATAGACATCACTTCCGACCACCACTCAAGTACTCCAAGGAAGATGGTAAGTTGCAAGATCAATCAGCGTTAGAACATGTTCTTTGACTGATACTATCTAGTGGGACACATTGAGAAATGGGTGCAACGCCACGTCGAGACTACATGGCACTCTCTTGGTACTTGCAGCATTGCACCTAAGGAGGGCAACAGTATTGTCAAGCACGGTGTCTTGGACGAGAGACTTAACGTGCACGGAGTGAAGAACTTGAAGGTCTCGGATCTCTCGGTGTGCCCTGACAATGTCGGTTGCAACACCTTCTCGGTAAGTTGAATCATGTTGATGAAGAATGATCCAGTGCTAATCATTGCTATAGACTGCTCTCCTTATTGGCGAGAAGTGCGCTGTCCTGTCGGCAGAGGATTTAGGATACAGCGGAGCTGCTCTTGACATGAAGATCCCCAACTACCATGCTCCTGGTGAGACAGTTAGCTTGACACGTTTGTAGGTCAGAATGCGAAGTGAGGGAAATGGGCGTGGGAGAGGGAGATATTTGCACAGCTGCATTGAGATGAGGGTATGCTTGGGGAGGCCTATGAATTGATCATGACTGTCTGGACTGATCGATCGCTCATTTATGTAAAATTGGCCAGAAAAGTGACCGGTTAAATTGAATGCATAAGTCCTCCAATGTGTCCTTGGGTCCGCATCGCTCAGCATTCACTTCTAATCACGTGGAGCAGAGCACGTGTAAACCCAGATATCCTACTGGCACGGATAGATCAGGGAACGGCCTGGGATGGATCCAGGATCTACAATAATGAAGGCATAACAAATCGACAGCCCGCGACCCCTCTTCCTTGCACTCTTGCAGGGACCCCTCACTTGGTTGGCGAGGTAAGATTAAAGGCCGGCTAGATGGTGTTGATTCTTCTCCATACCTGAGAGAGTCGCCTTTGTAGGGTTGTCGTCCTTGTCGTTAGTCTGGAGATGTGCTCCGTGGGTACGCCCGAAGCCTTTCCCCATAAGCCACCTTATACTCCATACTACGAGGTAGAGCACGGGAAGTAATCAAATGAACACATGTGGGCGGCCACAGCGGGTATTACATTAGCTTGTTGGAGCAGACCTCGCAGGGTGACCACTGACCACTGGCTAGGATCCCCGGGCCGCTGCCAGCCACTTCCTCTGCCGCTTGTCGGTAGTGACTTAGCGTGAGCTAGTGAATTAGTGACGGCCATAATTAGCACCATCAGCGGAAGTAACTGCTCCTCCGCGAGGCAAGTTTTCCATTAGTATGGCGCTAAAGTCCTAGTTCCAGCTAGCACTCCGTACGCACCTGTCTAATATCCACCCATGTCCATCTCTCGACGAGTAGCCTCTTCACTGTGCCGTTGATGTCATTGTATCAACCAACTTGGCAACGCCATTGTCAATCCTGTCTGGCTAAGACACCACGAATCGTCGATACCGCTTTTCATCATCATCCTAGCCACGGTTAACAGCGCCCCGGCCATGGTGCCACAGTTGTGTCCATGTTGATGCCTGTTCCTATTCGTCACTTCATCGTCACTCCATGTGCGTCTCGCACTCCGGTCGGCCAACTCCCAAGTTCCAAGTCTAGCTCCTGGCTCGCCTCACAATGGTCTGACCAGGCCAAAGTTGCAATTTGGGTTCATGCTCACTGATAGATGAAATCATTGTTGCTGCTGCTTTCTACAGATTTCAACTCTTGTCCGTTGCCCATTCTACCACCACCGAGTATTCTGTACTTGTATCGGGTATCTCATTCTGTTGCATTTCTACGTCTTACCGCTACCAATCTTGTTGTCTATTTCTGCCATCTTTTCGCCACCGCGCCTCAATGGCCTATCAGGCCTTCCTTTGCTAGACCAAGACAAGCCTGATTGATCCCAAGGGTTCTCGGCCCCAAATGCAATCCAGCACAACATCGTCCACCGCGCGTCCCTATTCTCCTGCTCATGCCTCAACACGTCGGAATTTCGTGACTGACCAACAAATCTCTCGTGACGACACATCTGCCTGCGACGAAGAACTGCCTCACCGCTCCTCGGCATTTCTCGAAATTGGTTTGGGAGGCGATGATCCAATTGTTGATGCAAAGCTGAGAAGAGAAGCAAGACCCAAGCCATCAGTACGTTTTCGAAGTAAAGTAGACATCGTTGAACCAGAGACATTTGACGACTACAATACCACTCATTCCGCCCACCCACCTCCTCGCCGAGAAATGCCTTTCTTTTCCCCAACCCTTCCGAGACTATTGTTTCTCGTGCTTGTCATCGTCCTTATCGCCCCAAGTCTCCATACCTCTCTTCTTCTTCAAGTCGACGCAAACCCAGTGCGGCCACGACCAGGGCCTCTCGACGACAATCTGAGGCGATCCAATGCTCTCAGACCCATGCCACACACTAAGAGAGCCGATACATCTACAACAATATGTAAGAGATGGTCTCAGCAGAGTGCCTTGGTTAATGGCACTTTGTACCTCTATAGTGGTCGATCGACGACCTCGGCGAGTCAAAATTCCGATACCTGGAGTGCGTATTTATTCCCGTGGGTTCATTCTTCAAGTACAGTGACTGACAACCCTCATAGATTCGGACTTTCTGACCCTCGACCTGACCAAGTCATGGCAGATTTCATCCCCTTCGTTGACCGGACTGCCGATTCCAAGTGGTCCACCCTCCGTTTCTCTGGGGTATTTATGGAATTCCTACGACTCGCTCTACCTCTACGGCGGCGAGTTCTCCGATAATCCTGTTACCTCCCCTGTACCCTTCTCGACCTGGTCATATGACATCGGAAGCTCATCGTGGTCAGAGTCGAAGGATCCTCGGACTGTTGCAGGCGAGAATTCGGATGGTGGAAACAACCCGGTTCAGCGAGCTGCAGAAGGAGCTGGCTTATCTATCCCTAACCTCGGCCGTGGCTTTTATTTCGGAGGTCATCTCGATGGGTATACAACGGAAGGATGGTCCCAGTCTATCGCCCGTGTTTATCTTCGCGGCCTCCTCGAATACACCTTCCCCGGATACAGCAATCCTGCTGTCAACAACGGCGCCGTTGCTGGTGCTGAAGGTGTATACCGCAACATTACAGAGGGAGGCATACAAGACTCCAGTGGATTTCCGGAGCGTGCAGATGGCATTCTCGTATACGTTCCTGGCTATGGCAAATCGGGCATTATTCTAGGGCTGGCCGGAGGAACCAACGCCACCTTCACCCAAATGAACGTGATTGATGTCTACGACATTGATTCGTCCACATGGTACAAGCAAGCCACGACTGGTCCAACTCCGGAAATTCGTGTGAATCCTTGTGCTGTAGCAGTGTCGGCTGCGGACGGTAGCTCCACCCAAGTTTACATGTATGGCGGTCAAAACTTGATCCCTGCCGGCGAACAAAAGCAGTATGACGACGTATGGATTTTGACTGTTCCATCATTTACTTGGATCAGGATCGATACATCTGACCAAAGTGTGCCACCTGCTCGTGCCGGTCATACCTGCAATGTCTGGAACGGACAAATGGTGGTTGTAGGTGGCTATGTCGGACAAGATTTATCTTGTGATAGTCCAGGAATCTACGTTTTCAATACGAGCTCTTTGGCTTGGCAAAATAGCTATGTTGCCTTGGAGACAGACGATAGCCTAAATAGGCAAACCAGCCAGAAGCACGACCCATCAGCTCTTCAAGGATCATTTGGCTATGCCGTGCCGAAAGAAGTACAGTCAGTTATTGGTGGAAATGCTGTCGGAGCAGCAACCATCACTGCCCCCGCTCAAACCGCTTCTAATGGACCTCTTGCTACTGGTGGACCGATTACATATACGGTCACAGGGGCTGACGGCTCCGTTGCAACAGAGACCTCTATTCCCGGCAGTGGGACCAGCGAGAGTGGCCACTCTTCTAGTGACAAGAATGTCGGTGCCATTGTCGCGGGGGTCATTGCTGGCTGCTTAGGTGTCTTGGCTGCCTACCTCGGCTTCTGTGCTTGGATTTATCGCAGACAACTCAAAATCTACAAGAATCATACCGCGTTGGCACAGAATCAGACTATTTCTGGTGGTGACCATCGATACTTTGGCACCGGATTCATCGGTGGTGGTAAACTGAGCAACCAAGAAAAGAGTCAAACCAGTGACAGCCGAAATAGTGCAGACAACCGAAGTGGAGATGCCAACAGTACGGGAAGAGCCAATGCACTCTCCAGCAATAACCCTTACCGATCTGTACCAGGCGGAGCAGGAACAGCCACAGCGGCAAGCAGTACAGAAGATCTGATGGCCGGACAGGAGCCGAGTTTCCTAGGAGTCATGTTGAACCCTCGTAGGAGTTTGAGAGTTGTCAACCGGGATTGAGCGGGACACTAAAATTATGATTTCTACGATCTGGCAACGATAATCCACTAATCTTGTTGAATATATATGTGTGTACGTGGGAAGGTCTAAATACACGCACGGTACTCTATTGAACGCCTTGGTTGTCTTTGCTTGAGCGGACGCCATTTCCATCCTCTAACTCTGAAAAAGAACGAGCTATATTTTTATAGATTCGGCAGTACGATATTATAGGCGTGGTGTCCATCTAATATCATTATCTCGCTACCCTTATTATAATGATAAAATCTACCCTTCTTAACTAAAACTTGATCGATATATAGAGTGTCTATCTATAGCTTAAATAAGTTTACTATTATCTCTCTATTATAAAATACAATATCGTAGTATGTTACGTTCTAGACGCCCTCTAGGAAGAAAGCCACACTTCTAATCAGGCGTACCACCTAAACTGGAACTATGGGCTTCGTTACGGCGGACCCGCCAGAGCTAACCAGGTCTAGATGGCATGCCTGAATCCAGCGACCAGGAAGCTCGAATCGACTGCACGTCACATCGGCATATTGACACAGAGGGATGGGGTCTAGGCGCGCTCTGTGGACAAATAGTATGTATATATACGGTGCAGCATATGAAAAGGGGTAGTTCACACTTGTTGAATTGTGTAAGTAAGTAGGTATCAACACTACTTACTATAGGAACCTTTCGCCAACTCAGCCTAGTAGTAGCATCAGCTCGCCTGTTGCGCATTGTCTGAGTTGGTCTTTCGTTCATTCAATCGTTCGTCCGTCTCTGTAGTCCGCGCCTCATCGCCGCGCCTCTTTTGGGTACATCGCGTACACTCTCGTTCTGATATCGGCTGCTCCCATTCTGTGTGTCAGCTTGTAGTGGCGCGTCAATTGTCGCCGATCGCTTGTAATCACCCCAGTATCGTCGGCGACGGAGGAGTCGTCGGTGCACAAGTCGCAGAGCCAGACAGTTGCTCCATCGACGAGGCCCATCCCGGTGGCTCTCGCGGCGTTTATAGCGCGTTGGTTTGGATGTGGAGCTGGGAACGATGGAGCTGGAGCTGGCGGTGGTGCGAGAGCGGCTGGAGGGTTGGTAATAGCAGTGCTAGTAGTGGTGGTGTTGGTGCTGGGAGTCGTCGGAGCAGCAGCAAGGATGGCAGGATCAATAGGAATAGGAGCAAAATTGACAGGAGCAGGAGCAGGAGCAGGAGCAGCGAAGACGTTGGGAGCGTCAGTCATCTCCGTGTCTACATCGTCATTGTGGTCTTCCTCGGCCTCCATGTTGTAATATGGTGGATATTGGTTCAAGGAGCAGCTCTCGGGGTCTGGGTATTTGTATACAGGGGTCAGAGGTGCCATGGTATGACCAGGAATTTGCGTTTTGTGGTTCAGAGAGAGTGGTTGGCTTAGGTGGATTATGATTGCCTGTGGCGGTGGTAGAACAACTAGTAAGAGGTCTTTTTGTCTACGAGGCTGAATCTGGCAGGGCGTAGTGGTGCTTGTAAAGGGGAGACCGAGCTGGCTCACAAAAGGAACGAGGAGGGTCGACTGTCTTTGTGCTTACTCAAAGTTTGAGAGGAAGACAAGAGGCAAGGCTGGGAGGTAGGGTTGGTATGCAATTGGGCTTTAACGGTCCGTAGGAGAAGACAGTCTCAGACACTTAGAGGGTGGTGAGCGCGAGGAGGAAATTAGAAGAGGATCGAGAAAACCAGATCGTGGGGGGCAGGTACAAGCTAAGCCATACTCTGGAGCATTCATTCTGCAACAGCGGCAATATGGTAGAGCGATAGCAAACGGACGGAGATTGTGCAGGGTGGAGCGCCTTACCGCGAGCGGCGCGCGGTATTGTAGGCAGAGGGGCGCAGAGACGGGAGCGGCGACAAGGTCTAGCGAATGGGGATGAACGGACCAAATCGATCGAAAGCTTCAGGTCTTCTTCCATCGCACACGTCGAACCCATTGAGCCCATTTTTGCATGTCTTCCCTCTCACAGATCCGGTCGACAGTATACCAATCACAAGCCAGCTCCTCATTAGAAGCCATGCGATGCACAAAGCTGTGGCAGGCGCGACAGAGCCATGCGACACTGTTCAGCTTGTGCTCCTCGTGCCAGCCTCTTTTGAGGACTTTGGTGTGAATCTGCCGAGGGATGAGATGGTGGTATGTCATCGGTACCCAGTCCCGTTCACAGATCTCGCAGGCGCCTGTCTTGGTTGCGATCCATTTAGGAGGTGGGATGGTCACGATCGAGACAAAGGTGGACAAAACACCACCCATGAAAGACTGGATGTCGGACTTCGGTGGCTCAATGATCGCATATGTTGCTAAACTGTCCACGACATCTCCTGAGATATGTGCAGAAGCTTCCTCAATCATGGAAAGAGTGAGTGGCAAGGACCACTTTTCCGAGAGCTCTGCATCATTCTGCGTCGCATGGTAGGACAGGCCCTTGAGTTCATTTGGAAGGCTGGTGAATATTTCACCGGCGAGGTAGTCTGAAAACTCTGCAAGAGCAGAGGCGTCTCCCTCTTTAGATGAAGCTTCCGTATAGAGGTTTTCACGAGGCTGAGACTCCCCTTTCTCGCCATGCTTGGCTAGGCCACCCTTTTTGGCGGCTTTGCAGGCTTTCTTAGACAGATCCAGAGATTTTTCGACTATTGCTGAGAAGATACAGTCTCTGAAAGTATCATAATTGCCATAGTCGTCGTTTTCCATCGATTAGAGAGACGTCGGTGCAACAGATTGTGTGACTTGAACAAGTACAATCTCGTCAGAGGAGTAAGGGGAGAGGATCCTCAAAGAGATCCCCTCTCGTGGCTCTCAGCCTTGATATGTTTGCAGATCTAGCAGCTCTTCACGATTTGTGTGTGAACCTATCAAACGTTGAAGTCTTGAGGTTTGAAAGCTCTGCGTCAGTGTCCGAGATCACTCTGACGCTTAGAAAGATAGATCGAAGTCATCCGTGACACCTACAGAATGATTGCTTGTCTGGATTAGAGAGAAGATTTTTAGATGTGAATATGTAGCCAAGCTATCACGCTCGGGTGTTAGTATCATCAAGCAGTTGTTTACGGTTTATCGTGTCCAGCCTTGATCTGGTTCTTGGACAGAGGCGACGTCTGTCTCAAATAGCGCTAGTGGAGTCACATGTTTTAGTCGTTAGGCATGTGGGGTCAATTGGGGGGGGAGCTATGGTGATGATTCCAAATCATCCAAGAAGCAAAAACAGTACTTATATAGTAGATACCTGCATTGTGTTCATTTGAACTGTACTTACGCGGGGATCTTTACACAAATATGAGCAAAATCGTAGTGGCATTTGATCTCTATGGCACATTGTTGTCCACCGAAAGCATTGCGCAAGAGCTGGCATCTCATTTCGGTGATGACAAAGCCAAATCCATCGCTGCGGTGTGGCGGAAATACCAACTTGAATATACATGGAGGCTGAATAGCATGAGTAAGACGTGCTCTTTCACTAAGGAGGGCGGCTGTTGTTGACAACCCATCAGAAAAGTACGAGCACTTTTCGGAAGTGACTCGAAAAGCCCTGAAGCATGCGCTAGCAGAGCACGGCGTGGGCTTGAACGACCAGCAGGTTGATAAGCTGATGGAGGCTTATGATTCTCTGTCCACCTTTCCCGATGTCAACCCAGCGTTGAAACGGTTGGCAGGGAACAAAAATATCGAAAACGTGGTTTTTTCTAACGGGACCAAGTCTATGGTTACGAATTCCGTCCACAAGTCGGGGAGTTTGGACTCGGCTGTCTTCAAGGATATCATCACTGTCGATGCTGTCGAAGTCTTCAAACCGGCTCCAGAGGTATATCGATACTTGGCGCAGAAGGTGGGCAAACAAGGGCAAGAATCCGATTTGTGGCTTGTGTCAGGTAATCCATTCGATGTTGTAGGATCAAGAGCAGTTGGCATGCAGGCTGCATGGGTGGACAGAGCTGGCAACGGGTGGCAAGATACACTTGGTCAAGGACCGACAGTGGTTGTCAAGAGTCTGGAGGAAGTAGCCGATGCAATTGAGAAGCACGCGTCTGGTAAAGCTTGAGTGGTCAGAATGTGAAAAAACATAGATATGTAGATTGTTCTAGACTGCATCATCTCTGTACCGCTCATGTGGAGCCGACGCGGTTGACTCCCGACTTCGACGAGCCTTTTCCATTTTCGCGGTCCACAAGGCACTGCCGGCAGCAGTAGTGAGGAGAAAGAACATGCTCAAGACAGGTATCAACTGCAGTGATAGTGCAACTATGCCGAACCACATGTACTTAAGTTTCCGCTTCTCGATGTATTCATTGCGATCCTTGTTGGAAAAGCCAAGGAGCTTGAAATACCTCCAGCTGTGGAATGGCCCAGCTCGATATCCGGTGAGAATAAGGAAGATTGGAACGCCAACCACAGGGATTAAGTTGACCGGAATAAGGATGACGAATTCTACGATTTGACGTAGACTAAAGGGACTGTACACGGACGAGACTGTGGGTTTCCCAAGCATTTTGACCGAGTTCGGGGCGGTGGTATCGAGCAGCCGACCTTCTTGAACTAGATCGGAGAGCCCTTGGTCGATGAGCACGGCATCAAACACATCGACCAAAGTTTCATCCACGAGGAAGGCTTCGAAAAGTAAGGCAACGATCGCAGCACCCTCCGACAAGACAAGGAACGCTGCATTTACCCATGCTCCTGCGTGGTGGAATGCTGCGAGAAGCGCAACTTGCGGCAAATAAGTCCAAATGAATAAGTTGACGTAAATGAAGGCAGAAAGGAGGAGTATGGGTATCAGACGAGCTTTGAAGAGGGTGTAGAGGTACGGATGTGTGGCAAAATAGAAGATTCCCTGGAAGATTGGGTCAGTTCGAGGCCTATGAAGATCGCAAGGTGGAGGACTAGGACTGACCTTGAGAGGGTAGAGGAACGTTGCATCGAGAAATTTTCCCGCCATGTTGGTCGGACGAGTTTGAGTAGAGGTATCTTTGTTGTAAGAAAAGAGAGGGGGGGGCCTGCAATGGCTATGGCTTGTGGTTCAAGACAGTTGTAGACAGACTCGAAGTCGATGCAGAGCGCAGGCTGCATTCAAAGGCGATGACGCAACGCTGTGAATTCGAGAGTCGGTGCTAGTGGCTTGGCAGAGAGCCAGGACTAAGATTTATCTTCGTTTGACTCCAGTTTGTGTGCTTTTCTCTCTTCTCCAAATAAACTGAAAGATCCTCTGTATTCACTCTGTCAAAACTATCAAATATGGTTGCTGGAGGGGAAATCAGCAGGATAGAGGAATGACTGCCTACTTACCCCGTGATCTTCTGCTGTGCCACTGTCAAACAGTCGGACGCAGATTGTGAAGTTTCTGGAAATGAATTATGGCTGCACATGCGTTCTGGAACTTGAACTCTACCCAGGTGCCTAGGTAGACAATCAGGCAGGTCCAAGGCTAACGGTTACACAACAGCATACTCGAATATGGAGGGACTGGTAAAAGGTCCGAGAAATTGGTTGCTGCCTTTGGTATCCCTTCATGCCGAGGAGAGCCCAGAGGCGAGGCCAGCGAGACGAGAATTTGTGGCCTTTGGGGTTTCTCTGACCAGACAGATCAGCCACTACGAAGCACTGATTCTGGTGCTCAACGGCGCCGTTGATGTGCACAAGCGAGCACGCGGATGAGTCTCCTGATGCATGCAGGGCTTCACAAGTCTGACTACCGAGGACCAGCCCCTCATTTCGCGTCTGCATCGTCAAAAATTCACATCTCCAGACTCTCTTCGCACCGGAAGATAGTTTAAGTACCCCAGAGACAGGAAATTGAGATTTGCGTCCCGTGTCCGTGCTGTATCCAGTAGGTCTTTAAATATCAGCCCCTTTCTGAACATTCCGTAGAAGGCAAGTGAAACGACTGCGAGTCAATGGGAGGCCGGTTGATCAGGTATCCGTGCAGGTGCAGCGTCTGGCCGTTGGGTCTAGAGGTCGAACTATGGGAATTGAACCAGTCAACAAGAGAAGAGGATCTCGTTAACCAATCCCCCTCACAAGGATAGGGGAGGAAATTGCCACCCGAGACTCCGAGAGTCAAGGCCTGTCAGCCAACCCGCCAACCTTGGGCTGGGGGTTGTCAGTACTCCGCAGCCACGGCCCTTAGCATGGAGTTAGTTAAAGCACCCGCACCTATGAGCCTCTTCTGAGCAACTAACTTAGGTAGGAGGTGCTCTGTACAGATCAGGCGCCGAGCAAGTTAAGGGTTGCCTCCAGTCGCCTCCAGTGGTGGGCCGACCCCAGATTCAGTGCCCCCAACCGAGGACCCCAAGCACAAGACCTGGAGGCGGGCGATGGACGACACGCTCTCTAACAAATACGGTCTCTGTCTTCAGATTCTTTGGTAGTGAACGCATTCGCAGTACTCCGTCATATAGCAGAGCAAGGCAGCAGGTCCCGACACCTGCTAATCCAGGGTGTCCGCCCTCCCCAGGTCTGGAGGAGCTGTCAACCGTGACTGCACCTCGAACAATCCAATATGAGCCTGAATTTCCTTCGCCCTTCCCCGTCTGCCACAGGCAGCACCAAATCTGATGCATTCACCATCTTTCCGGGGTTCAAGGGAGCTGGCACTAATTGTTAGTTTCTCGTTTCTTTTGCTCTCGTCTCCATCGGTGTTTTTCCCTTTCATCCTTCAATTTTCCCTTACTTCTTCTTTTTCCACACGCCGACGCTCCCGTGTCATGGATCGGACCTTTCAGTTGATGATGCTCGCAACCGCTTTTTGATGGCTATTTGTCGTCGACCAGGACTGGACTCTAACTGGCACCCCACAATACCTCGTACAAGGCGCGTCCCATCCACGTGGAGATATTCTGGCCGCAAGCTGTCGAGCCTCCCCGTAGGCCGAGGGGTTCAAGTCCCCCGTGCAAATCCACCGTTCCCGCCTTTCAAGTTTACGAGCACCACGTCTGACTCCTGCTACACCCTTCTCCTCCAACCCTTTTACACTTCTCGAAAGGCTATGTGCCGACGTTCTCCCGCCCACCTCGACCTGCCCGTCTTGCTTCCTGCGAAACGAAGTCAATAATGTCGTCCATATCTCCTATAACCTCATACTCGTCGACACAGCCTCCAGATCCAAGCGGAGCCTACAAGTATGAGGATCCCACTGCCTACCACATCCCCACAGGCTATCCCAACCAGTTCGAAGTCTCTCTACCCCTCTCGCGATCCGATTCCGAGGCGCAGAGAGATCTGTCGAAAATTCAATCTGCTGGTTCCTCCGAACCAAAGATTCGTCTGCGCAAGGCCTGCGATAGCTGTAGTGTGCGGAAAGTAAAAGTTTGTATACCCAGATCCTCCCCCGTCTTGATGCCGTCACTAACCCGGTCGGACAGTGTGATGAGACCGGCCCGCCATGCAAGTCTTGCGCCGCTCTCGAGATCCCTTGTACTTTTGATCGTCCCAGTCGTCGTCGAGGTCCTCCAAACAAACACGCTGAGGCAATCAAGAGACAAAAGCTGGAAGGCGGTGCTTATGAAGGGTCCAGAGGCTCTCCAACTCATGATGCAGCCTACAGTTTGGCCTCTCTTGCTGCTCCTGTTCCTCTATCCGCCGAATCAATCTGCGATTTACCCACCCTGGGACTTCTCTTGGACGACTATTTCACCTACATCCACCCTTTGATCCCCGTTCCCCACGAGCCTACGTTCCGGCGATCCTTCGAGGCTAGGGAAGATCGGACCAACCACAACTTTCTGTCATTAATTGCCGCTATGGTCGAATGTCTCGTTGCGTCGTTTCCGCGCAGACCGCGCCAGCTGTTCACCTCGGAACCGGCCAGAACGCAATTTCCTCACGCTGGAGCCTTGATTGATCGGTGTCATCAGGTTTTCATTGAGGCGCGGGGTATCGGCTACATGGACAGGCAAATGAATCTTTATGATGGCATTGCTAGCTATCTGGTTGGCCTTGCCGCTGGCTATGTCTTGGATATCGCACGCATGCGCCTGTATCTTGGAGAATGCACGATCATCACACGGGAGCTTGGCTTCCATCGCCCCGAGATATACCGCCCTGCCGCAACTCCTGGCGGAACTTTTCAGCCAGTCGACCTGCAGCGACCACCACCTATTGACCACGTATACCAAGAGTCTGGAAGACGCTTGTTTTGGCTCTTATTCGTGGGCGCGATGTCCGCTCGACAGCTCGACGATGCAGAGGGTGACTTGTTGATTCCCCCGGTCTCCCACGCAGAAATGCTCCCCACACTTCCCTTGGAGGTGGACGATGAGTACATCACTGAATCACAGGTCTATCCACAACCTCGAGGCGTAGTTTCGGAAATTGCGGGTTTCAATCTCAACGTTAAGGTCTTCCGCGCCTTTCATTTCCTGGCTGCTCTTGAACTAGCATTTGGAGCCAACACGGTTTATGACTGGGATCGCCAACGTCAATTCATTCGCCGTGCGCTCCAGAATGTCAAGGATGCAACGCGAGACGCACCGAAAGAATTACAATTAAATCCAGCCAACGGATTCGGAGAATGGCCACCAACTCAAGCCGACATTTCGGCGTACTCGCACCTATTCAATGAGCGAGAAGGTGCAGAAACCGAGTTAGCCCCAACCCCCGTGAGTGCTCGAGGTTCTCTGTCCGGTGTATCACTCTCCAAAAGGTCCATACAGTTCGAAATCCAGAAGGCGAACATCTATGGAACGCAACTCTCATCAAGATCATATCTTGTGGAGAGATTTTGGAATCTGTACGAAATCGTCGACCGAGACAAATTGACCTTTCCCACGGAGAAAGCAGGGGCCAGCTCTTCACCCACTGCCGGGATCATGACCACAGGAATGGACCACAGCTACAGGCAGGTGACTGGTCGCACTCCTAGTGACAGTCTGATGGATACTGGAGAGCAGATGATGGCTGTGGAGAGAGAAGATATTGTCAGGGACATGGCTTTGCTTTTGAAGAGCATCAACCAGGTCAATATGGAGCCGAACGGAATGAGTTTTGTGAGTTGCAAGCACTTTTTCTGATGGTAGCCTGCTAATCCTGTCCAGTGTAACAAAATCCGCACAGTGGCATCCACCTTACTCGAAACAAAACGTGCCAGAATGAGCGTTATGCCTACACTAGACTCGGAAAGTGTCAACAGCTACCTCCATGCATTCCTTGATATACTGTCCAAACTGGAGCGACTAGGTCCCGGCCGCTTCCGCGGTGTCGCTGATGGGACTACTGGTGGCATCCTGAGGACACCAGAGGAGATTGAGGAGGAGGAGCTGGTCTACTGGGCAAGTCTAAAGGAACACCAGGAGAGGTTTGTCCGGTCGAACGGGGTCTGGTGAAACATTGGCTAGCTTGCATAAGTGGTATTTTATGAGAAACGGCAACAACTGGAGCAAGGGGAATGCAAATGGATAAAACAGAACAGGCAGGACAGCGTGCGTAAGGATCATTGCTGTGAGCTCTGACTGGCTTGGTTTCAAGGGTTTTATGCCAGATTTTGATACCCCATACGAAAATGCCACTGCTTTGCTTGAAATGGTGGAGAACGGGGCATTGTCCAACGACGTGCACTACATTCACATTCCAGAGCCCTCGGTTAAACCGATTAGGGTGGAGGGAGAGAGAACAAATGATCATATCTCATAGTCATACAATATGTGTTGGAGATTTTTCGTGTTTGTACTGGCTGTGTACCTTGTGATTGGTAGATCCACCGCGACATGAGTCTGGCGTGCCTCGAATGCCACAAGACGTCCCAACTCCCAAGTCGGCAATATTATATCATTTCTTGGCAGCGGCAAGAGTGGGGATGGGTGAGAACTTCAAGTCCACGTAACATATCCTTGACTTCATCACGAGTCTTGCAGATCCAGGGTCGTCAATATCTCTGAGGAAATATGCTCATCTAGTTTTGAATAACCAAGAACAACGCCCAAGCCAGCATGAAAAAAGAAACATTGATCAGCATGACGAAGCGCCTCAGGGGAAGCCACACTGTTTGAGGCAACAAAACTCTCCAAATCCAGTGAAGCTGTAGCTTACTGGATTTCTCAACGACCACGATGAATTCTAGTCGACATCCATGGAATTCAAAGCCAAAGCGCCAACCACAAAGATTGGTCAGAAAGGAACCCGAAATACACATGGCGGGGCCACTCCGGCGCAAATATGACGCCGAGTCGGGACAAGTGTACTCGGAGATGGAGATTCAACTCGGTCGAAAACAGCGTTCGAACTGGATAAGCGACCCCAGAACTCCTTCGCTGGTTAAAAAGGCAGCTATGGTCAATGTTGGGAGAGGGGCCCGTTCACTTACAGATACCGCGAAGAACCAAATCGCGTCTCAGTTCCGCAATTTGACCGCGGAGCATTTTGTCAACGTGCCTTGGTCTGTGGCAGAAAGTCTTTGGCAGGAGGTCCTCGAGCGGTATGATATACAGGATACACTAAGACCTTTGCTTCCCCTTTTTTGCTGACGTTGCAGGATAGGCGAGCGGAGAGTTTTCATGGTTGGAGGACGCTAGCCAATGCATACCCTCATGCAGAAGAGTTCGGGCAGCGACAGTACAGGTACTTCATGGACGTCAAGCAACCACAACTATCGCTTCTGGACTATATGACGGGCATTACATCGGCCGAGCCGACCTGGCTGACCTGCCTTCGGATATCGCCCAAGCAATTGACCACCTCGGAGCTCGTCTCGCTCCACAAGATAACGAATCTTGCCGTCCTCGATCTCTCCGACGGCCAAGTTACGATTGACAACAATCAATCAACGTTCGACGAACGGGTGATGCGGACTTGGGGGGAGCTAGCGATGTCACGAGAAGCATTTCAATATCTACGCGTGTTTATGTTTGGATGGCAGGAGAATTTGTCCGCGTGGATATTCAAATACGTGGATCAGTTCCCGTCGCTATGTCAAATTATAGTCACGGACTGTCCGCGGATGCACCAGAAGAATCGAAGCGACTGGGAAGATATCTCCAAGGCGGTCGGCTGGGAGGGCAGACACGCCAAGAAAAGTGCGAAGAGTCTGCGCCCGATCATCGCCGACCCAGAATTCTACTTTGGCACCGTTTCTGGATGTTACTACGAGAGCATGGAGCTTTTCGAAAACCTGGCCGCGAGTGAGGCGACACCAGCTGTCACAGATCCCATGCCGTTGCTGGAAATATCCATCGGGTCTCCTAGGCAATGGTCTCATGTGGTAGAAGACTTCCCATCCACACGGACAATCGTGTTCGATAACGTCAAGACGGGGTCTTGGCTGGAGAGCACAAAGCAGCAGCCGTTCATGATTGAGCATGCTCATCGGGACCAGACTAAACGGGCGAGGAACTCTGATGTGGTGTCCCCAGTGGGTGGGCTTCCTCCCTCGAAGAGAGGAGCAACTGCAGTCAGAACGATGAGAAGGAAACACGAGAAGAGTGTAATGGACATGCTTGAAGAGTTTAGGAGATGAAAGGGGATTGGCATACTCGGAAGACCATCGACCGCATAGCCATGTTCTGGATATGGCTTTTTTTAGCTGCACTCTTGCTCTGTTGTAAGTACCAACCATCCACCCGAAACCCGGGATTTGGCTTGAACGGTTGTCCTCGGCCACCTGGAGCGTTGAGAACCACCCGTAGTCTTACCTAAGTAGTGTCCATGGAGTCGTCAGCCCAGCAGGAGGAGCCTTAGGCTCCGGGCGGCCCATTGCCGGATACCACCGCTAGCGCCACCGCTAGACGAGTGCTGTAACCGTACTCGTAGGTGCTGGAGCTGCCTTGCCTACTCCGGATGCCTGACTACGGACGAAGCAGAACTAACACCTGACATCACCTGAGCTCGTGAACTCTGCACGGTGTAGCGTGAGTCCGTATTTAATTTATTCCCCATTCAACCTCCTTGCACGAGGTACCAACGTACAACTCCACTTTGTCGTTCTTCTCGTTTCCTGGTGTCATTTGTCATTTACCATCTACTACGAGTACTTCGTACTGCGCACTGATCCCAGGCCATCTTATCTAAGCCTGACGCGTTTTGCTACTGGTGCTGCACACAGAATGTACCCCGCGTCTGCTTGATTCAAAGCTTCGACATCCAAGTCCCGCCTTTCTTGAAACTGCTGCACCTCCCCACTATCCAAATCCTTCTACTGCGAGTACGATTCTACGACACCTGCGTTGCAACTATATCTCAAGGAGGACAAGCGATACAGCTGTCCTCATCCTCAGCACCATGTCTACCCCCAGCCGGGACCCTCCGGTCAACTCTCCACCCTCCGCCGGTGTGCCACCGAGATCCAGTTTTGACACCCAGTCACCCACGGGCAACTCAAGGACCCCTTCCCTGCGCATCCCCTCCATGCCCAGTGCAGCCGCACAGCACCGTCAAAGCTTCCATGAATTGCGAGGCCTCCCTCCATCACCTCGTTCCCAAAGACAGCCTTCTCTATCACAAATCGCTCTGCAAGACCTCATTGATAACCCCCCAATGAACCACCCAGATCCAAAGTTCGCCGGCCGAGACTGGCAAACCGTCAAGGTCAATGAGTTGGCCAATCCTGATGACCTCAAGTTTGTAGATATTGATACCGGTGTCGAGGCTGCAACAAAGGTGCGCGCCCTCTAGCCCGCAACCCTCAACCCTTACGAGACTGACTGGCTTAGTTGCTCATTGAATCTGGTGCCCCCGTTGTCCTCATACGTGAAACAGAGGGTTCCCCCGTCATTGGGACCTTTGACGCCAGAGACCTTAATGCCTACTTGCTGCTCGTTGTGGGCCTGTCAAAACCCGACGATGAACATGCGGAAGATTTCCTTCAGTTGGCCAGGAGAGCACGAGAAGGGAAACCCATTCCACTGAGAGAGATCCAAGATCTAAGCAAGAAGGAGCCCTTGACATTCCTTGACGAAAATGCCGACCTGATCAAGGCCATCGAGACTTTCGGAAAAGGCGTACACCGAGCAGTGGTCAGGAACCAAGAGACTGGTAAAGTTACGGGTGTTCTCAGTCAGAGTCGTTTGATCAGGTTTCTGTGGGAGAACGGTCGCAGCTTTCCCGTGCTTGAGCAACTCTATACCCAACACCTGCGCGATCTCAAGATTGGCTCCAATGATGTTATCTCTATCAAGTGAGTCCTACCAATATCTTCCCTAACCACTCTCAAAACTGATCAAGTCTTCAGCGGCGACCGGCCTTTGGCAGAAGCCCTGACTCTCCTATTAAACGAGGGAATTTCCTCACTCGCTGTGGTAGATCACAACCACAACGTTGTGGGAAACATCTCCAATGTCGACGTCAAGCTTCTCACCAAATCCTCCTCTCTCCCTCTCCTGCGAAACACCTGCATTCACTTCATCACCGTTATTCTATCCACTCGGGGCATGTTTGAAGGGAAAGATTCCTTTCCTGTCTTCCATGTCACCCCTCTCTCCACGCTTGCCCATACAGTTGCCAAACTCGTAGCCACAAAATCCCATCGGATGTGGATCACCGAACCTATTTCGCCTGGCTCGTCCGGCCCACCAACTCCCTCTCTTCACTCTGCCACCCTAGTACCAACCTCGAGCCACTCCTCCTTCTCACCCGGAAGTGGTCAACACCATATGACTCCGCCTCTTGCCGCTTCGGCACCCCCTGCCCCCGACCCATTCGCGGCGACGATTGCCGATAATTCGCCTAAAACACCTTTCATCACACCGACAGGCCCCTCGGTATCTGCATCTGCTTTACCTGGCGCGCGGATATCCGGTCGTCTTGTCGGTGTTGTGAGTCTGACGGATATTCTGATCCTCTTTGCCCGCGCTGGTGGTCTCAATGTTGCAGATCCCATCGATATCCGCAATCGACGAAGGCGAAGTAGCTCCAGTAGCGTGCGCAAGAGTTTAGACCTGGGTCAAAGACCACAGGGCAACTCACTGAGACCAAGCGGAGAATTGGCACGAAAGAGTAGTCATGCAGGGAGTCTCAACGGCTAGTTGAGCGAAGAACTACAGGGAACCAAGAGGGTTCGAATGGGTGTGCATCGGACTCCTCGTCTGGACTGGTGGTAAACGAGACATTCCACAGATGCTTTCAGCACTCACGAGATCTAGCGAGGAAAGTGCTCGATGCCTACAAACCTTGAGCCGCACCAAAATAGTCAATCCACCTTGAATTGGCTATATCCGGTGGTCATGCTTTTGAACGCAAGTAACTCATCTCATGGATTTGAGCAAAAGGGGTGTTTAGGGGTACAAGACTCTCTTTTCTAGTGGACACTAGCTCTACGGGCCAGCTGTTTGCCCGCAGGGTCGACATTGTTGACTGATCGATCGATATTTGAGAATTCTGGAAAGATCCGGGCCAAAGCGACGGGACTGGAATGAATCAAAGTGGCAAGTGACATACTGCACGAAGGGTGGTGAATTCGTCAGTGCCGCTAGACTGGACCAGACCCAACAGTCACCAAAGGTTACGTAGAGAACAGAGAGCAGAGGGATAAGCGGCTAAAGCCACGAGACATACTAATCTAATAATGAATATAGAGATACCCTAATCCCCAGCCAAGTACCACTGCTACTAGATTTTTCAAAACACGCATGCACGGCAGAGTCATACTTACCTCCGTTATTGCCCACATCCAGGGAAAAACCACCAAGATCTATCCCATACTATCCACAACTGGACGCTGTACAATGCCACACGTTAGGAGGAGCAGGAAAGGAGGAGCCAGGGGGGAAAGAGGAAAAAAAGGGCCGATAGAATCTCCTGTTTCTTTTCCTTCTTGGGCACGTTTGTTGACTTTTGATTTTGTAAAAAAGTTGTCGCCGGGAAATCCGCCTCCGGTTTGGGCGGTCCTGCCATTTCGGGTATGGTCGCGGGCTGGGCGCGCCGCCGCTCTCGACGTCGCTATAAGAAACCCGTCCCCATCGCCCTCGTTTCCCTCCTCCCTTTCGACCTCTCCTACCTTTCTCTCTCACCTCCGTCGCCCTGACGCACCTGTCGTGCTCCCCACCCGCGATCCTGACTGAATCCTCCCCCCTGCCGCACCAGGCCCCCCGTTCTTGATTCTGCGTCGATTCTCCACTATCCTTCAAAATCTACTTCGCCCCTTCCATTGTGCCCCTGATCACCCCTGATCCCCGATCGTCACGGCCTCCTCTTGCAAATCTCGAGGAGGGCCCGTTTCGGCTCACCACCCGTCAAAGTCCCCAATTCCTTCATTGCAGAATCGACTACACCGACCGCGCACCGTGCAGGCTCAGCTGACCCCGCCCATTCCTCACGCCTCGACCGAGGTCCCAAGGATATGGGCACCACTGTCGGCAAGTCTCCTTGTACCACCTTACGAAGGTGAATCCGCGTGATAGGCTCCTCTGGCATTGATTTCAGATTCGTAAAACCAGACTTGCGAATGCCCGGGGGAGATCGTCAAAACTGAAGATCTTTGGTCGCCGTGGTTGGCTTTCAGCTCTCCGTGCTGCACCGCCTGGGCTGGGATTCTGCATCTTGACCAGGTGCGCACAGCAACATGAAAGACGGCGAGGCACAGCTAATCTTTCGGTACTGGCCGTAGAGTAAGCCGAGCGCCGTACTCGTGTGGCGCCAATCACAACATTGCCGCACGCCTTAATCGGTAGTGTGCCTCTATTGCTGCCTGGTCTCCGCCTCGAATTTACAACGTCGAGGTGGGGGCGCAAGAAATTTTTAGAACTAACCAGTCACGACTGTCCGAGAGTCACGGCATCCAAGTAGCCGGAGCCCGTAGCAGCGTGACCGACGGTGACATGATCAATACGGCGAGGACTGCGATAAAGAAGACAATAACGACATTGACAATGGAAGCGACACTAGTGACCTTGCATCGCTCGCGGACATCTTTGCGCTAGACGACAGAGGTTCGGTTCAGAGGAAGTGACGACCTCAGCTGCAAAGCTTTGACATGCGTCCAGCCCCTGTTGACAAGGCCGGCAAGGGGTGTTATTATGTGGGCGACTGTGAGGATGGTGTCAATCCTGCCGCCATGGTCACCGAGGGCGTTCAGCTCCGTACCAGCCGGGGTAAGTAATGCAGATCGCACGTATACGTAAAATAGTGCATGCGAACGCACATTTTTTTGCTAGACAACTCGAGTATGCTGGACAATGGCCAGTTAGTTAGCAGTGGCATAGGATTAGACACACTGGTGTCTGTTGGCCGAATCCATGACGTCTTGATTGAGTTTGAGAAGACTTTCGATATGGTTAGGGGAAAGTAGAAGGCGGCGCTTAGGACCCTACACGACCACCGCGATTGCGTCGTTACAGTGGACCCTCTCCCGCGCCCCGTCGGTCGAAAGCGATGCGTAGTTATGAACGACAGCGTCACGGACACTGAATAAGCTATAGAGCTTATAGAAATTACCCTTATACGGCGCTCGCCGCTACCGTCTTTAATGGCTGTAGAGGAGGCCACTCGATCCAACCCTAGTGTTGCCTCCCAAGGAGCACGACCTTGAAAACGAGCTTAGTTGTCTACCTAACCCACTGTTCTTGTTTATATACTATACACATTTATGAGGCATTTGATCCGTTTCCATGAATTCAAATCACTCATTGATTTCCAAGCATTGCACATGCTGATACAATAGTAACTTTTGGGACGGGAGTCACTGGATTCACTCGAGTTTAGTAGTATCCATATTTGTTATCGGATCACGTGTTCCGTGAGTTAGTACGCGCTAGAATGATCGGCGCCCAATAGGTAAGGCCTTATACTAGTCTAGGGGAAGTTGGCTTTATCTAGTGCCTTATTATGTGGAAGCCATCGTTGGTCTCGATTGAGAAGCTTGATAGCCAAGAACTACGGCGGCGGCGGAGCGAGCAGCTGTTCGAGAAGAGGTATGCTACAAGGGATTGCGGAGAACGACCGCAGTTAAACTATAGAGTAAGAAGAGATGAGGGCACACCGATTCTCTCTTTATCTGCCTAAGAAGACGGTGCACCAGCACAGAAGGCTGTCTTCGACGAGCTGTTCAACGACAGAGATAGCAGGATTCCAATTCCTCATCTTGAGGCCAGGTTGGCCGCCAGAATAAATCGGCCCCGTCCTATCGAAGAAGGAGAATCGGTGCTGAAGGAAATCTTGACTGATATGTCTTGGTATACTTCTTGATGTACCGCGATGCCGCGTACATCCATGAACGGAAGATGATTAAGTCCGCTTGGGCGATCCCCGACTCTGGATCCGATGCTGCATTGGACTCGGTCGATGATGGTGTGTAGAGAAAGATTTGCTGGCCAAGCCGCGCAAAGCCTCTTGAGACAAGGATCCGTCGCCGGTCGATCAGCCTGAAGCTCGAGTTCCGGGCCAGCGATCTCCATTGCGGCGATGGGAAGAAAAAGAGGACACCCTGTGATGTACTAGTCGATAAACGAGGCTAAGAATTCGGTGGTGGCGAGAAAGTCGCCGTGGTTGTTCCTGGACTGATGCTGAGTGTTAAACGTTGGCAGGAAAATCTGATCTAGATCTAGATCGGGTGAGAAGTCAAGAGCATGCTTTCTTTCAGAGGAATTACTCTTGGCGGCCCGGGGAAGCAGTGCCTGATGAGGCACGTAAGCGCCACGTTTATATACATAATAGTGAATTAGCGACACGTAAATATGACGGCCAAGGTGGGATGTCTATGTCGGTCAGTACTTGGAACCGTAGCTTCACGGCCGGTATCTGACATATTTTTCTTGTCAACAAGGTCCTGGAAGAGAGAGTAGATAGGTAAGCGCCTGCCAGATCAAAACGAGAGCTCCCTCAAAACGGCCATTGACCCGTCGGAAGGAGACTATGATCCTTGGTGAATGTGCTCAGGCGCTCACGCCCGACATCGTACCGTGGGATGGACAAGAATTTCCGTAGATGTGGGTGCCATCCAGACAAACCAAAACCCAAACAAAGAGAGGGGGAGGACCTCATCTAAGCATAGAGCGTTTGTAGCTGTGGATGTAAGGTTGGGCCGCGCAGGATTCGGTACACAGTCGCTAAACGCCCAAATCAAAAGCAGATATTAGGGTATATACAAGTGCAATGTCCGCACTTAACCGTAACGTTACCCCGTCCCTTAGCCAACGGCCGGTGTTTGCTTGAGGCTGATTCTTTGCGAACGACGTCCACCTCGCGTCGGATGCTTCGGCAGGCTTTTGGCAGGCTTTTTCGTCAGCGGTGGTTTCATGGCTTCTCCATCTTCAATCACTTTGCACAGCTCCGCTACATCAACTCCTTGTTTCAACACCCCACCTGAATACAGAGACACGCTTGTCCACTTTGCAACCACCTTCAAGGCATGCGCTGGTGAGACGTGAAACCACTCAATATGACTCCCCCCGCAACCTGGGCACCTGGGCTCGCACACCCTGTCATCTTTGAGCTCTGCGTGAATCAGGGACTCGACTCGATGTAGGTGATTTACCCTCAGCACCAGCCCTCTGTCCTCTTGGCTGTGTTGGTCCACGGTGAACCCACATTTCCGCTCCCAGGTTCGAAGCCGCCGGTTGACATCTTTAGAATAACCTATTTTGACATATCCAAAGCTGGGTGGATGCCAGAATATATAGATAAACCCAGATCGATCCATGTCAGCGCTGGTCAAAGGTCTCACAAGTGTTTGCCGGATCAATTCCTGGACAGTGAGATTGATCTTCGATTTAGGCCAGACGTATTTCTCAAAGTTGTGGTTAAGATGTGTTCCCGATACCACTGATCCCAAAACTTTTGCCGCTTGCTTAATTCTCGAGGTCTTAGTAAATGTGGTTACGACACGACTATTGTCATAATCCGAGGTTGCTGCCACTGCCGGATCGGGATGGTGAAGGGTAATATCCTCCATTGTAGCCATAACCTTGATCAAGTCAATGGTTGAAGCAAGGGTCTTCTGAACCACACAAGTGTCTTCATTTATCGGCTTGATTGTACCTTCAGGCTCTGTTGGAGTTTTCATCAATGACTCAAGCCAGAGCTGGAATACGCTAGCAGCCATATTTGCAATGGCTTTGGCTTCATGCGGATCCCGGTCGGTTATTTCATTGATCTCCCAAGAATAAGAGCACAGGCTTTCTAGATATTTCTTAGCGGTACGTTGGTGCGTGTGCAAACAGGTCGCCTGGGCCACTAGTGCTCGTATATGCTTTGCAACAACAGAAACTTCAAATGGTCGCTTGAGAGGGGATATCTGTTTTAACAAATCGGCGACCATATCCTCTGTTAGTTTTGCGCTATTTGGGTTGCAACATCTCTTGTCCTTTTGTGTTGTAGCGACACATTGTCTAGGGCTACTTTTCAGTCTTGCAACGGCTTCGAGGGGTAGAATTTGGGAGAGTGTTTTGCTCAATCCCCAAACAAGAGCGACTGAAAACTTGCTAGTCGAGGGGTTTGGAGAAGACTCAGTTGTCAATGTGGCTCCCGTAACCTCTGGTTTGGCTTCACTGACCACTCCCACATCTGGTTTGAGCAAAGTAGATTCGGCTTTGACGCTGGTTGCAGAGATAGTGGCACTCACTGTCGGTGCATTTGTGCCAAGTCCAACCTGTCGCTCGCTAGTTTTCTCCAAGCTCAGGCAGGAGGCCTCAACCGCTCGCGGGTGTACCGAACTATCCTCTGCTTCGATCTTGATTTGGGAGACGGAATAAGCGGCTGCATGGTGCCTCGAGGAAGGCGGTCCCCCTGGAGAGGTGGCAGTATACACTACTTCACAACTCTCCGTCTTGACACTGGATTTGCTTTGTTCCGTTCCATGCTGTGCATTTAATACTACTCGTTTCCGTTCCACTAGACTCGTATGACTCTGGGGCACGTAGCCAGATGCCAGGAGGTAGTTTGAGCCCAATCCTTGGTTCTCAAGAAGATCATCATCTAAGCCAAGCAGGGAGGTGTTGCTTGCGGCGAGTTTCCGGGCTTTTGTGCCAGCCTTGCGAGCAGCGAGGGGAGACAGAGGCAAAGAATCGCCAGCATCAAAGTCGAAATCACCCTTCGGCGTAAGGGGGCCGTTTTTGGTTGGCGGCGTATCGCCCCAGGATAGGTCTGGGACTGCAGGAGCTGGGGTATCGGATATATTGCCATATACTAACCGTGAAGCGCCCGAGGGTGGGGTCCCGAGGGCTTTAGCAACTTGACTGACAGGCTTCAGAATTTCTCTATCCTGAGGGTGGCCCATATCCGGCATAACGAAGGCAGCGCAGAGCGTGAGGACATAATGTTCGACCGGACGATTGAGCAACTTTATTGTCCTCCGGGCTCCAGGCAGACGTGGCTGGTATTGAGGCTAATTAAGCATGCAGGACTGCGACTGACAGGGATAGCGCTTAGTAGGTACCTTGTATATATAGAAATAAAGTGCGGGGGAGGTGACAAGGACAGATCATCTTGTGAAGTCCCCAGTTGAGGAATTCGCGCTCAAGATTAGATATTGAATGACAGAGTCCAAAGGAAGCTGTACATTCATCACGATACCTTACCAAGCACGCATGAGACAAGGGGGTCGGGGGTTGAGCACTGGTGGGGGGGGGGGGGGGGCATCGCCTTCCCGATGCGAGGTGAGTTGCAAACAGGCTTCCGTGCATTTGCAACCTGCATCTGACAAGTTGAATGCTTGGTGCGGGCATGAGCACAAGGTCAGAATCAACGACGATTCCCATGGCTTTCCACCGGTTCCCCCCGAGTCCAAGGTGGGAGTCGACTGGGTTTGAATGGCAACTCAACTATTATCTGGAACCCAAGCAAATGCCTCTTGAAGCCTAGCTAAAAGGGTCCTGGCGGGCCAACACCGAGCCCGAAGCAGGTTGGCATCAAGGCAGTGCAGCGTGCTCTGGCATATGTACTATTCCATTCAGGGCCAACCATCTGATATCTGATACCAGTTCGAAGCTACCAGCTCATGCAGCGCGCGGCCAAAAGTGATAATTCCAGGGTTGGTCGTGCGGCTAAGCCGCCATTCGCAACATTTCCCAGGCCATCCCTGGCAGCAGATCAAGAAGCAACAAGGGGTAGGTCTGCACTGGTGCGCCGACCCCAATTGGAACTCTGGTGGTTGAACTAGGCAGTGAGAGTTAGCCGTCGTTGAAACCAACAGCCCTTGGATTCAAGATCCGACATGATTCGAGGAGTAGCGCATGGCACCCCGTGCAGCAAATAGATCGCTTCACGTTCATGCCATTTCCCACCCCCGCTAACGTACTCGGTGAAACCACCCCAGGAATAGAACCTCGTCCCACGCTCAGTCTCAAGAGCAGGTACTGTTGAAGCCCATTGGTATCAGTTCACTCTCGCAACTCTCCAGACTGTCCGCGGTCCGCGGTCCGCAGGCGGCCATCGGTGTTACGATTCGTACAGACGTCAGGGTGAACCTGCTTTATGGACAGCACAATACTAAGAGACTAAACTAAAGAAGAGGGAGCAGGACTTGGTCCTGGCAACGCCGTGGTATAAGTACTCTGTGTCGACACTGAAACGGGGACCCTCTAGTTCCGTCCGGAAGCAATGCTTTGCGGACCTCGTGCGACTCTGGTCCTCGTCGCAAGTGGTGTCCTCGCAACAGTGGATAATCACGCCTCACAAGGGCGGTCAGTCTAGTTCAGCCTTGCTCACGTGTTACGGTCGGAACAGCGATCCTCCCATAGGGCAGCTAAGTTAATGACGACGGAGAACGTCTCTACATAAAGTTAGGTCTGCCACGGGAGACAGAAGTCCAGAGAGGAGGAGAGAAGACCAACGATCTGTGAAATATCGTGGAACCAAATTGGTACTTGCATGTCTGTGAGCTGGGATCTACAAAGCGAATTAGAAGATTGCGGGTAGGGCGAGAGGAAAGAGTGGGACATTCATAGCGGCTGGGCATGATGATCTTGATTGGCTTTTGAGGCGAGGCTTGCTGTCGTCAGGATCTCGTCACAAGACGGTTAGTGAACGCTCTCCATGCATAGCGAGCTATGTCTTGTCGACCGGGGCCAGACGGTACTGCTGCGATCTGGGGAGCGAGGGGAAACCGCCAAATTCGGCGGGAAATTTCCCTGCAACCTGCGTTGAACCGTAATTAATTATACCCCCCTCCTTTTCCCGCATCCAGGTTTTCGCTTCACACGAAACAAGAGGAGAACTTGGGTACGTGAGTAGATAGGTGGATAGGTAGTAGATACAGTTGTTATTCTCTTTCCCTTTCCGTCAATCGCATCGTGCATTAAGCGTGGAGCATGGAGCGTGGAACATGCTGTTTCGTGTTTCTGTCTTCTGCCTTTTTTGCCTCGCACATCTCCAGCTGCCCAGAAACAAGAATTCCGAGTCTCCTATTCGGAGCAACAGACGGCTGGCACATGAGCAAAGAAATCAATATAGACCCAGAACGGTGGCTATCGTGTCGTGCGATGGATATACTGATTGAAGAAGGGAGTTCAACGACAAAGCATTTTCAACGTGGGCCCTGAAAACACACCCTCGCTATCTAACAGGCCCACCCCCAGCCAGCGAAAAGCGCCACGCAGACCGAAAATTAAAATCAGATAACGCCTATTACTTGTTTGCCTGTTGGTGAGAATAGGATGAGTTGGTGGAATCGGTGAATACACCGTGGACGTACAAGGAATGTCGGTGGGGGCGGACATCGAGTGATGCTGGTGGCGTCAGGCCCCCAGTCCAGTCCCAGCCCCTCCACTTGTGCATCAACTTCCTGCCGTGGCACCGACACTGCTCGTGGTGCTGCCCTCGTCCTCGATGCTTCCGCTCATGGATTTACTGGCTTGCTGCTCGTCTTCCCACGAACCATCCATGACGAAATTGTCCCAGAACCCTTCGCCGGCCGGAGTGACCTGGCCTGAAGGCATCCCTGAGGTCTTGAACATGCCTTGAAGGCTGTCCTCGCGCGACATGTCCATGCTGCCAAAGTCAAATCCTTTGGACTCCCGACTGAAGTTGAAATCGAGGCCGGCGGTTGGTGGCAGTGAGGACTGCGTCAACGAAGATTTATGATGAGCGACGAGGGATGTCGAGCTTTTGTTGCTCTGGGACGGTTCTTCTTGGCTCATAGGATGTTGCTCAAGTGCTGAAGGCGCTAAAGTCGCCGACATGCCTGGGTAAGCGGATGGATGAACAGGCATGCCTTTCAGTCCCGATTGATTCATGTCGTGCCATGGGTAGTATGGTGAGGATATAAATTGATCGGAGCCATGCATAAGCATCGTATAGTTCGGATCGTTGACATCAAATTGTGGTGCGTAGGCGAGCATTTGCTGTGCCTCGGGAGGAAGGGAGGTTGTGAACGGACCGATGTCTTGCCACAAAGGTGGGAACGAGCCTGATGGTGGAAATGTGGCGGATTGAGCCTGATGGAGATAGTCTGGATCGGGCTTGATATTATTTGTATCAATGCCATGACCAGCTTGCTGCGTTTCGCCGTTGGTGTGAATATTGGTGGGGGTTGACAGCCGTCTTTGATCGAGAGGTGTTTGGATTGTAAGATTGGGTGACGCCGGAGCCTTGTTGTTCGGTAACGAGGCCATTGAATATGATCGGCCATGACTCTGACGATAATCTGTTTGGTGCGGAGATGGGTATGGAACAGAACGGTAACTCGTCGTTGGCGACTGACCTAGATTGGCTTGGGGCATCAAAGGAGGAGCGAACATGTTGGCTGTTTGTGGTTGGTATGGCATATTGGGATATTGAGCATAAGGGCTCTGGGACATTTGTCCCATCATATTCCGTACCGCCACTTGCTGTGTCAAATAGGCGGATAATCTTCGATTGAAGTCGGCAGAACCAGTTTGAAGATGTGCAGTAAGCCGGCGATAGCGTAGCGGCAAATCATCGTCCTCTTCTTCATACATTTCCTCATTGATCACATCTTGCTCGGTAACACGCAATGAACGACCAGTGCGTCGCTTATGAATCTCGGATGCTCTTCGTGCAGACTCGACTCTCGCCTCTAGACTCCGGTCACTCCTTCGCGAAGCGGCAATATAAGCTCTGAGTAGAGGGTCAGTATAAACTAGGTGAGTATTCGTGGTTGCATCCTGCACACCTTTCCTGATTCTCCTCATGAGTACGCTCAGTTTTCATCGCCTTGATGGGCGGAATGGTCCTCGTGGGAGGAACTGGTGGAGCTTTGGGCATCTCGAGCCACGTAATCCCAACAAATTATCTGGATGAGAGGGCTATGTGGCGGAAGTCGTACAGATGCTAGCGGTACGGAATGGTGCGGCCGAAGATCACTGGAGGATGCGAAAATGCACTGCTTTATGCAGTGGGGTCAAGCGACATAGAGTGAGATGGAACAGATTGACCAAGACGAAAACAATCCAAGGCACAAAAGGATGTATGGCTCTTTGAAAATCGAGGGAAGTGTAGGAGGCTACGATGAAAATAAGATACAAGAGGTGGTAGAAGTGGCAAATGAAGGGAGCAGATGTAGACCTGGGACTGTGTAGATGCCGAAAGACGTCTCTAGTCTCAGCAGTGACAAGCTGCCAAGAACTTCAGCAGCGTAAATTCAGCCCAAGCTAGAAAGGACTACGAGATGTGGGTAGGGTCGGATGGAGCTGTTGCTGTAGTTTGTGGATCATCGTCCGACAAAAGCGATTCTTGGTAGCTTCCGGTAGCCAAGAGTGTGATGGGACGGGGAGTGGAAAGCAGTGGCTGTGGGAGGGAAAGCGGGCGGAGGTCCCTCGTACGCACATTAACAGAGCGATCGTGATGGTTGGCTGTGGAAGAGAAGTCCGTCGCACGGGAAGCTCTGTCCTAAACTCCCAGATGAAAATGACAGCGGGATGAACAGAGGTTTGGTGATGGAATGGGAGTCATTTCTGCGGGAGGGGGCGCTGATCGATGGGACAAAGTCGGCGATACTGGAAGCGGAAGGTCAAACGCTCGATAAGGTTGAGAAGGGAAGGCGGGTGGACTGGGATGTGCCATGGGTGGCAGAGATCATAGTCATTTCAATGGCCCGCTTCCAGCCTACCTTGGCCTCGGATGAGAGCTCCACCACATGGACAATGGCGGCCTTGATCGATATTAAGGTACTCTTCATCGTCTTCCCGGATGGTTGATCCTGGGGATGGCTTCGTTCTAAGGGTCCTTAGGTTTTTTGAGATCTGGATGAGCCTGACTTGGCGAATGAGACTATCCGCCACCTCGAATTGCCTCAGATGCTGCCAAAGATCACTGGAGTGTCGAGCATTTCAGTGGCCTGTGCGCGATCTCGGACACGATCGTGGAGTATCTATCTCCTGGAATAGTTCTAGCTCAAGATCTTAGCGTGCGTCGGCTATCTTGCGCTCGACGCCTCAACGGCCGGGCGTTTGTCGCGTCCATTCTTGGGGGAAAAATATATTGACAGCCGTAGGAGTCGGTGCGGGTCGAGGTGATGGCAAAGAGATATTGTGCCCAATCTTAAATGAGATTGTCGTATTTCACACCTCACGCATCTCTGTAAAAGGACGAAGCCGCCGTGCTCTGTTCGTTGGTGGGCAGGTATGTACCTCGTTCGCTGTCTTACTCTCCTCTCAGTGATCTGCTCGGCAAAATACCAATTTGGTAGGGATGACGCAGGGTTTCACAGCGCGTCATGTTGACTCGTGCAATTCTCCCACTACTACAAGAGGTACGCTGATCCTGGTCAGGGCACAGAGGAAACTCGGCCTGTGGATAGAGTTAGTAACCCGGTTTCCTCGTATGTGGTGAACTGTCGAGTTGGAACCAGATGTATAGCACCGAAGGTATTGCGACTCGGGCCACCTGAAATGATCAAGAGGGATCAGAAGCAAAGGACAAGAGGGCGGATGCACAAGTGCGAACGGGCCGCGTCGGTCGATGCTCTCAACGGCTCATGCACCAGAAGCGAATGTTGAATCCGGAGAAAAAGAGGAGGCGAGACAAGGATGAATTTGAAATCATTCTGGAAGTAGCCGACGTAGCCCTATGGGGAAGGAGCAGGGTTTCATCTCGCGCCTGCCGCTGGGATCGCCATCAACGTTAATACTGCCAGATCGGCGATCTGGATGGGAACTGGGCGACTGCGAGTTGGCGTGGTGCTGCACGCGCCAGCAGCCATAGCCAGGGCCAGAGTCAGAAGCCAACAGTCTCAGAGACCAGTGGCGGAAACCCAGTGGCGCTCGTCCACGATCCATTTCTATTCCCTCTGGCTCTAGTAACTTGTAAGAGATTCTCGTCCTAGTCCTGGTCCTGGTCCTGGTCCTGGCATCCTGCAAGGTTGGATCTGTCACCCGCATGCATCGTGTCGATCCAGCGCTACACTTCTTCTGCTGTTTGCCTCGTGTCTCGTATTTTCTATCTTTGGTCTGAAGTATACCGGGTATGGGCATGGGCTCCCTCTATGCATCGGTAGATAGATCGTTTTAAACTCAATCTGGATGATCCTACAAGGGTGGTCTCCTACTGGCCTTCACGGGGTGAACACCACACTTCGCCTAACTACACAAAATATAATTTCTTGTCTCATACGGAGGGCAAAAACCCCTCGCTGTCGCTTCGATCGCTCACTGATGCTGGATATATCTACCGCCACGTCCACAAATCGTTCCGCACACGCCATGCGCTTCCCTCCTTGCAGGATCCACCCGCTTTTATCCTTGTCCTAATTGACCCCTAACGATGGCACCGTACCTTGTTCTTCTCGGGGTTGGCCATTCAGAGCATATGATACTTTGAACCGCATTTTGACCGCATTTCCCTTGCCTTCTGGTATGCCGTTCAGGAGAATTTCTTGTTTTAGAGGTCGTTCAGACTTGGGCGCTAGCTCCCGCCCACTCTGCGGCTTGAGTTGCAGCGTATAGCTCTTCTCCACCGCGACTTGGAAGTGCAATGCTGTAATGCGTTGATGCGTAGTGTTGGAGAAATATGCTGTCATCTGTATGACTGACTGCCCTGGTATTCGGCGGGGCTCAAATTCGATCTTTATGGACGATGAATGCACTAAGACGATAGACGGCCCGGGCAGTGACGACTCAAAGAGCCATTCATCTTCTGCCGCTGTCGCTGCCGCTGCTCCTCCTCCTGGCACTTGTGGCGCCCCAGCTGCGGATCGAGCGAGCCCTTCAAGCGGTGTGGACGCCCGAGGAGTTGAGGGACGTGATCCTCCAGAGACAAGGGCAGCGAACGGATCTAATGCCGCTTGACTTGCTGGGCGTTGTGGTGTTGCTGCTGGTGCGGGCGTAGATGGTTTTGAAGGGGGTAAAGCACTGGTCAGGGAGGCAAAAATGTCATAGTTCGGTTTCGGAGAGGGTTGAGGGGCCGGTGCTGGAGCTGGAGCTGTGGGAAAGTGAGGTTTGCTTGCAAAGCCTGAAGCAGAAGTATTTCCAAAAGTTGTACTGGGTCCGAGGGAAATTGAGCCCATCTGCCCCGAACTTGAGTCGTCCAGTGAGAGTCCAAGTAGGTCATCTTCTACCGTTGTTGGCTTTGCTTGTGCTGATGACCCCGGACCAGCATCCAAGAGTGATCCGTTGGCATTTGACAATGCAGCTGGGGCTGGAGGCTCCGGGTCAAAGTCAATTAACGAAAGCTCGTTGGCAGCATTCTTGCTAACGCCCGTCGTCGTGCCTAAGGTTCCTTTCTCGATCCTATTTGCTTCCTCAATGTTCCCGGCCTTCATTAACTTGTACCGTTTGATGGTGCGGTGGATGCTATCGTTGATTTCGAGTAGTTTCGATACCGCCTCAGCATCTTCAGATTCCTCCTCACACATTTTCTGGATCTTGGGATGTGCACTGGCCAATGCAGAGGCCAGCTCCTGCATTCAATTAGAACAGCTTCCCACCATGCACAAACCAACCGAAGGGGAATTACCTCAAAGACATCACCGTCACCGATTGTGTCCCCAGGCCGATGATTTTGAAGCATCTCTTCAAGGATTTTCGCCTTTTGTTGAACCTTTGACACCTCCTCTGCGGCCTTGGCACGATAGTCCGTCTTGTGCCTGGTGTCATAACCGGCCATGACTTTCATCAATCGATTGGCTTCCTGCAGGTCTTGTGGTCGTCCTCGCCGGATAAGTTCCTGTAATTTTGCAGATTGCGCCGCTCGGTCTTCCTCCTCCATCTCTTCCGCAGATTGTAGGTTCTATCAACTGTTAGTACGGTTCCACCATGAAGGAATCGTGATGAATACATCGCTCGGGTTCAACACGGCTGCATCTTCTTGCCGGACCTCGGGGAACATATAGCCTTTGTACAGTAACAGCCGGTGCATGTCTCTTATGAAACCCAAATCATCTTTGTACCGAGAAGTCTGGCAGATTGTTTGACGCCATTCTTCGATGGCCTCTAGTATTTTGCCCTGTACGCGGCTCGGGCGGATGGGCGGGCGCTCTGGAAAGCGTCGAACAAGCTCATTGAGGAATTCTTTCGTACTGATTTGCAGGTGGAATGGATAGCCACAGTTTTTGACGCAGATGTCCAGGAGAGACAGGGCAAGCATGGAGACGTTTGGGTTTCTGTGGTTGATGAGTTGGACAATTGTCACCGCGGCCTCACGAGGTGCATTGCCCTTTTTGGAGTTTATCAGGTCGACGACCTCGAGGTTTGAGCCTAAGTTGGGTTCGATATTGGCTATGGGGTCGCAGGCATTGAAGATGAATCTCTGAAGGTTCGAACGAGGTGGAGAAAAGCCATCGAACTGGTTTCGAGACGCCATTCTGGCTGAAGTGGCCTCCATAGTCCAGATGAGCGAGCTCAGGCAAAACGAAACTCGAGTTTAGAAGGGATAAAGTAGTTCTGCGCGCCCCCGTGAATCGTCCTGCCTAGAAGATGGCTGATACCTGTACAGACCACGAAGGCACCGCGGATCCCACCTGTGACGATGTCTTGGCGGTATTTTTCTTCTTTGGGGAAGGTGTGACTGTCGCCGCTGAGGGGCTCTTTTGCTTTTCAACTATGCGCCTTATCTGGCCAGTCTTGCCAGTTGAGCTACGCCCTCTAGGCGAGCCACAGAGTCTGTGTAGGTACGCAAGTTCAGTCGGGTCAAGAAAACCATCATGAGAGTAGTAAAATGGAATTTGAATCCGGTACAATCACATTCACCTGCAAAAATCTACTGCCTACTTGGAAAATGCTGAAGTGATTCCAACGCCCAACTGATGCCAATGCAAACAGGCCCTTGCTATCCCATGACATGTATGCTGTCTCAAGAAGCAATCATTCTAAATCATCGTGGCCGTCGTGGACTGGCTACTCCCGCACTCCTCAACACTGGAGGGGCAGGTAGGTCCTTCATCGGCGGTGGCGGTAGAGGTCCCGTGGGGGGAGGCCTAATGGTCATCGCCGGGCTGGGTAAATGACCTCGACTGGGAATCGATGACCCATTGGAGCTGGTCCGCGGTGGAAACATTGGTCGCTGCGAAGGCTCGATGGCTGACGCTGGTTCAGGAATGTTGTCTCGGTCACTATACCCCAGGCGATTTGATCGCGACCCCAATCCACTTGGTGCATCTCTTGTCTCCAGTGACAGATGTTGAAGAGACAGAGGAGGCGGCGGCGATCTTTCGACGATACCAGTGGGTGTCTGTTGAGACGGCGGTGCGAGTGCAAATTGGGGCGTAGCTAAGGGTATGTCTCCAGATGTGGGGCTGGCATATTTTCTCGCAGTGACAGGTGTGGCTCGGCTGTCACTTGTGAAAGATGCTGTGGATGTAGCAGAAGTTGCATAGGATGAATCTGATGTCGTTCCGTCGCTCTTGAGAGATTTAGGAGCAGGGGGTGCCAGGTAGGATTTTCGATTATGTCGATCCATCATTGCTACTGCCCATTCTTGTAGATCAACTGGTGTTCGCTTGGCCGCTTGCAAAAAGTTATCTCTGTCGTAGAGCTCGCGGGGGGTGGGTCGCTCATCGGGGCTCTTGAGTAAACATTTGGCAATAAAGTCATCCAATATCGCGGGGAATGCCTCGCTCTTGGGCAACTTTGGTGCGGGTTCGTGGACAATCTGCTGCAAAAGGTCCAAGATACCCATGGGCCCCGCGCTCGCCCTATCTCCGGCTGCTGAGTCACTTGCATCGAAAGGAAATCTTCCAATGGCAAGTTCCATGACCGTAAGCCCGACGCTCCATACGTCCGATTTGATCGTGTAGGCACCCCCCTGGATCCGCTCAGGTGCCATGTATGTTGAAGTTCCGACGAACGTGTTGGCTACCGAATTGACGGTCTCGGTTGCAACTCCAAAGTCACATAATTTGATCATACCTCGAGAATTGACCAATACATTCGACGGCTTGATATCTCGGTGCATGATGCGATGGGCTTCATAAAGATACACCAAACCTCCCAATATGGATTCCGTTATCTTTCCGAGCACATCGACGCGGATCGGTCCAAAGTCCTTCGATATACGATCCAAAGAACTGCAGACAATGTTAGCCAGTACCCTGTTGTGTTAGCATGTGTATTCACGTACCCACAGTCCATGTATTCCATACATAGCACAATGTCACGAGCCTCGTTTTGAAAGGCACCATAGAATGTGATTACATAGGGTGAGCTGCAATCATGTCCGAGTTGGAGTTCTCTGACAATTTGCTTTCGCACATTCTCTTTGGCATCTACCCGGATGATCTGCTTTGAAATTAGCACTCGAAAGCGGCTTCCTCGCTATGACTTCTTGCTGACCTTCCTCGCCATGATCACCTTGGTAGATGCATGCATAACTTTACTGACAGTGCCTCCATTTCCTGCTCCCAATTCTTTGAGTACCACCAAGTCTTCGCTTCTCAAGTCTAGTTTGAACTCTAGTCCGATCTCCAAAGTATCGGTTCGATCGCTTTCGGAATTTCCTAAGGCACCAGGGATCTGTGAATCCCCTTCCGAGGGAGCAGTCCGCGGAGGAGGAGCATTTAGAGCCAACCCTTTGACATTCTTCCTCTTCAACGTGCGGGCTTTGAAAGGGTCGGACATGATGACTGTGTCGGATTGAAGGGTGAGGATAGGGAAGTGGGGACAATGACTCGACTAGGAATCGGTATCGAGGAGGAGAGATGCAAGGTTGGGAGCTGGTGCAACAAATTCTTGAAAAGAGATGATCGCGGCCGTGTGCAGGATATGTTGACGGGCGGCTAATTTAAAGCCCAGTTGCGACGTCAATGAGATCCATTAGGCGCCAGGCAAGGCGTGATAATCTCAAGAACAGTGAGGGCGGCTGACGGATGGCGGAAGAAACCCACGAAATGTCGATACAGGCGGTAGACAGCTATCAGACGTGCATCTGAAGTTGAAGTTGAAGCACATGCAAAGATAGAGTAGTACGAACCTGAGCTGCAGTTGAGGCGTAACTTAAATGCCGGGGGGCGTGGTTTTGATCTTGAAACTTGGGGTCGGAAGGATGCGTGGCCAGATAGGGGCAGGGCTGCTTCAGATCTCGTTTTGGACTTATCTTTCAAGCCATGGCGATGGAGACTCGTCAATAGCTGGATCGCAAAAGGAAATAGTGAGCAATAGGATCTACCAATAGTTAATAGTTTGCTCAAGCGAAGGCGGCTATTGCTCGCTTTTGAGAAGCCCTTGCACACGAACAGGTGACCAGTGATTGTCACCCATGCCCGTGGTTCCCCATTGTTGGGAGGATAATGAGATGAGACTGAATCAGTGACCACGGATCGGAATAACTAATACCCGTGACAAGGACCGACCGCACTTGGCAGGTGTACAGGCTCGCAGACTCGCAGGTGGCGATTCAATATAGTACGGCGGAGCAAACACGCCACCGTCTCCAGCATTCTTTTCTTGAAATGCGATGCTGGCGAGGGTGACCTTTGTCCTTGCAACGATTCTGTCCACTCTCCTGCCTACTTTACTTGTCTTAGGTGTGGCTAAGACTGTCTTCATCCTCACTTCTCCTTTCTCTCTCCCCTCTCTACCCTAATTTCCTCTCTTTCTCTCAACACCTCTTCCTTAAACATGGATTTGATCGACGACCGCGCAATTCTGGACGAAGAAGAAGATGAAGGATCTTTCGACGAAGATACGGGCGAAGTCAAACGGAAATTGAATGGAGCCAATGGCCATTTTGAAGACTCATCAGAGGAAGAAGACGATGACGATGACGAAGAAGCTGCCGCAGAGGTACCCTTGGTTCCAGCTCTGTTCGTGCAATCTTGGACGCTAATCTTGTTCCCATTAGGTAGCGGAGGGTTTCATCGTGGACGAAGATGAAGATGACGAAGAGGCTCGGAGAGAGCGGAGGCGCGACCGAAAGAAACGCCGGCGTGAAGAACGCGATCGAGAAGATGAAGGCCTTGATGAAGAGGATCTCGAATTGATTGGCCTCAAACCCGCCGAAGAAGCCTCCGAACCGAAATTCAAAAGACTGAAGCGTGGCCCAAGAGAAGATCAAGAAACACAGCGTACATATGGCATCAACGATATCTTTCGCGACTCAGATGAGGAGGAAGATGCTGATCCATATGCCCGGCGAGTGAGTCGGCCAGGGCGAAGGGGCATGCAAGATGACCTCGATGATTTTATCGAAGACGATGTATTTTCGGACGAAGAGCAGCAAAGACAACGCGATGATGAAGAAGTGGCTCGTCCTGCTAGAAGTCGTCTTCCAGACCTAGGCATCGCGGATGCCGCAGGCCTCGACGAAGCCGCCTTGGAGGACTTTCGCGCTGCATTTGGTGATGGAACTGACTACGACTTTGCATTGGAGAAAGAAGATGAAGCGGATGAGCAGGAGGCGAAGAAGGACAAACACCTTGATCTGAAGGATGTCTTTGAGCCTTCTCAACTCGCGGAGAAAATGTTGACGGATGAAGATAATCTGATCCGCCTCACTGACGAACCTGAAAGGCACCAACTAGCCAGAAAGCCATATCGCCATATCGAACTTACTGAAGCCGAGTTCAAAGAGGAAGCTGGCTGGATATCTGATCTGATGCTGCCAGAAAAGAGCTTGGATCCCAATCTCAAAGAGCCATTTACGCAGGCCATCAGTCAATCTTTGGAATTCCTGGTTCGAGATGATTTCGAACCCCCATTTATCTACAACAACCGCAAAGATTATTTGATGCATGTCACCTCTAAAGTCATCGGTAGAGACGAACAAGGAAATGCCCGTACCGCTCCGGAGACCACCAAACTTCTAATCCAGGCAGACATTTGGAAAATTTTCGAGTGGGATCTAAAGTTTCGTGCTCTGATCGAAAAACGGCGGACATTACAGAAAACTTATGACGACCTGAAGACAACGTCTATCTCGGAGGATGTTACATTTGAAGAGATGCTTCCAGCCGCTGTGACAATGGAGGAGCTCCAGGATCTCCAAGACTATCTATATTTCCAATACGCGTCACAACTGAAAGATCTCGCATTGACCAGCAATGGAGAACCTAATGGAATTGCTATGTCGCAAAAGAAGGCCCTGACCAAGACGGTTTACGAGGAGATTCGCTCGGCGAAAGCATATGGTCTAGTTAGAGCTTTTGGTATCTCTGCCAACGCTTTCGCTGAAAATGCAACCGGACAGGGTCAGAGAACATACCCCGAGGATCCTACAGATAACCCGGAGAATCTGGCGGATTCTTTCGTTGATGATGAGTTCTCAACCTCGACGAAGGCCCTGAAAGCCGCGAAGTCTATGTTTGTGGAAGAACTTTTTATGAGCCCCAAATTCCGCGGGTGTATAAGGAAAAATGTCTATATTCAAGGTGTGATAGATTGCCACCGCACTGACAAAGGACTGCGAAAGATTGATGAACAACACCCCTACTACGAATTCAAGTATCTCAGGAACCAGGATGTCTCCTCCTGGTTCAATCAGCCTGAACTCTTCTTGAAGATGCTGAAGGCTGAAGAAGAAGGCTTAATTGAGATCAAAACTCGATTGCTAAATCAAGAATCTTTCGTTAAGCAACTCCATAAGCATATTGAGAGCGACAACTACTCTAGTGTGGCAGATGCGTGGAATGCAGAACGACAAGAGGTTGTAACTATCGCTTTCGACAGGGTCATGAAGCTGATGAATCGGCTGGTAAAGGAAAACCTGAAAGAACGGTGCGAAGATATTGTTGGCAATTATTGTCGCGAGGAGTTAGGCCTGAGGCTCGATCAAGCTCCTTATCAACCAAAAGGCATGAAAAAAGGCACCACTCCTCGGGTACTCACTCTGACCAATGGAGGCGGAGTTCCAGGCCGTGATCACATCTACTGGGCATACGTTAGTGACGATGGCAGAGTCCTCGAACACGGTCGGTTCAAGGAATTGTCTCCAGGTGATTCCGAGAAAGGCATCCCTGATGGCAAGGACGTGGAAGCTCTTCTGGAGGTAATTCGACGAAGGGGGCCTGAAGTCTTGGGTGTTTCTGGATGGTCCCCAGACACAAGAAAGCTTTATTCAAACATCACAACTCTCGTCCAGAGCCATGATCTTCGCGGTCCCATTATTGAAGACGATGATCGCGAACGGAGTGAGCCTTTGGATGTCATCATTGTCAACGATGAGGTTGCGCGGATGTACCAAAATAGCGATCGTGCCAGGGTTGACCATCCTGGCTTCGCACCGTTGGCCCTGTATTGTGTTGCATTGGCTAGATATATGCAAAACCCTCTGGTGGAATATGCATCCCTGGGACGAGATATCGTGTCAATCAGTCTTCATCCAGCACAGCACCTCTTGCCTCAAGAGAAATTATGGAAGAAGTTAGAGATGGCATTCGTCGACAATGTCAACATGGTTGGCGTTGACATCAATGAGGCTGTGAGCGACAGTGCTGTGGCCAGTCTACTCCCCTATGTGATGGGCTTGGGTCCACGGAAAGCCCAACACGTTCTCAAAGTCATTAATCTTAATGGTGGGTACGTGACCGTTCGTGAAGACCTTTTGGGTATCAATGATCCCCATCAAGCAATGGGTTTCAAGGTGTGGAGCAATGCTGCTGGTTCCCTCAGCATTGCTTTTGAGTTGTCTGAACCCAACTCAGAGTACCTTGACTCCACACGCATCCACCCTGAAGACTATGACATTGCTCGCAAAATGGCTGCTGATGCCCTGGAATTGGATGAAGAAGATATTGAGGCTGAAAGACAAGAGGGTGGGTCAGCCGCAATTGTGCGTCGATTGATCAAAGATGAAGCCCAAGATCGTGTGAATGATCTTGTTCTCGAGGAGTATGCCGAGCAATTGGAGAAAAATCTCCATTCCAAGAAGCGGACGACTCTAGAGAATATTCGCGCTGAGTTAATTGAGCCATATGAAGAGATCAGAGCAACCTTTCACAGCAGCCTCCGGGAGACTGAAATCTTCACCATGCTCACTGGCGAGACGAAGGAATCTCTGCAAAGGGGCATGAATGTGCCTATCATTCTGAAGAAGGTTTCAGATATGACGGTAATTGGCAAACTGGACTGTGGACTGGATGCCATTGTGGAAATGGAACAATTTGCAGAGAATGGAATCTCTCCAAAGCAACTATATGCGGTGCATCAAACAGTACAGGGGCACATCACATCCATCAACCGAAAAGACTTCAGTGTGACTGTTAGTCTGAGAGAAGATCAACTGAAAAAGCCCTTCGTTCGCTTCAGTCATGTTGATCGAAATTATAACGAATGGGACGACAGAGAAGAGGCAGCAGATAGGAAGCTCCTGCAGGAGAAGACGGATTCGGGGAGCCGAGTGACTCGTGTCATCAAGCATCGTTTCTTCCGACCATTCAACGCCAAGCAAGCCGAAGAATACCTGGGCAGTCAAAATCGTGGTGATGTGGTGATACGGCCCTCGTCCAAGGGTACAGATCACCTGGCAGTCACATGGAAAGTGGCTGATGGGATATTCCAACACATAGATGTGCTCGAACTGGACAAAGAGAACGAATTTTCTTTGGGCAAGACATTACGAATTGGTGGCAGATACAACTATTCAGACTTGGACGAGCTGATTGCCTTGCACGTTGAGACCATGGCCAAGAAGGTCGACGAGATGTGCGGCCACGAGAAGTTCCAGGACAAGTCTAAAGCTGCTCTCGGTAAGTGGGATAGACGAACGCCTATTTGTTCCTCACTGGGATGTGTTCAAGCCCTACTAACTTTCGTAAACAGAGGAATGGCTGACCACTTACACCAACGCGAATCCGAAACGATCTATGTATCAGTTTTGTATCAATCGAGAACGACCTGGACAATTTCATCTTGTTTTCAAAGCCGGCCAGAATGCTAAGTTGATGGACTGGTCTGTTAGGGTGATACCATCGGGGTTTGAGCTGATGAAACAACCATACCCAACAATGCGAGATTTGTGTAACGGCTTCAAGCTGCTCTTTCAGAACATGCATCAATCAGCATCAATTAGGCAGAGCGGACGAAGGTAGACCACCAAAAAATACCGCACATTGCGTGCCCAACGGGTTGATGGGAAGGCTTCGTGTCGTTTGGTACCTCAAACTGGGTGGCCAGGACGACACCCACCGACGAAGGTTCCAGACTGTGTACCACTAGTTCATGGCAAGCCTTGCCCAGGAGACTATGGCAATTCTGTGCATTGCTGAAAAGCGAGCATAAGCTACGGAGTACCTAGGTACCGAGTACGCAAGCTCAGGATCTAATTGTACTATTGGGACCTCAGTGGTCTGCGTTTTCCCTTGTTACGGCATTGATCGAGCCAAATTTTAACAATCTAGACATGTCTAACGGCAGCTGATATCTCGCTTAAGTCGATGAAATGATCGAAGAAGGCTTAGAAGAGGCCTCCTACCTCCCGAGAAAGGCGATAGACGACAGTGGAGGATGCACCCAAATGTCCCCAGCCCCATTATCGACCAGGATCAAGGCCGGATGCAATTTGAACATCCCTGTCATTGTTTGGCCTTCCAGAATCTCGGGTTCCCCCTTCTCCGTATTCGCACCATGAGCAGTCCCATCAGTTACTCTGTTCCATGCAAATTTACTGTAGTCCCCGGATTCGTGATGGACCAGTGTCCGTATTATTGACAGAGGCCGCGGGACTGGTTCTTCACCTCGGCAAAGCCCTTCTAACTTGCTGTAATATCCGTATGTTTACGATTGGCTATGGTCGGGTCTGTTTGATCCATTCCCTCAAACCATTCCCTGCCACGGTCACATTGCGTTCTGAGCTACTGCCGTATCCTATACCCTCCTCAGCATAACGGCAGCCTACTGTGATAGCTTCGTACCAATCTTTCCGACTTCGCGGGCTAAATACAGCATTGCCACGTTGTAGTGTTTGACCCGTCAGGCAGGCTACTCCGTACTACAGTCAATAGTCGTCCTTGCACAGGGTTTGTGGAAAGTGTTCGCATCGTCAACTCCGCACACTGCTTTGATACAAAAGGTCCGGTTGCCACATGGGCTTCGACTGGTTCTTCTCCCATCATTCTTGACTGATTTGCCAACTTCCAGCGTCACTCCTTTGCTTTTCTGGCACGGCTTTCATTATGTTATCGTCACTCTTTTCAACAGCGCTCGTTTTTGCTGCTGCTCTATCTTCTGTTTGCGCCGACTCGGCCGTCACAGATATACCGTCAGACGTGTCAACTTCGGACGTGTCAACTTTCTCCTCCGATGTGGTGTCTTCTACAGATTCCTTAGTTGCGGCTGCCAGCTCATTTAAGCCTAAAAAGATATGTAAATGCGTAAGCCATCCTAAGACACAGACTCTGGTACATTTTTGACCTTTATTAGGTTCCTGGCGATAGTTGTTTCCCATCTGATACCATTTGGAAAATCTTCAACATCACGACAGGAGGACGTGTCATTAAAACTAAGCCCGTGGCCATTTCATGTTATCCTGGCCCAGATCAAAACGCCGCCAGATGTGCCGACGTTGATTCGCGCTGGGAGGATGCCACCTTCCAAGCAGACGACGTGGTAGGACTTTCTTATCCGACAAATGTCACTTGTCCCCCGGTGAACGTAGCAGCAGGGGAGACACCCGGCTCATGTACACTAGGAGTGAGCCCCTCATTTGCGGTGGATGCCACCGAGCCATGGCATGTGGCAGCGACTGTCGCCTTTGCCAGATTATTCAACATCCGCTTGGTTGTCAAGAACACTGGTCACGATATGCTTGGGCGATCTGAGGGAGCTGGAGGCCTTGAGGTCTGGATTCGCCATCTCCGCAAAGGCATTACCTTCCAAAAGACGTTCAAATCTAGTACAAGATGTACCAGAAGTGGCTGGACCGGCAGTGCTTTCAAGATCGCTGGTGCATACACCTGGGCTGACGTGTATACACAAGCCAAAGCAAACAACGTCATTGTGGTGGGTGGTGGTACTCCCAGTGTCGGAGCTATTGGAGGCTGGATGCAAGGCGGTGGCCACGGTCCACCATCTAGGCAGTTCGGTCTCGGAGCTGACCAAGTGCTCGAGTTGGATGTTGTTCTGTCAAGCGGTTTGACCATCACTGCGAACGCATGCCAGAACAGTGACATCTTCTTCGCTCTCCGAGGTGGAGGTGGTGGGACATATGGCGTTGTAATCTCAACCACTATCAAGGCGCATCCTAACGCGGGTATGGTTGTCCAGCATTTGGCCATGGGTGCTCTCACTGCCAATACGACTGGCCTGTTGGACACGATTGCAATCGTCACCTCCGCTTACCCTGATCTGAACGATGCCGGATATGCAGGCTATGGGCAGTGGTCCGCCGACAGTCCAACACCAATCTTTGCGACATTCACCGCTGCATATGTACACGGAATCTACATGTTCGGCAAGACGGAAAAAGACGCACGCGCTGCTTTTGATGCCACAAGAGCACAACTCGCTCTCTACAATAGCAGCGTCTTCATCTCGGAGGATTATGTCACCTACCCGGACTACTGGTCATTTTATGCGGCCGAATCTGGAGTGGAACCACCCGTTGGCACTCCTGCAACCCTCGGGTCCCGCCTGTTCGACCGACCATCATTAACGAAGAATTTCTCTGCTCTCCGGAATATGATCGGAAAACTTGCTGGTACGCCTGGACAGTTTACTTTCAACAGCTTTGAGATTGTTGGTGGTGGACAGGTCTTCAAGGACAAGGCTGACCCGAATTCTGGAGTGCTCCCTGCCTGGCGTACATGCTACTTCAGCAACATCGTTGCACGCGGGTATCCTCTAGGTACCCCTCAGTCGGTGGTCGACCAGATCGAGGACGATATCACGTTTAGCAAAGTGGCCGCGATGAAGGCTTTGGCACCCAACACCGGCGCATACATGAACGAAGCCGACAGACATGATCCCGATTGGAAGGTCGACTTCTTCGGGAGCAACTACAATAAACTCCTGGGCATCAAGGAAAAGTATGACCCCGCGTCCGTCTTCTTCTGCCCAACCTGTGTGGGTAGTGACGGGTGGGGAGAGGACTCATCAAGAAGATTATGCAAAGTCAATTCTTAGCTTGACACGAAGAACTGATGGCCATTTTTAGCGTGCATTTTCCAACATTTGATAGATGTTCTACACCTTTGTAATTTATGCATCTTATATACACGTATATACACGTATATACATATGACCGAGTGTCCGTACGAGGTGCTAGGTGCCCTAATCATAATCACACACCGTTAATCACGGCATTGCTGAAACTCCATGCGCGGATTCCTGAGTCCCTCCGAATTTGGCCCCTTGCGGCCATGTGTCTTCGTTCTGTATCCTTACCCAGTGTCCGCATGGAATCGCCTGTACTCGTAAATCGTTGAGGGGCTCGAAGGCGAGAGTCGACGGAGGATAAGGAAGCAGCCTGACATGGCTGTCCCTGCTTTGCCACAGGTTTTCCTCACTAACAGGTGTTTAGCGTGTAAATGCAGGTCCTACCATGCATACTAGCACTTGTCTGGCAATAGCAGCAGGCACAATCCGGGATCAGCTGTTCGGAACACCATCCCATGCTTATCATCAAATTTCCAACATCCGGTAGACTCCTCCGTCCCGCAGTCCATCCTCGGCACCATTTTCTCTTCTTTGGCTACCTTGTTATTGACTGGTAAAGGCGCTGGGGTGGCTGTTGAACTAGACTCATCTCCGCCGGACAGATCCCGCAATGATCAACACAGCCACATTCCATCAGGCGCCCCACTAACGCCTCTAGCCTCCCGCCCGGCCGTTCCTAAAAGGACGCCATGCCTTTCAATGGGTGGTCGCCTACGAGTATGTACAGTGCGCCTTCGGTTCTAGAGGCATGCCAGGCTTGCCAGATGCTTCTTGGTTGGGATGGTCCCGCGATGACTACCGCGGGCAGGTCGACCGTGGAGCCCGGCCTTTTCCTTACGAATTTGTTATCCTCCCTCTCCCTCTCAGTGGCGAGGCTTCTTCGCTACTCCACTTCGTTTTCACTTGTACAACGAGGTCCAAGCGAGGCATGGTATCCCACGAGCACACAGATCCGATCGCGCTTTCTCTGAGCGTCGGGATCAGGAGGACTCCATTCTCATGGGCATGTTAGATATGCAACGTTTCACCAATCCATCGCCTCGGTTGCCCTGCTTAATGCTTATGCATAAGAGAGACTACTCGTACGGAGCATCGATCCTGCACAAAGCCCCAATGGATGGATCCTCCGCCTACTCGTTCATAACGGTCATGATACATACTTTTCTCAGCCCGAGAGAGACGGCAAGAAAGCCCTTCAAGTACGGAGTAGTACATACGAGGTAAAGTAATTTGCAGCACGCGTGAAACGCAACCTCGTACTCAAGTTGTTACTTCAACCCTCAGTTCAACGGCAAGCTCCAGCACTAACGCCTTCCTTAACTTACAGTAAGTTTGAAGAATGCACAAACTCCCGAATCCAATAAGCAGGCCCCCTGCACGGAGTACGTGCGCCCTCCCCCCCTAGGCAGTGGGCTTTGAAACCTGCAAGAACTCGCCAGACTCCATACAGATCCTACCACGGTTGTCTTACGTCCCCACCAGGTCTCCCTACTAATGTTGTATAGCACAGGCCATGCTTAGGGCTCTTCTGGAGCTACCAACACGCTGGGTATAGTGTCTGAGATTCTAATTTACGGATGCATCTGACATGCTCGGTTTAGCAGACCCATGGAACCTGGAGAATTCCCCAAGATCGAGTCCAGCTCCTCAAGTCTAGTCTGGCTTGCATGCCCGCTGTCAAAGCTGTCCGGAGCACGAAAGCGTCAGACTTAGTTGCAAGAAAACACGAGGCGAGAGGGAATTTGCAAAAGTCGCCTGTCATATTCGGTTGGTCAGGAAAAAAGTAGTCTGAAGTTCGGTGTTCCAACTTACAGCTGCAACCATGGTTTTCGTGCCCTTGTTCCTGACTAAGTTAGTTCATGCACCTAGACCTCTCTAAGAATTGCTACCATGTTCGCCTGGAATGGCTGTAACGAACTCTGTTCAAGTTTGCCGGACTTGAAGTCTTGTTTCTCACATGGTTATCCTGCAGCTTAAGGAGATCAGTCCATCGTCTTTGAAGAAATCTACCCCTAACATTGTATAGTCCTCTAGCGAGTTTTGCTTGTGGCGAATGGATTAATTGCACCTCATTCCCAGTCCCCGTTCCCTAACATTCGCATGTCTTCCCTCACTAACTGAGGACGGATTTGAGGACGGGACAGGAGGATTTGCGATTGACCTCAGCAACTAGTGTCAAACGCTCTTTTGCTTGAAGATTACTTCCATCAACTCTTCAACATGTCAACAGCCAACCAAACAGAGCCAGCAGCCTTGCCTCCTCTAGTTGGAGCTGCAAGAAATCTCCATGAGCCAGGTTTACGAGCAGTTGCTTGGGCTGGCGTTGCGACCGCGGGCCTTTTCGTGTCCTTGAGATTGTTCGCTCGATATCGCGAGGCTGGACACTTTTTCGCCGATGATTACTGGGTTGTTGCGGCCTTCGCCGTTTTGGCAGTCAATGCTTTGCTACAACACCTTCAGACACATTCCCTCTACTATGTCATGGAGGTATCAGCGGGGCGGCTGCCGGTGTCTGAGGACCTCATCATCCAGGGAAACATCTATGTCCGATATGAGTTTCCGATCATTGGCTTGATGTGGACAGTCCTCTGGTGTGTGAAAGCTAGTCTCCTGGCTTTATTTTGGAGATTGTTTGAAGGTCTTCCTCGATATAGAAGAGTGTGGTGGGGCGTGGTGGTCTTCTGCATCCTCTCATATATTGGATGTTGGATTGCCAGCGCATGGACCTGTCACCCCCCAAGCACATACTTTCAATTTGGTAGGTAAGCCTCTCGCAGGCTTGTAACTCCTGCTAATTGTTCCTTAGGTCAGTGCTCCAAGCCTATCGACGTCAGAGGCGGCAATATCAGCATCTCCTACTCCACCGCCGTGGACATCCTATCAGACCTACTCATCATGTTGCTCCCTCTGCGACTCCTGCGCGATCTACAAATTTCCCGCCCACAGAAGATCGGGCTCTCTGTCGTCTTTTGTCTCGGTCTTGCCATCATTGCCGTCGCCATTGTTCGCTTAACGCAGATTATCGGTCATGAGCGCGCAGATCCTGTCGGTCTCGCAGTTTGGGGGCTAGTCGAGAGCACGGTTTCTGTTATTATTGGGTGCCTCCCACCATTGAAAAGCTTTCTCGGGAAACAGATCTCCAAGTTCACTGGGGCCATATATGGTTATGGTGGTGGTCATTCAGGAGGACGACACTCCGGCAAAATTCAAGGTGGCACTTCGGGGAACAAGTCACCGTTTGCGTCCCGACTGGCTAAGGAATCCGATTCTATTCCTCTCCACGACAGGGGCAGAGTTGACGTTAAAGCCCTCAAGGACGGACAGATCGTTGTCCAGAAGGACTTTGGATGGCAAACAGCTGGCGGCAGCACATTCGACAGGGGCTCGAGTGTCGAGACAACTGACCTGGAGAGTCAAAAGGGCAATCACTCCACCGTCGACGAGCATTATTACGGTGACGAAGTCAAGATGATGAACAAGAAACAATTGGAAGAGTACGAGATCGGCGTCGCAAGACCCATGGGGAAAAGACTCAGTCAAAGAGTATCGTCGCATGGAAGACAAGTCAGTGACGACGCTCGTTCCAAGACAAGCTGGTTGCAGTGAGAGGACGATGGTTACAAACGGCACTCCTCACGCGTCCCAAGAGCAAAAGTTTTACACCTGTTGTCCCGCCAACGTCCTTTATATTTGTTCATACGGACTCTTGTTCTGTTACGAGTCCCCTTTTCACGTACACAACGTCTTTCTCGATTTTAGCTGTCTTTGGGGAGGAGGGGGCGTCCGTCCAGCGCCTCTCTACGGATAGGTATAAATCCCGAGGATCACAATATTCGGATCCCTTCACTTGGAGGGGTAAAAAGAGAGATTGGAGCTTGAGGTCCCTAGATATTGGAACATCATGTCATCATTATGCCGTGAAAGGAAACCAAAAAATGTCCCCCCTTGTCTCTATAAAATGTCGACGCTATCATGTATCTATGTATGGCGCTCCATGTATGTATAAAGATGATTTTGTCGCGGTTTGTCTAGTTTTTGACTTCTTCCATTCCGTTTCGCTGTTCCTGAAAACGACTTTCAAGCCTCTCCGGGGGAAAAAAAAAATACTATGAATTCGTGTATACTAAGTACTGCGTAAATAAACGCAGTACGGGTGAGATATCTACCAGTATCATACGACGATATTACTACTATGTTTTCCCCCCTTCCAACAAATGCCACGGTGGTTCTCGGCCAGAATCGTCGCTCAATACACGCGAGGGCCAAGTAAGTTTAGACAACCACATGCATCCTCCTGAGGTTGCCTTCCTATCTCGTGCCCACTAAAGGTTCACTGACTAGGACAGGACCGGAGATGAGCGGGCCCGGCGGTGGCGATAGCGACAGCGGCCGTGTTGGTCGGTTTCGGGATAAAGGGGCATTCACCTCCTAAAGTCCACTTACTCCATACTCGGTGCCGAGTGCTACTACTGTCCAATTTTGAGTTTTTGGAATTGAGAAGGCGTGCTCTGCCTCGTTAAAAAAGGAAGGCCTTGTTAAGTGGGTAGTAGTCGAAATGGCGGATGGCCCGCCAACGCTTACATATGGCAGCAGGTATCTCGTACATACTACTGAGTACAGTCGTACGAGGTGCGAGGTACCAGGCTGGCATGCCCAGTCGAGGAGCGAGAGATAAGGCTGAATGGCTCTAAATACGGGTACGTGTGCACCAAGCATCGGTGCCTGAGGTGAGCACATTTCGTATCTATGTACGAGTATCGATCACGTATCCAAGAGACTACGGATCTCGTAAAGACGACTCAGTGTGCGAGGTACTCAGTTCCAAGTGAGTCTTTTCATCTTCTCTACTCTTCCTTGCCCCAGTGAATCGTCCCATTGAAATCTAGTCGTTGCACAAAGCATCTAAAGGGCATGTTTTGAGGGGGAGGTACTGCCAACAGCATTATTATTGGTAGACTGGTGAAGCCACGAGGAAGATAACTCGGTAAAATGGCACCGTTGTTCGATCTCTTTCTTTTTTTCCCCCGGAGATCGCCATTCCGTCCAATAAGACCTCTCTGGTATGACATCGAGGCCAAACTTCGCTGGCATGAAAGAAACAGGAGACTTTGGGTTTCCCCTCAATCTCCTCTCCCTTTTGTGCGAGAGGGTTTGTCGAGAATGTTGGTTTGTGGCGATGGTACGGCACAGCTAGGGAAGCCTCTGCTCCGCGAGGAGATCCTTACAGAGCAACTTCTTTTTTGGGGAACATTAAACCATTGTTCTCCGCTCAGGATTATCCCCACCAGACGGCATCAAGGAGCTACTCCAACTTGACAAAGCGCACGCCTGAAGCGATACCAAACTCGCTTCACGTGAGATCAGCAAAAGTCGTCATGTTCTGATCCATGCATGGTGTTATTATTGGGAAATGCGGGGCCTCTGATATTAGATCCTGAGATAGCCCCTCCCAGATCTGATCCATATCTGCTACGTGATTCTCCTTTACCGAACGCTCCAAGCTTACATCCCTGCGAAATAGCTCTCACGGTGCGTTGAAACACAATGGCTGGTATTCAAGGACAACTTGACCGCGGCGCAGTGCCGAATCATATCTCCAATGTATGCCCTAAAGGTACTAAATTTCATGTGCTTGAAGTTGGCTGGTTAGAATGCGACGAAGCATTCGTGATTCGTGGTGGGAACACCAGCTTGAAAAGCACCGAGAACAAATCCTTCGTCAATAAACGTCGAGAGCTGCCCATGTATTGTATTCTGATTGAACATCCACATGAAGGTCTCATTCTCTGGGAGACTGGCTGTGGCAAAGATTACCCTGAAGTTTGGGGTCCTCAAGTTGCTGATGTCTTTTCCCGAATTCGTTACGAGCCTAGGCACGAGCTGAAGGCCGCGGTTGAGGCAACGGGGAATAAACTTGAGAACATCAAAAAGATCATTATCGGGCACTTGCACCTCGATCATGCCGGGGGGCTAGACATGTTCCTGGACCGGAAAGATGTCGAGATCTGGGTCCATGATAAAGAGCTGAGATCTGCGTTCTGGTCTGTGGCAACCGGGGCAGACGTGGGTGTCTATCTTGAGCACTACCTGAAGTTGAGCTTGTGAGTACTCGTGGCCCTAAACACAGATAACATACTGATATCGCTCAGCAACTGGAAAACTTTCGATGAGCAAACCTTCGACTTTTGCCAAGGTATTACACTGCATCATCTTCCCGGGCACACAGATGGTAAGGTGACTGTTGACTATTTTGACAAAGCTAAGTAGTGACCAGGACTGATTGGTATGCAAATCAACATGCTTGAAAGTGGTACATTTTTGTTCATCAGTGACCATTGCCACGTTATCGAAAATGTGAGTATTCTCTCGCGCCTTCAATTTATGAGACGACCATAGTAAACTGACGATTCGTTTGTAGTGGCGTGATGGAATCCCCCAAGGGTGGCTGGCAAGGGATCACCCTGCATGGTTCAGAAGTACACAACGCTTGAAGCAGTTGGAGAGAACGACTAAGGGACAAGTAATTCCAGGTCACGACAAGCAGACTTTTGAAAGTCTGATTAGTCGTGGCACGGCTTATACTTGAGAAGGCCTATAGGTGTGAGCAACCGCAATGACAGAGGCGAGGGAAGTAGCCTTCAGGCATAGCGAACTATCCCGACACCACACCATAGCAGGTAAAGAGGCAGTGGGTGTACCCTGTGGTCAAGTTGGATAGTCCGTGGAGCTGGGTGGGAGGCCAACAACAACTGCAAGATGGTATTATAGTCGAGCTGCGATGTTGAGACCAACCGTATTCAGCGGTGATGAACAACTTATGTGCGTTGCAAACTGAGCTAAGATGATCTGTTCTCTTTGAGGCATGGCCCTTTGAAGAGCAGACTTTGTACTCGAAGCCACACCTGCTGTTGGGCACAAGTAACGCCGATTTTCCTTTGGTCGCTCAAGCTTCCGAGGTCTCACTCGTATTATCATCTGCCATAGACCACTGGCTGGAGGCGGGGAAAGAGTCGGTTGATTCAAGTGTCTCATCGGGTACAAACTGCTCCTGTGATTCAGGAATGTCATTACTCGAGACAGAAAATCCAACCGATTTTCCTGGCTTGTTGCTTGATTTCTTCTCAACAAGAATATCACCATTCCATGGACGGCATTTGTAAACGATTTCTCCGCATCTTAAACAAGACCAACCGGCTCCTTCTTCAGCCTCAATCTTCGTGGCAATGCAAACAAAGCAGTAGATACATCGACAAGGGATTGTCTCATAAGGATTGACAATATCCGTGGTAGCTGAGCCGATGACACCGCCACCCGCTCCAGCATTTGCACCAAGTATTTCGGCCTCAGACGTCGACGTGGGATTCTGGTCTTGATAACATATGGGACAGGTCCTCTCGGGTAAGAAGGACAATGGGCCAGTCTTCACATTATTTTCATCCTCTTCCCCAACTTCTGATCTCATTGCTGCTTTTGTTCGTTTCCACGCCCTTGAAAGCCATCTCCTCCATCTGCTAATCCCCACGAGAGGAAGAAGGAACAACAAAAATTCCGTGAAGGCATGCCAGACCAGTTGTCGGTTGAGGTACTCGAAAGATACCTCACGACTGACCTGATTCGATGGCGAAACAAGTCTCAATCGAAGAAGTCGATCCGTGAGAGTGCGGTAGCTGCCGTTTACCAAAAAGACGAGAAATGAAATGAAGGCGGCAATTGAATGGGTGGTAGAGACAAAAGAGGTGAGTCGCATCAGATGTTGGACAGTGTCTGAAGGAGCTGTATATCCACGTTCCTGATCAATAAGCCAATCTTCCCACTTATCCCACCCATAACGGCCGAATATTGTGATCAGGCCATAAAGTGTCTTTTGCCATTTCGTAGGTTTGGGTAATGCAGGTCCGGCTTGACGGGCATCAGTATATCGCAGGTTCTGTAAGGATGCACCATAAGATGCGTCATTGTCCCATATCGAGAGTTTGAATAAGGCGGCTCGAAGAGCGAGGAGGATCTCTTGTGACCAGTCATCCTGAAAATGAGGCCCTAAATACTTTAAAGCATCTCCGACCTGCGTCTTGAACAATCCCAGTAACTCTTCATCAAGCAGTTCAGCGTCCACCTGGCCTACTCGGAATGCGGGCCTTGTGCCTTCTGAGTCGAGCAGAGTTGTCCACCAGGAAGAGAGTTCAGGGCGTAATGAGAGTGTGAGACGTGTCAAAGTGGTACGGCTTCCGCTTGAGAGGTTTGATTGCTGGCGGATGGCGAGAGCTTCGTGCTGTCTGGCGGCTTGTTGGGCTAGGATCCGCTCTTGGGCAGCGGCGAAACTGGAATGAGACATTGGAACTGCATACCACGAGCCGGGAAGAACAGGTGTAGTTATCAATCAACCGGAGCGCGAAGATGAGGCATGCTGAAGGTGGAAAATGTCGAACGAGCCGTGAGCCACGAGCGCAGCCGAGGCATCGGGACGGTTAAGAATGTGATAGATGAGCTAAGCCGACTAAGAGGTAACTAATGAGCCTGGTGACTCGCTAGTGTCTCAAATGACGAGAAAGGGCAGGTTTGGCGGGCCGGCCGGTCGATTGTCCAATCAGACGTGCCAAACTTTTTTGTTTCACTACTGTGTCAGCCTTCCTATCAATCTCAAGATTTGTTCAAAAACCAAAACATTCTCAATACTACGTTCTCTCCTTGTAGAAAACTCCTCAACTCCTTCTTCTCTGTCATCGGAGTCATGTTGAGAACTACCCCCTAGCCTAATTCACAAATATGCCTTCCTTTGCCATTGAAGTTGAAGGAGAAACCAACCCATTGAACAGGCAGGCTGTCATCTCCACCCTTGCAAATGCTTCCAGAGGTTTCCCGACCCCGCAAGCACTGAAAGCTGCCACCCAACAGATTGGTAATTGGGAGAAGACTCCTGGCTATTACGCACTTCTTCAGGATGTCTACGCTGATTTCTCTCTTGACGAAGCTGTCCGGTTTCAAGCGATCATTCAATTGAAGAATGGAATCGATAAATACTGGAGGAAAACAGCAACTAACACCATAGCCAAGCCTGAGAAGGATCAGATCAGATCTAGATCCATTGATGCTGGTGTCAAAGAACCGATTTCTGCCCTCTCTCTTCACAATGCTCTCATGTTGGCGAAGATCGTTCGATACGAGTTTCCTCATGATTGGCCAGATGTTATTCCAGTCATTATTCAACACCTTCGTAATACAAGCCAGGACCCTAATGCAACTCTGTACACCTCAAATATCTTGACTATTACTCTGCAGGTGATTAAAGAGCTCGCTTCAGGAAGACTGCAGAGAACGAAAAAGAGCCTCCAACAAGTGGCCTCGGAACTCTTGCAAGTCCTTGGCAGCCTTTACATCAGCCTGGTTTCGAGGTGGCATTTAAATCAGACTCAGGCTGATATGACAAGTGCTCTCAATAGCCATTCTGCACTGAAGACACTCAGAAGATTGCTCGTTGTTGGATTCGAGAGTCCCCATCGTGAGGAAGATGTCCGACAGTTTTGGGCCCTCCTCCAGACCCAGCAAGATGCCTTTTGGACCTCTTATAATCGCACTTCCTCCGCCGAACTCAAGACAGTCTTCATGAAGCACCTTCTGCAGCTATCTAAGCTCTACTTAGACATGGCTCGCAACCACCCAGCCTCTTTTGTGCTACTGGGCTGTATGGACATCCTTAATCATTCCTGGAACATTATCAACCAGACTGACGCCAAGTCCGCGCTGAACGGCAACTTTGATTGGAATGTATACCGGAATGGCGACAACACTGAAGAGTCACCTACAGAAAAGCTCGCGCTCAAAGCACTCCTCTTGTTTCGGGCTTGTCTGAAAATGGTTTTCAACCCGGTGCAGACCTTCAAATATCAGACACCACAAGACAAAGATGACAGAAAGAATGCAGTAGACCACATCAAGGATACGGTCCTCACAAACGACTTCGTGCTCCGCCTCATGGAGTTGTTGGTCACAAGATACTTCGTCTTGCGACCATCAGACTTACGAGATTGGGAGGAAGAGCCTGACGAGTGGGAACGGAGAGAAGAAGAAATTGCAGATGCTTGGGAATTTTCAATTCGATCTTGTTCTGAGAAACTCTTTCTCGATCTGGTCATCAATTTCAAGGAACTCCTCGTTCCTCGATTGTTGGATGTGTTCCAACAGTACGCAACGACTTCAAGCAACAATGTTTTGCTCAAGGATAGCCTGTATTCAGCCATTGGCATCGCGGCGGCTTGCATTGAAGATGTGCTCGATTTTAACGCTTTCCTAAGAACAACATTGGTGCCTGAGGTACAAATGGTCCAGCCCAATTACAACCTTCTGCGGCGTCGTACTGCAATCCTTCTCGGGCAGTGGGTTCCGATCAAACCTGAAACTCTCGACCGAGTGGCAGTCTACCAAATCTTCACGCACCTACTTACAAGTGATGAGCAATTGAACGATCAGGTGGTACAAGTTACAGCCGGTAGACAACTGAGAATGGTGCTTGATCCTTTCGAATTCAACTACAATGATTTCCAACCATACGCAACACCACTGCTTTCAAGCCTCATGGCGCTGATAGCAAGGACCGAATTATCTGAAACCAAAATGGCTTTACTGGAGACTGTTAGAGTTGCAGTCACGAAACTCGAAGGTCACATCGAACCTTACGCACAGGGTATTATGTCCATGCTGCCCCAACTTTGGGCTGAATCTGGAGAAGAACATCTTATGAAACAAGCAATTCTTACCATGATCACAGCGATAGTCACCAGCCTCGGCCAAAAGAGTCTTTCTTATCATGCATCTGTCCTGCCCATTATCCATGACTCTATCCAGCCGGACTCTGAGGCTATCGTCTACCTCTTAGAGGATTCTCTCGACTTGTGGGCAGCTATTCTACAGCAAACTCCTTCAGATGCTCCTTCGGAGGGTCTTTTGGCATTGTCTCAGTCCATTCTACCACTCTTGGAAACAGGGAGTGAGCTCTTGAGACAGATATTTGAGATTGTAGAATCGTATACGATATTATCGCCGACAACGGTCTTGTCTTCTCAATTTCTCAATCCACTCCTCACATCCATGAAGTCTCTCCTGGCAATGCTGTCTTCAAGTCGAGCTAGAGACTCGTCACATGCGCCACATGTTCTTGAGAATCTGATTGCAACGATAGCTGCAGAAACAGAACAAACCCTTCCTTCGCGCGAAGCATTAAATCACCTTCTCACCTCGATGCTCAATTCCGGGTATCTGGCTGCTGTTTTGGAAATCCTCAAAGAGGCTTATGAATATCACCAAGACCCACGGCCGAATCGAAAACCTCCCGACATCATCGGGCCAGGAGAATCCAGTCTCTTCACCTTGATATCACGATTGGTCTTACTCTCTCCAGACGCGACAATTCAGGCAATCTCCGCCACCAACATCGTTTCCTCGACCTCTCTCTCGACCCCAGCATGGCTTGTGACAGAATGGCTCGCGCAGATCGACAATATCGGCGACGTTCTACGCAAAAAGTTACATGTGCTCGCCCTGACCAACCTGCTGAACGCCGGTACACCACCGGTCCCTCAGTTGGTGCTCGAAAACATCCAATCATTCTTGACGACGTGGACTGACATAGCGGTGGAGCTAGGAGAAGAGGCATCCGAAGAGAGCATGGGAGACTACCTCTGGCATAACAGGCCGGCGACAGATGTGCCCGACTGGCCGGATGCGACGCCCGAGGACGGCCGCAAGAGAGTCTTGAGTAACAAGGACCCCATCTACATGATGAACATCCGTGACTTCATCGCTGAGAGATTGAAAGGTTTGATGGAGAGAGTCGGGGGTGTCGAAATGTTTGAGCGCGAGTGGTTGAGTAGAGTCGACACCGCGGTCGTCAAAGCCTTTGTCGATTTGAAGGTGCTCTGAGATTGGAATGAAGAGCCACGCTCATGATGATGACGATGACGATGACGTTGCTTGGGGTGTGAGACAGTTATAGAAAATGTCGTGCTGTGGCTGATGGGGCCAATACCATATGGACATGTTCACACACGAGCGGCAGTATCCTTGTCTTCATGCTCTCATGAGGCAGGTGCCATTCGATAACAGTGAAGAAGTAGGACGCCGTCCCAGGTAGTGTTCAGAGCCTAAGCGCGAGTGCGCCCGCGGATGTAGCACAGAAGAATACAAGAGCCCAGACATTCAGAAGCCACAGAAAGGAAAACAGAGTTCAGTTTAGTTCTATGCCGACCGTTCTTACTCAGAAATATGAACAATTCAAAGCCTCTCGCTAGCCAGTTTCCAAATGTCTCCCAACTCCAGACAGTCAAAACCGCTCGAGGCCCTAGGGAGTGCCATTCATGGTCGGAGCCTTCTTCAAGCCGACATGATAGCGCATAAACAGAGCATCTATGAAATGATCATGCCTAATGCCGGGCGGCTTCGCCCTTGCAAACTCGTCCACGGCGTCCTGGGGACGATATCCCATCTTCTCGATGAGATAGCTAGCAATGAAGAATCCCGTCCGGTTGTAGCCGTAGTGGCAGTGTACGCCGATGGCTTTACCTTCATGTCCTTCTTCACTCCTCAGACGGTCCACGAGGGAAATAAAATCCTGCACCTCGACTGGCGTGGGCGGGACCTTGGAGACGGTGGGGAACTTGTGGTACTGCACTCCGCCACGCTCCAGGGCTTTGGTGTCGTAGACCGGGCTATCGTGAGAGATGTCAACGATGGCGAAGATTCGATCACGCCACTTCTTGAGAAATTCGCCCGGCGAGTGCTCTTCATCCTGTTCGCGCAGGGTTTTCAAGGCGCGGAAAATGCCGTCGGTGCCGATGAGGTCCGAGACGGGAGTGACTCTTTTCCATTTTTCCAGGTTCTTGACGTCCCATTTGCCTGCTGTTGTCAATTGTTGCAACTGCCAGCCAAGACTCAGTTGTGGAGAAACATAGCGGGAGAGGAAGTCTTCGATGAGGCCGGCAACTGTTCGGTACGTAGAGTGATCGTACATCAAAGCGTGTGCGGCTGGTGAAGGTAGAATGGCGGTCTTTACGATATTGGAATGATGGCTGGAGAGCTCGCGCGTTGAAGGCGCCACTCCGAATTGGCGGTCGTCAGCTCGTGCTTCACTTGCGGAAGGAGCTGTTTTCAGATTTGAGGCTGTGTCTAATATAAAAGAAGTCTCCGTTGAGGAGTTCTGTGCCTTAGCCCTCAGTGGTCCGTCTGAAACTGGAATGGTGTCGTCATTAGTCGGTAGCTTTGCGTTGCTCTCGACATTGCGACTTTGTAAAAAGGACATGATTGTGTCTACCTCCTTGGGTTTGGTGACTGTATCTGCTTCTCCTGCAATAAGGAAGAGTGGGACCCGTATCTTTGCCCAGACTTCTTTTCCAGGTAGGCCACCTACAGCTTCGCCTGTAGGGCTGTACTGGGGTAGGCATCCTATCGTTGAGCGTTTCCAGACCGGCGTCCTGAAACTCTTGTTGTAGCCCAGCTGAAGTCGTCTTAGGTCTATACCCGCAGCCTCCCCTGCCATTCTCTTAACACTGCTGGAGTTAATGCCACCCCTGCGGTCAACCATGCGAAGCAGATCGAGCATTACATCTGGCAGAGACAAAAGCCTTCGCGCATGGACCGTTTCAGATTTTGAGGGGGGGGTGGCTTTTGGGCAGATACCAATGATTCCTGCTACCGTGACGGGCGAAGGCTCTGCCGTTGATAATAGGGCGGCAATCGAGCAGCCCATACTATGTGCGACAATGACAACATTTTGATGCCCGTGCTCTCTACAAATGTCTTGAATGGCAACAGACCACAGCCCTGCAAATGCTTCAATGGTGTAAGCGTTGTAGTTCTTTGGTGAAAAGTCCGACGAGCCATGGCCAGGTAATTCAATACCAAAGCAGGGTGCGATGTTCACTAAACTGCCGAGCAATGGTGCAAATTGTGGCAAGGAACCTCCTAGCCCGTGGATGAAGACGAGTAATGGGAGGTCTGCTATTGCCTGGAGTTTTTCTGCGTGTACATGTGCATGATAGAATGTTCTGATAGAATTGTAGGTTGCATGCTGTGTCGTATATGATCGTGTAGACAAGTGATCTTTCAGCAAGGGATGTTGTTGTTCCAAAACAATCTCATCCTGATCGCGGCTGGGGGAAGACACGTATGAGTAGGTGAAGTATAATGCTCCGGCACCAAGGAGTGCTCCACATGTGATAGAGACAGCCATACTCAAGGCTGCAGTCCTAGTAATTGATTGAGGAAGAAACACGTGCCACTCAGGTTGCCGAGAAGGAAGTTGATGTGGAGAGCGCAACAGACGGGATTGCCCAAGCCATTATTGAAGTATCATGCCCCAGGTTTCTAGAGGCTGAGAAGGACTGATAGACCTTGTAAATGGCAATTGAGGGAGGGGAATTGAGTTTGTTTGTCGAGCACGAGCTACATCCGTTGGTGAAAAGGATCTGGTTGACAGCAAGGGTCGCTGAATCCGTGCTCAGAAGGTTATGCTAGGAAGCAAACATGGCTGTGGAAGTCCAACGGCATTGAGAATATCTCCATCAGCCAGCTAGTTCATATACCTGGACAAACACATCTTGTTCCACATAACATTCTAGCCTACTCGTAGAGGTGACACAACATGCCCATCAAAAATTGCAGTGTTGAGAAAACGACTCATTAATTACTCCATATCAGAGCGGAGGGCAGGTGGCTCGCGGAAGATCATTCATCCGGGATACGGTCAAGCATACCGACAGTTTTCACTACATTATTTACCGTTTTACTCAGCACTAGCACAGCAGTGCTGTACTCCAGAACTTGAGAAATGTTACAGTAAGTACCTATAGGTTATAATTCGACATTACTTGTCAGTTTCCTATGCTGTGGCATTTATAGCGACTAGCCCATGCCCGTAAGATGGATGATACGGGTTCCACAGGGCGTTTCGTTCCTGCACCTTGCATGCCGACGTTCCTATGATGTTCAACCCCCGTTCTACTTAAAACGAGTCTCACCTGGCCGGGGTTTGCACTTCAGCAATCCGGTATTACAAGACGATCGCAACCCTCTGAGGAAGGAATTGAAAGATGCCGCTAGGACGGCCAGGCTTGCGACGGCCGCAACATGCGTTCAAAGTCCAGATGTTCTTGATGGCTGGGACTTGACGGTTGGAATCGAGGTGCATGCTCAGCTAAATACTTCTCACAAGCTTTTCTCAAGTAAGTCTGCGACCGTCTTTCTGGTCTTCGTCCGCTGACCCTTTGAAGCTGCCCCGGCGGCCCCGACACTGAACCCGAACACCCAGCTTGCCTGCTTCGATACTGCAGTTCCGGAAAGCCAGCCAGTCTTACAAGCCGGTACTCTCATCCCTGCACTTCGAGCTGCCCTTGCGCTAGACTGCAACGTACAGTTAATCAGCAGTTTCGATCGAAAGCACTATTTCTACCACGATCAGCCTGCCGGTTACCAGATCACTCAATACTATCATCCTTTCGCGAAGGATGGCTTTCTCAAGATTAACTCTGCCGATGGTCTACCCGAGAATCAAGAAATCAAGGTGGGGATAAAGCAAGTACAGTTGGAGCAAGACACCGCAAGATCACAGGACCAAGATGGCGAGACAACTCTGATCGATTTCAATCGTTCTGGTGTTGCTCTTATCGAGATCATTTCCTTACCTGATCTTCATTCTCCTCGAGCTGCCGCCGCATATGTCCGAAAGCTACAAGCACTTCTCTATGCAGTAGATGCAGTTACAACTGGCATGGAAGAAGGCGGTCTTCGTGCCGATGTGAACGTATCTGTGCGACGCAAAGGCAATGCAGAAGGGAGCTTCTCGTACTCAGGCGTACAAGGTCTAGGTCAGCGGACAGAGATTAAAAATCTTAGTACTTTCAAGGGGATCGAAGAGGCCATCAAGGCTGAAAGAGACCGTCAAATTAGCGTGCTTGAAAGTGGTGGCAGCATTCAGGCGGAAACGCGTGGATGGTCCGCTACAAATCCACGTGAGACCAGAAGACTAAGGGGCAAAGAAGGCGAGGTCGACTATCGGTATATGCCTGACCCTGATCTTCCTCCGTTGTATATTCACCAGTCTCTCGTCGATCGCCTCGCGTCAACCCTTCCTCCGTCCCCAGAAAAATTGGTCAAGCTGCTCATCTGTGAGTATGGATTGTCGAGTACTGACGCTGAGACTCTTTGTGCTCTGGACGATGGTGAAAGGATGATCTACTTCCAGGAAGTTGTGCAAGAGTTCATCAGGGCTGTCGACCGTCCGATACCCAAAGAATCTGTTGGACAATTCGTCGCAAATTGGGTTCTACACGAACTCGGTGCGCTTTTGTCCTCAGATGATCAACCATGGTCAAAAGAACTGGTCCCTGCAAGCCAACTCGGGGAGATCTTGTCTCTGTCAAGCCTCGGTAAGATTACTGGCGGCTCCGCAAAGATTGTTTTGAAAATGAAATACAACGGCGACAAACGTCTAGTTTCGGACATCATTGATGAGGAGCAGTTGCACTTCCAAAATCTCTCTGACACGAAGTATGAGTCAATTGCGCGGGAAATCATGGACAAATACCCTCAGCACGTGGAAGATATACGCGAGAAAAAGAAGATGGGCAAGCTGCAGTTTCTTATGGGCCAAATGTTTAGACATCCAGACAAGGGAAACATGAAACCACAAGAAGCTGAAAGAGCATTTCGTCGACTGATCTTGGGCGAAAAATGAACTGGCCTTTTCTTCCGACCGTTGCGCAAAACCCTGTTACACAAGACCAGAATTCGTATGCACTAGTCCTCTGATCCGGAATGTTCCTGAGATAAAACGAGCGTCAAAGCATTGGCCCCTGGGTCGACTCGTTCTGCTGGAAAGTGGATGTCAGAAGGGGATCACGTGCTGCGGTCGGCGGACTATATGGACCAATGCAAACCCTTAAAGATTACATCAAAGACACAAGCAGACCTCGAAATGGAAATACCCCACTTCATACCTCGAGATGGGAGGATAAGTATCTCGAGCAGTTCGAGTCAGTTCGAGTCGTGTCGCTCGACATCAAGAAGAAGCACGCCAACTTCTGGAGACCCCGCATTTTCAGTGACCCGGGAAGGTTTGGTCCAAGCCGAGATTCGTGGACTGGTAGCGGCCAAGCAAAACACTATGCAGAACGGGCGCCCTTCTCTGTGACAACGAGCAGTCGCTTGGGAATGGTCACGGTGGTCAGGAATTGCATACTGTACGAGATATCCCCATTCAAAAATGCGTGCCATCACTGGTACCCGAGGCTCGTTGTAGTAGCACAGTGCCGACATGGAGCAGATATTACTAGTATATCGTTGAAGTTACTCCCCTGGCCATTACTGACCAGATCCTGCAATCCTTCCTCGGCATGGGTTCATGTGTGCTCGGCTGCATCGACTCAGATATAATGAAGTAGCCTAAACTGCACTCACTATTAAGCAATCGTCGCTCTTCTTTTCTCCCGGCCCTGCTATCTTCACGGTTCTTCTGTACCTCAGCTTGCCCTTAACCATGGCAGCACTAGAGTCCAATTTGCCAATTGCTGTGGCCTTAGCTGGTGTCGCGTCTCATCTGTTCTTCTTCAAGCTTGGGGAGCGCGATATCTATCCTCTCAGATACCTGCAGGCTTTTCTCCTGGCTTGTATGATCACTACTGTTGCTAAATCAAGCTATGGTAACCTTCCCACCCAAGATGCTTTAGCTTTCACGGTAAAGTATGCTGGCCTCTACCTTGCTGGTCTCTATAGCAGCTTGATTATTTACCGCCTCTTCTTCAACCCCTTGAACAAGATTCCTGGACCGTACTGGGCACGACTCTCCAAGTTCAACTTCGTCTTCCGTGTTGCAGCCAAATTGGACTGTTGCCATAACCTCCTCGAGCTCCATGAACGCTATGGCAAATTCGTACGGATCGGTCCTCACGACGTATCCGTTATTCACCCTGATGGTGTTGAAGTTATTGCAGGTCCCAAGTCCAAGTGTACCAAGGCTCAATGGTACGCCCAAGATGTGCCATTGATCAGCATGCATACCTGTCGTGACCGTGCTCAACATGATCGTCGCCGCCGGATTTGGTCACCTGCGTTCAGTGACAAATCTCTGAGAGGGTATGAAAACCGCATTGAGAAATATAACGACCTCTTGCTCCAAAAATTGGAAGGGTCGACTGGTGAGTGACCCTCATGGCACTGTGTCCATGGATGTGCAACGGTCTCTCAGCTGAATGGTTGCACACAAACTTGCTCTATCCCTCGCTAACACTGTGGTTCCACAGGTCAACCAGTCAATATGTCAACATGGTTCAATCTATATAGTTTTGATGTCATGGGTGACTTGGCCTTCGGCAAATCTTACAACATGCTAGAGGCCGGTGAACTTCATTGGGCCATCAAATTACTCAATGGTGGCATGGACCCCATGGGACTAGGCCTCCCAGTCTGGTGCTTCCGTGTCATCACAGCTATCCCCGGTCTAGCTGCTGACTACTGGAAATTCATCAACTTTTGTGGGGAACAACTCGAGGATCGTATCAAAGCTCAGGGAAAGATGAAGGATCAAGACATAACCCACACTTTGATCGAGCATTACCAGAAAGGCGATGAAGCTACTCGACGCGTGCAATTTCCAATGTTGCAAGGTGACTCAAGGCTCATTATCGTGGCCGGCAGTGATACAACCGCGGCAACTTTGGTTCACTTGTTCTACCACATCTCCACTCAAAAGGAGCTGTTGCGGAATCTCCGCAAAGAACTTGATGGGCTAGTGAAGCCAGGCGAGAAGATTGAACATGTCAAGATTCAGGACGCACCGTTATTGAATGCAGCTATCAACGAGACTTTGAGGCTCAATCCTCCAGTACCCAGTGGTGTTTTCCGCAAGACACCAGAGGAAGGCGTCATGATTGCAGACCAATACATACCAGGAAATGTCTGTATACAGATGCCTGGATATGTGATGGCACGTGGTAAGCAGCATATTTCCCAACTGCAGCAAGAACTTTGGTTAACCACATTCCCTCGTGCTTGTCATAGATGTGGACAATTACCCGTCTCCGTACGAATTCATCCCAGAGCGATGGACCTCGCGACCCGATCTTGTCCTACACAAAGACGCCTGGGGTCCGTTCGGTACCGGGCCATACGGATGTATCGGCAAAAATTTAGCATACCTAGAAATACGCCTGCTCACCGCTAACCTGATCCGCAAATTTGACGTCCGTTTGGCCCCAGGTGAGGATGGAAACAGACTCCTGAAGGAATCCAAGGATCACTTTACCATGGGTCTGGGAGACATTGACATGATATTCACGAAGCGAGATTAGGAATAGGAGTTCCAACGGACAAGTCTCAGTCGCGACGACCGACTCGGGGAGGGGGGAGGGGTGCATTCCAGTCATCTATGTGGGAGGAAGACGTAGAGTCCAAAGGACACGGTCGAAGCGGAAGACCGAAAAAATGAGAGGAAGGACGATGAAGCTTGTCTTACACGGTAGTCTTTGGCCAATCGCGCAGATGCACTTGGACATCCTGCTGCTATTTTCCCCACCAATCTGGGCTCAAGTGAAGTATTGCCCTCGAACGAACCTTTATGTCTCCGTCACCTTCTCGTACAGGCAACGAATCGGCAACGAGCCAAATGAGGTAATGTAGTAAGTGAAGCTCGAAAGCAACGGGCTGTGTCTCCCTGCCAGTTAGACTCTGTGGATTTCAGACTCTGGTTTGGCCAGTGTCGTTGGTGAAAGAAAGTCCTGATTGACTTGACTGCCCCTCTCTCGGCGCCGAACACAAGATGTAATGCTAGTCTATGACAGGAAGCCGCCGAGGGGAAGCCGCCGAATGGCCAAACTATGTCGGTCACTAAGTATCCAAGCCGTTGAGGGGCTGGCTCTTATCTAGACGCCGATTGCTGAGTCCAGTGATTTGGGAAAGAGGCCTCCGAAGAAAAAGGCGCGGGATCCCGCGTTTGGGAAGCGGAAGTGGGATTTTGACGTCTTGTATTTGGTGGGTTGCGAAACACCGGGTTGGGGTAACAAGAGTTCTCGATCGGGAAATCTTCTCGTAATCGGTTGCCCTTCTTGGTGGGACAGGCTTAACTGGTCAGTTTGATGCATGGCGGTAACCGGAGTCGAGATGGTGACGCCACATATCCCGATCCAGACTCAAGATATCCTTATTTGGACAGTCAAAGCCCAGCAAATGCAATAGTAGAGCCTGCATATGCACGTCCTCGTGTCTCTCACGTCTTGTCTCCGGTCCAAAACGTCAACCAATGCTGCGGATATCCTAATCGAGAAATAGGCCATCCTGAGTTAGGTGCGACATGGGTCGTTTGCGATCGAAATTTTGTTTTTGCTGGGCCTCCAAAGCCCATAAAGGGACTGTGGGGAACCCGAATTAGGTGCGACATGGGCTATTTGCGACCAAAGTCACCTGAAACCTGACATGGGTCTTTTGCGATCACAAATTTTTTTTTGGCTGGGCGTCCAAAACCCCGGAAATGGAACTGGTGACCACCCAATTAGGGGCGACATGGGCCATTTGCGCTCAGAAACCTCTTGAAACTTGACATGGGTCCTTTGCGATCAGGATTGCTTTTTGCTGGGGGACGAAGATCCCCAAATGAGAAATCGACTTCTGATATAGGCCATGCACGTGACTGCGCTTTTCCCTGCAGCCAGATCTCCTTTTTGCTGGTTCAGAACCTCTCGTTTCTGGATCATCATCTACCTCACGCTATCTCGAAGCAGACATCGCGTCCTTCAAAGTGCGCGACCAAAGTTCATGAGTTACCATCCGCAACTATCTCAACGAAGGGAATCACTTTTTGCGTAGGGGCTCCGCGCTTGGTGCAGTGACTTTGCTGGCTCATGAAAGCCTCGGACAATTCCCAAACAGGTTGGCAATCTTCCCTAATCCAGAAGTGGACGCACGTGATCCTCTGGAGCTTGGGCCAGTCATGTACTACATCATTTCGGAGAATGCTTTTTGCCGGCTCATCGTGAGCCTATAATACGAGTAAAGTACGAGTAGGTACCTCAATATCTTCCCCACAGTCGGCATATTCCCATCCGCACTGATTCTTTTCGTGAGGCCTACTCCTAAGATCGAGGTTGTGATGTGCCACAGAACGACAGTTCGCTGCTGCCTCAGGAAAGGCCTGATTCGGGCGGCCTGATTTCCTCATTCAGAATCACAATATTGGCAATTTTACCCTATTCGGCGCGCCTTTGGCGTAGGGATGACTACATAGTTGAGTGGGGAGTCCGGGACAGCATTAGTACGCTGATCTACCAGCATTTCGGGAGCTTTGAATTATTAAGATTGGTTGGATATCTCTTGGTATCCCTCTCCTTTTCAGGTTTTTCCATTTTGATGCGTTGACTCCCAGGTGCGACGAACGTACATTGGAGATTTCTCCGCGCATGGGAAGGGCAACCAATCTATACCCACGCCAGATCCTGCGCCAGCTCGACCTGGTTCTTTAGACCCAGGGAACTTGAAAAAAAAGAGATGAGAGGCCTACATAAGGCACAACGGGGGCACACCTAGCATACTCACCATTGTTCACTCGGACATTCCACCATGTGCTCATCACTTCGTTGATCTGCTCCAATCATGCAAAACCTTGTAGGGGCTCTCACAGCAATGTATCTCCCAGAGCACACCGCACTAAGCTCACGCCAGCACGTACAGTCTCACTGGCGCCCGCGACTTCAAGGCTTGGATTCACTTCAACCAGATCCATGGCGACCAATTGGCCGGTCTCGTGCACACACTCGGCGATGTAGTCGCCCTCGCGTAAGGTCAAGCCCCCTCTCACCGGTGTGCCAGTGCTAGGAGCCCACATTGGGTCCAGGGCATCGACATCGAAGCTAAGGTGGATGGGTGTATCTGTGCCGATGTGAGCAAGTGCCATCTCGACAACGCGGCCAATGCCATGACGGTCGATGTCGTGCATGCTGAATGCCTTGATGCCATGATCGCGTAGGATCTTCTTCTCGCCCCGATCCACGTCCCGGAGGCCAATGTAGACGAGCTTGCGTGTGCTGATGCGCTGGTCCTCGCTCAACCATCCAAACATCTCCTTCTTGTCGGATGTTGCCAGCCCTGTCGCAAATGCCACCGGCATTCCGTGCACGTTTCCGGAATCAGAGGTCTCGGGTGTGTTGATGTCTGCATGGGCGTCGACCCAGATGACTGCCATTTCCCGGCCGTTGTACCGCTCGCGGATAGCTTTGGCTGTGCCGGCGATTGTCCCGATGGCGATTGAGTGATCACCACCCAGTGTGAGTACCATCCTGCCTTCCCTGGCCTGTGCGTATACCTGCGCTGCCAATTTCTCTGTCACAGCGGAAACGGCGCGTGGGTTCTTCATGCCTCGATATGGTTCGTCGTCATCCATCCGCATCTCATTGAAGTTGTGGACTTCAGTATCGCCGTGGAGTTTGTAGCCCAGTTCATCGCTGATTTGATCCAATAGGCCTGCGCTTACAAGAGCAGTTGGGGCAGCATCGACGCCTTCTTTACACTGTCCACCGGAGAATCCAACCAGCACAACACCTAGATCGGACGGAGCAGAGACAAATCTTTGGCGGATTGTGGAAGGGGCGTTCATATCGTATTTGGAGTCAGCTGAATAGCTGTGGCCGTTCGAGGCGGCTCCGTTGAGATGGGCACGGGTGGAATTTTCAGGTGATGTAGAATGCATGGTGACAATCCAAAGGAGATCGGTTTGGGGTAATGTGTTGTTATACTGGAATGAGGCAAAAGAAACAGGAAAGAGTCGACCTAGCGCGTCGGCGTCGGGACAAAGTGCACGGTCTTATGTAGTTATTGTCTTGTGGTAGTGGATAGCAGATAAACGGCCTCCCAGTAAATTTCAAAGCGTGGAAATGAACTAACCAGAATTAAGAAACACTGAGGAATGTACAAGAACACCGAAAAAGGACGAAAGAGCACACTGTGGGAAAGGAGTGAAGATAAATAATAATTGTAGCACCTTGTGGTGAAGGGTTTCTTACACATTCTATTGTTTTTTTGCCCCTCGGAGTCGGAAGAATCTCACTAAAAATGATCCCTGGCCCAGATGACGAGGAAGTGCCACCCCAAAGTCAGGTCCCGCTCTTAAAGCATGGGATTTTCAGGCATTGTAGGTTAGTGGCAGTAAGGTTCGGGGCACATCTCAGGCTTACTGGTCACTTGGAGTTCTTAGCTGCATGGGTCCTCTCGGCAGTGCTAGGTGGGCTCGCTGATGCTTGCTGGGGTGATAGGAGGGCCACCTCGGGCGGTCTGGGGCCCGAGGGGCCTCTTATCTCGGTATCCCCTAAGCGCAGGATTACCCGCATAGGTGCCACCGGGGATCATCAGGCTAGGTTGTTAAGTGACAAAGCTTCCGACGTAATCATCCTCATTTCCCCTAAGTACAGGTGTTGTCGAGCCTCGACATAATAATTGATAATTGAAACTCCTTCCTCAGCAAATGTAGCAAGGCGTGAATGGCCTCGACAATTTCCTTTCCGTTATGGCAATTCTTGACACATCACATGGACACTTCCAATCTAGGTTGCATTCTCGTGCTCTGCGTCCGCCATTCCGTCTGAGTGTGTATACGGATGGCTACTCGTGACCACCACCACTGACCACCCACCCCTTTTGAGACGTGGCCACCTGACTCTCTGTCCCAGGCAAGGATATCTTGAAACACAGTCAGTACAATACAGCGTGTGTGGCCAGCTTGCAGACACACGAATTCATCTTCTTGCAGACCTCCCCAGGATATCCTACGTTCTCCGTGAGATGCCGCTCACAGCTTCCACTTTAAGCGAGGGAACGCAACAGCGCGGATGGCCTTCTTCTGATGGATGCTTCCTGTCGTGTAACCGCTCCAAACTCTGTCATGGCAATTCTCATTCCCTGTAGCAGTGAACTGCAGATTCCGCCTACTTTGGGGGGCAAGCCCTGCATGTTCAAATTAAGGGTGTCAACAACTTTCGATGGCGTGCTCGGAGCTTGCAAGCATTGGTGAATCCAGGCAACTTCCCTGCAGTTTCTGCGATTTTAGATCTGCAAATGCAGCAAGACGACAGAAGAAATCCTGTTTCATCCAAGGAATCTTTGCATCGCTCGCTCAAGTTGTGAAAGCGATAGTGGCTTGGTGAGGAAGGCATCTGCTCCGGCTGACATGCAAAGGGCCTGAGCATCTGGCCCAACAACAGCTGTAGCCATGACAATAGGTCGCCTTCGAGTTAACCCTCCCGTATCCTCCATCTCTCGGAGTTGTTTGGTGGCAGTAATACCATCCTTGCGTGGCATAGACTGGTCCATCAAGATCAAATCGATTTCTAGATCATGCGCCAGCACTTTCTCGATCGCTTCTTCTCCGTCATCTGCCAACAGGACATTATATCCTAATAGCTTCAGCATCTTAACGCCCAACTTTTGATTGATCTTATTGTCCTCCACCAGAAGAATAGTGAAGCCCTGGAGGTTTTGCTTCTCCATGGTCGGAGTTCCCTCTTCCACCACTTCAACCACAGGTGCAAATCTGACTGCTCGATCGACAGCAGATTTCCCAGATCGTACTGCTTTGGCCACACTTTCAATAATTCGATGCCATACAAATGGCCGCTTGATTGGAATAATATGCGATGGAGGCACAGACCCGACGGTTTTATCCAACACTAATTGAGAGTCATAGGACACAAGGACAAACTGGTCTTGGAGCCGGAGCAGACGTTCAAGCAGTTTGGGGCGCGTGCTCAAGAACTTTACATCAGTCCATATGGCCTTCCAAGAATCAGGAATTTTATCATCTGCATCAGCCAGGATGACGTCGAATCCAAAAGCCGCCCACGCCATTCGAAATCCTTCCATGAATCGACCGCTGGAAGGAGCAAAGACGGCCACCTCACTACAACCCAGACCTATTGAGCCAATCGTACGGGGCGAACCTGAACTCGTGGGCACTGGAATTTCGATACCGAATGTGCTGCCTGACTTCTGATGCCCGATTCCTTCAACTTGGAAATGGTTGCTTTCCACAGTTATTGTACCCTGCATCTTCTCGAGTAGTTGCTTAATGATGGCCAAACCGAGGCCGGTCCCTCTCTCGGCACCCAATGTCTGAGCTTGCTTAAATGGCTCAAACAGTTGAGGGATGAAGGACTCGCTTATCCCAGACCCTGAATCTTGGACTCTGATATTCAAGACATTATCCCTCGATTCAATCATGAGTAATACGTAGCCAGAGTGTGTAAATTTGAGAGCGTTTGTCAGGAGATTCATCAAAACCCGTTGAAGGTAAGTCTCGTCCAGGAAAATGGAGTTGGGAACTTCTGGTGAGACCACCACCAGGAGTTCGGTTTCGAAGTCATCATCATCCCGGTTGGGAAGAATGTTGAGAATAGATTCGCATACTTGACGTAAGTTGAGACTGGATGGTCGACAATGCGCCTCGCCCTTTTCTAATCTTGACCAGTCTAGAACATTCGCAGTAATCATAGAAAGTGACCGAGTCGCTCGTTGGATCGCAAGCAACAAGAGACGACCTTCCTCGGTCAGCGGTGTTCGCGCTAACAAATCACCATAGCCTTGCAATTGATGTAATGGTGTACGGATCTCGTGGGAAGCTGATGCAATGAATTCACTTCGAGCTGCAGCTGCGGCCTCGGCATTCTCCTTCTGTGCAATTGCCGCCCATAACTTTCTCTTGGTCTGGACGACCTCGGCAAGTTTGTTTCGTGCCATCGTGGCAGTATGAGCTAAAAGGCCATTGGCAAGAATGCATGTTCCGATGGCAATCGTCCCAACTGCGATCGCTAATCTAGGTGGGTAACCTCTGTTGTGGGTTGGCTCGGCCCGCGACCAAAAGGTAGTAGCCCACATGCCAGTAAAATCTATAGAAATGAGAGTCAGCCATGTCATGAGAACAAAGACTTATGAAAAGTGCCACCTCTGAAACCAGTCAGAGGCTTCTCAATCCTGTGAAGCTTCAAGACATCGTATTGAACAGGGAAATGGGTTAGACTTACGCATGGCCGCAACACCGGTAGCTGCAACAACAGAGAATAATAGTTGCTGGGCTAGATTGACCTCAATTCTGGGAATCAAGATGCTGGCGAGAGTGCAAACGAGCCAACTAATGGAAGCAGAAAGAAGGACGACAAAAGGTTGAACGGTAAAGTAACCATCCGGTATCCTCAAGGCAACGATGCCGCTGTAATGCATGCTCGAGATGGCCAGGGACCAGATGAAACCACGGCAGAAATTTCGCAATGTAGCGCCCTGATAAATTCCTTTTGCAGTACCTACCACCACGTTTGTGGCTTCGGTCGTTGTGGATTGGGCAAGTTTGAAACTCATAAATCGAGGGAGAGAATAATCACTACTGTTTGAAGCCAATGTCACAGACGACCGGCGAGAAGGATCATCTTCGCTCGAGCTTCTTGGAATACTGTCAGTATCCTCAACAGAGTCGCCGGATGATTCATTGGCCATTGATGCGAAGGGACCCAGCACGCGGGTTGGAGAAATGCTTAAAGCGGGTGAAGGCAGTTGTGCAGCACTACCATTGACGCCATGGAAATGTGCCTCCAGTGGACCAAGACTTGTTCTTCCATCGCTGTCTTGTCGCCGAAGTTCTCGTTGAGGAGGTGAAGCTTCGTCCGGAGTCAACAGCAGTCTGCTACCGGTGCTGTTCATACTGGCATCTGGATAGTTACCAAGTAGAGCATCCGTACTCTGCATACCTTCCTCATCTGGCGCGACATAATCATCCCTGGTCTGCTTGCGTTTTGTGCGCCTTCTCTTTCGCTGTGTTTTAAGATATTCAAGATATCGAGACCGAAGCAGATCTGAGAAAAGTGCCAGAAAAGTGAAAGTCACAGCTAACGCAGCACTTAATATTGTCAATGGTACATTCAGACCAATTGGGAGATCGAGCTCGCAGGCTAGCATTGCAATGAAATGCAAACTCCATATTGAACAGAAGCCAAATGTTAAACTGCCTAGAATGGTCCAGACCAGTATTCCCGAAAAGTATCGCGAAGTCCGGGCTTGACAGAACATCTGAGTGGAAGTGAATGCTCCTAGCAAGGAGACTATGATTGAGGCTGCAATCAAACCCCCATTCCAGTGTGGTTCAAGCTGGCGGACCGCACCATTCTGTATACTGGATGTGGCCATGTTACCAGGCAATAAAGCAGATCGACCCAAGAAATTGTGGGATTTCTTTGGATATTGTCGTCTCGCGCGAGGATGTTTCAATCCTTAGAGGATACCACATAACGAGCCGGCCAAGCTGCTCGTCTCCCTTCTCTTGTACCAATAATATTGTTATTCTGCATGCGAGGGTTCGAACGGCGAGGCTAGGGAGGTATGAAAGGAGAGTCGTTGGCGCATCGAGGACCATTGGCGCATCAAGTTATTTCAGGTCCATGGCGGCGACAAGAAGGTGACGGTGGTCGATAGAGAGATAGAACAGTTGGAAAGGTGGTGATTTCAGAAATTCGTGGAACAGGTAAGGAAAAGGGAAGACGTGAGCAACGACCGGAGCTTGCGACGATTGAGTGTAAATCGCTATGGTAGCTTCGTTGCAAGCCCAAAGTTTGAAATCGCCATCCGATGAATCTTAACTGATTACTAGCCAGCGGACGCAGAGGAGGATTCTGACTCTGAGGAGCCTGAGCAAGCGAACCGAAACGCGGGAGTAAAGCCACACCCAGAACAGCACTGAGTAATTAGGGCCACACAGGCTGAAAAGAGCCTAGCGATAACACTTCTGCAAGTCTTGCTCGCTTACGGAGTAGTAGGCACCCAGCAGGCAGGTTCCTCCAGGGATGTGTGCGGGGAGGACCAAACGTTCATCCTTCATGTTCCTCGGTAATAGATATGATATATCAGATCCGCAGCCCCAATCTGTGAAAAGAGCGCCTTGATTTAGTCGAACAATGTAAACAGGCATATTTGTGAAGTGTGTCAACTGTTTATCATGTCAGCTGCCTCCCGTGGCCTGGTGTAGGATGAGATGATAGGAAAACAACTGGGTTTTGACAGACCGTCCGGCAAGGAAGCCGCGACTGCCAAAGTTCTCGAAAGCCAGGTGCGGTGTTGCTGGGAATGTTACTGGACCCGGAATAGCAACATCCATCATACTATTTCTACCACGTATCTCACGTGCAGTCTTCGACGCGTTAGATGCTGTACAGAGTACCTAATGCCTTTCGCGTTCTTCACCGAGGCTCCGCTCTTATCCCAGCCTGCCCAGTACACCTGACTGGCTCTATTCGTTACCCAAAGTTCTCCAGAAATAGGCGCCCATTCTATCCTCATCAACCAACCACATCTCTCTACTCTTCTTACTCAAGCTCATCCAAGAGCTCCCTCTTTCCCAAGTCCAGCCTATCGTGTTCCACATGTTCAACATGGCGGCTAGCCGGCTTGTTAAAATGCTGACTCTGTCCGGACGTCTTAACATATCCCATAGAACCAATCCCGACAAATCCTCCTCATCATAACTGTTGCCCTGGGTCCTCTGTGTTCTATCTGTTGTATCTGTTCTTGCTGGTCTTGTTCCCATTTTCTCAAGTTGACCTGTCCGATTATCTTCTCCCATGGCACAGCAGGCGGGTCAGGCGCGGGGAGGGTGGTACCCTCGTAAGTGACCTCCACCATTTCGAGGTAGATGGCAGACTGACCATCTCTTTCAGCACCTCCGGATGGACAGCAATGTATGTATCCAAACCATCTATACATCTGACACCGATGTGAATACTGATGCAGCCAAATAGCATTCCCCCCTCCGCCAAGTCAACAATCACCAAACTTCTTCCCGCCTCCACCATCGTCCCCGCCAAACCACTCATTCCCCCCTCCACCTTTACAAGCAACACAGACACCATCTCCGCCTCCTTTGCAGCAGCCAACAGCTCAAAGACCATACAATTATGCCGCCGTTCCAGCCTCCGCCCCTGCTCACAAGACCACCTTCGACCATGCCGCCATCCATCAGCGACAACCATCCTATACTGGCCCACCCCAGCCTCAACCAGGCGCCGTCCCTCAGCCAGGAGAGCAAGTCGCGTCCCCACGATTTCAGAAGTTGAAAGGAGAGGCTACTGCACTGACTAAAGAGTTCGGTGGCCTTATGAGGGCACCTACAGAACAGTCCCAGATGGTTGCAGGCGTTCCTCAGGGCGGTCAGTTCGTTGGCGTGCAGGCTACAGTACAAGGCGATGACGTTGGGACATTCAATGGAGGGTCATACCGCATCTCACATCGTGACACAAATTCTATTCTTACCATACAGCTTGCCGTTGGGTGCCCTATCACAGCGAGACCAGGTGCCATGATTGCCATGTCACCCTCCGTCAATCTGAAAGGTACCCTCAAGTTCAGCATGAAGAAATTCCTTATTGGTGGTGAAATGACGCACTCCATATTCACTGGCCCTGGTGAGTTGCTCCTGGCCCCGAGCACTCTTGGTGACATTACAATACTCCAGATGGGGGGAAATGACAACTGGAGTGTGGGCCGTGATGCTTTCCTCGCCTGCACACAAGGCATTATCAAGGAATACAAAAACCAGGGCTTTAGCAAAGCCATCTTCTCTGGTGAGGGAATGTTCGTGTACAGAATGTCCGGCAAAGGTTTATTGTGGGTATCAACATTTGGTGCCATCCTAAAGAAAGATGTACGTTGATTTCTCCCCCTACTCCCAATCAGTTTTTCGCCGAATGGCATGACTGACCAAATCAGCTCATTGATGGTGAGCGGTATATTATCGACAATGGGCATTTAGTTGCGTGGAACTGCAAATATGTCTTGGAACGAGTGGCTAGTGGAGGTATCATCTCCGGTGTCACCAGCGGTGAGGGTCTGGTTTGCAAATTTACAGGGCCTGGCACTGTCTACATGCAGACCCGTAATGCCACAGCGTTCCAGGCGTTTATCTCTGGTTCAGCAGCAAAGGAGTTGTGATCTGTTATGGTTAATGTATACGGAATATCATATGTTATCATTTAGCTTTCTGTATTTACCCCCGCGTCATCTTGTCTCCGCCTTGGTATAGCAGTTGAAAGACAAGGATCGGGGTCCGGATGATCCTACAGCAGTGGATTATTACTGAGCAAGCGGGGAAAAGTATCTCTATATGAAATGATGGTCATTTTCGGGCCTGTTAGGCTATCACTTGTACTAAAACATGCTGCCATCTCCACCAACTCATGCATCGGTCGTGTTTTCGTCGAGGATGGAATGCGTGGGTGACCCTCGTCTATCGACTTTCATCATACCCAAGCCATGTCTTACCTGAGATACACCGGTCACCTCCTGTGGCTAGTCGGTGAATAGGTTGGATTGAGACCCGCGATTCCTCGCAACGCCGAACTAAATCGAACTGCGATGGCGGCATATGCGAGGGGAGGCTGCTTTGAAAGTGCGCTCCCTCCTCATTTGTCGTGCTCATGCTCGTGTTCGTTCTCATACTGATTCGTATCCTCAAAACCCGGGGTCCAGAGTCATCGTGATCACAGCTAGACTGTACAGCTGGCCTTTTAACCTTGGAGCCTCTTTCTCTTGCCGACCTGTGCCGTGAAACCGGACTTGATGGCCGTGACGGACCGTCTAGAGCCGCACGAGTTGCATGTGACGAAATACAGACGGTTCTCACCCTTGCTCAGCTCGGTGTTTCCGCTACGGCACGTCTTGCACGTGACATACTCGACAATATACCGTCTCAGCACGTTTTCAATCTGTTTCTGCTGGAAACGACCCTTGATGACAAGGCGTTTCGAGCCGTCCACGGAGCCCGAGGTACCCAGTTCGGCGAATAAGAACTGCGTGACGTGCTCGTCAGACCGGTTCATCCGTTTGCATATCTCGGCGATGTTGGCAAAGATGGTCTTCTTGTTGCCTTCACGCAGACACTGCGGGGGGGGGATCTTGTACGATTTGGAGCCACTGGAGAGGATGTCCGGGTTGTGTTCGTTGACAAGTTGGAAGAAACGCTTCAACAGTAGTTCGTAGCCGATCGGTCGGGTGTCGTCGTGAGCCCAGATACCCGTGCCGGAAGTCATGTCACCCTCTTCACCAGGTTGGGGAGCTTGATCGCCGCCGCCGCCTTCTTCTCCATCGCCCGTCTCGAGACCTGCCGAGGCGAGTTTGGCTGCAAAATCGGCCCCGTCGGCCTTGGGTTTGCTGGACTTCTTCTTTTTTTTCTTTAGGGCCGAGGCGTCAAAGTCGCCGTCCGCTGTCACCGCAGGGGCGTCGCCGTCAACGGCGGTGTCGTCGGCCTTGGGTTTGGAGGATTTCTTCTTCTTCTTGTTCAGGCCGGCGAACATGTCGGTCACTTCCTCGACGGCTTTGTCGGTATCGGGTGCCGTAGAGTGCTTTTCAGCGGTGGTCTTGTGCTCCAGGGGAGGTGCCTCGCTGATAGCGCCATTTTCATCCATGATGGTGTCGTCGCCGCTGAAGGCAACAGATTTGCGAGCTTTGCGTTCGTGAGGTGGAGGTTGCTCCTGAGAAAGTGATGAGTCAGTGTCAGTGTGAGATTTAGAAGTGGTAGGATGATTATTGAGCTTGTTGTGTTTGGTGGGGCGACGTGCATGCGGTTTCACTTCGTTTCCTTTGTCTGAGGCGACTGGTTCGTGTGTGGGTGGGGTGTGCGTGACGTTACTCACTACTTCAGCCATGATTTTCTCTCGTTTGTTGATCAGAACTGGGGTTTTCGAAGATTTTGTGCTGTGACTTTAGGAGATGAACGATCGTTGGTCTTTGTGTTTTGAGATTATGGTGAGAATGGTATGGGAGAATGTTCAGGAAGAGTATGGGTTGATTCAGGTCTGATGGACAATATTTCAAATGGGTATGGATGACTCAAAGGGAAAGTTCCATCACGTGATACTCGAAAAGAATTCGGGCTCGTCTGACAAATGCTGTGCCTCATTTTGACCGTGACTGACAAAGCAGGACTCTTCAGATTCTGGTGGCCTCTTGGAGGGTATTCTTGCCCCTAATGCTCGTCATATCATCCAAATACCTTTTGTCATACAATAGTTTCTCTTCCTCCTGAGAACCCCAAGCTCCAACCCATCTTCGCCCAGGCTGCGGGCAATTGCCTTCTAACCTTTGGCAGAGCACGGCAGCACTCCGTTCATCTATCGTGTCAGGGTGTCTACCAACTCTTCCAACTCTTTATATCAATAGAACAGCAACTGTCACATTTCTCGATGATTCGCCCTTCTTCCGATTCCCGGTAATTCAGCCTTCTGCGCTCCAAGCGCCACTAATCCCTTCTCGCCAGCGATGTCCGATCTTGGTGCGTCTGCTTCATTCCTCGAACCTCCCTCGACTGGCGATGACAACGAGGTCGACTCTCTCCCTTCAGAACCCGACTCTGACGAAGTTACGGTCAGTGAGGATGACTACGAATCGGATGCAGAGCGAGAATGGAAGGAGAGTTTACAGCAGCTCGAGTTGCTTCTCTCTATGGTGATCGTACCGTATATTGGCAAATACTTTGGGCGAAAGTTTGCGTACTGGGGTACGCTTCTGTAATAAGGCGATTTGGTGGCAACATACTAACCCTCTATACAGGTTGGAAACAATACATGGAGTGGAACTTTCCCGTCGAAGTTGTGGTTACGAACAAAGCTGCTTTCAAGGGCGTCGGTGCGATTGAGGCTGCTGCCTCGTTATGAGCTTGGACTCATCATTGACATCTCTGCACCGGTCAAACAGCCCTTAGGATCCTCTTCGACGCAGGGCACATCATTAAGATGCAGAATGTAAATACAAGTCTACTCCAGGATACGCATCGTTTCCCTCCGGGCAGCTGTATGCGGCGAGAAACACATCACAGGCACTGGGCATCGCCCGCGAACGCTTCGAATACTGGGCATGACTAAGATCTCCCCGCTTCGGCGGTTTTGAGTCGTCATCTCACCAGTGGTAACCAACCAGAGCGAGGCCCACTGGCAGTTTTTAGTAAGTCGACGAAGCAAAGCATTTGTAGGAGGCACCATACTGGTCAATCGTATCGTTTGGTAGATGGCCCCCCAAGTCGCTTCATGTACATAAAGTTAGCTCTCCGGTTTCACATGTTGCCATAGAGCTGTTCTCACCTAGCAATCTTCCATCGGAAACACTTCACATGCCATGGACTGGGATGGTCACCCTGTTTCTTTCTGCAGCTCTCCAGGGAACTCAGGGCCGCTACAAGCAACTGCATCCCGCTATTTTCAAGAACCTGTAAGTGTTGCCGCTCTTGCTCAAGGCCCGGTAACTCTACAGCTACCTGGAAATCCAAAACAGGCTGGTTGTGCACATTGATTTACAGTGCTTTCTTGGAGAGCTTTCGCCCTCACCCGCCTAGCCGCAAGTACGATGGGTGGGACCGGAAGTCTTGGCGCTAGCCTTGTTATCACTCGACACTCCGCGATAAGGCTGCCTGTCTCTATCTAATGTCATGTAGTACTACTGATGAGTCTTCACTTACGATCATAGACCGTCACTCCTGCTGCAGCACTACTCTCGCCAAGAACTCAGCGCACACACCAGAGCCCATAAATATAAGAACGATACCTCGACCAAAAAAGCAAAATTTCCTAGAGGCGCTGTACGGTTATGGCGCCACAGTAGGATAAAACCCCCCCAGAAACCCACTATACCCCCGGAACGCACTGGGATTTTGTATTATCTCGAACCCGGAGTGTTCGAGACTCTAACGTTCTAACAGTTAAGGCAACACGATATTTTCAGGCTTTTCAGACGCATCGTCTCCTTACATGGATCGAGGCCCTGATAGATTGTTGGGAGACTTTCCGGGAGCGTAAATAATAAAGTAGGTATTTTGGGTGAGGGATCAGGTGACTGTAAGGCCTGGCAGTGAAGCTCCGAGGGTTTGATAGGCATTGGAAGCAGGACAGCGACGGACTGCTTCAGCACGGCGACAGATTCTCTAGTCAGCTTCTCGTCTGCTCGTCAACACACGGATAACACCCCGCCACGACCCGACCATCGCCGGAGAGGAGACATGCCTGTCAATTGGGATGGAAGAAACTCGAGAGAGTTGTGACCCTGGTGTATAGTTGTTTTATGTTGCCGTGATGGTCCTTGGATTACCAGCGCCTCCTTTCCGGTTATGTTTTGCCAGTACATGCTGTCCTCTAACGCTGCCAATCGGTATTGCAGACGAAGCTTTGATCTCCTTGGCCTTTGATAGCAGTGCCATAGGAGCATACTCAGAGGAATGGCCTCCGAAGGCCTCAATGGTCGACGTCTTTCAAGGTGTGCAGATGTCGAAATGGCTCTCCAATAGCCTTTCCGCTGGCATCGAACCTTACACCTTCGCTCCTCAACAGCTCGATCTTCTTGCTCGCATATTTCCCGTCTTTGCCCCATTCTCCCTTAAAGCCACCAATGCTTCCATTTACTGCCAGCACCCGATGGCATGGGACATCAGGTGCGAATGGGTTATTCCGCATACCGTTCCCAACAGCCCGGGCGGAGGAGTCGAGATAGTCTGACATGGCTGCATATGTCGTATAGCGACCTTTCGGGACCGATAAGAGAGTGGCGTACAGTCGTTTCCGGTACGAGGTTAGCGTTGGATGCGTCTCGATGCGACGTACAGTCTTTCTCAGAGACGCAAGATATTCCTCACTTTGTGCGTCCGAGGATTTGTTATCAGCAGCAGCAGCCTCAGAGCTCGATACCCGACCAAAGTCCAATGTGGACTGCCGTTTCTTAGTTGCCGTTGCCATCTTGGTGAGGGGTTCTTGAGCTTCAGACTTGTCCTTCTCCAGCATCAATCTCTTGTTCGAACTCCTCATAGAACTGTCTTCACTGGGCTTTTTGTTGGATGGATTGGAGAAACTCTTTTCGTAGTTGGCCGGATCCTTGCCTCTACATTGAAGGCTCATTTGATCAAGGTGACAGACATCGGCTTCTCCAGAGATGACTTTCTTGCCCAAGGATATTGCGGATTGAAGCTGTTCTTCACTCATATTCTGAATGGCGGGAGGCTTTATCACTTTGTCCCATTGTTGTTGACCCTTGCCGACTGCATTATCAAGAATTATTCGCGCAAAGCAGTGGTCCAACGTCACGGGCCATTTTGGCTGCGAAGGGTCATCATCCTTGGCCATCTGAGGTAGTATTTCGGCGTACAGCAATTTCCATTGCCTCCTGAGATCTTCAATGTCCGCCATCTCAACAAAAGCAGGTGCGCTAGCCACACGTTACATGATCAAGTTTTGTCAAGAATCAAGGGTGATGGTTTTCCTATTCTGATGCTCGAGATGGAAGGGTGGTCGATATCTATTACCGGGTGGCGTTCATCCCCTGGCTCCGATGTCGAAGGCCATCATTTTTGGAGTCAAAATGACACACTGGAAACAAGCCCAGATTATGAGCCTTGACTGCAGACAGAGTGAGAAGACTTGGTAGACTGGATTCTTAGTCCCATCGAAGCTCTAACGAAGAGACCGATATACCGTGGTCGACGAATGGTGGCCGCTTGACAACCAACACGTTTCAAGTTTCTTGGCAAGGGGACTCCTAAACAACTTGGCCAAGTAAGTCGTAGACTCATACGTAGTAAGCTACCGAGCACTACCGCGTCGTCAGGCGAGATGACATCTTGCTCCTACTCGTTACACCTCCACTTGCTTGATTTCATCCCACCACTTCATCAGTCACATCGATCCCTCTCCTTTTATTCCAAGTTCCTCGTTGCCTCCGCTTCATCCTGTATAACTCTATCTCATCCTCCCAGCTTGTATTGAGAAGGCTTTGGTTCACTTGATGCCGGTGCCACCCTGAATTGGCGTGTTGTGTCTAGTTCGCCACAATCTCCCCGGATTGCCCCTTCAACCGGGGACCCGCCCACCATGATTGCATCAACTCCACTCTCATTACTCCTCCTTCATCTGCCAGACGAAGTTCTAATCACCATCTTCGGTTTTCTCGATTTCAATAGCTTGTGTGACGCAACCCTGGTCTGCAAGCATTTCAATGATCTTGCCGAACCGTTTCTGTACCACTCCATCGAGATTCTAAATGGATACCAGGCCTCTGTTCTGTCAGCCAGTCTTCATGCCAATGAACGCCGGGCCACGTGGATACGTTCATTACTCGTCTCAGTCAAATTTGGTGAGGACCTGGGTTTACATGCTTTACCGCCATACATAAGCCGGATGTGTAATCTCCAGGATCTCTGCCTTGAGACCCCGGATTGCAATGCCAAGTTTCCTGAAGAACGGGTCGCTTGGGTCAACCTGCAGGATCGATATGAGCGTATATTTGAGAGTGCTTCCGCTGTCGTTCCTGTATCTTTCGGAAGGCTGCTTCCAAACTTGCAGACGTGTCAGAACCCCCCGCCCCCTTCGAGCCTTGGGTGATCCTGCTGACTGCTGAATCAGGTACTTTACATTTCGTTGATGGTCAGAAAGAAATCCATTCAATGACCAAATACCCCATGGTTTTTCTGCATCCAAACTTGAAGTCTCTGACCATGTCGTGTGCGAGCACCGATTTCCCCGATCGACTACTTGTGGACTTCCAAGACGACAAGACGCTTTTAAAGTCCACCAACTTGGAACATCTACATTTGGAAGAATGCGACATCTTCTCTCCTTCTCTTGCCATTCTCCTAAGCTTCCCGAAAGCTTTGAAGTCACTCAAAATCAGTGAGGGCATCCGCTACGATGGTATATTCAGTGCTAGGAGTAGTCGACTCCATGGCAACGTGTCCCCCGGTCCGTTTGTTGATGCAGTTGCTCAGAATTGTGCCAAATCACTCGAGCATCTGTCTCTCAGCTTGGGCTACTCGAGGCAAGGATTTCAGCATATCAATCATCCCGGCCAGCACCTGAACTTATCCAACTTCTTCGCAATGAAGCAACTTGACCTTGATGTCCGCACAGTCAATCTGATCCGAGTAAGGGCACTCTGCGATCATGCAACCTGGCGAAGGCTTCCACCAAATCTAGAGACTCTCAAAGTCTTTGGCATTCCCTTGGGTGAACGGCCACCATTTCAGGCACGCAGAAAGGTCTGGTTCCCGTTCGACCAGTGCATTGCCACCGACAAAGCCAAGCATGGCGTGCGGCTCCTGAAGAACTTGGTGTACTCCTACGAATATTACCGCGAGGATGATGAGATGCCGCGTTTGAGTATCTCTGATGATGGAGACAGTGTGGAGGAGACCAGTCAAGTCCTGATCGCTCAGCACAGAATGACGGAGAAATGCAAAGAACTTCAACCCAAGTTTAAGAAAGCAGGTGTCAGGCTCGAAATCGAGATGGTCGCACTGCCTAATGGCTTTATTCCTCCTTACTTGTTCCCCGAGGACAAACCCAAGACATACACGCTGTGGGAATCTGCACCGCGATGAAGAGTGGAAGACGCTGATGTCTAATGCCTGACTATGGATATATCCCATAGGTAGCTTTTGTCCTGGGTATTGCTATTGCTGAGTTCCCTCAAATCGCCCTTCGATCAGCTGAACGATCCTGCATTTGAATCATATGCATATAGCAGGTGGCCTGGCGCCACCAGAATCGAAACAGTCCAGGATCGATGACCAACGTGTTGGATCTAGGGCCCAGAGTATCATAGTAACAGCACGATTCTTGCTATTCACCTACCAAAACTCGACGACGTTATTTCACTGAAAAGCAAAAACACCTTTCTCTAAAAGAAGTACGATGATTGCTCCCGAACATGTCTTGACGAGCTCGTAATCCGGTACCGAGCTCCAGCACCTATGCTATGAGCTGCTCACAAAATCAAGGAAACGGGTGAAGCTGCATGACTCTGTAGCCGAGCACTCGGTATCGCACCTTGCCCTCTATGCTTTTTAGCTTTGGAGTCCTGGTTTTGCTAACTGCTTTCTGGGCCTGCCTCATTTGAGATCAACCCGGCCTCTCAAGACAGCTTTCAACCACCACTGGATTCACCGAGCATCTCCCACCCCCTGCGGCTCCTTCTAACCCCTACGATGAGTTGTGCTCGTGTGCAGACTCGGCTCTGTGCCAGAGGATAATAGGAATCAAGAATCACAGATATCCGAGCTTAGCGTGGGCATGGAGCAGAAAGGAATGATCGCTCGACTGCCTGGTTGCCGGCAGCCTTAATGCTTTCCAGCTATGAAACATATAGGGATTTGGAGGCGGACCAGACCGACTCTGCTGCTGATATGGCGTCCCATGTGTGCCGAAGCCCTGCATCTCTTCGCTCCTCTACGTTTTCTTTCCTCTTGTCTTCTACAGTGTCGGTGTTTGTTGTGGGGGTAGTTCGAGGTCCGCGCATGCATATCCTGAATTCCAATCATATGGGGGACCAGGGGAATCTGGTGGACTATGTGTTAGCGGGTCCACTGAGCCAGGCAGTGGGCACGTTGTGCGAAATACTGCGCATACGGTACAATGCCTCAAGGACTCAATTTGTACGATATCCGTTGCTTAAGCTTTTTCTTTCTCAACGGGCGGCTCCCAGTTTTGTTTCCGTATTTTCGAATCATATCTTGATCGCGCTTGGGGGTGGGAGAACGGCACCATACGTATGTACGTATATACATCCTTGCTTTACTGTAGCAAGGGTGGTGGTAAGAGGAACAGGCTCTTTCACCTGGCGCAAGTTGGGACTACTACCGTGACTGCCTCCTACATACCTGAGTACTAGCAATTAGTTTGAATTTTGAAAGCGGAATACTATGTCTCTGAGCAGTTTACGAATCACGTTTCAGGTCAGTTCCCTCAAGCGCAGAAATTGAACTAAATAGTTATTCAGGTATATGAAGACATATCGTTGAAGCAAGGTAAACGAGTAGAGGGAGGTGCGGATGCTTCCCCTGCAACTATCGCACCGATTCCCTTTCACAGGACGAGGAGGAGGTGGTCTGGGTGAAAGTAGCCTCCCTCAGGTTGTATGCTGCGAATGCCGCCGGTTTGATTTCAACGTGGAGAATTTTAAAATCAGATGGGTGACCTCGTTACCCTTTTGTGATCGACCACTCGCAGCTCGAGGTCTCTGTTTCAGCTAAGATCTTTGATGCCCAGGTCATTTCGACCCTGTTGTCCATCCTAACGTGCCCCTTTCGTCTCCGCGACAAAGGCTCAGATTGGGGCACTTCCCCTGCTTTTCCCGGGAATTTATTTTCATACTAGCCTCTGCACCATGCCTATCGCCTTCATTGACTCTTTGGCTCTCTCTTCGGTTGACTACACGCTTTGCGTGGTCTCGACTTTCCACTTCAATCTGATATTCGGATCGCCGATATCCAACACTCAATACGTCCCTTCCCGGAATGACTGGGGGGTTGTATGACGCGGGCTTGTCCTGTGGATAGACTTTGTCGGATTTCTAGTCATCTGGAACTTTGTTTTAGAGGCGAGTCTGTTTCTTGTCCTTTTCACGTTTGCTCAGTAAAGCTATGTGCTGTCCGACGAGGTCGAGGGGAATCGCGTGGCATGAGGGTGAATTTCTTGCTGAGGAGTAAGTGCGACAGCAGACCAACATCCACAACTTTGTTGTCGAGTAATGAAAGGGTTGTTGGTCTTAGTCTCCATGGTCGATTTATAAATTTGTGCCATGACGACCCTGATGGGGTTGTGGAAATGGTCTGTGGTTGCAGATTGATTTGTCACAGTTCTTGGACCTTTGTGGTGTCTAATTTTCATGAGGCATGTGTTGTTTGACATTCTGGTGCCAGCTGCATCGATTGAACTTCACCGCGGAAATTGCACGGTGGTGAATCGAATTCCTAGCGGATGATATGCTCTGACACTGAATCTCAATCCTGCTTGTCATTGAATTTGTTTGCGGATGCTCACAAATGAGGCCCCTTGAATGCGGCGGTCTTTGCTTGCCACTTCCTTTGACTCGGTTTACACAGCGTTTTCAAGCATTCGAGCTCGATGGCCGTTATTCCGTGTGGCTTGTTGTCAGGTTGATGGAAGTGACAAATCTTTGTCAAGCTTACACTTTCATTCCCCATGATCGGGCTAAGTTGAGGCTATTCCCTGCCCAGAATCCCACATACTGTCCAAATTCTCCGACTGTGCTTCCTACGTTCTGCGCGTCATTCAATCTCCGACTGAGGAACTCCTCAGTGGCAGTAAAGTCCGTCGAAGAGTCGGTTGTCATGAACATTTCTGAGCTCGCATAAACAGCTGCCAGGGAGGCTCTTTTTGTATACCATGAGAAGTCTACTGCGGTGTCACCGGCAAGGTACCAGATTTCGTCCGACAAGGCGTTCAGCTCCTTCAAGGAGGAGGGGATGTTCCCTAGCAAGGACATATGGCCGAGAGCCTGTAGGCACAACGTTAGAAGACTCCGTGCGACGGGGATGCAAATCTTACTCCCTGCCATTGATGAATGATATCCTTGTTTGCACGTAGACGAGCCATGGCCAATGACTTCACCTTGGAGGTCAGACCTAGGTTGGCAGATGACGGGAATTGCACATTATCCTTGAGTGCTAGTCTCTGGGAAACCAAATGGAAATTGACAAGATCGAAAACTCCGCGGGGAAACAGCTGAACTGTTACATCGAGGTAGCCAGCATCTTTAGCACCTAGCACCAGTGCGTCTTCTGTGAACCCATATTGTGGTACCCGGTCAAGGGCAGCCGAGAGGATATGCTCTTGAGCCGGTGGGAAAGGGCGCAGGTCTGGATGGTAGCTGGAAAAGTAGGTGCGTACGAAAGGGGGCAATGCCTCCTTAGTAGGAAGACAGACGTAACGTAAGGATCTGATAGATGATAGGGAGGCAGCGGAGAAGTTTGACATGTTTACTCGAGGGGTGCTGTATGATGTATAGTTGTGGTCGGTGTTAAGGAAACACCTAAGCGACGTTCTGATGCAGCAGAGTGTTAGGGAACGGCGCGGAAGTGTAGATGATCTACGAGGGATCTGCGAGCTGAATGATTGGTAGAAGAATGGAGCCACTGTGCTTCGTTCTAGCTTGAAGGGGGCGGCTTGATCGGTTCTAGAAGGATACGGAGGACAAAAGCACTACCAGTCGGCAGCAATACTCGGTACCTTGATCAACATAAAATGTACCGAAACATGCTCTAGAGAGATGCAGCCATGTGCAGTTGCAGGTGGTGCGGGCGCACTTGATGCAGCCTTACTGGGTAGGGGTGACGCCGCCTGAGTCACGTGCAAGTACCTGTCTCGGCATGGGAGGCGGTAGCCAAGTTATTCCGATCTCCAGGGCCACATGACCCACAAAAGATGGCTAAAGATATAAGAGGACTTTGCAGTATGATCTCGATTGAAACAGTGTGCAACGAAGCAACGATCTACATATGGAAACCCAGAGTATCTTCCCGCCTACCTAGGGAGGCAAATGTCTAAGATATTAGTATGCAGGTGGGCAGAACGGTATAGAGGGCTTACGAGCAGAGCAAAAGCTCCGCTCCAGGGGAATGCTCAGCGTAACGGTCCAGTCATCAGAAACCAGCAATAACCTGATTTGGAAGGTCACGACTTTCATTTCTTCAGATTCTTGCACAGCCCGCTCGATCGTGGGCTGCATTTGTCAACTTTGGTTGACGTACTCTGTATTTTCAGAGAGCGATGACACTCTAGGCAGGGTCATGTATAAACCCCAGGCTCATCTAGGGAAATGGGTCCCCTGGAGGCAACAAATTGGCACGGGCAAGAGATTCGTGCAGAAAAGAGTGCATTTTGATACAGACTATTAGCTGCGATGTTGAAAAAAGGGTGCTGGGCGGCGGGGATGAGCAGTTCCGCTCGAACCAAGGCGGCCCAAGAGACGCCTAAAAACAAACGCGCTTGTGCTTGCCGGGGCTCTTGTGCTGGAGCAAACACCTCTCTCCATGCTAAACACTGCACATCGATGTCATGCCTATCTTGCCGCGGCGGCGAGAAATGCTATTGTGGCTTGCTGAAAACACACACTAATGCTGTCTTTGTGAAAGTCAAAGGCTTTACGAGGTGCCGTGAGGTGCGTTCACCCTGGCTTGGAGTGAGGAACTATGCTCGCATCAGAGTGGCTCTGCATAGCGGAGAGGTCAGATTGGGTGAGTCGCAAATAAATCCACCCACTCGATTACTGTGGTCGCTGTCAAGTTATGCAGGACATGCAGTAAGTTGTGTTAGTCCGCGCTCACTTGTGAAGATCGGTAGCTAGGCCCTCGGAATCAATTACGCCACTCGGCTTGTCCCTGTCTTTTCCACTCGACTAGGGTATGATCCTGGTTCAGAATTGCCAAACAGGCAGATTTAAGTCTTCTGCAGACAGAACCACATGCAAACCAGCAACATGCCTACCTAGGCGGACAATCGTGGGTTGACACTCGAACACTGTGATTAGAAGGTTGAAATTGAGCGTCGGTCGATGAATTCGGTCACCAAGAAATGAATATATAGTTACCACATGATGGACATGGCTGCAGCCCTAACCGCCAGTGGGTGCTGCAGGAATACAGGTAGCAGAAAAAGCATCACTCCGTACTCCGTAAGCCTGCAAAGAAGATCGGTTGGCTTGCGCAATCGGGTGTCCGGAGGTCGTGCAGCCGGATCACCATTAGGACCATGCAAAAGAATGGCACCAGAATCCACTTCTACTACTGTGCTCCGTACACGCAACAGGGCCGGAGATAGTTGGGAGTGAGCTATCAGGGACCAGGGTGCGACTGTATGTACTCGTACGAGTCGACCAAGCCCCATGCCACGTTGATGAGAATCATGGTCACTTTATGTAGGAGGAGGTGCGACTCCGACTCGCATGGAAGATCGTGACTGCAGCGCATTCAGTACTACGAGTACACGCCCCTTGCCATCTCCCGTGAAAAGCTGTTGTTAGATACTATAGGGCACTATCACTTGAACAGGGAATGGATACGTAGTATCGTAGTATCAAGTAACTTGAAGGCGTGCGAAGGGAAGTAGGAAGGTACGGAGTACAGAGTGTACACTGTTCAGTACCTAGTTGGAGAAGGCAGGTGTGACCCATCAAGCAAAGGTGAGCCAGCGCCAAGCCGGCTCCTCCACTCACACAGCTCGACCTTGACAACATCTCGTCACACTGGCACACCTCAATCAATGCAAGTCCTGCTCCTCGCTCCTCCGAGTCCCTCTATCAATCTCAGCCCAACTCGTACATACGGATCCCGCAAGAGGACATCCATCCATCAACGATTCCCGTGCTCCTCAATCTGCAACTCCCGCAGGCTGCGGTAGCCGTTCGCCGTTCGCCGCCCGCCTGAGTTCCCGTCACACTTTTCCTCCACCTGCCAGTGCCTGGCATCCTCACCCCAGGGCCGCAGGTACAGTCCCTCCAATCCCTCCAATCCCTCCAATCCCTCCTCGTTCCTGCGCCTTATTCATTCTTCTCACCACCTCCGACCTTCGAGCTCACGTTGCCTCGCTATCATTCGCTACGACCCCTGGTCTCCTCGACACTGCCTCGTACAGCTGACTCTATCGTCTTCCAGGTCTACCGCACCTCCACTCCCCTCACTTTCCTTCCCTCATTGGACACTCCCTCCGAGCAAGGCCTGCCCGTGTCCTCACCTTCGTTGGGCGCTTCTCTCTGCTCATCATTATTGGTGAGTAAAAGGCACTGGAGGAGCGTGGCGCGGGGGAAAGAACCTCCATCCTACCCTTGGCCTGGTTCTCACACTGCTGCGTTGACTAGAGACCGCGTTTTTGCTGACTGACTGAAGGCGCTCCGGCCCAAAAAGACAACTGCCAAAACAAGCGCACCCCCATCAGAGAGACGCACCCGCCCTCCCTCCAACCACAACGGCCCCTTCAGTTCTTAGTATCAGTTCCGCAGAGAATTGTGTCAGGCTTGCCCAGGTCGTCCTCAGTCTCCACTCAGCTTGCTTGAGCCTGCGTTGGGCAACTGCCGCGGCCACTACTCCTACGAGTACTCACTCGCGCGCCTTGCCCACTGCTTCAGTTCGAAACCCCCGCCTTGTCGCTGCATTTTCCTCGAGCAGGAAAAAATCCATCCGACCCAAGTGTTCCTCGTGCACAAGCATTTCAACAAGCGCTCGACCCTCGGCCTCAAGACGCGCCGCGTGAGGCTCTGTCAGACTTTTGCCTGCGAGAGGTCCTGCCTGCTTGCCTGTCCTCAGTCTCTCCGACTTGCGAGTCCCTGATCTGTCGCTCCACTTCCACACAAAACGAGCTGCCCGCGTCCTGCGAACTGTCCGCAAAGGCCCCTTGTACTACTCGGAAAACCTTGTTAGCTGACCTTTTCCCCCCTCCCCTCCTGCATTCTCGTGCATGCGATCCTGATCTCGTAGACTCAACAGTTGAAACCGCCGCACGCCCTCTCGGCAATCGATAATCATGGGTAGGTCTCTCTTCATCAGCTTCGCTGCCCCGGCCTAGCCTTTCTGGTATACGCCGCTTCTCGCCTGCTCCCCAGTCATCACCTTGTCCTGCCCTACATGTGCTTCTTCATCTTGGTTGCATCAAATCAATTCCTGTCGTCTTCCTCTCCTTTTCACCGTCTCTCACTTTCCTTCCTCTGTTTCCGCTGGTTCCTCATCGTTGGCTAATTATTGTGATATAGTAAGTGACACGATTTCTCCTTCTCGCCGCAGGCCGACTCTAGTCTTGTCCGACTTCAGTATGAAGTTGGTCTCGGATTCACTTGGGACCATTCCCATTTGGCCTGGGTCCACTTGCTCTGCCTTCTCCTTCACTCGGACATTGGAAGCTGCCTGGCGAGATTCACCCTCTCTCTTAGCATTCAACTATCACCCGCAGCTTCACTTCGTGGTGAAACAGCAGCCCGATTCATTCTCCGTCACCTCAGACCCTTCCTGATCCCTCTGCAACATCATGATTGCTATCACACATTCCTTTTCTGACACTAAACAGCGAGACCGTTCTCGTTCTCCTCGCCGCCGTTCGCGCAGTCCACGACGTACTCGACGCTCCTACTCTCCAAGAAGCCGTTCTCGGAGCCGAGGCGACGACTACCACCGAAGTGAACGCCGATCGCGAAGTCCCATGAGTGGTGCACCCAACGCATCTGGGGGATATTCAGGGTCAGGCTACGCCGGTAGTAGTAGAGGCGGAGGCCCACCAAGATCCTTCGAAGATCGTGCCGCCGCTAAAGAACAAATGATGCAATCCGTGCGCGATTCATCCCAACAAGACCGCCGAGTCTATGTTGGCAATTTGGCCTACGATGTCAAATGGCATCACTTGAAAGATTTCATGAGACAGGGTTCGTATCATTTGCCCCTCACTTTGGATCTGTAAATAATGTTGGAAACAGCTGGAGAAGTTCTCTTTGCCGATGTCTTGCTACTTCCGAATGGAATGTCGAAGGTGGGCGCCATTGTGTGATGCGGCTGGTTTCACTGGTCTTCCTTTTCCTGGTTGTTTTTTTCTTGTTGGACGTTGGATTGACGGGTTGGACCTGGTCCACGGGTTTATGTAGGGATGCGGGTAAGTGGCTGCGCTTTTCTCATTAGGAAGCCCCCATCTAATGTGTTCTCAGGATTGTGGAATACGCGACTAGGGAACAAGCCCAGCAAGCTATTCAAACACTCAGCAATCAGAGCCTTATGGGCCGTCTGGTCTATGTCCGAGAAGTACGCCTTCGCTCCTTCCCACGTCTCGACTGATACTGATTCATCACCACTGTGATTAGGACCGCGAGACCGAACCTCGATTCACCGGTCCGCCAAGTCGTGGTGACTTCGGCGGCGGCCCTCGAGGCGGCTATGGCGGCGGCTATGGCATGGGCGGTGGTGGAGGTGGAGGTGGCGGTGGCGGTGGCCGTCAACTCTATGTTTCCAACGTTTGTGGCTCCCTTCAGCTTTCCTCCGGAGAAGGAAAACATATTGACAATATTTTCTCAGCTTCCTTTCAATGTCGGCTGGCAAGATCTGAAAGACCTTTTCCGCGGTGCTGGTATGATTCCCCGCGCCTAATTTGGTCCACTGACCCTAATCTCACAATTCAATAGCCCAGGAAGGACAGGTCGTTCGTGCTGATGTCCACATGGATCCCACGGGGCGTCCCAAAGGAACCGGCATTGTTGCCTATGAATCCCCTAATGATGCACGCAATGCTATTCAGCAGTTCAATGGTTACGATTGGCATGGCCGTGCTCTCGAAGTCCGAGAAGACCGATATGCAAGCAGTGGACCCATGGGATATGGTGGTGGCCGAGGTGGATTCCAAGGTGGTTATGGAGCACGCGGAGGTTTCGGTGGTGGCCGGGGAGGCTATAGCGGCCGTGGAGGCTTCGGTGGTGGCCCCGGCTACTCTCGTGGAGGCTATGCAGGAGGAGGAGGCTACGGTGGTGGTGGCGGCGGCGGCGGGTATGGCGGCAGTGTCCAGGAACAGGCTCCGCCCAACCCTTTCACCGACTTCGCAACGTCAGGGGGGGAGAGAAGCACAATCATCTATGCCCGAAATGTAAGAAGGAACCCCCAACCCCCGGACGACCTATGACTAACCTTCTTCAGCTGCCCTGGTCGACCAGTAATGATGACTTGATCGAACTCTTCACCACTATCGGCAAAGTCGAGCGAGCTGAAATCCAGTATGAACCCAATGGACGCTCACGAGGAACAGGAGTTGTTGAATTCGATACTGCCGAGAATGCTGAGACAGCGATCTGTAAGTTGCTCTGCCTCCAATAAGGGATTGGTGCTGATAGCGAGAAGCGAAATTTACAGGATACATGTACGGCGGCCGTCCTCTTGGTTTGACTTATGTCAAATATACGAATGCCAACGGACAAGATGTGATGGAGGGCCAAGAGGCCACCGCTGGGATGACACAAGACCAAATGATGTGATCAGTAAACTGGATCCAACAATGCTCCATATTTCCTTCCTCCCCTTGACTTATCGACTTCAACTTCTCGCCTTCTCGATGGAATTCGAAAAGAGCTCATTCTTGACGACCTTCAGATTGTATTCTACAGCTTCATTTTCGACGCTCAGCACACAAAACTATCAAGATGATCGGTTAAATTCACAGATCATCCTTCGAAACGTCAATTTCCTTTCCTATGTGTCAAGGTTGTGACTAGGAAGTCCAACCCAATTCTACCAGTTCTACCAGTTCTCCAGGAAAAGTTTGTGTTTTGAACAAGGTAGCTGTCCAGCATGGGAGGTAGAGTGGCAAATGCGTAATCAATGCGCCATCATGAAAGAGCCACGTCAAGGTCATTTCTACATAGCTGGGGAGCTGGATGCAATTGAGAGTTGATGAAAGCAGTAATTGAGATATGCAAAGTGAAACCATAATTCTGGACCAAAATGCGGTACTGGTCATGGCTGTCGCGGTGGTCGCTTGGATCCTGGCTGAACCGACAGCATACTAACTACCTAGGTAGTAGACTTTCGGCCAAATGGGTGACGGACGACATGTACAGGACGCCACGAGGTGGGACTTTGGTTGGATCTTGGTGTACTACCTATGAGCCAGCTCGTGTCTGTGACATGTACAGATTTGCAACAACAGACAAGAGCTCGAAGCAGACGATGTAGTTAGTTAGTGTCCATAAATTTGAAGACTGCCTGGAAAGCATTCGTTCATGAATGAATCATATCTCCCTCGTAACCTGATTGTTGTTTCCTTTCTCCGTCAACCCCATCAGATGCCTTTTAGCCCAGAAACTAGTGAAATTCCAAAGGGCCAGAGGTCTTTTCTTGAATATACCATTGTTTATATCTTTGAAATGTCCTTCGTACACCTACGTAAGAGCCTCTTTCCATCAAATACATCTCTCAAGGATCCACAGAATAGAACATCAGGCATCTTTCTATGCTGATCCCTCAGTAACCATGTATAATGAGTGTTCTTGTGGTACGTCCCTCGCCAACTACTGAGTCGACCATATATTTGGACGGAAGAGGAGGAGGGAGGATATAACCATCCAATATAGGATCAAACCTGTCAAACGAAATTGTTCTTCTGTTGCACACAGGTTGGGGGGGTTGGAGGATTGAGACCAGAGCTTCTCAAGTTTGTTCTATCATTCCATCTCCAAGCTACTATGTCTGTCTGGCTTTGTGAGTACTTCGAAATAATGTATGCAGGAGTAGCAAGCCGCAGCAAGGAGGTAATCGGTAGTGCTTTTTTTGGGTGTCTTTCAGCGAATAGTGATCTGGGGTTATAGCCGCCCCTTGATTCGTCTTTCTCTGCTTCTTTCTACCGAATAGCAATAGAAATATGTGTTTCCGGGCTTTCTCCACAGGTAGCGAAATAAGTGGCATGTGCATTGATGGCTATGCGAGGGACTAAAGGCTCAGAAGGGGCAGCGGCGCCAAACCGGTGATGATAATAGGCTGTTATTGCAAGAAGGCGTCGGCGATAAAACTGGTATGGACCCATGGTATTGCATACTTTACTTTTCGTATTTGGTACGCCTTGTTTGCCGGGTTCTCTGATAGGGCGATGTCGATGATGTTAACATCGAGCTATCATGCATCCAGGGGGAAATAACAGAGGGACATAAATGTGGGCCGCTTTTTTCAGGAAAATTCCCAGTTCCATTATCTGGTAATTCTCTTGTTTCTCCACATAGATGAGCCGGGTGTTGATAATGGAGCACAAGGTACCGGCTCTTATTAGACGACACAGGCGGGCTGGGATGCTCATCCTCTAGAACGCAGGCCGGGATCCATCATCACACTTCCCCTGTCCATCTTGAGTTGCTGCACCTCCTTTTGAGGAAGAATAGAGCGAGCGGCCCACATGAATCTAGTCGCCGTAGGCTCCCTTGGCATAAAACCTTTGTTCAGGGTGTGTCAAGGCTTGACTCTCCTCAAGTTGGATGTCGAGGATTCAATGCTTTCATAGCCGCCCGTGGGACCACGAATTCGCAAACATTGGACTTGGATTTTCCATAAGCCCCTCAAGGACGTCTAAAGTTATCACTTGTAAAAATGTAGTCCACAGCATCTGCAACATGGTGGTATCTCTATACCATATGGGTTCTCACTGGCCAATCGCCTTTGCATGCGAGCAGAGTACTTCTGAGCCAAACGGCTTGCCTCCTTTAGCCTTTTCGTGTACGGAGTATTATTCTGGTCGGTAAGTGATCTCCAGCAGGTTTGGAACCAAGTTTAGCTGCATTCACTTTTGTTTCTCGCTTGGGTTGAGTCGGAGACTAATGCCCACTCGTACTCGTTCTGTTCTATTCATACTGCTTCGCAGCTTCACCGCCTTTTCTCCTTTTAGCCTCTTCGTCTTTTCTCATAGATATCAATGATGGTCTAATCCGTAAATTTTCATAGATTTAAACGACCCAACGACTTTCGAGGCTGTTGGGGCAAGGAACCCGGATGCATTGGTGGGGCCTCCGAGAATATTTCTGGAATCCACGCGCTTTTCGGGGGCACATTTGGGGCCAAAAACGTGAAAAGAACCAGCAGTGGCGCTTGTCACATCCTGCATCTATTCCGCAAGAAAGGTCTGAGAAAATAGTTTCTCCGAGAGTCCGTTGACGGCGTCTCTTTGGTGATAGAGGCGTCCTGTGGCGTGATTAGGAACAAGGCTGATCGAGTGCATTTGGCTGAGTGCTTAAGGGTTTGCATGGGTCGACTTGCATAATCCAACAAATTGGGTTCAAGGAGACAGTAGTTTGAGGACAGTCATTTTCAAGGGTTGGATACTGTTCTGTAAGTCAGAAAAGGCATTCTTGGAACGTCCCGACCCTCGTTGCCATGAACATTGATACATTCCATTCGGAATTGAGAATTATACCAGTAAAAGCGCCACCCCAGAGTGGTCTTGTATCTCTTGCTTTGTTGGGCAGGAGGTTTACCCTGGAAGAGGTGAGATGGACACGAGACTTTTACTGACCTCAAATGCCTCATTCGGAAGGGGTTGGTAGTGACTTTCTCAATCATGATTCATTGAATTTGGATTGTTCGGCATTCATGGCCCGGAACCCGAATTTAATCGACATGAGTATCACCAAGGCATCAACAAGGAGCCAAATTCACGCCAGAAGTCACATGCTGTTAATGTGGATGCTGCAGATATCAGCCTTGGGCTCGTCCATCTCGGACAAGCCACGAGCAACTGTTCAGACAAGATTTGTGAGCTTTGAGACGGTAGAGTAGCACCCAGGCATGATAATCCTACTTGTCTTGTCTGGGGGTTCAACCAATGGCTCGCAATTTGTTGTACTGCGACTGATTGTAAATGGATATCAACTGTACGCCTTCGAGGCTCGGAGGGAGAAGCTGTGTGTTCTGTGACCAGAGTGCCTGCTCTGGGTGACCAAGCAACGCCAGCAGAGTCCTGAATTTGGGTGTATATCAAGTCATAGCGTTAGTTCAAGATGAATGGCACCACAATGCAACCAAGCAGGGCGCTGTCAATTCTATGGTGCTTGGACTATCACTCAATGGGATGGTGTGTTTGGTGATTAGTGAGACCAATATCAGTAGAAAATCGACTTCCTTCTTCCTTTCAAGGCTAAGCACTCACTATGTTGTCTCTCGCCCTTGCTAGACTTACCCATTCTTTTTCTGCATGTGATGAGAGCCTACCTTCAATTCCGGGCAAGGCTTTCTTCTCCTACTCCGCGAAGAAGGATCTTACGCAGATGGGGGGATTTCCCCGCCTTCCGTTAATGCGGGGTCAGAAGCTGGAGATTGGCCGCGGGTTCCGACTTCAACACCGGTCGACCGAGAGTACACGCATACCAACGGATCAGAGCAGAGCAGAGCAGAGCATCCTCGTCTCTGCAGCTTGACATGAAAACAGACCCTTGTGTCTGCTCGTCTAACTCCGCTTTGTGAGCAATTATGGAGCAAAGAAACATCGTTATCAAGCGGGTCCGAAGAAAACAGCACAGTAGCTGCGATCAGTGCAGAAAAGCAAAGCGTGCGTGTGATGCTGCTTTGCTCGCTGAGCGTTTTGAAGGTGGTAATACACAACATCTACCAGTGGGTGCCCAGTACCCTGTAGCGAGCTGTTCAAATTGCCAAAAAGGGGGGAAAATATGCACCTTCGAATGGCTTCAACACTCCTTACCCAAGCCCAACTTGGCAGGTACCAAACAAATTCATCGCCGCTCCAAGGGCATTGGCGATGTAGCAAAACGCAAGGCTTCCCGCAATGTAGAGCACACCTCGTCACGGTGGTCACCAGTTCAGAGAGAACCGACTTTTATTTCTTCGGTAAACCAGGACTGGGACCACTTCGATGTTGAGACACTAGAACCCTGGACAGCGTTTAATGGTACGATCAACGATTCAGCGGGAGAGAGGCACTCTTCGTCTCCGTCGGTGTTTCCGGGCTTGAGAGATCCATCTCATGGAGATTCGACATATTTGAAAGGCCTTTCCTTAGATCTTCCAGCCCGCACAATCAACAAAGGTTCTGATGCTCTTGATGACAGGCAGAATGGTGCTTCCTGGTACTCATTTGACCCAGAATGCCTTACCGAATTGGAGTTTGATGTTCTGCAGTCAACTGACGAATCACTCCCTGCTTCATATACTGGAGCTAGCTGGCCACAAGATATTGAAGCTTGGCCGCTCATCATGTCGAGGGAAAGCTCAGAACATGATGACTCCTCCAACGTCTTTTCACCCTCTCTCTTCTTGTCGGATCAAGTATCCTCCGCAAATAATCGCCTTGCGTTGAGCCAGAACTGGCTTCACGTCTACCATGACAGCTTGGAAAATGCACTATCATGCTGGCTGACGGAAAGGAACTGTCCCTACAGTACAAATAGGTCAGACCGTCGTGCTATTGTGTCCAGGCCCCTGGTGGTCGACGGTATTCAGGGAGAATGGGGTCCAAAGTGGTCAAATCGAATATACGCCAGAGTCTGCAGGCTCGATCAAGTCTCTTCAAGTCTACCAGGGAAGCAGCTGACAAAGACGGAGCAAGAGCAAGCAAGCAAAGCTTTGAACCTATCCATCATGGCCTTTGGTGTCCAGTGGGCTCAATCTGGCAATCGAGGAAGAGTTCGATCACCACGCTCTTTCCTAAACGATGATTTCCATCTCCATGATGATCCGGACCTGGCGTCAGCCGATGCCTTTGGCCGAGCTATGCAGGAGAGTCTGTGGAACCAAGCTCGGCAGGCTCTACTGAATGCTGCGGGGTTGCAGTCATACAAGGTGGTGTTTGCCAATCTTATCTTCTCTTTGACTCAACGACCACTAGATGTCAATCAGTGGCTCCAACAAAGGGAGTCGAAGTCATCAGCAGAGTCGATTGGGAATCTGGGATCGCCCGATGATAATCTCCGCTCAAATTGGGAAGCCCTGCAAGACCTCCTCAGCGCAGATGGCCCACCAATATTTCTTGACATAGCATTACGCGAATTAGCTTCTTCTCGCTGGAAATGGGACGAGCAACATCGGAAGATGCTCAAGTCAAACTCACAATGTGCAGACAGGATAGCGAATGGATCTCGAGCCTTGACAGAGGTCAGCCTGAGCCAGGAGCATCAAGAAACATTCAAGCTTCTTTCATGGTTGGCTATCATGTTCGACACACTGTCTGCTACGGTTCTGCAAAGGCCTCTAGTTCTTTCGGACGAAGACACTGGCGTCCCTGTCGCAGATCCCTGGAAGGAAGGCGCGAATTCAAACTCCGTAAGCGCACGTAGCGACGAATCAATTGTCGACGTGGTAAAAGTCGACCTCGACGGGTGGCAGCCAACTTCTAGGCAGCAAGATGCTGATAGAGAAGCAGCGTCTGGGGAGATATGGGGATCTTTCTTCCTGGATGGAAAAAGCCTGCTTGAAGTGCAGACCCTCGAACGAAGAACTTGGTCGTCTTGCACATTTGAAGAAGCTGCAGCCATTCTTTGTGACGCGGCCCCCGTCAAGGTATTACTTTTTCGAAAAGTTGGACACATACAAAAGCTTATGTCTAGGAAATCTGGAAGTTTGGTGCTTGAGGCCGCACTAGAGGAGGCCATTAAGGTGTACAGGTTCTGGAGCAAGTCGTATGGACGGTTTATCGAATACTGTATGAAAAATCATCACGATCTTCCGGCCCGGATCCAATCTTGGTATGTCGTTCTTGCTGGCCACTGGCATCTCGGAGCCTTGCTCCTCGCAGATGTCATTGATGAATTGGACAGCTCTGGATTAGGCGGCGAGGAACATACAGAAAAGCGGCGAATTGCTACACTTTCAAGTGACCTGAGAAAGAAAAACGCCATCTCCATCTCAAACCTCTGCCGTTGCTCACTGGATGGCCCCTCGCTGTCTTTTTCAAACTCACGAGACTTCACCTACCCTGTCAACCAGGTTGCGCTACTCTCGGAACCGTGGACTGTTGTGCTTGTCCAGTCCTTTAGCAGAGCAGGATATGTCTTCTTGGATCTACTCAGCAAGCCTCCGAATTTGAGAAGCAAGTCACGACTGAGCCTGGCAGACGAGCGTGCATTGACGAGAACACGATGTGAATCTTGCATAGATGGTCTAATCAACCTTGGGAACAAATCCGATATGGCCTATTTGGCTGCGAAACTTCTTACAGACGCTCTACAGACGGTGTATCGCTCGTGATTCCGGGCCGGCAGGGATGTGACTCTCGAAGTGGCAAAAGAAGGAAGGCCGAACCTATTCTGGAAACGCTATGGTATGACCTTTATCATAAAATGTCTCCGTGACTTTCTATGATGGAAGAATCTGCAATTTCCAGCTGTGTTGACGCTCGTCTTGTGTAAAATGAAGTCTAGTATTGTGAAGTAGGATCTGTACGACGGAGTCCGTTCGTCTCTTGTCTTGCAAACATTCACAAAATTCTGTTATCTTTTGGTACATGTTGTCGTTCAATTCTGTGACATTCTTACTCAAGAGTTGAAGTATGGAGATTACCAACACCATGCAAATGGCTGGTTCACCTATGGAAAGCGTGGACGCGTATTTTGCACACCATTTCACCTGACCCGGAATTTACTTTGCTATTTCTCTCCCCTACCCCTTTCCAAACGAGAGATACCCCATTGGGCACCCCTTTGAGTGCTAAAGATGACCCAATGGTAAGTGGAAGCAACGAGCAATACTACCCTGGCTACAGAAAGTGCCCTCAAGGCTCATCAGCTTGAACATGGCGGTTCCGCAACTCACGCGGAGACTGTGGGAAGAGGGGGCCGTCCATCCTTGTCTCTACAAACTGAGCCTTTCCTCATGTGGCAGCGGATTAACATCGAATGTCATTTTATACCTGGATACCTAGGCCTCTCAATGGTAAGCGAGAGATATTGCTCGGCAACTTGCGGAGGTGGAATCAATGCCCTGTTTTTCGATGGCACGGATCCGCCTATGGATTTTCCGCGATACAAACCGGAGTCCGCCTGACTCCTCCGACATTCTGGGCCATCTTTATGATCTTGGCTCCTGCAAACGAGGCTATATATTGCTCATGGTATTTAGATCTGCTGCCATGAGCAATATCTTTTGACCAGAGAGTGCTTTAGCTGCTTCATCAGATCATATCAAGATGGCAATCAAGACTGAACTTCGAGAGTACGCTCATAGAAGAAGCAACACAGGCCCATATGCCGACAACCTAGAAGTGGACGCCTTGGTTGTTGGTGGTGGGTTTGGTGGTGTCTTCTGCTTCTACTTACTGCGCAAAGCTGGATTCAAGACCGTCATATACGAGGCAGGAAACGATCTCGGCGGCACCTGGAGATGGAACTGCTACCCAGGGGCCATGGTAGACTCAGAGATCCCAGAATATCAGTTGTCGATCCCTGAAACCTACAAAGACTGGACCTGGCCTTCCAATTATCCGACCTACAAGGATCTTAGGGCCTATTTTGACCATGTCGACAAAGTTCTGGACATCAAGAGCAACACCGCATTCGACAGTGTCGTCGTCGATGCACAATTTGACACAAAAGCGGGACGCTGGCATGTCAAGACTGCGGATGGTAGAGTCGCAAAGGCCAAATATCTGGTGGTTGCAGCAGGTTTTGCGGCGAAGCGGTATGTGCCGGATGACTTTGTCGGAATAGACTCTTTCAAGGGTGTCATTCACCATTCGTCATTCTGGCCGGACCTCAACATCGATGTCACTGGTAAGAGATGCGGTGTCATTGGTACTGGAGCCTCTGGGGTTCAGATTGCTCAAGCTTGGGGGCCCAAGGTGATCATTTTTCCTCAACCCTGATGAAGGCTAACCCATAGCAGGCGGGTCACCTTGAAGTCTTCCAAAGGACACCAAATCTGGCAGTGCCGATGCGTAAGAGAGATTTAACAGCAGAAGAGCAAAACAAGGCCAAGGCAAATTATCCAGAGCTGTTCAATTTCAGAGAGAAATGCTTCGGTGGTTTCCTCTACACTTTCTCAGAGCGCAGTACTTGGGAAGACACCCCAGAGGAGCGGGAAGCCTTCTACCAAAAATTGTGGGGTAGGTATTGAGACCCTGCATCTAAGCCTGCAACCGACTAACGGCACATTGCTTCATAGATGACGGTGGTTTCCGCTTCTGGCTTGGGAATTACAAAGATTACCTATATGATCCCAAGGCCAACCGTGAAGCTTACAATTTCTGGGCGAGAAATGTTCGAAATCGTATTGGTGACGCGAAGACGAGAGACTTGCTGGCGCCTCTGGAGCCTCCACATCCATTCGGTGTCAAACGCCCTTGCCTAGAGTACTCATACTATGAGCAGTTCAATCGTCCAAATGTCGACTTGGTTGACATAAAGAACAATCCGATTGTGGGATTTACTGAGAAAGGCATTAAGTTGAAAGACGGCAGTGTCCACGAGCTCGACGTAATTTGCATTGCTACCGGATTTGACGTCGTTACAGGTAAGTCGATACTACCTACATACCATCCCTGCTGTGCAAGTCGAATAGTATGATAACATTAATCTCCAGGAGGAATGACGGCCATGGGACTACGCAGTATCACTGGCGAATACCTCGCCGACCAGTGGAAGAAAGCCGCCTACACGTATTTGGGCACAACAATCAGCGGATATCCCAATATGTTCCACCTCTACGGACCTCATGGACCAACTCTCCTTTCCAACGGACCCACAAGCGTTGAGGTCCAAGGACGTTGGATCGTTGATGCCATCAAGCAGGTCGAACGCCAAGGCTTGAAATACATTAATCCAACCAATGAGGCGTCAGAGAAGTGGAAGAAACACATCAATGAACTGTCCGATATCAGTCTCTTCCCCACAACCAAGTCTACCTATATGGGAGGTAGTAAGCCAGACAAGGCTTTCGAGCAGGTCAACTATGCTGGAGGTCTTGCTCATTACGGTGAAGAGATAAGGCAAACTCTACCAGCCTTTGTAGGGTTTGAAAAGGTTAAATAGTCGTGGACGAGGGGTCTAGTGTCACGAGGGCCGGAAAGGCCATTTGATTACCGCTACTACTTTGATAGTCATTACGTGGCATTTTTTCCCAATCTAAAATGAAATTTTGTGCTCTTCTTTCACTAATCATCTGATCTATGTAGATCTGACGCCGTCTACACATCAATGGCTTTCGGGATTCAATTCAACGAACACCTTGGCAATCGTCTGATGAGCATCACCAAATGGGAAGGTCTTCTGAACCTGTCCATCAACGTCTTCGTCCTCGGTATACTCCCAAGTGTTGAATTCTGAAATTTTCGTGCTTCTGAATGGTGCTGGCGGCTCCAGCCAAACTTTAGCAACACGGTCATCGAAAGTTTCAATCTGAATAGCCCGGAATCCTTCCTGTGCGGCATACCGCATGAGAAAGCGAGCTAGATTGGCCATGAGTCTTAACCCTTCGGCATCGCGCCTAGAGCTTGTGGCGTTGCGGAGCAGAACCTCGTTCGGTCGAGTTGCTTTCCACGAGTCGTCGCGCGTATCCAACTCCTCTAGGATATGATAGGAAGTTCCGAAAAGCGGCAATTCCTCGATCAGAGGCCCCAATTTTTCGGGTACGACTGGGTTGATCTGGTCGTAAGACAACGCAATACTGAGAAGAGGGAAGTCCATTTGTTCAAGCAACTCCTCTGCTCCAAGGCTGGTCGTTTTGAAATCCCAGTAAAGCTTACCACCGGTGGCTTTACTTTCCTCTCGTTTGAACTTGTATTCAAGATCGAAGACACCCAAACTATGACCTGACTCTACTTGATGCCGAATGAGGTAGTCTCCCTTTTCGAAGGCGTTGTACACTCGTGCTGTCTTGCCATTGGGATAAGTGATGGGCCAGATGGACGAGTGAAATATATTCGCGTGTAGTACAATGGCTTTTGCCCATGGTATATCTTCCACTGTTAACTTCCGGATCTCGTACCTTGGTGGCAGATTGGTCGGATTGGAGGGTGTTGCCGCTGAGAGGCTCGTCATTGTGACCTGTTTGGGTGGGAAAGCCGATGATAGAATCGCGAGAGTGACTTAGATCGACCGTTGAAATATTGAGCCTCTGTTAGTGCTACTCTGACCCGAAGTTGTTGTGGTCTTTATTGTTCGGAAACAGCCAGTCCGTCTCGGAACACGGTTGTACGACGACGACAACCAAGACGAAAGGCCTTGAAAGTTGAAGACCGTTTGAGGACCAAGAGCATTATCCAGGACGGAACTAGCTAGAAGACCAATAGGATAGAAAAGTGTGAGAGAAAGGAATTCTACATCAATGACGTCGATCAAGTTACTTTAAAGCTTTCTTTCCCTGAGGAACAAGAGTCGTTTGAATGATTTCCTGTGGTCAGATTCTCAGAGCTGACGCAGGAAGAGCTTCGTCCCCAGTAAGAGCACTCGTTTACCATGGATTGAAACGCCCGGGAGGATGTGGGTATAACCATCTCGCAAGCGAAAGCGCCGTCAGGTTTCTGACAAGCATTCAAATGGATAGCCGGCTTGGAATCCTGTGGGGTCTGGAGTAAGCTACCTGTACATCTCGAGTTCGTGGGACTCAAACCTTGCTGACGTGATCGCCTCAACTCTCAAGTCATCAGGCCACGTACATTGGTAGAATGTCACATTAGGCTTTACTTGGACTATAGACCACCGCGAATGCCATGTTTCAGTAGTAGGCCTTAAAGATTAGAGAAGAGCGGAGAGATGGCTGATGGCCAACCAACATTCCCCCAACGAGACTGAGTGAGGCATACTCACATACGAGTATGACTCAAGTAAGCCTTAACAGGCAGTGGTGTTCAAGGAAAAAAGTCAAAGTTCCACCCCCTCAAAGTCTCCAAGACAGGACACATAATTAGACTCCTGTAGGCAGCTGACAGACAATGTGCGGCAAGAATAATGACATTGTTGGTGCAGATCAGTAAAGCAGACGGTGGAATTCCTCGTAGCGTTACGAACTACTCGATGCTTCACACTAATCTTTTGGTCTTCAATTGGTCGTATAGGAAGGGGCTTGTTCAGGCGCTTTGTTGCCGCTGAAGAGACGACGTTTCCCATGCTTATCATACTACTTGTTGATGAAGGTCAACTTATTGGTGAAATAACTGTTCAACGGCCCCGACCAAATTCCCTACAACATTAGACCTATCGATTTTTAGGAACAATTGCTGACACCCACCTGAAAGGTCAGTTCGCGGCCATAGGCAAGGTCATCATGCTGTCAGCAGGCTGTAGCAACATTACAGACTGCCGCTTCAGCTGATAATTGTGGTCAAATGTACTCGTAGGAATACGCAGGTAAGACAGCGTAGACTGGGTAGCTGCCATTGAATGGTGTCTAACCGTACTCGTAAATGAATGCGGGCGAGCCCTTATAAGAGGTAATTACTCCGTACGAAGTGCTTGTAGCAATGTCGCAAATTATTAGACTCAGACAGCACTAAACATTCACGTGACGAAAACGGGAGAATATCCCGCCGGGTGGAGCCAACCAGGCGGAATCCGGCATCAACTCGTTCCAGAGGACCGAGTTTTGAACATGAACCTCGGGCTCCTCTCCGTTTCTACAGGGGAAACAACAAGCTCGAATCACAACAACAGCTGACATATCAGAGGTTAATCTACACATATGTCCCCTGGCTGTGGATATCTGGGTATGTAGTGTGGGTTCTTTCTGGGAAGGTGCACGGGTCGGATGTGGTCACATTCCAGCCAGTGAAATTACTTCGGAGAAGATATTCGTCCTTCTTGTCCTCTTCACGTATTTAAGGCAAAAGCTAATACGAAACCTTTTCGGTGCTTCGACCTATGACACACACACACACATATATATTGGGGCCGGCTCCTGTGACCTCATCAAGTGAGCTTTCATCCTCTTCATCTCCAGACATTGGATCTGTTTGTTTGGCTCGCTATAGCGTTAGACACGATGGGAGTTCCAGAAGAGGACCAGGCGCAAGCGACAACAATGGCCAAAACAGACTCGAGACCAGAGATTCCTTCTAAGGGCCATACGCCCCTGTCTGCATCATCATCATCGTCGTCGATATCTGTTGATAAGGCGCATGAGAACGGCATCGATAAAGACGAAATGATCTCCAATCAAGAAATAGAGGCAAAAGCAGGAGCTGAAGTCAGTACTGTGACTGAGGACCTTAGCACATACCCCCACGGCCTCAAACTCGTCACTCTTATCATCGCCTTGTGCCTGGCCGTCTTCCTCGTTGCTCTCGATCAAACCATTATCGCGACCGCTATCCCAAAGATCACCGATCGCTTCAACAGTATTAGCGACATCGGGTGGTATGGCAGTGCTTATTTCCTCACGAGTACCGCGTTGCAGCCCAGCTTCGGTCGAATTTATAAGTTCTTTCAGATTAAATGGGTCTTCCTGGGCGCTATTGTCGTTTTTGAGCTGGGATCATTGATCTGTGCTGTTGCACCTTCGAGCACTGCCCTTATTGTTGGGAGAGCTATTGCAGGAATTGGGGTTGGAGGAATTTTCTCGGGTGCTTTGGTTATCATTGCTCATTCTCGTACGTTTAACGCCCAAGATCGTGAGCTCCAACATCCAGACGTACTAATACCCGTCGTGTAGTCCCATTGATTCGTCGCCCTATGGTGTTTGGATTATTTGGCGCCATGTGGGGTCTGGCTTCCGTCGCAGGTCCACTCCTGGGAGGCGTTTTTACCGACCATCTGTCCTGGAGATGGTGCTTTTATATCAAGTGAGTTTGTCAGATGTTTTTCAAGCGTCTCTCTGGAGAAGGAGTTAAGCAGTAGGATGTGTGTTGCGCGCACAATGGTGGAGATGAACCATGCGCCTTGCTTTCAACTGCTAACCAACAATTAATAAAACTAGTCTTCCCATTGGTGGCTTTTCCATGGTCGTCGTCCTCGTCGTCCTGCACATTCCGCAGGACCCAAAACTCTCAGAGAAACCAATTCTCAAACGCATTCTCGAACTCGACCTTGTTGGAGCCGCAATTCTCATTCCAGGAATCATATGTCTGCTACTGGCAGTCCAATGGGGTGGCTCGACCTACCCGTGGAATAGCTCTCGCATCATCGGCCTCTTTGTCGGTGCGGGTCTGCTTCTCATCCTCTTTGGCATCTCACAGTGGCGCCTAGGCGAAGACGCGACGATCCCGCCCCGCCTTCTGCGACGGCGCACTTTGATGGCAGCCTGTGCCTTCGTTTTCTTCTTCGGAGCAGGTATCTTTATTTTGATGTATTACTTGCCTTTATATCTTCAGAGCGTCAAGGGCTCGTCGCCCACAAAATCCGGCATCCAGATCTTGCCACTCATGCTGTCTACGGTCCTGACTTCAATCATAGGAGGCATATTAGTCACCCTCATTGGATATTACACGCCCCTACTGATCTTCGCGAGTGCACTTATGACGATTGGGTATGGCCTGATCAGCACCTGGACTGTGGACTCGCCCTTCCGCGAATGGTTTGGCTACCAGATCTGCGCTGGTCTTGGAGCAGGTTTCGGCTTCAACCTACCCCTGGTGGCGGTGCAGACTACCTTGCCCATGGCAGATATTCCTCAAGGGACAGTGCTGCTCATGTTCTGTCAGTCACTGGGTGGCGCACTCTTCATCGCTGTCGGCCAGTCGGTCTTCTCCAATGGTCTAGTCACCGGCGTGGCCAAGTACGCTCCAGACCTGGACCCTCAGCTGCTCCTTAACACTGGCGCGACTGCTATCCGCAACACTTTGGGAAGAATGGGGCTCGAGGACCGTATTCACCAGGCTATCGAGGCGTATGTCTATGCTTTGAAGGACTGCTATCGTGTGACCATTGCCGTGTCAGGTGTAGCGTTCCTTGCGACGTGTTTCTTCGAGTGGAAGAGCGTCAAGAAGGCTCAACAGCAGGGTGTTGAGGCTATGCCTGCCATGGGATAGCCTCATGTCATGTATATGTATTCACTTCAATGTAGAGTTTCTCCCATTCTCATCTCTCTTTGCACTACAGACTCCTTTTTTCTGTTGGCATCTCTAGTAATATCGAGGAGTAAGACCGCTTTTGTGATCACATTCTTTACATTTGCCTAGTTCGAGGCAGAGGGTTGGTGTAGCGCAGCAAAGAAAAATGGCAGTTTGAAATGTTCTGAGCTCCAGGCGGCGTAGGGCCCCTGCCAAAAAGAACGGTATCGGATTTACCTTGTTCCGTACTTCGTTACTGCCGGCACCTTTAACGAGTACACATCCTGATCTTGACCATCACACCTCACAGGTACATCACGATCCCAAATTCATCCTAGATGATGACTACACCTCTAAATGTAGCAACCTAAGATGTCTAAACCTTCATTTCAGCAACAAGAGTCTTTTGGTTCAGATTCTGCTAGTTCGTCATCTCGTCGCGGGTCTGCAGCGAGTGAACATGGCGCCAGCATTCACGAGAATACCCACGATGCTGTTCGGGGGTTTGTCGACCAGTACAATTTGACATCTTGGACTGAGATCTTCCGCAAGGCGTCCATTGTTCTGCAAGGAGATTTGTCGCTAGATAGAGTTGACGGCCTCACCTATACCGAGATAGAGGCCCTACAGGATGAGGCCGAGCGGAAATGGCAACAACCAAAGATGCTATACTTCACCATTCTCATCTGCTCGATTGCCGCCATCGAGCAAGGATGGGCACAAACAGGAATGAACGGGGCCAATCTGACCTTTCCCAAAGCCTTTGGCATTGACTCAGACAGTAAACATGACAACTTTGTGGTCGGGTTTATAAACAGTGGCATTTATCTGGGAGCCGGTCTGATGTAGGACCCATTCCATGAAATTCCTCGATCAAGATCATATCTCACGTTGTTAGGGGCGCATGGCTATCCGATCCCATCAACAACCAGCTCGGACGAAGAGGGGCTATCTTCGTTGGTGGCATGTTCTGCCTATTGTCGAATCTCGGCTCCACTATCAGTGCGAATTGGCCGCAGCTTCTTCTGTTCCGCTTGACACTCGGAATAGGCTTGGGTATCAACGCGAGTACAACATCGGTCTTTGCAGCTGAATGCGCCCCAGAGAGAATTCGTGGTGGCCTCGCAGTTTCATGGCAACTATGGACAGCATTTGGAATATTCGTGGGGTTTGTGACCAATGTGGCAGTTTACAATGTAAGTGTTGGTCAGCGTACGTTCTTCCCAACACTAAAGAATCACTGGCAGTTGGATGTTGAGACGTGGAGATGGCAGCTTGCTGGACCATTTATTCCTACAATTCCTCTCCTCATGATGGTGTACCTTTGCCCAGAATCACCTTCGTTTATGATCAAGCATGGCAGCCGTTACGACCATGCATTTCGCTCGCTATGCAAGCTTCGAAACACCCCATTACAGGCTGCAAAAGAAGTGTACTCTGCGTACATCCAGCAACGAGCCAGGTCAAAACTACCAACCGTGGAGACATCTCTACCAGCGAAGGCACTAGAACTATTCACGACCCCTCGAATCCGGCGAGCCACTACTGCATCATACGTTGTCATGCTCGCACAACAGCTTTGTGGCATAAATATAATCGCCTTTTATTCTTCTACTGTATGTATCTTACTTTGAATATCCACCTGCGTCGACAACGTTACTCTGTAAATCGCTTACGCTTTCTCCATCCACTCTGCAGATCTTCTCTGATGCCGGTTTCTCAACCTTTGGAGCGCTACTAGCATCTTGCATCTTTGGCTTTGTCAATTGTCTAGGAGCTTTTCCCGCAATATGGACGATGGACACCTGGGGTCGACGGTATTTGTTGCTGCTGACCCTGCCACTGATGGCTATTACGATGTTCGCCGCTGGTCTGAGCTTTCGTATACCTGCGGATAATCCGGCTCACCTTGGATTTCTTGCCGCCTTGATTTATCTGTTCTGCGCTCTCTACTCACCTGGAATGGGGTAAGTGACCAATCTTGCAAAGAATGTGAGACAAACTAAAGTAGTCGACCATACAGGCCTGTCCCCAGCACATATTCTGCCGAGGTTTTCCCTCTTTCCCATCGCGTAGTGGGAATGTCCTTTGCAGTGGCCACTGCGAACTTCTGGGCCACCATTGTCTCTCTGACATTCCCGCGCCTTCTGACTGCGCTTAAAGCCGATGGAGCGTTCGCCCTATACGCAGTGTTGAACATTCTAGCAGTGACTCTGGTTTTTCTCTTCGTCCCTGAGACTCGACTCAAGACTCTCGATGAATTAGATGATGTTTTTTCGGTTTCGACACGGAGATTCGTCAAGTATCAAGTCACGGAATGCATACCATTCGTGGTCAGCCGATATCTGTTGCGAGACAGGGAAGCCGATCTTAAACCCCTTACGCTTACAAGAGAATACCACGAGCTTGACCAGGAGGACGAGGAAGCCTCAGAGGAAATCTAGAGCGACGGCGAATCTTTCATAGCATATCAATCACAAAGGGGGTTCTCTCTGCAGCGACAACCACATAATTCCGGTCGTCAATAATTCATAACTGTATTCTCTCTTGCAATTAAGCGTGCCCTTGAGCGAGGCAGCCGATTTAGGTACTGCATGTTGTCGATCTCATCCTCATCTTGGTGACAGGCCGAACCTCGCACGTCATCGACCGCCATACAACGATTTTAACTGGGCATAGTACGGAGTGCTCCGTACTTGCAGTGGGTAAGGCTAACTAGTTCCGAAGGCTTCTGGCGCCCGAACAAAAGATAAGCTGGCCGCCTTGTCGCCTATAGATACCAAGTACTACTAATTAGTTAATACTATAGCCTGTACCCTCGATTTCCTTGTACGTACGAGCCTCGGCCACCTCCGCCTGTCTCGCACCCGTCCGCAAGCATATAATTTTATTATATCTAAAGGCAACGGCCCCGACCGTGGGCCTTGTAGCTTTTGCTTTTGCCGAATTTTTCTTTTTGATAATCATGTCTTCTCCTATCACCTGCCACGTTCTCAACACGGTGTCAGGCACCCCAGCCTCCGGCCTGAGAGCCACGCTTACCCTGCTTTCCATCAACTCAGCCTCCAGCAAAGCTGTTGAGAGCTTTACTGCAACTACGAATGAAGATGGCCGCGTAAAGGAGTGGCAGGCACCATCGGGCAACACATTGCTTGAGACAATGGAGCAGTTTGCAGCTGGAGAACGAAGTCCTTGGAGCATCAAGTTCGACATTGGTCCGTGGTATGAAGAAAGGGGAGTGGAGAGCTTTTGGCCCGAGATCGAAGTCAAATTCTACGTCAAAAAAGGAGAGCGACATTATCATGTGCCTGTATTGGTTGGGCCTTGGACATATACCACTTACAGAGGGTCGTGAAGCTCAAGGCAATGTGAACAGGACAAAATGTGCAAAATCTGAATTTATCAGGGCAAAAAGGCGCCGTAGGCGCTTCATTCCGCCGTGGGGATCGCTACCACCCATACGCCACGCTCGAAACACCTTCCACTGACCATACCGCGAAAAAAGTACGATGACCCAAACAAGACCAGCCTCGCCAGCAATGCCCTTAGGACCCAGAAGGACGCCAATCATTTGCCACTCGCCATCCCGTGTACCGCAACAATTTGTGCCTTTTCAAGCCTCCCACACTAGCAAGCTCAACACTGGCAACGGGCCAGTGACTTTCAAGGAATGAGACCATATTCGGAGATGCATGAGACAAGACCATATGCACGTTGAGCTAGGACCCGGATGTTTGACGCCTATGCGAAGTTGCTTGAGACATATTACAGAGTGCTCTGTTCTGACCCGAACGATCAAAGCAAGCAACCATTGTTGTCCGCTCCAGGTAGCAACTGTCACCGGTGCCTTCTGCTCCAGGAATATGCTGAATCTCTATCTCTATCTCTCTCCCTGTCCCTGTCCCTGTCCATCTGGCCTCCATCCCTGTCCCTTTCCCTGTAGGCGGGGCTGTTTCGTCTGCTGATTTTCACAATCACAGGCTCGTTGATATCAGGCTCGGCGGCATCGGCAACTGCTTTGCCGTTCATTCTGATAGTCTGCTGCCTCTCATATTCATGGGACTGTCGTCGAAGATCTTCGATTTGTTCCTACCTGACCTCAGTGTCTGCGCTTCAGATAAGCACTCATTCTCAGCTTACCTTGGTCAAGGGTGTTCCATTGATTAGGTATCCTTCCCGGCCCTGGTTCCGAATGAGCTTGACTAGATTTGAGGCAGGGTGTACTGTGCTTCATACATGGAGAGAGTATGGCCTTACGGTCGCAGACGGACCTAAGAAGTATTGTAGCTGTCGTAGAACAATATGCCGCGAGAGCTGGTATCCAGGAAGCCAGTATTCGCCATCTGGGCCTGCGGTTTGAGGCATTTTCGTTGGATGATGAGGCTGCCTTGCAGTCTGAAACGTATATATATTACAGAACGTGATGGTTGTATGAAAGGAATTGCCGGGCTCCCTATGCTTAACGTTGGAAGACTGCCATGTTATGATGAAGAAGTTGGGACTCTTCTCAAGAGAAGCCTTGAGGCATAATATAAGGCTTTGAAGACCACCGAATCCCACCAAACTGACTTAGTCCACCCAATGTCTCTTTTTGAGCAGTCCGGTCGGCCGGTCGGCGTGAGGCATGTCCCGCCAACAATAAGCCGTGGTGGAAGTTCAAAGTCTTGAAGCAAGCCCATGCAAATGGTTGCCTTGATATGAGTGTAGTGGTCTCGTTTATCCTTGACAACCTCAGGATCGACCAATCAAAGTCCCGGACGCACCCGGGCGACTTTACAAAGTGAGGCGGAGAACGGAGAGGGTTGCAAACGAATCATCCTTCTTCTTCATGCCTCAACAGTCACTCCCAAAACACCACCCCCGTAACACCTGACTGTGTGCCTCTCATCTCCTGAATCTTGAGGCACAGCTCCACTGAGACTGAGACTGCGCCCGCTTCTCTCCCGAAGTAGCCCACCTTAGGCGGCACTTGTGGGCTCTACACGTGGCGGCGATGAACCACTGCTGCTTGCCCAGTGGTAGGTCAGAGTACGAACATTCCACTTACACCATTTTAAAGGCCACAATCATGATCAGCATGTTGTTTAGGTGTCATGGAAAGCCCGTCGGCAGCTTTTGGCGCTGAGCCACGAGCCCACGGTCGTGCATTGGTGTCTAGAGACTGTTAAACGCGGGGCAAATCTAACTAATGCTTCTACGACATTCCGTCTACTGCGAGCAAGACCACCTGCAAAAGCCATGGTCTCGAACAGTCCATGGAGACATGCAATTTTCCTGCACGGACTATGCAGTGTGCCCTCACCGCCATCGAGCGAGCAATCTCAGACGCAAGCATCGCGTCCCATTTCTTTCGGCTGCGTACTATTTCGCAAATACCGCTTTCACACGTGGTTAGATGGTATCGCGCTCTTTTGAATTGGGAAGCATGCTGCTGACGCTTCTGCCTTATGGTGGACCACGGATTTCTAACTAGTTATACTCTGTTTTTCATCATATCGACCTGCAGATACCTGGGTTGACAGTCCCCACCTGGTAATGAAGCATGGCACTTTGCAATTTGGCTCATTTGGCGGTGCCAACACTTGGTGGCAATGAAATCCACGCATCAGCCTAGCGCTTTCACTCTTGTGTGGCTGGAAATTGTTGAGCTCCAGACCGGTCAATCATAGCGCCAGGCTCGCTTGTCGTAGGAACACAAAAGCACCCAGACGAGTACATGACTGGATACACTCCTGGGTAATCCGGGATTGGCTGGCTGGTTGCATCAGTTATGGCTGTTGCCTTTCTTCCTTTTGATTGATTTCCTGATTAATCTACAAAGCACAGCACCCCTTGAGACACACGAACAGACAATTTCGGATTGAGCAACATATTAAGTTCGGAGCTATTGTCTGCAAAAATTCCCTTCATCTGGCGAGACGACGTCGCTGGTATGTTTTAGAATACCAATCTGAGCCGGGATCGTCTTTGCTGCGACCCTAAAGAACCCCTGGAGAGGCTTGGGTAAGATCGAGTGGCGCTGTCGAACATGAAGATCATGCCAAGAGGCCCTGAAAGTTGGGTATCTTCGATGGTGCGACAAATGAAAAATGACAAGGCTCTGGATCATCCCGTACACAATGCCGATCGACAAGAGCCAGATGACCGATGACCTTGCTTCCGATCGGCGCTCGGTTTCTTTGGTGCACTTCATTGACATTGAATCCAAACTTGGTAATTCTCCGAGCTCCAACTAGATTCGCTATCGGAAAGAGATGTCTATCACTTTTGAAAAATAGTAGGTGCGACGCTCCTTATCCACGTAAAGGGGGAACATGCACATCATTTCACTTGCAGTTCTGACTATCGAGATGGGTCGTGTCACCAACGCAGCTGTCCACAACATATTCAGGGACATTCGAAGTGCTCAGCACTGTATCCAACCGTTTGCAGCACTCAGCTCCGATCTCTTCCCATCGGGGAATTGTGACCACTATCTGAGGAAAGTATCCGGGTTTCTGCAGGGTTAGCCAGGTATATCACATTAGCCATTGTACTGGGTCCGTTATTCATGACATGCTAATGCTGTGCTCAAATGAACATAGCCTCCCAAAATACACCAAATCACATGACCTTGGCACTCGTCTTAGACTTCTGAAGAGACAAATCTGGATCCCTCCCACACCAGTGCAGCCTCACTCTCAATTGATCGGCGGGCGGTAAGCCTGGTGATTTGGACCGTCGCGATTGGTCGGCAGCAAACTCTCATCATTTGTCGTGAACAGGGGAATCTCGCCCCCTTTCTCCTTGTGTTTGGCTCCTCGCTCTTCCAGCCTCGCCTATTCATCCTCCGACGATAGCCAGCATATCAGACACAGGATGAACAAACTCAAATGATCGGCTCTTGGATGGATGCCAGTAACTTAGACATCATTTCGTTGTCTCAATTTAGTTGATCTGAGAGCGGTCATTTCCCAGAGAGTCTTGCTCTCTAAAATGAGCGGCCTAGAGTGCTGGAATGCACCATGTCTGTGCGTATTACTCTTCTCTCCCTCTCTCGGCCATTTGCGTTCTGTGTATACTTCCGTCAATCTGATAACAACCAGCTGTATTGATGTGATGAAAGCCATCCCCTTTGGTTTCAGGACGTATGTATCAAGGAGCTTATTGACGAAGAAATGTGTCGTCTTGTCTAAACTGCCTGGACAGCTGAGGTTAATTGTCAATGCGAGATGCGTACCTGCGACAAGGAATGCCCAACTCGACCACCAAAACTCTACTAGCAAGTGAACGAGGCCGACGAAAATTGGCCCTGCTTTCACCTTGGTAATGGCATGGATGGTGTGGCCCACCATCTTACCGTCATGCCCAGTCGCCCAGACCTGCCGCTCAGTGCCATGCAGAGATCAATGCTGTCTTCCCTCGCGTGGAGCCTACCCCGGATCAAGCCATCCGAAAACGACTGATGGGTTTTAGATATGACCATTACCGACATGGCGGGTGGAGCTACCACTCACAGGCTTTGTGTTTCGCGCCTACAAACCCCCCTTAACCAATCGACCGCTGAAGACCGGCAAGGCAATTTGTTGGTCAGCGTGCCTCACTTCGACGTCTCACGGACATTTGAGTTGAACTCTGTTGCTGACTTTGGGACGATCAGGCCTTAGCCTCGGAACATAGCTTCAGTACACTACTCAGCTTCAGATTTCTTAGGATCCTCTCGCTCTCCCCACCGCATCTTCGGATATTGATGCCTCCACATCAGCTTCCGCGGCCTCTCTACAAAACACAAATCTAACTCGCAACGGATCCCCTACTACCGCCTCATTCCAAAGGAAAGGGGAAAAGAGGCGGAGAAATGCAGTCCATTCTCGGTCAAACCAAATATTACGTCCCCTTACAGTCTTACACAGCCTTCATTGCCGTTGCTCTTGCCATCTCTGATCTGCAAAAAGCGCAGCAAAAATTCCAACCAGAGCTTCAGATCTGAGTATGCTCTGCAGGTTACCCACTGGGTTGAGCTCTTGTCTCTCAACTGACCCGTCGAGCTAGGTCGAACAAACCGACCATGATATCTCAGCTGTCGAAGTGGTAAAGGAAGTTCCCCTCCAAGGCAGACCCAGTATTCTATGTTCCATCCTCTGGTCGAGGACTACCTAGCCTCTGGACATGCCCAAATTGATGGCTAATCACCCTCACGCTGGACCAGAATTCTTCGCTTTGCTCCGTATTCATTCTGGTGCTCGTCGTATCACTCTTTGCTTGTTCTACTGCTACTTCAACTTCACGGATCAGTCAAACGATGACCGCGGACCTTCCTTTGCACAAATTCTCCTCTTCGACCAGTTTAACGCATCACCTTTGTCGCGTACGAGAATGCTTTTGACGGACTTCACCTCACTAGAATCGAAGCAGCGGAGGGAGTTGCTGATGCAGACCCCTCATCTTGCTGGCCGCGCATATTTCCCACCCCTCTCGCCCTGACCTACATGTGTTTGGTGAGTTTTGAGCCCAGACAGACTGGGCATGGTGCGCTGCACTATCGTAGTACTACTTAGGAAAGCCCCCTTTATTGTCTCAGCCTTGACGTCCTACCCCGGTGGAGGGAGGAATGTGCTTGTTAATCTCAAACAATACTTGTTTCTACCCACCGCATACGATATCTACTGTTTGAAAATCTATGTTAGGACCGAACTTTTTTCTTCAGATTGGACTATGGTAGTATGTCACACTCGCGCCTGTACGTTTGACAGTATCTGAGATCCAAAGGCCTGTCAGTGAGACAATATTCGCTCAATAATCCCCCCTTCAATTCCAAGCCAGCCATGCATGCTTATAAGTTCACCTTGCAATAAACAAGATAGCGAATGTAGTGCAGCGCCATCGCTTCTCCTTGGCTTTCGCCTCACCATTCCCCACCCTTTAATTCGACGGTGTGAAGACAGTGAATGCCAACTGCCAAAAGCCCGTCCTGGCGCCAACGCTTTGAAGTCAAATCACCTAAAAGAATGGAATTGTACAGTCCCCAGAAGGTTTCAACGCAAGAATCCCGATTCCTCTACCCCGTACACTTCCGGGCACATACACCTTGAATTCAACATGATCATGCCCAAATCGTTGTACCCGCTTAAACCCGTTCCTTCCGTAGTCAATCACCCATGACTCATTGGCTAGTTTACATGTCATGCACGAGGCTCTCTTGAAACCAAGTGCGTTTCTTCCGGTCATTTCTTCCTGTATTGTCATCAGATATTTACAAAGAAATCCTGGTTTGAGGTATCGAGACCCATGTCCAAGGAGTCATAATCGAGGAAGGTATCGAAGTCATTCCTGTCGGATTCAAGCTTCGAGGGTAGCTGCGAGGTGTGTGATGCCGAAGGGAGACCACTAGCTGATAGATCAGAAAAATCAAAGACTACCACATCGGCAGCAGGTGAAGAACTTGAATGCGACAAGCTTGGTAAGCTGTGTCCGGAATCCGGGAGAGACAATCCATTCACCATTCTGATGAGCGGCAAACCCTGATCCATGACAGGCAGCTCTGGAAGCATTTGCGCGGAAGTGCAGGTTTGGAAGTCTGCAATGTCTCCCAGTTCTGCAGGTGTAAGCTCCCGGTAAGTCGGGCTAGGTTTGTTTCCTGTTGAGTAGCCAGGACTTGCTGGTGGAGTAAAAGAGAAGTTGTCAGGGGGAAAGCTCATCATAGGATCAAGTGTTCCAACATGTGGTGCTACTGTAAACAAAGGCATGCTTTCGTACGGTGAGGTCCCTCTGATGCTTAAACTCTCAAAATTCTCAGTTGGTGGTGAACCCCAGCTGGACATCGAGCAGCTAGAAGCCGATGAGGTATAACTGTCCTGTAGTTCAGCAAACTTCTGTCGCGTCCGGCCTGCCTTCTCGAGGCGATCATCCATATCTGGTCTATGCTTTCTTGGTCTTCCCCTTTTGATCACTTTCTTAACAACGCCATCGAAAGCTCCGATGCACATCCCCCGCTGCCGATGCCTTGTTAAAGCATCATGACGCGCGAAAGAGTTCCCACATAGGCATGGATATGGCTTTGTGCCAGTGTGAATCTTGGCGTGGCGTTTGAGATCATGACCTCGGACGAAACACTTCTTACAATGATCGCAACGGAACTGTCGGTCGCCAAGGTGAGTTTGTACATGCGACTTGATGTTCTCTTTCCGACCGAATTTCTTGTCACAGTCGTCGAACTTGCAAACCCACTTGTTATCCACAGGGTCTGGGCCTTCAATGTATTGAGCAATATCATCTAGGGTGACATTTGTCTCCTCGATGGATGCTTCAATACCGGGTTCGAGGTTGAGGTCTGATATCGACATACGGCGTGGTGATAGAGCAAGCCTTGTAGGCGAACTACTCCCAGATTTAACTTGATCAGAGGTCAGAACTGGAGCAGCGGTGTTGTTCAAACTTAGTACGGGAATCGGGCTGTTGTTGCTTGAGAAGTCAAAATCATCATTAAAGACGTTCTGCTCAGTCTTCACCTTGGTCGGCTCTTGATGTTGCTGCGCTGGAGGAGTTTGTTGTCGTCCACGAGGCTCAGGAATAGGCATCTCAGCCATCTCAAAGGAGGGACCTGTAGGGGTGGCTAAGAAGTCTTGTCGGTATTCGTCATGTTCGATGATACCTTGCAAAGATCTCCCTCTCGCCATCGGGACTGGGTAAGGTGACTGTAATGCAGGAGAAGTCTGTTGAGATCTGGAATACTGGATATGTGAATTATGATTGCTGAAGGGTGGGGTAAGAGGGAATTGTGCTGATTAGAGGTCAGTCGAAAGATACGCGGTTGTAAAATGATACTGTGGTGCCTATCTTACCAGTCTGAATTTGATTCGAAGGCGTATGGGGTCGCAGCTGTGTCTGGACCCGCAGATCTGGTTGCGACATTCTTCTGTTATCAAAAGAAATGCCAGTTCTTGGGTGTACGTGTACACCACGGTTGTCTTGGAAATATTGTGGGTTATTCTCATCCATGACTCCCATGGGTTGAAGATTTGACACTGGCATGTTCATATCTGAAAAGTACTGTTGTGCCTGAGAGAAATCTATTGCCTGGGAATTCTGATGCATGATTTCATTCATCGTCATGTTCTCATATGGTGTCCCTGGAAGGGAGTTTGGCATGTTTGTGAAAATACCGCATGCTGGCGAGATTGGCATTTCTATGTTCATGTCCATATTCATTTGATGATGATGATGATGATGTTGTTGTTGTTGTTGTTGTTGGTGGTGGTGGTGGTTGTGGTGGTGATGCTGCTGGCCCGGTCGTGGTATTCTTTGCTGCTGCGCTTCTCGCAAAATTTGTTGTCCGTGAATTTGTCCTATGTCAGTTATACTTACTGTGCTGCCGTGATGGTGCTTCCTTATGGGGCTTCGTTGTTGATCAAACGATTGCCCACGTCGGTGGTAATTCTGGCGTTGTTGCGGCAGGTTTGTATTCACCCTCATGGCTTCGAAGGATGCAACTGGTGTCGAGTTTTGTCTCCGGTGCATCCTCTGTCGTTGCTGAAGAGACGGGGGTGGATTGGACATCATCTTAGGCGAGATGAGTTCGAAATGGTTCTTGTCGAAGGATATGTAGTTGTCGTGTGGTTGATAATTGGCCTTCCTTGTTCGAGACTGTAAATGGCACATGATTAGCTCTCACGGCCACCAGCCTTTTGAACATTTGAACAGCACTAACCTCACGCAGCGCTATGGGCTGCGGACCGGGCAGCGGTCGTTCTTATTGCAGCTTCACCAGTCGCAGCAGACTGTGCTGTCGACTATATTGATATGAGAAGGGGCCCTCTCAGGGCAGTAAAGTAGTTGTTCAGGACTGGCTCCTAAGAGGCTTCTCGGTTGACTTGGATGTAGTTTCTTATGTCTTTGGACTAAATCTGAGTAGTGTTGGGTAGTGGGTGGGTGGTTTTGAGGAATGGAGGATTGGAATGGGGTGTGGGAGGTGTGTAGAAGCTATCAAGTAATTGAATGGACGTCACCGAGCGTACACGACTGGTTTGAGGCACAGGATCCCTGCCGCGTCAACATTGGCCGTTGTCCGAGGCAACCGCGCAACTACGGAAACTGTCAGGGTGCTAGCGCCACAACCTCCGGATTAGGTGTTTTCCACTTTTCTGATTAGATAAGATAGAATCTTCTAGTGCCAAGACTTCCCGGCCACACCAACAATTCTCTTCCTCTAAGTTTCCACCCGCCGCACTTTCCTGCTTCTCTTTTCTTTCAAGCCGCTTCTGCATAGAAGATTGAGGAAGACACATTTTGTCGAGGTGAGTCTCTTCTGCAAATCCCACACTTTACACCATCCCAGTCCCCTCACACTTCCCTTCGACGCTCAGAAGCTCTTGCGCAGCACCTCAAGAGCAAGCAACTGACCCTGTCGCTTTCTTCTAGATCTTCATCATGCAGATCTTCGTCAAGACCCTCACGGGTAAGACTATCACCCTTGAGGTGGAGTCGTCCGATACCATTGACAATGTCAAGTCCAAGATTCAAGGTATGTCGGATTCCGTGCAATGGGAAATGTAAAGAAAAGATCTAACGATCACTTTAGACAAGGAAGGCATCCCACCCGACCAGCAGCGGTTGATTTTCGCCGGCAAGCAACTCGAGGATGGCCGTACCCTTTCCGACTACAACATCCAGAAGGAGTCGACTCTCCACCTGGTTCTCCGTCTGCGTGGAGGAGCAAAGAAGCGCAAGAAGAAGGTGTACACCACTCCCAAGAAGATCAAGCACAAGCGCAAGAAGACCAAGTTGGCTGTTCTCAAGTACTACAAGGTCGACGGTGATGGCAAGATTGAGCGCCTGCGACGTGAATGCCCTACCAAGGAGTGCGGTGCTGGTGTGTTCATGGCTGCGATGCACAACCGTCAATACTGTGGTCGTTGCCACTTGACCTACGTTTTCGATGATTCCAAGTAAATTTGCAGCAGCCATGACGAGCTACGTACATAGCTGGCGTTGAAAGGTCATTCGAGATGTGGAATATCTACCAAATCGATGTCTTGACCGCCACTGAAACTCATCAGGCTGTGCCAAGGCTGACTCCATGTTTTCAACTGAACTTAGATAGTTCCAATGTCAGCAAGTCGTAATCAGTGTCCATGCCAGTCTTGATGCTCTATCTGTAACGTTAATGATCTTGAATATCCTTAACTTCGTGTTCTCGCTTCCAGGTGCTCGGTACCTCTTTCGCCACTTGTGGGGTCATCTACAACTATAGTAGCTGGCCGAAGGAGCCTTATCGACAAGGCGCCGAGGATCACCCATTTGTTTACAAAGACCGACGCTCCCACCAGGGCCCCCACGTTTCCTACCGCATCTTATGTTACTGTAAACGTTGATCAATGACATTCCTTCCTCCACACGGATTCACCTTCCAAATTAGCCCGCATGATGGAAGTCGACACAGACCTACAGTCTAACCTGATCAGCTCTCACCACCGCAAGATCGAACTGCAATCACCGCTTGACCTCGCATACCTCCAATCCAACCTCGTCAAAACAGCGCGACAGAAACTCGACCTCCATTTCCCTCCATCAGCATATAGCGATAGTCAAAACGCGTCCGCACAACCCGCTACCATCATCTCTCTCGATGGTGTCAAAGCCCCGGAGCCAGTCACCGTGGAAGTCGCCGCGTCTGCCATTACACAAGATGATGAAGTCGAGCAAGATCCATTACGCGAGCGGGTGCGTGAACTAGTAGACGCTTTCATGGCCCGGATGTGGGAGGCGGCGGCGAAGAATATTTCTGTAAATGGAATGGACGTGACGCTGCCACCACCCGCCAGTAGACCGTCTGGCGCGAAGACAACCGAATCCAAGGAGCAGCAGCACGGAATAGAGGGTGTAGATTTTATCTACGAGGCATACGACAGTCAACTACAGTCGAAGGTTGCAGGTCTTTACGGAGAGCTTGAGGCGTTGACCGCGCAGGTCAGCCGGCTTCGAAGGACTGCGCCAAAAGAGGGCTCAGACGCGTTCCAGAGATCGTTGGCCTCGGATATGGAGAAGGACGATGCTGAGTTCGAAGCTCAGATGGCTATGGTCCGTGAGAGGGCAGGAGCAGTAGTGCAACAGAACTTATTGAGCCTGAAACCACCAAGGGATACCTGGCACGACAACGTGAAGGCGATGTATGAGCGTGGCACACATGGATTAGCTGCTCTTGCTGGACTGGGAACAGCCAATCCTAGTGACAGTGCGGCCGGGACACTCGTGCACCCTGGCGCCAGTCTCACGGAAACCGTGGGCAAAGTCCAACGTGCGAGAACCGTAGCTATAGAATTCGAATGAGTGACGCTATGGAGGACTTGAAGACCTCATACTCGGACAATCAACTCTCTCACGTGCTACCGCCAGCACACGAAAGGGCGCAGAGAAGGGACGAAGCCAGCATGCGGCTTACCTCTGGACTCAAGCCTGTCCAACTGGCCCTTTGACTCTCCCACGAGAGCCATTCCATATTGGTCTATCGCTCGCGGGATTTCGAGGCCTCCTCAGATTTCACGCCTGGTATCCGAATTCTGCTCTGGGCAATGGGTCGCTAGAAAGTCCACGCCCTATAGGCAGGCCACGACAAACGGCTACCGAAAATGCGAAATCCGCAGTGCATGGCGGTGTTAAGAGAGTTTGCACGCAAGGAAACGGACGCAAGCAGCTGATTAACGTATCCCTACGAATGGAGGGCAACATTTTCAGGAAGGTTCAAAAAGGACGCAGAATGATGCGTTGCGTTGTTGCGCTTTTGGAAACGCAGTGGGAGACGGGCGAGCACAGAAAAGACCCACGGAGAATTGGCGAGCTGGGCCATGCACTTCCATGTGAAAACACTTGCTCCCAGGAGAGCAGGGCGACGGAAATATCTAAATTGTCACTAGACAGTAGAGAGACGCCAGTCAGCGAAGGATCCGGAAAACCACGTCTTTGTTACCATGCATTTGATGCATTCTCACAAGCTCATTCATTGCTTGGGTGTTTCACGAGGCTTTCATTTTTCTAAATTCTAACAAGTAACTGGTGACTCTTGGGCGCATGGACATGTACGCACATGTGTGTCCGCCGTGATGTTTCGGGTTCAGCCAAGTTTGGATTTGTTTTGCCTCGAAACAAACGCATAACTTGTTGTCTTGCTCTTGCTTTTAGCGATACAACCATCCAGAGGGCCAATATGGAGCACCAAAATGTATCCATCTAGCTCGACATATTCCCCAACACATTCAAACACATGATGGAGGAGAAAAAGCACCCTCGATCAGTTGTTTTTCTCTCAAAGAAACGCCTAAGTAGATGTTAGGGCGAATCTAATCCTAATATTTCTGGGCTCAACAGTAACCCTCCACGAAGCCTTAACCATGTTATTAATATGAGTGCTCACTGATTCTCGAGAGGAATTTTGGGCCCGTCGGTCGGCGCGTTCTCAACCTTGGCTGGAGCATTCGCCGGAGCAGCATCCTGCTTCTGCTCAAGCGGATCCTGTGCCCCATCGGTCGGCGCAGGTTGGACCACATCTCCTGCTTTCTGCTCGGAGGCAGATCCTTCTCTTTGCCATTTCGGTGGTTTAGCCCATTGAGGGTCATGCCAGGGGCCATCGTCGCTGTATTCACAGCCACCCTCACACTCACACTTGCCACCGAATTGGACCGGGAGGTTCTCTGCTGGAATTTGACTGAGAAGTTCGGTCTGGTACCCCGACCCGAGGACATGAATCTTGGCGACGGTGACAGGATCGAGGAAACCCTTGACGAAGCTGAAAGCACTACTGAAGCCCCAGGGCGCATTGATGATGTACAACTTACCCAATCGCTCTGGGTAATAATCTTGTGAGATGGCACTAACTGACTTGAGGTAACCATAGACGGAAGATATCTTTCCCACGCCCACGCCTTTCATATCCATAATGGTACAAGAAGTCTCGAGCAACTTTCCTGCCTTACGGGAACAGGCGGGCAGTCGTGGATCAGCCATCTTTTCATACTCAACCACCAAGTTCTGAACCATTCGGTCCGAGGTGGTGATTTTGTACATGGCGTTCAGGTCAATTTTTCCATACTGCTCAATGTAGACAGGGCGGCCATCCTGAAGGGGCAGTGATCAATATTTTTCAGGTACAAATGCAGGTCGAAGGCAGTCACATACCTTGTCTGTTTTGTGATAGTACTGTGGGTAGTACTGGAACACCTGAGGTTTTTCTTTGTACTCAAAGTTGCGAATGAGGTCTTCGACGCCGAATTCTTTGCGCCATTTCTCGTTGTTGAGGAACCTGTGGAGACCAGATTAGCGGCGGAAATCGGTGAAGGAATCTGCTAAATGTACATTTGTTTACTCAGCTCAACGTTGAACTTTCTTGCTCTTAAAAATCGCAAAAGAGTCAGGGTATCCAGCCCAGAGGTACAGCCTGCCTGTTCGAGCATGGCACGCAACTGGAAGACTTGTGCATCCTGTTCTGGGGTTGTATGGCCAGGGTGACCGGGCTGGTTGCCGGGAGAGACAGTAGGAAACTCGTAGTGGTCATATTTTGGATCAAGCTCGATCTGAGATTTCTCTCGGGTCGACTCTTTCGAGTGCCTCGACATAGTTGGCGAGTTGTTGGGTTGGATGATGGAGAAGGGGGTGGTGGGCGGTGACCAGGACGCAACGCAGCGAGGAGGGAAGGGTGGAGTGAAGGAGCAAAAGGAAATAGCAAACAATAGTGATGAGGAGGCTAAGAACGGGTATGGGTGTGAAACAGAGAGGACGCAGCCAATGCAGAGGATAGATGGTCAGTTTGTGAGGTACGAAATAGTTTGGATGGTAAGTACGGGAGACTGGTAGACGACCCACGAATAGCAGAGTCTAGGACTAACACTAGTAGTCTTAGTAGAAACAATCCCTTATGTACTTTGCTTGGGCTGCTTTGCACAGGCGTGGTTTGTTGCTCTAACTAGGTCACTAGAGATCACTAGAGATCACTAGAGATCACTAGAGAATGCTGTGATCGCATAAATCCCAGGCAGGTCCAAGCCCCGCCACTACTCCCAGGCCGATGGTTGCCAGGCAAAAGGTCCATTGGTCAAGCATGACGCAACCCTTTCTAAGGTCTTATGGTGCTAAGACATTTAGAGCCTTGGCATTCCTGTTTGAACCTGTGATCACGTGAAAGCACGTGGTTTCTCAGTGAGTCACCCACAGGCTAAGCTAGACTGCAAACCACCAACACCGTTTTGCTGCCACAGACAGCCTTACTATCGTTTTGTGCCCATGTCGACCACAAGAAGGCTACAGGAAGACCAATTACTACTGACAATAATCCTCCCGGTTTCAATCAAACATGCAAAGGGACCTTAATCAATCCTTACAAACGGATCGGTTCGCCCAAACGTAACACTGAATTGTGCTCGACATGGGACCCAAAAATCAAAAATCTTCTGGCGCAAAGGGACGGGCGGCAGAAGAATCCAAGGAAGATCCTCTTTCTGCAGTTGTCATCGCCGACAGCTTTGAGACTAGATTCCGCCCCTTTACTCTGGAGCAGCCTCGCTGTTTGCTCCCACTAGCTAACACACCCCTGATCGAGTACACCCTGGAATACCTGGCCAGCACTGGTGTTGAGATTGTCTACATTTATGGCGGGCCTCACATCGACCAGCTGGAAAGATATATTAATGCATCGCGATGGAGAGCATCGTCATCCCCATTTACAGATCTAATCTTTCTCAGGTGCGTTGCCACTTGTGTTGGCGATGTCATGCGTGATCTCGATCAAAAACACTTGATGTCAGGAGATTTTCTTGTTGTCGGAGGTGATATCGTTTCCAACTTCCCCCTTGAGAAGGCTCTGGCACAGCACAAAAGCCGCAGGGAAAAAGACAAGAACGCCATCATGACTATGGTGCTCCGGGAGTCGGAACCTGGTGTCCATGAATACAGCGACGGTGTGGTCTCGACCTTTGTACTAGACCCCACCAAAAACAGATGCCTGCACTACGAAGAGTCAGCACCTAGTACACAATTTACCGCCCAGATTGACCCGGAAATCCTCAAAATACCAGAGCTCGAAGTGAGACAAGATCTTGTTGACTGTCGCATCGATATCTGCACCCCAGAGGTGCTCAGCTTGTGGTCTGACAATTTTGACAATCAGTCTCCCCGCAAGGATTTTCTATTTGGTGTCTTGAAGGACTGGGAGCTTAACGGGAAAACCATCCACACATTCGTAGTCAAAGACCATTACGCCTCCCGCGTTGCAGATTTCTGGACTTACAACACCATCTCTCAAGACTTCCGGCAAGATATTGTTAGTTCAATCGCAACCGAGAATAATGTCTTTGGAGATACCCATTACAACCGGCTACCGGCTGGATCGATCAAGGACCACACAGTCATTGTACACCGGCCGGCAACAATTGACAGCGAGTCTATTATTGGTCAAAGCACCAGCCTTGGACGAGGGTGCTCTCTCAAAAGCAGTGTTGTGGGCCAACGCTGCCATGTGGGAAAGGACACACAATTGGATTCGACTTACATTTGGGACGATGTCACGATCGGGAACAATGTCAGGATCTCTAGGTCAATCGTGGCCAATGAGGTTTTCGTTGGGGATGACTGCATTATCGAGGCTGGCGCACTGATATCATTTGGCGTAAGAATCGCGCCTGGCACTACCGTTCCCGCAGGCTCGCGGGTTTGCAAGGGGCAGAGAGGACCAGACGGGGAAGGACGAAATGATATCCTTGTGGGTAGCGAAGCTGGCGAAGACCATGCGTATCTGGAGAATGAAGACGACTATTTCGGGCCAGCCGAATCCCGGCTGGTGTTCAACAAACTCGATTACGCCGAGTCGATATCCAGCCTTGGATCCGAGATAACAGCAGACGAGGTATCTTCCTTTGAGGGTTCGAGAAGTCAAAGCTTCGCTACATCCATGTCAGACGACGATCAAGGCGATCGCTTCCAACATGACACAGTCGCAATTCTTGTCCAACGAATGAAAGAAGGACAAAAAGCAGATGATATGCTCAGTGAACTCATGGGACTTCGCTTCAGTGGCGGAGCTGATGAGACTCAGGTTCGCCATGCAGTGGCGGTTGCTATAATGAAGTACATTCACGGATGCATTGAAGAAAACTTATCCCCCGCAGAAGCCACAAGAAAGACTCTTCAGGCGTACAACACTCTAATTCGTCGAACAGGGGCAGACCAGGCTACTCATGAACAGGTGCTGTTCCTGCTAGATGCTCAAAAGGATCTTACACGGCGTAAAGAGGGTGGGAAGACCCTGCTCTTTGTCGTCAAAGACCTCTATGACCTTGAGGTTTTTGGGGAAGAAGCCTTTGTTGATTGGTGGGCAGATGAAAGGTCTAGCAGTGACGCAGAGATGAGTGCAGTCCGGCAACAAAGTTCTCAATTCATTGAATGGCTTAAGAACGCAGAGAGCGAAAGTGAGAGCGGGGAAGACGACGATGAAGATGACGAATGAAGGACTCATGGACCTACGCTTGTGTTCTTAGCTCAGTGCAACACAAACCTCAACGGCGGTAATTACTGTAGGACTTTGCCAACAGCCTCGTGCATTCTGCCCTACATTGTACTAGTGCCGGTATGTACACCACACCACGCACCAAGGCTGAACGGAAGTTAGAATCACGTGGCGTTAGATGGCATAGCGTCGGGGTCCCTTATCAATCCTTGATTCGCCGCCCTAAGCAGTGGCCATTTGGAATCCGCAATGAGCAATAAGTTATCACTTAAAAGGTCCAGTTAATGCCGTAGTCGGCACTGGTCCCTGAAGGCAGCTGCCACCCGGACCGAGTGCCGCCTGTAACCTCTAAATAGCGCCTACTCTTTGCCAACTTCCCCGTCGGAGCATCCTCACCTGCACGTTGTCACACTTACTAAACCACTCATCTCGTGGTTCTTCATCTTCGTGCACCTTTGTACGTTGGCTTCAGAGTCCTGGTCGGCATTTTCTTTGCAACATCCATCTCATTCATTCATTGATCAATCCATCATTCACTCTATCGCTGGGTCACGACGAACCCTTTCGCAGTCGATCTAGAGCCACTCCGTCATTCCCCACTAGCAGTCTGTCGTCTCGTCTGGAGACACAGCTGCTCGTCTCAAAGCCCACCACGCCACCTCAAGTGAAGAAAAGGAAGGCCGAGGAGTGCGTCCCAGACGCGGTAAATTCCTGTTCCTCGAAATCTCGGAAAACCTCGTTGTCTCAGGTGCAGGCTCCAACCACTCCCATCACTGAACACGGTTCGCCGTCCCTGCAGGCCATGGATTCTGAAGATGAGTTCATGTCAGATCCTCCTAGTGGAGATGAACTAGACTTCGACGAAGGTACACAAGACAGTGAAATAGGGAGTCTAGGAGGAGGTGGGTTCCGGTCCGATTGCACTTAAGCAGACCCAAGAATGACAGTTTATAGACTTTGATGAAGATCAAGATGGGAGTTTCGGTTACGAGAAAGATATCCTCACAAACCCACAGAAACCATACGAAGTCGAGTTCAAAGTCCTGAGCCCCCAAGATATACAACTGCAACAAAACCGTCAATTTGAAGAGGTGTCATCGATCATTGAATTACCAGCGGAACAGGCTGCTATCTTGCTCCGGTTCATGCGTTGGAATAAGGAGAAGCTCATCGAATCTTACATGGACAACCAGGAAAAAGTGCTCGAGTCCGCAGGCCTCGGGTCGACCTTCGCCGCAACACCCAGGACGCAAACAGTTAAAGGCTTTACTTGCGAAATTTGTTATGAAGACGGCCCATTGTTACAGACATATGCCATGAAATGTGGTCACCGCTATTGTGTAGACTGCTACACTCATTATCTCACTCAAAAAGTCAAGGAGGAGGGTGAGGCTGCACGAATAGAATGTCCGTTCGATGGTTGTCATCGCATAATCGACTCCAAATCACTCAAACTCTTGGTGGACCAGAGCGTGCAAGACCGATATGAAGTCCTTCTCAATCGTACATACGTGGATGACAAGGAGAACTTGAAGTGGTGTCCAGCACCGGAATGCGAGTATGCTATAGATTGTGCGGTTAAGAAGCGAGATCTCAGCCGCATTGTGCCCACAGTGAGGTGCACGAATGACCATGGGTTTTGCTTTGGATGCACACTGTCAGATCATCGACCAGCACCATGTTCACTGGTCAAGAAGTGGATGAAGAAGTGCGAGGATGACAGCGAGACATCGAACTGGATATCAGCAAATACCAAGGAATGTCCCAAGTGCAACTCGACGATCGAGAAGAATGGAGGGTGCAATCACATGACGTGCCGCAAGTGTAAGCACGAATTTTGCTGGATGTGCATGGGACCATGGTCGGAACATGGAACGAGCTGGTACAATTGCAATCGGTTCGAAGAGAAGTCCGGTTCTGACGCTAGAGACGCACAAGCCCGATCACGACACTCGTTGGAACGTTATCTACACTACTACAACCGCTATGCCAACCACGAGCAATCGGCCAAACTGGATAAGGAGCTCTGGCTGAAGACGGAGAAGAAGATGACGAGCCTTCAATCACAATCAAATATGTCTTGGATTGAAGTTCAGTTCCTTGATACAGCTTCGAAAGCCTTGCAGGCCTGCCGACAAACCCTCAAATGGACATATGCCTTTGCATTTTACCTCGCACGGAACAACATGACGGAAATATTCGAGGATAACCAGAAGGATCTAGAGATGGCCGTGGAGAACCTCAGTCAGATGTTTGAAAAGCCGGTGAACGAGCTGGAAGGGTTCAAGGTAGAAATTCTTGACAAGACAACCTACTGTAACCGGAGAAGGGAGATTCTGTTGAGTGATACAGCAGAGAACCTCAAGAAAGGTATGTTCCTACCTCTTGTCCATTGAATATTGGGTCGACGCTAACTCTCATGATCTGCAGACCAGTGGAAATTCATCGTAGAGTTATGATAGCCCCAGAACGACAAGGGCCGGTATGGACAGTGAGACACGACATTCCTTGCATGATATATGATGTTCCGAGCGAGGCGTTTGCATTCGATGGGCATAGCTGGCTAGCAAGGTTCCATGCATTGTTAGCAGAGACGAGGCAGGGCAGGTTCTTTCTCCCGGACAGCAAGACAGATCATGAAGGGGCTTGGTCAAGATGCAGAGGCGTATTGTATGAGTGAGCAGAATGGCAGGGCAAAGTTCGATCTACAGGTTTCTGCAGTTACCAGAAATAGCCACTGGTGGTCCATGGAAATTCATGTGGTCAAAACCGTTTTCAGTCGTCTCTGTACACCGCCCAGGTATTTCACCAGGAATGTCCGTCCCGGCGTAATCCGCAGGTTCATATCTGAGTGGGAAGAAAAATGCAACGACAGTGTGAAGGCCGCAATGGCCGAGTTGAGAGAAGTAGAGGGATAATTAATTCGCGCGCGCCACGTATTCTTTAGTCTCGTGGATACGGTCAACGCACGTGGTAATACTATACGCCATCTTCGCTGATACTGGCGGCCGAGCCGAGGACGAGGCCGAGGCGCCAAAGGCGAGAAGGAAGAGATCCAAAAGAAGTTGCCAACGAGGTCCAAAGTCCAGACTAAGTACCCCGTTCTCTCTGCAGTACTCCGGACAAGTACATCCTCATAGCCACTCGGAGGTAGAACGGGTAAAGTGAGGAGGATAGACTTAACTCAGTCCGGTTTGGGTATCGAACAGCGAGGGAGCGAGCGGAAGAGATGCGACGGAGGGTGCGAGACTGCGAAGATCGGAGGTGCTAACACGTAACGAGAGTTAGGCCCGCGGACTAAAACACTGCCTGGTAAGATGCGAGCCGGGGTTTTATGGGCTGTAAGAGGCTAAAGGCTCCCTGGGTGCCAGGCTTGCCGCGGAGGTACGAGGCGTGAGGTGGGAGGCTGGAGCGTCATTGATGCGCCGCAACAGAAAAAGATGAGTGCTCGTGAGTCGTAACTAGCACGCCTGGGTAACTTGCCTGGCAATGGTGGCTACTGGCCAGTCGCCCACCGTGGCCACCTACCTAGGGCCTCGGGCCTGTTCCCACCCCCATCTATCCCTCATCATAATTAGCTAGCTAAGGTTATCCCAGGCCCAAAAGTTTAACAAATTCATTTCTGCTCAGTTGTTTCTCTTGAGGTGCACCCTAACATTTTCCTTGCTAATGCACCTCTACCACTCATCCTCCGCCCATTAGACATTCCCGGACAGATCTCTTTCGATTTCATACCCACATCTACACCCAACCGTGCTCTTGGGGGGCCACCCTATTTGTGTCTCGTTCGTGGCATACCCAGAGGACAATCGATCGCCTGCAAACGTGGCGACGTCAGCAAAGTTCCCGGCGGCCCTGACCGCGGAGAACATGACAGTATCGAGCAGTCCTAGTGCCGTCGTCGAAGAAGAGTTTGAGTGAGTATCTCTTCTCAGTTCGCATGGCAGAATGCTGATGGTGTTGGTTTCAGCTATGAAGCTCTCCCGCCAAACTATGGGCTCGGACACAACATGTTGGCCGGCGCATTCGCAGGCATTGCCGTACGGACAAGCAAGTTCTGCCAAACGGAATAAACACTGACACGATACTAGGAGCACACGGTGATGTATCCTGTGGATTTGATGAAGGTAGCTCAGACTTCGATTTTCCGCTGGTGCTCCAAAAAATCATGCTAACCGATATCGAATGGATAGACCCGAATGCAAATCATCAATCCTTCAGCCGGCGGCCTCTACAATGGCCTTTCACACGCAGTATCCACGATCTACCGGTTGGAAGGACTACGGACTCTATGGCGAGGCATGACGAGCGTGATCGTGGGCGCAGGTACGACCAGCCCCGGAGAAGGCGTGCAAAATGAAAGAATATCTTTGACATGGTCCAGGTCCCGCGCATGCTGTCTATTTTGGCACATATGAAATCGTGAAGGAATTCGCTGGTGGCAACAAAGCAGATGGCAAACACCACCCGCTAGCCGCTGGTATGGCCAAAACGATCTTATGACGCGAGCACCGCATATGATGCTGACCACTGCATAGCGACGAGCGGAGCATGTGCAACAATCGCCAGCGATGCTCTAATGAACCCCTTCGACGGTATGCACCGCATCCCACCGTCACCGGCCTAAATTACAAGACTGACATTCCAGTAGTGATCAAACAGCGGATGCAGGTGCATGGCTCAACTTATCGATCACTGACCCATTGCGCACGATCAGTGTTCCGAGCGGAGGGTCTAGTAGCATTCTACGTTTCATATCCGACAACATTATGTATGACGGTGCCATTCACAGCTACTCAATTCATGGCCTACGAGTCATTGTCCAAGGTTATGAACCCTCGGAAAGATTACGACCCTATTACACATTGCGTGGCTGGCGGCTTGGCCGGAGCATTTGCTGCTGGAATCACCACCCCCCTCGACGTGATCAAGACATTACTTCAGACAAGAGGGATGAGTCAACAAGACGAGATTCGGAATGTGCGAGGCTTGTTCCACGCAGCAAGCATCATCAAAAAGGAGTTTGGATGGAGTGGCTTTATGAGGGGTTGGCGGCCCAGGATAATCACCACTATGCCAAGCACCGCCATTTGCTGGTAAGGCCCTTCCCTATGTTGCCCCCGTGGAATGTCCGTGTTGGCGAGCTCACCGAAACTATAGGTCTTCGTATGAAATGGCAAAGGCATATTTCAAGCGGACGTTACGTGAGGAGCATAATGCGCAAACGAGCAAATTGTGACCCACCGTCTCTCATCGTAACAGCAGCATCCGACGATTTTCTTTCGATTGACGGCAAGGAGTGTTTTTGGGCCGCGCTCGATTCTGTCTATTGCACACAGCAGTTCGACCGTGGAAAATGATACCCACTACTGGTATGATATGTTGGGCTCCCAAGTCAACAACATCATTATTGCGACAGCGGCTTCCTTTGGCATGGCATGCTCTGGTGCCTGACGACTACTGAGGTGCGGTCCACCTTGACTTTTTTTTCCTAAGGGGAGCGAAATGCGAACTGCATGTAAAGGGCGTTTTGAGTCCCAGGCGGGCAGGGTGGGGATTCGCTATGCTATAGCCGACGCTCGATGTGTCGGCGTCGGCGGTCTTGGGTGAAGGACTTCTCTGCAATCTGGATAATACTGTACTTCTACCGAAAAAAGAAGGGGACGGTTTGAGGGCTTGTCAGCTCCCTCGCCATTTTCATAGACCAGGTGATCCAGCAATGAGAATGAAAATTATGCCACAATCTTTTGACGAAGGTACTACTCCGTGTGTTTGGCTGCGATTTTCTTTTTTGGCTGTTATGGTTGTGTTGAACCACTCCAACCACTCACTCCACATACAATCAACGCGAACTTAGAACTTGGAAAAACTCGTGTCGATATCGTAGTGCAAGATGCTGTGGCGTGGTGGCCGTGGTTGGGGTTGGGGTTGGTTACACCAGCGTCTTTGCCTGAGCCCTGAGCTCTTTGCCTGGCGGTGCAGCCTGAGGCAGTGACGTGACGTAAGTTGGTGGAGTCAAGACTCCAGATTGCCAGTGTGTGCGGGTTGAGCCCGACTTGTTGTGTCGTGCCACAGCCTCTGCAAGTTCAATCCAATCCACCTCAGAATGAGGCTCAGACTTTGTTCCCGACCCACTGGCACCAGACAAACAAGAACAGCCTTTTGACTGCCTGTCTTCATGGGATGAGCATGTCCTTCAGATTCATCCATCGCAATCATGATGCGGAGCAAGCCTTCTTCCTCCATGCAAAAGATCTACGATGAATCTTATCTGCATTGCTCTACCGCAGTCTTCTTCGAGGGTCAGGTGCGCACTTCTGATCGGACCCAGACACCGTGGTGTTATATGCTGACTTCCTTTTAAATCTACAGGGAAACGAAGCAGAGGCTGTTCGATCATGGAGGTCTGCCCTAGATGGCATTACCTACTTCAAAGCCTACAAACTCCCTTTCAACTATCAACCCAAGTCCGAAACCGAGAAGGCTCTTTACGATTCCCTCCGACAATTGGAAGATCAATGCAAAGAAAGGGTGGATCTGTTAGAAGCCCTCAGGATCAGCCGCCAGGATGCTGCCAGAGACACTCCAGAAGAAAAGAAGTCCGAATCAGGACGAAGGCGGTTAGGAAAAGCGAGAGCCGTTCCTGATCAAACGCCCACACCCACACCGGACAAGTCTTCGTCGTCATCGTGGCTGGGGGACGAGACCGTCCGGCCGATGCAGATGTCAGAACTGCCTACTCCTACTCCCGCACTCCCTCCTCGTCCCTCGATTCTCACGAGTAGATCAAGCGAAAGAACGCTGAAGAAGGAGGCGTCATCTCAAGATTCTCGCAGTCAGTTGTCGTCTAGCAGGGTGCCAAGTTTACCAGTCCCCGCAACCAAGGTTTCAAGAAGCCCGAGCCCTGATCATGCAAGGAAGACAATGCGAACGACGCTGCGCCCGGAGAAGAAGGGGTTTAGGAAATATCGATCGGCCCCGAACAAGGACAGGCTCCCCGATACCATGAGGGCTGCTGGGCTGGCATGGGAAGCACAGCCCCGTCTCAGCGCTACAGTCAACAATCGACCAGAATCTGATCCTTCAATAGAGGCCCGACTCAGCGCTACCGCTGCTAGGCGCAGCATTGACCAAGATGCAGCATCGAGGTTCGAGGATCGTCGAAGGTCTAACCCTACACCAGTATCGCCTAGCTTTGATCAAACTTCCCATACCTATTCCCGAGATTACTCATATGCAACATCTTCGAGATCCTCCATGCAAAAATCCTTGGAGAGTCTCCAGTTGGGAGACACTCAGCCGACCACGTCGGTTCCGAATCTAATAGACTTAGACCCTGAACCTGATCACCTTCCTCCTCCTGTACCAGCCCACGCAATGCTCCCAGGCCCGGGCCTGACCGGGCCGAGGCCGAGGTCTCCTGCTTCCATTCCAAAAGCACCTGATATCGTCTATCGCAAGGAATATCCTGCTCGGCAACAGAGAGTTCCACCGGCTATCGCAAACAATGTGCTTGACAAGGCGTACATGCGAAATGACAGGCTATCTCCGTCCATTAGCCGAAAGCCGGTCGCCAACACAGGTGTGACACTCGAATTACGAGGCCGATCTCCTGGTCATCGGGAGCAACTATCGGAGAGTGAGGAGGAGGGTCCGAAGACTGCAACCAGCAAGCCAAGACGGCCGCGAACGACACGGGCTGAGAGCGCGAAGACGATAACTCCTCCGTCAACGGACGCCGAATCTCTGGAGGACGAAGGCTCGATGTCTTCATCGGAAAAGAAGATGGAACATGTGCTCAAGAATCTCCCCAAGGGACTGGACGAGAATTCGGCGAAACAAATTCTGAACGAGATTGTGGTCAAGGGGGATGAAGTTCATTGGGATGATGTTGCGGGACTCGAGGCGGCGAAAAAGGCACTGAAAGAAGCAGTTGTGTATCCCTTCTTGCGACCAGACTTGTTTATGGGACTACGCGAGCCTGCAAGGGGCATGTTATTGTTTGGGCCACCCGGAACCGGGAAGACGATGCTTGCACGGGCAGTGGCGACGGAGAGCAAGAGTACCTTTTTCGCCATCAGCGCGAGCAGTCTCACCAGCAAATGGCACGGTGAATCGGAGAAGCTGGTCCGGGCATTGTTCGCAATGGCCAAGGCGTTGGCGCCGAGCATCATCTTTGTTGACGAAATCGACTCTTTGCTCAGTTCGAGAAGCGGGTCGAGCGAGCACGAAGCATCAAGGCGCAGTAAGACGGAGTTCCTGATCCAGTGGTCGGATTTGCAGAGAGCAGCTGCAGGGAAGGATACAACCGTGGGAGATGCCAGCCGGGTTCTGGTGCTCGCGGCGACGAATTGCCCTTGGGATATTGATGAGGCGGCACGACGGCGATTCGTCCGAAGGCAATACATTCCTCTACCAGAAAAGGAGACGAGAGAAACGCAGATAAGGACACTGCTCGGTCATCAGAAGCACGAGCTGAGTGGCGAAGACATTGAACGGCTTGTGGAGCTGACGGAAGGTTCGTGATGATGAGGATGCTTGATATCAGCGTTGTACGGTACTGACTATGAGACAGGATATTCGGGATCAGACATTACTGCCCTGGCGAAAGACGCAGCGATGGGGCCACTGAGGCACCTGGGTGAGGCCTTGCTCTTTACGCCGATGGACCAGATCCGATCAATCTACATGGTGGACTTTGAGGCGAGTTTGGAAAGCATACGACCGAGCGTGAGTAAGAAGGGCCTGGAGGAATTCGAGGAGTGGGCCCGAGATTTTGGTGAAAGGGGAGGGTAGCTGGGTACCTGACAGGAATCAGGGCATTTATGGAAGGCAGTTCAGAAAGCAGGATAGGCGATTGTGTGAACTACCCGTAGGAGAGATCTTACTTTCCGGCATGCTAGAAGCTAGGAAACCGGCACGTAGGAAAGAGACGATGGGCATTGGTATGAACCTCACGATGGATGGCTGGATGATACCGCATAGACCGGTGGGGGATGTTTTGTTCACATGACGAGCTTCAGGGCATCTACCAGACTACCATATGTAATGAGCAGGCCATGCTTCAGGAATGGGCCATTAATGATATGTACGCTATACATAGATGTGTGTAGCACGGACTACTCCGTCCGGCCTCGAGAAAGCTGCTGGGCATCTTTCAGCCACTTGCGCCACACTCCACCCGCTTCAGCCACTCCCAGTGACCCACGCCTCCAGGAGTCTCGAGTGGCCCCCGGTCCATACCAAAGCCTACCAAGATGTCGTCTCCTAAAAACGCTGTCAACCTTCAACTCTTCCAAGGGGGAACCCCACGTACTTCCAGCAGACAATTTCCCATCCCTATATGTCTTGTAGTGTGACTGGCTCTCAATGCTCTGACCTCTCAAGCCAGGCACCCAGAGGTCATTTGAAGTCATGAAACACGGTGCCACGCTGTGGTATGTATGCCCTCCTGCCCACCCCCGAGTCGACATCTACAATACTCGTAATAGCTGGATACAGTCACGGGGTCTCACGACGCACCACGTGTGCACGCCAAGACTGTGGAGGGTTCTGTCGTATCTTCTAATATTTGTTGCAAACACCACATTGCGCCTGTTCCCAGGCTCTAACATCTGGCCTGACCGCCTGCCCTGGCTTCCTTGGTTCCCTCCTCTACCTGTCTAGATGCCTGTGAGTCTGTGACTCCAGCATTCTGACTAGCAACTTTGATTGACGTTGACGTGATTGCACGGGGGCCGGTATCACTGTTACTGTGCGGCGTGCCCTGCTGCTCGTATATCTATCACTCATATGACTGACACCGACATTGACACTGCCACCCGCTGATAAGAAACAAGATAGGCTGGCCAACTGTGACTGATTGATTGACTGGCATCTGGTCTCTCCAACGCGTTTCCTGGGTAAAGATGATTGGAACAATGCAAATCACGCGGATTGGTCTCGAGGAACGCTATGCCATCCGTGATTCACTCGAGTGCACCTTCTACACCTCACCATTCCTCCTTGTATAACATCATGCTTCCTACTTGGGCAGGATGATCAGATGCAGATCCCTCGACTCGACTCGACTCGATTTGATGATGGTGGTGGTAAACGAGCGAGGGAGGTGAGTATTTGGTACCTGAGGTATGTACTTACTGTATGGGTGGCGTTGCTTGTTATCAATTCTGCCGGTCGTTGCTGCATACCTCATTCTTCTGATTCCACTTCCACTTCCACCTCCACCTCCACTTCCACCTCCTCGTACATTCCTTTACGGTAAGACCATACCATTCATCCTCATTCTCTACTATCTCATTCACACCACCATTCCTTTCCTGTCCATACCTAGGTATTCATCCCACCCATCGGTTGACCCGATCCCTGATTCCCAACTATCTTTTAAGTCCCGGAAATATCCTACTTACCTACCAACCTAAGTAAGTCAAAGCCAAGTCAGTCCACACAATCAAGGACTCGACGTTGCCCTTCCTCCCAACGTCCCCCCATGCACATTCCTCCTGTTTGCGGCTTCCTCAATGGTTGCGTTCAGTCCACTTGGTCTTTATTGACTCCTCCGTTTCTCTGGAAGCGGCTTCGATCGCTTCCACAACGTCACTTGCGTCCGAGCTTTGTCTTCTTGTCGCCCTGTCAACAAAGAGGCAGTGCCACTTCTCAAGCCTCGAACCATTACGCATGGACCGCTCTCGCATCCACTCGCAATTTCTTTGTCCTTTCTATATACCGAATCCAAGTCCTGCCAATTGCGTATCCCTCAGTCGACCTCAGAGGCTATTCCCGTGAATGCCTTGCCTTTCCTTTTGTTCTTCTCCTCTCGGCCACACAACCCGGTCCCTCGTTCTCTCATTCCCTCTCATCACATACAGACCGCCGGCCGGTGAAAGCTCTCTCGCTTACCTTTTTGGCCCCGTCAGGGATATAGGTCTCTACAATCGTCACTCGCTTTGATTCTCACTTTTACACTCACTATTACAACCATGAAGGCCCTCTGTCTAGGTCTGCTTGCCGTGAGCGCTCAAGTCGGCTTGGCGGTCCCTCATGGTAGGTTTAACGCCTTCATCCGTCGCTCCGACACGAACTCACCGTTTCAAGATCACCACCAACATCGACATCCTGTGCGTGCTGTAACCACCAACACTGTCGTCGATGTAGTAACGGTTACCGCGTCCAATGCTGTTGTATGGGTGGATCAGAACGGCGTGATCCTCTCTACTGAGTACCATGACAAGCCTCCTGCAACCTCCGCCGCTACAGTTCCACCTACAGTCACACACACCGCTCCTGTCCAAAGTGGTGCCCCCAGCAGCGCTCCTCCAAGTGCTTCCTCACAACCTGCTTCCTCATCCCAAGCCGCCAATCGCCAATCCAGCACCGCCCAAGGTAATGCTCGCCCAAGCGACCAACAGACGTCCCCATCTTACACTCCGCCATTCTCTACGAACTATCCTTCATCTAATGCTCCTACTTCATCTGCTGCCCCAGCATCCAATTCTCCTGCCGGCAGTGCCGCACCCTCCAGTGGTGGCCAGAACAAAGTTCCTGCCGACATGAGTGGGCTGGGGATCTGCTATGAATTGATCGATAATGCCGTCCAATGCAGATCAAAAGACACCATGAACTCAGACTTTGCCCTCTTGAAGAGCCAGGGTTTTACCAAAGTCCGTGTTTACGACATTGGCTGTCCGCTCGGTGATGTTGCAGCCGCCGCTGGTGCTCAGGGTCTGGCTCTGATCGCTGGTATTAATACTGTCAGTAGCGTTGCAAGTGATATTGCAAAACTCATCAGCATGCTGCAAGGCAACTGGGGTGTCGTCGATACAATCGTTGTTGGAAACGAGGTCGTTAATACTAATTCCGGCGCGGTTGGGTCAGTCGTTGCCGCCATCGCAACTGCACGCGCTTTACTCTCCGCTGCCGGTTTCAGCGGGCACGTCGTCACGGTTGACACCTTCATAGCACACTCAAATCATCCTGAGCTTTGCGCCAACTCAGACTACTGCGCTGTCAATGCCCATGCTTTCTTCGATGTGAACACTTTGGCCGAACAGGCTGGCGATTTCGTTCTGAATACAGCTATTGGAATGGTTCAAAAAGTCGCCAATGGCAAGACTATAGTTGTCACCGAATCTGGTTGGCCACATCAGGGTTCTCCCAACGGAAAGGCAGTGCCCTCTGTACCAAATCAACAAGCGGCAATTGGATCACTCAAATCCAAGGTCGCTGGAAGTGGCATTGGCCTTTTTCTCTTCCAGGCCTACGACGCAACCTATAAACAGCCTGGAGCTCTGGGTGTCGAGCAATTCTTTGGTATCTACGGCCACTGAGCACTGAATAGAATACCTTGTTTTAAGGTTTGACTCTACATCTTATCTTCTTGATGAACTTAGTAGTCCTGGACATTGGCTATCACAGACCAGCAGGGGCAGATGGCACGATGAGTTATGGTTAGCACGTCCTCTGAGAAATCAAGCAATGAACCTGGCGTTAGGAGCTCTCGGAAGTTGGGTATCTGGCATGCGGGAAAGCTTTCTGTACAATAAACATCGGTCAATGTCCAACACTCGCCCCCATGGGGTGATATTAGGCAAGGCTGGATAGCATCATAGCGCTGGCGTTGTTTCTTGTCTCCCTATCTATCAACTGAATGAATTTCAATTGGGAGACGAATGAAAGATGAAAAATGAATAAAGCAAACTGCGAAGTCCCCAGAAAATAGCGGCAACAGAAAAGACACCAACGCCTCGTCGTGCAAGGCTGATTGATGGATGCTCCATTCGATTCGCACTTCTCCAGTCGAGGCCTTTCGACATCTACAAAACGAGGGCGTTAGCTCCTACAAGTCGATGGGAGCACATTGCATTAGGTAGCGAAGTAGACTGCCTATCAGGTCAGCATGCAGCATGCAGCATGCAGCATGTGTGGTGGCGGAATTGAGGCACGCCTGATAGAGAGCACTCATTTCGGTGGTTTAATCTGAGCTGGGTCCTTCTTCGTTCATCCATCCATCCATCCATCCATTCCATCCCTACATACATAAATCCTGTCTGTGCGTCGACTATGTCGACGCCTCAGAGTCGTCCGTCATGATAGCTTGCTTTTTTGGTCGATTCGATGGATCGGTAAGAAGCCATTTTATTCCATGCTCTTCCTCCTTGTATTTCTTTGCTCCGGTGTCGCTTACTTTTGTGGGCCTGCGTTTTGAGGAATCACCGTTATGCGAAGGCTATACATGCGGATTCCCTTCATACATGCTTTCATCCATAGCTGTGCGGTGAGGTACGTGGATAGCCCAGTTGCTGTGCTCACTGGCACAAATGTGCGTCAATCTCACTCACTATCTGGGTCCTCCTCGTCGGTCAGGAACGGGCTCCGCTCGAGCGCAATCTGCGGGCCCGGCACCCCGCGAGAGGGCTCCTGACCCGGCGGGGTGAGGACGACTCGAGGTTGAGGCTGCGGTTGCGGTTGCGGGACAGTTGGTTCTGGTGCCCGCTCTACCGCTGAGGCTCCGGTATGTCGGCGTGACATTGGTGGTCGAGGTGGAGGAGGTGGAATGCTTGGCTGCTGTGGTTCTGTAAGTGGCTGCGTGAGGAGAGCGTCGTGGAAATGTTGCGGTTCTTCTCCCTGCATGGAGCTTGTCTCCGTAAGTGAATCCCGTTTTGGATTACTGTCAATGCTTCCTCCGGCCTCGCGCTTCGGTCCGTTATCTTCTGCTGCTTCTGCCTCGACAGCGAGATCGACTTGCTCCATTGTTTCAGTGATGGCCTCAACCACCGATGCCTGTGCCTTCTCTAATGCCTGACTTACACTGGATTTGGCTTGGCCGGAATCGTCTGTTCCTGGTTCTGGTGGGGAAAGATTCTTTTCCAGTGGTGAAAAGGGTGATTGGGTAGGTACTTGTTCTCCTGCGGACGAGGTTGTGACGATTGATGGTAGGTTGGGGTTGAATCTCCCTGGAACTCTTGGGCCACTGGGGCCACTGCCGCTTTCATTGTCCTCCTTTCCCCTCTTGCCACGCCACCGACGAGCTTTAGGCATCGGTGGAGGCTTTTTATAGTGTGGTATATGGTGATGATGGCCAGAGTTTGGTGGTGGCTCTGTACGTGGTATAGGAGATGATGTATGTTTATCCTGCTCTCGTTCTTTAACCTTTTCTAGGTTTTGATGCGGTTTTGTCATCTTCTCAGGCACCACCGATAGTGCCGGTGGCTTTTGATCGGTCAGGTCAATCTTGGTGTTCAGATCCGCAACTCCGACTGTCGCAACCTCTGCATCGCTGGGCTGTCTTTGAGCTTTCATCCTCGTCCAATCAGAACGTCTGGCTTGTGGCGGTGGTGGCCTCTCCTTTTTATTGTGCATGATTGCTGCCCGAAGATTGTGCTTCAAACCTGGGTTTCGACTGGGTGTGATAACTCCTGGCTTCTCTGTTTGTGCCGCGACTTCCATCATGCTCAGACTGGAGTGCCTGGCACCCTCCAATTGGGGTGTAAGATACTGTCCAATCGTTAACGTGGAAGCCTTTGAGGAGTTGCGCTTCTTTAGTTTCCGAGGGGCTGGGAGCTCCGGTGGGATTGACCTGACGGGAGATATTGGAGACGTTGGATTCGAATTCGTCTCTGCAGTGGGAGATTCAACTTGATCAGGGCGATCAGTTCTAGGATCAATCAGCCAGCTAACGCCTTCACATCGCTTTACCAAACGTTTTGTCGTCTCGTCGACTGCTTCAAAATGACCCCAATGGTGCAAACCATTTTGACTATCTGAAGCATCCGCCAGGTGACCCCCACCTAGAACAAGGAGGAGTTTCCGGATCTCATCCCGTTTGTAATGCGGAGGAAATTGAAGCTGGGTGTGTTCTAGCAAGGGATAGAGGACGCGAAGGTACGTATGTCGAAGAGAAGAGGCTTCCTCCGGTAAATCCAAAAGATTTCGGACAAGGATATCAACCAACACGTGAAGGTCGTTGGTGTAGAAGTACTCATATGTCGGTGGTGTAGTAAAAAGTAGGTACAGTAATTTTAAGGTCAAGAGTTGTAGCGATGTTTCGTCTATACCTCGTCAGTCTTGTAGGTCGGTTTTGTGGGGACAGGGCACGTCGTCACCTTCTCGATTTAAGAGGAGAATTATATTCTCGCCGAAAGTCTTGTATGCACTACCATGCAAAGAGAGTACTTTGATAACTTTATTGGTAAGTGGTAAGCCTGGCTTGTTGTTGGATGGTTCATGTGCAGCAACCATAAATTGTTCGTTAAGAACCAACTGAAAGATGAAGTCAGGCTAAACTTCCCATGACACAGGAGAAAAACGCTTACTAAGACGCGGATCGTCGGATAGTGGTAAGGATCTTCAACATCGTCGGAAACTTGTTCTATGATTTCGAAGAGCATTTTCACGAAGTCATCACCAATGTGTGCTAGATTCAAAGTTAAGATCAGCCGTATGATGCTTTAGGAATGGAGATAGCACCCAACATACCGAGGTCGGAGGACTTGATTGTCTGAATCCGTGACATCTCGTACAGAAGCTCCATAAGAAGCCGGTGGATTCCTTCATGGCCATGCTGCTGGGGACTCTGGATTAAGTCGACTAGTCTGGGAAAGGCGCCTTGATCGTTCAACAACTCATATGTACGTTCATGAGTCTGCGCATCAGCGAGCAAAAATGTTGTTGAGACCAGGACGACATCTGGCTCGTCATCCTATATGATGCTTCAGAACCGAGAACCGAGAACCGAACGGGAGCAGTCCGACTCACCTCAATCAAGCACTGAACAAATTGACGTCGAATGTAGTCGGAATGCGTCGAGAACAGAGGCGAGTCCTGGAGCTTGAATGCGCATCGACCAAGATCATGGTCCGAAGGAAGGAAGCGCTCTGGTAGGTGGTATATTAGTTTGATGCATTCCCTTCTCCTCATTAGAATCAATCGTAGTCATACCACGGCAAGAGCTGATTATAGCTAGGTAGGATCGCAAGGTGTCGTCGATAAAGGTGTGGTTCTCGCATTCACGGGAGATGATTTCATCCAGGGCTAGATCAGAGCCACAGACATGATTAGTCGGTTGATAGACAGCGTGGATTCGAGTGGAGTGAGATTGTACATACCGTGCCAGAAGTGATCTTCGTGGTCGAAGTCATAGTTAACCTCGTGCTCCATGCTACGAACAGCTTCATGTCGTCTCTGGGAACAACATGGACCGGTAGTAGGATCCGGGCTACAAAGGCGACGCTCTCGATGCGCAGCGAGGCCCGATATTGAGGGAGCGGCGCATTGACAATGGCTCGGTCAGTAAGTCCGGATCTCGTACTGTGGTAAGATGAGTCTCGATCGTTAAACTCGTCAAAGTGGGAGTAGAACAGGGTGGAGAGACCATGCAGTAGAAATGACGCCGATGTCCCAGCGCAGCGCGCTGGAAAAAGAGTGGGAGACCAAAGACGGATATTTGTTTTACCAACTCCGAACATCACCCACCTACTAGAAAATACCCGCCTTCTATTCCATTAGGCTTAGTCCTGACGCTAGGATACCACGTGCATGTCAGCCCCAGCACGAGGCTGGCACTGGCGCAAGTACCTAGGCAAGGTAGCTAGGCACCCACTAGGTATACACGTGGTATCAATACCACGCAAAAGATTGACGAGGCTTGACTCAACCTCGAGCTTAGTCGTATTATCCAATGTACTCCGTCGTACGCGGTAGGTTGGCAGTCCGATGCTACGTACCGCAACCATATATATTTCAATGCTTTGGTTTCCATCACAGTCCCTTTTATACAATGAGGCTATACCTCCCGTAGTCGCTGCGAGGCTGACTGATTGCTTCAGCGAAAACTATGTCGTACTATGACACCTGTACTCCGTAGTGCTAATCATTCATCATTGCGGTCGCTTGAACGGATGCGCCTCGGTATTCCTGTTCGGCACGTCAGTGGGTTTTCTCGCCATTGCCATCCGTCAAGACACTTACAGAACATACTCGTCCAGACTGATCAGGCCGGGATCGCTGAACAATAGATAGTAGTACTTCAGGGTTTCGGCTAGCCAAAACGACTCCATCGTGTCATCCTGCTCCATGAGCTGACTCGTCACATCCTTAACCGCTGCATGTGCAACGTCAGTCTTGGTTGCGCGGTCAACTGCACTGAACATCTTCCATCCCTTCTCGCGCCAGGACTCATCGCCCGTCATTCGATACATGATGAAAACCGACTCGATCGCTTCAGGTCGAAGCCGATAGTCCCGAGCTTTGATCTTTGTATATCCTGGTGGCAATCGTTCCTCAGATATTCTTGCTGCTACATACTTTTCATGGGACAGCGGCACTTTGGGCACAAATGGCTGTACCACGGCCACCAGCTCATGTTCCAGCTCTGTAGAATTGGTTGATTCGATTGGTATTGAATCATCATCGATTCTAGACTCGAGATCACGCTTTCTCTTGGAGCTTGGGTCGGAGATGACCAGATTTGTATCGTCGTCCTCATCTCCCCATGCCCTGTCAGCATTCGCAATGGCCGCTTCGTGCAAAATTTGTTGTTGCATGTTGTATAATTCCACTGCTTGAAACCTTTCCTTCAATTGCGGGTCCAACGCCTTGTGCCATTTGGCTTCATCCCACTCGCAGGAAGTAAGGCTGTCACATGGAACGAGCTCGAACTCCTCTGCCATTACTCCCACAGGGGTAGACCCATAAGCCCAAACACATCCATTCGTCAACTTCTCCGCAATGGCCATGTCATTAGGTATGTCAAAAATTTTAGATCCCAAAGCAAACATCCCCCCTGCGAAACAACCAAGATGGGTTCCCTCAAATTTGTTGACTCTGCGCTTGGACGCCTCCTTCTCTTTAGGAGAGATTATTTGTTTCGCCGCAAACAGGATATCTTGGTTGTCCTTGGTCATGGGTCTGTAAAGGAGCTCAGTTCTTACAACCTCGATCGCATCCAGATACATTCTCCGATATTGATTGTTGAGTCCTCCCAACAATGCGTATTGTTTGGGGAAATATTCGTAAGTGGAATCAGCCATGGCCCCGATCCCATAATTGTGACTGGTAGCGTGTGGCTCGGTGTTGAGTCCTTGTGGCTCGCAGTCGATGTTGTCGAATTCCTCTGCCCATTCTGGAACCACTACCTTTTTTGTATCAGCCCCATCATGTGATTCTTCTTGGTTCTTCTCTTCCTGCTTATCATCCTTCTTGCCCTCCTCACCCTCCCGGGTGAGGTCTGGCACTGGCCGTGGCGGTCCCCGTACTTGCCTCTTCGGTAACGGAGAACTTTCCAAATCGGATTTGGAACCACTATCGTCAGAGCCAGGGGATTCCACTTCCTCGTTGTTCTCGGTCGGGTGCAATGAGGATTCTTTCTCAGGTCTAGCTTCCCGAACCACTTCAGACTTCTTGCAACCCGAAGCATCAAGCTTCAGCGGCCAGAGGCCAGGAAGAGTTGTTTTCAATTGCCATTTTTCGAGGGCATCTGTTATCCTCGCCACAGCATCATAATACTTCACCTCTCTGGTTATTTGAGCCAGTCGTGTGAACTCGACAGATAGAGATCCAAGTTCTGCCAAAACCATGTGTGTGCTTGCTCGGTGTGGTTGTGACGCATAGGATGGGGCCCAGTTGTAATACCCAATAGGCATTCTGTTCGGCGTGTCAAATGCTCCCATGAGAACATCCGCTAGCTCGACGGCCTTGTCTAGGAGAACCTTGTGCTTGGCCTTGCTTACATCATACGCTGCAATGAGGCCTCCCAGATAACGGATGGTGGTCTCAAACAGAGGAATGTCCTTTCGTGTAGTGGTTTTAAAATCGATGTTCTTCACGAGGCCGACGGCTTCCTCAAATTCGTCATGGAGCCCCATGATCCACAATGTATCCAACGAATCGACAAGTGTAGCGCCCCATCCGTTGAACGGATCTCCCGCTCCTTTTGATATTGGCTTCAACTCATCGTGAGGAAGTGATAGATTTTTGTAGCCATGCCAGGCATGCTTGAACGACTCCCGCACTGTGGTCTGTCTCCGCAGTCTCTCAGTTTTTTGGGTTGAGGACTCTTTACCAAAGCTGAACTGGATACGTGGCAGAGCTTTTGGTTGTCCGGAAGGCAGATTTATGAGGCTTGGGGAAGGCACTGGGAAATTCTCCCTCTGTTGTTTCCAGTATGCGTTTTGCTGCCCTTTTGGCCTAGGTTGAACCTCCAACCGGCCCTGTCCACGTTCACCAAAGTCATCCACTAGTGCAGGTTGTTTCGTCAGGAACTCTTCACCCGTCACGGTCGGTCTTGCATCTGGATGGGCAACGGGCCTGGAGGAACTTTGTATGGGATGTTCCGGAGCCAGTTGATCGCCCGATTTCTTTGGCTCAGTGGGCAGAGCGGGAGACGGTGCAGGTCTGATGACAGGTTCGAGTGGGGGCACAGGTTCCTCCGGCAGGGGTACTGGATCTGGAGGGATTTCAACGTTCGGAGGCGTTGTCTTTCCACCCTCTGGGTGAAAGCCGATGGCTGCACCTAGCGTTAAACCATCCCAGTGATTTACTCGACTCAGGTGATATATGGTAAAGATGGCCAAAGACGCAACAATAAGAAATGCACGATAACGACGAATCCGGATCATATTTGCCGGACAATAGAGGGGAGAGTGCGTGGCTGAGGAAGAGAACTCATGGGCTTCATCGAAGAATTCACGATTGCTGGCGCATGCAAAAGGGTCGAGCGGAGAAGAGGACAGGTTGATTGTGAGAACGAGCCGAGCCAGCTCTCCCAAAGCAAGTCAACGTTTATTAAACAGAGACCGGGAAAGTTATCAGCCAGCGAAGTGTAGGTAGGACAAATATTGAAGCAGCACGAGAGCGCATTTTGAGGATCGAGGATGCTGCCAAACGAGGCTTACGAGTTGCAGAGGACGACGACGCTCCGCGAATCAGGATCCACAAGAATGACGATTCTCCGCCCGGAAATGAATTGTTCCCTGCTTCCCTGCACGTGACTGAGAACCGGTGGCTTGGCATCCCTGCTTCAAGTTTTGTCCATGGAGAGGAAATAGATTCCTGTGTCACTAAAGTCTTCTTCATCAATCGTTCTGGTATTACATCTGGTATCAACGCTTTTGCAGACAGGTATTGCTCATCCGTCCAATCCCATTCCGTTCTGACATCACATATTGTGCTTCGTAGTGCACACCGACCCATACAAAACACAAATATTCATGAGTGCAAAAGCATCGAAGCTTGCCTTAACCTCTGTTCTAGTTCCACGTGTAAAGTTTCGTGCCTTCCCAGGTACTGAAAGCCTTGTATCGGCTTCCGCTTGAGCATCTCTCCAGTTGCCGAGATGAAGGACATCACCTCCTTGACCAGGTGTATCAGCTGGGCCTGTTCGCCAGGGGCTGGGCCGGAGGAGACAGCGGCGTCAAAGAAACCAGGCATTGCCTCGGCAAAATGGACCTGGTCTTGAAGAAACTGGGAGTCCATGGCTCGAGGTTCCTCTATTTTACACAGAGAAAGTCTCTCGCAGAGCCGAACAAGGTGAGCGATGATGCTTGACAATACCAAATGACAAGCGTAGTCCGAGCGGATTGTCTTGCTCCTCAAAATCCTCTGCATTGCTGCATTGCACTTTCTTAAAAGATCTATCTGCGACTCTCGCGGCTGCATCTCGTCACTGGCGTGTTTCTTAAGATGTGCCAGGAGCTTGATGCACACCATCTCCTCGTCTTCTCGCGCGCTCTCAAGATGACGTGCAACTGCTGCATTATGTCGGGGTAGTTGCAATTTTGACGTATTAGTTGGTACGAAAGTGTGTCTGGAAGTGGGCCGAGTCTCCAGTTGAGCAGGAGATAAGTATCGTGTGAATTGTGGGGGGCTGAGAGCGGGAGTAGGCATTCCGCTATTGTTGAAGAACGTCAACTCACTGGCCATGGAGAAGCTCCGGTTGTCGGTCATGTCGATGGCGTGCAATGAGTCGGTTGTTTCTTCAAAATTGAGAAACCCTTGCTCGTCACCACCGGCGATAAAAGATGTCCAGGAAGGTGGGCCACAATGACGTTTTGCTGATTCTTCGGATCCCTGAGTGTTGGCTGGCGAAGGTATTGATTGAGCAGGAGCAGTGTTGACAATCCAGGACTGAGAGTTAATGTTGCCGATAGAGTCATCAACTGGACGTTTCCGTCGCTTGCCTACAACTTTGCCGACTCGAGATTCGCTATAGACGCAAGACAGTCGTTTTTCAGAGCATCTACGGCAGCCTTGCTTGTTGCCATCACATCGGACCTGTCCATGGAACGTCAGGCACTCCAATTCACCCGGAAACTGGTTGGGTTCTTACCTTTGCCGAAAAGCAGTGGTTGCATGCCGCTCTCAGCTTTATGGGCTTTGCATCGGATTTAGATGGGGGTGTGGGAAGAGCTGATGGAGAGGTTGATGATGTCGAAGAAGCAAGCGATTGTGCTGATGATAGTGGTGGAGTGGCAACCGATGTCGATGTTCCTGACGCCCTTGCAACCTGTCAACGAGCATGTCTCACACAGGGAATGCAATGCAAAGCACTCACTCAGCTTGATCGGCCATTGTGGCGAAGACGACGGAATGAATGTATTCAAGGGCAGTTCACAAAGTCAAGTGGGAGGAATTGAAGCGGCAGGTTGTTATGAAGCCAGATGAGGTGATGGTGTGTTGTGGTTATGGAGGGTTCAGATGAGATCCAAAGTTCAGGTTGATAGAGTGACAGGCTTCAAGTTTGGTGGCACAGGGCACGTTGTTTGTATGCATGACGGGCGTGGCTGTTGAATATTATAATAGAAAGTCTGATGGAGGAGCATTTGGACTGTTCATGCTTTGGGTCCAGGGTCCAGGGGGGAGGACAGGGGTTCTGTAATCGGTGCCACGGGTGGAGCTTGGTTGCTACCGCCAGCCCAGAGACCAGGGTGTGATCGCTTTCCCACGCGGGATACGAGGGTCGTAAGGTTGTTGGTCTAGCAGTCAGCGCCCAGGGCCAAGGCCAGGAGTCCTAGCGAGAATCAGAAAGTGAACGGTGGGCGGTGGAGCTTTGGCCTTGAGATTTTGGACCCCTCAACACCATTAAATTATGGACTCGTGTCAGACACAATACTTGGCCTCAATGAGTAAACAAGCGTGCTTACACCAACCCGCGCCGCTAACGATCTAGGTACGGGCTACCATACCTCGGACGGTGGACAGGAGTCGATCTCCAGTGCTCGGTTCCAAGCAGTTGTCGGTCTTAGGTTTGAGGCTGCTGAACGTCGTCTTTCGTACACCAAGTGACTAGCCATCAAACACCGATACAACAGAGCTGATTCGAGGCTCAGCGTAAACGAACAAGGGTCCTTCTCTTCAATCACCGCACTTCTACTTGGTACGTCGAACATACCGAGTACGGATTGTGTATCATTAATCTCTGACCTTTAACGCCGCGTTTGTGTTGGGACGCCCTAGCTCTCCTCGACCAGATCGCGGGGTGGTCAACACCAGGCTCTAATCAGCCCAAGCAACAATATATTACTGATTCAATCATCACCATCGCCATCAACAATTCCATTTACTTCACATCGTACCGGGAGGAGCAGTCACAGCAACAATGGCTCTCTCAGCCGTACGGGCCGCAGTTCTCTAAGCCGCAAAGAGCCACCAATTGAGATTAGAACAGGGGCAGATGACAGGCTTGACCAACTCAGTGTTAGATTGACAATACTTGACGCCAGATCGGGTCATGGTTATCCTCCTGACGAGCTGTTGAATTCAACCCAAAATCGAAACCGTCGAAGCCACCCTCATCAGGCTGGACTCCATTTACTTTTTGGGGCAGTTACTTTGATCTAAAATCCGTGCTGCCCTCGTATTCTTGCCATCCCATGAGCCACCAGGTCACCTCGTTGACGCAAGCCTAAATTATGGATACGGACAGAGCCATGATAGGGCGCCACGGTAGAGGATATCTCTATCACTATCAGGCAAAGCCTTTGGTGCAGAGTGTGCCCCCACTGCCCGGTGATCGACTATGCGAGGCTGATGATAGACCAACTGCCGGATGCCTGATAAGTGGCATCTCTAGAAGTACTGAGTACATAGGTACATACTGCTGTTTGCATTATCAACCGCTAGGGATTACATAGCCGAAAGGATCTTCATAGATCAACTTGCAATGTAGATCCTTCCTAGGTATCTCCAGAGCACGGAGTAAATCATAGGGCTCAAGCTGTGAAGCTATCGTTGAATTTACAAACAAATCGAACAGTTGATCGTTATATCCCATACCTCTTGCAGCCTAGTCGAGCCGACCCTTGGATTGACGTTCCTCCTACTCCTATGCACGGAGTACGGAGTACCTGATACACACCTTCCAAACCGTCTCCTCCAGAACTGATATAGGCTCCACACATTGGACGGGGCACTCCATACGTCGAGGTCCGCAATCTCGGGAGCTTCACAATCCCATGTCATAGTCACAAACAGTGGCGCTCCCACGCGCTTGCCACGCACTTTAAATCTTAGAGCCTGCCACCTCGAGCCCCTTTCCTCACCAAGGTAGCGATAGAGATAGGGACGAGATATGCACGAGTATGAGATATGCGTGGGGCTGCGACACTGTTCCACACCCTGAGCCATACGGGTATTTCATCCGTAGCATAGGCCACTGGGCCCTAACATCAAAATATGAAAGACCCAACCTACGCCTCCCTCCTCGCTAGTTCAGAGCAGACCTCTCTGCATGGAAGGTTCGAAAGTCTAAGCTTCTAGCATGACTAGGCGAGAAGGATTTACTGCGTCTGACAGCCGCAATAATCTTGCATCGATACGTGAAAGGGCACATCAAACATGTTCAGCAGCGCCTTTCCTGGGGAGCTGCCTAGTTCGCGAGCTTCCGAATCTCCAAGAGCCTAGGTCTCACCGACAAAGTAGCCCTCCTAAGATCTCAGCCGCATGTCCGTGACTTTGCAAGCGAACCTAAGGGGGAGGTGGTGGAGCTCTAAATCATACTAAATTGCTTACATGATGAAGACCCCCGGCTCATTTATTTAAAGCATCGACGTCCTAGAATACCCAACACTCAAAACTACGCAACCCAGCAAATCATTAAGCCAGCCAGCAAGAAATCATGCTTGGTGCTACCTGACACCAACTGGCCACTGAACACACGCACTGCGACTCTAACCAGATGCTACCCTTTCCATAATGAAGCTGAGGACGGTTTAGGAAAGTCGAATCTCTGCACATCCAGCTGCCAAGTCGCTTCACGAGGATAAGACGACAGCAGCCAATTATCCATACCTCAAAGCATCCCCGGTACGTTGTGATTTAAAATGAGCACTGCTGAATGAGCTTTCCATCGGTCTCATCTAGCCGAGCTGTTGGGCTGGCTGTGCTCGAAGAAAGAGGCACATCTGTCTAGCGTCTACCATTCTTCCAGGTGTAACAGTCCCTTTGCCGTAGCAGAAACACAGCTTGAGCTTGGGAGACGGCGAGGATACGAGTAACCCTGAGAGTCAGAACATGCAGTTTGGAAATGATGTTTGTGCCATGGGCCCATGGGCCCATGGCCCATTGTATGAGTTCAGACCAACACCATACCAGGCCGCTTCTACATGGGGGAGTATCTAGTCAACTTCAGCATCCACTCAAACTTGGTCGGGCCAAAGTAGTTAGTCCGTAGAGCTGCTGCAAGCAGCCAGCCACGTTGACAACTTACCCTCCAATCGCTATAGAACATAGCTGACTGGCCAATAGCAGGCCGTGGTATGAGAGGTTCTCGCAGACGGACTAGCCTCGACTTGCACGAAATTACAGCGCGTGCAAGGTCATTCACCGCCCTGGATGTTTCTCCGCCCAGAACTGTCCATACCCGTTTCATAAAAGTTGAATCAGCAACTTCTATTTGGAGTCAACACTCCCACGCATTTGCAACACGGCATACCCAACCCTATCACTTCCGGCAATGAAGATATGGCAAAATCTGCCCTGTGAGGATAGCTTACCAACGCTGACAGACCCTCCCTTGGGTGGTCAGTGACGACCATTGTGACCTTCTGGGCCCTCGCCCCTATCCAGGTATGACAAGGTCAGGTCTGTACGTCTCTGACGTTGGTTAGTGAGGGCTCATTCGTCGCCAGAGACCCAGCGATCCAACGACCCGACTTACAGCGGCTGGCTGTCTCACGCGTCACAGAGTCGCCTTTGTTCGAGATGCCAATCCCCAGACTCATGATACGAGCTTCCGAAGGGGCCCGTGATACCTACGTGTCAAGCACAGGTTCGGTACAATGGTCCCCGGTCTCTTATGCACAAACAGTCAATACAGTCAATATAGTACGATGTCGTCAGTCGCATGAGCGATGTCTAGGAGAACAGGCAGTGATGAGCCTACGAGGCTCATTGACTTAGCTCGGTCTAGATCCATAACGAGTGCACGAGTTAAGAACGCTTATGCAATTCATACCGGAATCGAAAGCGAGAAATGCAAGGCTTCAATGGGATAGAAGACATAATTTACATGACCCATATGTATCTGAGTGGACGACAGACCATGACAGTTCAAATTGCCCCAGGTGAGCACTGGCACTAACTTGGAGGGTACTGGACTTTTTTATCACAGCAGAAACCGAATGCATATCTCACACGTCCTATTCAATATTCATACTCCATTCATAAGGCAAAAATATCAGGGAACAAATGCCACACCCCACAACAGAATTCCCACTTCCTGCGCAAATTGTCATCAACTCGCTCTGCAGATCACGCTACCCTGCAGCTTTGCTGACCGGAATCTGACAGACTGATTTGGTCGAATTCGCGTCCTGGAACGGAGTAATCAGTAAACAAATGACTCGAGATTAAACGAAAAGCAGACATATCAATTGGTTACCGAGTTCTTGATAATCCTATCTAATCCTGTTAGCAGATCCAGTTCCGCCGATCTAACTAAGATGGATGTATGTACTCCGTACTGTAAAGCTCACCAAGCATTTCTCTTATGGGAAGCATGAGTTTCGAACGCTACTGAGACTTAGCCAACGACATATTACCACACCCAGCTAATTGGACAACCCGGGCATGTCCCTATCTACTAGCGAGTCAAAAATATACAAGAAAGACTACTCTGAAAACTTCGAGGCGGTGGCCCATTTTTCCCCTGAGTCATGGCCTAGACAACTAAATTAGCTAGTACCAAGATTCTCCCCGTTTTACCATCGCTACGTGCGCAGCATGCTGATGCCTCGCTCCTCCGTGACAAATAAATATCCGCAAGAGGGTTTATACGGTCGCGCAATCTCCGGGGAGTCTTGGAGTTCGTCCGCTCAAACAGCACAACCTGTTTATATGAAGTAGCCGTGTGAGGCAAAGGCCGCGCCCTCTTTCCGCAGAGCGGGTATAGACGGTCACGGGTGACCTTTCTGGATTGCACACATAACCTAACAAGAGCCTATTTCGGCAATATTCCGAGATATTAATCTGAGCAGCATCGAACTTTGTGAAGACGAGCCTCGCGGATCGAGTCCATGTCCTAACTTCTTATGAGAGATTCGGAGGAGTCTGACGAAAGTATGGAGTGCATGTTATTTACGAGGTACTCCTGTACCAAGGGTTGACCTAATTAAGCCAGCATTCGCTTCGAAAACCCTGGATCTGAATGCTAAGACCACTGCGCTGGAGGAAGGCAGGCGTCGCAAGTTCCTCGCAAGGCAGCTCGGCGACCAAGTGGAAGATGCGCATTATGGCGTTAACCAGGCCTCTATTCCTCAATCCAACAATAATCGTCCAGGTCACCCTCCACGTTGTCCAACCTTGAGAATCAGGCATTCAACCTTCGGGAGAAGGACCGATCCGAGATTTGGTTTCGTGCTCTGGGCCGATCACGGGGGGCTGCAGGCTGCACACAACTACTACGAGTACGGAGGCGTAGCAGTGGAGGGTGCCAGAAGCCTCCCCGTAGCCAACCTCACGCCATCAAACAAGGGAGTACAAATGGTGTGAGAAAGTATTTGACTTATCAATCGCCTTCTACAAGTCACCAGGCTCGTGCTCCTCCCCATTGGAAGTCTACATAAGCGACAATGGAAGGATCAAGTGCCCATTTCGACCCCGATTCGAAATGATGGGTGTTCCAGGAGCCCCCCAAAGTACCCGTCCCATGTACCCAGAATGAACCTACACCATACATATGCGTACATAGGAAGTCATGCGACATTTCTAAGTCGTCCCACAGAGAGGGTCAAAGAACTGAGATCTCGTCTCCTGAATCTCTGAAGCGTATCCAGTCCAGCACAATCTCTTGAGTCTAGGCCAATTTAAGCAGGACCATTGACCAGACATGTACTTTTGACCATTGAAAACAAAGTCAAACCCTCGTGTTTCACAAACCCTAAGTCCAGAACCGACGGCTTTTCATATGCTTCTGCGAACCCAACGACTGATGTAGGTTCAAGAAACAACATCAAGCGTCCGATCTCATGGGGCGCAAATCCCATCCCATCATTGCTTGAAAAGCTCTGTTCCTGTTCTAGCTTCCTCCCTCATTATTCGCACTCGCACCTTTTCGCTTCGTATTGCACCGCCAAACTACATAGTAACCTTCCTTAACGCAGCCCAAGCGAATACGAGACAAGCAGAAGAAACGGCGAGATGACCAGAGAAAACGGAAACGGCCAAACATCCTCGTGTCATCTACAAGTCGGCGGAAAGAGCGCAGCGCCTGCGGAGGGGGCCAAGGGCCAGCCTTCCTCAGCCTCACCTTGGCGAGCGGCAACATCATCAAAGTACAGGGGACGGGTAGTAAGAATCCGACAGAACACATCATTATTGAAGGTAAATTAAGAAAGTGGGAATTGACTTCCACCCACCTCGCGGACAGCCGGTCACATGCGCCAGCGGCGCAGCCATGAGACGTCCCTTCTCTTATTGCTTTCGTCTGTCAGAGTGCAGACTCGTCACCGTTCACGATGCAGCACGATCGCGCCGGGACGACCGAGCTTAGCTCATTCGTCCAAGGATGCCAACTAGCAAAATAGATCATCAAAGCATACGAGGTCTAGTCAAGGATAGCCATAGGGTTAAGTCCCTCGAACCAGGCGTTCTAGCTATCTCCAATCCACTATGCCCGATCACGGAGCCGGTTCCACGAACGAGGATGCGACAACGAGTACAGAGAAGAAAAGAAGGCCTTTAAACTCTGGGAAATGTTTCGGAATTGCAATGGTCAATGTCGAGGAACGGTAGGTAGCAATATGCAGTACAAGAACCAAGGCACTATGGCGTCCACATCTACGTGTAGCTATCACACCCAGATCCTTCGGGCTCCAATATTTACTTGCTAGCTAGCCTCTCGGCCTATCATTTACATGACGTGATTGACTCGCTCAGCGCACTGCGACCTGCTTACAGGTATCCCATATGTACTACCGAGTACCTTGGGTATAGCACTTGACCCAGTACCAGTCAAGTCACTACCGGGCGTCTACGAGGTACGTATCGAATATCTATCTACACCACGTGCTCAGGCAGACTTAATTCCAGTACTATGTACCTATACATAGCGCAGCCGGGCAAGGTAAGGCAGCCAGAGTCGATCTACTGCCCAGGTAGCCAGCCAGGACTGTTTCTCGGCCGCGAACCACCCTACTATCTGTGCCTGGGACTGCCCGTCTAGGCAGGCAGGTCGTATCCAGTCAGAGTCCAGACAAACATCGAGTACTGTAGCCAACGAACGCACGGAGTCTGCATGAAGACATGATGGTCTGCCTGAGCCAGGTTCCTCCTATGTAGATGGGTGCTGCTTGGACACGTCTATCGTAGGAGCAAGTGGTAGCACCACCACCACCAACAACAACAACAACAACAACAACAACAACAACAACAACGGCGGCGGCAAAATGCTTCATGGAGCCAGTAAGCTAGTAGCGTCTAGTACACCGTTTTTTTTTTTTTTCAGTGCTAGAGTGAGGTGTATATATATATCACATCCTTGAACGTGATAGACCGTCAGACTTGTGCTGAAAGGTTGGCTCAGGTAAAGTATGCTATGTACTTATCTAGTCAAGACTCGCGGCGACCGTCCTTGCCTCGAAGTGCGAATGCAGTTCTATCTAGTAAAACCATGTACCTAACAAGTTGCCGTGGGGTGCCGTGTGCATGCCATGCCCAAGTTTCCGCCCTGGATTTGGCGCGTCGCTATCCATGCCATGCGATGCCATGCGACGCCACGCCACGCCATGATTGAAGCAAGAACAAGTCCATCCATTACTATGTATTTCAAAGGAAAGGAAAAGACGGTGGTGCAGCTGCAGACTTAGCTTGGAGGCGATGGAGGCGATGGAGGCGCCTTCTCCCGTTCGTCTCATTCCCCGCCATGGTTCTTCATAGCCTGCGTTTTCCTGGAAGATGCTGGGATGGGGGAGGCGAGGGCCGGGGAGGGAACGGAACGGGACCAGATGTCAAGGACATCAAAAGGCCATTGGCAGCATAACCCTTCCAAAAGGGGTGTGGATAAACCGCTCTGTCACAGTGATTGTGTACAACGCCGCGTTGATCCATACATGAGCATGAAGCACGGCACGGTGATACCCATCAACCAGCGGGCAATTCAATTCAATGCAATGGAATCAGACCCCCAAACCAGCAAGAATGCCTAAAACGCAACCAGGCAGCGTTCGTCCTTATCCTTGTCCCTGTCCTTTCTGGGATGAAGACCAAAGGAGTAACCCGATGCTGCGTTTCTTCAAATGCCCGTTCCTCCAACACCACCTGCATTCCTGACTTCCCCTTGATGCGCCCGCTGGAACTGTCTCATCAGACCTAATGGCCCGCCGCTCGTCAGCTTCTCGACATTCGTATCATCATCATCGCTCGCCCCCGTGCTTGCGTCGTCCGAGTCATTCTCATACTTCCACGACCCGAGTTCCCCTTCACTTTGGCCAACGCCGGCCGATGTGAGGCCAAGCCCCGCAGTACCGCTTCTGGTGGCCGTAGGGCCTCTTTCAGCTCCACCGCCTCTAGTACCTACAGTCCGATTCCTTGTGGTCGGCGCTTTTGCGCTCCCTTGAACTGCACCATCGAATTCAGGGCCTTCCTCTTCAGCTACATCAGCTGGTAAGGGAACGCGACGGGGTCGAGCGAGCAAGGAGACTTGGCCACCTCTTGGGTGCCTCGATGCTTGCGGTGAGGTAGTGAACCCGCTAGCTGAAGGTTGATGGTGTGGGTCAAGTAACATGGATTGAAGCGGTGAGCCAGCAGAATGTTGCTGAGCTTGAAATCCGGGAGTCCCAGAGAGCCCTCGGTGAGTGGGTGACAACATACTGGTTCGATGCGTGCCGCTGTTGAAAGTACTATCATGGTCGAGAGTCGGGAACGTTGGTGAAGGCAGGCCAGGGACAGGAGGCGGCAGATTGAAGCGTCGCTTACTAGTGTTATAGTTGAAGCGAACATCTGTCTTTGGGTTGCGCGCGTAGTCGTTGATGAAGCCCCAGTAACTGTGTTCCAACTTGTTGTCTTTGGAGGCAAAATAATCGTCCCGCGCATTCTTAGTGGGATCAGTCGAGGGCGGTTTCACGCCTGGTTTGTAAAAACCAAACTCCGCAAAGGAACAGACATATCCAATGCCATCAACGTGAATAGTGAACTCCCGGAAGAAGTCAATGATTCTTTCACTGCAATTAGGCAAACTGAAACACAGCACGAAGGGTGTGAAGATCATGCTCAAAACCTCTTCAAAAAAGATAACCAGCTTCATTTGATATAATTGAGCGAACTCCTGCTTCACATCAGTGGTGTGAAGACGGCCTTTCCAATGAGCTGGTTCATAGTGAGTGAAATCTATGACCTCTTGTAGCGAGTTCGACGTGTCATATATCATATTATCATCCGGTAACAAGCCACGGGCAACAGCCCAGACTGAACCAAATACACCGAGATAGAAGATTGTCGTCCGGCCAGGGGTAATCTCGAAATTGAGGAAGTTTTCCTGATCCAGCACAGTCGCCAAACCCAAGACACTGACCACTGCTCCAGAAACCAGGGTGACGAGCTGTGCTGTTTGGACAGTCTTATCCTTGGGAAATTGATTAATGTACCGGCTGGCAAAGGGATATGACATGAAAATCCGGCGTTGGAACAGGTGGTACAACTCGTTGAACTCTCGGAACTTCCATTCAGCATATGGGTTGTATTCTCTCGTACTGATTTGTGACGGATTTTTCTGATACTCGTTGAAGTTCAAGAAGATATGTTTGATAACAAAGAAAGCTGCCAGGAAAGGAGCAAAAATCAAACTTGCCACTCCAGTCATGAAAAAGCGGTTCCGCAGAGCGATCGAGAGATCCTTCCGATGCGTGTCTTTCAAAAAGAGGGATCGGACTTGACCCTTATCGTTGAAGATGAAATCCATGATGCACAGGTCAATGCTCCATTCTAATGTGCGCGTAAAGAGTCGTCTATTTCGGAAGAATGGGACCGGCAGGGTAAGGTCAAGAATATCTTTGTTAATCATGGCAATCATATAGTTCTGGCGTCGCATCAACCTGCTCGCGATGTCATGTGCATCCATTCGCTGCTTGCTTTGCGTTTTGATCCAGCCACTCCGCTTTTTAGCAGCTGGCTCCGCAGTGTTTGGATTGGAGTCCCGCAACGCCATGAGGCGGCTGACCACTTCCTGCCAGGAAATTGACTGGATCTCATCCTCTGGAATGCCGAGAAGATAGAGATAGAAATCATGCATGTGCCTCAATCGAGAAATGTCAAGAACGTATCCGATTGATTTCCAAAGCCAGATAAATGTGGTCAACCATAAAAGAGCTTTGGGGGTAAAGCCCATCTTGCTAGCACATTGCGGAACCAGGATCTCCGACATCTTGGTCTTCCCCTTAAAATCCCTGTAATCTATACACTGGGTAAGAAAAAGAGAGAAGCCGACAATAAAGCCAATGGTGATGATGTTGAAGAAACGCATGAGCACTGTAGACCAGAAGCCGTGACAGATATAGTAGGTGTAGACATCAAGGAGGAAGTTATCCAAATTCAATACGTTCACCCAACGGTACATGGCCTTCTCTTTCGGGTCCTGGTTGGCAAGGCTGCCCCAGAGGTTCGTGACGGTGGAAGGTCTCTGAGGCTTCGGATCCGAGGCTCGGCGGTCTTGAACATGGTTTGTAAATCCAGTATCTTCGAACGTAGGCAGTCCATCTGGGATCGAGCTGGGCGGAGGCGGAAGAGCTATCGAACGGTGGGCGCCGGTGGCATCCTCGATCAACAAGGAAGCTGGGACATCATCATCTGCCTCCTCGACTTCCATCAAGGCATGTGACCTGGCGCCTTTCCACCTCGACCTATTCACACCTTTGCCCTTGTCCTTGCGCGTGGGCTGTCTCGAGGAATGGGTGCGGGAGGTATGAAAGGCCGTGCGGGCAGTTTCTTGATCTTCGAAACCATCACGATACCGCTGTCGAGACCCAGCCGCTAAACCAGCTCTTTCTTCAATGTCAGAGGCATCCGAGTCTTGGTCATGCTGCCGGATAGTCTCGTAGATGGAAGACGAAGGGTTGGTGGAGCCTGTAAATCGGGAGATGAAGTTGGAGGTCATGGTAGGCAAACAACCGAGCTGCGTACCAAAGCCAGCAAAGTAGAGGCAGATTTTGGGATGAAGGATGATCCGAGCGTGAGGTGCAGGCGAAAGAGATGCAAACAAGATATATGGACCCTCACGACGACATCATGAGGCCTTCTTCCGCGCGTTTGTGCCTGCTAGTGCGAACGCTTCTCTGCAGGCACAGGCACAGGCACATGACAGGATGGCCCGCAGGCAGAGAGCGTGAGCGCGGGTGCGAGCGTGAAGACCGAATGGCGACAACGCTCGACCAGAATCGCGGAATGGTAGTATACGCTTCGCAGTAAGGGGGGCTGTAGCGTGTAAAGGCTCGAAGGGCAATAAAGATGATGGTGGTGGTTGGACGACTGAAGGTCAACCCATCAACATTCATCATCAATACAACAGACAATGGAATGAGGAGAAATCTGGGGAAACCGATGTTGACGCCAGGATGTCTGCCGCAGATTAACCGACAAGGAGGGCCACCAGACAGATACGTTGACCTGTTTAACTAATTCCTTAGGCAACTGTTGCCTATTCATCGCCTAGAGGTGTTGCGTTCTTAAGGGCTCTAAGCATGGGCATGCATCAAGTTAGGTACCTAATCAGGCAGAGCAGAGCCCCGAAGGGCCCCCGGGCAATCGAAGAAGCTCGTAAGCTTGCCCGTCCACCAAAAACAAACACCACAAAAAGTATCTCATCGGTCATCTCCATGGAGGAAGATACCTTTTAGGTGCATCACCGTCGGTCTAATTAATTCGTGGTACTCGTATCTTGGGTATTCTTTCATCGTCATCATGTCTCATTTAGCCGAACAAGTCATGCTGTCCCCGTACCAACCATCAGTCATGTGTATCATTTCCAATACAAAAGATAACTCCATCCAGGGGTATCATGTTGCTGATGCCACGCATATTAATGTTTCTTCCCAAGATAAAAACATGCACAATACCAAGTTACCACGGAGTCCATGCCCAGAGCGCTGCCGCTCAAAAACCCCCTCTTTTCTTTCCATAAAAGATCTCGCGGTTTAAAAGAGCAATGCAACCAGAAACGAAACGCCGAAACACGCCACGATCAGCTGCTTGTGTTCGGGTACTCTGGAGCGGTCGAGCTTCTCCAGGCTGCCCAGTCCCGCCGCCAGAACAGCAACCAGGATAATCATACGATTCAGAACGCCTGTGGTGAGTTTGAAACACAACAGCGGGAAAAGAGTCGTCGTCAATATGCATAGAGGCACCAAGTCGGCGGGGGCCATCATCGTGGAGGACCTTGCGGTCGCTGCTCTACCGTTACTCCTGTCATCTTCCAACAGCATCATCAAATCGTTGTCGTCGTCTAAGAACCGTGATTCTGGCCCTGATAGTGGTTTATTCTTTCGTAACCAACTTCGAAACTGTTCGATGTCGGTGGGGATCGCCGTGCGGCATTGTTTTTGAACCTGCTGCGCCGATAAAAGTGCTTGGTCTGTTGTGATTCATTCGTTAGTTGCGGTCTTTCCAACGTTCAGAAATCAGGATACCCACAGTATTGCTCGATCTTAATGTACAGTCTTCCTAGGACTTCAAGACGATGTGCATGTAACTCGGAATGATTCCACTGCCAGTTGAGCCTACGTGAAGCTGGGGACGTGCTGCCATCAGAATTGAGGCGACTTCTCGTGTCGGCCATGTCCAAATTGGCAAGCTGGTCTTCCATCTCAATGATTTCATCCTGCAATTGCAACAGCACTCGATAGTTAATCCTCTTGAACCGTCGGAAAACAGGAGGAATATGCCCTTGAGCTAGTTTATCCGCAACCAGATCGTACCCCGACAAGGGCATCTCCTTGGGTAGGAGAAAGTCCTGCTCAGAGGGTTCAGGTATGCTGGCGAGGCTCGAACGTCTTTGCTCTGGGCTCGGTGTTCTGGTACCTGGTCCAATATTTTGTTGTTTATGGGTGGCTCTTGGTACTTCCGGCCATTTCAACCGTAGACGGCGAGGGTATGTTGACCTGTCGATAAGCTGCCCTTGGTGATCAGTGTTGTCCTGGCTCTCCTCCGGTAAAGGAGGCAGTCGGTCGTCCAGTACAGATTCACCATTCGTCAAACAAATGCTGTTGGAACCCATAGAGATACCAGAATCACTGTGATGACTCCGTACGTAACCCTCGTCATCAGATTCTTCTGCAGGTGGGAGCTCGTATGGCTCCACAGCAGCCTCGCTTTTCTCTCCCAGGCGTGGAGTGGAAGCATCCTGGCCCTCATCCTCGACGAGAAACTCAAAGACATCAACCGATGATTTCGGCGTGGTTCTCTCCTGTTTCATCTTCTCGGGTCTGGGGCTGGGCTTTCGTTGAGGAATTGGCATGGGCATCTTCTCCTTTGACTTCTTGTGCTTGGAGGACCGCCGATGCTTGACCGGACTTGACGAGGATCTCTTGTAAGATTCCTGGGTTACAGTATCGTCGGATCCATGGGAGGCGTTTGTCATTGCAGAAAGGAGGGACAGTTTGGAGGAACGGGCAGCTTTGCTAACGCCGTAGGTGAGACTGCGGCGTCGGCGAGCGCCTTGGTCGCGTACTGAGATGAACATGCAGTGAAAACGAGATGCGGTTGGGCTCAAGTGGCCTATCCGAGGAGGTCGTGTAGCCTCGTCAGGGTCTAGGTAGTAAAAGCAATTGGAACGTATAGTGAATGCTTGGTAGTAATGATGGACAGCGGGGAATGATGCTTAACATTCGCCATGCTTTGAACTGCACACGGTTCTGGATATGGTATGAACGAGAAAGACTGAATGCAAGACCAAGGTGGTGAGCGTCATGTGTGTATCGTGGTGGCCCCCCGCCCCCTTGCTGGCAAACAAGGCGATTGAAATGCAGGATAGGAGCAGTGGGATGGAAAGGGGACGTGATAGGAGTGAGGGGCTCAACCGAGTAACCACACCACGCTGCACTGCACTCTCCTAAAGTACTGAGTAACAAGATGTGCAATCACAAGCAACCACCCTGTTGACCTCTTAACGATCAAATCCACGGGAGGGTGACACAAGCACGGTATAAGGGGAGAGAGGAGGAAGGGGAGGAGGAAAGGGGAGGATTGGAGACATGGTCCAACATCCCAAGCCGCAAGAAGGAAAGAGAGCAGCAAAGGACGAAACCAGCTCCAGTCAGAGACTCAGAGGGATGCCCACAGTTTTATCTGAACGAATCTGCTTCGTAGGCACGACGTTTGTGCCCAACAATGCCCGACCGGGTGAGCGCCAGCGCCAACGATGAACCGCATGAGCGCGTTTGACATTGCCACTTCACTTACGGAGTACTGTACTTCGGCAGTGCGCCAAATATCCAGCTTGTCTTTTGCCCAGGGGATCCAGGCAATCGGGGAGGTCGGACCAGATTTCAAAGTCAAGATGTGGTTTAACCTGCAGGGTCAAGAAGGAAAATAAAGAGGACCTGTTCCGTGACTTATTTCGACACTTGGCCAATAGAGCGTCCACCGTGGGGGAGGAAAGCGTCCATGGGCATCAAGGGGCGGAACGGCGACAAAGTCTTGCAGCTACAGGACCTGTGGCCCAAGCCAAATCAAAGAGAGTCTGTTCGATACAATTGTTCAAATCGGAAGGGAGCATGCCGTGTCTGCCAAATCAACATTGAGCAAAAAAGAGCCAACGTCGAAAAGGCGAAGGTCGAGCGGCTTGGTGCAGGGAAAGTCGACCGTTTAGGAGCGAAGCGGCCATTCACGTCCAGCCAGCAAAGCCCGCTTAAGTAGGGAACCTGCAAGGATGATGCACGTCCAAAGGGAGATAGGGCAGGTGAGCGGGCGTTACAGCTTGAACTGACCCAGGGGCATTAACAAGACGAAAGAATGGGAGTGATGGACATAGTACCGATCACCTACGTAAGCTATTTTATTGTGTCTCTTTCAATATAAGACATGATATCGCTGGCTGTGGGAAAGTCGCGAGTCCCAACTTCTACACTCGAGGGGGCCATGATCCTAATCGAATTCCACAAAGACGAGATATAACCTGCATCCCATCATCCATCGTCCTGGCATTCGCCAATCTGGCCTTTCTACTAGTAAAATTTAGTTGGAGTTTTCTCCTTCGATCTCGATCCCTTGTCCCAGAAGATGTAGCCGGGACTCTTTTTGGCACCTTGCAGCAAATCCGGGTGATTCCTCTTCCAAATTGCGTCTGCATCATCAGGAAACCTCTCAGTCCCTCGTGGCACAAATCTCACGGCGACATGGCCTCCCCGCATCTGCAATGAGATAATCACACTGAGATTGTGAAGCAGGAGATCTCTGGCGCGGCTCGCGGCCTTTTGCCAGACATCTGCGCGAGTATCTTCGTCCATTGAGATGACCTCCTCATCACTAGCCCACTGATCGACAGCGAGTTCAACGGAATGGTTTTGTAGGACAACAGCTAGAGCAGCCAGGATTTCCACCTGCGCGAAGCGTCTCCCGAGACAGGCACGATAACCTTCACTGAACGGGATGTATGCTCCTTTTGGAGGTCGAAACAGCTTTTCCGAAGTATCAGCCGACTCATTTACGCCGAGACCATCCGAAGTGACCGTCTCGCCTGGCATTTCCTTCTTGCCGTTTGCTGCCGTTTGCACGTCTCCATTATCATCCACGAGCCAACGTTCTGGTCGGAATTCCTCCAGATCATTATCAATATTTGCGACAGGATGTACGGGTTTTCCGCCGGGCAACGTCGGTTTGCCAAATGGCCAGTACTTCGGATGCCGGTGCACAGCCGAAGCGTTCAAACTGATGTATATTCCACCTGGAACAGTGCAGCTATTCCCATCAACAGTAAGTTGTTGATCTCTGACGCCAATTGTCGATTTGGGGATACCGACAACTGGAGGCACCAGGCGTAATTCTTCATTCAGTACTGCACCGACCATACCACCGAACAAAGCAGGCAGATCTCGGTCATAGTCCCATTCCGAGGGAGGCTTCCCTTGAAATATTCGGTCAAGATCTTGCTGGACGGCTCGCTGAGTCTTCGGATTCAATGCCAGGTGCAGCAAAGAAAAGTGAATTGAGTTGGCAGCGGTCTCATGCCCGGCCAGGATCAGGACGAACATGTTCCCTAAAATCTCCGAGTCTGTGAGATGGACATCCTTGCTTGTTTCTGACTGAAGCTGGCCCTTGACCAGCTGGCCCAGAATGTCCATAGACTCGTTTTTCCCGTCTTGACGGCTGAGGTGCTTCTTCTTGGACCCCACAGCTTCTTTCATGTAATTACCCCATTCTTGGTAGGCCTCGTTCGCCTTTCGGAATAGCGCGAGTGGCACTCGCTGAAGCAGCCAACGAGGGAGGATGAACTGGAGAATGATATTGTCCAGTAAGCAGTGAATAGCATACGTATAGCTCATGGAATGGCCGGGATCCTTCTCGTCTGTCTGGTTCTGAATCTTGGATGGGTCGACATAGTTGACATCAATATCGGCCTCGGCGTCCGCAAACGGCCATTGAAGCTTCCTACCAAACCCGGCGCGGCTAATAACATACAAGCTCAGTCTCATGGTATCATCCATGACACGGTCAATGGTGACATTACCCTTACCATCAGGGCCTAGCCAGGAAGCAAGCATGTCAGAAGCCTGATCAATGGTCTCGGAGAAGACAAGGTGATTGTTCTTCTCGGTGAACGGCGGGCTGGTGGCTTTTCGATGCTGGCGCCAGACAGCACCTTCGGTGGAGACAACGTTCTTGCCATAGAGATCCAGGGAGCGATAGATCTGGGTGGGCTTGGGGAAGTCATTCCTTCGCGAGGTGATCTGGGAAATTACTGAGGGATCGACCGTGTTCATGATGATGCCGCCAGGAGAGACGGCGAGGAAAGTATCATGGCCCATGAGTTCAAAGGTCTCGATACTGTTAAGAAAAGGGAAATCAGGCATGCAAATGTCGACCCATCGTGTCCAGTTGCGAGGCAGTTTGGCCAGCAGGGGGGCCCATAGGCGGTGGGTCACTAGCCAAAATCGATTGAGCAGGTAGACGGGGACAACGACATAAGGAAGGCCAGATTGTTTGGCCTTGACTAAGTTGCGACGAAAGCAGAGATAGTAATTGACAGAGTAGTAGACGAGATAGGTAAGAAGCCCAATCCCAAGCACTGAGGGCATTTTCGGGAGGATCTGAATCGGGGGGTTGCGTGTTGTTAGTGATGGGTGACACGGCGACTATTCTTCGCAATGTGGATTACGTCGCTGAATCGGAATACAAATAGGGAGAGGAAGCTAGACAACGCATCTCATGTGAACAATATTCTAGAACGAGTTTGTGTGGAAGGGGAGAGCGAGAGGAAAGGTGGTCTCTGCTCCCGTGTAAATAATTCCTGAGACGGTGAATGTTTTGGAATGAGTTGAAGAAGATCCGGATCTCAAAAGGGGAAGGAAGGAAGAACCGGCGGCAGCAAGTGCCAGGGGCTCAGTTGCAGGCAGTATGTATTATTAGTTGGAAGGCCCTACGTTGATAGCGAGAGGGGTTGAAACTAGTACAAAGAAAAAGCAAAAGAGTAAGCAAGAGGATGATGATGGTGATGATGATGATGATGATGATGATGATGATGATGATGATGATGATGTTGATAGAGTCGTGTCTTTGACGTATGTAGGGTTGGTAGTCCAATGTAAACACACCGTCTCTCGAATATCTTCGAGAGGCTCGTGCACGATCGAAGCGAGCTGCATCTACCAGGTCGCTTGGAAGGATACACCCAGTAAGCAAGACGAGTTGAGATCGCGAGTTGGTTGCCTTGCACCAGTTATGATTGCTTGACTCCGTGAGATTCTACGAGTATGTGCGAGAGGCACCCAAGGGCGGGGTACCAGTCAATACCTGAAACAGTATGGAATACGAGGTAAGAGGGCCAGCAGAACAGGGTGCAGGATATCTGTAATGCAAATGTAATGTCTTGTTCTTTTGTCCGTGGTCAGGGGATACTGGAGACATGGCTCGGTGTAAATACAGCAGCCTCTGGTGATGTGATGTACTGTAACCAGCCTAGGAGGCACTCGGAGGACTATGAACAGCAGCTGTCTGCGATTATCGTTCCCTCAGCCAGCACATCATATAGACTTCAGAATGGGACGTAAGATGCAAACATATAGATCTCACAATGCTCTCGGCAAGAGATTGGGTGCGTCGCATTGAGACTCTATTGCTCATCCTTGCTGCTGACCACGAGACCCTTCAAGGGGTGCGACATTTGTCTTGGTCAGACACGCGCAATTACAAAACACTCAAAGAACTTCGCGCCAACTCGTCAGACCCAATACAGCATAAGAAAAAGCCCCTTTCTAACCAGCGGCTCAGAGGTACAAACTGCCCACAATATCCTTATCATCCCCCAAAACCCCACTCAGCGACTCCTTCGCAGTTCTTTCATACTATTCCTGTTGTGCATAGCGTGGTGTTGGTGGTGGTCGTAGACAGTGCCACTCTGGCTGTGTCTCCAAGTCCTTGTTACCTCATCGTCCCGGTTCCATCCATCCACTCTCTAAGCGGTGGCCTGCTCAAGACGTGCTCCTTGACCCTGAGGCTCAGCCGATGCCGTTTCGGCCGTCGGGCTTGAGATCGATGGTTCAGCAGTGTCGGCTTCTGATGTAGCTCGTGTGCTATCCCGCTCCCGCTCAGTCGGCATCAGATTCGAACCTAGACCACCTGCATTCGAGTGGACGGGCTCCAGGTTTGGTTGCCACATTTGTAGTTCTTGTTCGGCGTCGGCAAGGATCTGCCTTGCATCGCTCGCCTGGGCGAAAGGTTGGCGCACATCGCCCGGAACCACAGGTGTATCGTCGAGCAGGTTCAGAATGCGTCGTCCGTGCTTGGCCAGAATGATCTGTTTTTCGGCTCTCTCAATGGTTGCGGCGAAATGCACATCGTATGCTTCTTTGACCTTTTGGCGAGTCTGTCGATCTGTCAGCAAGCTCGGTATTCCCGGCCAAGGGTAGACTTACAATGTTTGTCAACTGTGCTTCAGCAACCAGGTTCTGTGCCTCGGCTCGGACGAGTTCCTGCTCTAGAGTGACCAGCTTGGGGCTCGATGGCTCCTTGTACTTGAGTTTCTGGATCTCATCACTAATCTTAGCCTTCTGGTCTCGGCTGGGTTGGACACTGGCCTCGATGTTTCTGATTTGCTTCAAGATAGCCCGATAGTCCTCGAGATTCTGGACAAATAGATCTTCCTGCTCGCCTATCTCGGAGAGAATGACACCGATTTTATCCGAGACATCAGAGACAGAGTCATCGTTGGTAGACTCGCCCCAGTCCGACAGCTGCGAGGCAATGGACAAGCGCTCACGGCCAGCGGTCTCATAGGCATTGATGGCATGGTTCTCGGTCTTGATGATCTTGAATAGCTTCTTGGAGAGCTCGGCTTGAGGAATTCCTCTCAGGGTAGATATGGAGAAGGTATGTTTTGAGGCAGTTTTGGAATGGTCATCCTTCTTGCGGGACCGGATGGATAGCGCGCGGTTCATGGTGGATAGAGGTAGGCCTGATTGTTGATGGTGTCTCGTGAGTGGGAGTGGGAATGATGCAAGCGGAGTATGATGTAAAGGGCAAGGCTACTCTACTAGGAGGGGCAGCTTTGTGTCAGCCGATTAAAATGGGCTATATAAAGGAAAGAGAAGGAAAAGGAAAATCCAAAGCTGTGACGATAGAGTTGGAGCTGGAGCTCCGTTTGACTCTGGGATCTGGATTGGGTGCGGGAGTACGAGAAGGACACTGAAGCCGAGCAGCAGCACAAGCATCAAAGCACAGAATCAGAGAATCGCAGGCAGATCGATGATGGAATGCGAAGAAATGCAATGACGTATGTGGAATGCATCGCTTGGCGGGGTTCGAGACCTTGACTCCCCCACCAATGCCACCATCATACATCACCCAAGTTCAACTAGCATTTCCCAATGCTACCCAAGATCAACGCATCGATAGAATGGCAATGGCCGGTGTGATGATTATTGATGGTTACGGGCAATCAATTGATGATCGTACACGTACACATCCACATTCTGTCCTCCGTATTTGCTTGCTATCGACTCCATGCTGAAAACCAATCTAAACAGTACAAACGGCAACATATACGCAGATATCGCTCATATCTTTTACTTCAACTTTCGTTTACACTTTCTTTAAAAGGGCAGTATAACAGGTCCATCGCACCGTTCACCAAGCACGGGATAAGAAAACACCAAGCTCAAAGAATTGCTAGCCCATCAGCGGTGATATTGTCGGCTTCTTCGCTCCTCTGTGACAATCCTCGTGCGGCTACCACTGCGACCAGGTGAATCGCTGTGATGGTGGTGGTGGTGGTGATGCTCGTGGCTGGGACGGTGAGCTGAAGTCGATCGTCTAGTCACGGTCTCCCTTCGGTACGTGGCTACTTCTGGCCGAGAGACGTATTCTCGCGAATATCGAGGTTGTTTGTACTCATGCCGTCTGATGATGACACGATCACTGTCCTTGCTGCTGCCGAAGCACATCGTGATGGTTTGAGAGGTTTGAGTGGACACAAAACTCTGCTTTGTGTAGATGTATGTTTAAGCCTTCTTGTCGATTGAAGATTGCATCTGTTGATAAAGAAATTTATCTTTCGTTCAAAAGGATTTGCGGTTGACAGACAAGACGCCGACTGGAGAAAAGAACGATTATCCGTCGTTCTTGAGGGATATTAACTAGTGTACAGTAGGCAGAATAGTTTGCCTGGTATCCTGATCAGATGACCTAGACGCAGTCACATAAATATCGCCCAAGGCAGACAATTGACGAAGAATTGTATTTATGTACAAATAGAAAGATTGAAGTCAGCTGTCTTAGAATCATACGCCTATTGATATAGCCAAACGATGATTCAAGGTCACCAGCCGTTTTCCTTGATTACGTCCGGTGGACTTCGACGATGTCATCGAGTGGCTGGGCAAGACATGGTCCCAGAAACGGTGGGTGGGTTTGTAGCCATTTTAGCGAATCTCGCCTTCAGACAGGGGCGCCTTTACAGGGATAATTACCTCGCTTGGCTGGTAACCGTCAAACCCATGTCTTGCGACTCGCTAGAAACAAAGAAAGAGCAAGGTACTGGGCACCTCGTAGCTCAAGCGTTCGCGCCTGATAAAAAATGAAGTGTAGTTTTTACCTCTCGGACAGATCGTCCACCGGTTGGGCCTGGATACCTGCTGCTACTGATACAACTAGCGAGGCCTTTACACTTTCACCCATGTGAAATACGAGGTCCTCGTGGGGGAGAAAACTGGAAACCGGGCAGTCAATTACATAGTATGATCACATGTTGCATGCCCAATGCCACCCTTAATGGTTCGCTTTGGTTCGCTAAAAGCTGTCTCATTTCTGGGGACTTAGGGAGGAAAATCTTTGCTGATAAAGGTTGTATATTGTATTCGGCACGAAGGATACAACTCCTTAGAGAGGCTACTGACGCCGTTGAGGACGATCAGGAGCACATCAATGCGACCTCGCTTCAATTCAATAGAGAGTGCTCACTTGTTTTCATCTCCTTGTCTGTTATCTAAGGAGGACAAAGGAGGACGTGGATGCAACCAGTACGATATAACGCTACGGTGGCAGGCACTTTGTCAATACGGGCCCTAAGTGTAGAGAGCAGAGTGCGCAGTAATGAACACACACCGGGTTGCTCAAAGCAATGTGCTTGGAGCTGAAGCCGGAACATGGTAGCTGGAGACTTCTGATTTCGGTTGCTGAACGGAGGCACGCATTCTCATACGGCACTTCTGATGGTTTACTACCAAGCACACATACAGGATGGGGACGATCCTAGTTGTGATGATGTTGCTGTTCGAGGCCTTGGTTACGATGATGCTCCTCGTCCAGGTCGTGCTCATGGTCATGTCCCACTTCGAGCCCGGGATTCTGGTTATATTCGTCTTCGGGGTCATAGTGCTGCTGCCACTGTTCACCGTCGCCCTGCTGCCCTTCAGCATAACCATGGTTATCATATGGGTGATTTTCTCCTTCGCCAGCATAAGGTTCAGAGTCATCCCACTCTGCTCCATACTCTGCGTGTATTTCGAGTTCGCCTTCGTTTGCATGATCTTGCTCTTCCCAGTGGTCTCCCATACCATCCTCATTCTCGTAGCATTCGTCGCCAGGCATTTGCTCTTCCTCATGGTGGTGCATTTGATCTCTTTCTTCGGGGTCATAGTAGCCATGATGACCAGCAAAATCATGTTGTTCGTCTCCTTTTTGCTCATCATGGTGATGTGGATCTGCCTGATTCTCCCCTTCATGCGCCTCTTCAAAAGGCTTGTCCTCATCACCTCGGCCTCTCTCATGGTACTCCTGATCATGTCCATCTTCCAAACCTTCTGTCTCATATTCGTGAGCCGTATCGTCCTCTACCTCATGCTCATCTTCTTCATCGTCCTCTACCTCATGCTCATCTTCTTCATCGTCATCTTCCTCCTCTTCATCAGAAGAATGGTCCCATCTCTCGATATCTGACTCCTCATCATACAATTCTTCGACGTGACGCGGCATATACCTACCATATTTGTTGAGGTAGTGAGTGTCTTCATTCGGCAGCTCGTCGTCATAGTCGTCCTCTTCTGTCACTATTCGTATATTCATTCGTCGATGATGGTGCTTCATTGGCCTGCGAGACTCATCTTCGCCTTGCTGTCCTTCGTCGTCGTGCTGGTCCGGTACGTCTCCATATCTATCATAGTTCACATCATCGTAGTGAGCTTCGTCTTCACCCCCATGGGTTCCATGCTCGTGTGAGGCTGGGTCGTAGTCCTGGTAGTGGTCTTCCATGCTGGCTGATTATTGAGAGCAAAGAGTCTCAGAGAATAGATATTTGAACAACAATGGGAGCCTCGATCCGGAAATAAGGGCGGTGAACTTGAATACCCTAGAGGTCCTCTGGCTAGCCATAGCCTGCTGGGCTTCGATCAAAGAGTTATTTTAGGTAAAAGCCCAGGGAGGGGAGGTGATTTGGAAACAAACCCAAGGACCGCCCAAAAGCCGCGTGGAATCCTTGTATGAGAAGAATCCAAGTCTCCGCCGGTTAGGCACCCGAGTTCAATCTTCTTTGCCCGCTAGTCTACAGGAACACGCACTCAGTCATTTCCACAAGAGTCCAGCTCATTCTTGGGCGAACCTCGACATTGTAGGGTTTCGGTGTCCATCCCCCCTCCGCCACATCACGTTTCCAATGCATGAGAAGCATCGGCCTAACGAGTGGGAGACAAAAAGGGGTCCTAGCGATGGCGGCGAGGGGTATTGACTGGCTCAGCTGCCGAGGCCTGACTTGTTCACTCCGTAGGTGAAGAAGCGAACAGAAATCCCAGTCCGCTGCGTGCCATGATTTCAGGCCACCAGATACCAAAAGGTCGGAAGCCTGCAGCATCATAGGGCTGGGCGGTGAGACTCAGTGGGTGGAGCATGCGAAATTGTACTTTTCGATGCGTACACGAGCTGTTTCCAATTTCGGATTGCTTTGTACGGGTAATGTTTCTCCGCCCCGCGGGTTTGAACACGCATTGTACCGAGCATAGGTCTGATACAAATCTGAGCTAGGATGGTGAACAGTGAGCATCGGGCTATCTTTTTTTCATGATAGGGCGACCATTCGTCTCCGAGTCCTCTTCGATAACCTCTCTAGAGCACCGAATCAGTGGCCATACCGCCTAGGACCCAAGGGGGTCTTGCGAGCGTTGTGCTGCTTTTTTTGCCCTGTATTGTATGGTTTCCAATGTCATCTTCCTCCTTGAGTTTAGAATGGTTTGCAACGGGAGATGCTAGATTGGTAATCACGAGTTGGGGCTTGTGAATCAACCCCGATCGCCGCTTGGTGTTCATCTTGATAGACCACGCACGGGTGACCACGAACTTGTGGTCTGCTTACTTTGTGGGTTGTAGTGAGACAGACATTCTTGGGCTCACGGACGGGGCTACATATTCGTCAGCAAGGCTCAGAGCTCCACACGGACATGGCGGAAGTCTACGAGTGGTGGGTATTCCGTACTCCGTACATTTCTCGCCAAAAATCGACCCAGCGCCGAATGCATTGGCCGCTAAAGCTTTGTGGGACATCTGGGATACATGGCTCCACATTCTGCTGCGTACTCCGTTGATGTCACACGAGCAGCACCAGGGCCATAATATGGAGTGCATTCTCAGGAATTCCTTACGGACGAAGTACTAATGTCCGCTGATAGATTCCGCGGATGGAGGGAATGGTCATTGAGTAAGAATACGCCCAGGCTCTACCTACAATCTTTCCGTCAGGCCAACCAAGGTGGGCTTCAGCTCTGCCATCATCTTGTCGTGGTTGATTCTGGCGTTGATTTGTGCTAGCACATCTCCAGCTCATGTTATACGTTTGTCTCCCTTGCTCCCCGCTCCCCCATCGGCGTCGGCAGATCCGATCTAAAAGTCTCCCAGGGCTTCCATAACTCGAACCATTAGGCGAAGAAGGTTGGGCTTAGACTGGAGCGCTGAGTAGTCGTCCAAGTCTCAGGCACCCCTTCTATTCATAGGAATGATTTCTCGGTTTGTTGAAAGAGCGATTTGGCTGGTCCGTTGGGACAAGGCTTCTCGTGTATCAGGAGGTATAAGTGATATTGTTTCTCACCTTGACGCAATCAAGATGAAAGGTACTAGAAGGTGAAGAGATACTCATAAACGCTTCATAAAGAAGAACAGTCCCCATCTGACGACAGATAAGCGTCTCGAATCATGTCGTTTCCTCCTGGCCGAGGAGGTCCTCCATCTGGGGGACTCCCTCCACTTCCTAGAGGAGGCCCTGCACCGGGAGGGTTTCCTCTTGTCCCCTCTAATCAGGCACCACCTCCTTCCAGAGGACTCCCTCCCGTTCCGAGAGGACAACCTGGAGTTCCCCGGGGAGGATCTCAGGTCCCTAGAGGAGGCGCACAGGCACCGGGAGGAAGGCGAGCACCTCCTGGCGCAGGAACACCTGGTCCGCCTGGTCTGCCACCCAGTGCATCACTTCCTCCCAGTCCCGCCCACTACCGGGTCGCCATTTTCGCCGATCTGAATCATCAACTCGGCAGTCGAGATCAAGATATAGGGGTCCTCCTCAACCCGGCAGACTACAAACATGTCGCCATAACTGAGGCGATGGATACCGCTTTGAAAGTGCTTCTCACTCTTGATGCAAGGGAGGTCTTCCAGGAGATGGCAGAAATATGGGGAACTCGTCATTACCGTGACATCGATATTGATGCAAAGGCAGTCGAATTTCAAAGTCACATGGCCCATACGCTGCGGAACAGGCTACAGTGGCCACTGATCATTATAGACTGGTCGATTGAGGGCCATGTAGCAGCGATAACCGGTACAAACGCACCTAGGGCCAGGGTAACAGGGTTCGACTGGAGGAATACAACACTGCACGTCAAAGGATCTGTAAGCTGCTATGGGTTCGAAACTCCATATGGCACACTGACAAGACCTGCAGATGTTCGAGAACCTGAGAGCCGAAGCTGCAGGTGGCCCCGCAAGAAGGGGCTTTTATATAGTTCGATGGACAATCCTTGTGCGGATCCTAGTTCATGAAATGGCCCACCTGTTCCTCAGTTTTCTCGCTGTGACGGTCGCTGGTGACTACCGAGAATCCACACCACCAATTGGGGAAATGACGCTGACAGGATCAATTTCTGGCCCATCGCATCCAGAGTCCGGTTGGTATCTAGAGTGGAGACTGTTTGGTGGGACTTACATTGGGCTCCCTGAAGGACGAACTCAAAAACACATAGAAGTCGTCCAGGTATGCGGGTTCAAGAGCAGTGATGCACCTACTAACAAGAGTCACAGCCCAGAATACCCGGTATAAGGTCGCGGCCGCAAAGTGGCACGCAAAGTGTTCTTTCGGTGCATCGACCAGCGAACCTGTTGGCGTTTTATAATGGTCGGAGATCACAAGCATGTAAGCCTGTTCCTGCGCGCAAATGACCATGAGATGGTGGACGCGGCCTATGGTGGAGTGCTGGATTAATAGTGACTTTGCGTTTAGTTTCCAACAGTGTTGTGAGGACATGGTGCGAAGCCTACGCTGTTGATGGAACTCCTCAGTCATACACCCGATTCCGGCAAGAGTTCCAAGCAACTTTCAACGCTGACTTTCCACTGCCGGATATAAACCAAAACACGATAACTCAGCCTGCACTCAACCGAGCGCCACCAGATATCATTAGCCAGATACAGCAGGGACTTCAAAATCCACAAAAGCGGATTAACACCGTTACCCCGGAAGTTCGCGAGGCACCAAACGGTACGTTCTCTCCAGCTCTGCCTGTTTGTTGGACTGATTGGCCCGCTGTAGTTGCTTAGGACATGTCTCAAGCAACAGTGACAGCTCCAAAGGCCAATGACTATCGCCTGATATATTGATCAGGCATTAGGCGCTCGTCCTACCTGTATTCACAAGTTCTCCGCTTTTGTCTTTTTATCTCTTATTATTTCGGATCTTTTGGGCGGAAGCTTATACCATTTCTTGAAACCAGTTGCCAGTGGACAGCAGTTAGTAGACGAGGTGCGAGACCGCATGGGTTATCCGCCGAGAATGGAGCCAGGAGGCCCGCGAGTATTATAGCAGGCCACGAAACGGTGGCACACGCATAGCCATCGAGTAGGCCTCATGTTCAAGATATTGTTTTGTTGCGCACACCACTTTTCAGCCTTTCATGAGCGCAGCTAGTCTATCGAGTGAGGATGGGAAGGAGGCCCAGGCAGAAGCGCCGTCGCTAGATATAAAAGGAGACAATATGCAGTAAAAAAATAAATATGAAGATGATCAGCGAAAGAAATATCCCCTACTTGGCCCACCAAATGAAGTCCTTTACGATCGACCTCGGGTCTAATTACAGTGAGAGCTCAGGGACCATCCACCGCACGGCTCGGAGAAACGTCAGTCCGGTCCATGTCACACGAGTAGACGTCTTCATCGTCAAGGACAGCCTCACGAAACAACGTCCAACAAACGTATCAAATTGGACCATCCAATCCCACAAAAGGCATGTATCACAATCCACCGCACCAGTAGTACCCACCTTCACTTCGACCATGTCGCAACGATGAATCCAACAAGCACCCCACTAGCGACGTCTAAGACCGAAGAGTCACCACGGCCTCACCGCCCGCGTGATGATGGCGATGTCGATGTCCTCCATCTCCTGACACTCCCCACCGAAATCCGCATAACGCTCTACCAGCATCTCTTCTCATGCCCACATCCAATTAAAATCGAATCCTCGCACGAAGAACACGCCTACGACTTTGACCAAAAAGAAACCACCGACACTACGACCAGAGTCATACCATGGACGCTCCGCCGACCCAACATACCAAGGGACGGCCTCTCCGCCCAATTCCTAGCTGTGTGTCAAACCGTCCGCGCGGAAGGCACGCCCTACCTGTACAGTACCAACACGTTCGACTGCTCATCGCGGTCCGCCTTGCCCGTGCTCCTCCAACACCTCTCCCCCAGCACATCCTCGCTCATCCAACACGTCATCCTCGACTGGGAACAGCTCCAGGATTTCGCCTGGTCGCTCGCGAAGCCCTCGCAGGTCGCCGCGACAGCGGGCCTGCAGGTTCTTGATCTCGCGACCTGGCGGACCCGCGTGCTGGGCGGCTCGAGCGTGCACTGGGGCAACGTCAAGGCATGGGAGCGCGAGCTGTGCCATGCCGCGCTGGATATCTGTGCGCGGCATCCCCTGCTGCATAGCGTCTTGCAGCGCCCGTTTCATCGCTCGAAACGAGCGGTCGATACTGCTGGAATCCCGAGGACGACTCACCGCGTTAAGTGGCGATTTGTTACCGAGGAAGCTAGCGTGGCAGGGGCTAGTTCTGGGAATTTTGAGTACGAGAGCGAGAGAGTGCTCAATTTGCAGCACGAATTGGCCCTGTTGGGCCCTGTCGCTACTACTGCTGAGCATACTGACAACATGCCTTCTGCCCAGGGCGTGCTCGATCCATTCTAAAGTCTACTACTGGGGTACATACCGGCGGATATGTTTAAAGTTTGAAAATAATGTCTATTGTGACCTAAACGTGGAACTTGAATCTGCATGATTAGACGAATCTTTTTTGTTAAAACGTGCTCTTCCCAGGAAAATAAACTATTTCTGAAGCCCTTTCAACTGGGCCAAAAACATTGACACGAGGCTCACGATTCAAATACTCTCGGGCACTCCTCCCTGCACATTCATAGTAGTACAAAGATCACAAGTATGCCTAAGCCATCGCAAGTTTCTCATAGTCGCAATCATCACCTGGATACCTCCACCGTTTGAGACTGGCTCATCGCTGCTGCTGCAATGGCCGGCGATTGTGATTTCGTTGGTCCTTGACCTTCCCCTGCCCCGACAAATTCACTCTTAGGCGGGTCTGCAATCCCGTCATATCGGCCAGTCACACTTCCAGCTATTTGTGCATAGCTAGGCGTCGGTGGAGTTCCTGGGTTTGGTCGCTGATAGGGGTATGGATTCTGTGTAAGACCCCTAGGAGTGTACATCACCATTGGCTTCTGTGGCGATCCAGACCGTGCTAGTGCCGTCATGGGACTATCCTGTGCGCGCTGCTGATATCCCGGCTGTGTCGGTCTCTGGCCAAGGCCTGGAGTCTGTGCTTGAACCTGACTGTTTGTATAATTGCCGAGACCGTTCTGCAATGAACGTTGATACTGCTGAATGGTCGCTCGAGTGCTGCTGTAAGGCGTGTTCTGGGGCTGATACGGCGTCTGGGAGTAAGGTGGCCGAGCTACCGTTGGTGTCTGATAATTTGGAGCAGTTCTCACACCATAAGGTGCAGTAGCAGGTACCGAGGAATTGAACGTTCTGGCTTGAACATTGAAGGCGGGAGTAGTGGTCTGAGGTTGTGTGTAACTGGGACGGACTTGAACTGTTCCTCCAGGTCGATTCGCCGCTGATGTGGCTGTTACGCTGGTTCGCTGTCCATTCGCTGCATACTCCTCAAGTTGTCCGGTTCCAGCATATTCGGGTGCTTTGGTTAGTAAGTTAGTGGAAATGTTCAATTTTTCAAGCTGACCGCCATTCAATTTTGCCACCGCGAAAGGGGGTAAGCCATCCACGAGAAGGCGAATTTGAGTCCGTAGCATTTCAAAGGTATCAAACTCTTGTCCTGACGGTTTGGGTGCGCGTCCTGGGGGATCAAGGCTCCGGTTTTCTTGATATGAGCTTAATGTTTGGATGAGATCAGAGACTTCCTGCAGAAGCTCATCGGTATCTTTGTTCTCTTCTGAGGGGCCGTCAGGAAATGCCTCATGTTCATCTGGCACCCAATTCTTAAGAATGTTGTCAAATTCTTCAAGCCCCTGTGTCGTATCATAGTCATCATCCAATTCTTGACCGTCAGTTGCAGTAAACAGTGCCGATATCTTTCGAGACCCCGACTTTCGCCACCAACGTTCGCTAATGTCCTCTGACGAAATAAGGGCTGCGGAATTGTCTGAGGTTGGAGCGAATGAAGAATAGACACTGCGGAATAGTGCGTCATCATCCGTGAGACCTGGCTGCAACAATTCGTTGGCAAGCAACCCTGAGTTGAAATCGTTGCCAGCAGATTGAGAACTTGTCTGAAAATTGTTCCCTCCGTATGATACCCAGGAGCCAGCGGGCAGTCTCGCATTCCTGTAGTCACCCTTGATGTTTAGAGAGCGGTCGAAAATGTCGGAGTGCGGAATGAATTTCAACTGGTTGGAGGTTGTAGAAGTTCGAGATGGTCGGGGTTCTTCTAATAGTCTCGCTCGAGCGGCGGTTGGTAGGCCAAAAACCTCACCAAAAGACCGAGGGCCCAGCTTCCGCGATTTTGTGCCTCCGTTTAAGGCAGCAAAGGCGGTTAATTCAAAGCCATTCGGTAGGGCAAGCCCGTCAATGTCACCCCCTGCACCCCCTTCATTCTCTCCTGTAGTCCGTCGCTCCTGCAACCCCGAGAACAAGTGTTGCATCTGCCCATTAGTTTGCGTTCGAAGGGATAGAACATGGCCCGTGCGTGCATTTGACTGAATGGGGTCGTTGACTTCTTCTACAGCGTTGCTCGGCGTATGGCCGTTAGGAAGTTTTGTAGGCTCTTTCAGGTAGCCGCCGACCAAGCTGACGAGATGGGTTAATTGCGCCTTGAGATCGACTTCGGAAGATGTTACGGTCGGAGTCTGTCCGTTCAGATTTGAATGAGAGAACCCATCAAGGAGGGCACTTCTGGCAGTATTGACATCCTCCATCAAGGATTCCAGCGAAGTGTAAGAATCTGTGAGGATGCGGTGCTCGATAGTGTCGTTTGTCTTGTCGACATCTGCAAGGCGTGCCTTTTTAGCACTGGGGCTCTCCGAGCTTGAAGAAGGTAGATGACACTTTAGAAGCGATGGGCGAGTGTCATGTCTAATCGAGTCAGTTAGTCAGTATGGGTATGGATAAGTGGAGTTTTGACTTACTTCCGGAATAAACATAGGACGTTCTGAAGAGTATGATGAAGCGAAGGGTCTTGTAATTTTTCGGCGGGAGTGGTTGGCTCGGGGGATAAGGTTCTTTTTCGCTTGCCTAAGTGGGAAGATGCAATTGCGATGGTGTCGCCATCGTGGTTTGAAGATATGCCATTGGTTTCGGCCATTCTGTTTCTTTACGCGCGTCGTTGTCGCTTTAAGGCGTCGTAGATGGATTATTGGGTGAATTGATGATATGAATCTTTCCCACTCAGCGATTGTCTGTTCCGGACCACTTGAGACGAGTCATATGCATTTGAAGAGGGAGCGACAGGTGGGCAGTGAGTAATGTGCGAAAAGCTAATCGTGGTTGGATCGGACTGGAGCGCGAACGCAGGGAGATCTGCGGAAGGGCAGGGAGTCTGGAAGGGTGGAGGTCCGAGGGCTTTGGGGATCCACGACCAGCGGAATCTTCGATGCAGTGGTTCAGCTTGTGGACAAATAATACCGAGCCCAATCAAGAAAGCGCTGGAAGGGATGAGGAAAGTACGCAAGGTACACGGACTTTTGTTCGCGTAGAGTAATGTTTGCAGAGTCAGAAGATCGGGAGAAGTTTGTCCTGGTCGCTGCAACCGCATACTAAGTTAGTAGTTGGCCATCTGAACAGGCTCGCTAGTTGGCTTGGCATTGCTTGTTATGCCACTAGGATGAATTGCTAGCTCACCCACTAGCAAAGCACTAGCAGTCTCGACTATTGTATTGCCTCAGTAAAACAGCTCTCATATCTCTTTGATCTCAAGCTGGGTACCCAAGATGCTGCATATAGTCACATGCCTACTTGGTGCCTAAGGTAGTGATCGAGGTACATAGGTAGGCTACATGGACACTCGCACACTTCAGCTGAAATCGCTTGATCTCTTATCATAGGGACATTCTTCATGATGTTAATATTTTGACGGGAGCCCAGCTCGGATCTATCCTAATCGCCAGGACACATCCGCTTTCTATATGTCGGAAGGAAGCAGCCGAAACGATTATTTCCCCTTCATGCATTAAAGATTGGCAACGCATCGCGAGGACAATGTCGCCACCTTCAACCCTCTTAGGAAGATGACATCCGTTTCCATCCGAACTAGACTTATTCCACTCCCAACACGTACTTTCCTCCTCTGGCAATCCTGGATCAATAACAAACACCACATGTCCGAAGACCCGCGAGTCTAAGTGCTTTATCAAGCATGTGAGCCGTCAGTTGTGAATGGTGTGCGAAAGCCAAAGAACCCTGGCGGATATCAGGAATCTGGGGCAGATATTGCCTATGTCCTTCAATCGAAGAATATAAATGTAGTGACACCTGTAAAGGAGCCACTTCCTACTCAGGACAATGGGTTTTGTTTTCCGGACACCGTGGCCGGCATATTATATGTAATTCAGCAACGTGCAAACACTCTGTGGGCGAATACAACATTGTTTGCTGATCATCCTTTGCAAACCTCGACTGCCCTGGATGAGTACACGGAATGTGTTAAAGTGGTTGGTCAACCTCCAAAGTTTGTGGAGCAATATGACGATGAGAACTATGTCAACGAGCTCCTCCGATCTAACGGCTCATTCACCATGCCTAAATGCTGGATCGCCCGCTCAGATCCGAATTCCGCTTTGGGTATATCGACACTCCCCTACCCAATTGTTGGCAAGCCTGTCCGCAGTCGCGGTAGTCATGGAGTGAAGCTGTGTAAGTGCGAGAGAGAACTGTCAGATCATCTATTTCTTCTCTTTAAGGAATCACCAATTGCCATCTTAGAAGAATACCTGTCTGGACAGGAAGCTACGGTGACTGTGATGCCCCCTCTGACGAGCATCCTAAGTATTGGGCAATGCCTATTGTTGTACGCTTCAACCATGAGGATAGAATAACGCCATATAATGGTGTTGTAGCAGTCACTGCCAATTCTCGACTACTTTCATCAGAGGAAATATCTAAAGAGCCCAACTATGCATGGATCAGTGAGCAGTGCGAAGGCATTGCTCGCCTTCTCCAAGTCACGGCACCAATCAGGGTTGATGTGAGACGCTTTAAGGATAGCAGTGGATCTCGATTTGCGGCATTCGACATCAATATGAAACCGGTAGGATTCTGACGAGGCTGTGTTGCCCTTCACTAATAAACCATAGAATATGACTGGTCCTGGTCGACCAGACCGTCAGAATCAGGCAAGCTTAACCGCAATGGCTGCGACAGGTCTCGGGTGGGACTATCCGATACTTCTGACGAAAATCCTGGACTCTGCGAAAACTTTGAAAGAACAACGCGATAAAAGAGTCGTAAGATGGACGAATCGCGCCTCCATCGTGTTCTGTTGGAACCAAGCACGGCACAAGGCTGAACAAGGCTGAATTCAGACCCTGGTTCCACCACAGCCAGTTCCCCTCACGACACTCCTCATGGTACGAAACTGACCAACTAGAGCACACCCTCATATCTCCGTATTTCCGATTTCCGAACGAGGTATTCATGGATGTCAATACCCCGGATATTCCCTTAGCTTTCCCGGAGTTGTGCATGCACTATAGGCCTTGAGGCCAATAGTGTCTCCAAGACGAAGAGCGGAGTGAAGAGCGGCGTTCAAGGTGGCTTCCATACTTAATCCTTTCCACCGCCGTTCAAGAGTGAAATGAAGGCCATACTAGAAGACATTTTCCACCTACTTCACCTGCCCTTGGGAAGACACTATCACAACACGAGTTGTATATTCCTTGATGGAATGGCTACAGCCATGGAGAGTCCAATACTTGCTCATTTCTGGGGTCGAAAATCCAATTTGAATATGATGTACTCATCATCGGTGCTGGAATGAGTGGGATGTTTTCTCTATACCGTATGCGAGAGTTAGGCCTACGGGTGAGGGTCCTCGAAGCTGGTAGCGGAGAAGGAGGTACATGGTTCTGGTTGGTCCATCTATTTCCTCCACGATTCACTGTCAAATACCATGGCTTCCTTTCCTGCGCAAGATGCTGATTTTGGAACTGCCTAGGAATCGGTATTCCGGAGCCAGATTTGACTCAGAGAGTTACTCGTACAACTTCTCAATCTCGCAGGAACTCCTGGATTAATGGAACTGGACTGAGCATTTTGCCCCTCAGACGGAGACACTAAAGTACCTCCAGTTCGTGTCTAACAAAGTCGACCTGAAGCGGGCCATGCATTTCAATACCACCGTGGTATCTGCGCACTATCAAGAACTCACCCGATCATGGCTTCTGACAGACGCCAATGGCTGCCAGTATTCCTGCAGATTCCTCATTACAAGCATGGGGCTTCTGAATCACCCCACACTGCCAAATATCCCTGGTATCAATTATTCCGAGGGCGTGGCAATGCACACTGCTCGATGGCCCGACAATGCCTCTTTAAATGGTAAACGGGTAGGGATCATCGGAACTGGTGCGACCGGAATCCAGACAATCCAAGAAATAGTCAAAGTTGTCGGCCACCTGACGGTCTTCCAACGAACAGCCAATTGGTCTGCTCCTTTACGAAATAGCAAAATTACACCAGAGGAGATGGAACAGATCCGAGGTCGATACCCAGAAATATTCCGGCTCTGCGATGAATCCTACGCCTGCTTCCTTCACGGCGCGGATAACCGTCAAACATTCGGCGTTCCCATCAGAGAAAGGGAAGCTTTCTGGGCAGAGCTTTATGCTAAGCCAGGCTTTGCAAAATGGCTGAGCAACTTTAGCGACATTAGTTATAACAGGGAAGCAAACGCGGCATACAGCGAGTTTATGGCGAACAAAATTCGCCAGCGCGTCCACGACCCTGCCATAGCGGAGAAGCTCATCCCGAAAAACCACGGATTCGGTACCAGGCGCGTACCGCTGGAAACATTCTACTTCGAAGCATTCAACAGACCCAGCGTCAAGCTCATGGACATCACTGAGGACCCGATCGAAAAGATCACTAGGAAGGGCGTAAAGACGCGAGACGAAGAAATCGAATTAGACGTGCTCATCTATGCGACATGGTTCGACGCAGTGACAGGTGCGTTCACGGCCGTAGACATCCAGAGGGTGAACGGCGAGAAGCTAAACAAGCACTGGATCGACGGGCCGAGGACCCGATACGGGCTCTTTGTACAAGGCTTTCCCAACATGATGATGGTGCTGGGCCCGCACCAGATGTTCGGCAACATTCCGCGCAGCATCGAGTACGCCGTCGACTGGATCACCGACTGTATCTGGTACTGCTGGGACAATAATATCAGGAGAATCGAGGCCACACATGAAGGTGTCACCGATTGGACGGACCACGGCTTCAAGTACTCTGAAGGGCTCTTGTCGAAGGTGGTCGACCCGTGGATGACCGGCGTCAATAAGAACGTCAAGCATAAGCAGACCAGGAGTATTGCCAGATATAGCGGCCCAGCGGCCGAGTTCAGGCGCATGAAGGGAAATGTCGCGGCGCGGAATTATCAGGATTTGAGGTTGAATTGATTGTATGTATAGGTAGGTAGTGCATATGCAGCGTAGCCGCGGATTTTTCTGATCTTGCGTAGCTGCTCGCCGCACGACCGAAGTTTTGTACCCTTTTCACCACGATATTTAAAGTGCGACACCAATATATGACCAAGCTTCCATCGAATGCCAGGCACAGCTCATGCTCTTCTCCAAGAATGCATGCTCCACTCATTCAAAATCACAATGCGTTGAACATCAGAACTCCAAGAATGAAAGCAGACAAGCTCGTAATGCTGCCCCAGCCAGTTCCACTCCCGAGTAATCGTGACGCTCCGTTTCCACTCCCACTGCTGTTTCCGCTCTGACCATCTCCCTGGTCGTCGATGCCGAATGGGAGGCCTTGGTATCCAAACGTCAGATTCTGGGGGATACTGGCGTTGTAACACTGGCCATTGATGATGTCCAACCCTGTCAGGTCATCGGGAACCTTGAAGAACATGTAGCTTTGCTGGTTGAGGTTCTTAAATCCTTCGGTGTTGTAAGGGAATTTATCGGTCGGGTCAGTGGAGGAAGTGTTACGCAGGAAAATGCATTGAACTTGTCCTGGGTACTCAGTGGCCATCTTCGGATAGTCCTTCATCACGTCGCTGTTGCTGGTGTCGGCCACTAGAATAAATTTGCGGTTGGGGAAGGTGAGGAAGATCTTGTCAAGAAGGAATTTGCGGATGGAAAGCGTCGCTGAGAGGTCGCTGAAGTTCAGCGGGCGGGTGTCAAAAGAACCCCCAGGATAGGTGTTGTAGATGAATTCCATATAGTTCCGAGTGATTTGTTCAGGAGTCGTTGTCAGGTAATGGAAATGCATATTTGGTAGGCTCACGGACCAGTTTCGGTAGATATCTGGCATGTTCATCCAAGGAGTGAATGGGCGCGCAAAAGAGTTCAAAAGACCTTCTTTCGGGTCATAGATTTTGGTAACACGGAGAATGTCATCGATGTCACTGATTATCGTGAAACCTTGATCCGAAACAAGATATGACGTCGCATTTCCTGTATCCGTCCCTTGGGCATATACATTTACCCGTTGAGGAGGAATTTCTCCGGTTCCAGCTTGAACAGCCAGGGTTGAATTATCGATAGGGACAAAGACGTCAAAGTCTCCCTGATCGGTAGTCGGGTCGGGGAGTGTGATCAGGTTTTCTCCTCCAGCAGGCGTTGTTCCACCACCACCACCACCACCACCACCAGGTTGCCCACTCGAGCCAGCCTGTGGTCCTGGGAGGATGTCCATCGTGATGTTAACATCACCCTGCTGAACAACATATATCTCCCGTGTCAGATTCCGCGCCTGTGCTTGCTGCGAAGGAGGCAAGTGGGCGACACTAGTATCGATGAGGAAGAAATTGGCAAGGTCATCCACGGTGTCTTGCGAGATATTGGGTTGTTTGAAGACATTGCCGTGGATGCGGAGGCTCCAGCCACTTTCGGTCCAGTTGCCGTAGCCCGGGATGTTCAGCACCTGTGTTGGGACAGCAGCCATATCATTGCTACCGACGCCAGCAGAACTGAGGACCTGGCTACCTGTTGGTAGATCCACCTCGTTGGGTAGAATACCCTCTGTCACGTACGACGGAATGGCTGAACCCAGCTCGCTGAAGACTCCACTCACATACGAGTCAAGCCTAGATGTAAGATCGCTAATGACCCCTCGCCTGGCATGGGCATATATTGCTAGAGTTGCTGTTGGGGCAGGTGTGATCAGGGCCATCTCCTCAGGCGAGACATGTGTTGGTGCTGCTTGGACCCGAAGGAGGAGTAGAGAAGTCAAGAGGAGCTGGAGCGCCATGGTGTTTGGCTCGGGCGGTCTAGAGAGAGATCCTAGTGTTGAGGGCGTTCTTTTCAAGTACAGATATAGCAACAGATGAGGAGGCTCCGTCCAACCACACCCCAGGGCGATATTATAAGCAACATGGACATGGAGGAGTGGGAGTAGAGTGGGAAGCAAAGCTTAAATCTGTGCAGGAAAAGGTGTGAGAGTAACGGCAAAGGCCAACAGAAATCAAGGCATGATGAAGGTTACTTTAGCCTCCTTAGTTGGCACCAGGTGGCTGCGTCAAACTGCTTTGGTAAACGGAAACGTAGGCGCCCGATCGATCAAGGTACACAACTTCGATTGCAGATCGAACCAGGCACAAAGTAGGTCATCCACGGTCACTGGTTGACAATGACATGATAACCCATGACGTCAATGCAAGCCAGGCTAAAAGGCTTAATCACCTTAAGGCCGGCTTGGCAAACCGACCCTAGATCTTCCTTTGGGAGGTACGAGGTATATACGACTCCGAGTATCTAGGATCGAAAACAACACGAGCGCGTCAGCACTCTCCAAGTACATACCGAGCATGCGGTGCTATTACCTAATTGACATAAAACCGAGGGTTTTGAACTTGATACATATATAATGATCTACACGGGATAACTTGTCTCTCCTCCCAGCACATTTCACCAGCTCTCAGACCATGGGCCACGGGAACGGCGGACAGGCCCCGCCTTCACGGAACGATGTTCCCTAAGCCATTCCCATGCCATGCATGATGGACGGTCTTCGACAGGGTTGCTCGTACTACTCAGTATTCTCCATTTGACTGGCAACGGTGGCTAACCAGACCAGTCCACCTAATTCAGGTCCTGCGTCAATGGGGCACAAGTGTGTCTACCTGCAAAACTAGGGTGGGTGTTGGTTCATGAGAGAGGCTTTCCAAGGGCCACATCTACTTCCCTGTTTAGTGCATGGAAATCTCTCTTTCCCAAAGGCGAGACATGAGAAGCAATTCAAGCCCATTCCATTCTATGTCACCCCTAGCTCGAGCGTTACAGGTATGCTGAGGCATAATGTCTGTGCATCGTGGTCGAGACGGTAGAGTCCCTTTGGAATGCTGCATTCTGATCCTTCTGTTGTCACCTCGCGCTGTTATCGCGCCTCAAAAGCTAAAGCTGCTCCTCAATCCTGCTTCCTCTTCCATGCCGAGCAGTCACTCGTTTGTTGGGGTTCTGCAGTCCTCCATCTTTGTTGTCTCGTTATTAAATCTTGTTTTATTGGCAAAAGAGCGGCCACCATGTGGCCGTTGTCGTCATTCATTTTATCCTATCTGGCTCTGGGGTTTGCGGCCGTCCACGCTCAGTCAGCTCTTTCAACGGTCACGTATGGGCCTAGCGGTCCTTGTCCAGGGCCGCAAACCACCGAGGTTGTTGTTGTACAGCCAGCCTATTACAGTTCTTTTTTCCAGTCAGCCTCGCAAATCATCAATGTCTTTGGTAATGGCGCAACGATCAACATTCAGAATGCCCCGACGACGTATATTACAAATACATATATCACGACCACAATAGTCACGACCGTCACGAACACAATATATCCTGTGGGAAGCAGCACCACAGCGGTCGCGACATCAAACACGGCACCATCAATGAGCACATCCGATTCAGCCTCTAGCAGTGAGAGCTTGCCAATAACGAGTGACCCGTTCACTACAACGAGTGGTCCGGTCACTACAACGAGTGATATCATATCCATACCGACCTCGAGCATGACAACTTCATTTGGACCTCCTCCGACAATTTTCTCGCCCATTCCACCCCCTGCTGCTACGCCCACACCGCCAGTCACCTTGGTATATGTCACTGTTGACTCACAAGGCAACACGATCACCGTGACCACAGAGCAACCGAATTTCACAATTGGGGAAGGACTGGAGAGCGGTACTCAAACTAGTATACCTTCTACTTCCCCAGTCTTGATCGCAATGGCAATCCCACAAGCAGCAAGGGTGAAGAGACAGGATCCCACGCCTAGTGATACCCTCGACGGTCCTCGACCGAATGGATTTGGAACTGAGACCGGCGGGTCAGGAAACAACTGTGGCTACGCAGCGAGATACTATCTTAGTGATGGCAAGCTTATGCGCGGCAACGATACTGTCGGCCGAAATCAAACCGACTACGCAGCCATGCTTGGTGCAGTCCCTTGGCCCAACGAGATTCAAACAAGGATTTTCTTCGTCGATGGCATCTTGAAGTGGGAGTCTCCGGATCGAGGCGGCGGTGAATTTTACCAATGCGATGGTGGCCCCTTGTACATCGGGTTCCCCTACCCTCCGACTCCGAGTTGCTATAGTATCATCCTTGGAGGCATAGCAGCTGCAAGCTGTCCGGTCGACTTCACTGATGATATAGAAGATCTGCCTCAGCCCGATCCTACGTCAACCTCTACCACTGTTTCTCCAACATCTACTCTGGACCCTACACAGCAACAAACATTTAGTCCGACCACAACAGACTCATCCTCTGCCAGTACAATGACGGATGACCCGGTGCCTCCAGCGTCAACCACTCCGCCAGCGACTGTTACCCCAGCAGCATCGACAACCCCTCCTGTTCCTCCGTCAATGTCAACTACATCTCCTATCATTCCTCCGTCGGCAACGACTTCTCCCGTCGTTCCCCCATCACCACCAACGTCTCCTGCTACATCACAGGTGTCCAACACAGCATCAATTCCAGGGACGCCATCTTCGACAGGGACCCCAGCCTCAACCACTTCACCAGTTCAACCTCCCGCGACCACTACAAGTCCAGTTGGGCCGCCAGTGTCTCCTACAACATCTCCCGTCATCCCTCCCGTGACAACCACCGATCCGACTGGACCTCCCATATCCCCTACAACTCCCCCAGTATCTCCTACAACGTCTCCTGCCAACCCTCCTGTGACGGCAACGAGCCCTGTCCAACCGCCCGCAACAACAAGCCCGGTGGTGCCTCCAGTAACGACCACAAGTCCAGCTACACCCCTAGTAACAACGACAAGCGCAGTATCACCTCCAGTAACAATAGCTACATCTCCTGCTGTTCCTCCGGTGACCACAACCACACCAGTCGCACCCCCAGTGTCAACGACGACAACCTCCCCTGTTGCTCCTCCGGTTTCAACGACGACCTCACCTGCGGCTCCTACAACATCGACTACCTCACCGGCTGCCCCTGGGACCACGACAGGCATTTCTACTGATAGCCCCACAGCAACCTCATTTAGTTCAAGCTCACCAGTAACACCTGCTACGACGGCGATCACAAATCCAACAACTCAGCCAACATCTCCTGCAATCACGAGTGAATTAAGCACTACTTCCGTAGTGGTTCCAGCCACCACTAATCCAGGTACAGTGACATCCTCTCTTAGTTCGTTGAGTTCATCCCCGACTCCAAGTACCACGCCCCCTGTTATCAGCAGCACGAGTGCAGGTAGTGTCCCAGGGACAACTACAATCTCGCCTTCTGCGCCAACTGCGAGTACTACAACTCCTTCTCCGGGAACAACAACGACAGCTGGAGATCCCCAAACCACTTCTCTTTCGGCGGGCCCTCCACCAACGACGACAACGAGCAATGCACCGCAAACCTCAACGGGTTCGATAAGCCTATTTCCGTCCACTGCATCACTGCCTACCTCAAGCACTGGACTAGTGACAAGCACAACTTCGACAAGTCCAAATGGAGGTACGTCAACTTCATCTAATGCCTTCTCAAGTTCAAGTCTTTCTACTTCAACGACAACTATTGGTGGGTTTGCATCCACAAGCTTGTCGACTTCGATGTCGTCAATCGCGGGCACAACAAGCCCGACCGGATTCACAACTTCCACAAATACACCTGGGGGCTCTTCCTCGACGAGTACATCGATTTCTACAAGCTCTCCTAGTCCCAGCGCAACCATTTCAGCGGGAGTCACGACAACAGCAACGATAAGTCATATCTTGTCATCATCATCTTCTATCGGTCCAGACGGGTCAGCGACAACGACATCTATTGTAGGCACAACATCCATCACATCAACAACTCAGAGCTTGTCCACTTCTATTGGCACTTCGGTAGCAGCAACTACGAGTTCCTCTGTCAGCGCAGCTTCTACGTCTTCTCCAGGTACGTCGACAGCCACTACATCCACAAGCCTATCGAATCCATCCTCTGCCTCGTCGTCAACTTCAAGTGGAATGTCAAATGGCAGTGCTGCGAGTACCTCCTCGACTAGTATCACGAGCTCAGCGCATGTCTCCCCAAGTTCATCATCAGCGTCAACCACTAGCATTACGGGTCTAAGCAGTTCTACAAGCACGGCCTCAGCCTCGTCTACGTCCTCAGATAGTGCTACCCAGACCACGATCTCTACGACATCCAGCTTTGAAAGCTCGTCGACTACCTCATTTTTGACCACTCCCTCGTCGAGTTCTACAAGCATAACTACAGTCGCTTCAACAGATACCTCGACGACCAGCTCGGGTACGTCGTCGGGGGCCTTCTCAGACGCGAACTTGATTTTCAAACGTCTTCTTGATTTGACTTCTGCACTCGAGTCCCTTTTGTTATTGTTCGGTGCTAACTCATTGGTGTTCCTTAGTTTCCGCAACCACTTTGTCTACTTCGACGGTATCACCAACAGTGACCGCGTCCCAACCCGACTACGTGCGACTGGCTTCCACGCAATATGTCCCGAATCCATCAGTTACAAATGCCGGTACAGGAACCCTCTGTGCCGGATGGAACGTTGCGCAAACCCAAGTTTCCTTCCCGATATACGGCGGCGATTACAATTTGGCAAAGGTTGCACTGGCCAACAACCCCACTTCGGTGTACGAAATCGAATGCTACCAGGATCCGAAAAACGGCGGAGGCTCACTGCAAACAAGCATTCCCAGTGTACCCTCTCTGGACCATTGCCTGGACCACTGTAACACAGCTGGATCCGTTACATGTCAAGCGGTAATCTATAGAAAGGATACCAGCGCCTGTGAGATATACAATGCACAGCGGACTCTGACTCCGAACCCGATGGTTTATAACGGCCAAGGCGCGAGATTAATCACTTCTGTCAACCCACAAGTCATCAGTGGATCATACCTGCTCGTTGCTAACCCGTCATTTAATCTCGGTCTATGCGAAGGTCCGACGGCCAGAAATTACGATAAGTCCATGATTACGGTCTATAACCAAACAAACACACTCCGCAACGCACCTGGTAATCGCCAAGATACTTTCCGAGTGGACTGCAACGGTAACACATTCTTCTCGTCAATCAGTACACCCCAGACAAGACAAGATCATGTCGCCATTGCCGCTCGCTTCGGATTGACGCCATCAAACGCTGATGATTGTGCCCGACTCTGCCTCTGGCATAACGTTTGGAGTGGCGACGGCAATCCCACCTCGACTATCAATTGCCGAATCTGGCACTGGACCACAGGCCACGCTTGTGAGATGTACTCCGATCGGCCTGGATTGACGCAGACGCCACTCAGCAACGCCTCGGTGTTGGTTGCGGGCTATTCACGCTCCAGTACGGGCAGCGAATACTTGGCCAGCAGTGTCAATGCGTACAAGCGCTCTCTCGAACCCTACCAAGGTGAAGACCGGCGTTCCTCCAAGAGAGGCACGAGAAGCAAGAGGGGCAAGAAGTCCAGAAATCTCCAGCCCGTCCCCATCGTCGACCCAAATCCGACAGCCATGGAGCCACATGTCATCATCCCCTTCACCAGGCGCTGAGTACATGGCGACCTGTCCCCGATCCTGCTTGTGCTAGAAGGAAACACGGTGTCACCTGATTCACAGCCGCGACAACAATGGAACAGCCAACGGCTAATGCGACATGGTGAAAGCTCAGAAATGATGCAATTCGTACGATCAGGGTCTCTGTCTGGTCGACTGTTTGCTTGGTGCTCCAATTCGTTCCTGAAGTGCTGCCTCTCTAGCTTGTGGCTCGGTTGGTTCGGACATTAATCCTTTCTTGGGATGTTTTTCATGCCATGGACGAGACTCGTAGTCGGCAATCATTTTTGATTTCGAGGTTGTTGGTTTTGAGGGTTGTTCTTCATTTTCTTTTGGACGGATCTTTTTCAAGTTCTTAACTAGGCAAAGGGAGGAGAAAGGGGCGTGTTTTTGGTTCTTCAGCTTCTATAATCCATTGGGTCGAGGATTGGAAGGAGGGGGAAGGAGAAATGATACAAGTGAAGACCTTCTTACTCGATCTTTTCGTCTCATTTCAATTAATACATTCTTTTATCTGACTGCAGAAATGTTATAGCTTGGCATCATCATGTCCATCCGTGCTCGTGCTCGTAACTGAATCCACCTTGAGGCGAGATTCGGATTTTACATCGTCCAGGGCTCTTCACTCTCAATATGCAATTGCTGCTTGGAGTCAGCAGTGTGGTGATTATTGGTCCTCCTCCGCAAAACCTCTTCTTTACTGCTTGTAAAATCCGCCGCCTGTGCTGCTTTGTAGACCCACCCCTTGTTCTGCTCTAGGAAAGTTTGGATCTCCTGCTCGGTCGGCCATCTCAAAAGTTTGCAGGAGGTCCTTGCATGCTCTACATCAGACTCGTAGGCCTCAAGGGGACTCTCGAACCACAGCTCTTCATCGGTGCTGCTGGAGGCTTCGCTGTCCAGTCCCTTGCTACCCTCGAGGAACAAGCGGATCGCGCACAACGTGCCGCGGAAATGTGAGATTTCAACCTCGGTTGGATGTTCTTGCTCGTCGGCTAATTCAACTGAAGAATCTGTGATCGACCGTTGGAAAGTCTTGGCGTAGTGATTCAGCCATTTGGTCATCTCTAGAAGGCCCTTGATATCGTGGGCGGCGATCATGAGGCGTACCATCATCCGGATATCATGTGATTGGGGTACAGACAGGGGAGGCATGGTGTTGGTAAACTCGAACCAGGTAGCGCTATTCTTCCCGTAGGCGGCATTCACGAATATCAATTTCGTGATTTCCACGAGACGAGTACTGGAAATGTATAAATGAGCATCGCCAACGAGATTCTGGACCAACCAGGCCATGTGGCGGAAAGTGTAGAGATCTGGATTAAGCCCCAACGACCGCAAACTCGAAATGGTGAATATTTCTTCCACGTTTCGCCAGACTTCCATCTTGATATCACGGGATGTACTCGCGGTCGAGGAACCAGCCATAACGAGCGTGTGCACATGAGCCACACACAAGGCCGAGCCTTTGAGAAACCCGTTCCAAGTAGTGATATCCTTCAGGTCCGAAATCTCAAGCAATCGGCGGGCATACGTCACAGGCCGAACCCCAGGTCTGTTGTACTCTGGCGTGTATTTCCCCGCTTCGCCATGGTGAGAGCCAGGCGCATGGAGCTGTGGGTGCGACTCAAACCCGTACCTACATAGCAAGCGGTAGAAAGCAGCAAGGAAATCCGGTCGTAATAGTCTCAGCTTCTGCTTCAAGATATTATGAGGATAATTCTCAGCATGAAGTATCACATCCCGAAGAACCACATTCATCTTGCTTTCGACAACATATCGAAATCCAGCTTCGAGATTCGTGGCGGAATCTAGCAGTTCACATAGAAGTGAGCCTGCAGGCTTGAAGCCATCATTAAGCATTAGCAAGTAAAAGTCGCTCGATGTTGGGACCTGTGTTTCGACATAGACTCTTTGGTTGGGGTTGATGGGATCTGGAAAGGTTTCCTTGAGATCACCGGGGAGATATGTCAATCCTAGAACAGATTGAGGTTCCACGGTTTTGGCCATCAGTTTTTCAAGCATTGCATAATACGGCATGTACTGCCGCTGAGCTAGTGGTGTTGACGTCGTATAAGCACTAAAGGCAGCCCAAGCTTCAAGCTTGGATCGCGTGGAGCGTATACGCGCTGTCCAGATCTCGGAGCTCACGGTGTCTTCTGTCTTCAACACCTCGCGCCCTGGGAATATATTGTTCCATGCGCGCCGTAGAATGGACCTTGTTTGAATGGTGGGGCTTTTATCAGTATCCCATCCAGACAAAACAGACGCAGCCTTCTCCCAGGGCCCATGTGCATAGCCTGCCTCTGTCATACGTCGCAAAAGCCTCATGGCACGACTTTCCTTGCCGGGGTACTCGAGGTCTTCTTCGATGCCCAGCTTATCTTGTCGCCATGGTGGCCAAGACGAGGATTTTGCTTCTGCCCATGACCGCTCTTCACCAGTCTTCTTATGAGCAAGCTGGACTTTGATGAGTGCGCGAAACCCTTCGCGAGAGACGGGAAGTTGTGGCTGAAACCCAACCATTAAGCAAACAAGCGCTAATTGTGCATTTTGCTGATCGAGAGTCCATTTGAAGGGTTCTCTTGGTCGGGGCAGCGAGATCAAGCTGAGGAGGCGATTATAGACGTGTGCCAGCCTGTCTAGCTCAAGAGAGTCGCGCGCCTGCCCAGGAACAGTGTAAATATCGGAGAACAGATGGCGTATAACCAGAGCAATTTCGTGAAGGAGGCTTGGATCACTCTGCCTGGCATGGCGCAAAAGTCGAACAACGAGACAAATCCTGGTGGCCCAATGAGACCAGTGCAGATATGACTTTTGCTCATTGCAATCGTGCAACTCACGCAACAGGGTCTCAACAAGGCGCCTAAGAGCGAATTGACCAATGGAAGGGGACCTCAGGAGCTGTAGGACTATGAACTTTGGAACCTTTCGAGGCGGATCATAACTGCAAAACTCGTTCATCAAGATAATGTATCTAGATATAGCGAGATCAACTGCAGGAGCGGTGAAGATCCAAGCCCAGCAAGTTACATCCGAGGCGTCAAATCCTGCTTTTTCAAGTATGCTGAGTGTGGAGGAAGGAAAGACATTGCGTATTGCTTCCTCGAGCAACGTGTCACGGTTCTCCAGCCTCGTGGTGTATGACGAAGCACCAAGGATTGGCTCGATTTCATGAAGGTAGGCAAGCATAATGCGTCGTACGTCCGAGTTAGAGCTGAAAGTCAAACTCGCATCTTTTCTCCGCAACCTTGTTTCTGAACTCTCTCTCTCCCAAGCAAGGACATCCGTGTACGACAAGTCCGGTTTGTTGTTGAACAACTTTCCGGGGAGGAAACGTTTTAGGCCGTCTTGGTAGTCCTGCTTCAGGATATTGCGCAGAGCCTCAAGGCTCGGAGGTTCTTGATCGTCATAGTTTAACAGGTGAGCCTCGTCTACCTCCGCTCTATCACTCATAACCTCGCCCCATTCTGGGATTTTTTCCGCAACAGCAATCCTCGCTAACGGGGGCACCGAATCAAGGGATTGCAAGGCCGTAGCATCATTTTTGAATTTCGTTTCACTCTCCGGGACAGGAGTTGCATCATTCGAAAGGTTGAGATGCGGAGAGCTCGGAAAGTGGGTGCTTGACGAGCGTCCGTGGGTCAGTTGTGAAGCAATGACAGCGGGTCGAAATATCCGACGTGGAAAATGAGTATGGTTATCTGTAGGACTGGTCCTGTGCCTCAGAAGTGGAGGATGTCGACGACCATGCCTAAGGCACCAGGAGCAGAATTGATGCACTCTGACCATCCATTGATGCTCGCGAGTTTGATCGAGGGAGCCTTATATGACTTCGCCGGAGGGATAGCTGCGACACTGTCTAGGTTACACAAAGAGAGTGGAAAATGTGTCGGTCGCAGTTTCGCAGATGGTTTCACGCTCGCCCGAACATACTTTCTCATGTCGCGACTCGTGGATGGAGCAAAATGATTCGGCTGAACATCGGTCATTTGACGTCGCACGTGACTCGAATCAACGCTGCTTTAAATCTTGCTGTGAATCCTACTGACCCCATCGCTAGGGTCCGTCTCCCAAACTCCTGCTTGAAGCTTCCTTACACTATTTGCATCCACACACAAATAGGTACCATGCCAGCCAAAAATTCAAACTTTCACTTTCGACGATCAAGCGAACCGAAGGCAATCCCGCAAATACGCTCCAGTCAGTCCCGACTTGCGAATTGCTGGTCCCTGGCCATCATGGTCAAGGGTGAAGCATGGGTCGAGATATTCTCAAACTGACTACACGTTCCTAACATGACACCTTTGCGCTGCCAAGTGTTGGCATATTGCAACACATTCTCCTCATATTGACCCCATGTTATCTCCCCAGCGAAGGCTCTCTCCAACATCAGGGCATCGAATGCTGCTTGGCTGGTACTCGCTGCTGTATGTGGACAAAATCCTGCTAGAGCATCACCTAGCAGGGCAGCTTTTCCTCCCAACAGTCTCCCCACTGGAGCTCCCTGTGCTGGTGCTGTTACGTCAGTGATAGCCTGCACAAAGGGCTTCTGTGTCTTTTGCACAAGCTGGGCAAACTGGGGTGGCAAGACTTCCTTTGCTCTTCCTTTTTGCCGATTCCATACCTCTTCCCCTATGTGCCCGCCGGTGGGAAGGGTATATCGATGTCTGTTGCCATTTGAATCGGTCAAGACCTCTTTATACTCTTCGGAATCTTCTGGGAAATTCCAGTACCAAACCCAATTCACTAATCTTTTCCCAAGCTCCAGGTCCCCGTTGGCTCCCGGAATTGTGTATCCCAGAATCTGGATTCCCTGTGTGTGGAAGAAGGTGAATTTCTCAACAAAGGCGTCTCTGGCAGGATCATCAAGCTCAGTCTCTGGAACCGTTCCCCGAAAGGCAACATAACCAGCATATATTCTCTGTGAAGCCTTGTCATTGAGCAACATCTTCCGCATTCCGCTAGAAGGTCCGTCGGCACAAACCACAAAATCCACGACAAGAGTGCCCGGTTCGCCTTTTTGTGGCGACCCCTCTCTAGTGTCTCTCCAACTTATTTGTACCTTGTCGCCAGCGAGCTCGAGGCCTTCGACCGCTCTCCCGTATTCATATTTTGCTCGTCCCCAGGCCTCCTTTACGCGTTCTCCGTCAGGTCCATCACTTACTTGATCCCACTGGTTAGCCACGTGCCCCGATTGTTGTCCATCGAAGTTTGCTCGACCCAGCTGGTATAGCAAGTCCCAGCTAGTCATCCATTGGGTCAGATCTTCTCTGTCGACAATCTGACCTTCACGATTGAGATATGTCCTCGTCTTTGATGTGACCTATTCATTATGGCGTTTAAACTCAGCCATGGCGTAAGTACTCACTCTTGCCTCTTTCCCGAACACGTCAAACTTCTCGACCCACTTCTGAACACTGCCGCCAGCTACAACGCCAGCTCCCTGGTCATGCAATAATGGAGTACCACTGCGCTCCAAAATGGTGACCCTGTGCTTCTGTGGCATTCTCAGCAATGGCGTTGCGGCGAATAAGCCGCCGAGGGAGCCACCGACGATGGCAATGTCAAGAGTTTTTCCTGTGGAAGCCATCGCGGACAGGTGTTTTGGGGTCGGGTCTGAAGATTTATTGTCGCGTCGGCGCTGTTAGTAGTCGTCGTCAATTCATGCGGCAGCTGTTGACATTAATATTCTCGTGAACAGGATAGCATGTCGTTGCATCTAACTTGCAATCAAGTCATTGAAAACGTCGGCATCCTTCGTCCTAAACGGAGTGCAGGTGCTGTTTCGGTCCGAATAGACATCTCATCATTATATTTCATGCCAGGAGGTCGAACTCGGCATCTACATGCCAATCGGAAAACTCCCTCCAGAGATGTAGTTAGAAGCTTCGGGGACAACTCAGAATCTAGGGTGCAGGCTATAGCGCCGACAGTGACAGTCATGGCTGACCTAACACAGAGCACTTCTTCTGCAGGCACCAATGAGAATCACGATTGCATTTCCTTGTTCCAACTCTTCCCATCTTATATTTTTGGCTCGCCACGTGTATTGCATTCCTCGAAACAAATGTATATCGTATGTGACGATACTCGGTGTTGTCTACGACAAGTGCATAATCCACTGGAAGGGTCGGGCTGTAAGTGATGGTAATCCTGAGCCGCGTACATTGGTCCAAATTCAGAGTAAATTTATTCAAATACCAAATGACAATTCAATTCATCATCTACCTAATAAATTGGTTTGCAAAACCGGCACTGAGCCCCACACTCTCATAATGCTTCTTCGCAGCATCGATCTTGCTGAAAACGTCCTCCACTCCGATCGGGTTCCCATCCGGATCGACATAGATGTACGCCCCTGTGACGTGGAACATTGTGATCATCTCCGCCACCCCTTCTGGGACTTCAAGCGTATGAATGTTGAAAATCTAAAGGGTTTGTGATAATTTAGATTCCACCGGAAGACCAATTTTGGATGTTCGCATTTGCCCCTGACATTCGGGGCTTAGCGAACACCACGTCGTGGAAACCGAAGTTTTGAAGGGTCAGGTTCTCCGAGAACTTGATCGAGCGGCGATTCAACGCCTTGAAATGTTCTGCCGCTGCCTGCTGGTACGAAAAATTGAAATTTAAACCCTTACGAGACCGGTTTGACTGAGAGGTAGTCGTTGCTCCTTGACCGCGCAAGCGTTGTACGGCTCTCTTGCCACTGTCCGAAAGGCGAAAAAAGCTGCCATCGTAAGAATCACTCTCACCTTGGCCAACATTAGAGACATCATATTACGCTAAATCTCCATCCTCGACCAAGCACTGTAACTTCAAGTGGGCCATGCTTCCAATCTGGAGTGCAAGGTTCTTGCCGTCCTTGGCTGGGCATTTCTAAGCATCTTGTTCTCCAGGGGAGGGGCATGGATGGCTTTTCAAGAGAGAGCGCGGAGAGCTCTGATCGTGATCCATCGTACAGATACCAGATGTAACTCATCGAGAGGGACGGGAAGGGCCTCTTTTACGGCTTCTACCAGGACCCTGGAACCATAGCAGCGCATGATAAATGGAGACGGATCTGGATTTCTAGAGTCCGAGCAATGTTGTAGATAGAAGAGAAGTATCACGGCAAGTATTCCATATCATCATCTTTGAATGAGAACAAAGTCTCGATGGAGGTGTTTTGAGAAAGTGAGCGACTAATGAAGAGAGGAAAGGTGTCCGCGCGAACGTAGGGCAGCATGACTTTTGTCCCGAACAGGTGGGCTACAATTGCTTGGCAGATTGATGGTCGATCTGCGCATTTGCGACGTATCAACTCTGAGTTCAAGATCGCCAGCAAAACCAATAAATTAGTCCAACCTCGTTTATTCCCGTTCTAGTCCCTTGAATCCTTCTTCGCTAGCAGATGTCTACAACCTCGCCGAAGAGAAAAACCCCGTACCACCATCATCATGTCCTGACACACAGGCCTCCACCTGTCCCAACCAGGGAACCTGCATTACTCAACCATGAGCTGGTCGACAAGTTGCTGATCGACAGCATAAAGGCAATATGCGAAGAGGTGGCAGTGCAAGAGAAGATAGAATTCCCTGTGATTGAGTCAGTGGCTCTAGAGTCACTTGCGGCTGCCGTAGATGAATGTAATTACACCACTGAGCTACTCCTCTCGACTTTCTTCTGCCCCGACCACCGATACTGACCAAGGTCCCAGTCATTCTCAAATTCCTTTCCAAAGTCCGTCGATCTATGCTCGCAGGTCGGCGGACCGCACCTATACCAACCGACTTTGAGACCGCCATCCAAGTCCTTGACATTCCGAGGCCAGACGACCAGTTGAGATCCTATGTGACACAACCTCCCATTAATCAACCGCTTTTACCTACTCCACCTCCCGAAGACACTTTCCACAACGTAGTGAAACTCCCATCCGACTTCCTAGGCCCTGAGCTTGACGGTCACGGACAGCTGCAGAGATTCGGTTTCAATACCTCCAGTCTACCTCCTCTACCCTCTGCGCACACATTCCGAGACACGGCCCTCTTTCCCACGCTGGAAAAGGATACGCGGAAGATTCGTGAACTGGCAACGCAAGAAGGCAAGCTGGGCGAACAAGCATTGCGCAAGTTGGCAGGAGCTGTCAAACTGGATGCGGCCCATCCGCTAGAGTTCGAGGCCTTGAAAAAGAAGACGGCACCCGCGCCTAGGAAGCGTTGGAAGAATGGCGTCAGTCTCTCCGAAGAAGCTATATTTGAAGAAACTTTGAGAGACCTGCTCGCCAAAGAGCCTGGAGGATTCGAGTTGGGTCCCATAGTCACATGCGAAAAGGCGTACCGGATGCCAGACGATGCGCAAGTGAAAAGAAGGGCACCGGTCGGGGCTGCACGTAGACCAGGATCCGCAGCTGCCGAAGCCGATGTGATGGAGCTTTGATTCCTACTTTTTCATGATTGCTTTACCGAGCGAAGGCGTTGGCGGAGTGTGAAATTGCCAGGATAGCATTTACAAATGATACCCCCAATGGGAATGGCTCATTGCGATTGCGAGGACCAGAACAAACTCTTCACACTGTCCTTTGAGTCTTTCTCCTTTTTTGTTGCTGTTGCTGTACTCGTAGGACTTGAATCTTGGCTGGCAGACCAAGCATGTTCGCCCTCCCAAGCGGTGGTCTCAACATGGAACGTGTGATTGCCCTTCATACACCTGTCCACCCACGTCTAGTCAGCGTGGTATCAAACGTAGAATCGAATCAAAGGGGTGTAGGCGCATGCATACTTCCTAAACAGCCTCACAAAAGGGAAGCATTCCATCTGCGCCATTCCGGTCCGGCTCTCCAACGCCTTTTGATACTGTTGCTCGGGTGTGGTGCAGCTGTATTGCACCAGCTCGAGTAACTCGCAGTCTCGTTGAAGGTCAAAGTCACCCAGCTTGCGAGCTTTTCTTTTCCCGTTGACGCCGTGGTAGTAAATTTGCTGCTCGAGCTGGCTGACGGGGAACGTGTGCTCGGGTGGAGCCATGGTCGTTCAGTCGGGTCTTGATAACTGGGCTGTCTTTTCGCTTTCTTCTTAACCTTAAGCTTTTCTTTGCAGAGCGATCTACAAAGCGGTGTGCGACTGAAAAACCAGGCTGGTCATGGCGCAATCATGTCAGCCGAACAGTACGGCTTCAATCTCCTAGCAGCGGTGCATGAGGAAAGTCTAGAGCAGGTGAGTTTTATCGATGAGACGTGATTCTGAAATTGGTCTTTTTCCGCTACACCTTCCTTTTGGCTTTTCGGCCTCTTCCACAAGCACCCATCCATCTCAGCCTTGTCAATTTACCATCAATAAAGCGTCGTCTGATTGTTATGATCAGCTTCTGGCAGACGTGAGACATATAATTGGTCCACAGGAAAAGTCAGTTCTGGGGATCCCGCAGCTGGATAAGCTCCTGGAAAGCTTCCGGTACCCAGATGAACCAGCACCTCGACGCCCGGAGTGGGTGTCCTCAGGAGCACCGAGCCTAGAGTACCATGCAGACCAAGAAGAGTACGGTTATGCGGAAGTGCTCAACGCGGAGACCGAGAGATCAGAGACGCACTTGACGAAGAGTAAACCAGCCATCATCGAATTCACCAGCCAACAATCAGCCTCGGGAAAAACAAATCTGCTCTACTACTTGGCTACACACGCGACTCTCCTTCGCGAGGAGGGTGGAAAACAATCAGCCGTCGTATGGATCGACAATGACGGACGCTTTTCTGCCTCTCGCCTGTCGCAAGTCCTTCACAATCATCTCCAAACGAGCTCTAAGACAGACAGCACGAACGAACCTGACGAAGAAGCCACCCGCTCAAAGGCCATTGACGCTCTAACTCACATCCACGTCTTCCGACCATACTCTTCATCCCAGGTGCTGTCTATCCTAGAATCGCTAGCGAGCTATCTCCTCGACCAAACACGACATAGATCCTTCCACCGCCCATTGGGGCTTCTGATCATCGACTCGGCAACCGCCTTCCACGCACAAGATCGCTTTGATGCAGACATGGCACGCTTGGACGCTCCTCTCCTGCAGCAGCACTCAACTGGACACCCTGCCCCGTCAAAGACAGCCACGATAATCTCTCGCCTGAGGGAGATACAGACCCGCTTTGAATGTGCCGTACTATTCACCACCACCACCACCACCACCACTCCCAAAACTAACAATAGCGGCGCGCTGCCAAACCAGCCGCCTCAAGAGCCATCATCAAAGTCACGACCAGCTGCAGCTCCAATCCACCCTCCAACGCCAATCATAAGCCCATGGACGAGCTTCGCGGCGGTGACGCTGCAGCTCGAGCGCGTGCGCGTGCCCCAGTTTGTGCCGCAGATGACCCTCGACCAGTGTGTACACGATGCCGAGAGGAGGTTGGAGGTTGTGAGTCGAGGTAGATTTCTGGTGAGTGTGGCTCCAAAGACGTTGGATGTCAGGGCCAGGGAGAAGGCGAAAGTGGTGGGAAATGTTGTCTTGAGGATTACTGAGGATGGGGTTGCCGTGGAATAAGATGGGACTGGGACTGTGATGAGGTCAACGAGGATGCTTAGCTAGAGCAAGGTGATGGCTTCATACGGAAGAGTAGATAGTGTGCTCTTTGTGATTCGGCAGGCTCTACCGTCGGCCCTCAATGATTTACAGCACAGAACAGTCTCACGTGGATTGATCAAGCCAGCAGGAAAAAGAATCTCTAACAGGCATTTGCCTTCGACTATACTTGCTGGTAAATTCGATCTATCTCCAGTGATCTACATACATATATCCTCATCAGTCATTCTCGGTTAGTATCAAATTTGGGTTGCGACGATCCCGCCGCGGGTAGTACCTCAGTGGCCGAGTCCATGGCCCTCCAACATCTCCTTGACACATACCTTCCGACACTCTTCGTAGACCTTGACCTGCTGCGCCACTTCACCGAGTCTGCCAATGACTTCTTTATTACCTTCTCCAAATCCATAAATGACGTATGGGATCTTGGTTTCCTCGCAGAACTCCTTCACATATTTCTGCGCCTCGCGTAGATTATGTCGCGGGATGCGGGGGTACAGGTGATGGACGGCCTGGAATTGGAGCCCGCCATGGAAGAAGTCGAGCCAGGTGGGACAATCGACGTCCATAGTGGTCCGAAGCATTTTCTGTGGGAAGGACTCGTGTGTTCCCATATCCGCTGTTGACATGGCAAAGTGCGAGAGTGTGATTTGCACATGAAGAGGGGCGGTGACAACATGCGAGATGAGGACGAAGACAAACCGATCCCAAGCTGTAGGAATGGACTTGTAGACGACAAGGTATCCGAACCAGGTCCAGAAGAAAAACTGCCCTGCTATTTCCAGGTAGCGATGCCACCACGCTTGGCCCTTTTTGGGAGCCTGGCCGAGCAAGAGGTATTCCCAGGAAAGGCGGTACAGGTTGAAGCGACCAAAAGCCATGACAGGATAGTAAAGCCAGTCTTGCCTGGCAATGAGCCATTTGGCGAAGACATCGAACTCCATGACCCGGTCATAATAGCTGGAGCGGAGAGAATTGAAGAAGCGGGTGCTGATGGCAAAGAAGGGTATATGCTCAATGTCGGGATCATGCTCGGGTGAGTTGGTGACAATATGGTGAACATTGTGGTTTCTTTTCCACCAGCCGATTGAAAGCCCTCCAAGGAAATCTGCGATTAAGATGCCGATACAGGTATCAGTATGGAAGTCGTGGGTAATACCCATGTGGCCGGCATCATGGGCGGTAAAAACCAATTGGTGCCAGAACATTCCGAGAAGTGCTCCTGACACGGCGTAGTACGAGTAGTGGAGAGCAATCAGAAAGGAGGCGAAAAGCAAGGTGTAGCGGGTGCATTCGATGGCGTAGGATCCATAAGGACACTGGTATAGCCCCGCAGCACGGATTCGACTCTCCGTTTCTCGGTACTTCTGTACAATGCGCTCTTGGGTGTCCTCGTCCAGGGAGGGGTATTTGAGGATGTCTGAGGATTTCTCTGCAGAGAGACGGACCTCTAGAGGGTTAGGCTTGAAGGCTGTATCCTCACATCCAGAGGCTGAAGATGCTGAAGAAAAGGATGTATTTGTCGAGGCACTTGCGTCGATTGCGTCGAAAGTGGGTGATGGGGGTATGCTGCCATTGCTGGAAGAGCTCGCACTCTGCTCGAAGTGGACATCTGTGTCGACAATATCTCCAGAGTTTCCATGGTCCTCTGCGCCTTGCTTCAAAGGCCTAAAAAAGCCCCCTTGAATAGGAGGCAAGAAGTTTAACCATCTCCCCTTAATCCTCCCAATCACGAACTTCTGCATTTGTGCCTGGGCTCCCAGCGAATGGAGGGCCCTGATCTCGTCTGTCCCATCTCTTCCTACCATATGCAAGATAGCCTTGTCACCGCCAGGGTGGTAAGGAAGCCATGCATCGGCTTTGATTACAAGTCCATCAACGATAATGATCTTTCTCCCCTCGGCTATCAGTCCCTCGATCTCTCGGCGAGACCACAGGCGGTCTTTCGGGTCGCTGATGGCAGTCATTGTGCAATCATGGCGAGGAATAAAAGGGATAAGAGACTTGCAAGACCGAGCGAGGTCAGGGCTTATTGAAGAAAAACTCGGTGAAGGAGTTCTGTCAGTTGCAACATGAAGGATATCAGGCGACAGGCAAACTTGTAGGGATCCTGTCTAGTTGATGACTAGGTAGCTCTTAGGCATGTTGGTGGGGTGGGAACCCACACAAGTTGGCGGCTTTGGGCTTGGGCTCGACATTTGGACGTGCAAGGGCACATCCTCTGTTCCACAATCAGGCTGAACGGTCGATCACGTGATATCTTGCTTTGAACCTATTCCACGTGATTATGTCTGCCAAGGCTGAACCTCACCTGATCCTTCTCATCCTTGAATGTACCTAATCCGTGCAGCTTCGACAGCTTCCACGCACCACCTCTTCTCTCCCTCCTGTCTCTACGCACGTCCGGGTCGCTACTGGACGTTTTTGAAGCTATCCGCCACATTCCAAGTCAAACTGAGATCGCCATTCCTACGAACTCAGCTCGACGAGAGCTCGACCAGCACCATGCCTATCAAACCTATCGAAGGAGTACGTTCTGTCCGAGTTACGCGCGTCTCAAACACCAAAGCGAGCTCCTGTTGTACACCGACTATGACTGATGAGCTGAAGGCTGACAAGGTTTTTGCTATAGATGCTCCGACGAGGACTCGTCTTGGATCTAAGTATTGCTGGGGGTAAGCCAACACATCCATCCCTCCTCCAAAAGGCGGATATATAGCGAGCGAAAACTTCGGAAACACCAACGTTTTGAGTCACACCTGGGAATCTAAGCTTTTGAAGAAGAGGATTTTCATGGTCGGCAATAGGAGCCGGAAGCTGACTCGAACCTTTTACCATAGGTCTGGGAACAACCTTCGGATATCTGTGGTGGTACGGTACGTGATCAAGGACTCTCTCACTCGCATAGCGCTACAGCCCGAATTCCTAGTGCTATGATGCCTCAAATCTCGCGAGACTGACAGCCCGGTTAAAGGATACCACCTGCCCCGCGTTCGAGCACGAGATAACTACTACGCCAAGCTGGAAGACCAGCGAGCGAGAGATGCCGGGTTCAAATAAATAAACAGCGCACATATCTAACACTCACATCCATATTCATCAAAATCCCCGTTACAATTTCCATCACCTTCCCCGCCAATTTCAGCACGATGGTCATTGATTAGGCAGATGAGAATTGAGCTCGATCGCGTATGGCATATACATAGGGGGGCGAAGCGACAACGAACCGAAAAAGGGATCATACCTGTACATATTCCGAGAATGACATCGTGAGAGAAATTAAAAAAAGAGTGCTCTTAGTGATGACCATCCTTATGGGGACCCTTATGGGGACCTGTCCACTTTTTGTCCACTTTTAACTACTCTTTGTGCTTTCAGGCCTCTGACGACCCGACCTTGTCTTCAACATCTCGTGATTTCCTTTTCATGGATGACATTGAAGGCAAACTAACGCTCGGCCGAGTCTACGCTAGCATATAGCTGTACATCAGAACGTTAAAGTCTTGACGTACGACTGCTACTTCGCCATTAGTCATAGAAGAAGATACTCTCACCTACTGGAAAGCAGGGATATGCCCGTTCAAAACAGAGTAGGGTGTATTGATAGATTTGGGTTCTTTACTATCCAATTCTTGATCATCTCAGCATCCAAGCCATATGACTAGGCAGGCAGCCTTACTTGGCACGACATGACCTCCCCGTTCGCTCTAGCCCTTCGCCCAACTACAATTCGACTAGTAATCTGATGGCCTCGAGTCGATGGTGACGCAGAAAGATATCCACTGCCTCCAGCCCTTCGATGTTCCCAAGAACACAAGACCCAATTAGAGACGTGACTTCATTCAGTTGAGCAGAGCTGATTTCAATTCTCTTCGACATGACTGATCGCTATTGAGTTCTATCGGTGGCCTGGAGCTTCAGCTTGAGGGGTCATGTCGAGGAGGATTTAATGCTGGGAGGTCAAAGAAAATGGTTAGTCAATCGCTTTTGGCTTTCTTCGTCCACTAGATTGGAGATGAAGGAGAGATAGTGTACGTACTCCACAGCTGCTGCAAGAGCACGATCCCGTGCAGACAGAACCCTTGCAGCATGAGCAGGATCCACAGGGCTCCATGACTGATTAATTGGGATGATAGTGTGTTAATCTGGTCTTGGTTCTCGACGCTGATTCTCGAAGGCCTATGTTTCTTAGTAGGGTAGATGCAGAAAGTGTTGGTGGAAGAGAGGGAGGGCGTTGATAAGAGGGCAATGGGTTCTGATATATAGATACCCTCACGGCTGTGCGGAGTTTGTATTACTCATAACCGTCTGCGATTGGTTCTTGGGATGAAACCAACGTGGTGGCATATGCAGACGCCTCTAGAGACGCAGAAACATTCATCATCCGCTCGCCGAGAATCTCGCTTTCTGACCATTGCCATCATCGTGTTCGATGATTGTCGAGAGCTTCATCTGCCAATTGAATTTATCGTTCGTGGACCTGCCGTCAATCCTGCCCTGTAAGTGTCAATGCCTGTTTACAACGCTTCGTCCTGGCAATGAATGTTGAGAGATGGATTTCTCCTCCAATGGCGAAGATACCGCAATGCTGTGCCCCCATTGCCGCATCGCTGGGTATGTGTGCATTTGTACCTAGGGGGGCCCTGAATGAAGAGACTGGGCCTGGGTGGATCTAGACTGGAACGGGTTGCCTTTCATCGTCGACAACAGCAAGAGGCCCAGAAAGCAAACCCACTGTCCAAGAGTTTGTGAGCTCACAAAGATTCGGTCATGTCCGTGGCCAAGCCGTGTCCACGACTCTCCGGACTAATCTATGCCATCAGCTTTCCAATGACAAGCAAGGACTTCAGGCATTATAGCGTTCGGCAAAGTCTGAAATAGGATGCTAATATACTGTTCGAGGGCTTTACTTTGAGAAGCGTTCCCGTGTGACCAAAACACATAGTATATGATAGAATATACGCAGAACCCCAGCGGATGGCATGGAATGGTGCCGGAGAAGATTGCAAGTCGCTGTAGCGAAAACGCCATAAGTCGTGAAGATTGAATTTTGGAACCAACTCAAACTCAACCTTGTGCATCCATAAAAGCTGGTAGTCTTGGATTTCTCAGGCTGCCACGCATTGGCTAGATCGGATTGGTGCTTTCGGGCAAGGTCGTACGGCATATTCACAACTGTACCCCCCAGGAGAAGGCATAATTTGTGCAACACAAGCAAGCATTGCACTCGGTGCCGCGTGTCATGCCTTCACAGGCCGTGGGATTCGTTTATCGTGAATGTTGAGCGACCTTTGAGGGAGTCTCATGATTGTGTCTGCTCGGATCACCTTAGTCCTAGTCGCAAACCATGGTCCAATTTAAGGCGCCGAACAGGAGAGAACAGCAAGCGGAAGCGAAGATATGGGTCTGCAGTGTCTCACATTGACCTGGCTCAAATACTGAATATACTGATGGTGTTGATTGTAGGTTCACGAGTACATACACTGCCTAACTGGACGTGCATCCAGTAGTTAAGTACTGTAACATAACCACCCACTGGTGGGTGACTGGGTGACTGGGTGACTGGGTGACTGGGTGACTGGGTGACTGGCATCATTCAGAGGACTGACGTAATGGGCAAGTAGCAGCAACAGGTTGATCAGGCGTCAGTGGAGAGGAAGGAACCTACACACGCGCTCGTCGATGTCGTCAATTGATTTGAGCAACGAAAGCATCGACGAGCTTTGTTCCGAAGCACTACGGGTTGTTTACATTGTCCTCATGCACCAAAATCATCATGATTATTCTTCATGCTTTGATCGCATTTATCCTACTCATCTTATCACCGGCACCATTTTGTACGGCCAGTGCTAGACCAGCATTCATTTTTCGAGAGATGACTATCTTTGACACGGATGGGGTCACAACCACTATAGTAGACGCTTTCGAACCTGGTCGGATATTTAGATATCTATATCAGTTCCAGAAAATATTCCCTCATTTTCATTGGAGATGCATTCGCGAGGGTTTGCAGAAAGAGTACCTGGACCGCAAGATTACCGATTATTATAATGTTATTGTGCCGACCAATACAAAATACCATGAAGTGAAAAGTATTGCGAGGTGGGAGTTGATGATTGATCATGAGGCTAATTCACCACAAGGCGCGGGAAGGTTACCTGCCGAGTTTGGAATGCTCAATCCTGAGAGTATTAACCCTGGCGCTGAGCAGCGACTTGGGGCACAAACCCAAAGATCAATGAGTAAATCGCGAGGCCAGACTTGGGTTGCAGAAGTACAAAACCTAGAGGTTCCGTGCTCATCCCATATTGATCTGAACATTACTCGCGCTCTTCATCTGAAACCCCAACTCGAAGCGGCAGATAAAAAGTATGTTCATGACATGTATGAGTCTCAATTCTACCTGGCAGTCTTGGCGACACATCCAGACTGGGACGGCCATGGCTTTGGAGCCGTACAGGTTGAATGGGGCATAGAGAAAGCAAAGCTCGAGGAGAAACGACTGTCCAAGTTGCGAGGCAGACAAGTACGTCTTCCTGTCACCCTTTTGGCCACTCCCGCAGGATACCCTCTGTATAAGAGTCTGGGCTTTGAAAGCGTTGCGAACATAACTCTCAACCTGTTGGACGGTTTCGACGGTGGCATTACATGGTTTGAGTACATGCGCCGAGTTAGTTAAAGATATCGCAACGATTTGTACACAACTTAGAGTTGTATTTTCTCCTCTCTACGCCCTCATAGGTGAAAGGCGGATGAAAAATGTGAGATTCAAATGTCTGGGGATAGGGCGACCGAGAAGCCATGACTGAGAACGTCTGTTTTATATTCGTATCATTTTGCCAGAAAGGCTTGGAATGCAGTGTGGTCAATAACCACATTTCCCACTGCTTTCAATTTCTTGCGCCCTTCTTTCTGTTTCTCTAGCAATTTCTTCCGTCTAGTAATATCGCTAGCATGCAATTTAGCCAGGACGTCTTTTCGGAATGCCTTGAGGGTTTCGCGTGCAACAATCTCCCTTCCAACAGCAGCTTGAATGACAATCTCAAACATTTGGCGGTCGACATGCTCTTTGAACTTTTCAACCCACCGCTTACCCACTTGACGAACTTGGGATTGGTGCATAACTCGTGAAACAGCGTCAACAGGTTCCTTATTGACCAGCAACTGGAGTTTGACAATATTGCTGCTGCGCCAGTCAGCTTCCTCGTAGTCCAGTGTGGCATAACCTTTGGTCCCCGATTTTAGCTTGCCGAAGAAGTCGTCCACTAGTTGGGCCAGCGGCATTTCGTATTTGAGAATGACCTGCGTCGAGGTGAAATACTCAAGGGATTTTTGTTCACCGCGATTCGCCTCGCAAAGCTCGATAACGGGGCCAAGATACTCTTCGGGCAGAGTCAAGGTGCACAGCACATAGGGTTCGAGCAAATCGGCCACGTTCCGACGAACAGTATCATTCTCCGGGAACTCGGCAGGGTTAGTGACCACCACTTCTTTGCCATCTTTATATCTGATTCGAAAAGGGACAGTAGGAGGTGTGATAATGATGCTAGCTCCATGCTCTTGTCGCAGACGATCCTCGAACACTGAGCAGTGCAGGGTGCCCAAAAACCCAAGACGAAAACCTGCGCCAAGGGCGTTTGATGATTCCTTTTGCACGGTAACACTTCGGTCATTCAATGTCAGCTGATTGATACTGTCCTCGAGATGTTCAAAATCTCCTTGGTCGACAGGGAATGCCGCAACAAAGACCATAGGCTTTGGCTCTTCGAAACCAGGTAAGGCTTGGACTTTCTTTTCGAAGCCGACCTTGGTATAGGTGTCACCAATTTTTGCCTCTTTGCTTTTTCTCATACTTGGATTAAAATAGACATAACCAACTTGCCCCGCCCGAAGGACTTTCTGTGGCACCTGGTCAGGGTACATGATTCCAACCTCTCCAACAATATACTTGTTGCCGGTGGCAAAGGAAACAATCTGGTCGCCTGCGCGAACTGATCCCTCGAACACGCGTACAAGTAGAATAACACCTTTGTAGGTTGAATACCACGAGTCAACCAGGAAAAGTTTCAGTGGGGCCTGGTCATCTCCAGTTGGTCTGTACATAGTTAGGAGATTGATTGACGACAAGGCTAGGTATGGGAACTCACGCAGGAATCTCTTCTATCACTATAGGTAGGATGCTCTCAACGTTCAGACCCGTCTTTGCCGAGACCAGGACAGCACTGTTCGGGTCCAGCTCAAAACTGTCTTTCATCTGTTGTAGGGCACGAGGAGGATCGGCATGGGGCAGATCAACTTTATTGATGACAGGTATGAGTGTCAAACCTTGAGCAAAGGCTTGGTAGAAGTTGGCGACAGTCTGCGCTTGTATTCCTTGACTTGCATCAACCAGTAATAAGGCCCCCCCACAGCTTGCATAACTCCGAGCAACTTCAGCTCTGAAGTCCACATGGCCAGGAGTATCGACAAGATGAAGTAGGTAATCTTGTCCCTTGTACTTGTAGATCATAGAACATGTTTGTGCTTTGACAGTGATTCCACGTTCTCTTTCGACATCCAACTTGTCTAGGACTTGCTTGTTTGAGCCTGCCTGGATGGTGCCGGTGAGTTCGAGGAGGCGGTCACTAAGGGTACTTTTGCCATGGTCAACATGTGCCACGATGCAAAAATTGCGATAACGGTCAATCGGGATGGCTGCCAGTCGTTGTTCGAGATCGGTGATGGGTGTACTAGGGGCTGCGAGTCGCAAAGAAGACGAGGCAAACGGCCTCAATTCGCGGCAATTGTTAAGACGGGAGCATGCTGAGACCCAGGGGGTGCTTATCGCAGCTCCTCGCCGTGCAAAGACCTGCAGCCATCGTCGCATGGATGGGAATATGGAAGGCACTGGTGCATCTCTTCTCAAGTGCTATTTTTGAGGTAAATCCATAATTATATTTCTCCGGAGGCAGTTACGCGAGTTGCACGTGCTGAGGCGAGTTTCTATTGGTTGAAACGACTGTCTCCCAGGAAACGGAAATGTCAACAACGATTTCCATTGCTTCTTATTCCACCGCACCGCACCGCATTCAACGCAAGAAGCTGAACTTCAAAACAGGACAAAAATGGCCGCCGAGAAGAAAGACAAGGCTCAAGTGCATAAACTTGCTCTACGTGGTGAGTGTTCAAATTGGAAATCGCGGCGATTCCATTTCGGTCGTGGCTGATTGAGAGAGTAGGGTCATCCAAGACCGTCGCCGAATTCGTAAGTCCCTGCACTTTCAATAGCTCTTGATCTAACAGCGACTGACTGTTTTCAGTTTGAATATTCCATCAACACTATCTTGTACGTATTAAGCCGCAGGCGACAAACGAGAAGACGTTCAGTAACATGGGCAGATTTCAGAGAGGGGTTTACCCAGCGGAGGATTTTACACCGGTGAAGAAATATGGACTCAACATGCTCGGTATGGCAAACAAAGTACATCGAGAAATGTGGTGCTGACAGGTCCAGTTTCCTCAGATGACCAAGTCAAGGCATACATCAAGAAAATCATGTCCCAACTCAATAAATGGATGATTGGGGGAAAGATTTCAAGATTGGTGGTGGTAATAACCAGCAAAGAGACGGGCGAACACGTCGAGAGATGGCAATTTGATGTCCACATGACTAGCAAGTCGACCAAACACCGATCATCAAAGAAGGCGTCGGATAAGGAGAATACCGCACCAGAGTAAGTGGCCGCGAAGTATTGCGAGGAAGTTTACGGCCGAAATTGATGCAACGCAGGGATTCTACGCCAGCACCAGCAGACCCGGAGCCTGAGAAGACTGAAGCCCAGATCCAGGAAGAAATTCAAGCCATCTTCCGCCAAATCACAGCATCAGTAACATTTCTGCCTATACTCGATGGTAATTGTACGTTCAATGTCCTTGTCTACGCAGATGCAGACTCAGACGTGCCTATTGAATGGGGTGATAGCGATGCGAAAGAGATCAAGAATGGAGAAAAGGTCCAGCTCAGGAGTTTTAGTACCAGTAATCACAAGGTGGACACGATGGTCAGCTATAGACTGGCGGAGTGAGTTTGAGTATCAGCGTGGAGTTCAGGTTTGAGATAGGGAAAATACGTATGTAAAATTACGGCATGAGGAACGATGAAGCACTGTGATTCTATTCTCCACCAGGTACGGAAGACTCTGGATATTGGTACAGCCAAGGATATGTACAGTGACCAGAGGCCAGGCTGAAGGCACGTGACAAGGCTGCACAAGCGGGGACTTTTTTGGAGATTCAGAAGTCGGCTTTCTTTGAAATGTCGCCCACCACACTATCAACTTGTTCTACGATTGGAACTCTTCACCTCGAAATCTCTGCTAGATGACCATGTGATTCAGCATCTGTGCCATGACCTTCGCCTCTCGCAATAACCTCTAAAGTCCCTAACATTGCACCCTACCCTGGTGCTCCACATATTCTCGACTGTCAAGGTTCAAGTTCTGTGTGAGTTGGTGGCTGCACGATGCCCGTCGCAACTGAATTACAGAAGCCCGGTCCGGGGAAAGAGCAGGTCATACACAATGTTCCAAAGGCCATCAAAGAACTCGGCTTTGGAGTTCTATCCGACCAGGACATTCTCAACCAGTCCCAAGTCGAGCTAGTCGACCGCCGCATGTTCGAAGTCCCTCCACAGACTGGACGGCGCACTCTTTGCGAATATGGCCCTCTAGACAGGCGCATGGGCGTCTCTGGCAAGAGAGACTCGTGCGCTACTTGTGGAGAGCCTCTACAGACCTGCAATGGCCATTTTGGCCATGTCAAATTAGTCCTGCCCGTCTTCCACGTTGGTTACTTCAAGAAAGTCATTCAGATCCTCCAGAGCATTTGCAAGGCATGCCACCTCTCCAAATCCAACCACAGGCATCCAACTAACTTTTCCAGGACTGTTCCTGCATCCTGCTTTCCGAGACCGATCGAAGAAAATTCATAGGTGCCCTTCGTCGTTCTGGAGATGATAGTCTGAGGCAAGCCGCTATCATTAGAAGAGTCGCCGACCAAGCTCGGAAGACAAAATCATGCTTTGAGTGTGGTGCTATCAATGGTCTCGTTCGCAAGGCTGGCACTCATTCCATGAAGATTGCCCACGACAAGTTCAAGTCTTTTAACTCCTCAACTTCCGCCAAAAAGGTTGCTCCGCCAGAAAAGATCGCTTACGACAAATCCTTCGAAAGCGCAAAAGGAAGCAACGCTGAACTGGAGAAGCACCTCAAGAAGGCCATGGATGATCTGAATCCGTTGCGTACTCTGAAGCTCTTCAAACGAATCAAGCAGACAGACCGTGAACTTCTCGGCCTCCGTTCCGCAAGCCCTGAATCCTTCTTATGGCTGTACATTCCTGCTCCGCCCGTCTGTATCCGCCCGTCTGTGGGACAAGAAGCTGCCAGCACCGAAGATGATATCACTGCAAAACTTGGCGATATTATTGCTGCTAATGCTGCGCTTGAGGAGGCTCTCCAAAAAGGTGCCCCAGTTCAATCCGTCATTGAACACTGGGACTACCTCTCTTTACAGCTGGCCATGTATATTAATAGCGATGTGCCAGGTCTTGCAAAAGGGGAATTCGGAAAAACCATTAGAGGCTTCGTTCAGCGTCTCAAGGGCAAACAGGGTCGCTTCAGAGGAAATCTGTCCGGCAAGCGAGTCGACTTCTCAGGGCGTACTGTCATTTCACCGGATCCTAATTTACGAATAGACGAAGTCGCCGTACCTATCTTGGTAGCAAAGAACATGACGTATCCTGAAGTGGTCAATGAGATCAATATTGAAAAGCTTCGGCAGAGAGTTCGAAATGGTGCAAGTCGGTGGCCCGGTGCCAATTATGTTCAGAAAGTAGACGGTGACTTCAAAATCTTCTTGAAGTTCGGCAATCCACACAACGTTGCCAAAGATCTGAAAGAAGGTGATATTGTCGAGCGTCACCTCGAGGATGGCGATATCGTTCTCTTCAATCGTCAACCATCTCTTCACAAACTCAGCATCTTGAGCCATTATGTGAAAGTACGTCCGCATCGAACTTTTCGCCTCAACGAATGCGTCTGCAATCCCTATAATGCGGATTTTGATGGCGATGAAATGAATCTTCACGTACCACAAACTGAAGAAGCTAGGACTGAGGCTACCTTGCTCATGGGTGTTAAGCATAACATTGTCACGCCCAAAAATGGTGAACCTATCATCTCCGCCATCCAAGATTTCATCACCGCATCCTTTCTCCTTAGCAGCCTCGAACAATTTTATGATAGGAAAACCTTTGTGACACTCTGTGTGGGCATGCTGGAACCCGACACTGACTTCGATCTTCCGCCACCAACGCTCATCAAACCAGAGACGCTATGGACTGGCAAACAAGTCTTCAATGTGCTTATGCGACCTAACAAGCAATCCCCCGTCAGGGTCAATCTTGATGCTGCCTGTCGAGATCATAAGCAGTATCACACTGGTCTTCACCGAGATCTGCAAGATGACAGCTTCCTTTGCATTCGGAATTCTGAGATCATGTGTGGTCGAATGGACAAATCTACAGTCGGTTCAGGAAAGAAGAATTCGTTATTCTACATATTATATCGTGACTTTGGTCCAGATGCATCTGCACAAGGTATGAATCGACTGTCAAAACTTTGTGCAAGATGGCTGGGTAACCAGGGCTTCACCGTCGGCATCAGTGATGTTACACCTACTGAAATGCTGGTTGTGGTCAAGAGCGATATGATATCAAAAGTGTTTGATGATTGTAGTTCATTTGTTCGGGATTCCAAGGCCGGTAAACTCAAGCGAAAAGCTGGGTTGGATGATGCTGGGACTCTTGAAGGAGAGCAGGTCCGAGTATTGAGTACGGTCCGTACCAATATCGCAGGCGTCCTGACTACACAGCTCAGCAAGCGAAATACGCCAATGATCATGGCTACATCGGGATCCAAAGGTTCAAACATCAACGTCACACAGATGGCTGCCCTTCTTGGTCAACAGGACATCGAGGGTAAACGTGTTCAAGATGGCTTTCAGGACCGCACGCTGCCTCATTTTGCCAAACATGAGCGATCTCCACCCTCCAAAGGATTCGTCTCAAACAGCTTCTTCAGTGGTCTCTTGCCCTATGAGTTCTTGTTCCATGCCGTTGGTGGTCGAGTTGGGTTGGTAGATACTGCAGTGAAGACTGCCGAGACTGGTTACATGTCCCGACGTCTCATGAAGTCCTTGGAAGATCTTTCAACTCAATACGATCGGACTGTCCGGAATTCAGCCTCTAACATCGTACAATTTCGTTTCGGTGACGATGAACTCGATCCTGTCGACATGGAAGCAAGTGCTAAACCTGTGGACTTCGAGCGTACATATGCACATGTCGAAGCAACAACATATAACACAAGTGACCCAGGCCTTAAGGATACCGAGATATATTCTGTCATGGAAGATATTCTTTCGGTCAAACGGAACCTATTGACCAGAATTGACTTCAATGGTGTCGAGTTGCCTTATGACACCGACAATGACCGGCTTGCTGACCAACATGAAAGCCATCGAGCGTTTTTGAGATCTATCCACGATTTTGTCATGGCGAAATCACATTCATTCAATGAAGCAAGAGCTAAGAAAAGGCAATTTGCTTTGCCGCCTCCCGCACCTGGAGCATCGTCATCCCACAAGAGAAAAGCAGATGAAGATATTGAGATGGAGGATGGCGCACTTGAAGGTTCCTCGAGACGACCTGTCAGAAAACCGGCCGCACCCCGCCGGGCCAACACCAAGGCAACTAAGAAACAAAAGCAGGCTTTTGCAGCACAAGATGTACTCGTAAGAGCTATTGCCGCACCGTCGACAAGCGACCGCTTCGAGTTGACCTCAAAACTATCCGAGAGAACGCTGAAAGCATTTGTCAACCTTTGCTTGGACAAATATGAGAGGGCACGTGTCGAGCCAGGTCATGCTGTTGGAGCTGTTGGAGCACAATCCATTGGTGAGCCTGGAACTCAGATGACATTGAAGACTTTCCATTTTGCCGGTGTTGCCGGTATGAGTTTGACAGCAGGCGTACCGCGTATCAAGGAAATCATCAATGCGTCTAAGGATATCAGTACGCCAGTCATCACTTGTCGACTTGAGCGTCGTCGAGATTTGACCATTCCCGAATCACTAGCAAGAATCGTGAAGGGCAGAATCGAGAGTTTGAACCTAGAAGACATCACAACATTCATCCAGCTCAGCCACTCTCTGGACCGGCCCAGTTGCATTCATCTCAAAGTTGCTCTTGACACAATTGATGACTTGGGTCTAGACATTACCGTACCTGAGATCATCAACGCCATTCAAAAGCACCGACAGCTAAAGGCAGCCAAATTGAGAATCCAGCTGAAAGGGAAAGATGAGCTTAAAATCACGACGGAGACGGCCATCAAATCCATGAAGCGAGGCACAGCTGCTAAGATCGACGAAGAAGGCCAGAATGAACGATTACTCCGCCTGCAGACCTTGCGTCGGATTCTACCGACCGTCCACGTTCTAGGCCACCCTTCCGCGACTCGTGCAGTGGTGATGGCTGAGGACGATCCGCTCTCCGATGACATTCGCGCGCTGAAGAATGCTGAGAAGCGTGCCAAAGCTGAGGCCGATGCTCAGGTACTGAACTCCGAGCAGTCCACAGCAGAACCAGAAATCAAGCAGGAGACCAACGCCATCTCGACAAAGCCGACTGCTGCGGCCATCAAAACCGAATCTCCGTCCTATCAATCAAGCAGCCTCCCATCTGTACCACCCGCACCGCCAGCACCTGCCAAACCCATCCAAATGCACAAAGTGATGGTCGAAGGCTACGGCTTCCGGTACTGCATGAACACGGACGGCGTGGACCCATCGCACACGCAAACCAACTCCATCATCGAGACCCTCCAAGTGCTCGGCATCGAAGCGGCGCGCTCCAAGATCATCACCGAGATCCAAGAAGTGACCAAAGACCTCTCGATCGACCCGCGCCACATGGCGCTGCTCGCCGACGTGATGACGTACAAGGGTGAGGTTCTCGGGATCACGCGCTTCGGCCTCGCCAAGATGCGCGACAGTGTGCTCCAGCTGGCGAGTTTCGAGAAGACGGCCGACCATGTCTTCGAGGCGGGCCAGGTCGGCAAGGTCGATCCGATCGAGGGCGTCAGTGAGAGCGTGATCGTGGGCAAGACGATGCGTGTCGGCACGGGCAGTGTGGAGGTCGTGCGGTATTTGAATGTCGACCAGAAGCTGGGTTTGAAGAGGAGACCCACGCTCTTTGAGGATGCGTGGGCGGCTGGGAAGAGGGCTAGGAACCAGACTGGTTGACTGACTGACTGACCGACCAAGGTTGGTTTGGTTGATTGGCTAGTTTGGTAGCATAAGCACGTTCGTCGACTTGTGTCAATGAGATGCAGTGGCTGGAGGGGCAACTTAAGATAGATTACTATGCTGCAGATGGATCGATGGATACACCGATCGGAGAAACAAACACAGTAAGTGGTCAATTAAGTAAGGAGAACAGCAAGAATCAGAATCGAAGGCCTTAAATAATTTAATCATTTCAGTTCCATCGGAAAGCTAGCTGATCGTCTGCCTCAGCCAGTAAATCAATCAACGAAATAATATGACAACGAATCCAATTATTCAATATGGCTGAGGTCGATAAATTGCCGACTCCGACCTGGCCTTGCAAGGCACAGGATCAAATATCATATCATATTGTATGACATCGACCGGTTAATCCCTTCCTCTCGCATGTACGCAGTACAAGCATGCATGTCGAAGATCGCGATGTTTCCCACTTATAATACACGTACATCATTAATCATGTCAAAAACCAACGGGCTTTTCCGCTAGCTGACTGGGGTCTCTCATCTGACCGCAATATTCTGCCCTCCGATCCCTACGTGGACCTGCCGTTGTGCAGTTTCAGCCACCGCCAACGGAGCACACTGAGGATTGCGTTTAAATGCCTTATTTGCTCTCTTCTTAGCGACTTCGAGATCGTCTTTGGGTGGCGGCGACGACAACGGATTATTGGGTGGATTTGGGTCATTGACCGTCGGTTTTGGCGTCGGTGTGAGGTCGTCGTCGCGTAAGCTTTCAAGATGGCGGACATCGATATCGAGTTTTTCTGATGTCTTCTGTCTTCTTGCGTTTCGATGTTCTGCGGTAACAGCGCTTACTTTGGCAAAACGAGGCGATTCTTCGCCTATAGACTGATATACAGACGGCTTCTCGGCTAGTGGCAAGCCACCAAATTGGTCACCTAGACATCGTAACAGAGCCACGAAATACTGGTGTAGGATTGTGAAAATGTTCTCATCACCCACGATTTCGGCCAAAGAGCGTGGGGCGGTATGTCCAGCTCTTCGAGGGTGACCATCAGGATCATTACTCCGCGAAGTCAAAAACGATGACACAGGGGTATAATTCCGAGGTTTAGCCTCGGGTGAACTGGCGTCAATCTCTTCTTTGCGCCTTTGGGCTTCTTGATGGCGTTGGGCAGCGGATTCAATCCCTTTGGCCATATTTGCAAAAGCCTCCCAAAGCATTGGACAGGCTTGAAATGCACGACTCGCATCTTTGCCTGCGAGAGCGACAAATGCGTATGCTCTCCGTCGGCCTCGTGCTTTTGGATCTGTGAGTCGAAAAACATACGCAATTGTATACCCTGTAGTTGAATCTCCAAAGCAGAAAGGTCCATCGGACATGCCGCGGGGCAGGAGTTCACAGGACAGTGTTCGAATGACGGAAGCTCGGAGTTGGGCGAAGCTCTCTGGATTGTCTGGGGATTTCGCTGTTAGATATGTGAGCGTGTGATCATGGCAATCCTCAGAGTGGGAATGCGCATGTGAGGTTAGATTTGAACTGGCAGAACCCAGGGAAGAACTCAAGGACGAGGGTTGTGTCCCGCCGCTACTGTTTGTACGCCTTCGCTCGCGCAGACAAACGAATTCTCTTGATCTGAGAACTGGGGCTCCTGAATTGGGGTTCTGTTTGCCGTCTGCTCTTCTGCTTCCAGGCGCTCCAGCAGGGAGTTTCTCAGCAATGCGATTGGGGACGCTAAAACTACAGCTTGCACAGGTGTCGCCCTGGGCACGGCCATAGCGGTACTGAGAGTGAATATCGAGCTTTTGATCTCGAGGGTTAAACAAGGGATGTTTTTCAATGGTGGGGCTGTCGGGTTCGGCCTCGGAATCGACCGTGGTTGAGGCGCCGGAGAAGTCGGTCGGGAGTGTGAGATTAGTATTGGTCTTTCGTAGCGGTGGGGGATTATTAAGAGAAGGCTGGGATTCCAAGGATGGATCGTGGATTTGTGTGGTGAGGGAATCCGAGGATTGTGTGGCTCGTAAAGGAGGTGAGGGCGGCAGACATAAGGCGCATTCTAAAGGTAGGACTTGTGTACAGAGAACGGATTTAGGACCGTGGGCCTCGCAGAAATGGGTGAGAGCAATCTGGAAAAGCGTCAGTTTGATGGTCATGTGCGTGGTGAGATTGAGGTGGAGGGTCGATCGATGGTCATCAGGGCGAACTGCGGACTGCGCATTGCGAATCGCGGATTGCGCCATCTGAGGGATGATGCTGTCTCTGGCACCGGGTTGGCTTACCGTAAAATCCATATTCTAATATAATCAGTTTATAGTATCATTAATTATCCTCCTCGTTCATGAATTGTGGCAGTTGTTTATATCATGTTGTGCTATGCATATACAAAGGGAGTGCGCTCGGCCTGCCATGAGTAAGGGATGGATCGACTTGAGATGATTCGACTTAGACGCAATGCAAAATAGATGAGGTGAAGCTTGAGAGAGAAGAAATATTTGACGTCGCTTGCACCCGCACTTCCCGAGGAGAAGACGACGTTTATTGGGAACCGGGCATCGGGTGATGTGGATCAGGAGGGTGAACTAGGCAAGCGGTCGTGCGACTCTCGTCTCGAAATGAGGCAGTTTCCAGTGGTGAGGATGAAGATGAGGATGTTTGAGAGGAGCAGAGAGGAGATGAAATGGAATTGCTGGTGGGTTGATTCAGAGTTCGAGTTGTTGTTGCCTTTTGCCTTGGGCGTTATGAGTAGAAGGAGCAGAAAGAAGGCTCAACGTTGGCATCAACCTGGAGGGTGGCAACTTGACCGCTTGTTCTTCCGGTGCTGCAGGCAGGTGCAGGCAGGTGCAGACAGTGCAGGAAGGTGCAGGCCTGGAATGCTTAGTATGCCCACTGCAGCAAATCACGTTTCCGGGCTTTCAAAGCCTATATGCACTCGGCTTGGATTGTTGTTCCCTTCCGATGCCACTTCCACCACTAATTACGCCGGAGTTGGTCACTAGTATTGAGTCGGTCATTCTGCGCCTTCCACTTCAAGGCCAACGGATATTAGCCGGAGTTGCTGGCTCCCGAGGTCTGAGTGCCCAATGTCCAATGCCCAATGCCCGTCGCTTCGGTACAGGCATCCCGCATCCGTGGTTCAGCTATGCTGACTACGATATCCCTTATGCACATCCTCGTACTGGGGGTGCCTACCTAATTGTTGGCTCACCTCGCAGCCACACAGAGCATTTTAGCCCTAGTAGTAGGGAGTAGTAGACCAAATCTATTCTCTTCCTATCTGTTCAACCTCCCTCCTTGCCCAATCCGTCTTGTATCGTCCATCCGATGTGGCCTTCTGCAACACAAGCACTACTTGTTGCCCCTGCATTCGCTCCTGAATCTCATGCCGTGCTCCTCCGGCTTTTAATCTTATCTGTCGCTGTGCAATGTCGATCCTCGTAACGAACCCCAATCCCAGGCACTCTGAATTCAGTGCCGGTAACCCAAAGCCTTCTTCGCCGGTCATTAACCGGGGAAGATCTTCTTCGGTCCGTGCCACACCGGGTAAGATATGCCTATCTTCCACATCAAGCCTCCTGTCGTCTGCATCCTGGGCATCTCTGGCCTCGTCATCCCACGGGCCAATGCTTCTGGCCTTCACCGCCACGATAGCAACTATACTGCCTTCCAGGACATCGTATGTATCTTCCAAAGCTACATGACCACTGACAAGGGCAATGCCAACAACTCCTGCATGTCTGCCTTGATAGCCAAGTGTTATTTCTGCTCCAGTGTCTGCCATAATTGGTCTGCCATCCCAGAATACACGGTCAGCTCCAGAGGGAACAGAATGGAAGTATGATTGCATCTGAAGGTCGTGTTCCCGGACCAGTGCTATCCTATCCGATGTTGGTACAGGTAGATTTTGAATGGGGCAGCCGGTAGACTCTGCCAGGGACTTCCATGGTCGTAGGTGCGCTGATGCCGTGCTGTGATCGAGACACACAATACCTGTTGGCGCCATCTCCGCCCACAATTTACTAGCTACCACCCCACCAACATCGTTGAGCCATTTTGGTGCTAGGATAACCGTGATGGCATTCCCGGGCCCACGTCGAAACTGCTTCTCGACGCTCAACAGATCTGAGATACACTCAACTTGCAAGTTGCAGATGTCACTCGCCTCGACGTCTCCTAGAAAGTGCATCTTCAGAATCCGGCTTGAAGAGCCATGTATCGACAGTGGGTGACTCAATGCCGGCCCAAAGATAGGGGTCTGTAAAGAAACCAGACTGATGGTGCCTGGTGGAGAGAATTCGGGCAGGCTCGTATCCAGATCTATTACAATCGCCTTCTGCGACTGTTCATTGCGCCGACGAGGACCATCACTTATTAATGTTCGATTCACAAGGCACCTGAGAAGGGTCGACAGCCCTGATGATCGTCGACCGCATAAAAGAAGGCGTGGCCCAGGGGCGGATGAGATACTACTCTCATAACCTGATGCTAGAGATGGCCTCCAGGAATCGAGGTGGAGCTCTTTGAAACGCTTTGGTGACTTCATCTCGTGATCAAACGTATGGCCAAGGACAAAAAAGGTCAAATCTGACCGCTCTACACCTGGAGGCTTCCATATATTCCTCGTTCCGGTATATGGCAGATCTTGGATGCCACAACTGACGGAGTCAAGCTGGAACTCTGTGTGCTTCTCACATGCTTCTATGGAGGGAAGAGCATGACTGCTAGGAGCGTAGATGCGATGAGCAGTGGGAGAGGCGTGAATGGTGGCCCCGTACAGAAAAACCGATCCGTTCTTCACCCAAAGATCGCATATTCCCAATACGAAGCATTTCTATACCCGCTTAGTAGTTGCCAAGTAGTTGGGTTAAGACCCGTACCTGAGGCCGAGAAAGTTTGATCTTGATAGATGTCTTGTTGACTGGTTCTATCTCCCTGGTAGAACTGAAATGGACTGCTGATGCCTCCACCAGTGGAGTGAATTGATTTTCAGAGGTGCCTTTCTCATCCGACGTTCTATCACCACTTCTCTGTGATACATCTAACCCAGAGGCTGATTGCCCCAGACTCTTCTCCAATTCAGCTACTGGTAATGGTGATGGTGATGGTGGCCGTGGAGTTGAGCTGCCAGACCGGGCCTCTTGCAGCCGGCGTCTGGCGACTGCACTGAGACTAGTACCATCTGTAGCTGGTCAGTGAGGTTTAATGAAAGCAGAAGTATTGGGACTTGTTCTCACTCGTCGTCATACACGGTCCTCACGGAGAATGCAAAAAGAATAACTTGTGTAAGGCCATCACAACCGTTCGTTAATTAATTTGATCATTTTGCTTAGTGGTCGCACTAAGGGCTTAGCTGCGGGAGGTTCCGAGATATTTTCCGCTTTCAGTTGGAGATCACATCTGCCCATCCTGATTCCTGAGACTCCAAGAAAAATATTTTTGTAGGCAAGGACTGAGTACTATCTTGCTCCAACCCAACAGAACCAGAAGTGATTCTTGATACCCGAAAAAGTCACTGTGGACAAAGCGTTGATTCCTAGCTTGGCTGCAGGGGATGGCTAAGTCAAAGCAACCATCAAAGCCAAGTCCACTGAGTCGAGAAAAAGTTTACGACTCGAGCGACAGCGGGCACAATGAAGACTCAGAGACGAGGCCAATCTCAAGCTCCAAGCTAAAGAAATTACCGCTCAGAGAGGCAGACAGAAGAAAATCAGCAGAAAATTCACCTGCTGCAAACAGGCTATCCCCACGTGCAGCTTCGGATACTACTTCAGAAGATGAAGGACAATCAACAGAGAGTGAGGAAGATGACGAGGAAGATGGATCTGAAACCGAGAGTCAGGGCCAGGAGCCGAGCTCTGAATCAAGTAAACGAAAGTCACCTGCAGAAACATCGGAACAACCAAGTCGTAAGAAAAGCAAGGCGGCACCAGTTGCTACTTCCACGATACACATACCGCCCAAAGCCTTCCAAGCACCGCGTGGCCACGAACCACTCATCTTATCAGCCTCAGATTTCGCGTCGGAGAGTGCCTCGTTATTCGAAAATCTCCAGGGCAAGCAGATATGGCACATCTCAGCTCCAGACACGGTTAATATCGGCGCAATCAAAGAACTTGATATTCAGGCAGCGTTGTCGGGCCAGGCCATTCTCAGCAAAGACGGTATCAACTATAACATGCAACCGTCTTTTGCCTCAAACGACGTCTTACTCCTTCCACAAGGAAGCGATTCCACATACGAGCAGAGCGAGATGAGGATATCGAGGAGTTTCCACCTCCGGCAGATGAGCAGCAAGCCTAAGCTTAAGCATCAGACGAAAGACCAGGCCGAGACACCACTCACCTTCACCGCAGTCGAGGAAGGCAAGGAAAGTATCCCCAGAAAACAGCCTGGGGGCCTCAAGATGCGATACACCCCATTCGGAGCCACTCCTGCAGCACGGAATGATAATGACGAAGACGACATCGAGATGAACACTGAAATAGGTACGGCTACATTCAAAGTCCCCGACGATGTAGTGGGTGAACGATCAGGCGGGAAACAAGCAACAAATGACGATGCAGACTCGATGCATCGTGGCGGGAAACGGGACAAGAGGAGCCAGGAAAAGGACAGAGTCACTGGGTCAGGCGAAAAGAAGAAGAAAAAGAAACGGAGGCTTGTGGATGAGGAGGGTGCCTTGTGAGAATGAACCTTGAGCAGGCAAGCCAGCAACTCGCCATTGCAAATGTGGTTCATTTTCCACAGAAACAGCCATGGAATAAAGTGGTGTTTCCCCACAGTCATATTTACAGGACTACGCAGTGGTCAACGGAGTGTATGATTTCTATGGATAGGAATTCTGTTTCGGGTATCATGCTCCCTCCGCATCATCGAGGACGGGAATAGTAGTGGGCCAGTACGGAGGACATAGCTAATATATCTCCAGTATCTACGCGGCCACGCCCACTCCAAATGCATCTCCATGTGCAGGCGGGGAGAAATTCTAAGGGATAAACTCGGGGATTTGAGGCCTGGAATCGGGCTCGAATCGGTGGATTCCCAGGCACCCCAGCCAGCAAGCACACACCCAATCGCACTGGGAGGCCACCACCTACAAGCTCTTCGACTCCGTACAGTCCTGCCCAGGTTAGTAACTAGTAGAACACTGGGTGACACCCCCAGGAACGGCTAACCTAGCACGGAAACAAACAGCTGCTCCTCTTATTATTCACTACTCTACGACCAAGACAGCGACCGGCAACCACGAAAACCCCCCACCAATAAAATAGTAATTACCCCTCGCGCGCAACTCGCAGGCCATCCAGCAAAAAGTTTTGTCGAAAAACCACATCGAAGCCTCCGAGCTGCAGTCACCTCCCTTTCCTACTCTCTATACATATCTTCCCTCTCACCTTCCAAATTTCAAAGATCTCTTAGCCATCAAACATCTTAATATACCAACCCTCAGCAATGGGTTCTGTGCCTGTCGCCGGCGGCAACTATGCCCTCTCTAACGCACACAAAGAAGTGAGTCCTTCTTCAGTCTTGAACAGCAAGTCGTGTTTGCTGCAGGAAAATTAGGAATGGCGGCATTTGACTGACTGAAACTCATTGCTACAGATGCTCGAGAAATCCCTCGTCGATTCTGACCCTGAGGTCGCCGAGATAATGGTATGCCTGTGCAACCCTATGCAACTCCCCTCCGCACACCTCAACAGACTACTCACGGGACCAAAATTATATAGAAAAAAGAGATCAAGCGCCAGCGAGAATCCATCATCCTCATTGCCTCCGAGAACGTGACTTCTCGAGCCGTCTTCGATGCCCTGGGCTCACCCATGTCCAACAAGTACTCCGAGGGCTACCCCGGTGCCCGCTACTACGGTGGAAATCAGCACATCGACTCCGTCGAGTTATTGTGCCAGGCAAGAGCTTTGAAGGCCTTCCAACTAGATGAGGAGAAGTGGGGTGTCAATGTCCAATGCCTGAGCGGCTCGCCCGCCAACTTGCAGGTCTACCAGGCCATCATGAGACCGCATGATCGATTGATGGGTCTAGATCTGCCACACGGTGGACATTTGAGTCACGGATACCAGACCCCACAGAAGAAGTAAGCCGAACCCTCTTCCCTTGTATAGAAAGAGAGACGATGATTTTGATATCATTGGGCAAATAGAATCTCAGCTGTCTCTACTTATTTCGAGACATTCCCGTACCGGGTCAACCTGGAGACGGGCATCATCGACTATGACCGCCTCGAGGAAAACGCCCTCATGTACCGACCCAAGACCCTCGTTGCCGGAACCTCTGCATACTGCCGTCTGATCGACTACAAGCGCATGCGCGAGATCGCAGACAAGGTCGGAGCATATCTGGTTGTTGATATGGCACATATTTCCGGTCTGATTGCTGCTGGTGTGATCCCATCTCCCTTCGAACACGCCGACATTGTCACAACCACCACCCACAAATCCCTCCGTGGCCCTCGTGGAGCCATGATCTTTTTCCGCAAGGGCGTTCGCAGCACCGATGCTAAAACCGGCAAGCAGGTCCTCTATGACCTCGAAGGACCCATCAACTTCTCCGTCTTTCCCGGTCACCAAGGTGGTCCCCACAATCACACCATTACCGCCTTGACGGTGGCATTGAAGCAGGCTGCTTCACCAGAGTTCAAGCAGTACCAAGAGCAAGTCATCAAGAACGCCAAGGCATTGGAAGTCGAATTCAAGCAACTCGGCTACAAGCTGGTCTCCGATGGAACCGACTCACACATGGTCCTCCTTGACCTGCGCCCTCAATCCGTGGACGGAGCTCGCCTCGAGACGGTGCTTGAACAGATCAACATCGCTTGCAACAAGAACAGTATCCCTGGAGACAAGTCTGCACTGACACCATTCGGTATTCGTATTGGTGCTCCCGCCATGACTTCGCGTGGCCTCGGTGAAGACGACTTCAAGCGCATCGCACACTATATCGACACCGCCATCAAGCTGTGCAAGAAGATCCAGGGCGATCTTCCGAAGGAGGCCAACAAGCTCAAGGATTTCAAGGCCACTGCCTCCAACGACTCCGTCGCAGAGATCCTCAAGCTCAGACAAGAGATTGCCAATTGGGCTAGCAGCTTCCCTCTCCCAGTGTAGATAAGAACGGCCATTGAAATAAGCAAAGGCCATGAGCTCGGACGAAGGATATATGAACTAAAGGGCGTTTTGGCTTTCCCAGGTTGGTTGGCAGCGAGATAAGCGGTGCGGTCGGGTATGTCTTCTTTCAACGGAAGAGGATCTTTGGGTCCCAGGCCGGAAAGCACCAAAAGGGCATTAGGCGTATCTTCAACGATACTTTTTTTTAATGGAACAGAATTCCACGTGAAGAACCAAAAAGTCCCACTTCATCCAAGCTAGGAAGTGTACATGTCAATCGATCGATAGAAATGTAATGTAAATGAATACCCCGGCGGTGGGATATCCACATGGCGTTAGTCGTATGTTATTTCTCCATCTTCAGTCATTTGTCATGTCTCAATTCCTTTTCTTTCCTTTTCTTTTCACCCCTCCCCACCCTGCATAGACGCATCAACAGCTCCTCCTGTGCCCGCAGTGACACCCCCACACGCAATGCCCCCCAACTTCGCAAGCCTAGCCTTCAACAGCGCGACATCACGCAGTAGCAGCCGGATCTCGGCCTCCTGCTCGTCCACAGTCCGGTCCAGGTCCGGCAGCGTCGACACCGCCGACCGCGCCTTCACCAGCTTCTGCTTGATCGGGTAGATGTGCGCCGGCAACTCTTTCGCGTCGATCGCGGGCCCGGTGGTCTGGATGTGCCGTGAGGTGAGAGGCGCCGTGTTCGTCGCGGTTTGCGTTGAGGGTAGTGGCGGCGGCGGTAGTTGCTGTGTGTGTGTTCCCCCTGTGAGGTTGGAAGTCGCGGAGAAGGTGGTCTGTCTAGGCTGCGACTGCGAGGCGCCGATCACGGTGGTGGAGCTCGAGGAGGGTTGATGAGTCTGCACTTGGGATTGGGATTGTGTCTGTGTTTGTGACTGCGTTTGCTGTGAGCCGGGTGCCTGTTGTGACTGCAGGATGTTCAGACGTGCGATCAGTAGATAGACGTCCGGGAGGATGGAGAAGGTCGAGGGCGATGGGAAGGGCGGTATGTCGGGATGGGTTGTTGGGATCTGTGAGGGCGTTGTCGTCGCGGACGGCATCTTGAGATGGTCGACAGGGTTTGGAATGTGTGGTGGGCAAGAGTCTGAGTGACCAGATCACATCAGCTTCCAAACGAAGTGAGGGTTGGGCAATTGATTTGAGATTATGAAAAGTTGGAGTTGAAGATGCGGAGGGAGGGCCACCTAGAAGGAGTGGGTGTTCCTGGACAAGGGCCCTCGAGTTTCGGACGTAACTTCCCCTTTGAATGCTCCGAGTCAGGTATTCAAAGCCCACCCATAGTTCGCCTGACTCAGGAGTACTTCAATCTTGTATTCGTCTCTACAAGTGCATCATATAAAGTGATTCAGGTCCCTAGAGCACATTTTACCTAATGACAATGCCGAAGTATCTTCCAGGAGCTCTCACACTACCTGTCGTTGCATCAGGCAGAAATGACCTGCGAGCGACGCATTGCACCACTTCAAATCCGACCCTCTTGCGGACTGACCCCCATACATCTAATCCTTAGACGAGATACCAGGAAGCACTAGGTCTCGGACAACCCTCAGTTGTGGTAAAATCGATATCTCATGCTCTGCCTTGCCCAGCACCAACCACTTCCCTTGAACGGCATCGAAACGTTGAGCAGCATCACATTGACATCAGGAATCACGCTGCATTATCTGGGAAGCCGATATCGCACCGCACGCTGTCTTTGTCTGTGTCCTAGACCGGCCAGCTGATACCCTATCATTTGACGGGGGTATTAGACCTTCTTTTCCTAGATGGAACACATGGAAGCCGATCATTGTGTTGACAACCTGTTCAAGAACTTTTCGGACGATCCTTTTCTTTAAATCGATAGTCATACATTAACTCTAAGAGTGGTTGATTAGCAATGTATCTGCACCATGCCAAACAGGTTGGCTGGTAGAGCGACGAGAAATGACATGGGCTTTCAAACATCGTTGAAGCCAATGCAAGCCTTCTCCAGTCCGTTGTCAGCCATCGCCCAGGCCCATGCCCGTCCGGCCTCTCCGGTGAACAAGCCAACAAACCCATCACTTTTTGCAGCCTCGTCAAGCCATCCATGGGACTCAAGGGCCTTACTTGTCGCGAAAAGCATGAGATGTTGAAACTGTGCATCGTCATCTAGTGCCAGTGCATTTCCTGAAGCTCCGTGGCAGAGGCATGGTTCCTTCGTGAGGTTGCCACGCTTGAACAGGTCGCGTTGTGCTGCGGATACGGCTTCGTCGATCTGGTTTTGCAAAGATGGGAAATACTGTCGTATCGACCGCAAGACCACCACTGCGCCAGGCCCACCGTGGCAGAATTGCACCAGTTTGTCGGAGCCGGCCGGTAGCGAGGAGGGGAAGTTGCCGCTTGGGAATTGTGTTTCGAGCAGGTCACGGAGAAGGGGTTCTAGAGACGACGCAGAGCTTGGGAATGATAGCACCACCTGGCAGATGATCCCGAATGTGCCGTGTGCGGCGCCAAGGTATTGCTTCCCATGCCACGTCCAGGGTTGCTTCGAAGTCAAGATTCGGTGCACCGTTGTCTGGATGGTCTTGTTGACCAAGGTCGAGATTTTGGCGTCCTTTTGGAATCCAGCACGGACAACACGGAGCAGGTATAGATACCCGGCGCGGCCGTAGAGCCATTCATTGGATCCCTCGCCGGCAGCATCTCCATTCACTACCCCTTCGTACGAGCAAAGCTTCTGCACGAGACTCGGGTCCTCCTCGATGACGGCACGCAGCGCAAGTTGCGCGAGAACTTCCGCTGCAATACCACAGTGGTTCGCGTCCACGGGGCGCTGTTTGCCATATATCCCCAGGTCGAGATACGCTTGAGCCCAGTCAAGCAGTGACTGGCCTTTGAAGTTAAACTGCGGACCGTAGATCTGACACAGCCGGTAGAATAGATACGCCACAGATGTCGGCCCCTGGTACAGACCCCCGAAGCTCCACCCTGTCGAGCACGTCTGTACCGGTGGGTTGTACGCATTGATTCGTGTCAGCGATTCTAGGAGCTCCGTTCGCGCATCTGCGCGTAGCGAGGGCTCAGGAGATGTCTGGAGGTACCGTGCATCCGAGGTGCTCATCCTGTCCGCCCAGTTAAAGGATGTCTAAATGAGGTGCTCAGGACGATGCAGTAGTAATAGTCAGCGCGATCAGACGCAAAGAATCGCAGCAATTAATTCTAAGTCAGTTTTGTAAGGGGGAGGGCGTTTCAAATTGATACCACTGATATTTCAGTTTTTGAGGATGGTAGCAATCACACAATTGCCTCCGAAGTCTCGAATATCTCGAGTTGATAACATGACAGGGAGAGTGTTTGGTTTGGGCTGCCTGGTATGAGGCAACCAGACAATCATCCAAGTCGTTCTGCCGCCGGTCAATGGTCCCTGATGTATAAAGACGGTGTTCCTGATGGTAGACAGCACTTAGCAGCAAGATCGAAGAAAGAACTTACTCGTACAGACGATTATGTAAGGAGGCAATTCATGTTTCGACCGGAAAATTGCCCCGAAGCGCCGCATCGTCCAAGGGTTCGGATGAGCCACCCGAGGCGCATCCAACATGGAACTTTTCAAAGATACACCCAGAAGGTTGCTTTGTATGTATATGGGTACTTATCAATAGCTTAATCGTTGTCTTCCAAGCCAGGATAACTACGATACTGTTTACCTCCTTCTCTGGTCTAGCGTCTTGGTGCCTAAAGAACGATAAAATCAATCGGTCAAAAAGGATGGGGATATCTGGTAGTTCACAAATTGCGAAAACTGATAAATGAGGAATATGAGATAAGCCATTACCTCCGCCTCGTATCGTCGATTTGGTTCTTTTTCCAAACCAAACGAGGGAGGATTTGTCTTCTTGTTGCAAGGCTGAGGTACTCTGTATGTCCTTACCGCAGCGCCTCCTCAGCCCCATAGCCTCGCCTTCGGGTGCTCATCCAAAATATCCCCCAAAGTGGATTTGGTTTAGTCTGACTTCTACCTGCAGAAGAAGGATTCGGGGGCTCCACCAGGCCTTGGTACCTCCCAAGAGCCAATAAGCTCGTTCAAAGCAACTGTACCCGTAGTAGAGGCTTTCTACTATATGATAGTCTTACGTCTCAAAAGGCAAGCAAGGCATGATGCTGACAGCCCTTTTGGCTCTATTTTGAGAGAAAGGAAGGACATCCTGGTGTTCACTGCCACACCCCCCAACAAGACCATGCGAGAATCATCGCAATCCCCATCTTCCGGGCTTAGCCGGCACGACACCGCCGTCGCTCGGATCTCATCACAGGTAGCACAATTCCATCGCACCAATACGCCCTTTCGGATCTTCCATGGCAGCACCAATGCGACGAGGCCCAGTACCAGGACGCTCGCCGGCACGGTCGATATCTCGGATCTGAACCATGTCATCTCCATTAACGCGGAGAAGCGGACATGTCTGGTCGAGTCGAACGTGCCCATGGATCTCCTGGTCGCCAGCACCTTGCCCCTGGGATTGGTGTGTCCTGTAGTGCCTGAGTTTCCGGGCATCACGGTCGGGGGCGGGCATGCCGGCACAGCGGGTGAGAGCTCGAGCTTCCGGTATGGATTTTTAGACCGCTGCGTGAATTGGTTGGAGATCGTGTTGGCCGACGGCGAGGTGGTGATTGCTTCGGATGAGAATGGGACGAAAGATCTCTTCCGTGGCTCAGCGGGCACTTTTGGGACGCTGGGCGTGGCGACCTTGTTCGAGATCAGGCTCATCCCTGCGAAGTCGCATGTCGAGTTGACTTATCTCTCGGTCAACAGTATTGAGGACGCTCAGAAAGAACTGGCACAGCAGGCAGAGGACGCCAGCGTCGAGTTTCTGGATGGCATTATGTTCGCTCCAGACAAGGGTGTCATCATGGCTGGGCGGTTCGCAGAGCCAGGCCAGGAGAAGAAGGATGGCAAAGGAGAGCATGATCTTCCGATAGTGACCTTCACAAAGCCATGGGACGAGTGGTTCTACCTACATGCCGAAGCACAAATCCAGGGCACGGGCATTCCGAGAAAGAATCTGATCCCCGTAACGGACTATCTGTTCCGCTACGACCGCGGCGCCTTCTGGACAGGCAAATGGGCGTTCGAATACTTCTACACCCCGTTCACGCGGTTCATGCGCTACGCCTTCGACAACTGCTTCCATACACGCGCCATGTACCACGCGCTGCACCGCTCAGGGCTGATGCAGCGATTCATCGTGCAGGACATGGCGCTTCCCAATCGCAACGTTCCCGAATTCTCGCGCTGGCTCGACACCGAATTGCCCACCATCTACCCTCGCTGGCTGTGCCCGCTGAAGCTGGACGAGAGCGTAAGCATGAGTCCGCATAACGCGCCTGCCGCACGCACACAGGGCGACAGACTCCTCAACATCGGCGTCTGGGGCCCCACCCCACGCCAGCACACGCAGATCGGCTTGAACCGCCGGATCGAGGCGAAGCTCAGCTCGCTGCAGGGCATGAAGTGGCTGTACGCGCAGACCTTCTACACCGAGGACGAGTTCTGGAATATCTACGATCGGAAGGCGTACGACGCCCTGCGGAAGAAATACAACGCCGAAGGCTTGCCTTCCGTCTACGAAAAGGTGAGGACGAAGGTCGACCAGGAAGACCTGCCGCTTGGTAATAATGGTGACGGTACGAAACTCGGTATTGAAAAGGGCTTCTGGAGCATTTGGCCTTTCGCGGGCCTTTATGGCGTCCTGAGTCTTTATACTGGCGGCAAGGATTATTTGAGGAAGACGTGACGTGAAAAATTGTCGAGATTTGTAAAAACCATATGCAAATATATAGTCAGATCTAAAAGGTTGGAATAGACAGATGTAGATATCTCGCGGAGGAGACGAAGATGGAAGTGTGCATATCCAATAGAAATTGAACTGTTGTGCTGCTTAATGGGTGCCAATGCAACTGACAAGCGGACGACTCTAAGAGCAATGGAATCTCGCGTAGTCACGATCCAAGAAAAATTGAGGCATGTATATGCGTCTTTTCTCGACATTAAATACCAATATGGTCTGAAAGTCTTCAGCGCACCAAGTACAACATACCAAATGATGGAAACCAAATGTCCCGGTTCCAACCTATTCCAGGAGAGGGCCACCCATGCCGGCCGCAGGGCTAATAAATTTTATACTCAAACGCCAATGCTAAAAAGTTGAACAAAAAACAGATTGAAAAAACTGTGATGGTCCGGATTGGGCATCGACGGAGTTCGTGACTCGATTCAAGAGCTGGGGAATTGTATGCGAGCCAAATATTGATAAGCGGAGATTTGGGCGTAGGCATATCAGTGTCGTGGTGCATGCATCATCTTGTGGTCATTCATCGGAGCGACATATGTTTATACGATCGATTTCTCAGCGGCCCGCCGACATTTCGAATGGCCCAGAGGCTGATGTCTGTCGTTGATGACTCATGAGACTGCAACAATAGAGGGTTAGGCAAGAATTTCTATCATTGGCTTGAGACTAACTTACGGCATGGTCTGTTGGGTGTGGAGTTCATGCTCAGGCGCAGGGCTCATTCTGTTTTGCCGTTGCAGGAATCCTTCAATACCTCCGCTCTGGGGCTGGGGTGCAGCGCCGGTGGAACCTGGACTGCTTGCTCGTTGCGAGTGCAGTTCACTTCCAGCAACTAATGGCTGGTTTTCATGCTGGGGTGTTGGTGCTTGACCGAAGATGTCTTGTGCAGGAGAGCCTGGCCATCCATATGGCTGTTGGGGCGTCATGTGTGGCTGGTAGTTTGGTTGCTGTGCATAAGCTCCTGGGTACTGCGGTTGGGCGTATTGTCCAGTTGGGTTGCCAAAGGCATCAGTAATGGGAACAGGGGCAGTAGATATGCCCGACATATGCTTATTCAGTACAGGCGACATGACTGATGGCTGCATTGAGCTGCGATAATCAAAGCCTCCAGGCGGCATGTAAGCTGGCGGTGCAGGGGCCATAGGTGGTTGGGATTGAGCTGCAGCATTATTGCGACGAGATTTGCGGCCACAGAAGAACAGGAGCGCCGCTCCGGCAATGGCAACCGCTGCTGCACCTGAGGGAAGGATTAGTTGTCAAGGATGTTTGAGTAGAAAGGGAAAGGGCTTACCAATGGCTATACCGGCGATAGCACCCGTCGAGAGGCCATGGGAATGGCTCTCGTCGGCTTCTGAGTTTGCACCCGATGCTGAGCCTGTTGATGTGCCAGTTGCTGAAGATGTCGAGGAACTCGTCGTTGTGGTGAAGGGGGTCTCTGACTCGCTGGGCCAGTCCTCTCCAGGAAGAAGCATGAATGATGAGTTGGCGGCATACTGTTTCTGTACTTCCAAAGAGACACTTGCATTGGGATTGATTACACCGACCATCTGCCAGTCGATACAGGAACCTGGCGCTCCGCAGTAAAAGAATATTGGTTCACTGTCGTTGATGCGAAGGGTAAATTTGGGTGGATCGGGCAAAATTGCGTCAACAATTCGGAAACCCGAGTCAAACCCAACTTTGTCCACCCCTGGATGAAGAAGCGGGTTAGTTGGTATGACAGAACAAACAAGCAAACAAGAGCGAGTTATCCGACAGCGAAGGTTGCATGTGACTCACCTGTCATTTCATAGGGAATGCAAGGGAATTTGTATTCGGCTCGAATAACTGAGTGATTTGTTGGATAGAATTGAAACTCGACAAAATTTCCTTGAGAGAGTTGCACGACGCTGGGGCTAAACGTGTGACCCCCCAGGCCGACGGCGATAGTCTGGGTGATGGGATCTGATGTGGTTGTCGTCGCTGATCCTGAGCCTGCAGCACCAGAGGCAGTAGTATCAGTTGCAGTGGTGGTGAAAGCGATAGAATCGGTTGCCGTAGTTGAGCTAGAGTCAACCTGCCCTGAGGCAAGCTGGAGCAAAGCTACCAGGGCAAGAATGGCCGATCTCATGGTTGCGAGATAATTGAATTAGACAGGCCGCTCGAAAAGTTTCTTCCGGATGATCCTGGGTTGAAGATTTCTTTGTGGTCATGAAGATTGGTTTAGCAAAGGAAAAGAAGACGATGGGATTTAGCTGGGCTAAAGCTGGCGTCCTGTGGATTTCCAAGGTGCGGCTGAGTCGTGGTCTCGAAGGTCTTGGTCGATAATCGAGACCTGTGGCAGCAGACAACGCTCACCCAGACAGCACGGAGTTGATGACTTAGGCCGAACTCGAGAAGAGGAATGCGACCTCAGCCATAATTCAAGCGGGAGATCGGGGACTGCGTTGCTGTTCCAAGCATTCACTTAACTTTAGATCACACCCTAGGCGGACAGACGAAGGGCCTCCTCGTACTTCATAGCCCTAGGGCCTCCTGCCCTTTGTGGGAGGCTTCATGGGCCAGGATACGAGGAGGAGGCAAGGATCACCGGCCATAACAAGGCTCTGTTGTCTCGAAAGTTTGCTCTAGACCAAATAGAACCCTGAATTGAGAGCCGAAATTGGTCGAAGGAAGGGAGAAAGGAAACCCTTTGCTGTCTCGCTGGCTTGCCAAGTGAAGCCAATGGTTTTGAGCCAATTATATTTACTGTGTTAGGGGCTGAAAGATGGCGTCGTGAGCCAAGAATGATCTAGCTGATCGGGCCCGTGTCCGTACGTACTCGTAATAAGGGATCAGCAAGTCTCACCAGATGGAGCTGATGGGAGTTGAACAGATGCTAAACAGAAATAAATGCAGTTTTCAGTAAAACCCACGTACACCGCGCCTCGTTGCATGCCCAATCTGAATACAGAAGACCGAGTACGGGGTGCCGATGCGAGGATTCCCGACGACATCTTCGCACCCCGGATCCAGATTTTGGTGCGGTTGCTCCTGTCAGCAAACCCACAAGCGAGAAATGTGAAACCCACACTACAGCTTTGCTTTATTGGGATCTTACCCGTCAAAGCTAGATGCCAAGGCGGTACTTCCATGGAGACCTGGTCCTAAAATTGGCCAACTTAGGTCTTACTTGGTAGCTGTATCCTGGGACAGAGCGTCCGTACGGAGCACTCGTACTGGATGGTTCAATATTGATAGCCTAAACTTCTCATGTGCTTCAGATTCGTTGATGGAACAGTACTGGTCCGATGTTGACCATGTCATATCTTATCGTATTCCGATACGACGGAGATACATGTACAGTATGTATTCGAGGCCACTGGCCCACGTGGACTCAGTTCCTTGTCCTCGGGATATGTCTGGAACCTATCGCTGTTGCTTGACTTGAAATATATATTCCAAGAAGTCCGGCTCGTTAGGTTGTGGCTTATGACGTAGATTATTGGAAAGGCCAGCCTCCTAAAATAATCTTGAAGAGAGAAGGATCAGCTTGGATCTCTTCTCTTCTATCAATCAATTCCTCAACATCCCAATTGACCCAAATATATCGTCCTCGGAGGAATTCCGCCTCGGCGCTCGCCAGCCAAACCGTGAAATGTGCTGGTAAAGCAACTTTATCAAGAACAGCACCTTTCGGTAAATCTTTCTCTGCAACACCCGCTATGGCGTGTCTGAAGAGGGGGGTATCAACAACACCTGGATGCACGGTGAACACCCGGAGAGTTGGATGCTCTGCAGCCAGATAGTCATCCAGTTTCGCTGCCGCGAGTTTTGCTGCACCTAGGCCATATGATTAGTCTCACACCTGGGTACCGAGTGCGATCGTTCCTAGGGGCTGGAAGATTATTGATCGGGTGACTCACTATACGCAGAATTCTTTGGCATGCGTGCCGCTGGGATATGGCTTGCACCCGCGTTGACGTTGATGAAGGTTGCATTTGGACGAGCCTTGGGCATAAAGTGCTTTGCAAAATGGAAAGGGAACCTGACGGTAATTTCAAAAGCCTGCCACCACGCATCTTCATCCGCACCGGCAATTGTCGATGCAGGAGGTAGTACAGCGGCAAAGTTGGCAAAAATGTCCCATGCACCAAGAGCGGCTCGAATATCGTGGGCAGCGCGACCTATGCTCTCTGCTTTGGACACATCGGCGACTGCTATGAAGACATTGGTCTCTGGACATGCACTGACAACGGCGGTTCTGGTCTCCTCCAGGGTTTTCCCGGTTCTGCCTATAAGAGCAATGTTCGGTGCCCCGGCCTTTGCGAAAGACAAGGCAACCTCAGAACCAATACCACCTATCCCAGCCCCAGTTACTATGACAGTTTTGTCTTTCGCCGACACCTCAGGGCGGGTTGGATCAATAGCGGGGTAGGTATCCTGTCGGTAAGTCTTGGTGAATGAAGGCAATTTCATCTTGCTTCTTGAGTTTCGAAACGTGTAAATAGAGATTCTTCAAGACAGACCGCTCGCATTCGTATTTAATCGAGTCCTTTGCAGGCGTCGCGATTTCCTTCTATGGGAAATTTGAGGAGATCAAATGTCCAGAGACTTGAGCACGTTATGGGGTACCTTTCTAGTTCAGGCAAGCAAAGGTTCCTTGAAAACCGCTGTGCCTATTCAATCATGGCAGACTTTTGGTGGTGGAGGAGTGAGACCGAACGAGCGCAACCTCCAAGTGCAATCTATGGCTGAATTGGAGCCCACACTTCAGGAGCAACCGTACACGTCTCTGCAACTGTGAAGACTTGCTCGTCTGTGGTCTACATTTGGACTGCTTACGAGCGCCGGACTTGTTTTAGAGTTCGGCCCCGAGAAGCATATTGCAGAATCCGTTCTATCTTTTTCCATCTCGAAGATGGACGAAAATCAGTCTTTCTCGGTCTCTCTTGATCCCGACGATGACATGAACAGGCTAGCCTGTAGTGATGGAGTAGAGAGCGGGGAGCTGAGAGGAGGGGAGTGGATGTCCAGAAGCACGTGATCGAGTGCATCAAGTTGATAGCACGTGATCTTGAATGCCCCGCACGGCGACTCCAATTTCGTATTTGAGATTCCGCACCGCTTAGGAACGGCTACTGCGTTTCCTGCGAAAGTTTCTCTAGAGATGATGAGATCTCATGCATGGTGGCGCACCACTCAGGGCTCACTCTTCTCTTCACTCCTCGTAGATTCAATCCATACTGTTCATAAGTGTTCAGCTTACAACTTTGAATTCCTTGCGTGTACCTATTCTTGAGCCATGGCGCAGGTAAACACTCGTTTCCATGGCCAAGGCACTCATGCCACCGTGACCGAACTCATCGGCCAGACTCCCCTCGTAAAACTCCAGAAGATCCCCCAGTCCCTAGGTATTGAAGCCACCGTCTATGCAAAATGCGAGTTCTTCAATGCCGGCGGAAGTGTCAAGGATCGCATCGCTCTGCGCATGATAGAGCAAGCCGAGAAATCCGGCCGCATAAAGCCTGGTGACACGTTGATCGAGCCCACCAGCGGAAATACGTGAGTACAATACAACAAGAATTGAAGCAAGCACAATTGCTGAGAATTGTTAGTGGAATTGGGCTCGCGCTCGTAGCTGCTGTCAAGGGCTACAAAACGATCATCACACTACCTGAGAAGATGTCCGCCGAGAAGGTCGCCGTTCTGAAAGCGTTGAATGCCACCATCATTCGTACCCCAACACAAGCCGCTTTCGACAGCCCAGAATCACATATTGGTGTTGCGAAACGTCTGGAGAAGGAGATCCCGAATGCCCATATCCTCGATCAATACGGCAACCCCGACAACCCGCTGGCCCACGAGCTCGGCACAGCAGAGGAAGTCTGGGAACAAACAGAAGGCCGCATCACAGCAATAATTGCAGGCGCAGGAACAGGCGGCACAATCACTGGTCTAGCTCGAGGACTGCACAAACACAACAAGGACGTCAAGATCATTGCTGCGGACCCGCAAGGATCTATTCTAGCCCTCCCGTCCCAGCTCAACGATGAGTTCAAGGATCAACCCTATAAAGTTGAGGGGATCGGTTACGACTTCGTTCCAGACGTACTAGACCAGAAGGCGGTTACCAAATGGTATAAGACCAATGACCAGGATTCTTTCCACTACGCTCGCCGCCTTATCGCTGAGGAAGGCCTGTTGGCAGGAGGTAGCAGTGGTTCTGCGTTGGCAGCCTTGTTGGCTGCTCACCGAGAACTTGCCTTCACAGAGGACGACACTGTGGTAGTAGTACTACCGGATAGCATCCGCTCATACCTAAGCAAATTCATCGACGACGACTGGCTTGCAGCAAACGACCTCCTGCCACCCACACCACCATCTGAACCCGAATCTCCACGCCTCTCCCGCAGTAGAACCGACTCTTTCAGACAAAATGACCAGTTCCGCGGTGCACGTGTCAAAGACTTGCGTCTGAAACCCGTTCAAACAGTCACCAGCGATTCGACTTGCAGCTCAGCCATCGAAGTGATGCGCGAAAAAGGGTTCGACCAGCTTCCTGTGCTTGCTCCCAAGGGCCGTCGACTGGTCGGACTCGTGACACTAGGCAACCTGCTTAGCCGAATCTCGCACGGACGCGCGACGGGAAAATCGCCCGTCGCGGACGTCATGTTCGACTTCACTCAGATCAACGAAGTCATCACCGACCCCCGTCACCTCGGCGACATTAGCGGCGCCTCTGAGCTGGCTGATCGGACAAATGGTGTGAGCAGGCAGGAGGGCAATGCACCAACATCAGCAAAAGAACGTCAATTTGTCGAAATCACTGTCGACACCCCTCTGAGCGCACTGAATCGGTTCTTTGAATGGCAGAGCGCCGCAATCGTCACCGAGCGTGATCTGAGTTCAAGCGAGAGCTCCGGGAAGGGTGGTGCTCTCAAACCCGTCGGTGTCGTTACAAAGGTTGACTTGCTCACCTGGTTGCTATCCGAGCACAAAATGCATTAACACCAACCATATTAGCTGGCGCAAGAAGGTGCTCTGCGAATGAAGCTTACTGAATTTTCAACTGTTCTATGCAGATGATAGATATTAGGGTGTGCAACCAGTAGTGGTGATGAATCTTTGGATTCCAGGGTCACCATTCAAGGGAAGGCTTACATAATTTCTCATGCTGTCCCTCTGGACAGCAGAACCATTCAACATGACCTTACTGAAAATGAAACTCCCTTCCACTCTGGACAATATATATACACCAGACCCTTCAACCATGGGGATAACATGTGAAGAGGGCTTATGTTATAGCTTACCGAACTTGAATTACAGGCACTGGTAGCATTATGGAGCAAGTTGCAAGGACTCTCATCACGCCGTGCAACTGTCCAGCCATCGTAGTGGCAGCTTCAAGTTGATAAAGAATGATAAAGAAAAGGAGCTTGTTTTCCAAGCGTGGAAAGGTAGAATTGAGAGCATCGAGAGAAGGCGCAAAGGGGCATGTGTAAGGGCGCAAGGGAAGCCTGCATGACACAGTTATGGTGACAGTAGTGGTGCACATCGATCGAGGGAAAGGACGGCGGGGAAGAGCGTCTCGAGCGAATTAAGTGCTGTCAAGACTGGGCGGTGTGACGAACTCGAATTTGAGGACGACGATGCTGACGACGGGGAAAGGCTCTTATGATATCGGGCGACCGAGGGGGGCAGGACAAGTTGGGAGGGGTTATGGCGATGGACACGTTGTGGTGATAATCTATCGTTGGATATCTTCGAATCGAGGCCTCGACCGAACACGCTATCGCTATCGAAGTAATTGGACTGTTCGAGGAGATGTCTGTTGAAATTTCTGTCGATTCCGTACCCGGTACCGTTCGCTCGGAGGTATCGGTCTATCCCAGGTCAAAGTCAATCTGAACCACTACTGAATTTCTGCCCGATTCTCTCAGGTCACTCATGCTGTGCTGTTAGAATTCCACAGCGCCACTTTTGAAGAAGAAAAAACCTAGCACTCCCCTCTCCGAATAGAAAGACCATACTGTGAGTTGCCCATTTATAAGTGCAGCCTTGAATGTCGGCAGCAACGCATTTCGAGCCAAGCCCTAATGTGTCAATTACTCTGCGGTGTCAAGTTCGTCGTGTGCCGGGGGTGGAGAGTCCACGGCTGATACGGGTGTCAGCTTCAAATCCATTGGGTATCCTCAAAGACATCGACATCCATCGTACCTTTGCGATCATCTCCATTTGCATTGTCTCGATCATCATCATGGCGGTCCCGGTCATCTTTCATGTCTCGGTCCCGATCTCGGTCGCGGTCTGCAGGGCTTCGAGATCTGCGGCGATCATCGTAATCTCGGTCGCGGTCTCGCTCTCGGTCACGATCACCACGATCGCGTCTATCATCCTTGCGTGGAGAATAGTCGCGACGACGAGGTGATGGGGAACGGCCGCTACGTCGAGCTGGAGAACGATCACGGTCACGGCGGTCTCGGCTGTCGCGACCATCCCGACTATCGCGGCTTTCACGGCCTCGACCAGCTTCATATCGCCACGTTGCAGATGGAGGGGTACGGGCCCACTGGAAGGTGTGGTCAGTGGTGGGTTTTAAAATCTTGCTTGAACAATCCATACCTCAATCTTCAGAAGATCATCACGTCCAATTCGCTTGTTATGCATCTCATGGTACGCATCGTCTGCATCGCGGCGACTTTCATACTCGACGAAAGCGAAGCTATCTCAGGGTGGTCAGTAGATGAGCGGCAGAAGATGGACGAGTTGTAGGGTCATTGCTTACAGTCGGCTTGAAGCAGTTCGTGGAGCGGGAATGTCGCATCTGACCAGCCGGCCATAATGTTCAAACTCGTATGCCAAATCACGGGCTCGCGTGCCATGGCCGAAGCCAGTGACATAAAGGGTGGTTCCAGACCGCGACGACATATTGGTCAGGGGGTAGTTGCGAATTATTGACACAGGATAGTATGGAAAGATGGGAGGAAACAAATGAGAAGTTGGAACCTGAATGAAACTTGAGGTTCAAGATGGCATAGATCAGGTGACTGCGCTAAACCCTAATTATTGTATTTCATCACGTGGCACCTCACGTGCCTGGCTGCCACAGGGGTAAAGGCACTAAATATACTGGGCACTGCCCTTTTTCACCTGCGTGATAGTCTCCGTCTCGGGTAAAGGACTCCTGTGATAAGCTATTCCAGGCGGTCATTCCCTACAAAATCTTCTTTACAAAAGTCGGGTGTGATAGGAGTTCCTTGCACCATTCCACTCAAATCGCATATTGTCGACGACTTTACTGTTGGATCTGCATTCCTCATTCCTCATTCCTATCGATCCGTATGGAGTATTGAGCTCTTGTCCTACTTCCACCCCAGCACCGCCATCCTGTCGTCCGGGTCAGCCCGTCGCTCTCTGAGCTCCTCCCACAAGCTGTTCATTGCTCGTACCTGATACTGCAAGCAAAATTGCCCTAATCATACACTTCTACCTATGGTAAACTGCGTCGGATTACCAGAAACCTAGATTCCGTTGTCGACAATGCTCGTTTGCGAACGCTGGTCATAAAATTTCCATGGACGGCAAGGTTCTGGCCATCGCTCACAATTCTCTCTTGTTGTCCCACTCTTGCATTCTCTATCGGCTGGCCCCATATCGTTATTGGCGTGTTATTATTGTTTAGATACGGTATTATTACCTCTTTCCACACCTGTCCCTCGTCACCATGCGTCTTGGAGAGAAAAATTCTGCGACCGTCAGCGGTAGCTTAGGACAAAGCTCAACTACACTGGGTGACTTGTCCAATGTCCCGGAGGTTAGTCTTGCCTTCAACTCTCCACCTTTTGCAATGCGCGCGAATGCTAAATTGCCTAGAACTCGGCGGAAGTATCGCCACAGTCCGTTGTTACACGAGTCACCGAGTTCGTTTCTACACCGTTCACTGCTGCCTTCTGCGCCGGTGGTGTAGCAGGTGCCGTCTCTCGCACCGTCGTCTCACCGCTAGAGCGATTGAAAATCCTGTATCAGATCCAGGATGCCGGTCGAAGCGAATATAAAATGTCCATTGCAAAGGCTCTGCGGAAAATGTATCGGGACGAAGGCTGGCGAGGTTTCATGAGGGGAAACGGCACAAATTGCGTACGGATCGTCCCTTACTCAGCTGTACAATTTGGCGCCTATAATATCTACAAACGGTTCGCAGCAGCGTCGCCTGGTGCAGACCTTGACCCGATTCGTCGGCTAATATGTGGTGGTCTGGCTGGGATCACTTCGGTGACCTGCACCTACCCCCTCGACATCGTACGAACACGATTATCCATACAGTCAGCCTCCTTTGCATCATTGGGCAAGCATGAGGGCAAACTTCCGGGCATGTGGCAGACAATGGTCACAATGTATAAGACGGAAGGCGGACTTTTTGGCCTGTATCGTGGTATCATACCCACGGTTGCAGGCGTAGCTCCGTATGTCGGACTCAACTTTATGGTTTATGAGTCTGTCAGAGATTATTTCACCGAGCCTGGTGAGAAGAATCCTGTTTGGTACCGAAAACTTGCAGCTGGCGCTATCTCAGGTGCTGTGGCGCAAACCTGCACATATCCATTCGATGTATTGCGTCGACGCTTTCAGATAAATACAATGACCGGCATGGGATACCAGTATAAATCGATATGGGACGCCATCAGGACTATTGTACGCCAAGAAGGTATTGCAGGTCTCTACAAGGGTCTTGTGCCCAATCTTCTTAAGGTCGCCCCAAGCATGGCAAGCAGCTGGCTGAGCTTTGAGATGGCAAGAGATTTTCTCATCAGTTTTGCTCCTGAAGAACCAGATCCTATTTGAGGCAGCCAGTGACATTGAATCTTACACTCCAAGGACATCCTATATCATCTTCTATGTCATTCTTATAGACGGGGTTTTGTGGTGCGGGTAAGGACTATGGGGTAGCGGCAGAGGGAGCAGGGTGATCATTGACGATAACGATAACGCAGTCAGCGTGTTAGGGGCTTCCAGAAGAACTGCACCATGTTTTCAACTGTACTCATGTACAATTTTAGCACGCCGCAAAATTGGTGTGTCAACATCTAGAAGGAGTCGACGGCATCACTCAGGTTCTTGGTAGACAAGAGGAATGGGTTGGAGGCATTTTCAGGAGTATTACCACAAAATGTGCTGGATGGGGAGCTGAGCATTTCCAATTGATATTCAGTTTAGAGCATTCGATCATTGTGGTTTCTCTTGCTAGCAACATCCTCTAAGAATCTGCCAAGCCTGCCGGTGCAAAATCCATCGTTAGTTCACGTGATTATTGCACTACACCCTTTCGGGCTCTAGAACAAGGTCACTCTTGGCAATCGCACTCAACCTGCACTTTCCGCAATTTCGATCTTTTTGTGTCGGAAGACGACGCTGTCGACCACTTTCATTCCACCACCACCCTCGACAATACCGCGATCATGGGTACGTGATCTCTTCGATATTGAGAGACAAATAATGCTCTCAAATGGCAATACGACTAATATTCATTCTCTCCAGGTATCGATCTCGATCGCCACCACGTCAAGAACAGCCATCGCACGGCTCCCAAGAGCGACAATGTCTATCTCAAGCTCTTGGTGAAGCTCTACCGCTTCCTTGCCCGTATGTATTCCGAGCTCGATCTACTATTCTCTCTCCGAGATCTCGCAGCCTCTCCACAAGTAAAAATTGAAGTCAACAAATGGACGAACGAAAAACTGACACTTTTTGTAATGGACTAGGTCGCACTGACTCCAACTTCAACAAAGTCGTTCTCAAGCGCCTTTTTCAATCACGTATCAACCGCCCTCCCGTCTCTATTTCTCGCATCATCTCCAAAACCCAGACCGAGTCCGCCCAAAAAGCCTACAAGGACAAGACAATTGCCGTCATCGGAACCGTTACAGATGACAACCGCCTCCTCACAGTACCTGAATTGCACATTGCTGCTCTACGGTTCACCGCTACCGCCCGTGCCAGGATCGAGAAGGCTGGTGGTGAGGCTTTGACTTTGGACCAATTAGCTCTGAGACACCCGACTGGAAGCAACGTTGTTCTATTGAGAGGACCCAGAAACGCTCGTGAGGCTGTCAAGCACTTCGGCTTCGGACCTCACAAGCACAAGAAGCCCTATGTGGAGAGCAAGGGGCGCAAGTTCGAGAAAGGCAGAGGTCGAAGACGAAGCAAGGGTTTCAAGGTGTAAGCTCTCAAGACCAAGCGGTCAGGGATGTCCAACTTGTTACTTCGATCATTTGGTGGATGGTCACAGAAGTAAAGAGAGTACACTGGTGGGTCGACAAGAACGGCGCACGAGATGTTTCAAACGCCAGTGAGATCAATTTCTTTATGATTGCGAGGATGGGAAAAGAATTGAACTCGTCATGCTACAAACTTTCTAAGTGTTATGCAAGAACATCGTGGTCTTCGGAACCCACGTCATCAAGCAGATACTGAAATGAAGACAAGATTCCAAAAATTAACTGATGGACAACGTTGATAGGACTCTGGACTTCTCTTAGTTCTAGCTGTGCAGGTTCTCAGTTTTCCCCCATAAGAACAGCCCTCATTCAACTATTAGAAATGCCCCAATCGGATAATTTTTCACTCGATGTCCCCCCAAACATCGCATGGACCGCCCGAAGGGAGAAAACTTCAATACTCATTGATACGCCTGTGCCCGACTACACAGCACCACCAGTAGTCATTTCATTCCCCCAACCCATCCAACCCATCCACTACATCTCAGACGCCACTAACCAATCAACCTCTCATGGGCAAACTTCCTCTTCCCCTGCCCATCGCCGTAGTCCGCGGCGCCCTGCCCACACCCTCGGATCTTATACTTGTAGATGGTCAAACCCTCCAGGCCAACGGGTCCCCTCGAGTGGATTTTATTCGTGCTGATGCCGACCTCGGTGCCGAAGCCGTAGCGCATGCCGTCCGCGAAGCGCGTGGACGCGTTCCAGTACACGCCTGCGGCGTCGACGGCCGACATGAACTTCTCTGCTGCGTGGGATGAAGTCGTGACGATGCAGTCCGTGTGTTTGGATGAATGTGCGTTGATGTGTGCTATGGCTAGATTCAGGGATGAGTCTTCGCCGGAGTCTGATGTGCCGTTGGGAGATGTAGCGGAAGATGTATTGCCGTTCGTAGCCGCGGGAGACGTTGATGCAGGGACCGTCTTGATGGCTAGAATCAGATCCAGGAATTCCGTGTTGTAGTCCTCCTCTGTGGCGTCTTGCAGCAGAACTGCATATTCGGGGCGCAGCGCCTCCTTCAACGCAGCCTTGCTGGCCTCGTCACACCGCAGGCTTACACCTTTCTGTAGCAGAGCAGTCGCGACGTCCGGGAGGACCGTCTTCAGCACCCCTTGATGGACAAGGAGTGTCTCTGCTGCGTTGCATGCCGCTGGATAGTCAGTCTTGCTGTCCAGGACGACGTTGACCGCGATATCTCGGTCGGCGTCCTTGTGCAGATACACACTACACAGGCCATCCGCGTGGCCCAGTACCGGGATCTTAGTGTGTTCCTTGACGTACCTGACCAGCTCATTACCGCCACGCGGGATCACGAGGTCGATATATCGATCCAGGCCAAGCAGCTGGTCGATGACGTCGCGGGTCTTGACAAGTTGGATTGCGGCGATTGGCACGTCCGTCTTCCGCAACGCATTTCCAATAACCGTGGCGATGGCTTCAAATGAATGCGTAGACTCCTTCCCACCCTTGAGGATTGCGGCGTTGCCGGATTTGATCGCCAAGCTAGCAATGTTGGCAATGACCTCGGGGCGTGCCTCGAAGATAATGAGTAGGACGCCGATCGGACAAGAAACACGCTCCAGCTCAAGACCCTCGTCGAGCCGTGTCCGCAGCGTGACCTGGCCGATCGGGTCTTGGAGATTCCGCACATCGAGGATCCCACTGAGCATGTCCTGGTACTTGCCTGGACGGGACAGATCAAGCCGCTTGAGCACGCTCTGCGAGAGCTGCCCGGACTGCGACGCCTTGTTTGCTAAGTCCATGTCCCGTGCGTTGGCTTCGAGGATGGCGTCTTTGCTCGCCACCAGGGCATCGTGGATCGATGTCAGTGCAGTATTTCGTGTCGCCACTGGTAGTACGGCGAGCGACCGCGCTGAGAAGGATGCTGCTTTTGCGGCCGCCTCCGGTGTTGACTCCGTCAGGGACATGGCGGGTCGATATGAGAAACGTCAAATAAGTACCACAGCAGGGTAAGTGAGGATCTCTTTTGAAAACAATAATGACTAAGGTCTTGGGGAGTGGCAAACCTGGGTGAGGCAAATGAGGGATCCCAGTGAGCAATTGTTTGCGCACGATCACTTGTCACGACGACTAGTGTGCTCTCTCAGAAGAGACTTCGACAATTTCGAGTTTTGAAATTCGTGAGGATAAAGACAGAGTCAAAAAGCTTTACGCCCTATTGTAATATGCAAGAGTCACAGACACAAATGGACGGGCTGTTGGCTTAAAGCGGCAGGTGACTTCCCATCCCCCGTATTCAACCAGCAATCTAATTATTTCCCGGTATGCACCATATGGGATTTTGCTCTGTCTCCTGACATCGAGGTTGTTCCTACCTGAGTAGGTATGCAATGTACTTTTTTTATTCTATAAATGTATGAGGGTTTCTCCCCCTAAGGTTCTATCTGAGTCTTGTCGTTGCTTCGACTTAACCCCGACCAGGTAGGCAAGATGTCCTAAAGTCAGAACATGAACTGGAAAATCCATGCAGGGACGCTGGTCTGTTACCTATATTTTCGATTGCTTCTGCTTCGTATAACCATATTCAATTGAGCCGCGAGGATTCCCAGATTTTCTTCGGTCAACATTCTAGTGCTTAGCCTTGTAACACGAAGAGGATGCTATTCCTCAGCATCTGGATTCAATGTGTTTGCTTTTCGTCTAAGTCATTTCTCATCAGCTTATGCCTCTAATTCTACAAGCAAGCAGCACCAAACTATCCATCACTTCCGCCAGGGTCTTGCAGTGGTAAAACACAATAGATAAGGATACCTTGCGTCGACAGTAGTCCACTTACTTCTTGATCAGTAAACTAGTACCACCCATCTCTTCAGGTTGATCTAAGCCCATTGCTGCCAGGATGGTTGGTGCCACGTCCCCGAGGACTCCGTCCTGTTTCTTCAAACTCCATCCTTCTGGTGCGTTTGCCATGACGAGAGGAACCTTGTTGGTTGTGTGAGAAGTCTTTGGCTTTCCTTCCTCATTCAACATTTCTTCGGCGTTGCCATGATCGGCAGTAATGAAGAGGATGTAACCTTCCTTCTTGCAAGTCTCGTACACGGATCCAATCGCAGCATCTGTGGCAGCCACACCTTGTATTGCTGCTTCATAGACACCCGTATGGCCAACCATGTCTGGAGGAGCAAAGTTGTTCATCAAGAACTCGTACTTATTGTCCGAAATTCTCTCGCTGAGCTTGTCTGCAACCTTCTGAGCGCTCATCGGTGGCTCCAAATCATAGGTAGCGACCTTGGGGCTGGGGATCAACTCCCGATCTTCATTTTCAAACTGCTTCTCCACACCGCCGTTGAAGAAGAATGTCACATGAGCGTACTTTTCGGTCTCGGCGACGTGGCATTGCTTCACACCTTTCTTGGCTAGCCATTCTGCGAGAACGTTGCCCATGTGCTGGGGTGGAAATGCGATGGGGAAGGTGTAGTCGGTCTTGTACTGTGTCATGGTCGTGATTTGGATGTCCTTGGGATAAGGAAATTCAGGCTTGGGGGATCGATCGTAGTCTCCGAGCAATTGGGTTACCTCACGAACCCGATCAGATCGGTAGTTGAAGAAGAACAAGGTGTCACCGTCCTTGATCCGTCGTTCATCACCCCCAACAATAATAGGCTTAAGGAATTCGTCATTCTCGCCTTTCTCGTAGCGTGACTTGATAGTGACCACAGGATCGGTGGAGTCCTCTCCTTCTCCAACAACAAGTCCTTTCATACCAATCTCTACACGGTCCCATCTCTTGTCACGGTCCATGATGTAGTAACGGCCAACAACAGTAGCAAGTTCACCGACGCCCAGCTCCTGAAGCTTGTCGAGCAGCTGCTGCAAATATCCAGCAGCGCTTTTGGGATCGGTATCTCTCCCATCTCCAAAGAAATGAATAAATATTTGTGGCACCTTGTATTCCTTTGCAACCTGGAGAAGGGCGAATAGGTGGTTGATGTGGCTGTGGACACCACCATCGCTGACGAGGCCGAGAAAATGGAGCCTCCCATTGCCATCAACAGCCCTTTGGAAAGCATTGGTCACATTTTTGATTTTATTCAATTCGCCCTTCTTGATGGTCTGATCAATCCTGACAACATCTTGCCAGACAACTCTTCCCGCGCCGATATTCAAGTGGCCAACTTCAGAGTTACCCATAAGGCCTTCGGGTAGTCCTACTGCTAGTGAGGAAGCCTCAAGCTCGGTGTAACCTTGTGCAGTGTCGGAGCCTTCCTTTGCGAAGCCATCCATGAAGGGAGTTTCGGCCGCAGCAATAGCGTCTCCTTCTGGAGGGGACTTCTCGGAGGGTAAGCCCCAGCCATCGATGACAACTAAAGGGTAAGGTCAGAAACCCTTCTTCTCAAAATAGTATCATGAGGTTGGCATCGTACTGAGAACGGCCTTGTGATCGACCTTTGCCATTATGTTGGTCCTGCTGACTTCCGCTTGGTATTTCAGATCAGTCAAGTGAAGACGTGGAAGGTCTATGGGCGAAAAGGGTGCAAGGCAACGAGAATATGAAAGTAGTCTCTATTCTAGTACAAATGAGCTCTTAGAAAAAGTAGTGATGGTACTCTGACGCACAGTAATTCTGTTGACAGAGAGGCCTGTTGATTGGTGAGGTTGATTAAGCTGTTTTTCTTTTTGGTGAGCACTGAGCAGTCCCCCGCACCAGCAGCCAGGAACGTTGAACGGGAAGGTGCCCCCCTCCTGCTGGGTCAACTGGGAAGTGGTACCCCATCAGGTGATCTACGTCACCCGGCACTGTACGTGAGCCGTCAGTACGGGGGGGATCTTCAGCGTCTCAATAGCAGTTATTCATTGCCCCTCGAGTCGATATACTTCCCCGTATATTCTGCCCTTCAAATACGGTGGATCAATAGGCAGCATTGTGCTCTCCAGTTTTGGCTGGCCAGCATCGCTGCCTCATGAACTTCCTCCATTCTAAGGCTATCCTCAGCACAATAGTATTCATACTGTTTAGTGACCAAGGTCTCACAGATGCGACTCCTATCTCCCTTGTCCAACTTCGCGCGCTTCCGGGGAGGGCAATGACAACGAACCGCCCCTTTAGTCTCTTTCATACCTGATCGACAGCGACTGACCCGTCCGTTCTCCGCATCAACGATGAGAGCCGTTTATTCACTTAACAGCCTTAACCGCTGGTCCTGCAAGAGCGGCAATCCTCCCGATGCTGGAGGAATCAAGGGCATTCATGTTTACGACTTTGACAATACACTCTTCTCCAGTCCTCTACCTAATCCCCAAGTATGGCAGTCGCAGGCTATAGGCATGCTGCAGGCTTATGAGACCCTCGCGTATGGTGGATGGTGGCATGACTCGAGTATTCTGGCCGCTACCGGACAAGGTCTTGAAAAAGAAGAGCCCCGGGCTTGGGAAGGATGCTGGAATGAGACTGTAGTTCAACTTGTTGAACTTAGCATGCAATCAAAAGAGGTGGTGACAGTTCTATTGACTGGAAGAGGAGAGACGAATTTTGCCGATTTGGTCAACAGGATATGCAACGCCAAAAAACTCAACTTCGACCTAGTCGTTCTCAAACCTGAAGTCGGTCCCACAGGCCAGAAATTCGAATCCACCATGTCCTTCAAGCAGGAGTTTCTGAAGGAGTTGACCTTCACATACAAGCATGCGGATGAGATTCGGATCTACGAAGACAGACCAAAACATGTGAAAGGATTCCGTGACTTCTTCGAGCGAGTCAACAAGAGTTTAATCTCTCATCCTGCGGATCAACCGCCACCTCCTCGAAAGCCAATCACAGCCGAAGTCATCCATGTATGTGAACTAAAGGCAACTTTGAATCCCGAAATCGAAGTCGAAGTTGTGCAACGAGCAATCAATCGTCACAATCTTTCAGTGTCAACAGGTGGGCCAAACCCTACACGCTCAATCAACAAGCGAATGAAGATCGTGGATCACTTTCTCTATTTTGGCTACCTGATCAGTCAAACGGATTCTGCTCGCCTGATCTCCCTCGTCAATACCACACCCCACTTGATTGACTCTGGAGAGGTTCGACTGCTTGCATCTAGCATCCTCATCGCCCCCTACTTTCCAAAAAGAGATCTCTTGCAAAAGGTTGGTGGACGAGGCAAGAAGGTGACATGGCAAGTTACCGGGTTCGCAAAATATGAAGATCGTATATGGGCTGCTCGAGTCTCTCCTGTCACGGAAACGCAGATTTCAACACAGGATCCAACACCACTTGTTGTTCTTGCCATTCGCAAAGGCTCTAGGCAAGTTGATGCGGCCAAGATCACAAAATGGGAACCAGTTGCTCCAGAGAAGGCATTCATGTTCGAAACCACCGTCGGGGACAAAGTACTACTAAAAATCGAGCCCGATGATATGTTCAGAGGTAATAATGGCAGAGGCCGTTCCAACTTCGACCGGAGTCTAACGGAATCGACGCACAAGCGAAAATTTGACGACCAGGATTACCGGGGAAAGGAGAACTACACAGGCGTAGCTGCGGCTGGAGCGGAGAGAGACAATCGCGGCTGGGTTCCCAAGGAGCAAGGTGGCGCAAATGGCCGGTTCAATATGCGGCATACGAGCAAGAACCAATTCAACAATAAGAATAACCAAGCTGGGGGCGGCGCGAGAAACGTCCATCAAAGTGTACAGGGCAATACTACCAGATCACGAGGTAACGGGGCTGGTCAAGGTGGTAATAGAGGCGGCGGAAGAGGTGGTCACGCACCTCCACGCGGTCCTCCTGGCTACAAGAGTCTTGATGACTATGGACCTGGGAATTTTGATGGTGCCACCGATTCCAGATCAGGCGGTGCGAATGCAGAAATGGTCATGAATTATTGATGGGGCTATGAGCGATATTGTCCGGAAACGTTACAACAGAGTCAGTACGAACCAAAGAGACGGGAGGTCCCACTGTTTACATACATCAGAATCGGCCGCCTATGTGCGATGCAAATGAGGACGGCGTCGAACCGGGCGTTCCGTGGGCATGCAAGGCGCAATATCCTACTTGATGGTTTATGGAACGATGTATGCATACTGGGGATGTGATGAGTGGGAGCATACCAATGTATCCTAGGGCGCGCACAATGGCCACGCTGGCAACACTCGAATAAGCTTGACCACCTAGGTAGCTAGCAGTTGTATTGTATGAATTTCTATGATCAACACGAGAGCTTCAACCGCTATGTGCATTTTAGCAGAACTCTTGGATTCTGCTTCAGACAGTGGTCCTGAATATTATGTTAGAAGTCGTATGGCTAATGCAAGCCTTTGCGTACGCCAGGTACATCATTACTTATTAAGAGACTATGCGCTTTTGCGCTATGTATCTATTGCATTCCAGCGCCGAGTCTATATAACGCGAAAACAGAGCAAGCTTGCAATATATTATATGCACCCTAGTCCTTCCGTCAAATGTGTGGACCCCGTTCCAATTCCAATGCTCACATTGTGGGCGCTCACCTTCGTTTGAAAAAAAAAAGAGATCCAAAGGCTTCTGGAGAAGTCTTCAGATGGTGGCATATAGTCCTCTGAGAGCTGCCAAAATGACAGAATATGGCGGCACCTGTGCACCAGGCACTGCCCATAAATCTCAAACAACCTCCCCTCAATAACCGTCGCCCTCCTTCCACTCCCGGCCACATTCCATCGCGCGAATCTTCGGATCCGCGCCGCGCCTGAGAGCCTGCTCCCTCATCCAATCCATCTTTTCGGTGAGCTGGTGGCTCTGGGCGTCCAGCTGCTTATACTTCTCGCTGCCCTTGCGGCCCTTATCCCACAAGTCGACACGTTTGCGATCGACCTTTTCGCGCTGGCGCAGGACATCGAGCCAGCGGTCGACGCCGGCATCGCCCTCGAAGCAGATGCCGTACCCATCGCAGTAGCACCGGTGCATGATCGGGCAGAACTCGAAATTCCCTGTGAAGATGTACTGCCAGCTGTACTCCAGCAGCCGGCCGGAATCCTTGTCGTCAAGCTCCGTCGAGAGGATCCAGTCGCGGTACCGTACGTAGAAGTCGCGAGGACGTTGGATGATCCGGTCCCGGGAGACGGCGAATTGCGCGCAGCATGGTTGCGAGATGGCGGCTGGGATCGGCGTGTCTGTTCCGTGCAGGTCGTGGAAGAGTTGGGAGGTCAGTTTGGGTTCTTCGGGCTTGTGGATCAGATCCCATCGCCACTTCGGCCGGTCCACGTGCAGCCAGTCCGGACAGCCAGGGTCTAGATGGCAGCGTGAGTTGAAGTAACCTTGTCGGGTGACGTGCGCGGAACTCATGAGTTTGATGGTCTTGGCCGAGTCGATGTCTAGGAGAATGTTGTTGTGCCACGCGTTGTGATGCGGGTGGAAGAAGAGGACCACGTCCGGTAACGAGCTATAGTGGTCGATGATATAAGTGAGATACGCCATTGCCTCGTGGCCTTTGTTGGCGGGCAGGCCCGACGAACCTGGTGACGTTCCATTGCTCTTCCTCGGAACGTCGTCCACATTGTAGATTTTGGTCTGGAGATCCGGCAACTCTCGCGCCACCCATGAAATATCCTCCGAGCCCAGCCGTCCCATCACGAGGATGCGACTGTAATTCTCTCCCGCCGGTTTGGCAACCCCGGGGCTGAACACCGAGGGGTTGTACAAAGGACCCTTTTGGCCATAATATGCTCCGGCTCCGAACGGGTTTAGACCGAGTTGTTGGATAAATAAAACAAATGTGAAGACCCCAAGTGATAACGCAATTAATGAAGTTCTCCGGAGGAGAAGCATAGTATAATATGTAAAAAGGGGATGATCGATATAGGTGGCAGGCTGTCCGAAGCTGGCATTCTGGTCCAACCAACGACGACGTGCGCAAAACGCCCCTCCAAGGCTGAACGAATCAGTTAGAGCTGATTGATGAGTTAGGGGCTCGGCTGCCCGATATCTTCGTTCCCAGTAGAAGCATGAACAGGGCCCGAAAACCTGAACGAAGACGCCGCCAAGAAGATTCGGATAGGTTATGTAAGAGTCAGTTACAGAGTATTGGCTGGGCTGGTATTAAAGAATAGACAAACGGACGGCAAATAATGATAAGAATGAGGAACACGTTGATGAGCAAAGCAGGGGAAAGGGGATTGGAAGACGCAATGTTGCTGGTGACTTTGACGTATTTTTTGGCACGGTGGTGGTCAGAGTGGAGCGTTTAAGGGTCTCCCAAGAATCCATCCAAGACCCTGTCGCCTGGATGCGTAAGGCCAGTTTCACATGCTTTGATGAAGATCGCACCCTTAATGCTACATATGTTCAAACATACATGGTGGTGAGTATTAAACTCGAATTGGGGCCCGGCTGGAGACTCCACTCGGGAAGCATTCCGACGATGTCGATGTCCGGATACTGAGTAGAATAGAGTCTATACTGACTCCTGTACGAGGTGCAAGGGTGTCTTTGGCAGATTGCAACTAGTTCCGCCTCAGCCTTGTTGGGGCTAATTTCTCAACAGTATTAACCGTGATCTGTACCAATTATGTTAATGGAAGCGCCTTGCCTATTCATATCGCCGGTATAATCATCATATTTGTACATTCCTGTTGTTTGTTCATGTGCAACTTGAAAGTGAGAGGAGTCTTGCGCCATCGCTGATGCTTCCTCCATCTAGTGATCTATCCAAATCCAATTGTGGCTTCAATCCTGATGCAGTATATCCGTTTTCATACTCGTACATATCAGCTCCGAAAATGCATCACAAGATATGCTTGAAATCCAGCAACCCCTTTAGTCACAGCGGCCGTCCTTCCAACCGTCCTTCCACCTTTCTTTCCAAAGCGTGCAGTCGAACTCCTTCTTCCCCAGTTTAACATTGACGACGTTGTGAGCCTGACACATCCACATGCCCAATTCATCTTGTCCCTTGACTTTAGGCGCATTCCCGGGCCGTGCCATCCAATCTTGAAAATCCTCTGCGCATACCCAACATGGATATAATTTGGAAAATGTGGATAGGAACTGCTGCATGATGGACTGTGTCTCTGGCGGGGCGGTCGGGGGATATGTCGCGGCGATACTGTGTAATAGAGTCCAAGTAGATCGACCTAGTTCTTCAACGTCTGGTGGACAATCCGCTGCAGGGGCGGGGATTGGGGCGGCGGCGGCGGCTCTGGGTTTCTTGCCGGTTGCTCCTTTCATCATCGCCATCCATTCTGCCGAGGAGGTGCAAGTTCGACAGCTGGAACCATCAGGGGAGGTAAGAGGGGTGTATTGGGTGGATTGACTTACGGCTTGCCGTCTTTATCTAGAACGACGCCTGGAGGATGCCTCTTGAGTGGCACATGTTGGCTGCTTGAGTCGTCTTTCGAGCTGGACGGTGGGCTCGGAAATGGAAAAGACATTTGCGCCGATCTTGGAGCCTCCAGTGCTCTTCAAGAACCTCGCTTCCCTTTCTCTCCGATAGGGTGCGTCTGTGCTGGAACTAGAAGTACCTAGGTAGGTTTCCAGTCAAGATGCGCTGATAAATCGCAGGCACCAAAATTGATTGTCATTTCAAGATCTTTATCTCCGATATCTCCGATGCACAACGCTCGGCCCACTTTCCGGATTTCATCACCAGGTTGGTGCGGGGAAGCGAGTGCATCGGTTCCTGATCGTCAGGCAAACTCCACTGCGACGCGTGACTTTGTATTTGACGATCACATTGAAAGCCCGCAAAGCACTCCGTACTCCGCACAAAACAGTGTAAAATCTAATCCTTGGGCTACCTACCCATTCACTTCGCGCGTCCGATATGTCGGACTCCGAGCTCTCAGAAGCATCGACCACCCCAGTACCACCAGACAGTGAACTCGAGAAAAGTCTTCGGCGCGAAGTAGTGAAAGCACAGCGAGCAGGCCTCGAAGATCCTACAGTCAATTCGATACGCGCCGCTTCGGAGGAAGCGCTCGGCTTGAAGTCAGGCTTTTACAAGGCCAACGACGTCTGGGTGGCTCGAAGCAAACAGATCATCAAAGACCAATTCGTGAGTCTACAAGTCAGTTTGAGATGTAGCCATCCACTAACCGACGTATTTTGTCCTCTAGGCTATTCAGGACGAGACCCAGAGCTCTCCACCTCCAACATCGAAGTCTCCTAAGCGTAAGAAGCGCGCCTCCGAAGAGAAAGAGCCGTGGCCGAGGAAGAGAAAGAAGGCTGCAAATGAAACAGAGAAGACCATCTCTTCGGATAACTTATCTTCACCTCCGAGTGACAGCGAGTTCGACAGTCCAGAACAGAAGCCAAAGAAGAAACAACAGAAGGGGAAGGCCTCCAACCCCAAGAAAGCCACAGTGGATGGTCCCGATGCTGATTCAGAGAAGAACGACCAACCAAGGCAAGCTGCTAAGGCCTCTTCTACAGCAAACGCCACAAAGAAGACGACTATTCCGTGGTTGGAGGACTCTGACAGCTCACTGTCAGAGTTATTGGACGAGGCGCCAGCCCCTAAAAAGCGCCAAAAGCAGAAAGGTTCGACAGAGAAGAAACCTGGCAAGAGCAACTCTGCTAAAAGCAAAGCCGAAGCAGACGTCGATCCTGACCAAGCTGAAATCAAGCGCCTTCAGGGCTGGCTTGTCAAGTGTGGCATCCGAAAGGTTTGGGGCAAAGAGTTGAAGCCCTATGAGACCTCGAATGCCAAGGTCAAACATCTGAAGCAGATGTTGGCGGATGCTGGGATGACTGGTCGGTATTCCGTGGAAAAGGCGAACCAGATCAAGGAAGCGCGAGAGCTTGCTGCTGACATTGAGGCGGTCCAGGAGGGTGCCGAAAGGTGGGGTGCGGAAGATGATGACAACGATGGTAAGGCAAAGGACGACGGACGCCCAGCCAGGCGGTTGGTGAGAGGAGCGAAGAATTACGACTTTCTCAGTAGCGATGGTGAGGAGACGGATTGATTGATGATCGAGTTCGCCCTCGTCTCCGCAGGTTGGCGATTCGTCATCAATTCTTATTGTTGAACTTGTTGTCGACCATAGATGTACAGTTAATCAAGGAGCTTTCGTATTCCACTTGCAAGCAAGGGGACTCGCTTGTATGATTCATCTGATTTTCGAGATGTTGTTCCTCAATTCGAACCATGTGTGCCTCATTTGATCGCTTTATTACCGCTCATCCGCTGAGCAACCAGACTGAATACTGCGACCGACGAGATGAACAACACCAGATTGTAGAACTGCCATGATAGGCTGTCAACACACAAATCCAGCTTTTGGTCTGCGGAAAGTTTACGGTGAACCTACAGCATTGCGGGAATATTCATTTTCTTCAGCCTCCGTTCGCGCTTCGACAAACAGACGACGAAGGTTCGGGAGCGCCATTTCTAATTGATAAACCGACGGCGAGATGGCTAGGTATTAAAATTGTTGATAGAAAGCTTTTTCTTGGGCACAGTGGGAAGCTGTAGACACGAAGAGGAGGAGACATGTTTTGTTCACTTTGAAGCCGCCAATTTAAGCCCGGGGTTGGGCTTGGCAGCCATAGCCCCTGAGGGTACCCTGAAGCACCATCTAAGACCTCGCCCGACAGGTTAACCATCTTCCCAGGTGGCTGAGTACCTAGCTATCATTGTTACACACGAGATCGTTTCGTTTATCTCACCTTTAAGACCAAATCTCGTTCAAAGGCCGCAAAACTGATTGCGTGGGAAAATGTAAGTGTGCTACAGTGAACCACATCCATGCTGGCTGTGAGGTTTGGCTTCACCAAAGATACAAATTCGGCCGAAATTGCCACTTTCAAGGTCAACTGCACCCATGCCTAAGAGGAACATTGGCCCGGTGCACCATGGGTAACTCCTCAATGTCATAAGCTATATATCCCCTTCCTGCTACAGTTTGTCAAGAGTCAACCATATCGCAATATTGTCATCTTGATACACGAAGTGTCCGCTATGTCGTTCTTCGAGCCCCCTCCCAAGCCATTGACCCCGCTAGGCTATCATCGCGTTCTGTCACCCATGGTGTCTGTCAAAGTGTCTCCACTATGCTTAGGAGGAATTAGTATCGGTAGCTCATGGAGCGAACTGTTTGGAAAGAATGAAGATCCTTCCAGTCTTCTGGACACTTATTTCTCTCTGGGTGGCAACTTCATCGACACTGCCAATACCTATTGTGGGGAAGAGTCAGAAAGATTGATTGGAGAGTGGATGGAATCTCGGAACAATCGAGATCAGATGGTGATAGCGACTAAGTACACTGCTGGTTATCGTGCCTAGAACCGGGAGAAGGAGCCCTTGCAGTCCAATTACACCGGAAATTCCGCCAAATGTATGCACATTTCGATCAGAGACAGCCTGAAGAAGCTACGGACAGACTGTATTGACATTCTTTATGTCCACTGGTACGACTCTATTCCCATGTTAGGAGATCTAGTACTGAACTTAATCTAGGTGGGATTTCGCAACTTCGGTGGAAGAGGTCATGGCCCCTCTTCATGCTCTTGTGATGGCTAGACAGGTCTTGTACCTCGGAGTGTCGGATACCCCTGCCTGGACTGTGGTCAAAGCCAATGCTTGTGAGCTCCCCATTAGATAACCCGCTTCTCCAGTTGGTAACACTGACCCTGCGAACAGATGCTCGTGGTCACGGTCTCACGCCATTTTCTATTTACCAAGGACTTGGAATGCGGCCTTCAGAGACATGGAAGCAGAGATCATACCTATGTGCAAGGACCAAGGAATGGCAATTGTGTCATGGGCTGCTCTTGGGGGAGGTCAACTGATGTCAGCCGAACAGAGAAAACGAACCGAACAAAACCCAGATGCTCGGCCAAAAGGCAGCCGCAGAGACGCAGATCGCAACGTTTCTGATGTTCTAGAGAAGATCGCAGTGGATAATAGTACTACACTTCAAGCTGTGGTAAGACAACAAGCCAAGCTCCATTTTCCTCGACACAACTACTCACCCCTTCCCAGGCTCTTGCGTAGTTGTTCTCGCAGTCCACCTAGGGTTTTCCGATAGTCGGCGTCCAGACCATTGAGCATGTCAAAGCCATGCCAGAAGCCATGCGGGTCAGCCTTTCCAAGAGCGACATCGAAGGAACCCAGAGTGCATATAAATTTGATCCTCTCTTTCCCATGAGCTTTCTCTTTAATCACAGGAACGACCAGCCATATAGCCTCGCATTGACAGCAGCAGATAACCAGCAGTGCCAAATGGCTGCTTGGATCAACTCACCACCCAAGTAACAGGTATATATATAAGCTTCTGAATGCTCCGACTTGATCTGACACGATCGCAGCCTTGCCAAATTCAAAGATTTTAGCGTACGGCCAATATTACTGCTCCCTCCTGGCGAAGACTCAAATAGCCTCGCATGATTCCTCAGTCGCGCATTGGTATTGGACAAGCGGTGCGCTGTTCAATGTAACACATACCTATCTAAAATGGCAAAATGTAGCAAAATGTTATACCTTATTAGGATTCACAAGGAAGAGTTCAGATATCTTATCATGACATTGCGACGGGTACTCTTCAATCTCGATACAAGCCATCGATGCTATTTGCAGACGCTTGATATAACTTATAGCCTGTGAAATGTATTACGCAAACAATTTTCGACGGCAGGAGCCTGAATACTGGGGTACGCTTCCTCACATTATACTACTAATGGACTGTCAGTAGCAAAGGCACGTGTGACCCGCCATGAGCATGCGCTTCTTCTCGCTTGCCTCTGCGACAGGGTGTCGCGATCCCCCAAAGAGACTTGTGGTTTGCCCTGCACCTCAAGCACTACCTCCATCCGATAATGGACCCTCCGCAAGATGGTATAAGATAAGGCAAATATGAATATTGGGGGACATAGATGTCTTCGGTCTGGGTCATTGCAACTGTGGTAGTTAATAGTGATTACGAAGTTCGACGCCGTCGGAAATGTTGCTGTCTGACGGGCTCGTCGGCCCACGTCCTAAGGCGTCCAAATCCTCTAAAGGCGATTGCAATTGATCGCCGGATAAGCCCGCCTACACAGTGTCCCCTCTCTTTCTTGACACTGACATGTCCTCGAGCCTTCGTACTGCATATATGAAGCGGGGGATTTTAGTCACCTCAACATCCTGCAAAGTTGAGTTGTCAGAAACCTATCCCGTTCGCCATGAGCTACCTTCTTCCAAAACTCACAATCTGAGAGCGCGATGAATTGGCGGGATCGTAACCTCCGAACATGCCGCAAACAATTCGAGGGCGCAAAACTCCAGGCTACAAAAGGACCTTCACGGTAGGCACGAATGTCCTGTACCGCCTAAGGGATGTCATGCTAAGACTTTGACTAGGGTTGCTGGAGATGTCGCTCACGCAAAGTGAAGGTAGCGAAATTTTTGTCAAATTTGTAAGTACCCCTGGCTCATCGTGAGACTAGTGTGATGAGAAGAGGCCGAGCTGCACTCCGTGTACAAATGCAAGACGATCGTGCCCAGGGTATCAGCAGAGTCTGGTGTGGGTGGGCAAGAATCAGAAGTCATACACCCATAATGGGAGGCGTTTTCTCGATCCATGCAAGTCGATGCCTGGCGGTGGCTCACTCACAGCTAATTGTTGGTAGGCGAGACTTGGAGTGGAGTCCGGACCCTTTCATCATCTCATATCGACAAGCTAATCAATAATTGTGACATCAATGTTGACGACAGTTTGGTGTTTGAGAACTCGCAGGCCCCATTTTCAGTTTTTCGGAGGTCATCGGGGAACAAATCGAAGAAAGGTCTGCAGAGTGACTCTGCAGATCTCCCCCGACCGATGAGTGTCAGCCCGGTCCATTCCTTGGGTGATAAGGCAGCTAGCCAGGAGGGTAATATTCGACGACTGCACCAGATCTGTTCTACCGGTCTCACTCCTCGGCTGACAATAATAAAGGCTCCCAGGGCAGAAAATCGACTTGATACATGCGATGCTTTTCTTTTTCATCACTATATCAGTCAAGTCGCTCCTGTACTGACGCCTGTTCACAATTGCCAGAATCCATGGTTGAGATATCCTGCAATTGCACTACATCAAAGCTTCAATGAGGGTCGAAAGCATCTCTTGCATGCAATGATGGCACTCACCGCAATGTTTTTGAGCGAGGCAGGTGGGGGTCGAGAGGACCTTTCCATATTAGGTACAAAGCTATATTCAATCGCCATGGCAGAGCTTCGGAGCAGCATTGATGAGCAGTCAGTTGACTATCTGGGACTACTAACAACTATCCTGACTTTTCTCTTTATAGACGTGAGTGATGTATCGCTTTCCCTGAAACCCTGATTCTATGTTGTGGCTGACGACTCCGCAAGTTGGTCCAAGGAACCTCGAAGACGTGGCGGTATCATCTATCTGCCGGCTGGGACTTTGTCCAGCAACATCGTGCTTCCTGTAAATGGGCCGGTTCAGACGACGCATGGTATGTCACGCAAAGCTTCTATCTGCTTAGGATTGAGTCCGAGACTTCATTAATGTGGCATGACGGTGCGGATCTGCTGGAGGAGCGAGTCTCTCCTTCGGAGGACGCAGTCTCCCTGGAAAAACTCTCGAACTATCCGCTTTTTGGTCGAACTATAGGGGCTTCGAGTTCAATTCTTTCGTACTTATCCGAGATAAACCACCTTTCAAGGCACATGATGAAATCGAATTTTGAGGATTATGATGACTCGACACTATTGAATTTTGAACGAATGTTTATCTTCGAGTCGAATGCGGAATTCCTGGACCCAGAGGGTCAGGAGTCTCTAGAAGATCATTCTCAGCGTCCTTCATACAACGAACAGAAAGCTCAAGAGATGCACCTTCGAGCTTTTGAGGCGGCGGCGGTTATATATTATCACCAGGTTGCCGAGGACGCAACTCCAAAATATCTAGCGCCTTACGTCCATGCTGTCCTTCATTATGTTTTCATCTTCCTGAAACATTGTGGCGGAAACTACACCCTTTGGCCCGTTTTCATCGCAGGCGTGGAAGCTTACGAGGATTGTGACATGGAGAAATTCTCGGATCTATTCGAAAATGCCACATCTATGGGCATGAGAAATAGGAAGAAAGCTAGGCAAGTGATGGAAGCTGTTTGGTCTACTCGATCTTCAATCACGGCACAGACCGGCCAGAACCCTGGTGAGGTCCGAGTGAACTGGACGCAGGTCATGCGTGGCCTCGACATCGATATTCTACTTGTGTGACCGGATCTCATGTGGAAACCCTGGTTATACTAATTACAGAGCTGATCACTCTTCCACCCCTAAACCACAGCCGTATTTTGGAAAAAGGTTGATCCTCAATCTTGCCCTGAGAATGCCTTCTCCACAGCTTCAGCCAAATCACCCAAAGTACTGAACTCGGCTCCCAATTCAATCAACCCTTTGGATTCGAGCTCCTCCCGATTTCCTCCCATAGAGGAATTACTTCTTGCGATCCACACAGCAGGTTTAAAACCCAATGCCTTTGCAGAAGCATGATCGATATCCAGGCTTTGTGCCACCAGCAAAATCTGGTCCTTTTTAATACCAAAATCCTCATCAAGTCGAGTGACAACGTGATTATAGTTATTGGGATTCGGCTTGTACGACCCAATTTGCTCAGCGGTATAAATCCCATCCCAATGGACGCCCTTCAATGGCCCTGTCCGAGTTCTATCGAAGGATGCATTGTCGACATTACTCAGCACGAAAAGCTTGTAGTGCTTTGCGAGCACTTGCATTGCCTTGACGGTGTCCGGAAATGCTGGCCAGTCTCCGATACTGCGCCCAAACGCAGCCTTATCCGCCTGATCGACTTGAACACCCAAGTCTGACCCTATTCGACTGTAGACTTCCTCCAGGATTTGAGTGTATGGCAATGTAGGGTTCTCGTGCTCAACTGCCATTTCATTGGATGCATATGCTTTCAGCAACCATTTACGATTCTCAGCATTATCAGCTCGTCGAGCGTGACCTGTTGGAAGACTTTGGGCGAGATATAGAAGTTGTGGGTAGATTCCAGCCTCCCAGTCTATCAGTGTCGCATAGATATCGAAGAAGAGACCTTTAAATTCTGTCGGGTTGAAGCCCATCTCGTTTTCTGGATGATGGTAATTTGGTAGGCTTTCGTAAAATATAACTGGAATGGGATGTCTATCTATGATCAGAATGCTCACTCTTTCCTTCGCACTTAATGAGGTCGCTGGGAGTCTTTATATGACCATGGCATTGGGCATAAATCGGCTAGTTTGGTTTCACGGGGAAATCAATAGCGAATATTGCGCTGAAAGTTTGACAACCTAACTCAACGGAAGATCGTCAAGTCGGCTCCGGTTGGCTCCAGCACCGTATCGCGGTGGGCCGTCTCTGGGGGACGTGAGATGATCTCATCCGAGCCCCTTGGAGAACACATATCTTTTCAACCACCGTGGATTCGCCGGCCAACCTCAAGGGAGTATATAGTTGATGATCGATACAGAAGATCGCAATATGGAGACGACTCCTTGCGTTGGTGGGCGAGCGAGCTGTACCATTGCCGGCAAGGGAAGGCGAGATCACGTGGTTCGAATATGAGGCTCTCTCGCGCCGTTGATCAACGATAATGGCTACCTAAAATGATTGGACTGCAATAACATGAACGAGCTTTACCCGTCTGCAGTGTAAGATATGGATTTCAAGATCAGAATAATTGCCTCATGTTTCAATTCAACCATGGAAACAATGCAAGAAGGAGGTCACTACTCTCGGCACAATGTCTGGGTTTCTCCCTCGGGCCCGACAGTGAAGACTAGCCTTGAATGGGTGCCTATGAGCAAATCTCAAATTTCCCCTCATCTTCGATCGTGCCTATTTTTCGAAATTGACTATGACTGCTCCATGTCGCTTGAGTCTGAAAAGGGCCGGTGGAAAAATTGTGGCTCCAATCAAATCCAGAAGTTTCGGGCCCGAGGGAGTTGCAAGGCTCTGCCGGGCTCTAAGCTCTTATAAATACCTACTCGCTCTAGTATCTCGTGTACTCGGGTTGATCTCATTCTGTTCTAGCTCCCGAATAAGACGATTTGCAATCGAAGTTCTACTCATTTGACGCCGAACATACTTGCGACACAATCAGCAGAGATAATGGTTGGAAGCGAGGCCCAAAACGGGTCCCAATATGCTACTCCAGTAGAGAAATCTGCTGGCGATGATGAACAACATAACTCGAGAGATGTGGATAGGATCGAGACACCAGCTCTGAGCTCTCAGGACAAGCAAGTCGACGAGCAGGAAGAAAGATATCCTCCATTTACGACTGTTCTACTCATCATGGTATCGCTTTACTTGGCAATGTTCCTTGTTGCTCTAGTAGGCACCCTGTCGGGATATGATCTTGTTTTGAGATACTGACGAAACCTGCAGGACCTCACAATAATTGCAACTGCAATACCTAGTATCAGCGACGAATTTCACACCCTCGATGACATTGGCTGGTACGGAAGCGCCTATCTCCTGACACTTTGTTGCTTCCAACTATTGTTCGGACGCATCTATACCTTCTACTCGCCCAAACTCGTCTTTTTAACAGCAGTCTTTCTCTTCGAGATTGGCTCGGCCATATGTGGTGCAGCTCCCAACTCGACGGCATTTATCTTTGGTCGCGCTGTTGCTGGAGTCGGCTCCGCTGGCATAACAGGAGGCGCGGTTGTTATTTTGATGCATACAACGCCTATCGAGAAGAGACCTATGTATATGGGCAACATCGGGGCAGTATATGGGCTCGCCTCAGTTGCTGGACCATTGCTTGGCGGGGTATTCACCACGAAAGTTTCCTGGCGGTGGTGCTTCTATATCAACCTACCCTTTGGTGGTCTGACACTTGCAATCATATTTCTGGCATTAAAGCTAGAGAGATCGCAGGATGCTCCAACCACGATCAAGCAGCAAGTTCACCGTCTTGATCCGCTGGGTACTCTGTGCTTCTTCCCAGGGACCATCTGCTTACTGCTGGCTCTGCAGTGGGGTGGATCGACCTATTCCTGGCAAAGTGCTAGGATCATTGCGCTCCTAGTCATCTTCGGATTATGCATGGCCGCTTTCATCATCATCCAGGTCTGGAAGGGGGAGACAGCTACCGTTCCCCCTCGGATTTTCTTGCAGCGCAGTATCCTCTCTGGTATCTTCTTTTCATTTCTGGCAGGGTCAGCACTGATGATCATGATCTACTACTTGCCGATATGGTTCCAGGCTATAAAGGGTGCGAGTGCAGTCAAGTCAGGGATCATGACCTTGCCAATCATCCTAACCTTGGTCATTGCTAACATCATCGGCGGCCTTGTTGTCACCCGAATCGGCTACTACACGCCATTCATGATAGCTAGCTCCGTATTCATGTCCATCGGCAGCGGTCTGATTTCCACTTTCATACCCACGACAACCCACTCCAAATGGATCGCTTTTCAATTCCTCTTCGGTCTCGGCACAGGGCTCGGCATGCAACAGTCGGGGGTGGCGGCTCAAACCGTTCTGACCAAAAAGGACGTCCCAACAGGCGCTTCCCTCATCTTCTTCTTTCGTAATCTTGGCGGCGCGCTGTTCATTTCCATCAGTCAGAATGTTTTGCAGAATGAGTTGATTAACGGCTTGCAACACATTCCAGGACTGAATACGCAAGTCATCTTACGTGCGGGCGCGACAGGATTGAGAAGCGTCGTCGAGCCACGGTTTCTCCAAGAGGTTCTAATAGCATACAACGGCGCCCTAGTCAAGGTGTTTTACTGCGCTGTGGCTGTGTCATGTGCCAGTATCATTGGAGCCTTGACGATGGAGTGGAGGAGCGTAAAGAAGGCGAGAGAGCAACAGAGGATGGCCATGGCGAAGGAGAAGGAGAAGAAAGTAGACGCAGCTATGCAAGGCTGAAAACCTTCCTGGGGGTGAAAGTGGGAATGAACGAAGAAGATTCTGGGACTTGAGGCAAAATTCCACTCACTCATAGAATTCTGCTGCACTGCTTCATGGAGTAGTCGTGTAGACCTTCCTGTAACATTACTTAGATTTTATCAGGTTCCAGAGGTTTCGTGCTTTTGATGCCGTTCAAGTTCGACCTGAGGAGCGCTCTTAAGAACTATAGTTGAATAGAAATTAATAAACTTAAGGTAACGAACAATGATTTATAGGTGTGATTCACACTGGACATAAGGGCCAGGGCAGCGCCAGAACCCTGAAAGATAGGGGCTCTGGCCTTGTGTGGGGCCACGCCAAGACGAGCTTAATGGTACAGTAGGCTCTCCTTCGAGACAGGTGTCACGACGTCATCTCCATCACGTTCACATTTCGCATCTCATTTGGCCTTAATGCTATTCTAGATCCATTCTCTCCGAGCGCAATAGATCAAACCCTTAACAAGCTATGATCCCAAAGAGTACGACAGTTCGACTATCATCCTCGCCACATCAACTGAGGCGGAACGAGATGCCAACAGCCGCATTGCAACCGCCTTTGACAAGAACTTCGCCGGAAGCATCCAAATCAACTCCAGAAACATCGAGAACAACGACATCGCAAATCCAACTTCAATTATATTCGTGCCTCCAATGCAAGCACCGCAAGGTGAAATGTGACCGTGTCGATCCTTGCTCTAATTGTCAGAAGGCCGATGCTGAGTGTATTTATCGTACTCCGGTCCCTCCGAAGCGTAAAAAGCGGAAGCACCAGCAAGAGATCTTCGAAAAAGAATCTTGTGCAGGGACTGGGGATGCTGACGCCGTGTTACTCGACTCTGACAGCACCACATCGCGCGAACAAGAGCTCCTCGAGAAGGTTCGGAAATATGAGAGCTTGTTGAAGGAACTGGGCGCATTGAAAAGGTCGACTGTTCGGTCTACAGAAAAGAGAGCACGTAAACTCACATTGACTGACCGACCAAAGCATCCTGCAACTGAGACCGGCCACACCACAGACTTAGTAGCTCGTGGAGCTGGCAAGTTAATTGCAGACTACGGCAGGTCGAGGTATCTAGAAAACAAGCTTTGGACGAGTGTGACGGACGAGTTCCAGGACCCGAAAGATATGTTGGAGGAATCGTCCCAGGATGAGGATGCGGACGGGGATAATCGTAGCGGTCTCATCGAAAGCGAAGCCGCGGGATATCCAAGCCACCAAGGACAGCAGTGCATCACTCCTAGTCCAGCTGACTTGATATTTCCTCCCAAAGCAAACGACCAAGCCCTCGGCCTGAGACTCATGCACCCAGAGCCAACGCAAATCTTCCTCCTTTGGCAAGCCTTTGTGGACAATGTGAATCCGCTGGTGAAAATAATTCATGTACCAACCGCCCAGAGAGCAGTACTGAATGCAATGGCCAATCTAGATCATGTCTCGAAAGGGATGGAGGCGCTATTATTCGGAATCTACGTTATCGCCGTGACATCCATGGAAGAGGGGGAATGCCAAAGCACGCTCTTAGAGAGTAAAGTCTCCGCACTAAAAAGGTTCAGGTCAGGCGCACAGCTGGCTTTGAAAGCGGCAGGGATCTTGAAGACTAGCGACATGATGGTGCTGCAGGGCTTCGTGCTCTTCTTGGTAAGTCGAACGACCCTTGTCCCGAGAATATGAAGACTAAGTTACTACAAGCTATCAGCGCGTCTGTGCTATGACGCCCCCTCACTCTGGTCTTTGACGGGGATATGCCAACGTATCGGCCAGCGAATCGGCCTTCACAGAGATGGAGAGCGATTAAGCCTATCCCCATTCGAAACGGAAATGCGACGTCGCCTCTGGCTCGTCATCGTCCAACTCGACTCACGCGTCGCCGAGCTGTCCGGATCTGGCCTGTCCATCATAACACAGCCATGGGATACAAAGCCACCGCTGAACGTCAATGACTGTGACCTCTATCCCGGCATGCAAGAGCCGCCAACAGAGCAAGTCCGAGCCAGCGAAATGATGTTCGTTCTCCTCCGAGCGCAGATCGGAATCTTCCTCACGAAGGAGAAACCCGTGATTGACACTTTCGACGGCGTCTTCTCAAGATTCAGCGACCCAACCGTTCTCATGGCCGAGAAGAAGCGTGAAATCGACGAGCTCGAACAGATGCTCGAGGAAAGCCTCATTCTGCACTGCGATCCACAAATCCCTCTCCATCAAATCACATCCGTCATCGCGAAAGCCACGGTCTGCAAAATGCGGCTATTTGCACACCTACCTCGCGTTACGCGAAGGGAATCCACCACAGCCACAGAGTCTGTCTCCTCCAAAGGCGCATCATCTGCTGCCACCGCCGAAGAAACACTCCTCTTCGAGAACAGCCTCCAGATTCTGCGATACCACATCCAAATCCGCACCACCGCCTCTCTCCGTCGCTTTCTCTGGCACACGCAGTTCCAATGGCAGGCCTTGATCTATCTGCTTGCATATCTGCGGACGCATCCGAGCCCTGAGCCACGCACAGAGGCGGCGTGGACGACCCTGGACACGCTTTTCACCAGCCACCCCGAGATCCTCAGTGGAGATCGCACGCAGAGCAAACTTTGCACGGCTGTTAGCATCCTCACGCTCAAGGCGTGGGAAGCGAGGGAGAACGAATCTCGTCGGTCAAATAATGCCGCTCCTGGAGGAGCCCACCCGCCGTCTTGGATCGCGTGGCTTCGCGGGCAAGGCCTCCTCCGCCGCACAGCAGCAGTTTCCCACCGTGTTGTATCTTCCCCGCCTAAAGCGCCAGCGTTGGCGGCGACGATACCGCCACTCAAGGAAAGTCAGACCGCGCACGCGCATGCAACGGATAGCCCTAGTAAAGGAGGAAACCCGCCTGACCATGAGATCGACACATTCAATCCCATCTTCCCACTCGACATCAACGGCGGCGGCCCCCAAGCAGCGATACAGCCCTTCAATAACACCACCACCACTGCGGAGGATCTATCATGGATAGATGCAAACCCCATGGATTGGGAGAACTGGAACTCAATATATGAGAGCTTCGAGATTCAGGAGCAGTGGGGTGATGCATTTGGTTACCCTGCCCCTTTCCTTGAGCAGTAGATGTGAGCGTGATTATGCAATATCGTATTGGTATTCAGGCCTTGTTCGAGCCACGACCGGGATTGTCGGGCCTTGCTTGATGCAGGGCAGTACATTCACAGAGAACTTCCATTTAGTGGAACAGGTGCTTGTACATGTACGTCTCATATGCAACCCTCGCTGTTCCCGCTCTGGGGACTCGCCTGCGAGGGTTTGCCTTCCCTTGTGAGAAACATCGCTGGCCCAGTGGTGATGGACATTGGCCGCGGAACCTCTCGCCAGGGTGGAGCCGGGTGAAGACAATTTGAGAATCTTATATCGTTGCTGTGTATTGTTTTCCAAACTAAAGCTTTCCAAATCACGACTCTAAACTTGAGATCGCTAGTCTCGCTCGGGATAACTCTATATGTCAACATCCATCGTCGCTGCTAAGGCATGCTCCAGTCCATGCAGGCGAAACAGTTGACATAACTCATCTAACTCCTCGTAAAACACCGCCAAATCCTGTCCTGCCAACTTGGCAGCCTCCTTCTTCCTAAATTCAGCTAGTTCCTCCCAGATTTCTGACAGAATCGGGTACAATTCGTCCGTCTCAGCCGCGCACTCATACAACGGGCCGAACAACTCATAAAAGGACGATAGGTTGCTACACATGTCTTCAAGAAGGTTAAAACGTGTCGGCTTTCCCCCGCTGGAGGGGATCTCCGAGAAACCATTGGCGAACACAGAACTGATCCCCATCGTCCACCAGGTCGATGAGAGCCATGATATCGTGTATTTTGCCTGGAACATGGCCGATGCTCGTCTGAGGTGCGCAAGACCACCGAAAGTCTTTAGTCTGGGACAAACCCTGGTTAAACCTCGAGCAGCAAGGAGAGCTCTCGGTTTGACTTCCACTCCGTTGGTAGTGGCTTTAACAGCGTACGCTGCAAGGTCTTTATACTCCACCTCGGGCGCTACTGGGATCAGTATTGTTTCCAGAAAGTAGACTGCATCGTCAGGTTTCACCGTGAACCATCGCCCATTGCCACCTCTTACCAAAGTGACGATTCGGATCGAGACAGTTGACTCCAGAATGCGTTGAAGCTCAGAGGAAACAACGGGATCGCGTATTCTTGAACAGATTTTCTCCAGCAAGTATGCAGCATTGACTTCAAAGACCACCTCTCCGATCTCATGAAAGGTCGAGGTCATCAGAGCTTCAAAGGAATCAAATTCTCCGCCACTGTATTGCCACGCAATCGTTGCCGTGGCCGATAACTCCCCTCCGGATGCTAGAAATTTTTCGATTGTGCAAACAAGCTGTGCTTCTAGGCCAGAGTAATCCGCTGTTCTGCTTGCCAGCCAAAGAAAACGAAGCCATGGAGTACATTGACCGTGATCCTGGTGCGTGTACATGCAATTTGAATTTGGGTTGGCTCCGTGGCAAAGGAATATTTGCATTGCGTGCAGATTCCTCGGAGAGACAACCTCAATGGAGGGCGCCCAGCAAACACTTGCGAGGAAATAAGTAGACGCCACAACATCATTGGGCCAATGCGACAAGACCAACTTGAAACAACTATCGGAAATTTTGGCCGCTGTTGAGCCCCAGAAGTCTATGAAGTATCCGCTCTGTTCGCTTGAGAAGTAATACCAATTTTCCTGCCACTCCGATAGTCGCACCCTTCGCTCTGCGTCGGCCGTCGTTCGGTAAACCGAGTCGATTGTGTTAAGGAGTGAATACTGCCACTTCGAAGTGTTGGGCTGTCGGTCTTCGACGTCAAATATAACGGAGACCAGTCGATTGAGATCAATGTGCATCGAGGAGGAGCGGCTATGGCCGTCGAAAGACGGGCTTAACCCAAGGATTTTTCTCTGAAGATAGGCATTGACGACTCGAGTTATGACATCCTTGTTGGGCCATGCGCAATGTTTTAGTATTTGTCGGCCTTTTTCAGTTTCTAGTAAGAAATCTCTGGCCGAACGGTGGATGAAGTTGATCTCCAATTTGCAATTCTGAATCAAGCACTGAATGAGAGTATCATTGTCTGAGAATTCCTCAGTCAATGGAACCAGAGTAGTTTTTGAGCTAGATTTAAAGGAACCTGATATCTCGAGAAGGCCTGCACATCGAGTTTTCAAGAGGTCTTCCATCCCAGTACACATTTTGAGGAGTGGCTTGAGATCCGATGGTTGATGATTCCTGCCAATGAACTTGTGCTGCGAGTCATCGTCCAGGGCAACTGCAAGGTCGAACACTGTCATGGGAAATATTTTATAAAAAGCGAGACAGTTTGCTGCTTGCTGTCGATAAGACTCAAGATCTTCATCACCATTCAAAGATCGCCACATGTGCTCATAGAGTGATTCCATCTTTGGTGGCAACTTTTCGAGGCGCTCTGTCAATATTTGTTGACTATCGCCATGCAAAAGTCCTCGGGCCAACTGGTCTGTTACAAGCCGAACCCAGAGGAACACGCCAGAAGCACGCTCACGGACCTTTTCAGCGAGCCTTTGAATCTCGGAGTCTTTCCAGTCAGAGGTGGAAGATCGAAGTCGGTCGATAACCAATTCTCTGATATCGTTCGCTGTGAGATCTTGCAACTTTAGCTGAGGATAAGACTCCAGGCGGGATATGAGGTATTTTTCTGGACGACTCGAAACACAAGCTTTGACGTGAGGTTGTGTGGTGACTTCTTCGACCAGGTCAAGGAGAGGACTTACATCTTCATCGTAGTTGAACTCGTCCAGGCCGTCCAAGAATATTATCACAAAAGCTTGTACCGAATGAAGAGTCGCCTCAAAGATTTGGACTAGCTCAGTAACCGACCAATCCGAGACACTCTCCTTGGACAAAGTACCTGGATTTAAACTCCCACAGATTTCATGAAGACTTGAGCCCGAAGCTTGAACTTGTGATAGGAGTTGGTGCGTTAAAGAACACAATGCACCCCTGAGACTTCTCTGGAATTCTGTCCCCGAATTCCAGAAATACCAACGCAGGATCAGAGTTTTCTTTGGAGAGGACCACAGATCTAACATCTGCTGACATTTGCCATGTTCACTAATGAACCGCATCAAAGAGCTTTTCCCCGAGCCAGCTTTTCCGTTGATCCAGAATATTGAGGCGGGATTTTCTAGGAATTCCTTAAAACTGTCCCATGGTCGGTCGATTTTATCATTGAAGATCCATTCAAAAGTATGGCAATGCGGGTCAACTATTTGACTGCGCCGTGCGTTCATTTCCGGGAACTTCAAACTGCAAACGAATTGCGACCATCGTGCAGCTTCGATCTCCTCCAGGCGGCCGACTTGAACTTCATTTTTTAGTATAGATCTGGTTTTCATGTGCTCAAGCTGAACGCATTGCTTGAGGTCAGCCTTGTGCTTGACTGATGCAAGTCGAGTTGCCCGTCCCTGCCGAATAATGAGCCCGCGGGTCAAGTTGATCTCGCTAGTAAAATCTTGACGAGTTCGGCTGCTTTCTTCTCTCAACTCTCTCTGCGCCGAGTCATGGCCAGCAGCGATTTCGGTAGTGATATGCTGCCTTAATGTTGAATCTGCCGCACGAATTTCGGCTGTGAATTCTGCATAGCAACGCTTGGCTTGTGCAGTACTTTCAAGGATGTCCTTGAATTTAGAATTTGTCTCGATTGTAGATATCTGTGAAAGGTGGCTACCGCACATGTTAGTGAAAGTTCTCAATCGCTTTAGACCGTGACCATATAACTGAAGTCACTGGATGCTGCCCAGTAACTATGATCGCCCTCAAGTCGTGGATAACTTCAATATCACACCAGACAGGAACAGCATGCAGGAACACTGTTTGACTCTTCATCTATCAGAAATTGCCGCTCAGTCTCCAAGTAGGCGCTGGATACTGACAGCCAGGAGAGTGATTGGGCCAACTTACGTGATGCGAACGAGCAGAGCGGTGTCGACCGCTTTGCGGAGCTCCCCCCATCTTCGTTGAAGATCATATATTTTACTTCTCTGCAACACAGTCTGCAGGAGTTTCCCAATCTTTTCAGCTTTGGTATCACTGTCTTTGACATGTAATGCATTGAGCTTTTGCCCTAAATCCAGACTCAGCCTCCGGCAGTTACGAGCTAGTTCAAGTAGTTCCTGGTCCGCTGGGAGGATTAGGTGACTTGTATTCTGAAATTCTTTCATGGACACGTCTAGAGCTCCGACATTCTTCTCTAATGAAGAGGTGGATGCTGTGAGCTCGTCATGGCCCGGGAAAGCCTTGTTTGCTTGGACCTGCTTGATTAGTTTGCAGATCTTCCCTGCAGCAGTCACAAGATCGATAACATTGCAAGCGACTGCAAGAGCTGCCAACGATTCCATGATTCCCCAAACACTAATGGTTGCGTGATGCTACCGGAAGACCTGGCACGTTATGAATGTCAAAGCCTCTAATGAATGGCCGCGTCTAAGATAATGGTCTCGCCATGTACAGCGCGACGGGCGCCTGCTGCGACGCCTCGTGCACCACTCCCGACGCCTCGAGCGGCTTGTCGCATATTGACAGAGCCAGGCGCACATGTGCTAGACCTGACAAATCGGAAGCAGACATGATCAGGCTGAGGCGAGTTGGCGGGCTGTGCAAACCAATCGCCCACAGTGCGAGCGTGGTGATCTCACTGAGGGAGGTTTGGAACCGTCAACGGCGCTAAAAGCTGGCTGGGGACGACCCTACTGGATTGAACGCTTGGCTGGTCAACGCCAATGACAGAAATAAACCATATGCGTCTCTTAAGACACGGCGGGTGTATGAAACAATCCTCAGGTGCAACTGTAAGCAGATGTTGTAAGAGGTTTAAAGTGACCTGCAGAAATTGCTTTCCAGAGGGATTTTGATTGGAGAGAGGAATGAGCCGAGGGGGTTTGAGGGCCCATGCCGCTCTAAGCTTCGCCGTACTGCCAGGAGCGATGGGGGGCTCATGCAAGGCACTTGGGCACTTTGCGCTGCGAGAAGATCCTCCCCAGGGCAGGAGCGTTTCTTTTTCTCGTCGGCCGTGGCTGCCAGCTTGGATTAATCCGAGAACTAGGTATCATCTACACTGGCCAGGCGCGTGGAACGTAAACATCAGAGCCCCTCTTCAGCATCGGAGCAGTCTGAACTCATAATACTATATACTCCCTGTCCATGACGCACCCTTTCCGCGCGCAGACTGTGCTCTCCATCACAAAAAGAATGGCCTCCACTACTGCAACTTCTACAACCTCTGCAACTCCTCTAGCGGATTGTATCCGCCGAAAGGTAAAGTCCCAAGTTGCTGGCTACGGATGGGAAAAGCTATCCTTCCGGCTTATTGTACTCGTGGTTGGGCTTATCAAGCTAATAGTGTATGGGATGGCATAGGTTGAGGGAGCTCTAGACCCCGTCACGCTCAGGATCACCAACAACTCGCATCTCCATTCAACCCATTCGGCTATGAGGGGTGTCACGTCTAATGAGACGCATTTCGAGTACGTGGATCTGCATTTTGCGCCGTTTTATCGTTTGTTCTGAGTGGCTCTTGAAGCCAGCTATCCCTAGATGATGATCGATCATGGATTCTCCCTATTTCTGCCTCAGCCTTGCCCGAATCATCATCACCATCACCATCACCACGCTTTGACCCCAACACCAGACCCTCCCCCCAATATCCCCTCCACTCACAAGTACTGACCAGCCATCACTAACACCCAGACTCGACATAATCTCGCCTAAATTCCAGGGAAAATCTCAACTAGCACGCCACCGCGTGGTGCACAAGCTCCTAGACGAGGAACTTTCAACACCAGGCCTGGTACACGCCCTGCAATTACACACACGCACGCCAGAGGAGGACGAGAGACTACAGGCACATCGGCTCGCGAATGAGCAGGCTGCCGCTACCAACGCTGCCGCTCACTAATACTTCCATTATTTGCTATTACACGTCAGTTCTGTCGGTATTGCGTCGGGGGATCGAGCCTCATGCGCTGATGTTTGTTCGTAAATATGAGGAATCTTAGGAGGTGTGTAAGCAAATAGCATGACCCGTAGAGTAGGCCGACGGACATGGTATATTTATATATGTGTATGTATATAGTACTCGTATGCACTTGTGTGTAGATGGGTTCAAGGAGATTGAGATGATTGTCAATAGTCGAGCAAACTTCACCGTGCCTTCTTTTATTGGCCCAACTACCCTACCCACCAAACATCACCATCGATGGACAGCCACATGGGACAAGGATGAGACATGAAGCTGCAACTGAAGGAAGCAAGAACAGATCGAAGATATTCAATCGTAACGAAACCACACCAGGTGATGAGAAATGTATTGCCTGCCAGTCACCGATCCCAGGGCGCGGACGCCGATCGTCCACTTCAAATGGGCTATCCAAGCCAAAGAAGACCGCGACGGGGGATTTGAGGGGGTATGGGCTGATTATTACTTCTATGGCCTGTACAAGATCCGATCACCATCATCCAAGACGAACAACAAGAGAAGACAAACACACGGAAACGCTGTGCGCGCCAGCTTTTTCTGAAACATATGAGACTTCCCTCCCTTTCCACGCCCCTTTCCCCTTTCTCTTCTGTCTGTCTGTCTGCCACGCTGCCAAAATGCGAGTCCTCAAGACTCTCCTATCGGGAGGAAATAAAGTTGATCTGCATTACCAATGAAGCATCCACGACCATCGGGGTCGTAGTACAGATGGCTCATGATGTGATTTGGGGCCCAAGTTGCGAAACGGCATAGACCGCCTCCATGAGACCTGGGATGGAGCCGTTGTTGTGAATTGCGCTTAGTTGGTCGCTGTTGACTGTTGGAACTATCTAGTCTTGATAACGACCACCACCACGACAACGATGATGAGTACGATAAGGACTGCAAGTAAATCAGTAAAACGAGCATCGATTGCGGAACCAGACAAGAAAACTGACCGCAAATACCCAAGCACCACCACTTCTTTCTCCGGGCAGCTCGAGCCTTCTCAACAGCTCCTCCGAGCTCGGTATTGGCCTTGGCGACATGTTCGGTGACTTCTTCTCCTCTTTGTTCGATCTGAGTGACAGCAGGTTCTTGTTGCACAACCAAGGTCTCGAGATCCTGGAACAGTTGTGCTAGCTCGATCATCTGTCTTTCGATCTTCTGGATATCTTCGTGGCGTTGAGAGACGTTCCTTGCAACAGTTTGAGCCTCGCCGCGACGATCGCTCTGAATCAAAGCGGAGCTGAAAATCTGTTGGTTATTTGGGTCTTCAACAGCCTCACGCACTTCAGCGTCAGAGGCATCTGGTCGAACAATTCTGTATTGTCGGGCCATCTGCTCTTGAGAGGCTTTTCGGAATTCCCGCTCGACTTGTTGGTATTGGTTAATGGCAGTTTTGAGTCTGCGATCGACTTTTCCCACCTGAGGAGCATTACGGGGATTGCCAGATTCCGGCTGGGACTTGATTTTCTTGACGCGGCTGACCAGGCCTCGGTATTTGGTCATGATGCTGTCTCCAGTTCGGTCAACTTCAATCCGAAGTGGGGACTGAGCCGAAGTATTCGTATCAGCGAGGTATCGAGATTGTAGGCCTCTGAGGCGTTGTAGGTCTGCCTCGATCTCATCAATGGCTTGGTCAACTGCTCGGCACTCGTTGAGAACGCGGTTTGGGTCGGCGCCGTTCACATTACCCATTTCTGCCAGCGGGTTAGCTGGAAATTGGTAACCAAAACTACCATTGAGTTATTCTCACCATAGCCACCTTGTCGCTCTTCATCAGCATAATAACTGCTGTTTTGCTCTTGTTGTGGAGGAGGCCGGCCTCCATAAGCTGGGTTGTGATTGTCCTGCTGGGCGTATGGATTGCCGCCTTGGCCATAAGGGTTGTAGGAGCCATAGTCCTGGTTATTGGATTGATTGTACTAGGGGGCAAAGTCAGCGGAAAAGGTTGTGGAAAAAGGACTATCGGATTGCACGGCAGAGTGAGGGAATGGAGGCCAGTCACAGGGGAAATGAACAGCAATGAGAATACGTACACTCATGGTGGGTGAAGAATGAGACAGTGACTAGAGGCGAGGATAGCTGGACTGAGGAGGAACGATTGGAGTAGAAAATTGATGGAATGCTACGACTCCTCCAGGATATGGGCGGGAGCGAAGGAGATCAGGAGAAGACACGCAGTTGGAGTCGATCTCGAGCGCGATAGAAGCGGAGATGATGCGACAGGAAGGAATGCAAAGATGAAACTGGGAAGTCAAGTCTTGGATGGGATGAGCAGCTGAAGAAAGGAAGGGGAAGAGCTGAGTGATCAATGTATGTATGCAAGTAGGCAGTTGGTAGTAATTCGAATCAGAACGAGCAGCAGGTCTGGTCAGCTCGGAGATGGAGGGAAGCAGGTGCAGGTGCAGGTGCAAGCGCAAGCAGCAATTCAGGCAGTTCACTTAGCGACCGAATTGCGGCTAGCACCTTAGTGAGAACTTAGTGAGCACCTGGCGAGGCGTGGGTGGGCCGTGCATTGCGTGCAGTTCTGTGCGGCTGGTGCGGCGCAGTCCAGGTGGTGCATGGTGGATTTGCAGGTGCACCGAGGGCGGAAGACGCAGTGCCTAGGACCTACTCGTAGGCGTAGACTTGGGCGTGGGCGCAGGAAGGGTGTCCCCATCAGGGCGGTGGGCGCAGGTATACTTACTGTGCAGAGTCACAGTCACTACGAGTACGAGTATGCCCAGTCTACTACGGCGCTTAGTGGCTAGAAGCTGGGCTCGTATGGAGGGTTTGTCTGCTTAGGTGGAACTAGAAGGGTGCCCGTAGCAGGCCACTAGCAGCACTAGCAGCACTAGCACTCTTAGCATCCCTAGCACCCCCAGCACGATCGGCGGGGGGGCTAACCGGGCCACAGAAGACCCCTCGGGCTGGGCAGCACCCACGGCCACCCAGTCCACCACGGAGTCGAGACGTAGCGGCCTCCGAGGGGCTCACGCTTCACCCCATTCAGGAGACCTTTGCGAACTATATCAAACAAGGTGTTTACGGTCGGTGTCTAGCCTCCTTGGCTCTGGCGACGCCCCATGGTATTCTGGACTGCTGTGCATTTCAGGCCCCATTCTGGCATGATCGATCAACAATTAATCTATCACGTACGAGGTGTTGATGTCCGAGTGCTACTGTATGTCATTTATGTTATATTCGACGCAAATCGTTCGTTTTGCGAAAAGACGTGGAATGCCTGACATCCGCATGGAACAAGGTATCTTCGCCGAAGTGGTACGGAGGACAGTAATTAGAATTGGCGCTGCTTGGTCCTCCCCAACTGTGTCGCTCGCCCACCCTGCCTGCTGACTTAGCACAATGCTTTACCGACAAGCCCACGCCCAATCAACCCTTCCTCAATCTTACTTAGTCGGTCCACTCATCACCCAAACCTCAGGCAAAAATGGATCGTTCCATGTCGCACTAGATGATGTTTCAGTAATTGCCCGTTTCTTGCCTTTTGCCGCCGACCTTCGCTCATGCTCAAGCCGCTCGAGTCTTGATCAGCAGTGCTCACAACTCACAGCTCGCCACTACCAACTATTGTGGTCCTATCATTGTGAATATCAATCGTCACCATTGTGGCGGCCTTTCCAACCGTGGGTCATTCCGGTCCAGGCTCCAAGATAATAATTCCATCTGCCTAGGGTTTTCGTCCAGCAGCTGAATGAAGGGGGCCTTTTTGGCGGCAAGGAGTTCCCCACAATTTTTGACAGAGCCTCGATCCAGAGACCCACAGCACATGCAGAAGGCCAGGAAATCCACAAGGCTGCGACATATCCACTGGGCTCTCACCATCGCTTTGCTTCATCGCCTGCACTCCACTGCTTCTCCAGGTAGCCCAGCCGACGTTTGACATCCTCAACTGTGTCGGCGTCTCCTGTATTTTTACCAATGTTGTCTGATATCTTGATGGCCGGGTTTCCGCCTGCTTTGGACAACTTGATCACAATGTTCAGTGGCTTCGACTTGGTCTGCGAGTCTGACTTAAGTTTAAAGTCGTTGGTGAAAAAGGTTCCCACCCCAAATGCTGGTTTGAATCCATATGTCTCCGCCACTTTCTTGTACTCCAAGCATTTCTCAACGTCCAAAGAATCTGAAAAGACTATCGTTTTCCCACTGATCCCTATGGAGTTATAGAAATCGCCTGCAACCTTAACGTATTCCTTTGGATCACCAGAGTCCTGTCTGATCCCTGTAAAGACCTCCGCATAAGTGGGTTGTTTGGACACAGAAGATGTATCACCCGGCTTCTCCGACTTGTCGTCGTGTGATGGCCACATCTTCTTCGGTATCGGTGTGTTGAAAGCTCGAAAGAAATCCACTGTGCCAAAGGTGTCTGTCAGCGCAATTCCTAGCACACCTTTGCCATAGCACTCCAGCCAGTAATTGAGGCCTTGTACGTTCGCATTCTCATAGTCCCCAGTAAGTGCAGCGATCCCCATGAACCATTCATGGGCAACGGTCCCAACTGGAGCAATCCCATGACGCATGGCAAAGTAGACATTACTAGTGCCCGTCAACTTTCCAGGCAGACCCTTTTCTGCTGATGCCCTCACCAACCCTTTGATCACCAGATCTTGTGTCTGAAAATCCCTCCTTCTGCGAGAGCCAAATTCTGACAGCAGGCAGCCCGCCTTGAGCAGCTCAATGCCTTTTGCATACGCATTGTCTTCTTGTCCTTCGTGATCCCAGTCTTGATCCACAAACTTGAAGTATGCCTCGCTTGTCAATGCAAGCAAGGGGATCTCGTACAGGATGGTCTCTACCCACAGTCCCTTCGTCATTATATCCAGATCTCCATAGAGTTCATCCACCGGCCTGAATTTGAGTTCCACATGCTCTGCAGGCCGCAGTTGAAAAGTCTGCAAGAAACTCAGGTATTTGGGGCTCAGAAACGGGCAGTGTTTCCTCAGAAACTCCAACTCTTGCTGCGCCAATGTGATGTTCCCCAGCTTCTTGACCTGTTGCTGCAACCACGCAAAGGCGAGTTTGTTCAATCTCATCTGTGGTGTTCGATTGGTAAATTTGTATTCGACCTCGACGGTAGGAAAGTATTTGAGTACCGCACATTGCATTGTCAGCTTGTACAAATCAGTATCAAGAAAGGAGAAGATGCCCTCAGGCGTCTTCGAGTTGGACATTCTCCTAGCCATGATTGCTCTGGAAGTTTTGGATGAAGCTCAGGGCAAATTTGTGACCATCATCAGTGAAGTAAACACCTCGCGCAACGGGTGAGGTCGTGCAACTATGTAACTACGGGTTTGTCCCCACTGCAACCAGTGTCTCGTGGGTAGTCAACAAAGGCAGACAAATGTTTCCCCAGAGCGAGGGGCTGAGGGGCCTATGACATAATCCTCCAGGCAACAAAGGCCACCCGAAGGCTCTAACCCTATTTGGTCAAAGGTATCTCGTTGAGCCGATAATGGCCCGTGTGATCCTCTCAGCCTCATTGTCACAGCCTTGTTCTCGACTACCCAACAAGCTAGATAACTGGTCACTATCAATATACTAGAGATATTGATTATTTTGGGCAAGACCCAACCAACGGGGCGCAATCGAATCTTGAAGCAAGAGGGACGTCTTCTTATACCATTGATGGGACTGTATCTGGCTCCTATGTCTTCAGTGTCTGTCAATTTTGACCTGCCTGTTGCGAAAGGGCCTTTACAGGGGGAAGTCGTGTCAAAGTCAAGTGCGTCAAAGTCAAGCCCAAATTTTATCGAATTGTCTGCTCATGCCTTGGACAGCTCTTTATTGACTTACTTACGATGACTTATCCGTTGATAAATCAGTACTACTGATGTTGGAGCTGCTGTGATTTGAGGCAATTGATCAGTAGCCATTTGTTGTTCTACTTGGTTAGTGTGAAGTCACTGCCTCGGTCACATGGCTTATTTATTACCAATGCCGTTTGGGTGTCCAGTTGTCCAGTGAGGGACTGGAAACATTTGATAAAAGCTGAAGTCACCAAGCAACTACAAAGTATCAAACCTACTATCCGTCCCCGTAAGGCTTTCCATCGACGAGGTCAAAGTTTCATGAGTGTACGATTGTGGATCCTTTGCTCCCAAAAAGATCGGTAACAATTGCTTATTAACCGAGTCGAGACCACAGTTTTGTGGTCATAGCTAGGATTCTGCTCAGCTATGTAATAGCTAGGTACGTAACCGAGTCTAAGTTACGGCTCCCCTAATGGAGAACAGATAGGACTTGTCAGTCTACTAGACTGGCTTGTTGTAAGTAGTCAGAGAGAGGAAGTGGTTGGGTAGTGGTAGAAATAAGCTTCGAGTAGCCAAAGTGTGCGACTCACACTATCATAGGAGATGCACGGCCCCCGAAACTCGATGGAGCACTTCAACTTGATTTCTGTGATCATCTATGAGCGCACAAGAACCTCTGCGAGTGGAAGGGAGGGCATCTCCCATCCACTTTGACCAAGCCATCATCTAGGCCTTCTTCCTCCATATTCATAGGTTGTCCTATCTCAGCATGGTGAGGGCACTAAGCCCCATAATGAAACTACTGCCAGTATTTGGCATCTTCAAAAGGACTAGTCTGCGAAGTATGCCTAGTGGCCCAAGACAAATCATCCACCCGGCGACAGAGAACATAGTGTGTATTCAAACAGTCGCAAAGAAAGGATATCTAGGGATAGCCAAAAACAGATAGGATTGCAAGGGCTGTAGTGAAAAACAACAGAGCGTTATGTCTTCCAATTCTGGTTGTTGAAATCCCACTGCTTTGCTGCATTTGGGCGCTCGAACTAGGTCGGTCCGCCCACACTGTTGTCTGTGGCGCAATCTGGTTTCCTGTGGAGCCTGGGCTTGCATTTCCGATTTCTGCGGTTGCTGCAGAGGAATTCCCTTGACTTGCGATGCTAGAGGTAGCCGCCGCTTCGCGACTCTGGCTTGCTGCAGAGATGCTGCTGTAGAAGTCCGATTGGCTCTCAATGGCCAGTGAGTAGCTTTCACAGTCGAGTTCCACGAATCTCGATTCCCGGCTAATCGACACCAAATCGGTGGATGTCGCGCTGTATTTATAACAGTCAATATAGCACCTGAGTTCCGAGTTCAAGAAGTCAGTGGGAGTTCGCAGGCAATGTACCAGTTATGTGTGGAGGATGCGCTTTCTGAATGAGGGAAGTGTTTACTGACTCTGAAGAACGGTTAAAGTATCCGTTTGTACACATGCAGTATCGTCTTTCATAGAAACTTGAGTCGCCGAACTCGCTCGAGCAAGCGTTCTCCGAACTTGTTGCTAGTTGACAAGGTCCGTTCGCATCGGTACGACAGCCAGGGTAGGTGATACTGAGGCTCATATTGTTGAGTTCAGAACTCACCGAACACCGGGGACTGGTGCTGGCGGGATTTTTGTGGTGAGAAAGTTGCAGTACGGAGTACTCATAGTTTCCTCACCGATTTGGCGAATCTGGCAAGAGATAACCATGGTCAGGCTTTGATTATCAGGCTTAGAGGGTGGGCACTTTCAAAAAGGGGGTACTTGCCCTGGGTCACTCATAACGGAAGCAATACGAATACGCTCAACATCCTGGCCAGTAGACCAGGCCCGGGCTTCAGAGAGAGAAAGTCATGTTTGCCAAGGAACTCTGCCCAAGAGCAAGCAGCTTTCAGCCTTTCACAAGCTTTCGTGCTAAGGGAATCGCAATTAAAACTGGGCGTCTGCCAAGTGACACACTATATTCTAGAGAGCATTACCATTGGGCAGAGGAGGAATATTGCAGAATGGTCGTGGTACTGAATCACCAGCATTCAAGGATTGCTTGTCTTTCAAGAAAATGAAACTTATTCCAATGCACTCACAGGGGCTGTTCCTCTCACCCACCATCCCCACCCACAGGCTGCTCGATCTTTCAGGCCAATAGAAGGTCCTGGCCCATCTGTGAGGTCCAGCGATGATCGGCGCAATGTCTAAATTACTAAAGGAAAAGAAAGTATGCCCACATCAGTCATTTACTCGACACCTTTCACAAGGGCAGAGCTTAGGTGTGACCCTCTCACGTTGGGCAAATATCAAAGGTCAAGATGTTGACCGTTGCAGAGGTGTCTGGTCTCATCGCCGCGGCGGTGATGATAGGTATATCTATTCACTATACGCTCAGACTCTTTAACAATTCTTGCTGACAGTGCGCACAAGTCCAGTACCTGCTTCCGGCGGCCATAGTCATAATATTAGTTAAGTATGTCGGCACTGAGAATAGTGCCGTAACATGGTATTCATGCCCCAATTGTTAGGGGAGGGAAGAAATTCTGATGTTCTCAGGTCTGTCGTCAATCGCACCATCTCGACAACAGTTTGGCCGCACCTTGTTCGAGCAGATGCTGTCAACACGCGACAAGTTCCGCTGAGAGTCAAGATCCCAAGCTGGACTGCGACAGCCAGTGCCGCATTGTTGATTGTGGCCAGCGTGCTTGCCCCTCTCGGACTATACGATGACATTGTGCCGGGCGAGTCAAGGCTAGTCGAATTCCAATATGTCAAAGACCCAGGTCCGTGGGGCAGAGTTACCATGCCTCGGCCAGATGTCAAGTTCAATAGATATTGCGAATCTGGCTTGGTGATTAATTGTCCAGGCCAGTATCAAGGCGTATACATGAACGAAACAGAGCCAGGACACTGGGAAAGTGTGGAGACTGATGACACATCCACCATCAATACCACGATTCCCGCGAACTTCACGACTATGTTCACTAGCGCGACATCCGAAAGAGGCAACACAATCTCTGGACTTTTTGACATTCAGTATCGTCGCTGGAAGTTTGACCAGAACGGAATCATAGACAAAGGCGAACCTTTCGTCCGGGGCGCTAGCCAGAATATTGGAATGATGGTAGCACAGGACTCCATCCTCCTTACAGAAGGGCTCATAGTCGATATGAGAGATACTCCAGGGATCGGATTCAGGAACCACACCATCCCAGTTGGACTAGATCATGGTGGACTTTGGTCTGAAGATATCACGTGGATTGAGCCGGTGACACAATGTGCTGATACGAACCTGTCCATCGAGATGAGTGTCGAAAATACCAAGGAATCGTTCACCGATAATACTACCTTCTACATAGTCGACAGAGGCGCCTTCATTGGACTTGATGCAAGTGCACTCGAATCACCTCCTTGGAATGATAATCAGACTCTAGATCTGTTTGGTCGGGCTCATAAGGCTGCTCGCATGCACAATGTATTTGTTGCTTCTAGTCTCAACATCTCTCTCCCGCTTGACGAGGCTACAGAGGCAGTGCCAAAGATCTTGGTGGAGGACGACAGCTCTGCTCCGGCTATGATGTTCAGTGAGTCGAGTTTCGACAGTATTTTGAAAGGTGCATTGAGTGGGGTTGGTGGAATGCCACCTGCAATACCATCACAGTATTCTGCAGGAAACGCGTCTGTGCCTGTTTTGAGTCACTACCCCGATGGTATAAAGAGGCTTTTGGCACTGAACTACTCTGCTGTCGGTATGTCCCACGTATTCCATTGTTGACCAGCTGTGAGCTAATCTTTGCAGCCCAAGTATGTAGGGGATACTATGAGCTGGGCACGACGGATAATGACTGGAGAGCCAACAACATAACATACCCTGCTGTTCAATGTGGCTTTTTACTCGGAGCTCCGTTGCAAATGTCCAACGAGAATTTGTCGGTGCCAGCATACACTGGGATCTCAGCCCGCCAGAGGAATTTGTATATATGCGCATCAGGCGTAAGAGCCAGCATCAAAACGGTTGACTTTCGTTACAACGGCACGGGTGGCGAGTTTGCCAACCTCAATGTATTGCAAATCAAGGACAAAGTATATCCTAACAAGCAATCTCAACCACTGTGGGCGTCTGAGCATAGCTACGATAAGGTCATGCGGTTCGATCCTCTTTGGGGCATCGTTGACAGTCGCTATGAGACGATGGGCTACAAAGATGGATTCTACACACTTCGAGCAGAGAAACTGTGGCTTGCTACAAGCCCGTTTCTGACCCTCAATTTCGGAGAGACTGAGGGCTCTGACTCACTGGCTGGCGCTTCTGGATTCAACCGGCGACTGGGAAATTTATACGGCGGCCTGTCTGACTTGGGTGACGCCGACTACAGTGGACAATATGATTACACCATGCTCGAGCGCTGGCAAAGGCTTTCGCGAGACAACGCCTCAGCTGCGCAGATACCTAGTCTAATTATGACGAATGGCCTTGCCGGGGGCTTGGTGGGCACAAAAACCTCCATCTCCACCAAATACGTGCAGTGGCCAGCTAGTCTTGCCGTGGACGATACCGCCAGCGGCCTTCCACAGGCGAGTATCACAGAATACAAGCGGGTCATCCATTACAACTTGCGTTACGCCATCCCGGCATTTGTCATCTTGGCCATATTGCTCTTGGTTTTCCTCTGGGCTGCAGCAATCATTCTTTCATCTCGCTCGATTTTGCTCGACCTGCAGAATATGTATAATCAGACCAGCACTGGCCGGCTTGCTACTAAGCTACTGCAGCCGGGAGGCAGCAACCCTAAGGAACCCACTCGAAAATGGGTCAAGAAAGACGGGCGGCTTCCACTGGGCTTTGGGCAGATAACTGATCACGAGAAGGATCGCTTCTGCGAAGTCGTTGACGACTCTCCTGAGGTCCGCGCCCATCCCGATAGCCCTTCGGTCCCCGTCGGGGGAGATCTCGGGACACAAAAGACCATGAGTACGGGCACTGCAAAGTAAGACAATAGTGACACACTGTACTGCATTGAAATAAATATATCCGAAGATCCCCGTCTACAAGGATTGTGTTATTATCCATAGACCAATGCTACTGCTTCTCCGTAACAAGGAATGACTTCACCAATGACCAACTTTTCCAGGCAGCAACCCAAGTATTGACGCCAATCTTGCGGCACGACAGTTGAACTCCTGCGTAGGCCTCCTTCATCACTCTCTCTTGGAATTTCCAAGGGGTATGCTTGGGTAAAGGGTTGTCTTTCTGCACGTGATCAGGCTGAGAGTGGTCGCTTGATCGCTTGGCAACTTTAAGTTGTCTCCCTTCCTGGAACAGACTTGAGAAATGCTTCACGAACAACCTTCATAGCCGATGACAAGGTATAGTATCTGTGTCTGGAGACCCTATATCATGCGTAAAGCGAGGATGAGTACGATGTAGGCTTTTTAATCACAGGGACAAGGACATTTGCGGCCGGGATTTCTTCGTCTCCTCCTGAAGCACATCGGGAACGGCTGCCGTTGTGATGGCACTTGCTCGCACTGTGAGTCAAGCGATTGACGGAGGGAAGACATGAGATCGCAAGACTGTTCAGGATGTTGCAGATCGCCCTGATCACAAGTCCTCACCTCTGGCCATGTCGGGGTAAACCAAACGAGGGGTATCGCAGTATGAATTCCTGGGTGAACTTGTGACTATCTTCAGCGCGTCCCCAGCTGCGCTCTCTTTCACGCAAACACACGCCTTTAGGCAAACCGCATCGCTGCTTTATCAGTCAGCATGTCGCATTCTTCGTCTACCCCTAACTTCTCACGTCCTCTTACCTCTCCTTCGTCCACAGGCGGTCTTGACACTCCCAAGAGAGGTTCAAGAAGCCGTGCTGTCCTTGAAGAGCCACCACATACAGCTTCCTTGGCAAATATGACACGCCACCCTTCAGCTAGAGGTCTTTCATCCAACAAGCGTCTGTTTAACATTCCAGGTGGCCAGCCTCGCGGACCGGCAGAACAAAATGGCGCTAGTCCACAAGGCTCTCCTAGCACTGGGACGGGGCGCATTCGAAAGCTCGCCAAACCCAATATCACCAGCAACAATGGCTCCCAAAGCTCGGTTGACAGGTATGCCTTTGTTGGCCAAATCTTTTGACAATCTCTCACTAGTCCCCAGCGTCGACCTTGGAAGTCGTGACAAGCCCATCCCTAACTTCCGTCCTCACCTCTGGCGTCACCTCGACAAGGAGCGCGATGTGTTGAACATCGATCTCTTCTGGCCCATCAAAGTCAACGAGAATGAAGGCGAAGATGAAGGCAATGACGATGAGGACGATGACAAGGATGTCTTCCCCTACAATGACCTCAAACCTCTCATCACCTACCACAACCTCCGCTACCTTCAAGTCACCGGAATGATGCGATCCTACCAACCTCTGATCTTCGCCACCTGCTGGGTCAACAAAAACCTCACTCACGTTCGCCTTGAAATGGCCCTCGAACCAGAGATGAAGCCTATCAGCAAGGGTTCCAAGCTCAGATACCGTCCCATCAATGACACGTGGTCATATGATGCCCTTGCCGACAGTCAAAGCGCGGCATCGGAATATCTGGGATATCACGGCGAAGGCACCTTGCACGAAGAGTTTGGTTATGGAGAATACCTCGACCAGCAAGCCATCAAAGCAGCTCAGTTGTTGGTCGGCACTGAGTTACCACTTGAGAATCTACGCTTCCTGCCAATCACTCACTTGACTCTGAAGAACTTCGTTGTCGACGCCGGCCCGTTCTTCCGCTGGTTCGACGCAAAGAGACTTCGCGAAGTCACTTTTCAAGGACGATGCGTCGACGCAGGGTTCTATTTGCCCGACGACATGAAATCCAAAGTCAAGGTCAACGCGCGCAGACCGTTCGCTGTTGCCCGATGGGTCAAGCCTGGAGAGGTCAAATTGGTGGAGATCAAGAAGCACAAGCCCGCATCCAGCAACGGTGTTGGTGTCGGTGGTCCAGCCATGGTCAAAGAGACCGCGCCAGTTCTTGGATCTGCAGAAGACGTTAAGGGCAAGGGGCTCGCCAGAGACGAGGGGAACTGTGATGAGAAGTCAGTGTGAACCCACTCTGACAAATGACTGACTCATGAGGAAGACGATCTTGCTTGGGCGGACGGACGGACATGGGAACGGGGTATGAATGGCCAACTTCAGCCAATAAAAGCAATGAAGACAGGAACTGATGGACAAGGAGTGAGACAAGCCATTATGTCTTTACAATAATTGGTCGAGCTATCAACAAACTCATAAGGAGATATGAGACACACTACCTGGGTAGTCAAGCCCGTAGCATGGTCTTAGTTAGTCCAGAAAAGCACAAAACGCTTTGCTAGCTCATCAGAGAGATAGGGGAAATATGAGGAAAAGTCATCGTCCACCAGAACTGGGTTTTCTTCTTGTTTTGCTATTGTACATGCACATACCACCACTATGCTTCTTGTTGTTTACCGCGCAAGATGACCAAAGGATGTGGGATCATGATGTTTTCGCTAGGTGACATAGTCGTGGGTAGCCAAAACTTTCGTGAGGGTTTTCGAAAGGTTGGGTCGTAGATTAAACTCTGATATGTGTATTTACCACATGCACGTCGAGGAGAGCCGAACGTCGAACTGTGCTATGCACGTACCGGTGTGCGTGGAGGCTCAAGAGAGGCGTGAGAGCTCGAGTGCATCCCAACCTCAGTATTTCTGATATCCGCCTCGACTTCCATACGAGGACACGCTTTGTGCATAGCCATAGCCCGGGTTGGGGCTCATGGCGCCAGGTCCCATCATGGGCTGTGTCTGGCCGCGGTTCTGGTATATGGTCGCACCGGCATTCCCCATGACTGGCGAAGCGGTGACATGGACGCCGCCCTTGTTGAAGGTTTCAGTGCGCATGCGCGACATGCCGTTGCGGTAGGCCAGGACCTCGGCGGCGTTCTTCTCGTACTTGGCGTCCTCGATCAGCTTCTCGTGCTTGCCTGCCCGGCGTTGGCGGATGCAGCAGAAAGCAAAGATGAGGATGGCGAGGAGAACCACGCCACCCACGACGCCGCCGATGATGTATTTGGTCTGCGCGCTGAGTCCGTTCCATTTCTGCTCGATGCTCTGCACCGTGGACCCGCTGTTCTGACCGTCAAGTTTGATCGGCTCGGTGTTGCTGTTGAGGGGCTTCAGTTAGTCCTGCCTGCTAGGCCATATGCTGGGGGAGTTCAAAGAAAGTGGAGTTACTTACTTGACGACCTTGATGCTTTGCCAGCTGCCGGTTCGGTCACCCCATTGATATTGAGTGGCTTGAGTTGCATCACTGACGCGGACAGATTGGACGGTCATGGTGTATGGTGTATCATCATAGGTTGTTTCGCCACCAGCCCATTCAATGGTACCGTTGGGGTTCTTAGGATCACCACCGGCCCAGATTCCCAGACGGACGTTGCAGGGCGTCTGGGGGAAGTTCTTGCCTCCGTTGGCATCCTCAGCCTTGAGCACGCGGATGGACTGGCCATCAATAAACCATTCGAGCTGTTCTCTCGACCAGTCTACGGTGTAATTGTGGTACTCGTCTTGGGGCTTGCTGACAGGGTGCCAGACGGCACGATCGAAGCTGGAGGTGTTGCCTTTGCCGAAGTAGTTTGTTTGTACGTATGAATCATTTCCTCCGATCCACTCCCAATCTACTTCGTCTAGATCCTCCGACTGCATGACTATCGACGATACAACACCTTGACCGACAGACGCTTTCATGATGACCTCGACCTGGCCAAAAAAGAGGTAGAAGTTGGTCTGGACTGTGGGAGCGTCTCCTCGCTTGTTGATGGTAAATAGTGCGCCCGGGTTGTCGAAATCCACCGTTCCTGCAGTTGTGTTCCATACTTCGTCGGACATCATACTCTTTCGGAAATCGATGCTGTAGTTGGAAACGCCCAACGCCTGCATATCAGGACAGTCATCTTTCTCCAAGGGATTGCATGATGTGAATGTCTGGGCAAAGGAGGTGGACAGAAGCGAGAGCAGGGCGATGCTAGAGGGGACGAGGGAATGCATGGCTGTTGGTGTTTGCTGGATATTTTCTGTTCTACACTGAATGGGATTGAGTCTTGAGTCAATTGTAAGACAGGTTTTTTCTTTGTTTAAAGTAATGGGGTGGTTGACTCCGGGTCTTGAGGTGTGTTGGCCGTGCGTTGAGGTTGGAAATTGGGCGACGCTTGGACGGTGCTTGGAATGTTTACGGGTCAAGTGTTCAAAAAGAGTGTATATCTGAGTCGCCGCACAGCGCGACTTCAGAGAGGAAGAAATGAGAGACAGCACGAGACGATGAAAGAGTGGCAGCGTCGCGACACAAAGAGGGTGTGGTCGACAGGTAGGAGAGCTAACGAGGGAGGGCAAACCTGAGAACAGCCTGAAGGCCACGAGATATTCGACCATCTAGTGCCAGAGGCAGAGGCAGAGGCAGAGGCGGAGGCGGTATGAGCCTCGCAGAGAGGAAAGGAACGGAGCACCCTGGTTCACTAGTTGCGCGAAGGGAAGCCCATGAAACGCGTAACCCATGTTTGATGATAGAAAAGGGGCGTCGCCAAGTCCAAATACAGCCAATCATAGTGCGTATCGCGGCGTTGGCGCTAGCCTTTCTTTGTCAAGCGCGAGGTGCTTCAAACCCCCCTTGACGCCTTGACCCTCAACCTGCCATTCTTCCCAGCGATATCGTTGATGCGTGTTACGAGTATGGCCATGAGAATGAATCTGCTGATATTGAATCTTGAAAATCTTGGGTTCAGTCACGTTGACGTCAAGTTCAAGACCAGTTCAATCAATCATCTATCATCAATCAACCATAGTGTTTGTACGACTACTCCGTACATCTGTTATTGTTGAACCCGTCCATCCTGCCCTCAACTGGTGTGGATCGACAGAAGGCAATTTGCCTGATGTCCACACATCCCCTGCGTTCCCAGTCCTCCCGTGGCTGTGCTGGGAGGCCTACTCGTAAGCCTACTGGATGGTACCCCTTATCACACAATGACGTACAACCTTGTAGGTCTTGCTGGATATCCTGTGCAGCCTTGCGGGTGAATCAATTGTTCACATATTCAGTTCGTTTCCCACGACTATACCAGCGAAGTGAGAGGTCAAAGCGCAAAAGTGCTCTATAATCTGGACCGACAGGCTCTATGTGAGCTTGGAACGTCATTAAGTTCAGGATTAGGTCAAATATGAGTTGTTCACTTCTGCCAACAGTCAACGGCCGATCCTTACGAATCGGTTGAGATAAGCGAGAGTGAGCGACTTCGCTGGGTAAGACTCCAAGCAACGATCCTTATTCTATTGGAATTTTTTGACATTCAAGTTCGCCTGCTAAAGTGGAAGGTGGGGATGTTCCTGTACATGGCGGAGAGACTACTGGGTACAGATTATGGAGTACTGAAGTCGAAAATGGTGACGCATCATCATCATCATCATCATTGGAGGTGGAAGCAGCTATGAGCATCTGACCTTCAACCAAACGCCTCGACCTTTCAGCCTCACGATACGATGGTTTGAGGCTGGGCTCTTCTGATTAATCTAGCAAGATGATGATGGAACCTACACCAAATCAAGCACGATGACCAACAATATGTTTGGAGAGACCAGATATTGGACCCTCGGATGAAGAGAAGCCTAACCCTCGTTGCATCAGAGACTTCATTCAGAATTATGCCATTCCAGTCAGTCTAGCCGATTAGATCTTTTGGAGACAAATTGTTCACAGGCATTTAGAACCTGAAGCCGCAGTCCCAAGTCCGAGGTTGAGATCCTGGAAAGCGAGTGAGGCAGTCTATAAATTTTCGGGTCAGCCTGTCTTGGTGAAAGCTATTGAACGCTTCCTGAAGGGCCTGGAGATCGGAGGAATGTCTAGCTTTAGTTCCTTCTCGATAGTAGACCTTGCCATCATCGAATCGGTCGTGATCATCGTTCCTAGATCGATCCTATCATAATTATAGTACCACGATCTTTTGAAACGACACGTGATCATCCATACGGAGTATTCAAATCGAACACCCTGGAGCTTGGGGAGCCCCGTCTGGCCACTTTGTTTACACTGCGTAATGTTATTTCTTCGACGAGATTCGAAGCCGACTTTTTACGTTTCGGCAGAGGAGTAACCCGTGGCAAGAGCAGTTGGAGGTTGAAAAGGAGTCAATCTTATCTTATCTCTGATCTTGGCAGAATCTCGACATCGGCTTTGAATTCTTGGGTTGGGACGAGCCCAAGTTTCTCTCTCGTCAGCGTCAATGGAGAGCCCCGGACACAAGGATCCAGACTCCACCGAGAAATCATGGCTCCAATAAGAAGATATCTCCGGATCAGCAGGCATTCAGTCCTTGAATGTCGCGTCTTTCTAGAAAACCCCGCAGACGAGCCACGATGGTTGCTGAAGGAGAGCGATCCAGCCTTGCCACGTGTTTTTGAAGCAGTAAAGCCACTCATCCTTCTGAAATTAAGGGAAGAGAATGAAACAGCACGAGGCAAAGGAAAGAAGAAGAAGACTGTCAAGGATAGTGTCAAGCAAGGTCAGGGATGCCAGAGTACCTTTGTTGAAAGCCCTCATAACCATGGTGTCAGATGACTTTGAGGTTTCAATCTTCCTCACGGAAATTAGAACTCGACATTCCTTGCTCATCAAGAACAAGACTTTCAAGCAAAAGCCTCCGATAAAAACGAATGATGGCGGCAGACTGACCAGGGCAGCTCACCAAGATTCAGTATGGATTCGGGATGAAGAGGATGAACATGACGTAGTGCTTCACGATATACCTGCGGTTGATGATGATATGGATGCTCAGCAACCATTCGGAGACGAAGATGCTAACCCGGATGCACCTCTTGATGATGACAAGAAGAAACTTGGGTTCAAGACGACCTACGAAGGTTTCAGTATATGGGGTTGGGTGCTCTGCCTCTTCGTTGAACGAAAAGGTGGCCCCGGCCAAAAGAACGTTGGGACAGAGGGTAACACTCAGGCACTGATGCAAGACTGGATTGCATCAACGCAACAGCAAAAAGAAGATGAATTTTGAGGCTCAGCGCGTAATTGCCGCATGAGTCAGGACACATAAATTTCACCCACAAAACGGTCTATCCCACAGTAGGCCAAATCCCTTCCGACACAAATTGCATGTGTCGTCTAAAAGACACAGGCCAGGAGGATAGAATTGTTCCAATCTTGCAGGGCATTCTTGCTGATCGCATTTGACGAAACCAAGTGCTAGGTAAAGACTGACGCTCAGGGCCCTTGGGGTTCTCTGGAGTGAGCTCGCTTGTCCATCCTCGAAACAGTTGCAAATTCTTCAGCGGAATCCCGGGGTTGTATCAGATATGAAGGTGATTGACTTGTCACGTTCATCTCCGCAAAGGAGCTGCATTAGTTTTGAAGTGTCAATCAAATGTGACAGATCTCAATTCTTTGTGATTTGGGTCCGCTTGGGGTGCATGTTGTGGCGTTGGGGTCACGCCATCTCCACGTGGTTGTGGCAGCCCCTTTTACTCCTGAGCTCCGTGCAGCCAGCAATGAGTTTCCGGCCAGACCCGTCCCACCTGGTTTCCGTTTTCAAAACTCGAACGGCGCTGGTTGAATCAGGAAATGGGCTTGACTGGTTGGGCGGTCTGTACGCCTCAAGCGAACGATAGTGCCAGTGGTGCCTTGGTGCTGTGAGGACTCTAACCGATAACTTCCACATTCTCAACAAAAGTTCGGATAGTCTACGAAGTCCAATCCACATTGTCGGCGTGAGCGAGAAGTGTTCGCGCAAACTCAGCCTGATTGACATCTAGCAATGTAGCTTCCCTGGGCAGGAATACGAGACTCTTTGTGAAGAGGCGGTTTGTTCGTGGTGAATTATTCATCGGACCACCATCATGCGACTCATGCAAAAAACCTGCAATACGGAGAATGCCCTCACATGAATCCCGGGCTACAAGTAGGTTGCGCAAGTTGGAGCCATGAGGCTCAATCAATACGGAGTATGGATAATCAGGAACTTCATCCTTTCAGTACCAAGCCCATCAGCCCGTGGTGTCCTAGCCGAGGCCATGGTGTTGCAAACTGGCCGTTAAGAACTCCGTACTCCGTACTCCGTAATCAAAGTCAAGCACGATGCTACTGTACTTACGCCATCTAGCCGCCCTTATTAATCTCTTCGGGTCTAAGCAAGAAAGGGCAATGGCGAAGAACGAGTGCGAGATTCGAGAAGCGAAGCCCCCGGTTGCGACCCAAGATCCAAGATGAAGGCGCCCGAGCCACCCAGGATGATTGGGGTCGGCAGTTTTGCGTTTAGTAGTTGGCGCATGTGGCGTGCTTGGGCCCTCAGCTGACAACTGGACAAGGCACCGTGTTCTCTTCTGTTGCTGTGGTGTTGCATGAGGGAAGACCTGTTTCCTACCTCCAATGAACCCGAGGTCCACCCAACAATGTTGTCACCAGTGTGAGACAAGTCTTGGCTTGAACCCAACCCTGAGACGATCGCTTGTAGGCTCTTGAGCCCACATCAAGATTTACATACGGTGATGTTCGGTTGTTAACATCGCTAACACAGTTGGCGCAAACATGACATCAACCTGGAAGATATTTTCAAAATCAAGTGCGGCGAACTGTGTGGTTGGCACCTTTTTCGTCTAGCCCGAGAACGCTGCGCAACTCAGGAGTAAATCTGAAACAAGCCAGGCTCAAAAGATGCGAATTCTTAAGGGGGGGTGGCAAAAGGCCATGCGGCGATCAAGACTGATGGTGGTGAGTGGCAATGGGATCTTCAGGAACCCGCACACTCTAACTAATGCCACCAACCCTTCAACGGGTTGAAGCTCCTGACTATCATCACGACGGACTCGTATGTACTCCGTACTGTGAAGTCTGCATCTGTGTAGGAACCGCTGATGAACTGGTGCGATGATGGCCCTAGGAGATGAAACACTCGTTTGAGAAGGATCATCATGACTGCATAATAACGGGAGAAACAGCGTCGTCAACATGCGTCACCCCTCCAACTCACAACCGTTATCGAGCTGGACCTGCCGCCCGCGGAATCCTCGTCGTCAGTTCTTGCCATGATTCAACCGAGGTCTCAGTTCCGCATACAAAGAAGTCCTACCGTATACTAGCCCATGCTATAACCTGTTTCGGGTCGCAGACACACTCGAAGAATGTGCCTGAGAATGTCACCCAATCGAGCCGCGCGCTCCCCCAATTTGTGAAACAGAGCCCGCGTGACAGAGGCTAGCCGAACAATCCAGCAAAAAGACATTCTACCATCCGTGATGCTGATAAGCCCTATCCATCCACCAGCTGGTGAACTCGGCTGGAAACCTGGGTACCAAGCAGAAAGGTTCCCGTAGAACCGCTTTGCCTACCAATCAGTGTTCCAGGAATAACAACGGGGTGAGCGCTCGGACAGGTCTGTAGGAACCAACGCTGCCACCGATGAGTCAAGGCGTCATAGTGCGCACCGAGAGTTTGCAGTTTTACCCGGGTAATCCGGGCGTAGCCCAACCTTGAGAAAAACGTGGTCGGTTGAAGCAGGGCTGCAGCACCAATAGTGGTGGCATCTGACACACACCCCAAGCAGGCAACGGACATGGGTCAAAACGATGACTGCCTTGGTCGTGATCACGAGTTCAAATGCTGACCAAAAATACTTTTGCATTTCCCGAGACTGGGAAGCGCATTTCCGAACTCCGGGAAGAAGTTGGATACGAGAGCTACGAGTAGGTTGGCCTGGCGAAAATTGAAGCGCTGGACCTTGTCGGAAAGACCACGGTGCCGAAGTTTTTTCACACCCACCCACGACCGGTTTGATGGTGGTACGAGGCCGGATGCAGGGCGCAGAGGATGAAAACGTGTGCTAGAATGATATTTCCCCTCGATTCGAAGTTCCCTGGTCCTTACCGCTCGTTTACGACCACTAAATAGTGGACACCTGGACGGACAGCTTGCAGCCTCATGAATAAGTGCCCAACACCGCTATTGCTGCTTGGGTTGGAACAGGTCCAGGTCCAGCCAAGATCTGCCAGCCCGAACAGGTTCCCCGAAATTTGCGCACATCACACACCGCCAGGCTAAGGACGAGAGTGAGTGGGGTGGAAATCAAACAAAAGAAATAGGCCGTATTATCAACCCGCATCATTTAATCCCGGCTTGGAAAGCCAAATTCGGGCACGGCAAAGCACTTGTGCGCTGGGTAGGAATTTAGGAGAGGCCTCGGGAAGTTTGGAGGCTCAGGATTGTTACAGTGGGGACCAGGCAAACAAAGAGAAGGGCAGTGTTGAGACAACCACCAGAGTGCAAACAAAGATGAAGCCGCATCAATCTCCTCCTATCCACCCTGTAACCCCAGTCGAGAACCGGTCAGCTGGGTCATCCCTTTCAGCGTCAGAGCTCTTTAGCGTCTTCTTCTAGCCAGCGGGCCAAGGACGTCTAACTATGCCGCATCGAGGGGGTCGATCCAGGGGGGGTCCTCCTGGCCCTGATCAAAGACTTGCGTGTCAAAATCATGTCACATCTTTGCAAACTTTCAGGCCGGGATCCACCTGGGTGGGCTATTCAAGGGAACCCTCGTCAACAAGGATAGCAAGGATGGCTGATGACTGTGGCCCTCGTCACCATTTCTGGAACACCTTTGTCGGGCCTACGGGGGAAAAGGCTGCCTGTTGGAAAAATAAATATGCTTCAGTCCCCCTTCCCAAAGATTGACACGTTTCCCGCATTGCAACACCAGTCCAGCACTCTCCCGAGTACTCACAGGCTCCAACATAAATTTAATATATATATCAACCTCTACACTCACGCTATCTGTTCACAACGACGTTCAGCGCCCACAGAAATCAACACGCTGCATAAAACCATTACCAAGATCAACTTCGCCACCAATTCCATCATCAACCACAACAATCAAAAATGCCTGCCGGTTCCAAGTACCCTCCATGCCCTGGTCCCCCTCCCAATCGGCCACTGCCAGCTCTTCCTAAATGAAGAGAGTCAAAAAGGCCTCTAATGACCTTCGAAATCTACCGCTGGGCTCTAGCGGGACTCGGGCCCGATCTCCTCACTCCCCAACGCTGGCATATGGTTATGGAACCACATCATCGTGCATTGTCTCCAAAAATATGCATGAATAATGACACTTCCCATCTTGGACGAAGATACTAGCAGCAACCTATCGGCACCGAATAACCTGTTCTGGATTCCAAGGTGGTTGACCACCGCTTGGCGCCTGGTCATTCGTGCATCGGCATGAGGCTATGCACGAAGCGATGTGTTGGCATCACCCTTCTCCACGTTCGAAGCACGACATGCCTGCGTCGTGCAGACTAATCGCATCTTTCAAAGCACTGCCTTTCAACAACATCGGATCCTAGTCCATCTTATTACGCACTTCGACGTCCCTTCCATTAGAGCCACCATATCAGTCTGGTCCTCGCAATCCCTAATCATCCCGCCCTCGGGAATTACGCCCTGCTATTTACAAAACGGCATTCCGCCGCAACAAGCAACCTTCACACACTCTCGGTCTATCCGGATTCGCTTTCATTTCTACCTTTGGCCAGACGGCCATTGGTCAGCATTCCCCACAACATGTACTACTACTAAACATATCAACACACACCTGTACTTCTAGTCGATACCCATGACTTCTAATTCATTTGCGGAGGAACGGCCATCTCTCACTCTGCTATTGTGTGATTTGTCCCAGGACAGAACACATCTTGTACACTATTTCGAGCCAGAGAGCATATAATGAGCCCCACGCATGATGATAAGAGCCCTGAGCGGCTGACCTGTTCACCCCATTTGGTGGAACAAGCCTCCATAGCAGTTTGAACCATTTTTCTTCTTTTACCATTAATGAATAATTCAACCTCTCGGTTGCGTCAAATCCACCTACTTTATTTTGATCACCTTTTCTGTTCTAATCCGCCATTCCGTTCGACCTTCAACCGGTGTGTTTCTGAATATAGAAAACCCGCCCGTATTCAGTTAATGGGGAGTGAGACCCTGCGTTAGTCTCACCACCCCTCCATAATCAGGCTATGTAAACGCCAGCACACACAGCAGCCCTAGCTGCTCCCTATCGGGGTTTGTCTTTTGTCCTCGTGATGGCAAGCCTCAATTGCTCGCTACGTGAGCGTCAGCGCCCTCTGACAAATTCACAAAGTCGGGGTAAGAGCTGCAGAACTAGCCGCTCACTACCCCTTAGGCCTGGCGCCAATGTGCAGGACATCCGTTGCGAACATGAGATCTCCTCGCAGTTGATGAGGAGTAGCTAGTCGGACTGATGCTACTGTACTACCTACAGACCTAGCCACCCAGATACGAGGGACGGAATACGGATGGCTAGATAACTAATTCGGATTTACGATCCGGCTTTGTTGGACTTTTGGGCTGTTGGTTGCGTAGCCTGTGCCGTCCTCAGGTACCCGCCCACACCACCCAACTTGGATGCAGCCCGTCACCAGACAGGTGCTTGTCGCCGGGTAGCTTAGGGGAGCTCCTTCCCCGCACTGCTCCTTCGAGGCGTCACCGTTGGCGTCACCGTTCCTTGTCCTCCTGGGCGTCCCGTGTGTTCGAGTCTAGTGAAACTCTCTCATTCGTTCACGATACGAGGAATACATACAGAGCACCGAGTAGAGAGTGCAAAGTGTGTGGTGTTGCATCGAGTCGACTCACCCGAGAGTTCCTTGACTTGCTTCCCCATGCCATGCCTTCCGGTTCCTCGTCTCTTCCTGTTCGACGTGAGGTTTACAGTACTAGGCAGTTTGTTGAGGGCACCTGATTCTCCATTACCTCCTGCCTCTCTACTGACCGTCTCTCGTGGAGTTCTTGGTCGGCTCCACTGCGAAGCCACCACGTACCCTGGGCCTTATTGGCAGCTTGGGTGTGGAAACACTCAAGATATCCCAAGGAGGGCTGAGGCTGGGGAGAGGATTGGCACTTCTGGGCCATTTAGCCCTTCATATTGTCGCAAAACACTGTGCTGAGGCTTGAGAGCCGCACTGGAATGAGGGCTTTTGCCTTGGAACGCAATCTCTCTTATCCTCCGTTATCATCCCCACCATGCCCAGTATTCTGCTTGAGAGGTTGAGACTAGGCGAACTCGGGGCTTGACCCAAGCTTGAGATGACGGCATACACCTCCAACCGACCCAACCACCTTCAATATTTGGCAGCACTGGCCCGCCATCATTGCGCGGCCACTGGCCACTGGGATTGTGCTTCCTGCATCATCGCAAGAGATCTCCATGGTTGGCGTGAGGGGACTTTTCAATGAGCCATGTTCAAACCTTCATCGACTTTTTGGGTTTCCGGTTTGTTGCCCTGCTTGTTCTAATAGACAAAATATCTTTTGAAGTTGCTGTCGGCGTTCTCGTGTGTCTCCTGTCGTCGTTTTCCTCGTGCAGGCAGCTGTTGTGTCGCTGTTGAAGGCTCCGTTGCCATGTACTCTCGTTTTCTGTCGCTCGTTGCAGGAGCCTCGATCTTATCGCTTGCCACCTCGCAAGCCACAGTCAGTCTTGCGATTACGGCACAGCCAACTGCTGGCGCCTCCGACTTCATCAGTCCATCGTTCGCCGGCTTTGGAATCGAACCATCGAACCTCTTCTCCTTTACCGGAGGCCAGGAAGAGAATGTCCTGACCAAAAACTTGATAGAAAACCTGGCAAACTATACGGGCACTCCGCCACATCTGCGTGTTGGAGGCAACACACAGGACTATTTCGTCTGGGATGAGAATTACAATGACTATAGTTGGAAGCTCAATCCTGACGAAACGGGTCAAGGTGCCTTTGCTTCGGACCACATGATTATAGGGCCTCGGTACTTCGAGGTGTTGAACCGGTTTCCTAGCAATACTCCCATCACATTTGGTCTGAATCTGGCATATCAAGAGGATGACTACATTGAACAGATTGTAACGATGGCGGAGCAAGCTGTCAATCGGCTCACTGATGTTAATCTCGTCTCCTTTGAAATTGGAAACGAGCCAGATCTCTACCTCGAAAACGGTTTTCGCACAGGCCCTTGGGGTGGCCAGGTCTATACCCAGCAGTGGTTAGACCGCGCCAATGCCGTCTGGGAGCAGGTTTTACGACCCAATAGTCTACCAAGCAATTTCTTTGAGCCCGGCACCACTGCTTCGACCATTGGTACAAGCTTCATGATCGATAACCTGGACGAATTTGGGATCACAGCGATCGCCAACGATTCCACCGAGTCTTATGTCGCCAGCTGGAACCAACACGATTACTACTACTATATTGGGGTTTCTACGTACCCAATTACCCAATATCACTTTATGACTCTATCAACGACTAATGATCAATTTGGTGCTTGGGTAGAGCAGATCCGACAGGCCCAGAACACCGGCATTCCTTATGCCCTGCGTGAGATGGGTGTTGTTGGCCCCATCGGCTTACATGGGATCACCGATGTCTTTGGGGCTGCCCTGTGGTCACTGAATTTCTTGCTCTATGCAGCCACGCTCAATATCACGATGGTGGGCATGCATATGACAGACAATAGTAACGCGAGTGCATGGCAACCTATCAACATATATGGCAATGAGCCTTTCGTGCGGCCCAACTACTATTCTTTTGTGGCCTTTGATCAGCTCATTGGGCCGACTTGCCAGGCTCAAATCGGCGGATACATCTTGCAAGATGCGCCTGCGGAATATGCCGGACGCAGCGCCGCATACTCTGTATATCAGGACGGCACACTCGCCTCCATTGTGTTGATCAACTCAAATGAAGCCAATGTCTCCGAGACCAACAAACCCAGCTTAACCTTCGACCTAGCCCTCCCATCGCAATTTGCAGGCCAAGATCTTTACCTCGCCTATTTGACCAACGAAGGAGCCGATGCATTTCACGGCACGACTTTCAATGGTATCAGCTATGAGGAGAGTGGCGATGGTTTGCCTACACGCGTCAACGACACAGAACACCGTGTCAGGATTAATAATGATGGTACTGTTTCCGTGAATGTCCGAGATACTGAAGCAATCATCGCCAATATTGGCTCACCACTCGGCCAGTTGCCACCTAATCGCAGTGCTTGTGAGGCCCTGGCCAGCACCAGGCAAGACGCACAACCTGCAGAGACACCAGTGGGAACAAACACTGTGGATGCACCGGCGGCATCGTCGACCCAGAGTAACGCTGCCTCAAAAACTGGGAGCAGTGCCAGCCCAAGCAGTACCAATGGTATCACCAGGCTCTCAGCCATGTTAATTGGCACTCTTATTTCTACATTTTTGAGTGGCGCCTGGTTGATCATGATATAATTCCAGTCTAAAGGATAATGAGTTGGATTTAACCACTCCACGACACAGCATTCACGATATGATAGACGCGGCGTTTCACGATCTCTTTTAAATTGGGGTCTACATGGGAATTTAGCATTGATAAACAGACTGGTAGAAGAGGCATGGGTCCCTCCGAGATTTTATATCTAGACACGATATCAGGAGACGACGATATCAGCAGACGACGATATCAGCAGACGACGATATCAGCAGACGACGATATCAGCAGACAACGATAAGCACGCCATCTTCCCAGGGAGTGGACTGGTCGGTAGAATGGACTTTTGCAGCATCACCACGACTTGACATGGGTGAGTACACTGAGATTGAAATGTATGGCTTGATCTATACCAACACATACATGATGGCACCTGAAGGGTACACTAATTTTAATCTACCGAGTATATAAATGCCTAGTCACCAACTGAGCTGCACATATTTGTTAACCATGAAATAGTGGAAGGCCGGGTCGATAGCCGAACCTCTGACCTTTCACCCTCTCCAATAATATCCTTCATCATTGATTCTTTCCACGTTTCTTTTGTTTTCGTTACCCTTTGCTTTTAACTCAGCAGATACTATCCATGATATGGTACGAGCTCGATGAGTCACGCATTTCCGACAAGAATCAAAGATTGAAAACCACGCCCTTTCACCCCGCGATCGCGTATGCTGTCGACTAGCAATCCATTTCTGCTAGCCGGTAATACAAAATCGGCTGACCTGGCGAAGGCAGCAACAACTCCGAGGTTTGAAAGTGAAAGAACGGCTAGGAGGGTAAACGACGAACTTGCAAGGTGGAGGATTCTTTCCAAAGCAACGAAGAAAATGTGAATGAAGCTGACAATTACGGACTGGCCGACTGTGTTCGCGTCAGTAATATGCATAATTGTACCAGTGTTCCTGGGCATGAGAAAACTGACGAGCGAAAAGCAAACTGTGGTCCCGAGGGACATTTTATTTTCTATATGGCCAGTTCACAGCACGGAACCAAGCAGCATACTTACCGAAGTAGTCTGAAGGAGGTTTCCAAGCAGCTCATCCAGGTTCCAGCCCGTGAGTATTTCCTGGACTTCCACGCGGTGGCGTTGGCATGCCGATTTATGGACCAGAACATGCCCACGTTGAGCAAATTTATTGAAGATTCCTCTAAAGTTTGGCCTGGGTGGTTTGATACTTCTTCCACATATTTCTTGCTTTCGCAATACTTGGTCGCATAAAGTTATTGTCATTCAGCTCGCTCTGTTTTGCCGTCTCCAAAAGGGCCTCATATGGCGTCTGGTTATCCTTTGCGAAGGCGCTATTAAGCTCCATCTCCGTAAATCCAAGTGCGTCAACGATGGAATCGGCATGCACGTGGAACGACGAGATATGTTGCCCGTGCATTTCCCGAAGAATGGAGATGTCAGACTCAGAGAGGTAAGTGGATCCTGCAAAAGCATCGAGACCTTCCAGCATTGCGGTGAGGGCGAACTATGAGCGTCAGCTTGTGGTCCAAACATTATAGTGAGAACTGGGTTATATATGCACTTACCAACTGTACTAGTGCCTTGATGGAAGACTCATGGCCCTTTGGCGTGTACTTGGTTTGGCTCTGGAGACCTCGCCAGTAGACTAGGTCAGCGTGAGCCATGGTCAGCTGGAACACGTCGAAGCTTGTGTCGCGCCCTGCACTGGTGTCTGATATGTGCCTCCTTGCTAAAAGAGCGGTACGGTGTTCGAGGAAATCTTCCTGAATGCTTGGATTCAGAAAGAACTCTAAGCCACGTGCCTCTAATCTGCTCTCCATTTTTGCTCTGTGCCTAAGACGAACAAGATAAGACAGAGCAGGGATTGAGCTCTCAGTATTACTGGGTCGAGATAAGCGCTCTAGTAAGTACTTCAGGTTGAATATGGTGAATTCGCTTACTTGTTCCAATGCTTATTGACGGCGTTACCAATCTGCTGTGACAAGACGTAGTTGTCTCCCTCATACGTCCTGCTTGCTGACAGCTGGGCGTAAATTGAACCAAGCCCAGCTGCAGCCATATTCCCTGAAGGTGTATCAGAGGTTTGCGTAATAAACTGGGCACTACCAAAACTCACCATGGCCTCCGCAACTGAGGCGAGCTACTTCAACATCTCGGACACCACGCTCAGTAGCCCAAACCTTGACACCAACTGTCTGTAGGTGAAGGTTTTCCAGATTGTTATCCTTCAGATGTTCGACCTGGTCACGGATTTCTCTGCCGACGAGCATCATTGTTATGGCCTTTCAAACAATTAGCAGACCGGTGCAAAGAAAGATCCAGGGCATTGCTTACACGGCATAGTGCAGGAAAGAGCCTGTTCCTAACGCTCGCGTATTCAATGACTCGAGTCTCCGCGCCGTCTTTCCTATTGAATTGCCTTCGAAATGCAGCATACCTAAGAGCGATGACGATGGCCTTGGAGACATCTTGCCCGATTTCTCGCGACATCAAACCTCTGACAATAACCATCGACGTATACGAATGCATCTTGTTCTCGCTCTTATGATAAGTGCCGTCACGGTCTAGACGGACATACCCTGCGAGCATTTGAGACCTCGGGATCCGATTGTTCGTGAATCTCATGACCCCGTTGTCCATTGATGCAAATGTCCCGAGAGTTTTCTCTCCCTGTTCGTAAATGTGGACATTTGGAACAAGTTCGTGAGTCTGCACATCGCGGACTTGAACCAAGAAGACATGGTTCCCCAATTCCTTTCCGGATACAATCAGCCTCGCAACGACGAGAGTATGCGTCGCCATAACACCAAGGCCCCCAATCCAGTACTTATGGCTCGACAAGGTGGGCGAGTTAAGTACGATTTCATCCGTCTGTGCATCAAAGGTGGCAGTCGTCTCGATTTCTCTGACATTGCTGCCATGTCCAAGCTCGGTCTGAGCGTAGGTGCCACAAATCTCGAAATTCTGTGCTTTCGGTATCCAGTACGCCTGCTGTTCGGAACTCATCTGAGCCTGGAGGTTTTTCAAGAATACTGTGCTCAAATCATCAGCTTCAAGTTCTTGAAGGTCCAAGTGCCATTCATCCATCATCAGAAGCCTGGCGGTAACCTACTTCTGTAATTCGGGCTTGTCGATGCCACATCAGGACACACTATTCTCAGAGCGTCAAGATAATGCTGGGCGCTCCAACCCAGACGCATCTTGAGCTCAAGAAGTTCCAGATTTTGCTTCATTCTCAATGTCCATAGCTCCTTCCGAGACAGTCGATATGGATTGCGACATATTGTCTTCAGCGGATTTTGAGCAAGAGCCTCGAGGATCTCTTGCCGTCGATCGAGTTCATCAACTCCCCAGACGAAGCCTGCGAGTGACGTGTGGGTGAATGGCATACTAGTACTGTACTATGTTCTAACACCCAGATCAAGCGACGTTGGAGCCTTGGATATTCGAGGCGATCGAGATTTGGAGGGAACACTTCTGCTTGACTGGAGTAGGTCTAGGTGAAGCATGGAACGGGCTCTATGATAAAATAACTAAGAAGTTTGGCCCTGCAGGACTAGCTAGACCACTCATTCATTTCTCGGAGATGGGGTTCAACCAGCCGCGGTTCAGGATGAGGGGAATCAAGAACAACATCAAATTAAATCTTTGACATGAATGCTTTAGCTTATGTATCACCTGAGGTCGGCGTTCTTCTTCATTCGGCGATCGATGTCACTTTCATTTCCCTCTCTCTTTCTCTCTATATGTATAGAATCCTCCAACTATACTTCTCAACACTTGTGCTGACTTATCCGCCACCGCTCTACTCCCGGGCTAGCAACTATTCAACTCCCTCGCTCCACCCTTCTACTCCCTTCCCCCCTACCCTTAACGGTCTTATTTGCTTCTATTTCGGCTCTAGTCTCTAGCGTAGCCGTATTCGTCTAAACGACGTCGAAGTGACTTTACACGATAGCATCTTGGATAGGCCATTTCGGGCCCTCACTAGAGCTGGGATCTCCAAGCAGATCCCTCGTGGTAGGTTACCTTAACAGAGTCAACTGGAAGCCCCCATTCTGCGGCGGTCCTCTCTCATTTTTCCTTCTGTCTTCCGAGCATGCGAAACACCAAAAACTGGGAAGCCAGGGGGCCAAATTGTGCTCGATAACGATGACGCTGCTAACTGGTTCGTGCTGTTCCTCGCCTGAAATATATTATTTGAAGATGTCTTGATTTGGCAGGACCACGACCATAGAGGTATCATCAGCTGCTTTCGCCCGGTACTAGACATGCACCATCAGGAAAAATTTGTCACCTTCCCGTTACAAGAGATATCTTGACTTACTCCAAGGCTGATTTACGTGAATGGAACTGATGGAACGCTCCTTTTGATACTCGTCCAAAGTAGCGCCGACTGCACCGCTCAGAGAATCTAAGAACATGAAATTGGCCAGAGAAGTGTCCTGGAGTGTTCATATTGTTAATAGATTCGCATCATCCACTTTTAACTTGATACACGACTTGGATTTGCATAATGCTCGTCACACTTTGAATGATGCTGAATACCACCGTCACACTAAATATGAGAACCACGCCCATCCATATAGAGAACCAGAGCCACGTTTTCATCAAACTAACCCATTCTCTAGTGTCCTTCTCGTTGCCATTATGGCCGTCTATCTCCCCCAAATCGCCCGTATTATACGCCATGGTTCTACCCAGGGTATATCTTTATACTTTGTCCTCTTAAATGCCATCTACAGTAACATTTAATTTGCGCACGCACTCCTATTTGCAGCCTATGTATATCCTACTACCGAGGAGCCCGTTCCGGCACTCATTGGTGACGGAAAGTTAACAGGTTCCAGAGCCTTAGGTGGTATCCTAGGGCTGCTGCAAGTGGCTCTACAGTGGTTATGCTCAATAACGCCGCCCGTTCAGTATCCTCCGACCCATTCCTTGGATTATATACTTACGGGCATCTAGGACGACCTTGTTCGCCTCTTACCCTTCCAGCAGTAAACCGGCAAGCCTCTTTAACAACAAGGCTAGCACCGCCATCGCTGCTATTGCTTTCACCTATGCCGCATGGTTCCTATCCCTAGCTATGCTCATCGCTCTTCCCAAACCGTCCCCGCGAGAGATGGGAACTGCAGTCTTCATCTGCTTTACCCTGATCGTGAATGCATGGGTCGCCCTGTTCTTGGTCTTGTGGCAATTCTATCCGCAGTACCTCGAAACGAGGCGCATGTCGGGCGCGCCAGGCACACTTAGCGTTGTCTTCCTCGCCCTTCAGGCTGTGGTTATTATAGCCATCGCGGTAAGATGGCTGCTGAGGCTGGGAGCACCGACGTGGGGAGATCAGTCGGTGCCGCGATGGTATTGGTACAAATGGGGGAATCTGCCATTCAGCTAATTTCTACATGGGATCGGATGAGCGGTGCTACTCAGTACGTATCTCGTCACGCGCCATGGAGGCAGAAGACATGATCTGGAGACTGAAGCAGCATCTCTACTAGCCTAGAACAGTGCCGCGTGATTGCGAGAACGAAAGTAGTTGGAAAAGCCCCGACGGTGTTGAAGGCTTAACTGAAACGAATCGAGGGAGCAGGGGCCCTGGTCCCGGAACGGGCTTCTGGGGATCAAGATGCTCCTGGTACGGAGCACAAGTTTTTCTGCTCGGAGACAAAATCAAACCCCTCGGAAAACTGAGGCATAACCTTCAGGTCTCGCGCCGAAGTTTTGATTGCGAATTCGCAAAAAAATGCAGCCTTTGTCAGGTTTCATAAAATATCGATACGATGGCGCAAGACATCAAAATGGGCTCCGCATCCTAGAGCGGCCCTGCAACCCCAATAGCCTTGAACTCCAACAGGGCTCTGCGCCAGGTAGCCTGTAGTTAGAGGACAACTGAAAGGAAGATGGACCGAAGCACGTATCTGATTTCAATCAGGTGATCTTTGTTATGGGTAATTTACGCTATGTGAGCGATCAAGACCTTGAAACGTCTAAGTTTACCTCTTGTCCTTTTACTTCAGGATCATTCCTATCATAACTAAACTTGATTCCCAACCGCTGGTGTAGCTGCTAATTCTTTCATTTTGCCTGCTGCTGCGTTTGCTGTTCTTCTAATTGCTGAAGTTGCTTCTGTTTCTCCTCCAGTGCAGTTACAAATGCCGTTCCGGTCTCCCTGGTCTCTTTTGCCGTTGTGCCAGATGAACTATTTTGTTTACGGAACTCTCGGTACTGCTCCAGCAATTTTGACTCGTCCACTTACATGAACGTGCTCTTCAGCTTCTTGATCTGGTCATATTCAATCTGCTCAGACATCTTTTCAAGTTGCAGTGCCGGGCGCCGGGACTGATTCGATCTAATATGTAATCAGCAAAATGAAAGCTCCAGAGAGGTCGACGTGAGCTAGGGGCAAGGATATGATATTCTTGACATTCTAGATATTCTTGACAACCTTAATCATAGACTTTGACGGCTTTGAATTTGAAGAGACTAATAATAATAGAATTGTAGCGGATACAATGCTTTCAGATGTTGTAATCCATAACTTGGAAAGTCTTTCTAGTATAGAGCAAGGCAAGGTCATATTTTTAAGGTGTCGTTGCTATGACCAATGACGCACATTAAGAAAGCAGACCGGCGGTGACCAGGCTAGAGCTGTGTATGCGGGGAGGCGGGGGCTGTGCAAGGCACGAGGCATCCTATACTTCAACGAGGTATCATCGGATTACTGATTGTCATGCGACATTTGCAGTTGGCATCATTCCTAGATCTGTTTTTCCCATGCACAACCAATGACCCAGCCTACCAGGCTCATTTAGCAGAAAGCTGGTTACAACTTAACAGTAGCCACGTCCGCATCTTTTTTAGAAAATAAGTTTCGCCGCCTTACCTACTACCACAAGGCAGCTGGGTTACGTGCGTCGCAGTGATCTTGGCGAGGCTGTGGCGAGGCTACCCCCTTGACACACAAGTTGGAGGTCGCGACGGCCTCTGAGATCCTTGGTCACGGAGGTTGTTCTCTTACCAGTATAGGTCTGTTATACAGCCGTCAGGGAAGGTGTATATCCCCCTCTAACTTCCTTATTTTGTGGAACCACCTATTCGACGCTCTGAAGCAGTTGAACACGATGGTTCTTCAAATTTCCAGTAGCATGAGCGATGGCGGCGATCCAACACATAGTCTATCTGCTGAAGGTCAAATTTTGCAAGGTCGAGCAAGTCATTAATGAGATATGTCATGGCACTGCCGCCCATGAGATTATCGACATAAGCTGCGCAAATCAGTAGATATCGATTCCCACACGGCCAGAGAATCAGAGGCGCACTACATCCGAGGAGTAAACAGACGAGATCGCCCTTTCGGACGACTCGAGAGGGTGCCATCCTAATAATTCTATCTGCGACTTCGGTTGACTCTACTAATGAACTATGTTGCATTGCGAACTTGGATTGGCCGCTGATACTGGAACTCATCTTATAACAAAACCGACTTCCTGGAAATTTGATCAACCCTTCGAAGACCCTACAAGGATCTGTATTGAGTTCTACCTCGTCCATTATATTCTGGAAAGAGTCATTCATATCATATCGGAGAAGTCCAAGTGAGCATCTGCGTTGGGACAAGTCGCCCGTTAATGGTTTCGGATGCAATACCGATACCATTTCCTTAAAAGCTTGTGATAGCTGGTGGTGCACACTGGTATACTGGATCAATTGAGAGGCTGCATCGTATTCTCGGACTTTATCTGCATCGAACTTGATTAAGGGATCTTTACGTTCCAGAATTGACCCGACGCAGAGGCCAGTTGTAGACAAGATATATTTCGTGTCATCCTTCCCAAATCTGTAACTCGCTAGCATAGCACCGGTAGCTCTCTGATCTCCGAACGATATAGGTCGATAACAATCATCTGAGCTCATCTGAGTGCCCCAATTTGGCACCCAGGAGGGTAAACTAAGCAATGATGCAGTCGATCACAAGACCAGGATGGTGAGAATCTCCAATATTCGAGAGTCCAAATACAGAGTACACTTAGTCCCTCTCTCGTCTTTGCAAAAACGAGATCTATTGTGGCGCAGAAGGGTAAGCAATTCCAAAGGACCACGGATCCTAGTTCTCTGCCTTGCTTTGTCTTGAATGATCCGATATCTATGCCAATATGAAGGCTTCTCCCTTTCACTTTCTCCGATTAAGAGCTGAAGAGAATAGAGACCATTATGGAAAGTATTTTTGTGATCTTGAAGAGCGTGGTGCGGTTCTTGAGTGCCGTTCCTTTCAAGATAATCGTGTGAAGGCCGATGTGCCTTCAAGAACCTTACACGCTGAAAAAGCAGGATTACATGCTCCATTTCGACAAATGCGTCCATGGATGAATCTCGAATTCCCAGCCATGAAATCACTCGCATTGCGGAACGATAGATCCTCCTCATCAGAGCAACTTGACTGTTCCGTTCGTCGTTGTTCTCCTGATCTATCGAAATGGCATCAATCCAAAGATATCGAGAATCCGATTCGCTCCTGAGATACTCTAAAGCGGTTGCAATACTTTTTGTGATGAGTATCGTTTCGCTATCAGCTTCGATAGGGATCCGCTCTCTCAAATCACCCCATGTGTATGAAAGTGCTTCAAATTCGAGTGTAGAATTGAGATCGAAATTAGTGATGCGACAATTTATGCGATCTCCGAAACTTCCTGGTAATAGGGAGCAAAGCCTGATCTGGATTGCATTAGAGGTTGAATGTAAAGGATGATAGATGGCCATCACAATTGTGTTTGACAAGGTCCCGAGTTCTAGACAAGTTCTCTATAAAGCTCGAACAAAGCATTGAGGTTGAGTGGAACTATCTAGGAGACCAAAATTCGTAATTCAGACAGAAAGGCTTTCAAGTTACAAGTACGATGCAATAAATTGGTTACTGGCAAAGGCTTTGAAGCTAAATGTGCCTGTGCCTATGCGAGTGACAGGGCATGTGACTGACGCCTGATCAACCCCCTAATGCTGCGAGATGTTAGTGGAGGAAGAGGTTCTATGACCTAACGCCACTCGAAGGAGGAAGTTGTCCTTCGGGCACGACCCCGACTTAGCCCTCCGACCTACTATACCACCAATCTTCCCCCATGCCCGTAAGAATATCAAAGCTCCTGATCCGCCATTGAATAAGCTATCAACCCTACCTATGATAAGACATGGCAGCATACAATATATCCCGTACATTTGAAAACATTCACCGGTGAGTATGATCGCAAATACTCTCCAATATTCCATATTTCAACTGCAAGATGTGTGCAGTTGAGACTCTGGAATACACGACAAGGTTTCCAGATGATGAGCCACCTGCAAAGTCCGAGCATGATCGGGACCCAGGCGGATGTTCAAGCCTGCAAGAGCAGTAAGATAAAGCTCTTCTGCTTCTGTGTATGCTCCTTTCGAGGCATAATTCTGTGCCAAAATGTGGATTACGTTGAGGGTCTTTGGGTGGTCGGGGCCAAACTGCTGTCGAAAACCCTGAAGAGCACGTTCATACAAGGGCTCAGCTTCATCTAATTTACCCTGTTCTCCAAAAACCAGTCCCAAGCCCACCAGAGTCCGTAAAGTGTTATGGTGATTGAACCCCAAGCGCTTCTCACGGCCTGAAAGTGCTCGTTCGTACAAACTCTGCGCTTCATCGTAATGATGTTGCTGTCGAACAACATTAGCTAGACCATCGAGCGCCCACAGAGTCTCTGGGTGGTCCATCCCATATACCAATTCATCGCATGACACTGTCTTGCGGTATAATGTCTCCGCCTCGTGATATCGTCCCTGCGACTGGAAGTTGTTTGCGAGATCTGCCATAGTCCAAAGTGTATCTGGATGTGTGTCCCCCAAATTCGTCCTGCGCTCCTTCAGAGCCCGCAGGTACATGACTTCAGCATCGAAGTATCGGCCCTGAGATTGAAAGCAACTTGCCATGTCATTTACTAAGGTGATTGTTGTGGAATGATGATGACCCAGCTTGCTTTCGTAGACTGCCAGTGCTCGACGGTATAGGTTTTCAGCGTCCTCATACCGACCTTCAGATCGGCGATTATTAGCGAGCTCTGACACAACCTGCATGGTATCCGGATCGTCTACGCCAAGTAGATTCTCGCGCTCCTTGAGAACCTCGGTATACAAGTTTTCCGCCTCTGAATACCTCCCGCCGGATCGATAGAGATTAGCCAGGGATTCGATTGTGCATAGGGTTTCCTTATGTGCCCTTCCTAGATGCGCTTCACGCTCCGCTAGTACACGTCTGTGCAAAGACTCTGCATCCTGATACCGGCCGAGAGAATGATAAAGTATGGCCAACACATGATTTATTCGCGCCTGCTGAATAGGATCAACGCAAAATGGATGCTCGAGCAACTGCTGATATAAGCCTGCAGCTTGTTCATAACGTCCTTGGGAGTGATAGAAATCTGCGAAAGAGTTGACTATGATCGTCTGTGAGCAGAGCTCTGCCCTGTCGAAGGCTTCATTCTTAAGACATTCATCCATATGCCTTAAGAGATCTTGCTTGTCTTTCGGTGAGAACTCGGAGAGCTCATCAGAAACGATAACGCTGTGGCAAATGCTTGCAGCTTCGATCGTATATCGCTTACGCGCACAAATGTCCACCCGCAGTTTAATCCAGTCAGCAACCACTGGGTGTAAAGCAAACAAGCAGATCTTGTCCTCTATTACTGAGAACCCCTGAATAAGGGAAAGGTTGTGCAGTGTAGACAAAAATGTTCTGAACGAGATCCAGTTCCATCTGCCAACTTGATCAGTAAAGCCTTCGCTCCAAGTCTGCGAACCAGAGTTAGTGAATTCTGCTGTGGCACCTTCTGACTCAAGTGGAAGGCAGATGCTCTTGTGGTGAATTCGAAACAGCTTTTCAGAGATGCTGGTGCAGTGGAGAAAGCCCAAGAGCATCGTGAAATCGACTTGGTATGGTCGAGAAATTCTTTGAAGAAATTTAAACGACAATTCCCAAGTGGTGAAAACATTTAATCTTGACTCGGTTTCTCCTTCTCCTGACTGTCTCGTGTAGTTCCACAATAAAGGTGTATGTCGTAACATGTAGTTCTTTTGTGCCTCGAAGTGCTCATTGAAGTCCGGAAGCGGTATTCTCGTCTTTTGTAGATAGCTACCAGCTTGATCTAATGCGAGGGCTAAGCCACCAAGACGGCAAACAATTGGCCTCGCAAGATTCCGGTTTTCGGTCGAGACCAAGGGGCAAGCTCGAGCCAGAAGGAGGTCGATTCCTTCTTCTTCCTCCATTGGCCCGACTTCAATCTTGCTACCTCCAAGTCGAACAACATCTAGATGACGACTGGTTACTAGCACGGTACCACATGCGGAAGATGTTATGGATGGCATAAAGGATCGGAGACCTGGAAAACTTGCTGGGTCGTCGTAGTTGTCAAAGACCAATATCCAAGGCGACTTCAGATCGCTCATACTACGTACAGCATAGCGAACCTTCGCATCTAAGTCCGAGGACGTCATCACGATGTGACTTTGAGCTGCAAAGTCATCGGCAAGACTGCTGAATGCTCTTCTTGTACTCTGCTCGCTCTCCGCATTGATCCAAAAAATAAATCGTCGTCTTGCGGACTGCCTCTCGCAATATCTGAGGGCAAGTTGGGTCTTTCCGGATCCAGCCATCCCTACTAGGACGCAAGTTGCAATGGTCGCTTCTTGGGCGTTCAGAGCTGATTCCACTTGCCGTAGAAGAACTTCACGACCGACAAAACCGACTGTTCTGAACGCTGGGAGTGTGTTGAAAGCTGTGCTAGGTGCGTTCGAAAATATCTCTGGAATGTGTCAGTCAAAGAGTGGTTGGAGGTTATGGTACTTGCGTTGATCCTGTTGCATTGTATCTAGCTTTGTCCCCAAGATGTTCATATTCGCAAGGATTGTTTGCGAAATCTGAGCATCCACGTTTGCAATGCAAAGACACAACGAAGTTCTTTTCCTATCCAGGGCCTTAAAGCTGGATTCGATGGTCCTCTGTCTGTAGACGAATTTGAGGCTCTTCCAGTTTCTTCCTAACCTCCCCTCGCTAGTTTTCGGGGTCAGTTGATCTAGGCTTCCAAGTAAGGCTTGTGCGTGATTAGATACGCTGGCTAAGTTGGAGATAACAAGGGCTGTCTGAAAGGGTGAGTAATTGCGCATTTGTTGCACTATCTCCACAAGCTGCTCGATTTCACATCTGTGTTGAGCGATTGCATTTGGCGCATTGCGTACATCCTTATAACGCCTCTGGATAGACAATGTAGCTTGAAGGCAATTGTCGATTGTCTGTAAGACAGCGGCTAGTGCACCGAGAGCCTCCAAGCCAGACATTCTATTATTGGCCGTAACCTAGAAGTGCAGCACTGTTTCACTGTTGTTATTGTGACTTCTCATCAAGTCGAATTTGCGAATTTAGTATTGAAGACGTCGTCAACTTTGCTGTAATCCGCTGTGAAAGCGCTGCAACTGACATGAACCCCAGCATGATCTCTCCTCCACCACCAGGCAGCAGTCCTCCAGCTCGGTTGCTGTCCACTCTCGTGCCCTGCGCCCCACGCTAGACGCTTTTTGCTGCATTGATGCCTGACGTCCAACGCCCGGTTTAGTAGTGTCTGTAAGCGACATCTGGTCAGTGTATCTTAAAGCGTTGCATCCAAGCATCGGTCTTCGATAAATTTCTTTATTCCATTCATTTGTGCCTATGCTTTGACTTTTGGACACGGTTTAGCTTAACTTTTCGATTTCCGTGATTATGCCTGAGCACACCTCGGTTGAGAGCAACGATGTTCCTTTTCGTGATCTGCCACAAGAGCCAGGTGATAAAATCGTGCCGACTGTGACCAAGAAGCGACCATGGATGGCTCACTGGCCTCCTCGATCGGGGCACAACACCGGTGTGTGGGCAACTTCCGATAGCCCATCAGTTCTCTCATGGCGTTACAGCCCACAGCAACCGTTCGACCGTCCCTGGCGCTCCTGGACAAGGACGCCACTAGCAAAGCAGGAGATAGCATCCAAAGAGGATAAGCCATTTCGGACAGAAACACCATATCTTGAGACACATACTGTAAGGTTACATCTTACGATATACAGGAACCTAGTTAAGACTTGGAGAAATTATACTAATTACGAGTTCGGTCTTAGAAGCCCAAACTCTCTATTCTCCATGATGAGACACCTCCCCATTGTTTTACCTCAAATATCGACCAAGAAAGTCAAGAGACCAAGATAAGCCCTATCCAGATGGTAGAGTTCAACTACCTTGCACCTTTGCCTCTGTATTGCCACGAGAAGCCATATTTGAGCAGACTTCCTTTCATCGAAACTCTGAGGCGAACGAACATCGCTACTCAACCATACCCAGTCAAAATTTGTGACATAAGCGGAAGGGAATCAGATTTCGAACTAGATGTCTCTGGCTTCTCCTTCACAACGTTTCCCTTTCAGTTTTGCGCCTGGAGCGACGAGTTCGTACAAGCACAATATATACCAGCATTGTCAGCTTGGCTCAAGCTCCATTTTCAGTCTCCAAGAGTTGTGATATATGCTTACAATGTGAGCGAAGTCTGGGACTTTGATTATACATCCGATCTAATATGCTGAGCAGTTTCGTGGAAGTGAGATGGCCAGATCTGATTCTGGATCTTGGAAACCTCCATTTTTCCGGGTTCACTGTGGTAAGTCAAGGAACCTTCGCTCTTTGGTCGCATCTACTAACGTAAGTCTCAATGGTCAGACGCGACGTCTGCGGCATGTAAGCAAAGACTCAGTCTTCATGACTGTCTACACACTGAAGAACATACCCACAAGCGCTGGAGGTTTATCAAGTGAGCAATACCTGAACATCTTCAAAATACCTAACCCTAATGTAGAATTAAAATAGTATCTGGCGGCCTTTGACGGGCCCCAGGCAGGATTGTCCTTTAGCACTTTGCGATAGCAGAAGCGTTCATAAAAACGACCTGGTTAAAAGCGATATCGTGTTCCCTCATTACTGCGATGAAGGCTATGAACTGATTTTTAACCCTGCTCACCGCTGGTTCTATAAGGCAAAAATGTCAACAGATGAGATAATTATGTTTAAACTTGATGACAGCTCCTCTGAGGTCGCTCAATGTAATTGAATGATCTGGCTATTTGAAATGAGAAAGATTCTGACTTCTTTTCAGTCTGTCCCCACTCGGCCTTCAAAGACCCTGAAGCAACACAGGAAACGCCTTCCCGTGTTAGTTTAGAGGTCCGAGCAATCATATTTGAGGGAGATTAAGAGACGTTCAACTATACGGCAATAATGTTGTGTGCTGACGACTATAGTTGCATCACCAGCAACAAGTGTACACGTACGCCGTTTGATCTCCCAACACAAATCGAGAAGTCATTCTGCAAGTTTCTCGACAGGTGCGACGCACGGCTTTATGACCCAATATTTACATGCGCTAGAAAACATAGAGTTTCGCCTATGCTATGTCAGGGAGAGTATCTCGTTGTACGGCTTGCTTTTGAAAAATCGTACTTCGATGTTCCAACTACTGTTGAGGATCCTGGAGAAGAATCGACGTCAGAGTAATGGATAGGTTGGCTTTCAAGCGAAACCACTCACTGTCACTGTTATATAGAAGCGAGTGCTGCGGACGGCAGTTAGCTAAGATCTGGATCATATCAAACCGTTTTACGAGATGATTCCAGTAAATAAGGCGGTTACCTGCATTTCCTAACAGCATCGTCTATCCTGCTAAGTATTATGCCCATCAGTATGGGGTGGTAGATGAACAGAGGCCGGTGAGGCTGATACGACCTTGAACAAGGAGGCAACGCTAATGAGCCTATTTCGGATAGTGGTAAGCAGAAAATGCCTAGATTACTCGTTGAACGAGACACTTCATCGCGATATCCAGTTTGATCTTAGAGGGTAAGCGAAGGCGGCTTAACCTCACCTTTCACTAAGCCTTTTCGTAAGCCTCACGAAATACTCGGGGAATCGCTCAGGGGCAGTAGGTAACCAGCTCCCAAGCCTCTCTTAATCCGAGGGTATGGGCGCGCAAATGTAGCTCCTTTCGTCTTGCTACTATAGAAATATGGTTGCAGAAGGAAAATTAAGTACCAGCGTTGGAGCAAGGACCCAAAAAGCTCACGAGCGCTTATCTGAAACAGATCGCTCGTGAGAAGCAGGTTTAGCCGATGGCTTAGGGGACTTGAAAACGGCGTCCTTGTGCATTTGCGTTGATCTTCAGAGGTAAATTAAACCCCCCACAAAACAGAGGCGTGAACCTCAGAATTCCGAGGTGTTTCATTGTGGTTCCATGATAATAGATGCACAACGCATCCACCCAAACACAGATGCCAGGCCTATAATCACACAGAAACCGGCGGAGAGCTGAGTCCAAGGTCGCAGAGATGGTAGTCAAGGAAAGATTTGTATGGATCAATTCGACACGCAGAAAGGTAGCCAGGCTGACTTTGCTGCGTAGGGCGAAGTCCTTGGCAACAGAAGCCGGGAACCACGCACACGCACTCGCACCATTAAGATCATCTAGAATTGAGAATTCACATATACATCTATCCGAGCGAACTGGTGCATTACAAATCCCTCTGTTCCTATTTCATATCCACCTTCGAAAATCCCTCTTCAGAACCGTAGTACTTCTTTGGACTTAAACGAGGAGACAGCTGCTGAAATTCGACTTGCGATATACTGACGTGGCACCTTCGCCGGATCGCAATGCTTCCCCTGAACTGCCGAGGTGGCCAAATACTATACATAGCTTAGCCTCTGAACGTTGTGTTTTCGGGTGAGAGGTGTGCAGATCGCAATGCGCCTAGACCCTACCAATCACCTTGTACAGCATTTCGTGACCGAATACACCCAGGTGAACAGCACATAGCTTACCACGCCCACCTATGTAAGACGATCCGCTACAATCTACCGCCTTCTAGTGTCTACCATCTGCTAAGTCGAGATACAGAATCTCGGGAATTCGCCTTTGCAAGGTGATACGAAGTGGTCACTTACACCGACACCCATAACCTGAGGAACCTGGTCGGGATTGTGATGATATGTGGAGGTAGCTGAGCCTACATATTGCGCGGTTAGTAAGGTTAAATACGCCAAGTTTGGCCTATGCCCATTGAGGGGCTGAAACGGGTCCTCGAAAATGGAGAAGGGAGAGGTCCCTGCGGCAATCGAGATTTGGAACGCTAATCGAGGAGAGGCAGATTGTGAAAGAGTCGGAGGGAGAAGCGAGGGGAGCCGGATGCGGCAAGGCAAGCATTTTGGTCCCACGGTAGATTCGGAAGGGGGCCAGCTGACAGAAAGAGAAGATAAGAGACCGGGTGCGGCAGGAAGGATTCAGGCGGCATCGAGGACAAGCACGTCACGTCAGGGTTTGAACGGCGAGAAGGGAAACGAAGATCTGAGTGATGGTGATGGAGACGAGGTTCTATACCCATCGAAAGCAGCGGCGCACCAAGCCCCACTACGATGCCCGAAATGGCCGTGCCGCCTAAAGTGACCGCGGATTCCCAGTAAGTTTAACAGCTCTACTTGAAGTACTGCCAAGGAAAAGCTGGCTTACCCTGCCCACGCATCGGATAAGCCGCTCTATAAGTTAAAGTCTAAGCTGGTTGACTCGTGGCTCCCGGTGCAGAAAAGCCGAGCAAGGGGGAACTTTGCCGCGGATCTCAAGTTGGCCGTAGAACATGCGCCACGGGCGGAATTCTTTCTGCAACTCACCGTCGATGGCGCACAGGAGAATCCCGGAATCCGGGCTAAGCAACTTCTAAGTACATATTAGAGTGGCTAACATTAACGACTGCCGTCACTTTAAACAATCGAGTCTGTCGGTACCATACGGGATCTCTACGGAGATGACGGCCACATCGCTCATTCCGATCTGCCTCGCGTCTGGACGAACGTCCTATGTGCTGAGTTTTGACACTTCATACCATCCATCTCAAACCATTTGAGCGTCTTTGATCTTCCCGATGTCTCCTCGCGATGCTGAGTCGAAATACGCCTCTCGGCCTCTAAGCGTATCGGTCAGTTTCGGTGACTAACGGTCATCTTCGGCCACCTTTTCGGACCGCAAGCTCAACTACATAAAGTAGCACGAGCTAACGCTGATCTGAACGTTCATTGAACGGTGGCCAATGAAGATGTGCGATCTCCGCAATGAGTAGATTATCTAGAGGCTGGGTTTAGGACTCCAGCTAGAGGGAGGCTCGGAGAAGGTACGGGACACTCTCCTGGGCCTCTCAGAATACACCCAAATAATGTTAAAAATTACCTCTATATACTGTATATTTAATAGCTGTTGACCTGGAACAGGACTCCAGTGATTCCTGTCATATAATTGTCATTGTATCAGCATTTTCAATGCTTGGAAATCAATGAGTGATTTGAAATCATGGAAAAGGGGCTCACGGAGATCAAATGCCTCATAAATTGGTATATAAACAAGAGCAGAGTCCATAGGATGGAAAGAGAAAGAGATCTCATACATGCTCGAGTGTTTTCCAAAAGGCAGCTTAGTCGAGTGCGCCGGCAGGATGTCAGGCATTGCATGTTGGCATGCCACATAGTGCGCTCAAGATTGAGCCGTATGCAGCCTATGCTTGCGATTAGATCTATCTAGCCACTTTAAAGCCCTTTTGAGCGAGGAAAAATTCAGGGAAAGCAGCTTAGACGTAAGCGAGCTTAAACATAACATTAGAATACCTGACGCAACTAAAGACAGTATCCTATAACCATGATCCCTTCTGAGGGTTGACCTAAAGATCAACAATGACTTCGAAGAACTCATCGAGTCATTGAAAAGCCTTGATATGCGACTGCTGCCTATTTGCTCCTTGGCAAACCAAAAATTCACGACACTCCGGTGGTAAAATACTGGGTCATCTCGTGCCCTATGCACAACTCTCGCTTGAAAACCATGTTAGTATATGAATGAGAAGTTGACTGACGCCATACTGACCCATTGAAGGCTTGCAGCAAGTGCTCGATCATGCTCAGCCTCGCATAGTATCTGGAAGAAAGGGTCGCTATCTTTCATTTCTCCTGGGTCTTTCAAGATTCGTTCGAAATTCGATGTCGATATAGGATTGATATATTCGTTGTAGATTTTCCTCCCCATCTCTCACCATTTGTCCAGAATATTCGGCCCTATCTTTTTATCCAAGATTCCATAGAAGCAATCAACCAAACTCCCAATGTCCGAAAATCCTCCGGTTAGCCCCAGACCGCCCCTTGGGAGCGCCAGCGGCGCAATTCACTGGAGAGATATCCCAAAACTCACATTGTGTTGCAAAGATGGGCCGCGTCCCCAGCGAGGAGGATCTTACCATTCCGCATCTTGGGGACGCATCTTTGATGCATAGTGAATGGACTAAACCTCAAGATTTCATACTCAGGTTTTTGGCTCCCTGGGAGGATAAGTTCAAACTTTCGAGGCAGCTGCTCTCTCAGATGTTGTAGAGAGAAGTCTATGGGCTCGTCATAACCAATTCTCCAGATTTGCTCAGACCCATTGCCCTCCAATCTAGCAACAACACCCCAATGTTCTGGATGCATCACCTACTGAACGTCTGACCATTTGTGTTTGTCGATGTCTATCCTCACCTGCTTAATCGTCAGTGACTTATTTACTCTCAGAGTTGTTCAGAACACGTCCGTTAGTTGCGATAAGATGTTGAGGCCAAGTAAACCCAGGGAAATCTTCCCCAAAAATTGCACTCCTGACACAACTACCGGCGCCGTCACAGCCAGCGACAAAATTGTCTTCAAACGTTTTGATCTGATCACCAACTTCGGCTTCGACCCATGCTTTCTGATCATCGTGTCCAGCTCTCACAACTCGATGCGCAAATGCTACTGATATGTTGGGAAATTGCAGGACATGCTCGTAGAGAAGATTTGACAACTTGTGTACGGGAAGATCGCGGAGCGATCAGGATGCTTCTCTTCCGCCAATCCGCTCAAATGAGCAATGGACTCTCCTTTCAAGTTCCTCCACGATATTTCCCGGGTATTGAAAGTATTGGCTCGAATCTCATCAAGGACGCCTGCTCTCTTCAAGACCCTGTGAGCGGATTAGCCTCATCCACAGAGGATCCAGAGATTTCAGTCGTCATTCGGCCGTCAACCGACTCATAATAATACTCACTGCACTGCTGGAGGTCCGTATGCTACTGCTCTTGGCCGTCGATCGATTTGCGGGAGGCTTTCGAGCACCTCGACCTCGACGCCACGTTGACCAAGCATCAATGCCAGAGTGAGACCAGTAGGACCAGCTCCAACCCCCACAACTTTTCCAACGTTTTCAGTCTGCTTCCACGCATAAGATGAGGATGAGGTCAATGGCAAATTCTAGTTAGCACAAAGTTATGTACAGTCTGAGCACTGTGTTCTGATAGGGCAAGACAGCTAGACGAAAGGAATCAGAGACTCTATCGTGTGCCTTTTAGTCCGCGCCCGAAAGAGCTTGCTTCTCGGTATTCAGAACATCAGTTCTAAGCTTGGCGGACTGGCAGCGGCCGGCATCAAAGAGACACGGTCGTGGTTTGGCAGACGCCAGATCCAGGATCCAGTCGTAAGTACGGACCGAAGGGACGTCCGCACATCAGTGGCCTTATGTCACTGCACGGCGCATCCATGTCTGTTGCCAGAAACTTTTTCGGACACCTTTGGCCCAGCGGCACTGTTCTACCGCATCGGTTTAGGGCTATTGGTGCCCTCACGGCCTAAGTACAAGGGTAGAACAGTCTATGTAGGGTTGCGACAGCTGTATCCCACTAGCCTATGCCACACCTTCCTTGAACCGCCGTGTAAATACGATCTTGTCGGCGTCTAAATCCCGTCTGTAACTGGAGCGAGCTTCTCGGCAGAGATATCTCAGCATTGATCAACCAGATTCTGGAGTTGCAAAATATATCAGTGAAGTCATGCTAGCTCCTCAATACAAAGTGGTAGACTCATTTCACTTCCACTGCACCAAAAAGTCGGTTTACTACTGGTTGGGCTTGCAGCTCTTCAACCCGTGGAAAGGGGGACTCTAATGCCTGGGAGAGGGTTTCTGATGAGGTTTCATATTCGGCACTATCACGCCCTTTGTTAAAATCGGGAGGCGTCCGGGTAGTGGCATAGTTGGAAGAGGTACGCACTCCACCGGCCATCTCTCGAACCGGTGGAGTCTCCGACAGAGATAAGGTGTGGCAAAAGACTGCTTCACTCTCTGTATTGTTGGTCGTAATGAATCTTCGAGCTTCTCTGAGCTCGATCTTCGATTCATTTGGCTTTTTGCGGCTTTCCGCCATCTCCTCTGTTGGTGTTGGCGCCAAAGTGACTAGCGCAGGCAACCTCATGACGACGAGCAATGAGTCAGTGCTACAGTCTCTGGAATGCTTTGGAATCATGGAAAATAAGCTCCAGGAGGTCATTTGTCTAGTAATTTTCTATGTAAACCAGAACGGTGACCATAGAGTAGAAGAAGACAGAAATCTCAACTACGCTGACTTGCCTGTATCGATTGGCCCGTACAGTTGTACAGTCCAAATCCTCCAACAGTTGGAACGTCTCACTTGATGGACGTTTTGACGAAAGGGCCCGCTGTGATAAGAGTCTTCAAAACTCTTCTCTCATTGAGAAGTATGAGTATCCATTCGATACTAAGGGACATAGTCTAAAGCTTTATCAGCCACTCTCAAGAGATTGTGACCGGGATGCTGTGTTATGTATAGAATGGTTAGTGTTGAACTCGGACCGAGCAATTCACCGCTCAGGACAGCACCGCAACGCCAGCCTTTGAGACCTAGGCGGCAGAGAGATAGGTCAACATAATGTTTCAGTATGGCCACACTGCTAATTTCTAGTATTGCATACTTCAGCACACTCAACTACAGACTGAATCATTCGGAACAAGAAATACAGGCGGATTTAGATGGACCGCCAGAGGTTCTTTAGATCGACATCCACTGCTCTCATATTTGTATCTTTTAAGTTTTGCTCGTCTAGGCCAAACTTTAGTCGAACCCTTCGACTCGAGGACTTCTAACTTTATACTAACTTATAGGATGGGCAAAAGACTTATAAACTATATACTTTTGTTAAGAGATATAGAGTTTTAGTACGCTTCTGGCTTTTGGTTGATTATTCATGGTCTTGTGGTCTTGTCTTATGCCCCCCAGCCCCTCGCCCCCTCCCCCAGCAGGGTAAGGTCTGCCCAAGGTAGGACCATTAAGTTATTTTAATTATTATGTATTGCTCTATTGTCCATGGCCTGCTCCTCCTATCCTACCCTAGTCTCCTACTTCCCGATCCTCTATCGATCTAACTACACTACTATAGATTATAAGGTATAATATTATTATTGAGAGGGTCGAAACTTTAGCTACGCTAAGAAAGGCCGCACGCTGACAGCTTGGGGGATTGTATATAGTAGTGAGGCCCGAGACTCCATTAAATCGCAAGAAGAGGTCGTGGGAACAAACCCAAACCAGCCGTTCCACGTGTAAGGTGTACTGTCCTTCGTGATGTCTCGTAATGGTTGTCACGGACTGCCACCATTATGCCATACCTCTGCGCCACAGCATCGCAAAAGAGCGAATAGGCGAATTCTGCCATAAAGTTAGCTCCTCGTATGTATAAACAGTGACAATGGTGTTCCTAGGAGATTTACCATACCCTTATATTTGCATGGAAAGGCGCGCCTCAACGTTCTAAATTCTTTCCTTTACCATGTTAGGAGCCTATTCAGAACGGGCAATCATCCATAAGAAACTCCGAATGTATACTAATATCAATATCCTCCAGCTGAACAGCGCGGTCTTTTTATCTAATGAACATGGATATCCAAGTGCAACACAGGAGTTCGACTTACTCGAGAGTAATCCAGTTGCTCTGGAATGATTTGTTCTCGGGCACTCCACAGAGGCGTGGCAGCCTCAGCAGCGAGGTTGTCATTGTAGTTATCCACTGTTGATCTGGGTATTCTAACAAGTTGTCGTGCGAATGAGAAACCAATATCTGAAGAAGCCAGGAACTCAATGTGACTGAAAAGCGCAGTGGCAATGTCGAGTAGCGCCAGGTCTGCATCAGTGGAAGGTAGTGTCGGATGGCTAAGTATGTGAATGAACAAGTTGATAAGGCCCGACATGGGAAAGTAGAATGAGGCCCACTGAGGCACAGCAACGGTAAGTCTTAGAGACCGCGTGGCCATGATCAGACTTCGTGCGGCATCAACTACCTTGCTAGCCTTGGTGGAAGCTACTTCCCGGTAGAACGGATTTTTATCCATGCCTAGAATGCTGCTGATCCAGGGAGAGCCGAATATGGCATAAACTGACTGTATTGCGGCGTAATACATGTATTGAAGGTTAAGCATATGCAAAGGAGAACGATTTGGGTGTTCCACACCGGCCTGTGGAGCCTTACCCGGTGGTGGAAAGTCTTTTACGTTTTCTTTCCAAGCCTCGACTTCCCCATATAACTCGTCGGCCAACTTCATTAGATCCGAGGGATTTCGACGAAATGCCACAACAGAACACAACTGGTGGGATATCCTTTGACTCAGCAGAGCAGCCTTGATCATATGAGTAAGCTGCTGAACATTGATGGTACTTCCAGGGGGAGCAACTTTGGGTATCTCGCAGCTAATATTGCTGTCGTCGATGGCCGAGGGCCGGTCTGAGCGAAAAGATATCAGCTTTTCACAGCAGTAGATCGCCCAAAACAACCAATTGCGATGCAGCACCTCGACCTCGGGAAGGTTCAGAATCTTTGAAGGCTGTTGATGGAGTCCTTTCGCCTGTACGAGGCGCACTACAGTCGCACACACCATATGCTCAGAACCTCCATTGGCTGTAGCTTCTAAATAAAAGGCTAGCGCGATAAGTGCGCGAACAGCGTCCAGACTTGAGCAGCTGAAAAGAAGCTCGGTATAGGCTGCAAGAACATTCTCAAAATATTGGGACGACCGTGCGTGTGCGTCGGCAAAGGGGATTGAATCATCTTCAAGCAGCAATTGACGGGACACTGCAGCATACATAATGTTACGAAGGGCGTACCAAGCGACATCTCCGGTCCATTGAGGTGCTCGTTGTTGAAAATGACTCCGAAGACGAGCCTCAAAGTCAGGGCGGTACACAACACCCATGACCGACTCGAATGCGTTGTCAAAATATGCTGCACAATAGCTCCATGCGATTTCTTCATCTGGCTCAACATTACTCGTCCTGTTCATGATGGTCTTGAAGAGGCGTGGTTGGTTCCAGGTAGTAGTGAATTTCTGCGAAATCCTTGCGAAGTCTGTTTCCGCCGTACGCTGCAACACCCAATCAACTCCAGCCTCTGAGCAGAGAGTACACCATGATCCTGGACCTATAGACAGTATCTATTAACAGACTACCAGCTTCTGAGAGCCGGTGACTTACCATAGTGCTCCCAAATTCGTGGCGGCTGCGAAGGCAATTCGTGGTGTGTATGAATCACATCCTTCGGAATCTCAACGACTTCGCAGCTTTTGGGTCTATCGTATAACTCTTTTGGCTGGAATTGGGATGGGGATGTAGTCGAGCACACAGATCCTGACGGGGAGCAGAAATTCTGGTTGGAGCCGACAATGCTCTAGCTGGGGAATCGAGATTGGCAAAGGTGCTGTCAGTAGCTCTTGTTCTGCAGCTTCGGGTGCCACTCGCTCATTGTGGGGCTCAACGAATGGTGTAAGCCCATTGCCAACTCCGAACTGGCTGGTTAGAGCCGATATGTGTTGGTCCGGTTCAAGGATGGAAGAGGATCCCACACTGTCATGGAATTTGGTCTGGAACAAGGCCTCTAGTCGGGCGAGGCGGTTCTCAACAGACTCTGCGGGTCGTTGTCTGGCTCTTTTGCCCCTTTGCGATGGTGGGTAGAAGCAGGTTTTCCCATAGCTTACACAATTGTGGCAAGTTTCACCATAGTCACATTTCACTTTGCGCTTCCGACAATAGCTGCACGCCTGCACATGGTTCGACTGTGGACGTGTGGTTGTGTTGGCGCCAAAGTGACTATCGACGGAACAGGCAGACAACCTCGAACTAACGATCAATGAGTCAGTGCTACAGCCTCTGGAATGCTTTGGAATCATGGAAAACAGGCTCCAGGAGGTCATCTTGCCTAGTAATTGTCTATATAAACCAGAACGGTGACCATAGAATAAAAGGAGACAGAAATCTCAACAACGCTGACTTGCCTGTATCGATTGGCCCGTACAGTTGTACAGTCCAAATCCTCCAACAGTAATAAATACTTGTTGTTGGTCCATGATTGAAGCTCCAGTAAGGCTCCGTCCCAACATTGCGTCGCTGGCGGTACGCCAAGAGGAGGTCTGTCAAGGAGGAGAATGAATAGGCAAGATGTTCAAGGCCACAGGTAGTCTTGACCTTTGGCTTAGTACCTGGAAACTGGAGTAGAGCAATCCGGTGATGCTCCTCATCGTACGTGATGAAGACCGCCATGCTGTTTTCGTATGCTATGCGACCTCCCAGAAATGAAACATAGGAATCGCGCATCCGTTCCAATTATTTGTCCTAAGGACCGCGTGGGCAAAATCTTGTGGTGAAAGAACCTTCTTGGTTGTCTCGTCAAAATTAGACATCTTGAGAGTGGACAAGAAATCTGAGGACGTATCTCTGGCCGTAAGGAGTGTACAGGATTTGTGGATTGACGCCTTAGGCATTGCTATATGGAGCGGCCACGAACAGCATCGAGCAATGCACATACCGGAGTCACATCTCGCGTCTGGAAGGACTTTGAGAAGATGTCGTTTCAGCCTTCAACCACACCCAACCTTGCGAGTACAATAAACCCGTTACCCGGCTGGCGCTGTAGCCGGGAATTCAGGTGCATTTAGTACCTACCCAGGTGCAGCTTCTTACATTCGGTGTAAGGGCCGGTCGTAACCTTTACTAGGCTTGGAAAGCAGTACCCAGTGTGATAGTACTGCTATTTGCAACAGTCACCTCAACCTCGTCTTGGAGAACAGCTTTGGAAGCTTCAACTGTCTTAATCTCATTCCTAGATGCTACAAAGTTCTCGCGATGCAAGAGACCTCTGACGATGCTGTCGAATCCTTGGTATTATGCTTCTCGTGTATCAAACAGCAGGAAAAATGAACCAAGGCGCCAACCAATGCCTCCGGTACCCAGCCAAATGCATGCTCGCCTTGGTCACCATATGCTTTCCAAAGAGTACGAGAGTGGGCCGCAATGTTGCGTATTTAGCCTGCAGATATCAGGCTTTAGGTGTGTTGTTCACCTTTTCGGTAGATGACTTCAGCGCTATTATCGTGCTCTTGAAAGAGCTTCATGATGAGATGGGTCAGCAGATTTCTCTGCTCGGTCTTCTGTATAGCTGCGTAGCTGCCCTGTAATTATAGGTATCAGTTACGCAGATTTCCCTACGACTAGGTTCTGAACCACCATTCCCTTCGAGCTTTTCTTAAAGATTGTGCCCTATCCATTTTTCAAGAGTATAACTTTGTGATCCCTACGCTGCTTTAGCTCGGCAGGTTCGAGTAGCCCCCTACGGACGAAGAGACTATCTAGGACCTATATCACAATTCAAAAAGTTAAAAGGCACTTATTAATAAACCGGGTCATGACCTTAGGGCCAACATCAGCCATTAAGGTACTAGTTATTAGATATCGGCACGCTCGGGCAATATTAGAGTACTTGAAAATTAGTTTAGGATAATCGAGACCTCTATCTCTTCTGTTACTATTAGTAACTATTCTAGTTTATATAGGTATTTACTAGGTACATAATTTCTTAAATACTATTGTGTAGAGAAAATTGCCTTATAAACTGTCTTAACATAATAATTAAAATCTAGTATACTAGCAATATAGTAGGACGTCACGGTTCTACACTTGCGTTAGGTCGACTAAGGGTGGGCATGGGCTTTGTCGAGCAGCTAGCCTGCTCGTTGAATCTATCGTATCGGCGCAATTGTTCGTTAGAATTGCTGTGCAAGCTGAATTGCTATCACCCTTCGTCCAGTAAGACCTAGCCGTCTTAGAATTAATTCCCAAGTTCTGTTATCGCAAGACTCGAGTATGTATTGATATTCTGGTCTTGTGCTACCGAGAGTACAGCATCGTCACACGACACAAGCAATTACACTATTAACTCGTTCCTGTCCCTGAGCTAGGAATGCGGTCTGTCCGGCATGCGGATCAGGACCAAACAATTGCCGGACCGGATCATGCTTTGCAAAGACAGTTTCCCGCAGTGCACCAAAGGGCATGAGTGCTATTACTGGGAAGCACTATCCGCCGTTGCCGGCTATCCGCGGCTGACTAGGGTGACCCCCAGTTGCTAATCCGCGGCAATTCCCTTGAGCATCTTTACTATATTCGTTCGCAGGCAGGTGACTGTTTGCCATATTGCTTGTCTGGGCTATATCAAACCGTAAAGGTTGGTATAGAGCACTGCGCATACCTTGAACAGCGCTAGAGAGTCGCATTATCATCATTGTCCCAGTATGTTATTCCATCTTGCAGCAATTTCCGCGGTGGCATCTATCTTGTTCAATCTCATCACCCATCTTCTTAAGCAAAGACGCCGAGAAATAACACTGGAAGCTGTTCCCACTCACAGTTTTGCGGATGGAGACAATTCACGCAAACGGTACTTGACCGACCTCAAAGCCTTGTTGGAGTCTGGTTATCGACGTTACAACAAACATGGCCAAGCCTTCAAAGTCACCATCCCTGTCGGCGGTTATTCTGTCAAGTACCGTGTGGTGCTGCCAAAGGACCATCTGGAAGAGATCAAGCACCTTTCCAACAACGTCTTTAGCTGGCAACTCGCGTCTCGAGTCATCTTTGCGCAAGGCTACACCGGCGCGCCTGACCGTGGCCCATGGAGCGGTAAGGCACTGCGAGTGGGTATCCATCAGAATCTCGGGAATATCACCAAACAGCTCGACGAAAGAATCGACGATTTCTTCGCCTCTCACCTACCGCAACAAACCGGTCAGGTTGCGACCATCGACTTCATGAAATTCTTTGTTCCAACCATTTCCTACGCCATCAATGCTCTTCTCGTCGACCAGCGTCTGTCGTCTGATCCAGAATGGCTGAAGCAGACGGCCGACTTTGCTGTCAATCGCTACAGTGCTGCTGACGATGTACGACAGTGGCCACCCTACATTTCAAAACTGGTAGCGCCCTTTATCCCGTCTGTCAAGGCGCTACGGCAGCAAAGAAAGTATGTGATGGAGAAATTGAAGCCTTTGTATGACGAACTTCACGCGCAAGACCTGCTTAAGATCGGCGACCGTAAAGAAAAACGCAAAGGAAATCTCGCATATGAATGGTTGTGGGCGGGTGCTCCGGAGGGTGTCACGCTCCAAGACTTCTCCGACACTATGATGCGAACGCTGATTGCGTCAATCCACACTACCGCGAAGACCGTCAGCGTGGCAATGGTCGACCTACTTACACACCCTAAATTTCTGGAGGAGCTGAAAGAGGAAGCAAGGAACGCAGTCACCGGCTCAGATACCATAGACCTTGATAAGCTGATTAAATTAGATTGCTTTTTGAAGGAGTCGCAGAGACTCAGCCCTGTCTTTCTGAGTAAGTACCCAGATATTAAGTCGAAAATCGAGATGTACTAATCCCTCCTACTTAGTCACGATGAACAGGATACTAACTCAAGACTACGAGTTCAAATGTTCTGGCCTGAAACTACTAAAGGGAACATTGGTCGTTGGACCTGCTGCTGCTATCGCCACCGACCCCGAAACCTTCCAAGACCCAAATTCATTCGATGAGTATCGCTATCTGCGCCTGCGCGAGGAGCACGCCGACTCTGCGAGCGCTCTCGTGCTAGGAATGTCAACGATTGACTCACTTGGATTCGGTCTGGGTAATCAAGCTTGCCCGGGAAGGTTTATGGCTGTCAACAATCTTAAGTTAATGATGGCTAAATTGATACTCGGTTGGGATCTCTCCTTGGACCTGAGCGGCCAGGAGTACCATGGACCAAGACCCGAGACAAAGTACAATGATTTTTCCGTTGTGCCTCAAGAAATTTTCAGGCTGCGTCTGAGAAAGTTGTAGATGGGGCACAACATTTTGGGGGTATGACACGGCAGATTATGATCGATTATTCAAGATTCGTTGCTTTGCTGGAGACTGTCGCATATCACTCGATCTTGAATGTCAGCCTCGAAGGTTCCTTGTCAAAGGAAATGACAAGAATGATAGAAGTCCTGGGATCTTAGAGCGAGCTGTGTGTCAGTTTGCGCGTCCTCTAGGCCAAATGTCATGTATTTAGAGCGCTATCCTCTCGCAACTGGACAAGACAGCAGAATGGTACAAGACATAGCTATAGTAGATGGAGTTTCTATGGCATGAATTGCCTTGGAACGTCGGTTATCAGAGGTTCTAGAGTTAGTTAAATGACAGAGTCATAGAGAGCCGTCTCACAAGCTGTTATGGTAGGGAGAAGGGTCTCGATACTAGTCTCGATACTAGAATGTTCAGCATGAGTGCGAATACATATATTATTATAAGGCTTAATACGACTCCAACGGCTAGCTCATCTATTCCAGCCGGTTGAGGAAGCTCCCTCGCTACAATGGATCCCGGCCTCGAGGACGCATCTTAAAGATATGATAGTCACCCATGTGTAGCCAGGCATGTTCGCGCCTTGAACGCTGCATGTGCAAAGTCCTTGAGTTTTAACGCATGCCCCTGCGAGCATCTCACATTAATACTACTCGATAGGTTACCCGATTCGTAAAAGTAGCCTTATAAGGAAAGGGCTTACACGCATACAAAAATGAGACCGAATGCTTCAGGGTTGTCATAATTTTCAGTTCCCGGCGTGGATCAGGCTATTACTATTTGGATGTTTCTAATTAGATCACAAAAGCTTCCAACGAGTTTGGGGCAAACAGCTCCTCCGCCTTGTATAGTCGCTTTGCCAGCCCCTGGTCGTGGGAATATTGGAGGAATTTCTCAATGACATGCCTGTTCTCGCCGAGTCCGTCTTTCCACCAACGCTCCTCGCCCATAAGGGCCGTCGTTTCGTGCACATGATCTTCGAGCCACGGAAGAATGTAACGTAGTGCAGCACGTTCTTTTACAGCATCATAAGCAATATCCAGGGATCTGGCGAAAGCCTTTTGTAGAGCCCGAGCGACCCAAGGGTTAGCGTCGTATACTGAACGCTTGACAACGATGACGTGCATGATAGGGAATATCCTAGTCCTACGATAGTAGTCTGCCTCTACCTTCTTGAAATCCGGGAATAGATAGGTACAATGTTCACCACGGCCTACACAAGAAGGCTTTGAAGCACTGAATATTGCGTCGATCTCTCCATGCTCGAGCATCTGAGACAGGTTCTGTCCACGTTTGATGGCCGTAACCTTGACTCCAGGTGGGTAGGAATGAGATACCTTGCTGATGCGCTCTGTTTCGGAAGGCTCAATAGCACCAGTAAAGAACTCGACCTCCGTAACAGGAACACCAAACTCCTCCTGCATAATGCCTCGTTGCCATACAGCTGCCGTCACTAGCATTCTGTTAGCCTATATTTTCTTCAGACATGATTTGTTAGGTTGACTTACTCTGGTATTCAGGAATCCCGATACGCTTGTTTCTCAGGTCGGACGGCTGCTTGATGCCGGACTTAGTGTTAATGTACATTGACTGATGTCGAAAGAATCGCGAGGGGAAGACTGGCAAAGCGATGAACGGGGGGTTGTCCCGGTTGAGAGTGAGAACATAGGAAGACAAAGACATCTCCGAGACGTCGAATTCTTGGAAGCGCAGCTGTCGGAAGAAGCTTGCAGCGTGTCAGCACACAGCTAGGGCTCAGCCAGACAAGAAGGCAGGTCGAGGCAGACTTACGTCTCTTCGACACGATAGTTGAGGAAGTTCAACTCGATGCCTTCGGGGCGCACGCGTCCATCCTCCAGAGCCTTCATGCGGTCATAGTCCCAGCATGCAAACGATAGTTTGAGGACCATCTTGCAAGGGTCAACCACTTATCCTGATCAGATGTGCAAATTTTGCATCAGCAGCACACGAGAAGATAGTATTTTCATTTTGGTAGAATTGCTGGTTACGACTGTGCCAAGGCTCTCGATCGCGACAGTCCGCAAACACCTGTGACGGAGAGCGACCTCACCAAAGGCTGGTTCTAACCGGGATTGCAAACGACTGACACTGACAAGCGGCCCCGCCATGGCTGAGCCCCGCACCGACTTTAGAAGCCGCCGGAGAGTTGGATATAAATCCCTTCCCGACCCGCGGCAGTTTCAAAGGCTCCTAATCTCTCTTCTTGTGGTCAGCAGCATGTTGGCGACGGAAGGGCCACCACACCAAAAGAAGCGCCTGGGGTTCCGCAAAGCATGCTTCAACTGCCGAAAAAAGAAACATCGTTGTGATGGAGCAAGACCCGAATGCTCCGACTGCCGCAGCAGGGGACTTGATTGCAAGTACGAGAGACCTGGAACAACCGAGCGTGCAGCAACATCCGAGCGTCCCTCGTCCACGAGCTTTCCGCCAGATTGCTCTGCCAATGTGAGCGGTGCGGCCTCTAGCGATGGCCTCGTCGACCCGAGAGTTGCTTGCTCAGGCGCTGAGCTCCAGAATCTGCTGTCTGAACCTAGCGTGCACTCGGTGCCACTTGAGGATGGCGCGGTGCCTGGCAACCATACTGCTGTCTCATCGAGAGAAATAAGCAATGGCACTGGTCCAAGTCCTGCTCTTCAGAGCGCCGCTTCTCGAACCACCACGCAACCAACCGGGTTCTTCGGCGAATCCTCATCATTCAAGTTTGTTTCCAAGATCGGTTCGGGAAAGGCGCTCGGCCCCAGCATGCAAACGACCCCAGTTCGGAGCCCGAAGATCGTGCCGACGTCTACACCATTTGCAGCATCAGAACCTCTTTTGCAAGGTGCAGAGGACATTCGGCAAGGACTCCCTCCACAGAATTTCGCCAACCAATTGGTGGACGCCTACTTCGAGCACGTGCACCGCCTCTATCCATGCCTTCACGAACCCAGCTTCCGCAGCAAGTATGAGAATCTATGGACGGGTAATCGCCAAGATGATCCAACAACGATGGTTTGGTCGGCAATTGTCAATATGGTATTTGCCTACGGATACGAATTCTGCGCTGAGCAGCGCGGCAAGGACCATCCCGAACAAGCTGCGCTTTTTGTCAAACAGGCAAGAAGCATCGTGCTGGCCCATGTGTTCGGAAGCCCGAGTCTTCATATTGTCCAGGCTCTTCTGTTGTTGTGCCACTATCTCCAAGGCACCCTCGAACTCAATGAATGCTGGAATCTTGCGGGCTTGATGTTCCGAAGTGCCTTTGGCATTGGTCTGCACATCGACCCGCCTACTTCTGGCTCGATGGCTGTCATCGAGAAAGAGGAGCGGAAGCGAGTTTGGTGGGCTTGTTTTGTGTTAGACCGGACTTTGAGCATGAAGTTTGGTCGACCCCCTTCAATCAACATGGAGGATGCGAGAGAGGTTGATCTCCCTTTAGAGGTCGACGATCAGTATATTGGGGAGAAATTCCCGGTACCCAGGCAGCCGTATGGCCGTCCCTCAAGGCTGTCCTTCTTTGTCCAAACCATCAAGTTATCCGAAGTCATCGACAACATCCTGTCCAGTTTGTACCGTGACAATCCCAGGTCAAAACGGTCTCATCAGAACTTGTGGTACCCTGACCGGCCTCAAGAAGCCACAAAATTAGGCCATACCGTTCTCTTGGATGGGCATCTCCAGGCTTTCTGGGACGCCGTGCCGACTCATCTCAAGGACGCCCCTGATCTGCGTGACGATAAGGACTTCCAGAGCCAACGACTTGTTATGCGGATACGGTACCTCCAGATGAGGCTCCTCCTTCAGCGGCCCTGTTTCGTCCTCTTTACCAAAAAGAGGATTAAAGGGGATTACCTCACGCAGATTGCACTCGCGTCATCCCAGGTATGCGTCGCGGCGGCGCGAGAAACAATCCAATTAATACACCAGAATTTTCACCGGCGCTTACTTAACCCACTATGGTATAACTTGCATTGTAAGTGCCGGTCTACTGTGGCTCGGGCGCGTAAAACTGATTTTTTTATTTTTATTTCTAGACGTTTTCACCTCGCTCGGCGTGCTGATCACTGTTCAGGGACTGGAGAAGGCGGCTCGGGAGCTATTGTCATCTGACGAAGATGTCGGCATCTTGAACGTGGGAATTGAGTTTCTACGTTCCGCCAGCAGCCATAGTTTCCTGGCCTCACGATATCTAGCACTGCTCCCACGTCGTGAGTTCCATCCTCGGCAGAAAAATGCTGCAGGGCAGGTGCATGATCAGCAAAAAGACGACAACGGAACTGGAAGCAACAATCATGAATCCAATCTCGAGGAAGACGGTTTGGAATACCAGCCGACGCCACAGACAGACTCTAGGTTAGAGATTTCGGATATAATGGTCGCCAGCACTGGTGAGAACTACGACTTCAGCCAATTCGACCCTTTGTGCTCTTGGGACTTGCTATCAGGGCCGGTGCTGCGACAAGAGTTCCTGCCCCCTGGTTGGTCCACTTATGATGCTATGATTTAGTATGGGATATATGAGGTGCGTAGTTGCAATTTTCCTTTTTGTTGTATACTCAATAGAATCCTAACGGTTCTTGTGATTGTCGTCTAGATAGCTATGGCATTCATCATCTTCGTCAGAGAGACACTGGATGAGCAACCACCTTCATCCTTTGACTTGTGACGTGGTATTCTGAACCTATCTTGAGATGGCTCGTTAGTTCGATTCTCTTTGTCCGCTCCAAAACTTCTCAGTTCGTTATTTAGCTACGAACAGGATCCAGTATCAATGGCAGAGGAAGGCTTCCACCTAGCAAATCACCCCGATCCCATCGATCCCCGACACTTCTCCCATTTCTCGCACAGAGAAGCACGGGGAGTGCCTGTCAATGCGCCTGTGACCTTTGACCAGAGAGGTAGACTCCTAGCCTGTCGTTCTGTCTGAACTTCTCCGATATGTTGAATTTGACTGGTGAATGATATAAAATCAATGCGCGATAGCGCTGCTGGAACAGAGCCTCCGAGACGGCTTTCAGTTCATTTCCAGTACTCAGTTGATGCTTGGGGCTTCTCTCAATTAAAGCGAACTAGATCAGGACGCCGTATTCGTCAAACCACCGACCGAGACTGCGATAAAAAGACGCGGGCACGCACAATGGTAGCTGTAAGCTTTGACCCAGGTCAGAGACGGCGTCTTGTGCAGTATACGTGGGGCTCAAAGAGGCCCCTGAATTACACCGGGGCGGACGAGAGGCTTCGGGAACGTTTTTGGATGCCATATGAATGGTTCGAGGCAGAGGTCGATGGGTAGCCAATCACCCATGATTTCTGGTTACTAAAGCTGAATTGATGTCAAGCAAGCCTTGCACATGCTCTTCTCGCCTTGTACTCGAAGTCGTTGCCGAATGGTCTCTTGCCTCTCTGGCACCTTGCCATCCCAAATTGGGCCCTCGCTCGGATGCTAACACAGGCCACAAGTCCTTCAGCTCGCACCGTTTGTTCTGAATCCACCCAACAGGCGATAGCCAGAATATGTCAGAATGATACCGCACTTTTATAACAACATGCACAGTTCAATTGTCGATTGGAGCACGTGTAAACCTGTGCAACGATGAAATTTGACAACGATATTAAACATGTCTTCCTAGAAGCAAGCAGATCACTGATTGCACCTAGTTTCCAGTGCATAGCAAATCTTGGATTTTATTTGACTTGATCGGTCCATTCATAAAAGGAGCATTGTGGTCTGCAGCTCCATGACCCACGTGACTCATCGGATGTTCTTGGCAGCATTGGCCTGTTTAAGACGTTTTGCTTGGCCCGTCTGAGGCTGAAGCCCTGCACCTTAGATGCCATCTCTTCTTGCCATGTGGTTCTTCTTAACTGCCCTACCGCAACACCGAATCGCTCGACTTCCTATACCTCTGGCCTCATCCTACAATATTCTTCAAGCGCTGTCCGCAATGAAAGACGAAGAGTAACTCAGGCCGCAATGCTAGGTTTACACGTATGCCAGATTCTCAACCTCCCTGATGAGAAACCCAATCTCACAACTAATTCATCTGAAGTGGCTTGTAGCGACTTGTTTCTCAAACCTGGAAACCATCTCACCTTGTTAATGACATGTTGACCATATTGGCGAAGGCTTGTTTTGTGCCATGTCCTCCAGCTCGACCGGACAACAGCTCTTGATCAACGTTTTTCAGTGTATGATGAATAATTTCCCCCCAAGTCCACGTTATTACCGAGTGGGCTGGATATCGGCAGTTCAAACAGAGTATGTCATAGCCTGTGAACTACTAGACGAAGAATTCGAAGAACGTCAACTTGACCTCCGACATGACAATAACCTCTACACTTTTGGCCGGATAGGTCAGCATAATGTGGTCCTGGCATGCCTCCCTAAGGGTAAATATGGGATCTCTTCAGCCACTATGGTTGCTAGAGATATGTGTCGTAGCTTCTCTTTGTGCTTTTTGCTGATGGTGGGGATTGGGGGTGGAGCACCGACAAAACACAACGATGTCCGACTAGGAGACATAGTAGTCAGTTGCCCAGTCGCCCAGTCAAGCGGAGTTATCCACTACGATTCCGGCGCTGCGATTCAGGACAAGGAATTCAAGAGGACTGGCACTCTCAATGCGCCACCGACTTCACTTTTAAATGCAGTACAGTATCTCTGTTCCGTTCATGAGAGACGAGGACACAAAATCACGGAATGCATCACCAAAGCGATCACCAAGAATCCTAGGCTTAAGCAAAAATATGAACGACCACTTTCGGGCACGGACATATTGTACTCCTCCACTTTTCTGCACCCTGATGGAGACCAGCCTTGTGCAGGTCTCTGTGACAGTGTTGCAGCGAATCAGGTGCTTAGAACTCAGCGAGACTCACCAGAAAGTGAGCCAGTTGTTCATTATGGACTTATTGCTTCAGCCGATAAACTGATGAAAGATGCGCCCTTGCGCGACAAATTAGCGAAGACCGAAAGAGTGCTATGCTTTGAGATGGAGGGTGCCGGACTCATGGACGCCTTCCCATGTCTGGTAATTCGAGGGATTTGTGACTATTCTGATACCCATAAAAACGATATCTGGCAGGGCTATGCTGCGGCCGCGGCCGCGGCATATGCGCGAGAGCTTCTGAACGTTATCCCAAGCTCACAAGTGAGCTACTTCCCCTAATCTTTAGTGAGCACTCACTAACTCTCCGACAACAGGTTCAACCTACACCGCAAACTGCAGACAATGACACCATACTTGGGATTCATAATGTGCTCAAGCCCCTTATTTCTGAAATGACAATGTAAGTGAGTTCATTTGCAACACTGTCGAGAAATAGCTAACATTTCAGAAGAACCATGAGCCAGCAGCAAAAGGACATGCGTCAATTTATGATGGATACCCTGTAAGTGACCAGATCCTGACTGGGAGCGAAGTATCAGATCGATTGGACTCACTTTTAGTTGTAGAAAATCCCATTTCCACACGCTCTCGCAATTGCAAAATGATCTACCTCCACAAGTCCTTCGACAACAGCCCGTGTACCTGTGGGATGCGAAGGGCAAAGTTATGCCAATCCACCTCGACTGCATAACTTCTATGGAGGTTAGCACCGTTCTAATATCCAAAAGAGAATTCTCACTAAAGACTCTCTCACCTTAGGAGTTTTTGTTCGTCTTGAAGCGGCGATTTAATAGCAAGGGCGCGCGAAAAGTAATGCAGCTTGAATTCGTGGTCTCCGATGCTAGTACAAATCGCGACATCGACCTTCTCCAGGAGTGGAGCAGATGCTTCCGTCCAGGACAAACGGTCAATATGAGCATGATATTCGTTGATCCTGGCGCGAAAACTAGCTGTCCTGGTTGTGGGGCGGAAAACCAAGGAAACACAGACGAGGGAATCCAGTGGTTAGTTTGTCCGGTCCCGTGGCTGTGTGTTTCGGTGTGAGCTAAAAGCCCTTGAAAGCCAAAATTGCAAATTGATATACCAAAGAGTTGCAGTGGAGGACCCTCCTGAACCAGAAGACATGCCAGACTCTGAAGGAGCAGACCAGAGAGATTATGGAGGGGTTTCGGAGTTACAAGACCACAACCTGGATCCAGCTAACGGCAGCCAAAATAACAAGCGTCCCACGAGAGCTTCGCCCATTCCTGATGACGAGAAGGATATCAGCGAATACTCCCGTGTGCGCCTTCTCACACAAGCAGCCATTGAATGGAACAAACAGGACTGCTCTTCTATACTCTACCTGTCATCTCAGGGACTCAAAGTTACCGTCGTTGGGCCAAGACTCCCCTATCGAGAGGACTACAGGGGCTACGCGGTCCGAGCAACCAAACCTTTCGCTCCTCGCCCGGGTCCTGGGAAGTTTCGCTACTTTGAAGTTGAAGTTATAAATGGCGGCAAAAGGAAGTAAGTGGACGACTCTCATTCACATATTTCATCTGTCGTGATTCTTAATCTGATATTTATTGCAGTTTGATCTACATTGGTTTCTCGGCGCGATTTGTCCCACTTCACAGAATGCCGGGCTGGGACCCTGGCTCCGTGGGCTACCACGGTGATGATGGACGAGTGTTTCAAGGAAAGCCATTTGCGGATCTTTGGGGAGCAGGATTCCGCAAGGGGGCCATTGTGGGCTGCGGGATTACCCCAAGCGGCGACGCGTTTTTTACGATCAACGGATTCTTCCAAGGTATTCCTCGCCCGATCCAATCCTTGTTGCATGTGGTTAAAATCTGCTAGGAACCTTCAAGCACAACATCATTCTTGCGAATACGGCTGTCTATCCGACAGTCGGAATGAAGGAAGAGAGAGCGTGTGTGTGTGCAAATTTTGGCGCACAACCATTTTTGTTTGACCTCAATTCTCTTGACGCGATCTCGGATTATTGGGCACTGGCTCCTGATGTATCCTACAAGAGCATAGACCCAGGCGATCCATTCCCAGTTCAGCGAGGGACGTCAATCTTTCATTGCTTTCAGGACACGGGGGCTGATATGGGCGCGATATCAACCGCATTCCAGGGGTGCCCGACGTGGGTGCCACCGTCAGCAATGCCTGCACCAGTACCGATCAGGGAATTGCGACACGGACCTGGCATGGCCTCCTCGAGAGAAAGTCCTTTCAATAAGCAAGGAATACAAAACGTGCTGCAACTTGGGGAATGGGTTATGTCTAGGATGCGAGCCGACAAGGACACACTTTCCCCGCCATTAGGGATTGCCAGGCCAGACTTCTCCCCCACTGTTCCCGGCGGCTTCCCTGTCGAGAGCGGAGGCGACCCAAGCAACCCAGGAACAAATGATCATATGTCGTTCCAACCAGACACGAAGTGGGAGACTGGATCAGGTGGCTTCACTGGTAGTCTAAGTTATGCAATGAATGCAGGCCCTGTTCTAAAAAATTTATCAGGCGTTGAGTCTGCCTTGCGTCAATTCTCAAAAATGGTTGATGATGCCAATCATCGCCAGGCCGAGATATTTGGGCTTATGTCAGAACCTGCAGAATCGCAACCAAGACTCCATCCAGATTCAGACTCTAAAGAGCCGCAACAGTCATAAGCAAGGTCTCGGGCTTATGCATGGCTAGCAGATTCACAACCCAAAAGCCCGGACGAATCTGCTAGCGGCTATCATATCTCCCTCCCTGCCGATGACGAAGACAAATTAATGCCCGACCTGGAGGGTTTGAGACGGTGGGAGTCAGATACAGCTATTCTTCACCGTGCAACCAAAGAAGCGATCGAAAACTTACGGTTATAGTCCATGTACTCACAGCAGACAGTCCACTTGAGACCGCTGAAAGTGGTTAACTACGGCAGTCTCCATGAACTTAAGCTCGTGCTGGCGTGGAATTCCTTTGTCACCACAAGCGGTAGACTTCGATATCTGCGGCGAGCGAAGATCTAGGCATTTCTGATGAAGCACAGAACCCGCCGGGCTTCAACGTAAAATCCATCTGAAGATTAAGCAGGCACCGATCGACCTCGCGATTTCGATTATTTCCAAGGTTTTGAGGATTCGTCGGCAACTCAGGGGTCCCACGAGCGATCAGATCGTGGCGTAAATTCTCACACAGGATATATTCAACAATTCCCGCAGAACTACGGCCTCCTCACAGCACCAGGACGTGGGTAGGTTTCCAGAACAAGAGGGGAATTCTTTCTCATGCCAATGTAGAGCTTTAGCACAAGGGGAGCACCTGCTCGATGCCCTAAGTAATAGCATGACACCTTGAATGAATGGTGGTGTTAATACCATGTTCGTACGAGGAATGTAGGATGAGCACAGGACTCAGGCACTGCGCTGATGATTTATTCGTCCCTGTAGTGATGCTCTTTCCGTCGTCTCTATCTTTTCAGGGTACTTTAAACCGTTCTGCTTTCTAACTTCGTCCGTAACTTCCATGATCAGCACAGATTCATCTAAGCTCTCGAATCGTCCTTCCTTGCGGCCCTCCACGATTGCTCTTGCAGCCTCGTCCGCCTCCCAGAACATGCCGTGACCTTCGCCTTCCACGTGTTTCTCGTCCAAGAAGCCGTTGTACCAACCACTTCCCTTTCCAGGGCCGGGTTGTGGCCATTCTTTGACCTCGGTCGTGCCGCCACTGAGGATTAGTCTGGTCTTTGTCGGACGGAAGACTGGTGGCCATACTTGGATCTCACCTTTCGAACCCATGATCCGTACTGCGGGACCCGAGGTGCCCTTCCCATCTGTGTCGGTCGTGGCGCGAAAGCCCGTTGTTGCAATGCGACCAGTAGGATGCTTGTACGTTCGTCACACCAGTAGCGGGGTATATGGTTATAGCTGAGACAACAGTCGGTGGTTTCACTGTTGTGACTGACTGGGTCGTATAGAGTGTCTGAAACACCCAGGTAAGACTGTAGATTCCAAGATCCAGGAGGGCCCCGCCCGCGAGATCTGGGTTAACCAGCCGGTGTTTAGCATCTGGGAACGCAGCTTCAGGATCATTTGATTTCGAGTTTTCCGCGAAAACACGACTGACGTGACCAATCTTGCCGCTTGTTATAATGTTGCGAACATAAATTGACAATGGGAATTATCGAGCCCAAACGGCTTCCATAAGAAACAAGTTCTTCTCGCGAGCAATCGCCACCAATTTCTTTGCTTGAGCAGCATTCACGGTGAATGCTTTCTCTCACAATACATTTCTTCCAGCTCCTAATGCAAGGAGGGCGTACTGGAAATGATGTGAATGTGGAGTAGCAATATAGACAATGTCGATATTGTCATCTTGTACAGCTCTTCGTAAGAGCTATATGCCGTTGCAGATGATGGGGCAGAGACAATTCGAAGAAAACCTTCAGCTCGGGATTTGCTCGAGCTAGTAGCTTGTAGCAGCTGCAACGACCGTACGTCGAAGGTGGCGCACGCCCCGGGTTTTGGGTCAACCACTAGATCTTTGGTGAATGTCTCTGCGATGCCACCAGTGGCGAGGATACTCCACCGAATTGTCGTTGGAGTCATCTCGATAACGTTGTGAATCGAGGAATTGATAGCCTTCGTTTGGTAAGGTAGACTGGAGAGGTAATGGGAAAATTGTAAAAAGTTCGGCTGCATCTTGACGAAACGATGATGCAATGGTGAGGTGCAGGCGTGCTAGGATTTCGGAAATTAGTTATTGCGCAAATCCGGGTTGCACACGAAACGGATCGGGCTGCATCCGAAAACCTCACCAATATTCCCGTTCTTCATCGGAAAATATTGTTGCTGTGTTTCCAATGTTGGCAGGGTCCACAAGCTGATAAATCCTGCAAGTATGAATTTGGGGATTACAATGCCAAAACGAGTGCTGCTCCGTGAATGGCGATGGCGATTTCAGGTTGCCACTGCTGGACTCAGGATTTGGAGCATACCCCTAGTCATGGATGCTTGCTGTGCGCGATCGACCTCTTCCCAGACCCGCTCGCGAAGTTTTTTGACTTGGTTTGCAAGCAGCTCACTCTCTGCGAGATGCTTAGAGTACAGATCCATAATGTTCATGGAAACTTCAACGCATAGAGGGACAAAATTGGTGTCTGTTATGTTCTTCCAAACCCAGAGGATAATGGGCTGGAGACCACTTTCAGTTCGGTCGTCCAAAGCTGCCCTCAGAGCTGATCGGTGTCGGAGGGTGTTGAGAACAGTCAAGATAGTCATCTTGTCGGCGCCCTTGAGCGCAATGTCAAGTGCTTCTCCGTAAAGTCCTTTGTGCAGCGCCGTATCCCATGGGGCCTTCTTCTTCTGCTTGGGTCGTACATTGCCTTCTACAATGATGTCTGCATCTTGACCAGAGTAATCTCGACCTCTCAATTTCTTTTCGACTCCCCTTGGTCTTTTTTTGGCTTGCTTCTTATCATACTCCTCGATTTTTCCTGCAATAAGAGCGTCCATTTGTTTCTGCCTTTCTCGTTCTTTGACCTTCTGTTCACCAGAAAGTCTTGTTTTGATGCTTAATTGGCCAGTCGACATGCCTACCACGATATGCTTGTCCTCGCGTGCAGGTCCCGAGGCTATTACTGCGAGGGAGAGAATAGGTGAGGGATATTTGGACCCGGCAACGACATTCCAGCCAGCGGTCTCAAACACCTTCATGTGTCCATCAAGGCCGCCACTGACGACTCTTGAGCCGTCTGACGCTAGTGCCAAGGAGGTGACCGTCTTTTGATGATTTTTGATCATGTGTAGAGGTCGACCAGCAATGATATCTAGAACTGCAATCTGGTTGTCTGCGGCGGCCAAGATCGCAGTTCCAGACGGCATACATAGGACATCTTCAACGGAGGCAATGTGCTTGAATGTCATGACTGATGTGGATGGCGTACGAGGGTCCCAAAGGCGGACTGTTTGATCATAACTACCAGAAACAAGCAGATTGCTTGACTGACCGGGGAGAAATGCACCAGTGCGCACATAATCTTGGTGACCGCGAAATATTTCGACACTGGTCTCACTTGGAAGGTCCCACAGTCGCACAGTCCTGTCATCACCACAGCTCATGAGAGCGGTGCTTTCCTTGGAACTCCATCTGACTGTGTGCACAGGCTGCTTTTGCTCTTTCCATGTTTTCAGAATGGCCCTCGAGTTGACATCAAAAACTTGAATGGCACCAGTTTCGTCACCGGCTGCCAGAACTCGACCATCATATCGTACCTCACCGCCGTAGGCAGTGTCGTCAAATCGGCTGATTGTTTTCACTAGCTTTCTAGACTTGATGGAGTATAATTGCACCCTGGTCCCAGTCGTAACGGCGAACAGGTCGGAAACGATCTGGTTCAAGGAATTTCGGTGCGGTTGGGAAATATGAACGACGCCATGTTTTGTCGGAGAAGCAATGCTCAATGGCGACTTGAACGTTCGCCAGTAGGTCTGTTCCGGAGTGAGAGAGGATGGTTGAGCAGGTAGCTTGACCTGCGCAATTGGTTGAACATCAGCAGCCATGGCATAACCCAGCTACAGCTACAAGACAAAGTGAGGTCTAAAGTGTTCATGGGTCGGTGCAGACAGACTGTGGAAGTGCTACAGAATGCCGCAGTTGTAATTTTTCTTAAGATCTAATCTTATCGCATCGACATCGGCTATCTAACTGATTAGGCAGAGACCTTTGCCTCCATCATCACGTGCCCGGCCTTACTTTGGCCCACAGCCGGGGAACGTTGAACAACTTCAAACCAACCGTAAACACCTTCAGCTGTCCAGCTGGCCTGAATCGGCAAGGGATTGATTATGTCTAATCTTAGGGATTATTCTCATGAACAAATCACTTCGGAGTGGTTATATATGTGAGGTGCATATTGCTGGGACAAACATGCAAGGCGAATTTTCCCATCAGTGCTGGTTCAGTCTGGGAGCGATACGCTGGAGGGGCCTGGTCCAGGGTGAAGTAGCCCGAGAGATTCGCCCTTAAGGACAGTCGTGGCATGAAATGTTGCTGTCCTGACTCTTTACCTGCAGTGGTAGCCTGGTAGGTCAGGCTGGAGTGGGAGACCGTGAGAAAGGGACAGCAAACGGGATATCTGGTGGTACAGTGTCAAGTCACAAACAACTTGGAATTTGGAGGCTGTGGTTCCAGACGCATCCCGTCTGTTACTGGGAGTCAATGTTGTGTGAATCTCATCCTGTCATGTTCCCTTCAGGCTTGACTCTTCCATCTCTTTGACCCATACACTGTGGCAATCTTCCTGCCATCCACTCGCACCTTCCAATCAGTGCAGTCTTTGCTCGCTCTTACCCTGATACCATCATTTCAACGTGTCCTCCACGCCATCGTCGTCGATACAGCAAGCACGATGTTGTTCAGGTCAGTACTTCCTGCCTCGCTCGCTTCTGCCCGTCTCGTGCGGGCACTTATGGAACCCCTTCGACTACTATGCATGCTTTCTTCCCTGCTGTCCTCTCCCTCTCTTCCCATATTCCCACTGCTTGCTATCAAAATATCGCTTTCTTGGTCTCGCAAAGCTCACATTCATTCCATCAACAGTTTATCCATTCTTCTTCAGCTCCTTGTTCTCACTAGTATGGCTCTCTCCCAGCTCATTCGTATCCCCATCACTCGCCATGCTGCAGCTGCTCCCAACGGAACCAAGGCACTTATGGGCTTGATGCACAAATATGGCATGACCCCAACGATGGAAACCAGATTCGAGAGAGATCACAACCGAACTCTGGTAGTTCGTCGAGACGACAATACCGTTGAACCAGTGTATGTACCGCCTCTGATGTGAGCCCATACCGGCAACTGACCAATGTCAAACAGTCCAGCCATGGATTGGGTTAACGATTTGTTCTACACATCCGAGTGCACGATCGGGACACCAGGACTGAAATTTAATCTCGTACGTTGTTAAAAGTGACAGGAAGTGGCACACGTTAACCACAAGTTTAGATCTTCGATACCGGTTCTGCCGACCTCTGGGTGAGAAAGGTCCGTTTTGTGCTGAGGACGGATTTAACATTCTCTAGACCTGGTCCACTCGTCTTCCAGAAAGCATCCTAGCCGAAGGTCGTCAGGCTGGCACCACCATTTTCGACCCTGCTCAGTCATCCACATACAAGGAGCTTGACGGCTATAAATGGAGAATCAGATACGGAGACCAATCCGCAGCTGGCGGAACGGTCGGCACAGACAATATCCAGATCGGAAACATCATGGTTAAGAACCAGACCATCCAGCTGGCCGATCGAATATCTGAATCACTCGTCCATTCTCAAGGCGCTCATGGGCTTTTGGGCCTAGCGTTTGGCTCACTCAATACCGTCACCCCATTGGCAGCCAAGACTCCCTTGGAGAACATGATTACGCAAAAGGATATTCCAGTTGGGCAATCCCTATTCACCGCCTACATTGGCTCATACAAAGATGTCAACGATGCGGACAAAGGCCAATCTTTTTTCACGTTTGGTGGCATTGATTGGGAAGTGGTGAAGTCGACAGGACAGGAAATCACCTACGTCCCAGTCGATACTTATCGTGGCTTCTGGCAATTCAACAGTCCATCATTCGCCATCAATGGCCACGTTATCCGAACCGCTGACAACACTGCAATTGCTGACACGGGTACAACATTGATGCTTGTCAGCGATGATGCATGCCGGGCTATCTACAACACAATCCCTGGCGCTATATACTCGAAAGACGCATCAGCCTGGCTGATCCCAAATGGCATTCCTCTTGAGCAGCTTCCTTTCGTTTCCTTTGCACTTGGCGACAAGCAAATGGTTATTGAGAAGGAGCACCTACTCTATGCACCGTCTGACTCACCCATACCCGGAATGACATTTGGAGGCATTCAGTCTCGCGGTTCCCTTCCATTCGACATCTGGGGTGACACAATGCTCAAGTGTATCTATGCCGTAAGTGATTTCCATCAGAGCTGCTCATACTGTACTGAGATCCGCAGATTTTCGATGCTGGCAATATGCAATTCGGTGCAGTTCAACGTGTTGACCTCACACAGACAACACCAGTATGAAAAATGTAGCCTCATGAGTCACATATGAGGTTATTTCAATCCATGCAGACACTTAAAAGGGGCGAGGGGTGTTGCATGTCATGAACTACTGGGCCTAATCACTGGTTGAGAACGGGACTCGTCATTTATCAGATCGGAATGAGTGCCTTGAGCAAGGCCTCATTCACCTAGGGAACCCTCCACTGATCCTAGATCACATTAGAATAATCATCATATTTTTCATACCACCCATACAGGCTCCTGTTTCCCCCTGAGATACTGTTTGATTCATGTAGAGCAATAGTGGTATTGACCATCTAGATACCCACGCCAGGTTAGTAGCCTTTCGCATTGTTGGTGCCAAACACGTGCCTCAACACGCTGTCGCCCTTTCCCGCGCTGCGGTGGTAGTTTCCCTCTGGTGGGTTAGTTTCGTTCCTTCCTTAGGACCACGATGTGCATACACCGCTGGCAGAAGTGACCCATCAAGTGATCCCTCCTATCACAAGGATTTGACCTTCACTACCCCATGGCTTCTACAGTACTCCACAAGCTCATTTTTTAAATCTCCCATCTTCGCTTGACTCACTTTCAATGAAGAGGAGGACAATTTTCTGGAGCCGGGCATTTGCCCTAATGGCTCTGTGCTGCTTCTTGGTCTTGCAACGGATGTATCATGAACCTCTACTTACGAGTTTTGTTGCCATACAAGACACACTGAGAACACCAAACGATGTCTCAGTAACTGCCTCTGTCCTTTCATCTCAGATATTGACAATCTCACACTCTTCCACATCTCCGCAACCTAACCATCCAGATGGCCGAGATGTCCTCTCTATACCCACAGAATCCCGACAATCAAGACAACCAGCAACAGGTCTTGAGAGTCAAATATACCTGTCGTACCACGACTGCAGCACGAAGCCGTGGAATGACGACTTGATTGAGGGTGGAACCACTCTCGTGCACCATGTCATGAATCCTTCCAACGACTCGTCTCGATTGAATTGCCCCGCAATAAAGTTGGACAGATATGCACTTCTTACACGGTCCAAACCAGCCAACTTCAAAATCACATATTTCTTTGCACTAGACCTCTTCCAGTCCATTCAAATCCTAGAGCAGCTGCTCAGTTCCATCGTTGAAGCCATACTGTTTCTTGGGCGGGAGATCTGTGTCCTGTCAATTGTCGAGGGGAGGTCAACTGACGGGACTTATGAAGCTCTCAAGATCCTGCAAACAGAGATGCGAAAACACAGGATCCAATACCATTTACAGTGTGTCGATATCGACCCAACAAGCCCGGGTGGGGATCGAATTCTATCCTTGGCTCTGCTTCGAAATTATGCATTGCAACCCTTGGTTGCGAACCCGAAAGATTATGATCCTGAAACAAGAATCATTTTCATAAATGATGTGGCTTTGTGCGCAGAAGATATCTTGGAACTGCTATACCAGGGCATGGCACTCGATGCAGATATGACTTGTGCCATGGATTGGATCGGAGATGCATTCTATGATGTTTGGATTGGCCGGACAATGGTAGGAGATCTGTTCTTCGAAATTCCACAAAGTCAATCTTGGGATTTTGCTCAAAACCTATTTTGGAACCATGAACCATCCCGGACAAGGTATTTGGCAGGCCACCCATTTCAAGTATTCTCCTGTTGGAATGGTGCTGTAAGTATGGTTGGGAAGCCGTTCCTCGAGGGCAAAGTCAATTTCAGGTCAAGCCTAGAAGGGGAATGCCGTCTCGGAGAACCGGTACACCTTTCCAAAGATCTCTGGCACCTCGGATTTGGAAGAATAGCTGTTGTGCCTAGTGTCAATGTCGCATATGATCTGGATAGTACTGCTCGGGTAAAAGAGCAGCACGGAACAGTTTCAAGCTGGGTTGAGAAGAAAGAAGCTCAGATCGACAAGATTGCTTGGGTCAAAAAACCACCGCCACAGATTAAATGCTTTGTCGACTGGAGTCATCCCTCATGGGAGCCGTGGGACCAAGGTTTAGAGCACTCTGAACCGTCAGATATGGGAGGTGATCTGGTAGATTCTGTCTGAGCAAACATGGCTTTCATGGGAGGTAATGCGAAGGCAACGGAGCCAGGGTGCATCAATTGAGCCAAAGAATTATACAGTACGCATTTTGGGACATGTCAAAACACTATAGGACTCTTCGAGATAGAAGACACCTATGCAGATCATCCAGGCAGAGTACCTGAAGAAATACCATTACGTCAACACTGGCAAACCATAGAAATGGAGGAGTAAAGGCCTACGGCACAAAAACCCTTACAGCAAAACAGAATTCGAACCCCTAATCTTCAACAATATTGTCTAAATTGTTCCTATACGGTAGAAGCCAGAAGCAAAAAGATAAACACCCTCTCAGAGAGGAATTTACTGAAGTAGGTCCAAAGATTGATAAATGGAGTATTTTGGGCGTAGCCACGGCCATCTCTGGTAAAAGGCAAGAAATGGATTCTGCAATAGCTCGTCCCACTCCAACTAGTCTTGGCGCAAGCAAAAATATATATACCTCATTTCTAAAGAGTTGATCAGGTGACTGTGCGGGGTTGGACCTTAACTTCCATTTCCCCGCATTTGTCTCTGTTGTCTGTCCATTGGGGCGTGTGTGGGTGCCGAAGCATGTCCCCATTGACATTCTCACGAAGAGACGGAAAGTAAACAAGGGAATTACAACGGCTATTGTCTTCTGGCGTCAAACGTTTGTGTAGAGTTTATCGATCTTTCAAAGCACCGAGCGTTTTTCAATGAGCAAGATGGCAGCGTGCATCTTCTGCAAAATCGTCAAAGGTATGGATGGACCCAAGCTCGCCTCTCTGTCGAATTGAAAGTGGATTTTTCAGAAACATGAGCTCTTTTCAGCCTCATGAGTTGATTATACAGAGAGTAATGGGGGAGGAAGTGATGGGCATGCAAACAACGGCCTGAGACCAAGACGAAGACCAAACTGACACTGAACTGCGACCACCAGGTGACATCCCCTCCTTCAAGCTCTTCGAGTCCGACAAAGTCCTCGCCTTCCTCGACATCCAGCCTCTGAGTAAAGGCCATGCTGTACGTCTTCCTTCTCTTCCTCTCCTCTCTTTGCACACCTCCTCCCAATCACTCCTCCTCTAACGATTCTGTATCCTAGCTCGTGATCCCGAAACACCACGGCGCGAAACTGACCGACATCCCGGACGACGCGCTGACGGAGATCCTGCCGGTGGTGAAGAAACTCGCGGCCGCCAGCGGCGCCGAGGACTACAACGTTCTGCAGAACAATGGGCGCATCGCGCATCAGGAGGTCGACCACGTGCATTTCCACATGATTCCCAAACCGAATGAGACCGAGGGCTTGGGTGTCGGGTGGCCGGCGGGCAAGACGGATTTCGAGGCGCTCAAACAGTTGCATGCCGATCTGAAGGCGAAATTTTGAGCCCCCGGGGGGGGGTTACTAAGAGATAGGGGGAAGAGGAGGGGGTGAGTGGGAATTGTTGGTCGTGGACTACCACAAGAACCTCGTTCAGAACGACTGAGTCGATGCCTAACTAGGACAAAACTGTGTGTAAATATAAAGGATTACAACGATGGCGTACGACTTCGAATGAAGTGGTGAAGGACAAAAGCCGGTTTATGATGATAGGTAGACTCGTCGAGTCCTCATGCCAGTGGCACTCACGACAGCTATTTTAAAACGGCCCATCATCCGGATCTTGCTTCCTCAACATGCACCAGCACGCGTTGCTGTTTCGTGCACCTCTCGCTGGAAGAACTTGTTACGCCGCGTGGTGCGTCCTTGCTGCTGTTGTCATATGCCTCAACTGCCACTTTCTTCCTCAGCAAGATACCTACCCGGGTACGACACCAGACTCCAATTGACTCGGGGAAGTCGTTTTCATTCAATGGCATTGCTATTCCCCCTTCGCCAAGCTGCATCGCTGCAAGCGGCTGCACAAGTCCCTTCCTTCTCAAACTGATGATATGTCGTTGAATCTCCCCGAGCTCGATGCCCGAATTGAGCCTGTGAGTAGCCAAGATCCAATTCCAGCTGCATAAGACGTCTTGCAAAGTAAGAAGAAAGTTCACTTTATCTTCTCCTTTCCACTGAATGCCTGCCACGCAAGCCCTTGTGTAGAGCGGACTTCAGACTCATGACGGTTGAGACGCTGGAAAATGACGATGCGTCATCGCTCAAAGCTTTGGCCTTCGCTTTGGCCCTGGCCACTGTTAAGCTTTCTTCCTCCTTCTGTTGTTGCTTCAGCTTTCGTTGTTCTTGTTCCTTCAGCATAGTATTGTATGCGTGCTCAATCGCTTTTGGGTCTGGTGCCATTAGGAGGCCGAGGGAGTGCGGGCAGGACATGGCTATGCAGGGTGACAAGAAAAGATAGGTATGGTGGATGAGTGGCACTTCTTATGATGAATGAGTGAGAAGGGATGTTGTGGACTTTTAATGCGCAGCGGATTCAGGTCTAGGTGGTTGAGTTGAAGGATGTAGGAAAGAAGATCCGCAGAGCCAAACATGTCTTGACCTACCTTGTAAACGATGTTCTTATAGACAGCTTTCCCAACCAGCAACGCTGAGGGCTGCCTACCCGCACCATGACGATCTCAACCCCGTTGCGTCGATACGCGAGACTCGAATACGACGGCTAATTGACATTTGCATACTTGGCTGGTAGACGGTCCTCAAGCGGCAGAGTTTCCCCAATGGAGCATTTCCCGCAGCTACTGCTGGGGTCTCGAGTCTTCCTCTCTGTAAGCAAGCGGATACACTGTACGATGGCATTGCAAAGACTGGCCGTAGAAGGAGTGTCTTTATTTCTCGCTTGGATGTAATATCATCCGATAGCCGGGAAGCGAAGAGAGGCTGTAGGCAAAGTCCGAAAAAGACATGGTGACTCATTACGCGGAGACCAATAGTGATTTAGAATTCTCTCATGGTGATGTCTTGGGACTTCTTAGTACAGTTGTTGCCTGCAATATCAGAATTGCTGCCTGGAAGATCAGGGTAATTGCCGGGTCTTTATGAGCACCGCAATATCGGTCCTCTTATTGCGCTCATTGATTGTGGAGATAAACAGGGGAGTCGACCTCTGCTTGGACAACAACAGAGCGCATACTTTTGTGTATGAGAGACCGCTCGTATGCTTAGCAGGCCCAGGAGGGAGTTCTCTTTCCCCTTCGATCTAGGATTCTTGGAAGTCTGGATGCAGCATTGATAGGATCATGACGCTTCGAATTAATAATCAAATATCTCGAGAAAGAGACCAAGTATTTGCTTTCCAACCAGCAAGAAGTGCAGATCACACTTGAGGGACTGATAAGGGTGATGGGAACAAACAGGGTCATCGATGCGGTCGAGACACAGTCGCTGACAAATTTATGCCAAGAAATCTCCGGGTAGTTCTTTCCCTGGTAATGTATCACTGCCGCCTAAACCTTCCTCTCTAAGGATAGGAGGAAACTGCGGACAACCACCTAACCCAACGCTCCATGGGTGTTAGGGGAGGGTTTCATAATGGATTTCGACTACGGAGGGCTACATCTCATTATCTGATGTGCCTGATCTGACATGCAAGGCCCGAGAAGTTGCAATTGACACATTTGAATGGAGATACAGGAGCGCTCGTGCCTCAGTCTCGTTCTCGAAGATCTGTTGTGTCTCACAGCCTGACCTGCCAACAACGGTCTTGAGCCGTGCTTACCGAAGAGCTCGTATATACAGGCTTAGTAGTATTCAGCATTGGCGCTCCACATTATGGTACGAGGCGGAAGTCAAAAATGTTTGTCAATCAGATGGAAGCAAGACTCCGGGTCGATCAAGGGCAACTTCCCGCACAATCACTGTATCCAAATGAGGCATATACTGTTGGATGGATCTGCGCCATTGAGCCCGAGCAAGTTGCTGCATGTGCCTTCTTCGATGCAAGACACGATGGTCCAGAAAATCTACCCTCTTGCGACCAAAATATTTACAGCCTTGGCAGGCTTGGAAAACACAATGTTGTTATGGCCGTTCTGCCTGAAGGGGCCTACGGAGTAGTTACAGAGGCAAAATTTGCAAGTGACATGCTAAGGAGCTTCCCGAACATTTAGGTTCGGGTTGGAATTGGTGGTGGAGCACCCAGTCGAAAACATGATATCCGTCTCGGCGACATCGTCGTTAGCACTCTGCGAAATGGGATTGGGGGTGTTTTCCCCTTCGACTTTGGCAAAACGATTCAAGATCAGAAATTCTTACCGGCAGGATTTTTTGAATCGGCCTCCAGCACTCTTACTCTCAGCAGTAACAGCCCTCAAGGCCAGGTATCTGACAGAAGGTCACAGCTTGGTGATGCTGTGAACAGTGTTCTTGAGGTTTGGCCGAGTCTTAAGACGAAATATAAGCGACCGGACGCAAAGAATGACAACCTATACAAGAGTGGGGTGATCCGTCCTCAAAATGCAGACCTGGTATGCTCGGTAGCATGTGGTATTGACCCATCCAGCTTAGTATTGCGACGACAGCGGACCGAGGACGAAGACAACCCAGCCATTCACTACGGTCTAATTGCCTCGGCAAATCAATTAATGAAAGACGCACTCTTACGGGATAGCCTTGCGCAAGAGAAAGACATTCTCTGTTTTGAAATGGAAGCTGCAGGTTTAATGAACCACTTCCCGTGCCTAGTCATTCGTGGTATCTGCGACTACTCGGATACACATAAAAACAAGAAATGGCAAGGCTATGCAGCAATGGTTGCGACGGCATACGCTAAAGATCTACTATCTCAAATCGTTGCTGAAAGAGTTAACGATGAGAAGCGGGTCGTCAACCTTCTCTCTGGTTAATCATCGTAATCCCTGACATCCTCTTGAGGCGTACTGACTTAGTGCAACTGCAACAGATGTGTCAGAAGGCATTGGACACCTCCTCCTTGGCCAACATGATGGCAAGATTAAAGATATTCTTGAACGGCTCACTCCGATCGACTATGCACCTCAACAAAATGATTTAATTCACCACCGACAGCCAGGAACAGGCCAGTGGCTCCTCAATTCAATCGTATTTCAGGCGTGGTGAATCATTGCCAGCAGACAGTCTTTTGTCCTGGAATCCCAGGCGCCGGGAAAACAATGCTTACATCGATCGCGGTGGAAAATTTACAGCACAAATTCCATGGTGAAGCTACTATTGGATTCGCCTATATCTACTTCAACTACCGGCGAGCAGATGAGCAAAAGATTGATAATATATTATCAAGCATACTGAAACAATTATGCCAGAGCCTTGCCTGGATTCCAGCGGATTTGAAGGAACTCTATGACCAACATCAAAAGTATCGCACGCGGCCATCTTTACGAAATATTATGAATACTCTGCACGCGATTTGTGGACTTAATACCAGAGTATTTGTCATTGTTGATGCGCTTGACGAATGTCATGATATTAATGGCAGTCGTGAGAGATTTCTGTCGGAGCTCTTCAACCTCCAGGCAAACTGTGCGGTGAATAGGGAAGATGTCGAACGGTATGTGGAAGGTCGCATTGAAGGCCTATCAAGTTTCGTGCGGCAAAACAGCCAATTGCGAGAGGATATAAGAACAGGAATATCTGAGGCTGCTGATGGAATGTATGTGCATCGTTGAATTAAAAAGGTAGAGTCATTCTAACCAATTTATAGGTTTCTCCTCGCAAATTTCTACATGGTCTCGCGATGTGCTGGCCTCGTTATTGTCGACGTGGAAAGCGACATCATCCGATTGGCTCATTACACGACACAGGAATATTCCGAGGAGTCACAAAAAATATGGTTCCCAAACGCAGAGGCTGAGACCACGGGCAGCTGTGTTACGCTCCTCTCGTACCATGAGTTTCGCAGTGGTTTTTGTCAAACTGGAGAAGAGTTAGAGATGCGATTGCGAACGAACGGGCGCTAGGACTATGCCACATGCCACTGGAGTCATCATGCCGACAATACTTCAATCGTTCGTCAGGAGACCATCGATTTCATCCACCGCGCGGCGAATGTGGAGGCTGCGAGTCAAGTCCTATTAGGAATGATTATTGTTCAGTACCAAGGCGCACTACAGGCCTACATCTAGCAGTCTTTTTTGGGTTGGATGAGCTGGTAGCCTTACTGCTGCAGGGTGGGCACAACCCGAGACTTAGGGACTCCGAGGGCCGGACCTCCCTATCCTGGGCTGCGAGAAACGGACACTTGGGTGTCGTCGAACTCCTGCTTGCTACCAGCGACGCCAGTGAAGCCAGTGACGTATGCGATTACTCGGGCCGGAGCCCTCTCTCTTGGGCGGCAGGAAATGGACACTAAGCCATCGTCAATCTTTTGCTGAGGACAAACAGAGTCAATCCTGATTCAAAGGACAACTACCGTCGAACGCCGTTCTCATGGGCTGTGGCGAATGGGTATCACCGAACAGCTGAACTGCTACTCAGGACAGGCAATATCAATGTTGGAATGAGGGATTTGACCGGCCGCTCGTCGCTACTATGGGCTGTGTGTAGCGACAATGTGGCTACCGTAAAACTGGTACTAAGCGCAGGAAATGTGGATGTCAGATTCCGAGATCTTCTCGGCGGGACGCCGTTATCATATTCCCGCACAAAAGCAATCACCAATTTGTTGAACTTGCACTACTGCTTACCTCAGCGCCTAATCCCCATTGCTTTCGAAACGTGGTTTCGAAGGCCGTGTCCGACGGCGCTTCGAACAACTCAAAAGCTGTCCTAATAGATCAGTTGCCTCGAGTGACGCAAGCGACAGGCCCAACATGGCTGTCACGAGACTACACAAAGAGCTTGTTGATCTGGCTAGGGAATACGCGCCTACTTACCATGCGACGCCAGTCGAGGATGACATGGTAAGCATTATTCCGCAGCTGCAGGAGCATTTTGGTCTGTCTAAGGCTAACTTTGGAGTATAGTTCCACTGGGATACGGCGATCCGAGGACCGGTACGTCAATTCTGTAGTATTTAATACCCTTAAAGTCCGCATAATCAAAAAATCGAAACACCCCCTTTTCCCCCAAAGTTGGCCGACATTGAATTGTTTTCTTTTCTCCTCCAGGCCGATACTCCATATGAAGGGGGTTTATTCCATCTTGACCTCCTGTTTCCAACAAACTACCCTTTCAAGCCACCAAAAGTGAGATTTAGGACCCAGATCTACCACCCCAACATCAGGAACGGTGGGGGATTCTGCACCCAGCATTTCTGCATACTAGCAGATGAATGGTCCCCAGCCATGACGGTTGCGAGAGGCAAGATTCCAATCCTATTTGACAGAAATCTAAAAACCGCAACGAAGGAGTCCGCTCACACGATGTTTGACAGTGCTTCAATCATTCATTGAACTATTACAGACACCGGACGGTTGCAATCCTGAGGTCAATCCCATTTTCAGAACCGACCGGGCCCGCTTCGAGGCCACAGCACGAGAATGGACCAGGGGGTTTGCAATGGACCAGTGAAACGTGGGAGGAAGTTGGGTATTAGTGCGGAGGATCGTAGGATCGTAGGATCGTCTGGCCGAAGCAGGCGGGTCGGTGATCTGTCCATCAGGTCCGTCAATAGCACGACGGCGTTGGTGATACGGGGTAGGCTTTGCCAACTGCAGAGAAGCCGGCAGAGTATCAGAGTATCAGAATATCATCAGAGCCGTGGCGCTTCGGCATTTGGTGGATGTGTAGAGATTGATTCGCGCACAGACTAATCTATTTGATCGATTGACGACAGCAAGAAACTCAAGGGTAAACAACTAGACGTTCTACTGGCTAAGGCCACAGTGTCAGAGATGTTGAAATACGTAAATAAGAAAGAGATGGATTGTTGAAACGAGGCTGAGAGAGGTTGCGAATAGGCCGAGCCAGACCTATCCCTATCTAGCCGCCTGGGAACTCGCAGAGTCGAGAGGCATAATTATATCCACCACGTGACCGTATCGTGGTACGAAGTATGTATTCAGCCTGACGTGTCCGCTGATGGCGTGAGTCTTGGAATTCAGTATTGTACTAAGATTGAGCGCTAGCATCCACAGCAGGCTGGATCAATACTTAGAGAGGTAGGGGTCTTTGCTTTGGTTTGAAGAAAGCGTTTCGTCTGCAGTTCTACAAGGCCCATCCCGCCATACTCCGTCTAGTCTTCATGTGTGGGCGATGCTGATTGGCTTTGATTTCTAATACCGAAGTGATCCAAGTACCAGCTATCCAATCCACGGATCAATGTTCTTTTTGTTCAGTCTGTAGCGGTGGGACGGGGGGGAACGTCATCCTTCAACGTCCCTTTCACTAGGCCCAGCCTTCCTGGTGTTCGGCCTGAGGGGCCGAGGGGACCAGCATGTGTGCGGGGGGTAAATGTCTATCCCGAGGACACAAGGCCAATCCCATCGGCTTAGAAATCCTCGGGCCGGTTTTTAGGTATGTACCATACAAGATTCGAGGTTGACGTATCCCGTCGCCTCTGCTATATAAAAAAGGACAGAGGTCGAGTACGGGGGACAGACTTGTTATTCTCCGCACGGCTCATCTTGGGTAACCTTCTAGGTCTTGAGGAAAGCAAAGTTTCGACTTGTGGAACCGTGAACGATCTCGACTTGCTGCTTTTTCTACATCGAGAGGAGGAAGTGGACGAATAGTCCAACTAGAACACAAAGGCGCGAGACCAATTGCAGACTCGATGGCTCCTGTGAAGATCGGATTGATTGGTCTGTCCGCTACTGGAGGCTCGACTGGCGGCGGGTGAGTTACAGAGCTGCAGTAAAGAATGCTTGTCCAGAAAGACACACGATAGCCCGCTGCTTGTTCCCTCCACTATTTTCATACTGACTCTTGTCGCAGATCCTGGGCATCCCGAAGCCACGTCCCGTACTTCCTGCAGTCTCCACACTACGAGATCACCGCGGTCCAAAACAGCACTAAAACTTCAGCAGAGAAGTCGATCAAGGACTACAACATCCCCGGCAAAGTAGCCGCGTATGGAGACCCTGAGACTCTCGCAGCAGACGCCAATGTCAACATGGCAGTGGTGTCTGTCAAAGTCCCTCTACACGCAAAATTGATCAAACCGCAGCTGGAGGCCAAGAAGGATATCTTCGTCGAATGGCCCCTCGCTGCGAATCTCCAGGAGGCAGAAGAGTTGACTGCGCTGGCAAAGGCCAACGGTGCCAAGACCCTCGTCGGTCTGCAGGCTCGCCAGGACCCGAGTGTGCGCAGGGCACGCGAGATCGTCCAGAGCGGTGAACTGGGCGATATCCTTGGGACGACGATGCTCGGAGCCGGGGCGATCTGGCAGGGAAGTGTGGGGACCGATTTCGAGTATTCGCTTCCGCTTGAGAACGGCGCGAACATGGTCACCATCCCGGCTGGACATGCCATGGACGCGTTGTGCTACGTGCTGGGAGAGTTCAAAGACCTGCAAGCCACGTTGGCGAACAGCCAACCGAGTGTTCCTGTCACGGACGCTGCAGGGAAGGTCCTGAGGACGGCAGACAAGACCAGCCATGACTGGATGAGTGTGAGCGGCACCCTTGTGGGTGGAGGTGTGGCGACCACTGTCTACCACGCGGGATCATCTCCACGCGGCGCAAATTTCTACTGGGAGATCAACGGTACCAAGGGCACGCTCGTCCTCGAGGGCCCCGTCGGACATGTGCAGATGTTCCACCCAACATTGAAGATCCTGCGGGCTGGAGAGAAAGCGGCGAAACTCGAAGACGTCCAAGTTGATGCCTCGCCGAAGCCGGACTTTAGCTTCAATGTTGGCAAGGCCTGGGATGCGTTTCTCGGCCACGGAGACGGACATGTGACTTCCTTCGAGGATGCTCTGGTCAGGCACAGGATGATTGACGCCATCTATCGTAGTAACGAGAGTGGTAAGCGTGAGAGTTATCTCTGAAGTCGTCGGGTTGCAGAAAGCGTTGGCCACCATGTTTGCATGTACCACCGGCTGATCGTGGCATGATTTTGTTCATACTTATAGATAGCTAGTTCTGGTGCTGAGGTAATTGCAGCAGCGATACTTGCATCAGAATTTGTTGCTTTCTGAGGACTTTACCAGAGTGATTAGCGGTCTCCGAACCTGGAGGGTTGGTCCAAAGGTGTGTCCAAAGGTTCTTGCTTGAACTAGATTGTAGCAAAAGACACAGTCTCCCAACCATTGAGGCTACTTGGCCGACCTTGGTGGCTTCAGCCTCGTGATCCTCGCCGAGTAAAGTCGGTCATTGTTCGCACTGGTCATCACTGACGAAGAGGACGACTCGATAGATGAACCTGCAGCTAATGTTGAGTCTGCCGTTGTCGATCGCTGTGTAGTTTGAGATGCGGTTTGCGACTTTGCCTCAACTATGGTGCTGGTGAAGTTTGATTTTGCCAGATGTTCTTGAAGACTGTGGATAAACAGCAGTGTTTCCTCCTGTGGAGACAGCTCTGCAGACCCGTATGTGCTTGCCATGCTAGATGGTGCCTAGAACTAGATGCCAGGCTCTGACAAGGCAATCGGCGTTTTCAGGGATCAAGGTAGCCTTGTCCACGGGAGATCGGGTCGAGAGAAAATGAAGCAAACAAGGTCATCCGACGAGAGCAGCTCACGATGATGTTAGCAAGAAGACTGCCGAGGTGGGAAAAGGTCCAACATTCCAGAAGCGGCGGCTTACATAGGATGAGATAACATGGGAAAATGTGACATGGTCGGACTTACTACTGACTTACCGGCCCGTGTAGTAAGCGAAGGGTCATGCGCCCCCACCCACCAAACGGAATTCGTACCATTCATTGCCTGTCTCTGGGCAGGAGACAAGAAAGTATTCAAGCAATCCTGAGTTAGGCAAAGGTTACGGGCATGACAAAAGGATCGACACTAGGATGTCCTCTTCTGTCAGATTTTGAGCGGCCCTACACCGCTCTCATTAGTGGACAGGGGAACGGGGGAATACAGGGAGTCATTATATTTGGTTTGGGAGGTGGATACATTGCCAATTAAACGAGAGCTTTGGAGATCCGATATGATAAAGCGGAGGCGAGACATGATGCACAACGACGTAAGGTTGCATTATGCTGGAGGACGAAGGACGCTGTACCAGGCAATGGTGCACATGTGGTCCCATTAGGAATCTGATACCTCGCGTACCCGCAATATTTCCGATGTCCCAACCAAGGAAATGATTGGTCGTGTATGGGCCTGGAGCGGTCCATGGAAGGGACCGGCAATAACTTGCCGGATACTCAGCTCTCTAAACCTCTGTGAGAATAAGAAAAGCAAGGGATGTCGCCTCGTCCTGCCTCGCGAGGTCATAACCGACACGACTGACCCGCCGAGGTGGAGCAACTACTGTACAGTATGAACAAGATCGAATTTGCCGGAGTGGGTTAATGCCCGCAACGAAGTTGTTTCTCTAGGTTGAAAGTGGAATAGAAAGAAATTAGTGAAAATAGAACTAGCTTGTTCATTTGGTTCCGTTGAACATGAGTGAGTACTCGTACTCCCTTTCATCGAGTTACGTAACCTCGTAGTAGTTTGTCTTCATTTCATAGAGGTGAGGAGGTGAAAATGGCAGCACAGCCAGCCTGAGGTCGATTGCCCTGCTCCCGAAGAGAAGAGATAGCCTACTCGTGTGAACTAACAAGGAGTAGCGTTACACTGTCGTACTGACGGCTGAGGATTCGTAATTACATCCGCTCATGCAAGGCTTCGAGGCCAATATGCCCTGCAGGCTGACGTTCAGGGTAAATAGCGAGCGCAATGACCAAGTTAAACTCACGTATCGAAACTGGAGAGAATGGATCCGATGTCCCAATGGTTTAGTCACGGCCATTCTTGGGTTTTGCATAATTGCAAAAGTGCTTTCTTTTCAAAATGGACCATGTAAGAAGAAGATGGTCTGTTCGCGGGTACGTCGTATTAATCAAGACCAAAAGGCAGGGTTGTCCGAGAATAGTGGAAGTCCGTCTATTATCTAAAATAAATAGAGTTGGCTCTAATCTACATCATCGGGACTTGACTCGACTGTTGCAACTGGCGGCGGTGCTTTCACTGTCGCCGGTTCTACCTTTTCGTTGATTCCCTCGCCTGGGGCCGGTGGGTAGAAATTGATTTTCCCGTCCGGGGCGATCATGTTTGTGCGATCATAATACGTCCTTGCTCTGATATGCTTGTCTAACTTCCAGTAATTCTCGTTCAGCGATTTGGCGATAGTGTTCCGCTCTTCTTTGGTTTGTTCTGCCTCGGGGCCGGTCCCTTTGGCGATCCATTCATATGTTTTCTTTTGGTAGTTTTGCACCTCGATGTTTCGTGCTTCTTCGAGTGCTTTTCGTGGCGCCTCCTCCTTCATTGCATCGTTTTCGCCGGGAACTGGCTCTGCGTATTGATACTCCCAGTCCTCGGCGCCTCCTAATTCTTTAATGATTTGGGATTTGGGAATGAATTCTTCCAAATCCTCCACGCTGGATGTGAAGTGCACTTTACCAGCAACAACAGGGTCGAGCCAACCTCGAATTATTTTCCATATTCCTTGGAAGATCCAGGGAGCTTTGTGAACCAGCACTGCACCCAACGATTCAGGGTAGTTGGCTTCGAAGATTTTGATCATGAATTTAACAGGTGTGTAATCCATATTTGCCATGGTGAAATGAGACATGTCGAATACTATGCACTAAATGGACAGTCAGTGAGTGTGTCGCAGACATATGGCAAGGGGCTCAGCGTAACTCACAGCAGTCTCAACCGGAGGCCTTAGCGCTAGTCGAGCGGTTTCAATGACATAGACTGTATAACGTTCCAAGCTCCGCTCAGTCTGTTCTCCACCTCTGTGCAACCGAACTCGGACAAAGCATAACGGCCGTCCTTCCTTGTCTGCACCGTGCAGAAAGCTCTTACCCAACCTTAATTGGGTCAAGAAGTCCTCACCTTCCTTTTTGACAGCCGGATCGCTGGAATTCGAGTCTTCCAAAGCACCCCCTTCACCTTTAAACACTACATCGTCGTCGACATGCTGTTCCTGGCTCCGCCATCGCATGGTAGAGACCAACATGACCAAAGCCTTGTCCACGTCCCATTTCCGCGCTCTAAGGAATCTTAGTAGAAGGCTGTCGGGATGGTCGGCCTTGACCATGCTCCAGAAAGTGGTCCGCAAGGATTCGGGGCTTGAGGTGGCTAGAATTTGTTGATACTCCTTGACTTGTCCATACTTATCATCGGCCTCTGTGTGTGCGCTTGGATCCTTCGTGGGAGTGATGGCGCCGTTACTAGACTCTTTCTCGTCGTGTTTCCTAAACAGACCCAATCGCTTTTTCGGCTTCTTTTTTTCTTTGGCATCTGCTTCAGACATGGAATTTGCATCCTCGGTCAAAGGTGTCTCTGTTCCGCCGACATGATGAGGGTTCTCAACGCCGAAGACTTTCAGAACGACCGCCCAGAATTCGCGTAGTTTGGCTTCTTGATCTGGCGACAGGTTGCCTACATGGCCTGGTGGGATGGGCATGTCTGTGTAGAAGGGGTCGGTGTTACCCTTTGTGGGAGGATCAAGGGCGCGGCAATCGAGGGAGGGGCTGTGGGTGTCGTGTGCCCGGTGTGATTTGCTGCGCACAAGATAATCAACAAGGAACGCACTGCCACATGCTACGGCAAAGAATAGAAAGTATGAAGAAGTTGAAGCCTGCAGAGGGTGGGATTTGGCGACTGATTTGGCGGAGTACTTTGAGGTGCTAAAATGACGATTCCTTTGGACGATATGGGTTTGAGGTGGGTATTGGGGCCGCAGAGGTCGGTATGAGGGCAGCCTTTGAATTGGGAGTTCTGGAGAGTGTTTGAAAAGAAGCAGGCGCTGACAAGCGCCGCGTCGCATGTATAATGCAGCAGGAAGAATTATGAAATGGGAGCAGCGAATTGCGAGTAGGGAAGTGAGGTATGCGAGAAATGTTGGTAACGAGGCCTGACCACCAGCCGAAGTTGCCGTGGCTAACTCAGCAAGCCGGAGATTGGGATTGGCACTGTGTAAAGTAGATGTGGCTTGTCCTTAGTCCCCATTCGCACACGGACGGAGGATGTCATCATCATTTGGTAGGGGACGGAGTATAGATTTTGGTGGTGGCCTCCCATACGAAGGACGGACGGTGGACGGACGAGGTAACACTTGGCGGGGCAGCCCCATGCCCGGGTGAAGGAAACTCCGTCCCGGTATCTATACCATGAATCGTATACTCGTGTAGTATACAGAATATATCAATACCGAGGTACCTGTCTACAGAAACTCGGAGCCGCCGAATTGTTCAAGCCTAATGGGGATGCACTGTGATAAGTGTCAACCCTGGATCTATCCATGTAGACAGACACCATGTTTGCCCCTCCAGCGCCGTCGCTATGCGTTCGTGCATTCAGCATTTGGTTCGTCTTCATTCGCCCTTATCCACCACTTCCTTGAGGAAGTGGTTTGAGAAACGTGAGACTTGCTCAAACACAGTGTCGAAGCCGTTATTGGCACCATAATAGGGATCGCTGACTTCCTCGGGTCTTTTACCACCACCGTACTCACCAAAGAGCATGAGTTTAGCCCTGCTCTTCTGTCCCCTGCTTTCAACCCTTCGCTGCACTCTCTGGAGATCTCTCAAGTTGTGCTGATCCATGGCGAATATGTAGTCGAATCTGTCAAAGTCGACTCCCAGAACCTGGCGTGCACCATGGTCGTAGTCAGTGATCTTGTGCTTTCGCAGCGTGGCCATTGTTCGGTCATCAGGTGGATCAAGAGTATGATATGCACCGGTGCCAGCTGAGTCAATTTGAGCAATTCGCGGATTTGTTTTGGTCAGGGAGCGAAAAACACCTTCTGCCATGGGAGACCGACCTGCTTTCCTGATTAGTGGACGCGTCTATGTCACTATGGATGCCAGTACGGAGTAGTTCTCACAGATATTGCCCAGGCAGACAAAGAGAACGGATATTTTGGCATTGGAATCTGCCATGGTGGAGTGGCGGCGGGAGGGGCGCAGTCGTCGGTTGATCAGGGGGATTGCGTGGCTGATAGAATCAAGAGGACGAGGCGCAAGAATTTCAGGTTTTATTGATGTGCTAATCCAATTGATTGCGTAAGGTGCAGACTCGAAGGTGTGAAGGATTTTATTCTAGAAAAACATACCGCGAGAGTGTCTCTTGACTTTGAGGATCCTAGAAACTTGAATAAGAGATACTTCCCGATTGGGGGATCTTGATTGTGACGGGGATGGGATGGATGGATAACGATATTACATAAGGACCCCCCGATGGTTCTCTGGGGGTTCGGACGCGGATTAATTGATGTTCCGCATAGTACGGAGTACGAGCACGGATAGCTCGCAGCAAATAACCCGACACAGGCAAACATGAAACAGGCGGGCACCGCCACAGGGACTCGCATATGCAGTGCAAATTGCGAAGTGTACTCCGTACAAAAGTCTGATTATGGTGTGGCACAGAAGGTGAAGGGACTTAATACTACGAGTACGGAGAGATGAACGAAAGTGGCTTCTGGCTAAGGAATGTATTCGGAGTTACCGTCCCTCAGGTCCCATGATTCCTATTAAAGCTCCTGCCCTGCAGATCTGATGCGCCATGGCCCATGACAACCTGAGTTTCGAAAAATAGAACTGCTGCGCGTTAGGCGTCGGGGGTTGTGCATCAGGGCTTGGGTGGGTGCCCATAAGCACCAATAACTATGCACATAGCATCGCCCGCGCCGCACTCCCAGGGTTGGCCCGAGGGCACTGGGACCCATAATTTATAAGGGCTTGGCTCACTAACTGGATCGTCAAGTCGTTAAGCTGGTAAGCCTCGTGGTGCCCTGCGGCTGCTAGGCTACTCTGCCTTGTACTCGTATTGCCGCAGTGACGCGCTCCGAACATCCCTCAGGGTAACCGCATGCAGAGTCGCTAGGGGACCGAAACACTCCCTCCAAGCTTCATGCGGACGTCCAGACACAGTATTCAACTGCGCTTCCAACAACGAAATACTAGCAGCGGTAGGTATCTTACTGCTCACTTCTGTTATTCCAATTCCCAGCTCCATATTTCTCCGTCTGCCGTCATCAACTACTTGTCATCTATTCCCAGTCCATTCTCTTGTATCCAAATATTGCCTTTGCCTCGCCGTCATCCTCCTCTTCACGCCAAAATCTTACCCATCGCTCCACCGCCAAAACGGGGGCAGGTAAACACTTGCTCCACACATCATCGATCACCCACCATCATTATCATTATCCTTCTTGCGCGGCCTGGAAGTCTAATATCCAAAGCCGTTTTCCTAATTCCGTACCAATCCCCATAGTCATACTCATACCAGACACTCCTCAGGCTCCTCCTACACATTCCACCCTTGCGCGAACGGGCCACCTTCCAGGCTGGTCGCAGCAGCAGTAATGGCGTATGACCGACTTGGTAACTATCCCTCCTACAGCCCTCTCTTCTTCTGGCAGTAGTACCTTACTGACTCTCCTGCTCAGGTAGTCCGAATCGGGACGGACGTCAGTACGATTCCAGGTCTCCTTCACCTGCTCACCCTCTCCAGCCCTATGCACATCCCGACGAGTCCTTCTCAAGACAGCACCTTCACTTGCAAATGCCCCTAGCCTCCAATGACCGGTTAGCCATGCAGCCCACCTATTCGGTCGAGAACATTCACAATTCTCATGGGCATAATACCGCCTATGAGCAACAGGCAGGTCAGCCCGGGGACCAGGGCTATGGCAGGAATGACTACATCGTCTCTCCTGAAGACCATCATGACAGCTACTACACCCAGCCATATGACCCCCGTCCCCAAGGCGACTATGCTCTTGATCCATATCCCACACCGGACCAGGCTTATCGGAACGACAATGACCAAGTTCCTATCCTCCAGCCTGACAGTGCATATGGTCCTGATCCGCACTCGCAGCCGGGAATGGGCGAATATGATGGCTACCATGACGATCGCCCGACTCCCTCCCCCGCTCCGATACGCCGGTGGAAGACGGTAAAAGAAGTCCAGTTGTTTAACGGGAACCTTGTTCTTGATTGTCCTGTTCCGCCCCGGCTGTTGGCCAATGTCCCTCATGCAAAACCACCGGAGAGAGATGAGTTCACGCACATGAGATATTCCGCCGCCACCTGCGATCCCAAAGACTTCTATGACGAGCGCTTCACCTTGCGCCAACGTCTCTTCGCGAAGCCCCGACAGACCGAGCTCTTCATTGTCGTCACCATGTATAACGAAGACGAGTTTCTTTTCACTCGGACCATGATGGGCGTCTTTAAGAACATCGAGTACATGTGCAATCGACCGAACAGCAAGACATGGGACAAAGAAGCCTGGAAGAAAATCGTGGTCTGCATCGTTAGCGATGGTCGTGCTAAGATCAACGAAAGAACCAAGGCGGTCCTGGCTGGTCTCGGTGTGTACCAAGATGGCATTGCTAAGCAACAGGTTAATGGCAAAGATGTCACGGCTCACATCTACGAGTATACCACTCAAGTCGGCCTGGACCTCAAGGGAACCCAAGTCTCTCTAAGACCGAAAGGTGCCACTCCCGTGCAATTGCTCTTCTGCCTGAAAGAAAAGAATCAGAAGAAAATCAATTCCCACCGATGGTTTTTCCAGGCGTTTGGTCGTGTTCTAGATCCCAACATTTGTGTCCTACTCGATGCCGGAACAAAGCCTGGCAAGGACTCAATTTACCAGCTTTGGAAGGCTTTCGATCTCGAACCAATGTGTGGTGGTGCTTGTGGTGAGATCAAGGTCATGTTGGACCACGGCAAAAAGCTTTATAATCCTCTGGTCGCCACTCAGAACTTTGAATACAAGATGTCAAACATTCTGGACAAGCCGCTCGAATCTGCCTTCGGCTTTATCTCCGTGCTTCCTGGTGCCTTCTCCGCCTACCGATACATTGCTTTACAGAACGACAAAAATGGTGAAGGTCCGCTGGAAAAGTATTTCAAGGGTGAAACAATGCACGCTGACGCTGGTGTCTTCACGGCAAATATGTATCTGGCTGAAGATCGTATTCTCTGCTTCGAACTGGTCAGCAAGCGCAACTGTCGATGGATTCTGCAATATGTCAAGTCCGCCACTGGAGAAACCGACGTTCCGGACCAGATTGCTGAATTCGTCCTTCAACGGAGACGTTGGCTCAATGGTTCCTTCTTCGCTGCTGTATACGCTGTTGTTCACGTCTATCAACTGTGGCGAAGTGATCACAGTGCCATTCGGAAATTCATGTTCCTGATTGAATTCGTTTATCAAACCATCAACATGCTTTTCGCCTGGTTCGCCATTGGAAACTTCTTCTTGGTCTTTCGTCTTTTGACTGGTTCTCTTGGATCGCCAGGACCCCTCGGAACCGCGGGGACTGTTCTAGGTGTCATCTTCGAATTTGTCTATCTGGGGACCCTGCTCTATTGTTTTATCCTGTCATTGGGTAATCGGCCTCAAGGCTCTAAGAAATCGTACTTGATGATGGTGATTTTCTGGTCCATCCTGATGGTGTGGCTTACATTTGCCTCGGTCTTTCTGACTGTCCGAGCCATCCAGACAGAAGTCAATGAAGATGACTTCTCCTTCTCCAGCATCTTTAACAACAGTACATTCTTCAGCCTGATTGTCTCACTAGCAAGTACATATGTCTTGTGGTTTGTGGCGAGCTTCTTGTTCTTCGACCCATGGCATATGTTCACATGCTTCATTCAATACATCGTCCTCACGCCGACTTATATCAACGTCTTGAACATCTACGCATTCTGCAACACTCATGATATCACATGGGGAACCAAAGGAGACGACAAGGCAGAGAAACTCCAGAGTGTCAACGTCAAACCAGGCGGGATGGTCGATGTCTTGATTCCACAGGATGATGGTGATCTCAATGCGCAATATGAGACAGAACTGAAAAAATTTGCCACAAAACCAATTAAGGAGGTCAAAATCCAAACTCCAGCTGACAAACAGGAAGACTACTACAAGTCTTTCCGAAGCAATGTCGTAACCATATGGATGCTGACCAATTTTATTCTGGTTGCCGCCGTTTTGAATGTGGCAGGATTCCAAAGAATCAATACCGACCAAACCACGCAGCAGAATTCAACCGTTTACCTGGCCGTCATTCTATGGTCTGTTGCAGGTCTGTCGCTTTTTAGATTCATTGGGGCATGTTGGTTTTTGATTGTGAGATTGGTAAGTGGCGAGCTTTTCTGAACCCAACGTTGAATGGGGTTACTGACTGGTCTTAGTTCCGTGGTGTATGATGAAAGCAGCTTCTTCCCGATGTATAACGAGTGACGAGGTTTTGATCACAAAGCACGAGAGGGGTGCATTCGTTTGGCGTTCTGGCGTTTATAATCCAGTCATGGTTCTGGAGGAATTTGCGTTTATGACTGGACCGATACCCCTACTTTTGTTGCCAAAAGGGTTGGTTGGACAGTGTAGCAATTTGGGTAGCGAGCCTTGCGATCATGACCCCTGGACTCCTCAAACAACTTGGCCTGACATGTACAGAACAGAATAACAGTAATCGAGGCCCTTTCAGTAAATAAATATTTTCTTCTTCGCTCAGTCTCAGTTCCGTGTAGACCATCCATGACCATTTTACTAACCAGTGCTGACGTAGTAGAAACGCTCCAGCTTGACCTTCTCAACTGACGTACGCATGAATCGACTAAGGAACAAACCGATCAAAAGAGCTTGAATCAAGCTTCCGCCCAAAGCATTCTTATAACCATCCCTGGACGCTCACAACGGGCAACAAAGGCCGCTCAAAGCTTCGAGTAAACGCACAGCGCAATACCGCCACAGACAAACGTCATGCCGACCCAGGTATCGCGGGTGATCATCTTCCCCTCCGCAAACCACTCGCCCAACACGGTGAAAAGAAACGCCAATGAGTTCGTGATCGGCACCGTCAATGACAACTCTGAGGTTTTAAAAAAAAAAGAACGTCAGTACAGAGCTGGGCCTGGAGCATATCATGGCATTGCAGATTTGGATGGAAAAGCGCGGACGTACCAGCCTGTCCAACCAACAAAAAAAACCAGATACTCCCGGTCAGGTTCAACAGTAGAGGGACCGCGTAGCCGGGGCTCCGCAGCAGGCCCAGCACGGTGTAGAAAGCCTTCGCGACCTGGCGCGACAGCCACGGTCGCGACGGGTCTGTAATGGATGCGTGGCTCGGTGCCTTGTAGTTCACGGCGGCTTTGCGGATGAACGGCGTCGTGAAGCCCCAGCAGATCCCAACGAGCAGGAATGAGAGTATGTAGTTGAATGGGGATGGTGATGGTGTTGGCGGGAGATCTGTTGGTGGTGGTGATGCTGGGGAGGGCGAAGTTGACATCTTTTTCTAGGCGTGGCGGTTGGGTGTTTTGTGCAGGCTTTCTTGAGGAGATTATCCACTTGAGTATCAAGTTGCCGAGACGGTGTATGTGAGACGTTAGTCTATTCCGTTGAATATCCGGTGCTGGTACAAGGGCGTGTGCGTGTAAGTTGACTTCCTGGGAGTAGGTGAGTGGGCGGTTGAGACTTCAGGGGGAAAGACAGCTGTGCACGTGATCCGGACCTTCTTCCGCGCAAGGCTCTGCGCGCAAGGCTGTGTCGGGTTTTTCCTACCAAGACCTGGCCTCGGTTTGTTCAGTGTTCACCTGTCGACGAGGATCGTTGGAAGCAGACCTCGTAGGCAGGTATGATTGGGGTTCCTTATTGGCTTACTAGGGCCATCTATACGCCATACTCGGTAGTCTACTTGCTGACTTCCAAACAAGCCTTGCAGAGTCCTAGTACAGGCGGGCGTCACTGGCCCAGGTGGGTAATTGCTGCTCTTAATGGTTCTTCAAGCCGCCGATCAGGTACTTTTGATGAACAACTTGCTGACCAGATATGAAATACATTCGGCCCCGGGTCACCTACGGAATGAACGAACGAATTGAAGCTGCCGTTGATGGTTTGGCTATGTACTGTACGGCTACAGACCCGTACGGACACGGGTACGCCGCAAGTGGTTTAGCTCAGCTTCAGACCAGCGGCTGTTCTTATCAGAAACTCCGTAAGGCCCCCCATCGGCCCCTCCCCAGCCAGTTCACCCTCGTTTTTTTCAAGAGACCATGGCATTCAGGCTGCACCGTACACCTTCATGGACCTCCAAGCCGAAATTAACCATAGCCTGTACTCGATTGTCCCGGGGCACCCTTCTCTCCTATCAGGCAGCCAACCCTCCGAGACTGTGGAGGTAGTCGCCCCTAGTCAAGACTTTTAAGCACTGTAGAATCGTCTCGATGCTTATTACACTGTCCACAGCTTCAATACGCCGTTTTGTGCATTGCAACTTGCATGAGGGTCTGCCCCTTGATCTTCTCGAGACCTGCATCCCTCATCCTTGGACTGAAGCAGGTGCTAAATTGATCGGCCATCCTTCGATCTTCTTCCACGTTTGGTAGACGTTGCAGAGTTAACGTTTTTTATTTCTTATCCTCATTTTCCTTCTCTGTCGAAAGAAGAATTCTTTATTTGATGGATTGAATGGTCGCCCCCCTCGTTTCTCACCTCAATGGTCTCCACCGAATGGTACATGCCAGTGGAGAATGATGCACTTGTTCATTCTCAATTTGGGCGAGTGCCATCCTTCTCTCTCAACATAACTGCTCCACCTAGATTAAAAAGGCATGCCCCCAAAGTCCGGAGTGGGTGTGTAACGTGCAAGTAAGTCTTCTCTATTTATTCTCTATCAAAATATAATGCAAGATTCGTAGCTGACGATCCGCGTGATCCGGAAAGAGCACGACGCGTGAAATGCGACGAGGCCAAGCCTGCCTGCAAAAGGTGCACCACAACGGGCAGACGCTGTGATGGGTACAATTTACCCAAACCTTTGCTCTTCGAAATCAGCGAGGACAAAGATGAACGATGGAGTTTTCACTATTACCGCGACCGCACAGCCTCGCAAATCAGCAGTGTTGCTGCCGATGGCTTCTGGAGTCGCTTAGTAATTCAAGCTGGCTACTCACGAGATATCGTCCGGCATGCCTTGGTTGCCATCGGATCGTATCACGAAGGCGTGGATCACTTGGATGAGTGTCGACGGTCCGATAAACACAAGTTTGCATTGCAACAGTACAATAAGTCCATTAACGGTATCCTAAGGTCCACCGCTGAGTCTGATATTGAGGAGATCCTTCTTTCTATCATTCTCTTCTCTTTCTTTGAGAATGTACGTGGCGAGTGGGCTTCCGCACTGGCTCATCTTCAAGCTGGCCTACGGATATTGTCAAACTGGAAGGCCGCTCATCCTCCTCACCTTGGTGTCAATGAAACATCGATCAGACTGGAAGAACGTATTGTACCTGTGCTGAGCCAGTTACAAGTTTTCGCTACAAGCCTATTGCAAATGATTCCCTCTAAAAAGAGTCGTTACTCAACCTATATGCCTGACCGGTTTGGTGACCTCCGGACTGCCCGCTACTATTTCTATAATGTACTTCATGCCGTCTGCGCAAAGCTGCAATCGAACCACGACGAATTCCCATGGCCCAAATCCGACGACGAGACCCTTGCCCAGGGGAGACGCTTGCTATATCGGTGGTATGGCATTTTCCAGGAATTTCTCACTCGCGCAGATCGGTCGTGTTCCTGTTTCACGCCAGGATCAACTGCACACTTTGACCTGGGACTATATCACATGCAAATGCAATATTGGGCGGCGATAGTCCGATTAGAATGCAAGCCCTTCAGAGCTGAGACGTCATTCGACGAGCACAATGATAAGTTCCAGATTCTCGTTGATATTGGCAGTCAGTTTTGCAATCTGTACATGGACCAGACATTAACCGATACGTTGGCCAACTGCGTTGGCTTCGACGCACACTACATCGCTGTCATCGGTATGGTCGCTTTACGCTGTCGTGACCCGCGCATAAGAAGAGAAGCCATTGCTCTAATTCGGCGATGGGAGCGCACTGAAGGGAAGTGGGAAACCATGGCAGCTGCAGAAGTCTCGGAAAGTATCATGACTCTTGAGGAGGCTGGCGCGAATGTTCCTGAAGTCAAGAGCTGTCATGAGATTCCGAACACAGCACGCCTACATCTTTTGGGTTGCAATCCTTTCAAATGGAATGAAGAGACCCAAAAGTTCGAAATGTAAGTCATTATCCTGGACCTGAGACCACTTTGACCAACTGTGCCTCAGGACATATGAAGTTGACGGCGCCGATTTGATAAAATACCGAGTTCTCCGATCCGGGATTGACCCATCCGAACAGGAGATCGAAACACACTGGATCGACAGGCGGACGAAACCAGGTTCCCCGCCGCTACACACGCTGGCACTACCACATGATGTGTCTGGCTTCTTTCCACAAACGATTGACGGATCTGCCATTGAGTCCAAGCTGTGGTCGACCCTAGGAAGCAAGAAGGTGGCTATGTTTCTCGAGCGCGCGAGCAGCAGCCACATCTGTCAGTGCCAGAAGTGCGCCGTCAAAGAAGAGTTGCTAACCACTCCCGACTCTCCAGTTGTGACTCCAGTGAAGAAGCTGGATGGTGAGGATCAGATCACCGGCGCGGGGGAACCTTCGTACATCACCATGGATCCTGAACATCTTCCCCTGTCGTCGCCGCAGACGGAATCTACTCTGTGCGGGTGACTCGACGATGAGACAATGTCAGTATCAGGCTTGGCAAGGCAATCCCTCGATGCCTGTATGTCTTGAAACCAGTCAGTTTGACCACACCAACTATTACTTCTCTCGCACATCAAATGATTTAACCGGTCATTGACCTGTCTTATCAAGGACGCCAAACAGGAAACCCATGAACGATGCGGTATACTCTCAAAAACAAATGCCAGTCATGACAGCCCCAAAACTGGTCTCTGCAAACAGCACGGAACAGCATAGAAGAAATCGGAATGGCCAAAAAGCTTGGGAGCCGAATGACCAATTCCTAAATTGGTACGGCCGCATTCTTTGGTTCAAAATGGAGGTTACATCCCTCCTCAAACACGGCAGATCTGACCTTTAAAAGCAGATTATCAAGATCATGCGAGGGATGACCAAACGCGAAGAGATCATGGATCTCGACGAGAATCTATCGAGAAAGCACACAGGTATCAATGAGCGTCAAATGACCGCCCTAGTATCTGACGTATAGTAATTTGCCACAAACTAGGTGCAGAGATGGCCAGTCTCTGTCGTTGAGCCAGGATAGGATCAATGAAACAAGGAAGGCTACTCCGTACGGAGTACACGCCCTTGAGAATGCGGCAAAGGGGGATAAATGGTGGAAGCAGACCTTCCCCACGCGCCAAACCTATTCGCCCTGGCAAGGTTGACAGGACTTCAGAGATCTCTGCTATAGTATTGCATACCAGAGGATGTAGTATATTGAATCTGAAACATTCAATCGCAAGAATCTCTGTTTATGGTGTTCGATGAGAAGCAGTGTTTTGGGGGTGAAACGAGTGCCAAGACAACACCACGTGACTCAATGCTTCAGCCCCAGAATTTCCCTCCGCCAACAGCCGTGCACCTCGGGAAGTGACAATGCTCACAACACTGACCACACCCAATATTCACATCCTGCTTTGCAAACACCGATAAGTAAGACAACCAGCATGCGCCGTTGATCTCGGCCTTCCTCAATCGTGGCTGGGTTTGATTCGACAACAATCGAACGTGATATGCGCAAATATGTTGTCCTTCGTCTTCCCCCAGCCACGTACATTTTGGTCTTACTTTCTCATACAGACGAGGCTGGGAAATTAGACACGCCGCTGAGCAGGCAACGATCAAGTGCCACCAGGTAAGGATGGGCTTTGCTCGTGAGTGAGTGACAATGCTTCTGTCTCCTTGAATTCATTATCCGGTTGTTTTTTTGCTGAAGCTCTCCTTACCCAATCTACCTAAGTTAGTTAAGTGCCTCGTTTACTGTTTGAATCCTCGCCGTGTCTGCAGAGCTTTTCCTGCAGTTCGTCTCTACCATCACCATACAAATATCCACCACACCCTGACACATACACACAAACACACACATCTATACACATTTATACACATATACACACGATGCCCACGATCCTCACGCCCCAAGGCTGGGTTAAAGTCGCTGAATCGCCCACCAAACGACGCACCATTGCCGCCGACCCGTCCGACGCACTCAAAGGCCCTCTCGCATACTTCAGCTGCAAACGCTCACCACCAAAAGTGTACCCGGGTGTGCTCCACCTCCCGACAGGCGCCACCGGAGGCAAGCACTCAGGCCCCAAAGAAGCATTCCCGTATGACTTGAACGCGAGCCCAGAGAAACTGCGTGCTCAAGGACGGATAAACCACAGCAGCCAGGTCGAGAAAGTCAAGATCGGAGGCAAGAACAGAACGGTCTCGGCTCCCGTTCATCATGACCCATACTACAGCGAAGAGGAAGGAGAAGAAGAAGAAGTGATGGAGCATCGCTCCTCGAGACACAAACACTCCTCTCCTCCTGCTTCACCCACACGCTCGAGCCGCCATCACGAATCAAGGCCCGGCAAGCACCATAAACACCGCAGTCACAACTACCATGACGACATGTCCAGCGTATCCTCGGGCTCAACAACATCCTCGTCGTCCTACTCTTCCTCATCCCGCTCCCATCGCTCTCACGAACGCGCCCGCCCCGTCCAAGCCGCTCCCCAGACCCCCATAATCATGTACGCAGCCGGCCCACCACCGCCGCCCGCTGATCCTCGCTATTATGATAACTACGATATTCCCTCGCACGCGCACCGCCCGCCCCCGCCCAGTACTGGGAGCGCTAGGAGTATGAGCTACAGCTGGTATAATGCTACGACGCCTTTGAATCTTTGAGTCTTGAGATAGTAAGGGATGGGATGAGGACGACGAGTTTGGTGTGAGATTTTGCCGATTTATTGGTCGGAAGATTGCTTGCCCCGCCCGATATCTTTGTGTCAAAGTGCGCAACAACTATGACTATTGTCTTCCTATGTCAGTCTGCATTCTTCAACAGCGTGATGTCGCTGTGTTTGTACTTGTCTTTCTCTATTTCGATCTACAGACGAAGAGCGAATGCGTTTGCGGGGCCAGCCGAGCAGGGTAGTTAGTGCAAATGGGTGGAAATGGCTTTCCAGGCGCATAGCTTTTTGTCGTCTTGATTTACGAGTGTGTTTTTTGATTTAGGGTTTTGGAATGCGATGGAGGGCTGAAATTGGGTTCCAACCTGCTGCCCAAAAAAAAAGCATAGCTCAATTCCATAGAAGAATGTGAAACAACCCAGGACAGTTGATATTCGCTCCTATCTGAGCACCCGATAGATCTATATATCCATCATGAGCCCATGTTCTGATATTCGGCTTCGCGAAAGCGAAAACTATCCCTTCTTCCCGGGGACCTTCGTGGAATGGCTAATAGGGGTATCAACAATCAGATAGTCCTCCCAAAACCTGACGGTACAAACTTAAGCCGCCCCGTTCAACTCCCTGTTTCCTGTTCAGTTTCCGATCCCTCCACACGGGGGAAGAGGATTTTCTCGACATAGAAAATCGTGTGTGGTCTGGTCCCCACCATAGACATGATGTGTCCCGTTGAGCCTTTCCATTGCGCACACCCTGCGGGATGCAGCAGTGTCCTGCTCTCAATCAAAGCCCTGTATATAGGTAGGTAGGTAGGAAGGTCCTGTCGATTCCCTACATCGTCCATCGTCATCAACAGTCGTCAAAGTCATCATCTTGCAGCCTTCCTTTGGCTGGCCAGTCTCACCCTGGAACAAATGTGATCATCATCGTCGTCGTCACCATCACCATCACCATCATCAATCATCACTGCCTCGATTAAATCAATCACCGACAACAACGATCCTCTCCCTCCTCGTCTCCTTCGTCCTGACCATCCTAGGCTCCCTAATGATGGTCGTCGTCGGACGAATGAAATACCGCTGCGACCTGGTAATCACGACCTTGGTCTCGGGCTGATTGCCCCCGCCCACGAACGTCAAATTCGCATCAGGGCGGTGACGGTAAGGGTCGATCGGCACGATACGTCTGCGCCGCCTCCGTCGCCCGTGCGAAGATGTGTCTGAGTCGGAGTCGTCATCACCGCCACCGGTGAAGATGCGGAAGCAGCAGATCAACAACAGGACCAGCAGCAGGAAGCCGAAGAAGGCGCCGATCACGATCCCACCGATCACGCCTGGTGCGAGCCCGTCGTTCTCGTGGTGGACGTATTGTGTCACGGCTGCGGCGGCCGGGGTCGTGGATGTGGTGATGACGACGATTGGTGGAGGTTTGCTGCTGCTGCTGCTGCTGGTGCATGCGCAGGGCGTTCGGGTCGTGATGGTTTCGAACGTCGTTTTGGGCGATACCCAGCTTGTTGCTGTTACTGTCGCCGGTGGTATTGGCTCGAGAGGGTAGCCTGCGCCACCACTGCCGCCCTGCTCGCCCGGCGAGCGGCGTTGTAACACCATGTGGACAAGGCAGATGTTGTGGAATCAAGCAAGTATCGACTGGGAGGAGGGTCGGTGTGTTAGACGTCGCGTCGCACTGCGGCGGACATTGTGGACGGTTTGAAGCCTTACGTTGAACGCAGCCGGAGGATTGTTGATTGTTGCAGAGCTGGGGAAACGACTTCACTTGCGAAGCGACATGGCTGCGCAACAGGATTGTCGGCATTATGGGTTATGTTGCAGGCGTATCGTGGATGGCAACCAAGGCGCCCAGGTTCGCGGCAGCGCCAGGCCATGACGAATCCTCCCTTACAGACACCCCCTCCAGCCACGTTATTTCTTCCAGAATTCGGCTGAGATGAGTTCGGTAAGTTCGAGGTACTTCTGTGAAAGTCGGGCGGCTGGAAAACTGAAGGAGGGGCACAACTCCAGGGCCCACAGCCTGATTGCGGGCTCGGCCAATCGGTGATTCATCAGGTATGGCGGCTTTCCAGATGAGCACTAATACCGTATTTATTGAAAATGGGTGCTTCCCCCCAGTCATAAGTTTGCAGGGGCTCATTATCTAGGGTTTGGTACGCGGGGTGTACCGGGGCGGCATCCAAAAACTGTCGTCGATCTCGTTCAACCAAACCCAAAATTGAACGTCATTCTTTTGTCCGTTCCGTATCTGTAACGCTCTTGATTTGTTTGAAATAGCGCATGGGACACTGCCTAGCCGAATTGTCTTGAATTTGGAGCTTGTTCTGGGCCCCAGGACGGGCTCATCCCAGAGAAATATACGCTGATCGTATCGCCCAAGCCAAGAATGTATCAAAACAAGCCAGAGTGGTTCAGTGCGCCGAGAGATGTTCTTCCAGGTTCAACCATCACTCCAGGGAGGCTTATTGTTGATCCACGAGCCCCTGAAGGACCACCTTATCTCGACAAAGCCTTGTCCATTCCCGACGCAGACTTGAGGGTGACCAACTATCCATACAAGAGCGAGAGACAAGACGAAAAGGGTGGTTCATTGGGCCTCTTTGGATCGTTCATGTCTGCATTTGGACTGGGCGGAGATTTGAGTGGAAATATCAAAAGCGGGACAGCTCTTGATATCGAAGTTGATCGACTACAGACGGTTATGTTTGACCCTTCGGTCGAGTATCTCGAGGAATCCTTGAACTCACCGAAGAACCTAGCTTACTTGAGAGATCAAAGGTTCAAGAGATCCCTGTATCTTGTGACGGGGGTGAAGACGGCCTACGGCGCCAGGTTGACACGCTCGAGATCAGAACAGAGAGGGGCTAAGGCGAAACTTGGGATCAGTCCGAATGTCCCGGGCCTTGAGATTGGCCCAACTGCATCTTACACACAGACTGGGAAAGTGACGGAGACGGTGCAGGGTCCGACGGACTTCGTGTTTGCCTACCGCCTTAACAAGCTGCATTATTCGCGAACTAGGAGCAAATACGTTCAACAAAAGTTCACCACTGGAGCCTTGTATTCTGATGAGGTGGACCTTAAGGATGAAGTAGAGGCGATCAAGGCCGCCGATTCAGAAGGTGAAGAGTTCGCTGAAGTTGTCGGTGGCCTGGAAGACGATGACGCAGGCCGGGCAGAATTCAAGATCCCTGGAGAAGCCGTCTTTGACGAGGAGGATGGCGAGCCCTGTATCATACTATTGCCAGAAGCCTCGACACCGGCATGGGCTGTTGGTGGTGGCTAGCAGTGACCGTTTCATCTGCTCATTTTGTCCAACTATACGTCAGAGGCTGTGTGGTGCGAAATCCCGACGCAGGAGTCATCTAAGCTGGGTTCATTGCCGCCTTGTTGGTAGTATCAGCACTCCAATCCCAAGCATACCGCATGTTTCTTCTCCGCTGCAAATATCTGATGCGAGACTTTTAGCCGAAATATCTGCGCAGTTCAATCCCCATGGCAGTCCCAATGGTGTCGAATTCAAATTTGTGGGTTGAGAACAAATGCCATGGTTTGATATACCTGAAGTTGGCGTCGTTAATCTTGGTGCTTGACGCCAGCAGTAGTGCCCTCATTCCGAGGAAGGAGGCCACATGTTCGACATGTTGAATTCTCTTCCCTTTCATTCTGGGCACTCGGGCGAAGTCAATCAGTAGCGCAGCAGTTGCAGCAGCAATCGGAGTGGCCATAGAGGTCCCGGTCTTTCCAACCATCTTGCCTTGTTTCCCAGTAGTCAGAACGTTCTCCCCGAGAGTTGCAAAATTAAAAGTCGCGATCTCACTAGGGGGATTTCCCCTCCACGGCGAACCCTTGAAATCGGTAGCGTGAATACAAAATACTTTCGAGTCATCCCGTGCTGGCCACGCCCTGGTAATATCTTCGTTGGCCCCATCATTTGAAGCAGCAGCAAACAATAACACGTTTTTGTTGGCTGCCAGCTTTAATGCATCGTCCATTTTGGCCAATCTTGACGGGAATCCGAAAGACATTGAGATGATATCGACTTCCCAAGAGTTCACCGCATGTTCAATTGCAGGCGCAACCTGATCGGGAACGACATCTTTCGTTCCCCTGAAGACTCGAGCAACATAAATGTCAGCTTCCGGCGCTACCTGCATCAGGAGTAGAGCAGTGCTAGTTCCGTGTCCACTAGTATCTTCGTTGGCCTTGCTTTCAAGGCCTTCCATTTGGCAAAGGAACCCTTTAATGCGTTCCCTCCTTGCATTGATCTCTGGGTGGTTCATGTCGATACCAGTGTCGAGTATCGCAATCCGTACACGTCGTTTATACTTACGAGACTCGATCCCATCCTCGTATTGAGTGTTGTTGCGGCACTTGTTTGTAAGAAAATCGTGCGTTTTGATAATCTTATCTGGAGACCAGAGCGAAACTCCTTTATGACAGTCATTGAGATCTTCCCATTTGAGATCACCAACGCGTGTGAGCCTACCGTCAGAGTCCTCGGCATCAAAAGTCTTTCCGTACACAACCTTTCTACTTGTTCCTGCATCTGAGTTCCTTCTTTGAATGGTCGATGAACCAGGCGTAAGTTTCGAGCTATCTGGCTTTTGTTCCGGTTTCCGCGGGTTTCCACCCACGCTAGAGGACCTAGGCTTCCCTGGAACTTGCAAGTGTCCATTTGCTGTTTGTGTGCCTGTAGAGTACATTTAGTGTTATGTTGAGAATAAGATATCTGTGGTCTTACTGGTACTCCCCTGTGCTGGTGGATTGCCTTTGCCCACTTTGGTGTCTTTGTGCGACGACGAGTTATCATCCACCGGTTTCTTGGGGGCTTTCTTCTTTCCCTCGTCGCGAGAAGGTGGACGTGATCCGTCGGAAGATGCGCTGCCTTTTCCCTTTTCACCTTTCCCTGGACCTGGCGAAGTTCGCTTTCCAGTTCCATGAGAAGGCTTCGCGACTGTGACTATAGGCGAGGATGGAACCTTTTCTCCTTTGTTCGGATCGCCCTTATTTGCTGAACTGTTTGAGGCGTCGGACAGTACACTTTTTGCTTTCAACGCCTCGGCCTTCTTCTTAGCCGCTTGGGTGGCTTTGCTCTGAATTTTAGCCGTCAAGCCATCCTTACCAAGGAGATTTTGGGAGATTTTCAAGATTTGTTCAAACTCAGCCGTTGCTTTGCCAAATCTGCGCTTGCCATAAAACCCCTGCGCGAACTCGCATCTGCAACCAATAACAGACTTGGCCACGGTTGTGTAACGAAAATTCCACCCGCCCTCAGCTTTCACTTGAGCACATTTGTCGAGAATATCGTTAAACAGTCTGACAGCATCCGACTGACGGTCATTGTCGAACAAATTCTGGGCGAGAAACTGCTCAATGTGAAGGGTGTTGATGTTGGGAGCTCCGAAATAAGCAATCGCTGGCTCAAGAGCAGCAGCAAAGTACCAGCATGAGGCGGTGTAATTGGCTGCCCCGTCTTCTTGACGAGCCAGATGGTCAACCCTCGTTATCCAATCGAAGGGGTTGTCCGACTTTCCACCTGGCAGCGTTTTATTTGCTGGTTTTGGGATGATGAGGGAGAAGGGCTTGGACAATTGGATGTCTCCTTCTCTCGCTTGAAGCTTCGCACTCATGGTACCAAGGGAAATGTCTCCATGCGGCAAATCGCTTACTGAGCATCCAATTCACACAACCAACTTAAGAACGTGGGTGGACCTGGTGCTTGTGAATAGTAAATAGCATTGAACAGTGTAGCAGGTTGGGGACACGTGGAATGAATGAGGCCGAGATGAACACCTTCAAGTCTGCGAGCCCTTACGGGTATGTGAGTATTCGACACCCGCCTTCGCCCTCGTAGTACGAGCCTCCTAGGCGGTAACGAGTTAGTCCGGGAGGCTTCCGGCCTTCAACGCGTGACGCGCCTCAAGCCGAGTCCGTCATAGCTTATTTCGACCGCTGGGGAACCACCCATGCATGATGTGGTGTAACCTGCACTGCTGCCAATTCTTCCACCAGATTGACTACCTCGCACATGCTCTTCTAATGCCTTGCCACGTATACGATTCTACGGCTGTTGCTGTGCACTGTGCTGGCAAGTTTTTGTAAGTTATTCAGGTAAGTGCGTGCCCTTGGAAACAGTTCATCATCATCAACAACCATTTCCTGCACAAACAGAAACCGAAGTCACGATGGGTCTTGACTATCTAAGGTGAGCCGATCGCCATCCTGTCCGTGCTAGGAGAACAGTCTGACCCTCACAGCTTCGTTGGATCGTTCCCAGTCTCTTTGCAAATTGGCTCTGCGCGCAAGGACTTCTACATCCATGAAGCACTCATCAAGCAGCATTTTGAAACACTCTATGATGCTTATATTAAGAGTCGCTGCAACGAACGCGAGATTTTTGAAGATGTTGAAGAAGACACGTTCGTGCGTTTTGTGGAATTTGCATACACGGGCAGTTACTCCGTTCCACATCCAGCAGCCCTCCCTGCCATGAATGAGAATGATGACGGCCGTCGAGCTCCGGCTGAACCAGATACTGTACCCTATCCGGATGAGACTAGCTTACAGGCTGGGACCGGGGCAGTCCCTTTAGACGAACCTATTGCTGAAGCACCGAGTATTACAGAAGACTGCGCAATTGCGGAGCCACCTGCACCTACGGCAGAAGAAGTGACTGAATTCCCTTCTGAGATCTCATGGAACGGATGGAGCTCCAAGAAGATGAAAAAGAAGCGAAAGCAGTTTACGGATTACCATCCATTCCCAGAGTCACTACCCCTGGAAGAGCCTTCGATTGGTGAAAGCCGAGGAGCAACGACCAAGAAAGAAACATTGTGGAACTCATTCACAAGCCGCGCCAGGCTCAAGGCACTTTCACCTTGGGAGCCTGATACTTCACCAGACGCTGATTTAGACTTTTCGCCTGTTCTCCTGTCTCACGCAAGGCTCTATGTCTTTGCAGACCGGTTTAAAACCTCCCCTTTGCGACAGCTCACCCTGGATAGGCTCCGTTTAACTCTATCTCGATTTGACCTCTTCTCCGAGCGCACAGATGCCATTGTTGGACTGCTGGAGTATACATACAAAAAGACCGAAGACTCGGAAGACGATCTTGATAAACTCCGAGAGCTTGTCATCGATTATGTCGCTTGCCATGTCGAAAATCTCACCGAAAATCGCGCGTTCTTGCATCTTCTTCAGGAGCCTGGCTCACTGTGCAAGGACCTCATGCTGAAGGTGCTACAGCGTTTGGACTAAAGAGTCCAAAACTAGTCGTATGGCTTGGTGCAAGGGTTCAATGGCTTTGCGCCATGGAGTTCTCTCACGTGGGCTTTGCGGTTCCCTGTCCTTGGTGACACGACTCGATGCTTGATACTACGTCGGATACTTGATCTTTCGGGACGCCAAAAGTTTAGTAAGGCTCCTGACTTGTCAAGGATGACAATGTTTGACTTTCGCATGAGTATTCCTTGGAGTATTGGGCTTCTCACCCGCATTCTATATTATTCCGGTTGATTGTAAAGGAACGAGCAGAGGAACAACGGAGTATGGCGCCTTCCGGCTGACAGTATTTGATACTGAGCTCCGTATCTCAAAGTTACCTTAACTGGTATTTTACGCGTAGGCGTTAAGTAATTACCCCGCGGTAGAGTCACGGTACCTTATCAACAAGGGCTGTGCCACCACAGGCCACTGCCTTTGTCGGAAAGATCCCCTCACTGTACTCCGTAACGTACTCGTAGTTACTTGCTTACCCCTCACTAACACACCTCCGTAAGAATATTACCATGTCAATACTACCCTGGTACTTCGTGCGCTACACTGCCTTTCTTTCGCGTCTCTTTCACCAGTATTTATTTTCCTCTTCCCCATACTATAGTCGTCCTTACTCTCCATCCTCGTATCTCAGTGTCAATCGCAGTCGCAACATGGCTCCCTCACGACTCTCACCAGAACCCGTACACGCCGAGGACGCCCCCGGCCTAACCTCGAAGCAAATAGCCTCGTTCTGGCGCGATGGCTACCTGATAATCCCATCCTACCTCTCTAAAGAGACATGCATAGAGCTCTTGTCAAGAACAGCCCAGCTCCTGACCGACTTCCCGCTCGCAGACCACCCCCTCACCCGTTTCACGACCGGGACGGACGAGAATGGCGATTCTACATCAGCCAGGCATGTCGGAGACGACTATTTTCTCACGTCTGGTGACAAAGTACGGTTTTTCTTTGAGGAGGATGCTTTCGATGTCAAGACAGGGGAGCTGAACAAGCCCAAGGAGCGGGCTATCAACAAGATCGGTCATAATCTTCACGCACTTGTGCCCGAATTTGGCAGCATCTCACACCAAGGCGAGATCGGTCGGAGGAATGCTGCCATCGCCAAGGATTTGGGCTACAAGGATCCCAGGTTACTGCAGAGTATGGTAATATGCAAACAGCCCGAGATCGGTGGCGCTGTTCCTCCTCATCAGGACAGCACCTTTCTATACACGAATAAGCCGTCAGCTGTCGGGTTCTGGATTGCGCTGGAAGATGCAACGGTGGAAAACGGGTGTCTGAGTTTCGCTCCAGGCAGTCATCGGAGGGCACCAGTAAAGGAGAGGTTCGTGCGGAGAACGGATGGGCAAGGCACAACGTTCGAACCAGTGCCGGAAGACTGCCGATGGCCTCGTGGGCATGATCATGAAGCTGAACCGCGAGAGACGGAGGAGTATATCCTAGGCGAGGTAGAGGCAGGAACCCTGGTCCTCATCCATGGCAATATCCTGCACAAGTCTGAGAAGAATCTGAGTCAAAAAGGCCGGGTTATATATACATTTCACTGTATCGAAGGTGAAGAGCATTACGATGAGAAGAACTGGTTGCAGATACCAGGCGGGCCTGGCAAGTTTACGATGCTGGATGGCAAGGCGTAGTGTCTCAACTGTCTGATCGAAGCAGTGTAAATGTAAAGATATTCTCCTTGTATACCCGATGGAATGCCATGAGACTTAAACACATACACGAGTAATTACTAACAAGTCACCACCACTTTGTCGGGAAAGGAACCTCAACCGGTACCCAATCGGAGATGGATATCCAAGTTCAACGGCCCTGAGATTGACTAAAGAGTGACGTATTGTGCATGAAAGACCAAGAGAGTGGGAACCTCCTACGGAATGATTCTTGAAAGCCCACACCAATACCAGCATGACACCGCTCGTTGTCTCCGGTTCCTAAAGCCAATCGCCTCTATTTTTATTCTTCTAATTCTTTGTGGTTTCAAAGTATACATTTAACCTTACCCGCGACTATACTTACCACCACCACGCCAACCATCACCTCGTTCGACACCGAAGTGGCGCAATTATAAACCAGGAAATAAAAATGTCGCGCCCGGGCTTACAGCACCGACCGTCGAGTATCGCGGCGGCGAACAAGACCATCATCCTGGTGACTGGCGGCAACGCGGGCATCGGCTATGAGATCGTCAAGAGCCTCTCTCAGTCCAGCCCCAGTAACAACTACCAAATTCTGCTCGGATGCCGCGACGTGCACAAAGGCGAAGATGCAGCGTCGTCACTCGGTGCACCCATCAACGTCAACCCGATCCAACTGGACATCGAAGACGACAGGTCCATCCAACACGCCTTTCTCACTATCCAGCAGATCTTCGGTAAACTCGACGTGCTCATCAACAACGCCGGCTCCGCTGCCCAGCACCTACCCAAGGAATCCACTACGCTACGCCAGAAATTCGACCACACGTTCTCTGTCAATGTCACGTCGCAGGCAGTTCTGACGGAAAGGTTTGCACCGCTGCTCGAGAAGGCGAAGCTGCCAAAAGTCATTTTCTTGTCTTCGACTTTGGGCAGTATCGAGACACAGTTGCAGCGTGAGAGGGTGTACCCCGGAATCTGGTACAGTTCGAGCAAGAGTGCGTTGAACGCGTTAGCTGTGTGGTTCGCGAAGACGAATCCGAGGTGGAAGGTCAATGCCGTGTGTCCTGGGATGAGAGCAACGGCCATCAATGGAGTCGAGTTGACTGAGGAGACGGATCCGAAGCTCGGCGCGGTCAGAGTCGTCGAGTTGGTCGCCGGTGGCCCGGATGGTGTTTCTGGCACGTACTCCAACAAAGATCGAATAATCCCGTGGTAGAAAGCTAAAGATAGAGGCTTGAGAGACACACACTTTCAGCGATCGCTCCGGTAGCTTTTCAATGTGGCAGGAGGGACTGCCGTTCACCTGTTGCATCATTCTCGATATTCGACGCATTGCGAGATGATGTTCGGGGCCGCTGGTAGAGAGGTATCGAATAGCTCCAATGGCAGAGCATTCCTCCTAGAAAGCCGATGGCGTCGTTCTTGAATGCAACCAGTAGTCCCGCAGTGACGAGCATGACAGTCCATCTCCGCTTCTTCTCTTCCTCCGAGAGCTCAATATGTCGTCCTCGTGAGCCAGCGTCACTACTAACACTACTACTGCCATCTTCCTTGCCCAAATCACGTGCCCTTTCCGTGTTGAGTGATTCGCCCACACTTGCAAGCTCCAGACCGGCCGCGATGATCATGACGGTAAGCAGCGCGAGTGGGAATCGATGCAAAAGCGCCGTCAAGCTTTCGCCGAAAAGGAACCCCAGCAGCAATTTGAAGATACCCAGGAAGATGATGCTGGCGCCCGATCGCGCCCCAAAGCGATACTGTGCGGCGAGACCACCAGACCCGTGGCAAACCGGCATGGCTCCGAACCAGCATCCTATCAAGTTCATGCCGGCAACGCTGATGCCGATCGCAGTCACGGACGGTGTTTCGATCTCTGGGAGAAGGTCTGCTGCCAAGTGTGTGACGGCGATGATTGAATTGAGAGTTGTCAAAGGCAGTTGGCCAATTCCAGCGTCCAGGATCCCAGTCCTCCAGTCATCCAGCGATGGAGTCCGAGGCGCCCATGGCTGCCAAAGTCGGAAGCCAGGGAGATGGCGACGCTCGTGTGCGACGAGCTGGACGAATGCAAAAATGAGGCCCACGACGAACAGGATTAGGGCATAGGGGACGCGGGCGACTCTAGGCCCTGGTGCATTGAGACTGAACAGGAGGAGAAAAGCACCAATCATCCATAGGTAGTTGTCCGCCCAAGACGGGGTAGTCCAGGACAAAGAAGCAGCGGCTTTCGCGCCAGCCGCAATGATCAGGCTCAGCCCGGCTCCAACCTGAATGCCTTTCACGACGGGGATGGGGATGACCCTGGTAAACCACGACAGGATCCCCGTCACGCTGAAGAATAGAATACAGCTCGCGACGAAAATCCCTGCCGCAGCTGTCTGGCCCGCCGTGAGGGACTTCAGAATCGCGACTGCAGCGATCGCTTTCATCGGCTGCACCGGTAGTGGGATGCCGAAGAAGATCCCCGTTAGGATGTTGTAGATCCCAGTCAGGATCAGCGTCGTCGTCAGTGAAATTTGATGCCCTTCGGTCAGGGCGATGACGATGGGCAGGAATGTGCCTAGGTCGCCGAGCGAGCCGGAGATCTCGGATATGGCCTGCCGGCGGAATGTCGTTCGGTTGTGCGAGAGCGCTCGTCGCACGTGCTGTTGCTGTTGTTGACTCATGGTGGATGGACCAAGCGAGATATAATATTACGGGTTGGGAATGTTGATGGGCCGTGATACCAAAGCCACGTACCCAGGTGCGCAATAAGTAGTCACCTAGGTCACAGCGGGAAGTCAAAATCGGCTCCGGATTTCTCTGAGGTGGATAAGATATATATATATGAGCGGAATTGGGTATAAGATGGTGAATATTGAATAACTATGGGTAAGGTTGATTGGGTAAACGATCATGATAATATTATTTTCAAGGCTGCTGCTAGCCTCGTACTAACTTCGTACGAGTAATTACGCTCGGAGGACTCGGCATGGAGTACTCGTAATTAAGGTTAGTGAGGTGAGCACTGAGACAATAGTCCCCGCTCTTAGTTGACTAATTATGTTAATGTACCGAGTTAACTCAACGAGAAAAACCTCACGAACGCAGTCGGAGTGGAAGCCAGAGGAAGAGTCTCGAGCTGCGGTTGTGCTCTCCCAGAAGAATAAGGTCGTGAGTGGGTAGCACAAGAAGTCAAGCAAGGATGGCAAACATCGCCGGCTTCAATCTTCCAAAGCAATCACCAAGAGCAATATTTCTTCCTCAGTCCTTCCCGGTTGCGCTGCTTTGATTTGCAATATTTTCAGGTCAAGCCCCGCCAAGTAATTGGCACCGGAGGATAAAAGTACTGCGTTGCGTACGTGGGCAATCACTTCACTGATTGTGCGGAAGCTTCATGACCATGGCCAACGTCCAAAACTACACAGAACGTTATCGCCCTCAGTACCACTGGACGCCGGCAAAGAATTGGATGAACGACCCAAACGGGCTCATCTACCACAAAGGGCAATATCATATGTACTATCAGTACAACCCCACTGGGGACGTCTGGGGGAATATTTCCTGGGGTCACGCAGTCAGTCCTGATCTGCTGCACTGGGAGGAACAGCTGATTGCCCTCAATGCTTTCGAAACTCCAGCCAGTCCACTGGCTGAATTGTTCTTCTCTGGAAGTGCAGTCTTTGACGAGAAAGACTCCTCTGGCTTTGGGAAAGGGAGAGACGCTCCTCTTGTCGCTGCATACACATCATACTATCCAAACGATACAACTTTGCCAAATAAGCAAATGGTTCGTGGTGGAACGCAGGCCCTGTCCATTGCCTACAGCACCAATGATGGCCTCACTTGGGCGGAGTACGAGGGCAACCCAGTAATTCCCTCACCGCCAGCCCCATATGAGGACCAATGGCAGGATTTCCGTGACCCTTTCGTTTTTTGGCACGAAAAGACCTGTCAGTGGGTCATGGCCGTCTCGCTCTCAAAAATTCGGAAACTGCTCATCTACACTTCCACAGACCTCAAGAAATGGGAGCATGTGAGCGAGTTTGGCCCTGCCAATGGAGTCGGCGGGGTATGGGAATGCCCCAGCTTATTTCCCCTTCCACTGAACGACGATATATCCGATCTCAAGTGGGTGCTGGTTCTTGGAATCAATCCTGGTGGCCCAGCTTTCACCGATGCATCGGCGACCCAGTACTTTGTGGGGACCTTCGACGGGAGAAATTTCGTCGCAGACGCGGACAATCTCTACGCCGCGTCATCTGGAAAAGCTAACTGGCTGGACTACGGTCCTGATTACTATGCAGCTGCCACCTACAATGGACTTGATAACTATGAGCGACTAGCCATTGCCTGGATGAGTGACTGGGCGTACGCTCCCCTTATACCCACATCACCATGGCGAAGTGCAATGAGTGTTCCTCGTAAACTTACGCTGGAGAAACTTAACGGACAAGTGCGTCTGATTTCAGCGCCTATTCAAAGCCTGAAAAGTCTGGAGCGTGCGGCAGCCTTGTATTCAAAGCAATGGGGTGTTATCTCTTCTGAAACAGTGGCCATTCCAGTATCTGGAAAATCCCTTGATATCAGCTTCGCATTCTGCCCCGGTAAAAGCTCAACCAATGTCAGTCTTGGTGTACGAACCAGCGGGGAGGGCAATGGCACCTTGATCGGTTACGACTTCGCCACCCAACAGATGTATGTCGATCGGAATTCTGCCACCGATAATTCATCTTTCAGTCCCAAGTACAAAGGAAAATACTTCGCCCCTTTGAAAGCGGCTAATGGAGCAATAAAGCTACGCATCCTTCTTGATTGCTCGTCCGTCGAAGTCTTTGGCGGACACGGCGAGTCAACAATCACAGCACAAATTTTTCCTTCGGACCAAAATACCGGTATCTCGGTCTTGTCTGATGGTGATGTGACGGATGTTGAGATTCAAATTCATGAGATCCAGTCAGTGTGGTCGAAATGACCTGACCACAGATAGAAGTCTGGGGGTTGCCGTCCCTTTCCGGAATATGGAGAGCGGTCCATCAGCGGGCTTTCCAAACCGGGTTGTTTCGTGTGAGACCTAAGGGCAGTTTTTGGACAGATCTAGCATATAGTGTCAATTAATGTTGTCGAGATAACACGTTCATCTTCAAGGCCTTGACTGTTTTCCTGTTTTCCGACATAGGTGTAGCCTTTGGCACCAAAGTTCAAGAACCTCGGTTTTGGACGTGAGCCCACGAGATCCTCGATTGCAGACCCGTACTTAAGCAACAGGTCCTCCCTCCGTGCTGTCTGTATGATGCCAAATGCCGAAAGGCAGTCCGTCACCGCCAACACCAATCGGAATAGTGATCATCGGGTATCCTGCTTTTGCTGCGATTGAGCAACTCACACCACCATCAACCGAGATAGGCACAAGAAGGCCGTCCAGGATACCTTCAGGATGCCTCAATGCAGCATCAATGCCTTGTTCGCGAGACTTCGCTCGGATGTATGCCAGAGCCTCCTTGTATGTGTCTCCGACTTCATTTTCCGCCTCGAGGCATTTGTCACAATTATCCTGTCCTGTTGGCCAGGCAGGATGCGTACCGGGAACTCCGCCTTCCGAAGTGGTGTGCGTTATATTATGCATCATGACATCTTCGAGTGCCAGTATCCTTTTGTGATTATCCTCGAGCCCGCTCAGATAATTTTGAGGTCTTGGTAGAACTCGGTCTTGACAACTTGAAACTCCGACAATTTGGACCCCATCTTGCCTTCGGCAAAATCCCAGTCCCAGCCACTGGGCGGAAGAATCTCCTCGGCACTAGGAAAGTCAACCTCATAGAGCATTGCACCGACGGTTTTGATGCTATTCAAGAGCCCGACGAGGGCTTCATATTCGGCCGTCTGCTCCTCATTTGCCTTTGCACTTTCCCAGACCTGCTTTGCAGGCATTCCAAACTTGGCACCCTTCAGCACATCCTTCTTTGCCAGGAGCAAGGGATAGTTTGTACTGACACCGGTTGAGAGGCCGCTGTTGTCTACCAATACATCAAGCACAAGAACACCCTGGCAAGTAGGCATCGCGAGGCAGGGTTGAGCAGTCTCCATAGTCGCTCACCATCGTTTCTGTTGGTGAGGCGCATTTGCCAATAGCTTATCAAAATTAAGCTCAACGGGCTCGCAATCTTGCATGATCGGCTGTCTGCGGAGTACGATACCGTAAATAATCAGTAGATCAGCCTTGATGCGACGAGGCTGCAGATGTGCGATGAAAGCACGTGCTAATCTTGAACCAGTCAGGAAAGGCGCTAAACTACATAGAGTTAAGAAGGTTGGAGCTTCCCTGTTGCTTGGCGCATTTTGAGTCGACGTCACGCCCCAAACAAACTGGAGCCAATCACGAGAGAGCCTTCGACCCCAAGGAACACCGGAATATGTTTGCTAGAGCCGCACAACTTGGAATACAACGGTAGAAAAGTGAATAGATCCATCGTAATGTAGAGGATCGTCACGGATAGATCCTGTTGTATTCTGAAACAACATTTCTGAGATGAACGCCCCATCAAAAAGGTCTCCCAGCCATTTCCCCACCCATACACGTAAATTCCCGTGGCTGGCGCCTTGTCCACTTGGATCCTGCGTACTCGTAAACACGCACTCTCTCCACGGGAACTCAATTGACTTGACTTGACTTGACTTCGACCTCTGTGCGCTGCAAACAACAATCCATTCGACGCCCTCGCCGGTCCCTCTTCTTCTCAGCTTTTTTTGTTCCGGCCATGATCTCTTGATTCCGACTACTTTACTGCCTTCTGCCAGTCCCAGCAGCCTCGTATGCTGCACTGCTCCCTCCCCTCACCCGTCCCGCCGCAATCCTGAGTTGAGTGAGCTCAAGATTTCAAGATGGCAACAAAAGCGAGAGGGGCCATCAATGCTGCACATACCGCAGGCATCTTTGCCGATATGTCCCTCGATGGACCAGAGATTGGAACGTTGGTTGCGGTCGTCGACAGAGCGAAGAACCTCCCCAACAGAAAAACAATGGGGAAGCAGGATCCTTACTGTGCGATGAGACTTGGCAAGGAAGCAAAAAAGACCGACACAGACAAGAGAGGTGGTCAGACACCAAAATGGTACGTAAACCTAGCAGCGTCACTAGGACGAGAAGCTGACTGCAAAACAGGGACCAAGAACTCAGATTCGTCGTCCACGATTCCCTGGACTACTACAAGCTCAAGTGCTCCATTTTCAACGACGACAAGAAGACAGATCTTATTGGAGAAGCATGGATCGACCTACAAGAAGTCATCGTCCCCGGTGGTGGTCAGAATGACCTGTGGCATCAGTTGAACTTCAAAGGCAAATACGCCGGCGACATCCGGATCGAATTGACCTTCTACGACTCACGACCCAAGCCAGAAGCACTATTCGACAAGAGGAAACAAAGAGACAAGTCTCATTCCACAGCAAGCGATATCGCAGCTAGTGCCGGTGCTGGGAGCAGACAACTTGGCCCGCGAGAGATTAAAAGGCGGCCTTTGCCGCCAGGCCCAGGAGGCTATTCATCACCAGCCTCGGCCCAGAATACCCCAGAACAACCGCCTTTCTCTACCATACAACCCGATTTTGCACCAGATGCCTGGATAAACCGACAGCAAAATAATACCAATCCCCCACCACGACCACCCAAGCATCCCGTTATGCCCGAAACTCCCGATGATATTGGATATGACCTGGTGTCGGAATGCCCCCAAGATCAATATGAACCAATGCCTCCCGCAATGAAACACTCTTACGATCAAAGATCAACATCTTTTGAAGGCGGACATGGTCAACAAAGGCACCACTTCGATCAACGACATTCCTCACAAGAATATTATGATGACGATGCAATTCCTGATCAATATGCAATGGATGTATACGGGGAAATCCCTCCGATGCAGGAACAGCCGCTACCTATGATTCACAGAGCCAGTCGCTCACACGACCCTTATGAGCCGAACACGCCGCCGCGTCATGGACAACCTGCTTCCAACACTTCACCATACTACTCGTCACCTCCGACTCAGGCTATTCAATCAATGCCAGGTGTGCCTGGACCGCAACCACTTCCGTGGCAGAGTAGAGGTAGTCCCTCGCCAACTAAACATGCAGTTTACAGAGATAGCCCCCTTCGACAATCTATCAGCCGACATGATATGGCCTCTCAACCTGATCATTATGTCGAGCAACCCTATGATGATGAGCCACCCCCACCGCCTCCGGCTCACGGCAGCCAACTTGTGAGAATGCCCGTGCCTCCCGCTTCCAATCATACCGGCTATGGTTCACCTATACGGACACCTGCGAACCACGACTCTATAGAAGAACGAAGCCCTCTACAAAAGCTGGAGTATAACCCCTACCAAAGACCCTCCCCTTCGGCTCAAGAATTCGATAATCAGTATTCGCCTGTCCCCTCCTGCGAGTACGATGCAGGGGATGACTATGGTTCCTACCGTGATCAGTCTTCCAAGAGACGAAGCTCCAACAATGGTGCTCCTGACAGCTTTCAACCAAGACCAAGTTCTCACGTCATGACTCGCAATGGTCAAGAATTGCCACAGAATAGATCTCAACAAAGGTATAGTGCAAGTCCACAGGACGAGTTCCGACATTCTCCTAGCCATGGACGACCGGCCGACAATGGACATCGGAATAGCTACGGCCCACCTCGACGAGCACAGACCTTTGACAGCTTTGATGCTGCAGACGATAGACAAATGAAACGATCGGAGCCCTTAGTTGTTCGACCGCGCGCTATTAGCCCTGCTCACACCATCCCGCGTAAGTCCATCACTCCAACACCCACTACTCCAGAAGCGCGAAATAGCATGGGAAGCACACCATTCGGCCCCGACTCGTACGATGTTCTGAATCCGGGCACCAGTCCTCTAGCTGATGTTGGCCCTTTCGCAACCCCGGAACATGCCAAGGAAGCCTCGCGTCAGAACGAGCTCGACAAAATGAGGGATCCAGGGCCAATCATAGGTAACGACGGACGTATAATTGATCCGTCAGATCACTTGCCTGCCGACACTTGGGCTCCTGAGCCTGAGAGGAAAAGTCGTAAACCAGAGCACGTCATCAAAATCCGAACAAGGGAGGAGGCACGCATGCACCATCGAGCTGGATCGTCTCCAGCATCAGCCAGACCGCACTCCATTGCTACATCTCCCTATCAAGCCTCTCCTGAATATGCTCAGCCTCCTCAGAGTGAGGTGTCTCCGGCTCTGCCCCCCAAAATCCCGCCTTCCCCACAGGCAGAATCTACCCCTGGGCGAAACAGGCTCAAAAAGGCCATGCCAACTCGTCCACTCCCAAACAACCCCTATCCTCATGCACATACTAGCCCCGCTGTCATGACTGTCAGCTCACCAGTGGAAAGGCCCAGCCCAACAACTCAAAGGTACTCGATCGGGTCATCACCTCCGAGTGGTCATGTTCAACGCCCGCCTTTGGCCGAATACCAGATCCCAGCAGGAAACACATACCATCAGCGGGGTGGTTCAGCACGGCCCGACTATTCACAATCACCTTCTCCCACGAAAGCGTCATACCCACCACCACCAAGCGTCGCAGACTATGGGGGGTATGGTGCAGATGATTCGCTAGCACTTGAGCTCAGTACAATAGATATTGGCCCGTCAAGAGGCCTGCGGACTGCAGTGCGGTCTAGTCGTGGCTATGGCGGGTACTAGAAGACCTTCTGGTGGTCCCTTGGATTCGATTGCATTATAATTATGGCATTGGTACTCCCTGGAAGAGGAGTTTTGCATTGGCATTGAATAAAACGACAATGTGTCACAGTATCACCCAGCTTGGACAGTGGCTGTGGTTGATGGCGTTGGATCTTTGTATACAAATGGCGGGTGAGAAATGGCCGATACTGGGGATGAATGATTTCTCATTGTTTGATCGAGTCAAGCTGATACCCGGAGAGAACCATAACAATAATAAGAAATGGTAGTCTTTATTCTTCAATTCCCCTCCGCGGAGCAATGCCTACCATTCCACCACATCAACTGTAAGTTGACGGTACAACAATCCCTTCTTTCTCACTTGTTAAGTTATCAATGATTGGTTGTCATTGACGTCTCCGAATCCGAATCGGCCCTCGAACATCATCAATCCCGCTTGCTTCATCGACAACTTCACCACGCTGCAGGATCTCCACCTCGCCGCGGTCGCGCGCCTCAAACGCCATGCTCCGCAGCCGTGGCATCAGGTCGCGCCATTCCCGGACCCCGAGGGTCCGCAGCTCGGTCACTGACAGTGAGCGAGCGATCTCTGACGGACACAGCGTCTTGGGGTGTGCCCGCTGCGAGAGCTGCTGTAGGAAATGTTCCGAGAGCATGGTTTCTGCCATTGAGAGGCCGCCGACATTGGTTAGGGCGGGTGATTGGGTGAGAGATATGGTGAGGTGGTGTAATTGCGCTAATAGGAAACCGACGCATGGACGAATGGGAGGGTTGTCGTTGGTTACATAATGAATGAACCCAATGAGTCGAATCGTGAGTCGAATCATTCATTACATAAGGAGTCGAATCATTCATTACATAAGGAGTCGAATCATGTATGCATGAGTCGCGGCAGATTCGGAGTCGTGAGAGTCGACTCTTTAATCCTTGCTGGATCACGTCAGGCCCAATTGGGCATGCTGCGATTCCTAAATAGGCATTATCACGATCTCAATGAATCCACCCCTAAGCCAATGAACTCTGAACGACGCGAAGAGCTTTCTCTCCTTTCCATTCGTAGGGACTTTGGTGGTCGATCGTGTTGCTTAACTGGCTTATACCCTCCTTGCGGATCATGTACTTTTGTGTCTCTCGGTATCCGCCTGTGCTGGTTGACAACATCAATTAGTGCGCTACTCACATGGCAGGAATCGCAGTACCACTTCCTGGACTCCCGTGCAAGGGCGCTCCGCTAGCATAATTGTGTTCATACCAGGTTGCGCTGTGCAATCGAAAGACGTGCTTGCGACTAGGCCCGTGTGTTGCTGGCACGCGTTTTGTCCATCTGGTCCACATGGCGAACTGATACTTCACTGCTCTCGTTCGAGATCTTTCTTCGATTCCATCGCCTGCTACCATCCGAAGTCGGTCTTTCTGTATGGTTTGATGGTCTAGCGGCAAAGCAAATGCCATCACTATTCTAGATTGCCGTGGTTGACAAAGAGAACTCAGGAAGCGCTTTGTAATCCAGCCGGGCGTCAAGCTAGGTGCTTGGTATACTTCTCCCGACCAGTATATGAATCTTGGCAGAGCTCAACCTGCAATTCTATCTACGTTTGACTTGAAGCTCAACGAGAATTACTCAAACCGATGCACAGATCTAACGATTTGTCCTCACCGTGTCGATACGCTGGAGCTTCTGACAATACTTAGCATTCTGCAATTGCCGGCATAACCTCCCAGTCACCACCACACCGTGCCTCACAATATAAACATGTTACAACACAAAGATTACAGAACGTTGCACATCAATTCTGATTACCTCTGATGAATTTACATAATTTACTGGGTGCTTTAGCGTGGAAAACCGCATTGGTTGGATCTGTGCAGACCATCGTCGACTCAAGATTGGAGTATGTCAAACTCGGCGCGGAGCTGATTTCCTTTCATGATTATGACAATCTTAACGATGCCATCGACTATGGCCGCTTCATCCTATCCAAGGGGCGCGAGAATTTGGGGGATCAAGCCAGTAAAGGAGAGAATGCGTCTGCGAACGGAGAAAATGGAAACACTGTGATGTCTTGACGACTGGTCCTGGTTCTTGCTGATGGTAACGTAGCCACTTACCCGAGTTGCAGGTTTGAAGACTCAGACTCGCAAATACTGAATAGTTGTGACCGATCTAACATGGCTAGCATCTTACTTCCCACAGCCATCAGCTCTGATTCAGTTAATCAATTGGAACCGGCTCTGCAACTTTTGCGTCCACATCCAGGGGACCTCTCTTACCGTCAGGGTCTGCATTCGCAAGCCACATGACCCTAGTCTTCAAACTGTTGGTTAAACGGTTCTATAATATATGGCATCTTGTAACCAGTAGTTGCATAATTCCAAGTAGGAGATTTTTGGTATCCTCTCTTTCAGTAATGCCCTCTCAAGATTGAGTCTACCCACAATGTATGAGGGAGGATGAGGGAGTCGAAAGATGCCGACCGCTGTCAAAAGATTTCGTCCGACCCCGCAGCCTTGGCAACATTGTTGCCGGAAGAGCTTCCGAATTTTTCGGCTTTCTCTGTAGGAGAGTAAAACCGCTTGGGTCCTCGTTTCCGGTTCGACTTCCGACTTCTTTCGCCAAAGCATCCGGCATAGCATTGTAACAGATGAGGGCGTTTTAGCGCCATCTACAGGAATGGAAACCGACGACAGAGAGGACAACCGCCCTGGGAAGAGACAGAAAGTGGCCGTGGCATGCGATAGGTGTCGTTCGAAGAAGGTGAGTGAGCTGGCGGTAAACCGTGACCTCGAAATCTGACTCGAATTTCTCAAAGGTCAAGTGTGACAGTATACGTCCAGGTAAGACTCTAGGTTTGGGGTCGACTTTGCCCCATGTTTTAAGACACGGAGCCATCCATCACAGGGTGATATCCATCAACAGATCTTTGTTCAGCTTACGGTGAATCTCGATTCGCCTCCCCACTGCCCCCGATGACTCAGAGGAGCTGAGAAGACAATATCATCAGTGGGAATACGCTAACTAATGATGAATTCGGAACGCTAATGCTAAAGTGACAGTTTGTGGGCCATGCTCGCGAAGAAAAGATCGAGCCAATCACTGTACTTGGGATAGTGGAGATGCTCGAAGTCTTCAAATGTCAACCACTCAAGTTATGCACCTTCAGAGGCGCGTCAGGGAGCTCGAGGAGAGCAGACAAAACAAAGTCATGTCATATCATACAGATGCGAGGGAGACAGAAGACTATCCTATCGAAAAACCGCAAACTTCTCTGCTGGCACTGTTGGCCGACTTCAGTGACCAGGAGAGGGCTAAGGGAGAAGAGCAGAGCCATCGCCATAACGAGCCAATAAGGTCGTTCAATGAATCCACACAAGGCCATAGACCGTCAACTGTGTCCAATCTATCACCCCAATCAAGTGCTCCGACTGCTCACTCCCCAAAAGATCCAAAATTCAAAAACAGTCACCCACAGCAGGCTGCTACTAGTGGCATGATCGGATCTCTACCAGACCAAGGCCCAAGCCATGAATACTTTGGGGGGTCAAGTGCTGGCAGTTTTGTTGGTCAAGTCCGCGCGGCAGTGTCCCAAAAATTGAATGTGAGGGACCAGCGCTTGCCCACCGACGAGATTACTGACGGCTCTGACCCATCAAGCGCAAGGCTCCAAAGTCATTCTCGCTTACCGATCGACTTTGTGCTTCCTTCAAGAAGGAGAGCAGATGAACTTATGGAGGTGTACTGGGAGTTTGTGTACCCTTTATATCCATATGTCGACAAGACAGAGACCATCCTCAAATATCAAGACTTGTGGAAAGAAAAAAGTGACTACGATGAGGAGGCCATATTTATTTGCGGCTTGAACGTCATCTTTGCACTTTCATGTCAACTGATCGGGGAGACACATCAACGTGAAAACTCAGCAAAGGTGTTTTTTGAGAGGGCGAAGTCTCTTCTCGATCCATGGCATTCTGGGTCTTTCCAGTACGTCCAAGTCTGCCTACTGCTCGGACAATACTTTCAAAGCACAAATGACCCTCACCAATGCTGGACGACAGTTGGAATGGCAATCCGCACGGGGCAAAGTCTGGGACTTCATCTTCCAGAAACATCCGAGAACACGGCGTCACCACGGAAAAGGGAGCTTCTGAGGAAGGTCTGGCACGGTTGTGTCATCATGGATCGAATAACATCTATGACATACGGGAGGCCGACCATGATTGGGAAGGATCTCGCAGCAGCTGTGCCACGGCCCTTAGGCATTGATGAGGACAGGCTACAGCCCTTTGGACCCGTACCCACACCGGATCGACCATCTATAGTCGACTTCTTCGTGGAAACGCTAGGCCTTTACGAGATCCTCTATGACATTCTCGTAGCATTTTATTCCTCGTCAATAGCCGATGATGGGTCAGGAGAAGGCCGGTGGGCAAGGTACTTTGGCGGTTCGGAGCCTGACACGAACAAGGGCCCATCTGTGCATGCCATTGACCGGAGGCTGATCCGCTGGGAGGCCAATCTGCCTTCCCATCTAAAGACTGAACAAGTCTCTACTCAAACTGAGACAAACAAGTATTTCGTGCGCCAGGCGGTGATACTTCGCCAGAGGTACTTTGATGGCTTCCTGCTAGGTATTACATGCTAAAAGTCAATAGATATCTCCACATCAGACTACTTGCACTTCGGCCAGTGCTCTCTGCGTATGTTGCTGCAGAAACGAGCAACGACGACATCACCAGCACATTTGGTGGCATCCTCACTCAGCGCATCGCTTTTCAATGCGCAATTGTCTGTATCACTGTCGCTCAAGATACCATCGACCTTGCCTATACCCGACGATCTGGTGATCCAGCGGCCGTCGGTCCGATCGCAGCTTGGTGGTACAACGTCCTATTCGTCTACTCTGCCGCAACTGTGCTGGTGGCAGGCAAGCTCTGCCCCTCCATTCTAACAGAACTAAGTGAGAAGTCGATTTCCCGCTCATGGCATCGAGCTATCGAGATTCTCGAACACTATCAGGCTTTCGGGCCGGTCATCAAGCAATTAGTCGCGGCACAGCATGTCCTATTCAATACCCTTCCAGAGCATTACTCACAGACTAAAGGATCGAGGCGGCCCGAAAACAGCTCAGGCCACCTTGATCTTGATGCTAACAATCTGTCTGCGCTATCGTCTCGTTATATTGCACCGATGGGCCCAAACCCCTACAGCCATTTGGATTCAGATATTGATGTTGGCGGCGGCTGCAATCCTTTGGCTTCTGCGGATTTGAGCAATCAAGCGTTCAATTACGATTTCGACTTCGTGTTTGACAACAACGACCTATCCTGGCTCAATAGCATGCCATTCGAGCTCTGAACTCTGATTTCTAGCAAGAGGAAATCTTTCAGTTTATGGCACCTTGATCTTCAACAGCTTCTCAGCATTGCGATAGGCAATGTCCTCCACCGCCTCGTCACTGACCATCCCGCTGAGACGAAACGGCTCTATCTTACCGTGAATGAATAGCTAGCGGATAGTAAGATAGAGTTTCTCGTGGGAAACAAATTCACCGTTGCAGACATTGCGATTTCTATATAGGCTCGGGACGCTCGACAGATCAGGTTCATTCAAGTTCTTTTCAATGCTTCTGTTAAACTCTCCTCCAAACCCGTCCATCCCATAACCCCAAAGTTGGATTTCAGCAGTGCCTCAGCTCGCCTTCTTACCTTGTCCACATTGGTAAGATCGCGAGGTTCGTCCTTGGGACCATCCGGAATGGATTTGTTGTCAGGTTCCAACCTCCGAAGAATGCCCACGACGTCGTTCCAGTTGAACTGTTCCGCAAATGCGAAGAGTCGTTCTGACTGCACGGTGGGATCAAGTAGTGCAGCGACGTGGAGGCGCGCGTTGTCTCGAACGTGCACAAAATACTCTATGGTGAAACAAGCTGTGAGTAAAGAGCGTCCATTGTGTCGGAAATTTGAACACTCACGTGGCTGGATGATATCAGTCCGCGGCTTCGCACCATCCAAGAGAGCCAGGACATGAGGCATCGAGCTGGTGGTGATTTTCGGGCACAATGGTTTGCCCATCTGAAGTGGCTGGTGGTTAATCTTTGGGGTTTCAACACCTCTGCTGGGGAGCACTTACATTGAAATTTGGAAGCACGGCGTTGACGCTGAAGTGTGGGTGTTTCCACGCAACCCAATCCCACAGGGCACGCTCACCCAGAGTTTTTGACGCAGCGTATATCATTAGCGGAAGTGCCTCCGCTGGCGTTTCCTTGCTGTAAGCGGCTGCTGGCGCGCCCTGGTTCCAACTGTCTGTGTATGATCGTCAGACGAAAGCAGAATGTACGTCGCTGAGGGGACCAATCGGCCTACATTCATCGACTACCACGTTTGGCTTGACGAATTCCGGCATGCAAGCGGCTATCGATGACGAGGTCAGCACAAAACTCCTGACCGACCCCGACTTTGCCGCCGCATCGAGAGCATTGCGCGTTCCAGCTACCACGTGGGGCACCACTGCATCGACATCGGAGGTGGATGGCAGGATGCTTGCCTGATGACCGTTCGAAAACCCATCAGCCCTGACATTACATACGATACGCTGTCTCCTTGGGATTGTGGTGGGGTGGGGGAGCGTACCGAATGCACAATGCCGGACATCCCTCTAGCAGCACGGTCGAACCCAGCCGAGTCGGTCAAATCTGTCACAATGGCAACCTCGAACACTGCCTCTCCATACTCTTTCGCGAAGAACTCGGCCAGCCATGGTGCTTCTTCGTGAGATCGGAGAGTTCCACGCACTCGATAGCCGTTCTGGAGGAGTATGTCGATGATATGGGAGGCTATATATCCGTTCGCACCGGTGACCATGATCCATTCCCCTACAGAGATGCGTCGGTGCGTGGATAATACATTCTTGCCAGGACATGTGTTAGCAGTCATGCTGCGAGAAGGACGATTTGGCTACGACCTTAGGCACGTCCTCCCGTTGGGTTTCCTGTAATGATTCAGCCTTCGAGATGCTTCTGGCCTCGATATTTGGTATGGAGCTCTTCAACTGGCGCTTCCACGATTTAGCTCATAGTCTTTTTGTAGCTACCTAGGGAGTAGGCAAGTGCGGTAGAAACAACTCCAAAAGGTATGGCAATAGCAAACACCGCCTGGAAGGCGTCGGTCAAAACGGTTTTCCATGCCAACACATCGGCTTGGACCGTCGGAAGATTTACTCCCGGGACCAAGCTCACGCTGGCATCGTGAGATCCGATTGCCGCGGCAAAATCCAGGATGGAAGCGGTTGGAGCACCCACCCTCACAGCGGCTCTCGGTTTTGTACGTGGAACTCTTTCTCAATTCTTTCCCGGATTGAGGAAAGGGTGACTCAACAACTATCAAGCTAATGAGTGGAGCAACGGTGGTAGATTCGAGATTCATGCGCAGTCCGAAGGCGGACTTCATCCCAGATGCAGCTTCCCACCCCTTAGATAGGGTTCGGCTTTCCTGAGCCGACAGTGCGTGTGGCGGAAAGACTTACCGTATGACACACTTCTTTACGCCTTAGCAGCGACCATCGGACTAGCGGGCTGCTACCGGGTGGTATTGATGTCATTCGGTTCTCATGCCTGTAGGAATTTCTGAGTGTGTTCGCCTCGTAGCTCGCGGCACAAAGCTGATTCGTGTGGAGTTGGACATGGGTAGCCGCAAAAGCCGCTTCTTGCAACAATGAAGCACGTCAAAGCTCATGAAACGTCAATCCATGTAGCCAAGCAACAGGAAAATGGCCATGTTATTGATATGATTGTGATTCTCTGTCTATATTACTCATGCGACCATCTTTATCGCCTAAGATCAAGACCGCTGCAAGCATAAGTGTTGATGATTTTTCACCAGTGCGACAAGTGGGCGCCAACATACCGCTAGTGAGGACGCATCCCCATAAATTCGCAGATCATGTAGTCGTGGTGACTGGGGCAGCGCAGAGAATTGGAAGACGTGATTGCAACTCGCGGCTAGATCGACGTCCTATATCACCTTACGGGCAAAAATTCCTATTCTAAACCAAAAATCCGCCGACTATACTCGCATTATAAGCATCAGTATAGATAGCTATTTCTACTTACTAAGGGTAGTACTGCTATATAGAGAGAGGGCCGGCTACGGGCCTACGGCCGTATTCAATTAATACTACTACGGCATAGTATTATAGCTCCGTCGCTAGGTAGACCGGTATATATCAAAGCTAAAGCCTAAGGGGGCTGTAGCGACTTTCATAAGAGCTATTGTAACTAAACTAGTCCAGGTATACTATAAAGTCGTCTGGATCCGGTGACCTCCCGTTCGCTATCACATCGGAGCCGTATAACCCTTGCAAGCGTTATAAACCCGCTGGTGATTACAAATGCTTCATCAACCGAACCAGCATTTCGGCGTCATCGCCCATCCGCACTTCAGCCCCTCCAAAGCGCCGGAAATTGCGGACCTGGATCAGATAGATGAAGCACTCCACCCGGACCATGTTCTGTTACAAATACGACAAGACCAGCCGAGCAATCATATCGCCCGGTCCCAGGGGAATCTGATCATGTAACAGTATAAATACCGAATTTGACAGCCCAACATCAAAGTTTATTGAACAGGGAGAGAATACAATGTTGACATCCATGCTTCTTCGGTGCGTGGCAGTCGCTGCCTTTGCCTTGGGGTCAACCGCTGGGGGCAGTACACTAGCTCAAGGAGATTCGCTCAACACCATTTCGGATCTGAAGGTTCACTACCAAAACTACATCAACGCCCTCAATGGAAATATCACACCGAAGTCTCTGGAACCCTATATCGCAGAAGGCGTCGTTGCGCTCGGCTCAGCGTTCTCAGTTGCCGAGGTCGAAGCCAACGTCAGAGACGCGCAAGCCGAGCTCCCCGGCCTGCATTTCGATGTGGTTCAAATCATCGTTGAGAAGGTCCCCGGTCCGCTCGGGCATCAAGGATTCGCACACATCGCAGTCCTCGCAAACGTCTCCTTCGTTTCCGACCTGACCACAACCCCCGTTACCGTGCTAGAGTATGTCTTTTACCAATTCGAAGCTGGAAAGATCGCAGCCGCATCGTCGCTCGTGGACACCAGAGGATTGTCGGAGAAACAGGCAGAATCGGCTCATAACAGGTTGTGATATCGCTCGTGCGTTGTTGCACAATCGGATCATGTCGATGGGAGCAGGCAAACTATTGCCAGGTTGATGGGCCTGCCGTGACGAGGCACTGTCTGACATGTCGGAAGTTTCGACAAGCCCATCAGTTGTTTCGTGAACATCACTGACCAGTCTATCCCTTCCGCAGACGGGTGGGTGCTCTTTTGTGTTAGCGCGTGCCACCTCAAAACTCTGTATGCCTCGATATCAGGATTAGCAGACTTCTTATTCCCACTACTAGCTATTTTCTATGTCTATGAGCATGAAACTTCTGGAAGTAATCAAGCTTGACACACACAGATTTAAGTGACACAACTCGCAGCCCATAAAAGACGTTTTTGGCCTTTCCCGGGAGCGATTATCACGCCGATTGCCTGACAACTCCGTGAGTGCTTTTCGCTCGCCTTTATGCCCATTTTGCTCAACGGCAAGGCCTTCATCTGGAAGGAGAGTTCCCCAGGCGCAGAATGCGCGCTTTGGAATTCTCGTAGGCCTGTGATTTGATACGTAGCAAGTTTTCGATTTACAAATAACTCGTGAGCCCTAAGGGCCGCCTGAACACCAGGCTACTGGTATCGAAGCTAGATTAAGTAGGAACTAGGGAGGCATATCGAAAAAAGCTAGTAAGTAAGTGGCCGCTAGGTCCTTTTATCTCTCTTAATTTGTAGGTCTAAATTGCTCCGTAGCTAGCTAGCTAAATCAACGTAGCCTTTAGAGTAATTATACTCATCAATGGCGACAGGGATTAGAAGATCCCTAAGTGCCTTGTCACCAAAGACGAGCGCCGCAACCTTATTACTCCTTGCTCTACGCCGTGTCCTAACGATAAAGTGCTCTGGTTCATCACTAAGAGCAAAGGCAGTAGTAATATTAATGATAGGTGCATTATCTTGCTAGATAAAGTAAAGGCAATACTCTATTACCTCTATAAAGGATCGGCCGTACGTAAACGCCTCGTCGGTTTACTCAATATCGAGAAATCGCGGTGGGAGCCTAGGCTGATTTTTACGTATAGTACCCATCACGCTAATATCGATTGCGAGTAAGGCATACGGAAGGTCTTTCGTTATGAACAAGTTATCTATAAATACTACGTATTTAGTAGTGGGATCGCGGTTCCGGAGTTCGTGGTACAGACTCTATACTAATTGGTAAGTAGGAGCAAGTTTAATAGGGTGTGCTTTGCCATAGTATTGATATAGCCTCGCTTTATCACCAATTGACTCGGGGCCTTGCCTGCCGCTGTGAAATAGCCAGCTCCACGTATATCCGCCGGAACAGCCTAATTGCCAGGCCTTATATCCCTCTAGAACTAGCTTATTCTTGACTAAAACTTTGTCCTTAGAGCGCCCCGTAAAAAGAGCCATTCTCTCGTCAATAGTAACTCATGTAGACGGTTTTACTGCGCCCCCGCAGTTCTCACGTACTAAAGAGGCTAGTGGCATAAGGCGGTGCTAATACGGCTCCTCTTGGGTGAGTGGTTGATTGTTGACAGAGAAATGGCGGTGCATTGAGTGCTGCTCATCCAGGAGCCTAAATAGTGGCCTTTTCTAGGCGCGAGGCTACCCAGTAATTCTCTGTCGCCTTTTCTGTGTGTCTAGCTATATAAATCGCGATAGCAAGCCAATGGTAGAAGCTTGCTGGACGAGTTTCTTTCCATGGACCGGCCCCCCCGCGGCGCAGGCACGTAAGTTGCTGCTTCCTCGTTCGTGGCCGTACAAATTACCTCCAAGGCCACGGCGCCGCCTAAGAAGTTAAGGAATAAGTCAATTGGCTTTTTCTCATCCTAGAGCACTTTAAATGACTCATTTTGAGTACGTACTGGCGGGGTAAAGTGAGTGGGTTGGTGCTTCGGCACTTGCGGGAGCGATTTCAAGTGCCTGGACCTCCTTTTTCTGCCTTGTTTTTCTTTTGATCATTCAGGTACCTGAGGGTCAACTGATGCCTCCCAGATAATTTTCGGCTTAGGAATACGCCCAAAACGCGTTGATTGAGCCATAGTTAGTCCGCTAAGTACTGATGTTGACAATTCGCGTTTTTGAGGTGGCACGCGCTAACCCAAAAGAGCACCTACCCGTCTGCGGAAGGGGTAATTAACAAGTCTTTTATCCCCGCAATCTTTCGACCACCGAGGTGATTAATCGTCCCGGATGGTATTCGTTTGCTCAACCAGTCGCGAATCATTTGTAGTCAGTGCTGGATGTATACCAGTGTTCTCGTTTTAAGCACATTAATGAGATAGAAACTCCTGCTCCGTAACTCCTATCACCGACCCGCTCATTTTCGGTCCCAAACGCAATGATCCGTACACCTACACAGTTTACCGAGCAGGCCCTGAGCAGACATAGAAGCAGCTTCTGGCGTTTCCAACCCATCGGTTGAACTCATTGTCTGAATAGGGCGGTTCGCCCAGCGTCGAGTAATTTTGTGGCCCACGTGGTGGAAACCGATCGCGGATCTCACAGAAAGCTGGGTGGGCGGGATGTTCTCCGTCTAGGCCGAGAGCCTTCAGGCATGTGCGGATGAGAGTTCCTATAAATCCGCACAGGTCGGGACTCTACTTCGCTAGATCGCATACCCCATGGGGTATGCAGGTGAGCGCCCATGGTCACTGGCCACTATCCACGGCCACTCTTCCGCCACGTCTGTTCCACAGTCGGGATTTGTAGAGTATATAGATGTCAAAGCTCGGCGTGGCCATCGCGCAAGGCCTTTTCATGATAGTAAGCTCTGCACCCGAAAAACCTGCCCTTCGCAGAACCCACCCCACTAATAGGATCCATGCGCATACCTCCCACGATGGCTGCCAGCGGTACCCCAACCCATCACCTCGACTGCAAGGAAGACTTTTCCAACGCCAATGAGGGCAAAGCTTCGACCGCGAAGACGTCATCAGAGGTCCAAATCGAGGATGCCACCCACGATCAAGAGGGCAATCTTGTCTACAGTGATCCGGACGTTGAACCGGAGATCCACTGGCGGACCTGGGTCGCATTCTTCGCCGTGACGCTGCTCAACTTTACCTACTCGCAAACTACCGCTGGCGTACCCGTCGCAGTGAGTATTCTTCTGAAATCCGTGCATGAAAAATGATGTGCTGATCCAAAAATCTCGAATTTACAGTTGAGTTTTATCGCCGCCGACGTCAACTTAACCGCAGATGCAGCCTGGATTGCCAATGCGCCGTCTATTGCAAACGCAGTGCTGTCGCCCATCTTTTCGGTTGCTTCAGACACATTTCAGGCTAGGAAGGGTATCATGGTCGGTGCCTGCTTGACAGCATTCGTCGGATCTGCGATTGGAGCTGGAGCCAACAGCCTCTGGCGGCTGGTTTTCTCCCAGACGCTTCAAGGCGTAGGTGTCGCGATCGTTTCAGTCGTCTATACCGTCCCCGCCGAGATCTTACCTAGAAGATGGCGACCCAGTGAGTCACGCTAACAGAAACAGCCGTACAATTCAACTGATACATGACTGCAGTGGCTCAAGCTTCCCTCTTGGGCGGCTCTGCCATATCTTGTATGGTTGCACCCCTCAGTCTTGGTGGACTTATCAAGCATCAGCCTCACGGCGGCTGGCGAAACTATTTCGTGAGTCAAAGACTGCTGTGGACCAGTCACCTTCTGTGATACTAACCTGTAAAGTGGATCCAAACCGCCCTCTGGGGGTTGTCTACGGTGACACTCTTTGTTGGCTACCGACCACCGAAGCGCCACACACGATATCAAAATTATTCCCTGTGGCAGAAAGTGTTGACCCTCGATCTTACCGGCTTCTTTCTCTTCACGGCCGGCCTGACATTACTCCTCGCGTCAATCAGTGTCGGCGCCGGCAGCTTCGCGTGGAGCAGTGCCAATTTTCTCGCCCCGTTCTTGGCCAGCATCGCTGTGTTAGCCGCTCTGGGGGTCTGGGAGTGGAAGGGGACCTCCACCGGGATGTTTCATCACGATATCTTCTCGTCGGTCAACCTGAGTGGTAGACGCTTCATCCTCTCGGCGTTACTGATCGCTTTTGAAGGGCTCTTACTGTTCAGTATTGTCGTCTTTGTGCCGATGTTGTGAGTCATTTTCGTTGTCCTTTTCAGATGGAATGGGTGTTGACATCTCCAACAGGTCTGCAGTCTTCTCATCGGATCCATTCATCATTACTGCCCGAATTGTGCCATTCTATTTTTGTGCGTCTGTCTCGGCTTTCATCTATGGCTATATTGGCACCAAATTCAGGACCGTCCGATGGCCCCTCATGTTCGGATTCCTCATGTATGCTGCCGGCATCGGAGCTTTGATATCTGTTCGCCCGAATAACTCTACCAACGCATTGATCTTTTCTGGACTTGCGGGACTTGGGCTTGGAGCACCACTCGCTCTTCTTTTTGTCTCAGTACAGCTTGCCGTCCCACACCATGTCCTGGCAACGGCGACCGCGTTGGTTGCATCCGCAAGGGCCATCGGGATCTCCATATCCACCGCTGTTTTTACCGTCGTACTCAGCAAAGTAACGGCATCCAAGGTAGCAGCTTGGGTCCCAGACGCTGCCGTCGCAGCGGGCGTTCCGGCTGCCGAACTTTCCGCTTTTGTCACAGCCATCGCATCCAGCGATCCTGATGTGAGCAATATCCCAGGAGTCACTGCCACCATGATTCAAGCGGGCGTCATGGCGATGAAGAACGCCACCTGTGACGCTTTACATGTGGTGTTTGCTATTGCGCTGCCCTTCGGGTTGATATCGGTCCCTATCGCCTACTTCCTGGGTAGCTACAAGGACTCCATGAACTATATTGTGGAAGCTCCGATGGAAGAGCTACATGCAAAACGCGGCCAGGGAAAACTTGCCGAGGATTGACTCGAGAACTAGACCGTCGAAGACGGCCTAGTTGTAAGAGCATCGAAGGCGGAAACTCAGTAACTCGTAAGATGTATCCTGTATATAGTTTCTGTTATTTGCTCTATTGAACTCCTTAATATATAGCAACAAGAGTGGCCCTAAATCAACCTATCAACCCACCATAGACTCTCCGCCATGGAATCTCTCTGGAGATCATCTGTAAGACAATTCTAGGGCAGATTCTAGGTAGTTTCGGAGCGATTTCGGCAGACTGACATTGGTAGAGGCAACGCCTTGGCCGGGACCTTTTGAATGCCTCTATGGGAGATACATAGAATTCGCCCGTCCTTCTAGTGTGTATGCGTGTTCCGGTGTACTGAGAGTCCCGGTCGGTGTGGTGAGACTCCCTACGCCGTTTGTCAGCGCTTTGCCTCAGGAGCTGTCAGAACGGAAGTGGGCTTTGAGCGTGCCCGTGCCGCATATCCCACATTTCGTTGTTCGGGACGATCTTCCCAGGCCGAGGAGAGTTCACGAACCAACTATCGCGCCCCGCAAGCTGGATGATTCCCACTCCGCAGTCTCTGTACCATGTCGAAGCACAGAAACTGGGAGCGAGTGCTGCAATAGTGATCACCTCCAAGTGTTTTAAGCATATGATTGTGTTACAAAACGATACATTTGGACGCGCATGTGGCTGGCACATGGCTGGTCAGAGGCAACTGGGCAACCAGTACGGAAGCAGACACCAAATGTGAAGGGCGATATGTCACCATCGTTTTGTGTGTTGTTCATCGTTGTCCAAGATTCCAAGTAGGGTCGAAAGAGTGGCTAATGCCCATCTCGCCAGCTCGCCGAGCTACCCTACTGCTAAATCAGACAGCATACAAACTCGAACAAACGACATATGTGACTGCCGATGCATGTATTGGGTTTGTCGAAAGCGACGCACTGCTACGGAAACTGGCTTCTGACGGACCATTCATAAATTACGCAAAACTCTCTAGATATTGACCAGCACTTCCCCTCCAACTTTTTTGTCCTCCTGATGGCCAAACATAACGAAGGACTTGTCATGGTCGATGAATTTCTGCTCGTCGGGCAGAACCACTTTTAGAAAGTCTTTACCTTGGTAAACCTCGTTCGAGCATTTGGGTTAGTGAACATGTTCTGGACATCTGAAGTTCAGGGAAACTTACTTCCAAGAATGTCTCAAGGCTGTCCGCTTCCATGATGGCCACGCCATCAAATTGGCCCAGAGGCACACCTAAAGGACTCAGACCAGTTTGAGCCTGCTTGTCGACGTGGAACTGACCAGCGTAGTTAGTATTCGTACAATCGAGTTCCCCACGAAGACAGCTAGATGGGCTCCATACTTGTGAGTAGAAGGTGATATGAAGCTTCACAGCCTCGATGTTAAGCCACACTTTAGGGTGTTCCTGCGACCAGCTACACCTGACGTTCAGTGCAAAGCAGAATCGATCTCTACCAGATCCCACTCACTATCGATGAAATTCTTCATCGCTGAGTTCTCCCGATTTGGTTATCAAAGCATAGATCCTCACTGGAGCCATGGTGATGAGTCTTCGTGATGCTTTGCACCCGTGAGCTGCTCCTGTGCTTGAGGCGCCTCGAGATGGCAGTTGTTGATACGCGAAATCGAGTATAGAAGGTTGATGGCTGACATATCACCAAATAGAGGTTTCCCCTCCGCAGGCAGGTTCATACAGCCGTCTTGAGCCGTGCTTCGGAAGACGTGCCTCGGATACGCGCACTCGACTTCCGCATGCCATGTCGATCCGTCCCGCCAAGCATTCGCCCTGGACATCATATGTTCGTTTTTATGACAAGAGCAATTGAAGACGAGGCCGATCTGTGCCTCATGGATGCCAAAATTATGCTGCGCGGTGCAACAACATCTCAAGCACAATGAGCGGTATCGAGTCATACGCGGGTGATAGACACGATGAGTGCAAGGCATTCAGGGTCAAAGGAAGAGAGCTGCAAACATGAACCAATTGGTTGGTAGGTTTGGAACCTGAAAAGCGAAGACTTGCTCCTAGGTTTACCGGCCACAAGAAGAAAGAATCGGGAATTTGGTTTTGAGCTTTTGCAACCCATGTTCTCGGGTCTTGCCTCATGTTGGCGAAGGTGACTACGCTGCTTTTGGCAAGCACTCGAGCATGTATGAGATCTCTGTCTCTTTCAATCCTATGGACTCTGTTCTTGTTTATATACAAACTTATGAGGCATCTGATCTCCGTGAGCCCCTTTTCCATGGTTTCAAATCACTCATTGATTTCCAAGCATTGCAAATGTTGATACAATGGCAATTTATGACAGGAGTCACTGGAATCACTCAGAGTTTAGTATCCATATTTGTTAGCGCATCACGTGTGACGTGAGTTAGTACGCGCTAGCTCGTTGGCGCCAACATCTCATTGCCATGGTTTATGGAGCAAAGGTTGCTCCGAGTTTTCTGTACAATTGGACTAGCTGAAGGCGACCGTCAGGAACTGTGTGAACGTGACATGTCTATCATTTACTTGGGCGCCAAGAAGTTTATGGTTTGTTCTAAAATAATAGTGTTTTGTTATTTATTCCGAGGAGCTAAAAGTGTACGGCCCCTATTAAGTACAGCTGTATAATATCATTTAAGATATCTATCCTAAAGTACTTTACTAGAAAATTTTAGTATAAAACTGTAAGAGTATAAGCAACTTAACGAAAACACTAAGATAATCGATCAATTACTATATAGTCCTTAGAACATCGACTATAAGAACTTAAGGAGTCTAAAAACCTCGCATGCGATCCGCATAGCCCCTGAGGTCTTATATACTAGGCCCCTTAGTGTTTCAGGACTAGTCTTGGCATGGGATGGGTGCTTCTAGGGTCCACCGTAGTCCTATCCCGTGACAAAAACAATCTATATAGTGGCACTACGCCGCTAGTATTTAGCACCTTACTAAGCCTTTAGAAGTAATTAGTGTCATGACGTTCGTTAAATATCCCTCGTCTGTCGTTTATTCCCTTTTGTCTGTCATTTTAGGTAAAGTGACGGATAAACTCGACCCCTGCTGACAGTTGGTTTTTCTAGGCCCCTAGAACGCCAAGATATTTCGCCTTGTTGGAAAATTTCTGTTCATGCCTGCAAGGCAGCATACTGAGAAGACGCGCCAACTGCATCACAACCTTGCGAAGGATAGGGCCATATATGAATTATTGGCGTGTGGTGCAGAATGACAGAAGAGCTAAGTACAGCGCCCGTGCTGTCAACACCCGACACCCATATTATAGATGAAGACTTGCCTATCCTCTCCCGCCACCCGCCCGACGATTTATCCGATGAACAAATATATCATCGCTATGAAATTTCTCGGACTATTGGGGAGATCAAACAGCATAGATGGAGACGCGTCGCTCTGCAGTTCCCTGATCAGATGCTACCACACTCCGCTCGGGTCTATCAATTCCTAGCGCGAGGCCTGGGACCAAATCAATTACCCAAGAGCTCAACTGCTCAAAACGGAACATTTGCTCCCGAAATTGATCCATCTGAACAGTCTGACAGCGGTCCCATTCCAGTAAAACTCACGATACTGGGCGATACTTCTTACGGCTCCTGTTGTGTGGATGAAATCGCTGCTGAGCACGTGAATGCCGACGCCGTTGTGCACTACGGGCGAGCATGCCTGTCGCCTACGGCAAGGCTGCCAGTATTGCACATCTTCACGAAGATGGACCTGGACTACGACTCTGCGATAAAGACATTTCGCGAACTTTTCCCTGAGATGAATACTAAAGTGATCTTGACCGCTGACGTTTCTTATGCGCTCCATGTCCAGCCATTATCCCGCTTGCTTCAACGTGCGGGATATACTGACATTTTCGCGGCCTCCATCATTCATGATCCATCTTCTTCGATTCCAAACCGCACGGCTCCTGACTCACTGAAATCAGATCCTGCAACCGTGTCAGCGTGGAACTTATTCCACATATCCGACCCACCAACTTCTCTTCTATTGACCCTTATATCTCGCATGCGCAGCATCAAGATTTTCCCCACTAGTTCTAGTTTTTCATCAACATCACCAGCAACAAAATTTGAAACACCCACGCAAATGCTTCTGCGACGCCGTTATGCGCTGGTAACGTCTCTAACAACAGTCTCCACCTGGGGAATCCTCATCAATACACTCTCTGTCAAAAACTATTTGTCAATACTTTCTCATATCCAACGGCTCATTGCTGACGCAGGCAAGAAATCTTATCTTTTCGTCGTGGGCAAGCTCAACGCGGCGAAGATTGCCAACTTTTCGGAAATAGGAGGTTGGGTGGTCATCGGATGCTGGGAGAGTAGCCTGATCGATTCTAAAGAATTTTTCAGGCCGATCATCACCCCGTTCGAACTGGAATTGGTGCTGCAAAGGGATGACGAGAGGGTTTGGACAGGACAGTGGAGAGGCGATTTTGCAGGGGTCCTCGAGGCGGCCGCTAAAAGGAAAGTGGGCAATGATGAGAGTCAACATCCATCAAACAGGAATGGCGGCGCTGAAATTGTAAAAGAAAGAGATGGGGATCTATCAGACCATGATGCTTCCGAAGAGTCGGAATCAGAGCCTCCCGAGTTTGATCTCAGAACGGGTCGCTACATATCAAGAACGAGACCGATGCATACAATGCGATCCAGTGAGGGGCAAGTCGGAGCGGCTGCGCCGCAATCCACAGCACTTGCGAAGCGGAGCAAAGGTGATATGATCACCGTCAATGGCGTTTCTTCGCCAGCAGCAGATTATTTGTCCCAGCAAAGGACATGGAGGGGCCTAGGGAGCGACTTCGAGGTAAAGTATGAAGATGAGGAGACTGGAAGTACCATCGAAGAAGGGCGGACAGGCGTTGCACGAGGATACGCTGTGGGAGAATCTTCAGCAACGTGAAATGCTGACTGGTATGTGATGCATACCAATGAAAGACTCGATGGATAAACTGGTTAGGGGTAGAGATCCTTGACCTTCTTTTCACCAGACATCATTGTTTCGCGCTTGCAGTTTTCCCCAGTACCCGGCAAACTCTCCTCAGAACATCCTCCAGAATGAGCCTTTCGGGGCGTACGCGAGACGGGCTCAGACCCCATACTTTCCGAACTCAGCCTCCTGCCAAACCCAGAGCTTGTCGGCGAGATTCAAATTCCTTGCATCCTTTGTGCCGTGTGCCAGCTTCCCGAAAGGCTCATAATAGGCGCCGTTGACAATATCTTCTTTCTTCGGCCACGTCGCAGCCCAAAGCTGAGTGAATGCCCCCTGTTCGGGAGTTAGAGGGTTCGCGACCTTGTCGTACACCTGCATGAGGGTCCCCACTATCGTACGGCGGCTATACATGTCGTCGAGCAGCTGTGTTGCCACTCGCCCTGGATGCACCGAGACTGATAAAATGGACGGGTAACGCCTGGCGAGCTCGCGCGCGTGCAAGATATTCGCCAGCTTCGACTGCCCGTAGCGCACGAAGGAGTGGTGGTCGCTTAGCTGCGTTTTCAGGCCCTCAAAAACGATGCCTCCTTTGGGTGTGTTCGTATGGCCCATAGAGCTCAGGTTTACAATGCGTACATCTGCATCTGGTTCTTCCGCGGTGCGGAGGAGAAGTGGGAGGAGGAGTTTCGTCAACAGCGCTGGACCCATGTGGTTTGTTCCAAAGTGCAGCTCGTAGCCTTCTTTGCTCAGTCCCGGTGGCATGCCCATGATGCCGGCGTTGTTGATGAGTATGTCCAGGCGGTCGGTCGACGCCTTGACAGCCTCGGCCGCCTGGTTGACGGAAGCAAAAGAGGCAAGGTCCAGCTCGAGAAACTCCACGTTCGCGTTGGGAGCGACCATTTTCACGCTCTGGAGAGCGTCGTCGAATTTTGCTCTGGATCGTGCCGAGAGGAAAATGCACTTGGGATTGTGCTTGGCAAGCTCAATCGCGCTGGCTTTTCCAGTCCCACTGTTGCCACCAGTGATGATGATCACCTTGCCTGCCAGGTTGGGAATATGTTTGGACGGGTCATACTTCCACACATCACTGACAGGGTTGATCATACTCCCGGCCTTCGGCATCGTTTCAAAATGGCGGTAATACTCCACAGTTTCACTTGGAATCAATATCACCAGGCCTCTATCGAAATCCTTATTCATGAGTCTTCAGTGGCGATCCCTACCTGCTTTATATAGTTGTGTGCCCCGCTGGGAACGGAGCGAGCAGGATGTTGACCCACCTCTTCAAAGACTCAGCATCCTGCACCTGCTTTGGCGCTGACCCTAATGCAGTATTGACCGATTGAATAAATGATTTCTTGGTCCTGAGTCTCCTCTAGATCAGGCCGAATCGAAGTGAGTTCTGTCGATTCATATTGAAGGAGGGCGTCTTGAATGAGTTAGACTGGAGATAATGTAGCTGAGCCTAGTTTGGAACACCAAGCCTAATTGGCCCTCACCCAGGTCATCAAGCCGGCTGTGGAACGCTGCTCCAAGCTCAAGAGTCCAGAAGTGTTAAGCCGAGATCGTCCAGCGCCGACCACGAATGTACCCTACGCTAACTGTTTTATTAGCCGAGACCAGAACATCCAGCGGTTGGGACCTATCACTTTACTCCGTATAAGTGCGGACAAGTTACTCTTTGCTGCCGTTCAAGCGAGTGGGCAGAGAATAAACGAGACCCACCTCGTTCGTGTATGTAGACTAGCGCCTCCCTAGTTGTCAGCAGGTTGCATCCACTGGATCGGGAGCCAGAGGCTTTAAGACCGTAGTTGTATCCGTGTGGTGAGAACTTCCACTTCTCCCCCTTTCTTCGCTATACAAACAGCATCATGTCTTCTCCCTCGTTTGAGTATTAGATGTTACAGCGAAAACGAAAACAGGGGATCAAGAATTATGGGTTTGTCCGAACTCCTAGCCGATCGGGGCTTGTTGTTTCTTCGGCTACGCCCGTATTCATCGAGGGAAAGCAGGGAACCATTTTCACTGACAATGAAAGACTGGCATAGGCCATCCACTCTGGATAGTTTCAGGCATATTCATCACTTCCCATGTGAGTTCGAAGGCGGACAATTACTGGACACGAGTGCTGGAGATCGTCGAGACCAATATAACAGCTCTCGACAAGAACAGGAACCTGGTCAGTGGGGTGGAGAAGAGGATCAGTTGTTGGATGTTGCCCCAGCATGGAATGAGGGTTCTAAAGCTTCAGGGTGAAGCGAGGCTTCAATTGGCTGTCTGAGACTGAGATCTTGGGTGAATAGGTGGCAGCTTCCAAGCGTTCAAAGCTTTGAACGCCAGAGAGCCCGATCAACTTTAATTGAGGATTCTCATCATCGTAATTATCATCGCGGGGCGCCACTGAGTTCGCCATAAAATTCTCTCGTAATGCATAGCCGAGCTGAGTCGGGCCTGAGCCTCCGATTATCTTTTTTCTCGTTCCCAAGGAGGAGGCGAGGCCCAAGAGTTGTCTTGTCGCCTGCAACTCGCTAAACGTCATGGATGTGGCTGGAGTGGCTAGTGGCCTTCCAGTCACGTGATTTATGGCGTTGTGGCGCAGCAGTGGCTGTTCAATCCACAGCACTTCAATCTGTACCTCGTACTCGGTAAACACCGCGCATTATTTTATGCAGGGGCCCGGCTGTATAGGACCTTCTCGTAGGTAAGGCAGATGGATAGCGTCGTGTTAGCGGCCGATACAAGCCCTAAATGCGTCTTAGGCTTGGGCTCGACTAATTATTGGTACGTACATCAGGTACAGTAAATAGGGCTGAACATAAAACAAAGCAACGCGCTGGAACAGGCTTGGCCACCAAAATGTCCCAAAAGCGTCACCATCTTAATTTTGAATATTTATTCCAAGTTTCCAACCTGAGTCGGATACGGAGTTCGGAGTATCTTCCCCACGATGGAGCTTGGGTCTATGCACGATTACGAGTGTGCCCTCATCTACCCTGTACCTCATCCAACGCACCTGAAACGGAAAGCCGTGCTCACTCTCCCGGCCCAGCCGGATGTCAGTTGGTTGGTGACAATAATACAGGGCCTCCCTTCTTGAGGCTTTGCATCACCAACGAAGCTGCTGACAAGCATTGTTGACATCATTGCCCAGATCTCCATTGCGACGATTATGAGGAACAGCCTTTGTGCCCAGACCCACCACCTCCACCACCTCCACCACCCCCCAAGCCATTGGAGGCACGCGCGACAATAATGAATTTTCCACGGAGGACCTCGTACTCCTAACCCCGTGTCCGTGGCGCCTTCAGTCCATGTCAAATGTTAATGCCTCTTGTGCTCTCTGCACTGCCATCCTGGTGACTGTGGGCATGTGGGTGACTGAGAAGCGTTCGCTTTACTACTATATCCCTTCCATCCAGTTGCTATGATAGCACATTCTCTCCCCCATCCATCAGATCCGGCCTGCTGCTCATTGTTATTACATTTCTTACCCTAAGTAGGTGCAGAAACTGACCGGAAAGAATGAAGGCTGCTCTTGCCGTCTCACTCGTAGCTGCTCTTTCCGCAGGTGCAAATGGTGGGGCTTCGAACATCAAGTCACATGTCTCCCCTGTCTTGCTAACGAGTTCCTCAGGAAATCCCATTGCCGCAGGAGATGCCTATCTTGAGGGCTTAACTACTTTTGGTCGCCTCCGTCGAGCCCTGCCCAACTCTCCAAACGGGTATACTCCTTCATTTCTGGATTGTCCAAGCGATGCCCCTTCGGTCAGAAGCGCTGCTCAGCTTTCCCCAGCAGAGACATCATGGCTAGAGAAGAGAAGGAACAACACAGTACAGCCGATGCGAGACCTCTTGACCCGGCTGAATATTGAAGGATTCGACGCTGGGTCTTATATCGATAGGGTTGCCAACAATGCCTCTGAACTACCGAATATTGGACTTGCCATGTCGGGAGGTGGCTGGCGTGCTTTGATGAACGGCGCCGGCGCCATCAAAGCGTTCGACTCCAGGACGGAGAACAATACCGGCAACGGTCAACTCGGCGGCCTCCTTCAGTCTGCGACCTATCTAGCTGGTCTGAGTGGAGGCGGTTGGCTCGTCGGCTCCATCTTTATCAATAACTATACCACAGTTGGTGCCTTACAAGCCGACGACTCCGGCTCCGTGTGGGAGTTCGAAAACTCGGTTCTCGAAGGCCCGGACGAGGGCGGCCTGCAAATCTTGGATACCGCTCAATATTATGCCAGCCTTTCCGACTCTGTCACAGGCAAACGAGATGCTGGCTTTGATATATCCCTAACCGATGTCTGGGGCCGTGCACTATCCTTCCAGCTGATTAACGCAACAGATGGAGGGCCAGCCTACACTTGGTCTTCGATAAGTCTGGCTCAAGATTTCCAGGATGCCAACACCCCATTTCCAGTTCTTGTAGCAGATGCCCGGGCTCCAGGTGAGACTCTGATTCCGGGTAATACGACTGTCTACGAATTCAATGCGTTCGAGATGGGCACTTGGGACCCGACAGCCTACGGCTTCATTCCTATGCAATATCTAGGCACCAATTTCACCTCCGGTCGCGTACCAAACAACGACCAATGCGTGGTTGGATTTGATAACGCTGGCTTCATTATGGGTACTTCGTCTTCCCTCTTCAATCAGTTTCTTCTCAACCTAAATGGCACCGATATCCCCGAGTCGTTGAGGGGCATCATAGATAGCATCCTCTCTACGTTGAGCTCGGAGAACAACGATATTGCTGATTACACGCCGAATCCTTTCTTCCATTACCAACCTGACACCAATCCATCGGCAAATTCATCTCGCCTCACCCTCGTTGATGGTGGAGAGGACTTGCAGAATATCCCTCTCCATCCGCTTATCCAACCTAACCGGCATGTGGATGTTATATTTGCGGTTGACTCATCCGCTGATACCAACTACTTTTGGCCAAACGCCACCGCCCTTGTTGCGACTTATCAGCGATCACTAGCTGATGTAGCAAATGGCACTGCTTTCCCAAGTATTCCGGATCAGAATACTATTGTCAACCTTGGTCTCAACACACACCCAACCTTCTTTGGCTGCGAGACTGCCAATATGACCGATGGCATCAATGTTCCGTTGATAGTCTACATTCCCAACTCTCCATATATTACATTCAGCAACTTTTCAACTTTTAGTCTAGAGACAAACAACACCTACCGAGACGCTGTCATCCTCAATGGCCAGAATGTTGCAACAATGGGCAACGGCACGGTCGATGAGACATGGCCGGTCTGTGTTGGTTGCGCTATCTTGAGCCGAAGTCTTGAACGTACCGGCACGGATGTTCCAGATGCTTGTAGCCAGTGTTTTCAACGTTTCTGCTGGGACGGAACCGTCAATTCTACCCAACCTCCACCATACGAGCCTACTCCAGTTCTAGGCCAGATCAACATCCAAAGCAGTGCAGCCACAAGGTCTATCAACTGGTTGACTGTCGGTATTGCGGGTGCTGTTGCGATCGCCAGTTTGTAAATTTCTGCTTTGCGACTCTTTTACGGCCATCATGGACTTGGAAATTTGTATTATACACCTAAATCAAATAAAATATCAAATAAAATATCAAGATGTTAAATAGATGCTCAGCCAGAGTCAGTTGCATCACCCTCATCATCATCATCATCATCATCATCCTCGTCGTCCAAATCGATTTCCACAACCGGTGCCTTAGCCACTCGTTTTCGTGTTTTGGACCCCCGTCTCCCTTGTTTTGCAGCTTCCTGTTTCGCTTCGTCCTGTTTCGTAGTCCGTTTAGATTTCGCTCTGAGCGCCGCCTCTTCTCCATCGGCTTTACTTTTCGCAATCGTAAGTATTGGTTCGCTTAGCCGTCGACCAACGATCCCATGAACCTTATTGATGTGAATGTTATGAGCTTCCTGGCCGACAAACACTTCAGAGCAGCCGGCGATTGGACAAGGAGTTTCACACGTGGTGCCAGCGGCATGTACATTGAAGCAGTGGATTTCTCAGTCCCATAAATGCTGAAAGGAAAGTCCAGGTTGCTGGCACTCAGCTCTTCTTGGACATGGGCCATTTTCAACAAACTCATGAAGTAGAGCATGTTTATTGGCTTCTGAAGGGGTATTGAACACTGCTTAGCAGGCAATAGTTGGATCCATTTGCATAGGGACAGGGATGGTGCTTTGTACGTCGTTCTTTCCGTGGTGCAGTTCCAGGAATGAGAGGGGCGTTAGATCCGAGAGCACAAGTCTATGGATGTCGTGATTAACTCCTCGAAGATTGTAATCGCCGATTCGCTTAGAAGATCAGTCGAGACACTGACATCTCCATTAGAAGAAGGAGGTCGGATAATCTCGTGGATAGTATCTCAGCACTCGTTCTAGAGAGCACCTTGCCGCGAGTTAGAGTCGATCGGTTATTTATCTTAATGATTTCTTGTTCGACAACAGTAGACTTCTCTGTATCTTGAACAAGTGTTGTATCGGCATCTTGAAAGTTCAATGGCTGCTTTAAAGGTAGTTCTGAATACTGCCGAAACTCTTGAGGACCTTGATTGGACCAGTGAGCCTCTTCCCACTCTCGCCAATGATTGTCAGTAATCTTCCTGGCAACTCGGGGTCGAAGATTTATAAAATCTCGGAAACCGTTGTGCTCTTTTGTCTGGTCGGAGCGTTTTCCGATAAGAAGACAACTGTCCTAGGTGACTTCTGTAGTGCTTCTAACGAATGCTGCTGAATACATTGATCAACTAAAAGATTGAGCTGTATCGTAGGTAGCTTGACATATACTGGCGTGGCTAGAATACTAGTATCGATTCTCCCTTTGGGATACGAGGCTTCGAGGTGTTGAACGGCTCATCCTCGTGACCAAGATAATGAGCTGTAGTTGCTAGGCCACGATGTCCTAGAGCTCTACTTACTCCAGGAGTTGCAACTTTCATGATGTCCGATTCGAAGCGGTTGAGATCCTTTGCACCTCCTCGACGGATATCATGAGACAAGAGTGAAGCGATAATCCCAATAAGATGTCCCATCTGGCGGAATGTATGGTTAATTTATTGAGTAATAGCTGGGCTATCAAGAGTAAGAAAGGCTGAGGTGGGAGTCTTTAGTCTTGGTATAAGAGGAAGTGTTGGATCTTTCCAGTGGATGAGCTAAGAGAACTTCCTCCAGGTTTGCTCCGTCCCTGAAAAGGCTACGGCACAGGCCATGGGCCATCAAGAGAAGGATAAAGTCGATGGTGTTCAGGGCGGGAGTACAGTAGGACTCCACACATCGTTCACGATTGTCTTCGGAGAATCTCTTCAAAGATTAGTAAATGATATTAAGGAATAGGGAAAGACTTACTTTGCTCCTTTCTCATGGGCGAATGATGACTCGTGCGGAGATCTGCAACTGAAAGAGTCATTGCCTCTGCTGCCATGACTTGGTGGTTTGTCATCGCCAGCGGAGAAATGACCGACGGCGAGGTGAGCATTACGCTATAACAAGGTGAGGAACCAGGGACAACGAGACCCTTCAGAATGTTAAAGATGTGGTATGGTTAGGATTCGAGTTGGTCCGTGACTCTAGTAAAATTACAGTCAACTGGCGATAAATGACGGACAAAGGATATATGACAGACATTATGACACTACAGTTGTTACTTTTAAAGGCTTGACATGAGCTAGGTACCAAAGGCTTAGCACCAGATAAATTTGTCCACGCTGAAATTTACCGGTAAAATACGAGCACTGGAATTTAAATACTCAGTACATCACGTATCTATACTTAAGTAGGACACTGATACTATAAGCAACAAAACGCTGTCATTTTAGAATATATGGCAGACTCGGCGCCGAAATAAATGATGGACGTGCCGCATCCTGCCTATCACACAATTCCTCAGTGTGGTATAACCTTGGCTACTACGACGAACCAGGATAACAGCGAGGACGGATTGCTCGAGCATGTGGTGATACCCTCTGCAAGCCCTGCTACTCTATTTCCCGTGGCCACGAGTAGACAGGCTGCTTTGAAATATGGCCTTCCAACAATGCCCCATTTTAGGCACAGATCTTAGTCAGTTCGACGGGCAATGGATGACACCCGATGATCCATGCTGCTAAGTAGTCGTTTGAATCCATTGCCAGTGGTGTTGTGATACGGACATATCTCGGAATGATGGCGGCCTGGGTGGAAGTCCATCTGGCGATCTCCAGGAACCCCAGCCAGAGAGCCAGGCGAGCCCAATCAAACGTTGCTCGGCCCTGCCACGCACCCCTAAGAAAAGTCTTCGCTGAGCCAATTGGACTGGTCTCATAGGGATGGCCACCCCGTATTCCCCGTTATTAGTCAACTGAGTAACTCGGTACCCAGTATTGCCACAAAAGAGGACGGAGAAGTCCCCCCTCATCATCGAAGTTGCCATCCGTCCCTGGTTGTTTTATGGGCGACCGTCCCTAAAAGCGAGCACGAATCTCGTAATTACTGCCGCCAAATGATGCCGTCTTGCCGTGCGGGCAACCCCCCTCTGGGCATCTGTGGGGGAAATAGAATGGAGTTGGAGATGCATCTGATATATGATATACTTGGGATCTCGGTTTTTTTCTCCATACATGACTAGGCCATCCTCTTGCCTGTTGTGTTTGGTGCCTTTGACTAGAGTAAGTGTCACTAATTAACGAGGCATCCAGGACGCATCGTTGTCATAAGCTTCGTATCCTATTTACTCTTGTGAATCTATTCTCCTCTACAACTCTCCTTCGGGTCTACAACCCGACCTAGCCGCGGTGCCGTTGCAGAAATGATCTGACAGGGAGTCTTGCCTACGCCATTAACTCCAACATGGGCGAACGGATCGACCCAGAACCGAGCCCATCACATCCAAACTCCACCGCCAAAGAAGATGTCGAGAGCATTGCCTCAATCGACGAACCAGCACCGGTGTTGACAACAGAATTGGACGACTACCCCAAGACGAACCACGCCACTTTGGAAAACGGCACGAGGTACGAGTTTCTCACATTCGAGACCCCAATCCCACTGGACGAGTCCAGGGGCATTCCGCTGCCAAATCTCCGACAGTACGATTCACCGTTTGGCTGGTCGGCGCCACGCAAGAACATCGTACTCATCATCAGCTGCTGGTGTACGTTCACCGCAGCGTACAGCGCGGGCGCATACTCGATCGCATCAGAGCCGCAGCGACAGAAATGGGGCGTGTCGAGCGTGGCATTCGGCGTCGGCGTCACGATGTGGGCGCTGGGCTTCGCCTGCTCGCCCATGTTTTTGGCCCCGTTTTCAGAAATTAATGGAAGACGGCCCGTCTTTATCGGCTCGGCCGTCATGTTCCTGGTCGGGCAGATCGGTTGTGCGGCGACAAATTCCTTTGCAGCCATGCTGGTGTTCCGATTCATTGTGGGTGCCGGTGCGAGTACTTTTGCCACCATGGTTGGAGGAGTTGTCTCTGATATGTACCATGCCGAGCATCGCAACACGCCCATGGCCATCTACAGCGGCTCTGCGCTGGCGGGGACTGGATTTGGGCCTTTGCTGTCGGGTTTCATCGTCGGCAGGGCAAGCTACCGGTGGGTCTATTATCACCAGATCATCTCCCTCGGCCTGCTGTTTGTCACTGTATGTGTCTTTTTCAAGGAGACGCGTGGTTCGGTCCTCCTCAGTCGAAAGGCAAAGGCTGTGAACGAGTATCTTGAGAAAGCAGAGCAGATCACCCAGCAACGTGATGATGACGACGACGACGGCCACAGAAACACACAATCAGACGAAAAGCCAGCACCAGGATCAACACCAGTACCCAGAACCCGACTCCGCTACAAAGTCGCAGCGGACGAGAACCGCTCGTCGCTCGCCCACATGCTGTATCTTTCACTCACACTGCCGTTCAAGCTCCTGGCGACCGAGCCCGTGGTGTTCTTCTTCTCGCTCTGGGCGTCCTTCGCATGGGCGGTGTTGTACATGACCTTCTCGGTGCTGCCGTTGATCTTCCGCACGCGACACAACTTCACCACCGAGCAGAACGGAGCCGTCTTTGCAGCGATCTCAATCGGCAGCATTCTCGCAACCATCCTGTCGATCGCCCAGGAACGTATCGCGAAGAGACATTGGCCAAAGCTGACGGAAAGCCCCGAGGGGAGATTGTACTTCGCATGTTTGGAAGCCGGTAAGTCACCAGCTTTTCTCCGTCTTCCCGTAGATGTCCATCACTGACCGATACACTCAAGCCCTCCTCCCCATCGGCCTGTTCTGGTTCGGCTGGACCACATCCAGCAGCATCCCCTGGATCGTCCCCATTCTCGCCATCGGGTGCGCGCAGATCGGGATTTTCGTCATCTACCTCGCGGTCTTCAACTACCTGGCGGACGTGTACCACGCATACGCATCGTCTGCGCTGGCGGCACAGAGCTTCATGCGGAACCTCATGGCGGCGATCTTCCCGCTGTTTACGGACCAGATGTTCAGGAATATCGGGTACCCGCAGGCGAGCAGTTTGCTGGGTGGGATTAGTGCGCTTTTGACCTTGGTGCCCTGGGTCTTACTATTTAATGGGGAAAAGATTCGCGCCCGCAGTCGGATTGCGAGGCAGATTATGGCACAAGGCCAGGGCCAGGGCGGCTGATATGACTAGTACGGCTTAAATTGCGGGGGAGGTTAGAGTCCTTTACTTTCGTGTACGATTAATGACAGTGAGGGATGGCTTGGGAATTCGTGCAGGCGAGTGTGTAGATTTGGCGGCGTGAATTCTTTCCAGAACGGAGAGCGCTCCACTTTTGAATACCTTGGAGCGAGTATGTCCGTCTGTCCCTGCTACCTAACCACGTAGGTAAAGAATTAAAGCACCGTACCTTGCTTTTAAACCTGGCAATAATAGTGGATGTTCTGCAGGTTCCGCAACCGTTTGGGTGGAGATCATGTGACGATTGACCAGGCGGCGAGCATGCCTTCAACGGCAATTTTTCTTGCGGACATGGTAGACGTAGTCGCGGTGCCTAAAACTACATACACATTTCACCTGTAATAACCGAGGGTCTGGGTTTGCGGTACCCAGATCTATCCGTTTTGATCCTCCTGCAGAAGCAGGCTTCTAGTGTACACACACATGAACACGCAGGCTCTATTTTCTTGTAGACTTTTTTCATCTCAGGCCTGCCAGCCGGCGCTCTTGCACTTCAGTGAGTGCCTTACTTCCAGATAAGAAGGCAACCAAACCAAAAGCAGAAAGCACTGGGAGAGTTTTGAACAAGTTCCAACTTGTGTAGTAGAGAAAAAAAATACCCTCGATGCCAACAACGGACCCGACAAACAGCGCATGTGAGACTGGGGCGTCTGAAAGTGCTTTTGTGACGTGGTTGATGTTGCTCCCGAGGTAGAGCCACTATACGGTCACTTAGTTTCAGGTCCTCTCTTGTCAAAGGATTGGTTTCGCTTACCGCTCCAAGCAGAGCTGGCACAGTGGCAAGCACAGCACCGACAAAGAACAAACTTATCACAACGTTGGGACTCTTGGGGTCGTCACGGAAGATGTGGTGTATCTCAGGGAGTTTGCCATATCTCAAGGGCTTTTCTGTAGCAGGGATTGCATTACCGTCAAGTGCGAGGGACAAAGAGAAAGCGCTGCTGTGGTAAGCCGTGGATGAGCCGAACGATGCAATGACGATGCTGGCCGAGAGTGGTGAAGAGCTTCGCAGTAATTGAACCGGCAAGTCTTTCTGGGTCTGTACATGGATGTCAGGGTCAATGATGATTCCTCAAGCAAAACAATTGCGTCGCATCAACCCACCAGTTCCACCTTGGCTTTTCCCGACTCTTTAACACTGAATGGATATGAGATGTCCAGGTTGGTGCTGAGGTCTTGGAGGAGTAAAAAGGCTTGATGTGGCCGTTTGGCGGACTTCCCGTCCTGCGTAGTCAGGATGACTTTGAGGGTATCGCCTGCACCCAATTTCACAGGGCTAGAGGAGGGCAACGGTTTCGAGGGTGCTAGTCTGTTGACAGGATCAGTTATCTGTGGAAAGTTGGTTGTTCCCAGAGCAAAGAGGCTAATACTTTTCTTTTACACCTCCCCCGACTCCTGCGCCTTTCCCTTGAACGCTCACTGAGCCATCAGTGAAGGTCCATGAGGAGGCTGCCAAGCCCGATTGAGCTGCCGAAAGTAGCAGAAAAGCCTGCGGTAGAAGTGACAAGACACGCATGGCTGGGAACTTTCGAGACCGTCAATTGCAATCACCAGCAATTCGTTCGAGAGATATCGTGGTTAATATGCAGTGAGTGGTGTATCTATGACTATGCGTCTTTGAACAAATACGTCGCCAGTTCGGAGTTCTCCAATTGCCAAGACACTAGCCACTTAGCTACTTCATGGCTAGCCATATTTGGGCTTGGAGTCGCTAACAGCTCACCCGTTCAAACGTCATCGACTCTTGCTCAAAAGTGTCCTTGATAGCCAAAGCAGAATACAGTGAGAGACTCAACTGGCTCTCATGCTCCATATCCTTTAGCATACCTCCTTTTATGTTTACCAGCTCCAGACTAATTCTTTTGCAAAACACCCTTCAAATTGTCCCAAGACTGGCGGCCCCTCTGGGCCCAATACTCTGGGCCCTTTTCTGCCTCCTTCATCTCGCGATGAAGTATCTCCATGCTTACCCAGCCAGTCCATCCACTGTCACCTAGCCATGCACGTGCTATCCCCTCCATCGGGAGATATGCACCTTTATCAGACTCTAGAGGGAAAAGCCTCCCGTAATTACACCACGAATGTGGCCCGTCCCATTCTTCCCGATATGCAGGATGACCTGGAAGCAGAGGAGGAGACAGCCTCTCAGCATCACTGAGCTGGATGTACATAATTTTGTCTTTGGGGCAGCTATCACGAAAGCGTTGTAAAGAGTCTCTTAGAGCAGAGTTGCCCCCAGCTCTGAGCCCAGAGTGTTCCCTCGGATCAGCCCAAAGGCGTGACAGAACGTGGTAGGTGTCAAGACAAAGACCGAAATTCGGTCTATCCACGAGTTGAACAATTCGTGAGGATTCTTCCCAATCAGCCACGTGAGTTGCCCAGCAGAGGGCCTCATATGCAAAGGAAACAGGAGGATCTTCCTGCGCACCAAGATCAGCTAATGCCCGTAAGTCGCTGACAATAAGGTCTTCGTCGCCAATGGCATCTTTACTGTCGTTGCTTGGAACCTGGATGAGAGTGGTTCCGAGTTCCTTTGCGACTTCTAGCCACTCCTTTGCAACTTTGAGTCGCTCCTCGAGAGGTGTCGGTTGGCCTTCGAACTTGCCGAACGATGCCAGATTGATGATCTCGATGCCATGCTCTGCACAGAGCTTACGAATTGCTCGGGCAGCTTCAATTCGGGACAGGTTATGAGCCTTGGCGTATGATAACTCAATATCAGCCATGGACATTTCAATCCCTTGAAACTCAGCTGCCTGGATGGCCGCTACTTTGCGCTCGAGTACGTGCGACGGGTCCCATCCTAGGGACAGCGAGCAGATCGCCAAGTGCTGTTTTTCCATGATATCAGAAAATTGCCTGTTCGAAAGTGTGAGTTACCTCTCTGATGAAGCTCTTGGTTCGGCGGAGATAAGAGTATAACAGGCGCTTGTTCAAGCCAGGGTCGAGCTCTTCACCTGCTACATCTTCCGGGATAACATAGCGCAAACAATTCGAGACAAGAATATGCACAACTACATATTCGTGAAACTTGCGTCCTGCCATCGCTGTCTACGTGTTCCCCACGCAAAAAGAAATAGAAAGTGACGCTGACGAATGAATCTAAGGTCCATCATAATGAGGTGGGTATCTTTGCAGAACAGAACGCCTTAGAATCGGGGAGGCCCCGGTGTTCATTAGCCCCCTGGACTGCACATATTTCCACACTTCATTCCTAACCTCTTAGAGCTGCTCCACTTACCTGCCTCGGCTGAAAGAGTTCCGTTCCCAGGCCTGATTGGAGGCCTCAGGCAGGATATGGAGGAACAACTGTACGACATCATCCGACAGCCTTCTTTCAACCTTGCACCTTCTATACATGGCTGTGGCTGACGAGTTCAATACCCGACTGCATTCACGACCCAGGTCGGGCCATCCTATCTCCCAGCTTTTGACCAACCTCTGCAAGGGTCGATAGACGCTTTTATAAGTATCTAGCTCGCATAAAAGCGCTGCTAAATTCCTGGAAAACTGCATTCCAGATCGAGGGCTGGATAAGGGCCCAATGCTACATACATGGGGTGCGGCATATCTATCTCCCCGTACAGATTACAGCACTAGTGGTATAGCATACTGCACAACCCTGGCTATGCCCCAGCTTTCGCCACTTTTTGCTCAGCGAGAAATTCTGGCAGTTGGACCAGCGAATTGTCTGCCAACGGCAAGTCCAGCTTCCGAAGCCTATCATTCTCTTCCTCTTGCATCTTCCGCTGTCTCAATACCCGCCCAGGAACGAACATCTGCCTTTCGCCAGTTATGTTCCAACCATTAATGAACTTTGCTGGCCCCCCGAGATCTGCTATGGTTTTCAGCTCAACTAGGCTGTAGTCGGCCGGGTTTGTGCGCTGAAATTCAAAAGGTGCCGAAAGCGCCACCAGAGGGTTTGTGATTATTCCTATCCGTAAGTCCTTGTCAGCATCAATGGTGAGAAGAGAGCTGGGTCTAGTTCTGAGTCTAGAAAAGAATCGATGTGGTACGTACTAACTGATCTCCGCCCATTTCTACTGGCACTATGCAGCATCAGAGGATGCATTAAAATGACATCACCCTTCTTGCCTGTCATTTCATGAAAACTCTCGTCGGGCGCCTCCTGCGCTGCTTGAATGAAGATCGAATGTTGATCTTGATGCTCAAGCTGCTCGCTACGTGGACGGAGCATTGGACCTAGTCCTTCTGGATGGTCATACTATAGCTCAAGGTCAGCCTTAGCTCGGTGTTGTGACGATTAGCAACAGAACGGTACAGAGCATTAAACATACTAGTATTTGTCCAATTCTCTTCGGTCCTTCATCACAAATCCAGGTTGCTCCGCCGTTCTCATCGACGTCACTCCAGTAAGGTATCACTAACAACCCCTGCTCCGGACTATCAAGAAAGTGAACGAAGAAATCTCCATCGACATGCCAATTATCTAATTTTTTGGGTGGTACCTTTTTGCCTTCAGTTTCCGGGCTTCCAGAATTCACAATGAACGCATCCGTCCACATCTCAACCCCAGGATATATCCGATCCTCGCCTCCGCAAAGTTCGCAAATAGCAGCCCATGCCTTCGGAGCTATTTCTTTTGCAGACACCGCATGGTGCTTAGACATGTGGGTGCGCTCAGTGGTCCAACTAGACTTGTCGTTCGGGTCAAAGCCCAAACGGTGCCAAACGTCTCTTGTCCACCAGTCACATTTCTCTGGAGATATTGCTCCAGGTATGCGTAGAAATCCATGTTTCATGAAAGAAGCCACTTGTTCCTCGTTAAGAACTTCAAATTTCTGATGCTGAAGAAGATCATCAATCGTCGGGGCGGCCATACTGGGGTGAGGACCGGAGAACGGGAAACAAGACGGAATGCTTCAACAAAAACCAGTATATTGTCCGTTGTCAGGTTCTACAGCGATGATCAAGATAGCCTATGCATCAGCCTAGGACCCCTCTCGAGATATATTCTACATTCGAGCCATGAGAAGCTGACCAACTATCGACCATACCGCGCTCATAGAGTTCTGGTGGCATGAACATCCGGATTTTCTATATCCCTACTGTTTGACTCCGATCCAAATTGTTACTAGCCTTTCGTTCTTGCATCCACGGCGGCCGGTCCGCCGTAGGATGGAAACAATCAGAGATGGCAAACTGCGGGGTTCAAACAAGCTATGGAGGTGTAGAGTACTTGTAGACTATGCATGGTGCTTAACTATTCTCTACTCCATACTAATTGATGGATGGAGATCCAGACCACCAGATGCAATGAAACATCCAGACATGCAGGTGGGTGTTCCGCCGCATGGCCACTCGGTGATATCTGGAAAGCCGGGTCTTCAAAATACCGAGTATTCAGCCTAATAAAACCCTCCCTTTCAGCCCCGAGTGGCCTATTCTTATTCGCCAGGTCTATCAGGCCCGCAAGGCTATAGAGTTATGGTGTTTCCTCTTTCGGTAGACAACATACCCTATCGATCAAGATTTTTGGGAATTCTTCCAACATTGTGCACACCTAGGTATTTCCTACCCACTTGCTAATGCGGGCCTACTGCCCTATAATTCTACTCTCGGATCTAAACTTACGAGTGTCATTCTCGCAGATATTGAGCCAGGCTGAATCCGAACAGCCGGGCTGGCAAAGCGTGTTTTCTTCCCTCGGTTCCAAGTAAATAAGTCAACTCGTTAAATCCAGCTTCAGCCTGCCATACCATTTAAAGATGTTTCCATCCGGGTCGTCCCCGGATTTACAGTGGGTGCCATGCGACGTTAAGTAGACCCGAACCCATTGCCTCTTGATCTGATTGGTCTACAACGGTCTTGGGAAACTCAGGTCCACACGTTCGATGTGGCATACTCATTGCTTGGGACCAGACCGGATCGGTTTAAAGATAACAGACCACTGCAGCGAGCCAATAAGTAGTCTGTGCTACATTGAACGCTAATAGCCTACTTTGAGGAGTTTTGGGTAGTCTCGACGTTACGAATATCTGAAGCTCCCATATATAATGGTCACTACTTAGTAACACAGAAGCATTTTGATCGTTTTGATATCAATATCACTCAAAAATGTACTTTTAGAACTGATCAGAATTTCAATTATACTACTGACACCACCATTGCCTTCACAATGCCTCAAGTTGATCCTATTGCTGTCATTGGGATGGGTTGCCGCTTTCCTGGGGGAGTCGGCAACCCTGATGAGCTATGGGAACTTTTGAGTGAGGGCCGCTCAGGTTTGATAGAGACTCCTGCAGATCGTTGGAATGCCGATTCGTTTTATCATCCTGATTCAGAGGGACGAGAAGCGATTTCAACAAAAAAAGGCAATTTCCTGACACACGATGTGTCCGAGTTTGATGCCCGTTTCTTCGGCTTCTCCTCAGTAGAAGCTGATCATACTGATCCACAGCAACGGCTTCTACTTGAAACGACATATGAAGCCCTTGAGAATGCCGGCGTACCGATAGAGAATCTTCGAGGCTCAGATACTTCCGTTTTTGTCTCAGTATTTACCCGCGATTACGAACGAATGACCTACAAGGACTTATCTCAAATCAATAAGTATGTGACAACGGGAACGGGTGAGGCAATCCTGGCCAACCGCATCTCATACAATCTGGACCTCAGAGGAGGCTCAATGATTCTTGATACCGGATGTGTGAGCTTTTAATAGAACCCCCTCGTGTTTTTGAGACGCTGATGATAACTTTCAGTCCGGTGGTCTGGTGGCTGTTCATCAGGCCTGTCTGTCACTGAAAGCAGGAGAATCACGGATGGCAATCGTGGGCGGGACCCAGCTTTTATTACATCCTGATATGTGCATGACCATGAGCGCCAGTGGGTATGTTCAAAGTCCGCAAACTATTGCTTTATCGTGAGCTAAGAGCCATACAGTATGATGAACCCAGAAGGACAATGTTTTTCCTTTGACAGCAGAGGTGTCGGATACGGACGCGGCGAAGGGATTGGTACTGTCATCTTGAAACGGCTTTCTCATGCTATTGATGACGGCGACCCTGTTCATGCTGTCATTCTCAATTCTGCGTTGAACCAAGATGGCAAGACAGCGGGCATCACTCTTCCAAATCCTAAGGCACAGGCTGCGCTGATCAAGCATGTCTACGAATCGGCGGAAATAGACCCGGCAAAGACGCTATATGTTGAAGCCCATGGGACGGTATGTTCTTCTTCTTCTGAGTTTGGAAGCAAGACTTGCTTATGACTCCACAGGGCACTCAGGCAGGTAAATACTCGCTGTCTCCTATTTTCTCCGCCGTATATGAAGTGCATGAATGCCCTTCATATATGTACGACAACTGCCACTACGAATCACTGTCGCAGCTTCTTCCAGCTGTGGACCAGGGTTGGATGCCTCCACCCTTTTCGTCGAAGGATTAAACTATGCTGGTGCATTCTAAAATTCCAACGCTTCGCATTTGCTTCCTGCATCACCACTTATGCATATATCATGCTAACAGACAAACAGGAGACAGTGCGGAGGTTGAATCCATCTCGAAAGTCTTCTGTGGGGCAGAGAGAAAACAGAGCGTCTATGTTGGTTCGGTAAAGGCAAACATCGGCCATCTAGAAGGTGCAAGTGGTATCGCAGGATTGATCAAAGCAATAATGGTTCTCAAAAGGGATCAGGTGCCCCCTCAATTTGGTTTCGTCTCGGAGAAACCTGGGTTGAATCTGGAAGCGAGGAATATCAAAGTGAGTGATTCCTTTCCTTGAGCCTCGATGTCAGATTCCAATTTTATATCTATATAGGTTCCTACAGAGCTTAGCCCCTTGGCACCCCCTGGATATATTGGACCACGGAGAGTTTCTCTAAACTCTTTTGGGTATGGCGGCACGAATGCACACCTCATTCTCGAATCTTATAATTCGACGCCGAGTGATGTCCCTTCTACAAACGGTCATTATAACGAGAGTGAAGACTCATTCAGCAATGGGATCATCTCGAGCAATGGGTTCCAAGGACATAAAATTGAAAATGACCAGCCCAAACCTCGTACCAATGGGATCTCAAACATTCAGCCCGTCAACGGCGTTCCTCCTCACTCCTCGCAGAAAACTTTGATCAAGACCAATAGCCATGCTGTCGATGTCTCTTCGAATGCTAACGGAATATCCCATGATGGTCTGCAGCATGCACCACTACTCTTCCCTATAAGTGCACGGTCCGAGGTGGCACTCGCGGCTATACCTGAGAATCTTCAACGATGGCTTGCAAAGCACGATATCTCGCGCTCCCAATTTAGGGACCTCTCCTATACTTTGAGCTGCCGTAGATCATGCTTCCGATGGAGAAGTGTCATTGTTGCAACTGATGCGGCCGACTTAAGTTCCAAGCTTGGGACTGCAGTTCCGAAGACTAGGGTAGCTGCATCACATGCTTTGGCATTCGTGTTCACCGGTCAAGGTGCTCAATGGTTTGCTATGGGTCGCGAACTAATTGCGACGTCTCCATGCTTTAAGAACTCTATTATGGAATCTGATAAGTCTCTAAGACATATTGGATGTGATTGGAGCCTCTTGGAAGAACTGAGCAGACCAGAGTCAGAGTCAAGAGTGGGCCAGAGCGAGATCTCACAACCTTCTACCACAGCCATACAAATTGCATTGGTGGATTTGTTTGCCAGCTTTGGTATCACTCCAAGCCGAGTTGTCGGCCATAGCTCAGGAGAGATTGCTGGGGCATATGCTGCTGGCGCTCTAAATCTTGAGGCGGCAATTCAAGTGTAAGCAGAACCTCGCCATTACCAAAGCCCCTACTAATCTAAAAAATCAGTGCTTTCTGCCGAGGGCATTTCTCTGCTCTCGCTAGAAAGGTCAACACGGTTTCCGGCGCCATGTTGGCTGTTGCTTGTGGAGAAAAAGACATTGAACAGTTGATAGACCTCGCGACCTCTAACTCGAGTGGAACTATCAGGGTCGCTTGTATCAACAGCTCTGAAAGCGTGACCGTATCCGGAGACGAGCCAGCTATCAATGACTTGGAAAGGATGTTATGGTCATCAGGCGTCTCTGCTCGTCGATTGAAAGTAGATACAGCCTATCACTCGCATCACATGGAAAAGATCGCTGGTGCTTACCTTAACTCACTCCAGGATCTTCATTTCTCAGAAACGAACAAAGGAATAAAGTTCTTCTCCTCTGTGACTGGGAAGGTCAAGAAAACTGACTTTGGGGCGTCCTACTGGGCCGAGAACTTGGTTTCCAAAGTTCGATTCAGCGATGCTCTACAAGCACTAGCCGATGACATAACGACGTCAGTTTCGACCCAGAAGTCCGCTAATATCTTCGTTGAAGTTGGGCCACATTCAGCTCTCCAAGGTCCCATGCGACAGACTTTGTCCCGAATTGCAAACTTTAAGTATTTGTACCACCCATCATTGGTCAGGGGAAAGGATGCAGCAACAACGGCTCTCGCAGCCACAGCTGGAATCTTTCAAATTGGATATGCGGTCAATCTAAAATCGGTTCTCGATATGCAAAGTTCAAATGAGCTGTACCGTCCTGTGGACGATCTGCCTTCATATCCGTGGGACCACGAGACCAAACATTGGCACGAATCTAGATTGAGTCGGGATCACCGACTGAGACAATTCCCTTACCATGATCTTCTTGGTTTATATGATGTCATGAGCACCATCCACGAGCCCCGTTGGCGATATCACGTTGGGATTGAGAGTCTTCCGTGGCTCAGACATCATGTCGTTGATGGGATGGTTATTTGGCCTGGGACCGCCTATATCTGTATGACACTGGAAGCAATGAAGCAGCTCGCGCAATTCCGCAAATCTGGCAGCACCGTTACAAGTTTCACGCTGAGAGACTCGGATGTCTCAAAGGCTGTTGTTGTACCAGAGGAGCAAGCTAACGGACGCAAGGCAGAAGTGGAGATTCAGCTCTCAATCAGTCGCAGCGGCACAAGCGAAATCTGGGAATCAATCAGGATTCTTTCTTGCCAGCCTGAAGGGGAATGGATTGAGAACTTTGCTGCTTCAGCTACCGTCGAGCTGGCGTCTGCCTCTTCACCCGAGGACAGCGAAAAGCTAGGAGATGAAAGTGCATATATGTTCACAGAGTCGCTCAAAAAACTTGAGAGCATCAAGTCTCTCGCACAAGAAGAGGTCGACCCTACTAGCCTCTACTCAGCCTTGAGGGAGGCTGGAAACGATTTTGGACCTAGTTTCACACTAATCACTAAGGCGTTTGTCGGAGAGTGTGTCGGCGTTGCGAAGCTGGTTGTTCCTGACATGCGTCAATACATGCCGGGATCTTTCCTTCAGCCTCATACTATACACCCAGCAACATTGGACGCCGTCAATCACCTTGTAGTCCTGTTGTTTCATCGAGAATGCAGCAAGTCGCCAATTATGCCCACCAGTATAGCGGAGACCACTATATTCGCCAACAGTGCGATCCAGCCTGGTGAGGAGTTGATCGTTGCTTGCGAGATTATACCAGAAGGGAACAGGTCCGCAAAAGCCAACACCTGGCTCTTTAGACATGGCGGTCAGAGCAGTGATCTGAATTTGGTATCTGTGACAACTGCTATTCAAATCCGCGCGATTGGTGAGGCCATTGATAGTAACGGAAGCCAGCTTTCTGCTCGGAACATCAATTCGAGAATCAATTTCTACGATGATGTGGATTTCTTGTCGAATGCTATATTCGAAAACTACGTTTCCTCGGCTTACGTAAATGAACCAGGACGCCTGAGTCTTGAAGAACAGATGGATCTCAATGAGAAGGCATCAACTATTCACCTCCAAAGAGCATTGGCTACACCTATTACTGTGGTCGCGGAAGCATTTCCCCACCTTGAAAAGTACCATCAATGGATCACAGACTTCCTGAACTCTGAACTACCAAATCAGCTGCTCAAGGATGTGAAAACTGAATCCGAGCGGGACTCTGTGGTTCAAAAGTCTATCGAGTCTTCCGTGACAGGCAAGCTGTTGGCACGACTAGGGAAACATCTCCGTGCCATCATTGCTGGAGAAGTACACTCGCTCAGTATCATGGTTGAGGACGGCCTATGGAACAAATTCTACCAGGACGGAGCCATGTACGCATCAAGTTTACAAGCGGCGAAATTCATCGGACTTTTAGCGAAGAACAAACCCCACATGCGCATTCTTGAGATTGGTGCGGGCACTGCAGGGACCACACTCCCTGTTCTCCAAGCTCTAGATGACCATGGAGTATATTTACTTGACCGATACTGCTTCACGGATATTTCCTCTGGGTTCTTTGAGCAAGCTAGGACTAATTTGAGCGAATGGAGAGCTTTCCTGGATTTCAAAAAGCTCGACGTCTCCAGGGATCCTCTGGAGCAAGACTTTGAACCTGGGAGCTATGACTTGATCATTGCGGCCAATGTTGTCCATGCAACAAAAAGTGTGCGTCAAACACTCTCAAACATGAGAAAGCTGCTCAATCCTGGTGGGCGACTTGTGCTCTGCGAGATCACAAGGCCCACTGTTTCGTCGGGCGTCATGTTTGGGTCGCTTTCAGGGTACGTCTCTCTAAGGTTAGTTGTTTACATATGATCATGACGCTGATTTGCCGCACTAGATGGTGGGAGTCTGACGATGGTCGCAAAGGAGGGCCGCTGCTAAGCAGAGATTCATGGCAAAACGCACTGCTCGCGTGCTCTTTTAGTGGTATTGAGCTTTCTTCGTCTGAGCACGACGGACCTTCCTCAATGTCCTCCGTTATGGTGTCGACAGCAATCGAGCCAGCTGAAAAAACCATCGAATTTGAGTCCGCTAACATGGTGAAAATAGTTTGCGACCCTCAAACTCATGCGGCTGTATCACTTAGCACGGCGCTATCCGGCGCAGTAGAAGCCAAAGGGTTTCCATGTTCTCATGTCGAATGGAACGGGCTCACAACGGCATCTGAAGACACAAGCCTATACATCGTATTGGACTCCGCGGACCATCCAATCTTAGCAGATCCTTCTGAGGCAGTGTTCAAAAGTATCAGATCCTTAGTGACAACGAGCCGAGATCTCATATGGGTCAGCTACCACGAGTCAAGCGATGCGAAGGCTGTTGCAATGAAAGCATTGGCTACTGGAATGGCACGTGTCCTACGTCGCGAGAATGGGGGAGTGCGATTCATCACTCTTGACATTCGAGATGCTTTGGCTGAAGATGCTTCCCCTGCGGTAGACGCGATTCTGAAACTCGCAAAAGACAGTCTATGGCCTGCACTCAAGACGAATCGCCCCACCGAGTTCGAATATGCTTTAGTGGGTAACCGACTTATGATCCCTCGAGTTTACACGGACGCAGACTTCAACAAATGGGCAGAGAGTCTCAACGGCAATGGTACACACGAAACACGCTTGTTCCGGGACAATGAGGCGCCCCTGAAACTAGTAGTCGAAACTCCTGGCATGCTCAGCAGTCTTTGCTACGCACATGACGAACGACAATCTCTACCTCTTGGGGATGACGAGATCCAGCTCGAAGCGAAAGCATTTGGGGTCAACTTCCGCGATGTCTTTATCGCACTCGGCCAGATGCCCGCTCAAACACCAATGAGTGGAGAGGTTGCCGGTGTAGTCACTGCTGTTGGAGCGGGAGAGTTTGTTCAAAACAAGTATAAGATAGGTGACCGAGTTGTTGGTATCCTTGGCCAATCGTATTCAAGCCACACCAGGATCAGGGGCACTGCATGTCATGTTTTGCCTGACTCAATTGGCTTGACAGAGGCCGCATCCCTTCCCGGTGCATATTTGACATCATACTACTGCCTCGTTGAAATTGCGAGATTGGAGCGAGGTCAAAAGGTTCTGATCCATGCAGCATCAGGAGGGTTGGGTCAGAGCGCTATTCAACTTGCGCAGTCTATTGGTGCTGAAGTTTTTGTCACCGCTGGCAGTGTCGAGAAACGCAAAATGCTTGCGGATCGATATGGCATTCCTGCTAGCAACATATTTTCCTCCCGTGGTTCTGCCCGGAATATGAAGCGTGGCATCATGCGACTCACGGATCAGAAAGGGGTGGACGTTGTTGTCAACTCATCCGCAGGGGAAATGCTCGCTGAGAGTTGGGAGTGTCTCGGACCCTTCGGGTACTTCTTCGAACTTGGCAAGACTGACATCTACAAGAAAAGCCGTCTGAACATGGCTCCGTTCGACAGAAGTCTGACATTCATGGCGTTCGATCTGGCCGAACTAATGACTTTGAAGCCTCAGAAGATGCACAAAATTCTTGGTAAAGTCCTTGAACTTGTTGATCAAGGAACAATAGCACCGGTTTGGCCACTCAACCTTGTCCCAGTCGATCAGATCGAATCTGGTTTCCGCATGATTGCTGAAAGGAAGCACATGGGCAAAGTAATCATTGAAGCAACGGAGGGTGCAATGGTGAAAACCGTCCCGACACCACTTCCTCCTTTGAGCTTGGATGCCCATGGTACTTATGTCATTGCAGGGGGCTTGGGTGACCTAGGTAGGAGGGTATGCCGCTTGATAGCCAGCTTTGGCGCGAAGCATATTGTTACACTATCTCGCAGAGTCTTGGAGAAAGCAGAGCAGATTGAGCTCGAAGAACAGGTGAGACTATTAGGAGCTCAGCTTCTGATCGTGCAATGTGACATTGTGGATCGTGAACGCGTCCTCGAGGTGGCAGAAATGTGTCGGGGTTCGTTGCCGCCCGTCAGGGGGGTCATCCATGGTGCCATGGTATTGAAGGTAGGTTACTGTCAAGAACTTATACAAAGGAGAAAGCTACTGAATAAAACCCAGGATCGTCCGCTCGTCAATATGAGTTTCGAAGACTGGCGCATCCCCCACGGCCCGAAGGTTACAGGTACTCTCAATCTCGACGATGCGTTCGGCTCCCCTAATCTAGACTTCTACATCACACTATCATCGGTAAGCGGTATTATGGGCCAGGCGGCACAGTCCAACTACGCAGCAGGAAACTGTTTCCAGGATGCCTACATACAGCAACGAAATGGAAAGACGGGCACGCGTTACTTTACCTTGAACGTTGGTGCGATCCCTGATTCCGAATCCATCGCTTCTATGACAGAGGTGAATGTGCAACAAGACCTAATAACAGAGTTTGGTATGTCATTTGGGGAGCTCTACCAAACGCTCCGATATGCCATGGATCCTGGCACACCCTTAGGGGGCTCTGCACAATCTATCATGGGTTTCAACAGGCAATCGATATTCGCATCACGCGACGAATTTGCGCAGAGGAATCCATTCTTCAGTATGTTGCCATATACGCAAGACGAAGTGGAAGCGAATTCAGGGAGCACAGGTGCCAAGCGCGATACAGAGCAATTGCTGCGGAATGCGAAATCCCTTGAAGAAGCAGTGGCAGTGATTTCCGAGGCAATCGTGGACAGGTTCGTCACCTTCCTCAATCTCTCCGTTGAGGATGTCAGTCTGGACCAGCCACTGGCTTTGATTGGCATGGACTCATTGGTATCCATCGAATTGAAGAATTGGATGGTGCGTACCTTCAAGGCAACGCTCCAAGCTTCAGAGCTTAGTAGTGCACCAAGCATTATCGAACTATCAAAGACACTTGCTGGCAGGTCTAAGATTCTCAGTGCAGCAATCAGTGAACAGAATGTCCGCCCTGAGCTAGCCAAAGAAGCTGAGGATCAGCACACCACGTTAGGACAAGACTTACCCAGCCACGGATACAAGTGCTGTCAATTGTTCAAGGAGCTACCCAAGCTCCCACTCCCTCCATTCGAAGAGACCATGAACAATCATTTCAACAATGTTGCCCATTTCGCCACTGATCCTGGAGACCTCGAAGACTTCCACGATGCTATAAAGGAGTTCACCGCCCCAGGAAGTGTCAGCCGACGGATATACGAAGGACTTGAGAAGGTGGCAAACGATCCCAATGTCGAGAACTGGGCTGCCGATTATCTCCTTTACAACACACATCTGAGATGGCGACAAGGGCTACAATTTGCCAGTTGGACAGTCTGCCTACATGAGAGCGAAATTGCACACTCCCAAGCTGAAAGGGCTGCCTTGATTGCCAGCGTTGCCTTTGAATTCAAGCAATCCCTGGATGAAGGTCTCACGGAGGTTGTCAGTATGTTTGAACTTCCGCAATGTCACTATCAGCAGAGCTGGCTATTTAACTCAATCCGCGAACCCGGAGTCGACTGTGATGCTACCAAGAAGTACCACGGAGACTACTGTGCCGTACTAAGGCGTGGCCGTGTCTTCCGCGTTTCGCTCAGGGAAGCGGACAAAAACGTTCCATGCAGCACGATCAAGCATGAAATGGAAGCCATTCTGGACGCCGTTCAGGATGAAGGCTCCTGGGCCAGTATAATGACGAGTGATCACAGAGATAGCTGGGCAAAGGTGAGTCTTGCGACTTCAGATTCGCCTTTTCAACTCATGTACTACCTTACTGACACAAATCAAAGGTATACAAGTCTCTACTGGCCAGTGACGCCAAGAACGAAGAATACTTTAGAACCATCTCTGAAGCTGCATTCGTCGTCAACTTAGATGATGGAGCTCCCAGTACCCACTCTGAGCAAGTCACACAAGGACTATTCGGAGATGGTTTCAACCGGTGGTATGACAAGATAACGCAGTTCATCATCACAGCAAACGGTAAAACTACTGCTCTGTTCGAGCACTCCCAGGTGGATGGAATGACGCCAGTCGGCCTGCTTAAGCGACTCAACGAGGCCATCCATGCCCATCGGCCTTCCTCCGAAACTCTAGCGAACGGGCATACCTCACCGTCTCTGCCTCCACAGGAGTTCTGCCTCGTTACGACGCCAGAAATAGACCATCATATCCAGGCTCTTCGCCAAAGGTATTCAGAGAATACGTCTCAACGAGAATTCGTCGTCCACCCCACGACGCAGCTGGGAAAAGACTTCTTGACCAGCTCACACATGCCCATCAAGGGTGTCCTCGACATGGCAGTCCAGCTAGCCGTACGCACCTATTATGGCCGCCCTACGGAAATCTGGGAGGGCGTATCGGTGGCCCACTACCACCGAGGCCGTCACGATATGATCCAGACATTTTCAAGCGCAGTAGCCGATTTCTGCAAGTCGGCAACGGATGAGAACATCCCAGCTAGTCAACGAAGAGACCTTATGCTGCGCGGAGGTAGCGACATTAGTGCAAACATCAAGCATGCCGGGCAAGGAAAGGGCTACTTCCGCCTGTTCAATGTCATCGACGAACTCTGGCCCAAAGATGCACCAAGGTCCGCATATTTCGACCAGGCCATCTACCACCATATCAAACGAATGACTGTCACTTCTGCTACGCTCGACAGCAATACTCTGTTCGTCGCAGCTATGCCTGCTAACCCGCAGGCATTGAGGATCAAATACAATACTGGAGACAAGGAGTAAGTGCTTCTTATCCCTCGAGTTTGCAGCCTTGCATCTTACTAATCCGATATTCGCCCAGAGTAACTTTCAGCGTTGGAGCACCTAGAGGCCAGAGTGGTAAATTTATCAAATGCCTAGAAGATGCTGTTGCTGTCGTTAGAGCTTTGATTTTAGCACCATAGTTATTCAGACGGGATTAAGGCTGAGTTAGACCGGATCCAGCAGACGAAGGGAGATGTGAATCAAGACTATGCTGGACAAAATTAGGGGGAGGGAGGAATTGAGAGATAGGATGTCTCATAGAAATTTTCATATCGGTTTGGATTGATGAATCAAAACTCCTTCGTTACTGAGATTCCATACGCAGTTTCGGAAGGAGCGGTGAAATAGAACCCAGCAAGCCTAAGCACTCATGTCATTCCGACCTCCTCCAGATGCAGACTTGGGTGGTGTTAGTGCATACCACGTAGCTGTGGTCGTTCTGAGGTAGGATACTGCAGGTGATACGAGGTATACCTGTAAGCACCAAACCCCTGATAGGCCGAACTGTTGGAACTTGGAACTCACCAGAATGGCGCTGCCAACAAACACCACAAGGCAAAGTAAAGGGCGCGCACAGCTCGAGCGCCAGAGCAACAGACATTTGCTTCCTCATTCCTCCATCCCAGGTATGTTCCCCATAATGAGGTCCTCCCACATTCTGCTTCTTCTCAATTATCAATCACTCAACTCACGGACCAAACACGTCTCACCTACACAGTACTCTCTCAATTTAGAAAAGCCATCGAGCTCGCAGCAACTTGGAGAATAGAGCATGTCTTCTGAACAAAGGTATGATTACTCTTACGCACAATTCGTCGATCTCCCAAGCCTCGAATTGTTTGGTGGTGCCCTCAACATGCCCTCAACAACTGTGCTCAATGTGAGCTCTGGGAAACGTCCTTGGACTTGTAGCGTAGCGATGGCTCAATATCTCATGGATGACCAAAAGAAAAGTCCTGGGAGCTGCCAAGGGGCCGTTGAAGAATAGCATTTATTAATTTTAGGCTCTGATCCATATACTCACCCTGTCACCCTGTAGATTCAAAAGCCAAAACCTCCACACCTTCCAAACTGTTGGCATAAGCAATCCCCGGTGTCAGGACACCAAACAGGGTCCTTCCCAAAGATTATGTGCCACGCATACTCTAGCACCCGTCCCGAGAGCTGATCGTGTAAATCCGTATCGAGCAGCCACTGCCGATAATGCAGATAGTCCGACCTGGGCCTCGCCAGGACCTGCTCCTTGGACACGGCGAATTGCGCACAACACGCCACTGCGATGGTGCGGGGCACCGTCGAGTGATTCCCTCCGAAGAGAGCGACATAAGCGTCGGCGACAGGTACCTCGAAGATACGCTCGGGGTCACCCCGAAATGGCTGGATCTCGTCAGGACAGCCTGGGGCTTCTGCACATCTTAGATTCGCGTAGCCGTGTTTGTGGACATAGTCGAGGCGAAGGCTGCGGACTGATTTGACGTTGTCGTTGTCTTCGGCGTCGTTGTGCCAAGACTGCGGCATGGCTTTCCTGTGTGGATGCAAGAAAAGTATAGTGCTCGGTAGGTCGTGGTAGTGCGCGATGATGTATGTCAGGTATGCCATCGCTTCGCGGCCCTTGTTGGCGGGCGGGTGTAATATCCAGGTCGGATCGTCCATGTGGTAGATGGCATGCTGCCAGCTATTTCATTAACATCAGCCTTAGGAACAATCATAGTATTTCTTGGGAGCACGGTCAAGCTTACTCAGGGAGTTCTTTTCGAACCCAGTGGACGTTCTCTTTCTTTGTTTTGGCTAGTACAAGCACTTTGTCTCCAGCCTCCGGGCCCTTGTACACATACGGGTTGTCATAATCGTCCTCCGATGTCCGTGGAGGACTCGAGAGAGGATTAGATAGCCAGAGGGAGAGAAGTACAAATATCGTCACCGCGCTGAAAACTACAGCTTTACGCCTCATGATCGTTCAGATCACTAGACTGATGCCATTGCGGGCAGAAAGTTTTGGCGATTATGGCTCAATTTATTGATGAGAAAGTCGATGTGTGCTCGATCACCAGCTGTACGGCCATTGTGCCAACTATGAGCTGACTGTTGAGTACGGATTACGGAGTACTCCCGAACGCTAACAAAAGGTATAGCAGGAATGACGTTTATTTATCCGGGGCTGGTTGGTGGGAGGCCCCGCCATCGCGATCGCCATCGGGAAAGGCTGTTCTTCCCTGCCACTAAATAAATGCATGGGGGCGGTGCCATGATCTGATCCACCTGAGCACCGGCCATTCCATCAGTCTGTATACTTTTCCTCCGCCAATAGTTTTCAAATTGTAGGTTGCCGGATGGCAATTGGAAGGTGACACCTGTGATTGCCAGGGCTCTGTAGGTCTAAGGACAGTCCGAAATGCTTGATTAGTTTCGTGCAGGTGATAATACCTAAGGCTCTTCCTACGCTCCCTAGATCTCCACAGATAGCGCAAGCATACTTGTATCATATGAGAACATCTTCCCTGTTGATCTAGCGATATCACTTCCTCTCATTTGTTCGACCATCTAATTCTCACCTGTCAGGCTCTACCAGGCTCCGATGCGTTTGGCCATCCGACTAGAAGGCACAAACAGAGAGCTCAGCCTTGTCAACCTCGGTACAATACTTTGCTTAGCCTTCCCAAGGTTTTGGCGTAGGGATCTCCCCGCATTGTCAGTGCGGATACGTAGATGATGACAAGCGTTTAGGGACCTGCTATGACATATCTCGACTAGATTGAGGACTCGTCGCTCAGCTCTCTGGCTAGGTATAACGTTATGCTCCGACCGACTGCAACAGTTCAGGCTCGATGAAGCGAAAAGCACTTTGGGAAACTCAAAGTGATTTTTGATCCTAACAATCCTTACCTCGGCCGCCGGTTTACATTGTGTTCTACGAGCAGTTGTCGAGCACTCATCCATACTTTCGCTTCATACGATTTCTGAGATCGAGATTGGAACAGCTGAAGCCACTGCATAATGACGGAGAACAACAAGCTTGACTTTGAGAAGCACCTGGAGCTGAAGGAGATAGGCCCGGTGAGCATATTTCAACAATTCCAAAGACCTCAGCTGATACCACGAACGATAGGACACTTTCACTAACATCTACCAACCATGGGTTTTCTACATTACATTCAATGTCCCCGGTCCTGTGATGATGGCTGAAGCAGCTGCAGCCGCTTACAAGACTGTACCATCGGGATTCATGCTGGACTCGTTGCACACACAGTTTATGCTGGGTCCCAAGGCCGAGAAGCCCCTCGTATATAAAGTTCAAAGAGTCAGTCAAGGTCGAAGATTCGCAGTACGGATCATCACGATCGAACAAGACGACAAGCCCGTCGTCGCGGTGACGGCGAGCTTCATGAGCGACCAGGCATGGACGGGCAAGGCCATGAAGCATGCGGCGGCGATCCAGATCAAGGAGCGCATCGACGAGATAACACTCGACGACTTCGACCCAATGCGCACGGAACGAGGGCCATTTATGAGGTTTCAGCGCCTTCCGCTCCAGCATGCTGTTCCAAACGATCCCAGTACCACGATTGCACCCGTCGTCGCAAAAATCGACCCGCCAATCAAGTCGGCGACGGGCGGTGCAGCACATCTGCTCGCCATCGTGCACATGTCCGACTACCATGTAATGGACTGCCCGTTATCCATTCACGGCGTCGAATTTGGCCTCTACAAGATCGGCGACCACGAGCGCAAACAAGTACCCTACGGTATGAAGATCATGACCAGTCTCAACCACACTATCCACTTCCACGTCCACGAAGGATTTCGTGCCGACGATCTAACGTACATCGAGGCCACGTCGCCGTGGGCCAAGGATGGACGTGGAATGATCCATACGAAAATATACACCAAGGATGGCCTGCTAATTGCGACTTGTGTTCAGGAGGTTTGTGCCCATTCCGCGGGAAACGCTAGTACTGACGCTCTGCAATAATAGGCATTTTATGTTTTTAAAGACGGACCCAAGCTTTGATCTAGAAGTGAACAGAATAAAGTGTGCAAAATAGGTCGAAATGCTTATTGTTACTCTAGACTTGCTGCAATGCTATGCTCCCAGAATGGCAACTAACTAGTGCCATCTCATAATCCTCACAATGCTGAAAGCAGAAATATCATAAGCCTTGCTAATGCACAATCACGACCGCTGCGGTTTCCCCTCAGTAACTCTAACACGTCCACAGTTCCCACCACCCCAATCTGATACTTGCAGACGACGTTGAATGCCGGGGGTTTAGTCGTATTGCCAAGCAGCAGCAGTACCCTGGGTGTAGGTCACAGCGAGAGGGCTAACTGGCACACAGGCAGTCACGTCGCCCAACGGAACGACTGCATTGGGGATATTGATGAAGACCTGGTAAGCAATGCTGCCTTGAGTTGGGCAGGCCATGAACCCATCAGCCCCAAAGGCATAAGTGGTCACAGTACCGTACTGCGCATCGGGCTGTGGGACGTAGACGAAAGGCTGACTGACAGCTCCCGCAGGGATGAGGTTAGAGTGCGCGGAGGTGAATTGAAGCTCTCCGTTCGGCAAGGCATAGACTTGTTGCCCGCCGGGAACCACGGTATCGAGGCCGCCTGCACCGACAAAGACGGTATCTGTTCCTGGAGGGCAGGCCCCTTGAGCGGCAACATCGCTGGGGCACGAGGTCTCGGTCTGCGGAAGGTTGAGCCAGAATTTGCCGCTATTGGCATTGATCGATTCGAAGTGGAATGGCTGTACGTTGGTTGCGATGATCATGCCATATGCATCTGGGAATGTTGCAGGTGCGTCAGGATTTTGTCCTGAATGGCCTGTTGGTGCGGCAATGGCGCCCATGACTGGGAGTGAGGCGATGACTGCGCTCTTGATTTGCATCTTGGTTGATTTTTGTTGATTGTTGACTTGAGATGGGAGATGGAATCTTGCGACGCTTGGTGAACGCGGTTGCTTGCTGAATGCAGGGATTTTCGTGGGATTGTCGAGATGGTCAGTCTTGTGTTGATGTCGAGTTTCTTTCTTGACAGCAAGCGACATACTGGTACTTATACACCTTCCTTGAGGCATTTGGAGTCGTCTCTGTTCGTTTCTATTGTGAAAGCCACGCAAGCTCTGGCGCATTGTCAGTGAGAAGCAAGTGCACTCGATAGTAGCATCTAAAGGCCCATCCAGTAGTCCGCAGAGGTAACGTGGTCTGTCCACAATGTCACCGAAACCACGAGGCTCTGAGAGAACCGCATGCGCCTTACCGAGTCCATACTAGCAGAGCATCAGTTTCCTGTGTCACAGAACACCTCATCGGTTCGTCTTGCTGCATTTCCTCGTGTTCTATTTCTAGAAGTAGGTGCACGGACGGGTTCCCATCTTGGGCGGTGCACGGCTCAAGTGATATATCAGTATTAAGCTCGAACCTCGCTCATGGCGTTGCCTCAGAGGGGATGTGGTGGCCAATGCGCAGCACAAAATAGCATGAGGGAGGATTCCACGGCCAAGCCTGTATGGCGTTCTCTCCGGACACCTGAGCATCTAGAACTGGCCGATTTGTTTCAAAGCTTGCTGCTGTCTCCAAAATAGCAACAATCCAGGTGCGCACGAATATTGACGGTGTAGTGAAATGTCGCAAGTGGTCACTTGTTGCAGGTCAGAGCATACCAACCAAGGTTTGTCTTTCTCAATGTCTGGAGCTACACTGGCGGGTGCTCAAGATCAATCCATTCTGGAGGCTGATGGCAACACATGATGCATCTTGATATTCTCTAGATGTCGGTAAAACCGGGGCCATTTTGGGAGATTCTACGGACTTTGTTACCACTGTTCCTTAGGAGGGTAAACTGACACATCTGAAATGATCTCTTTGGCGGCGACCTGTTCTGTAAGGCTGAATTATATTGTGGGATGCTTGTCAAATAATCGTGACACTGTGCTTCGAGGTGTTGTCTGCGTTTAGGTGGTTTTTGAGATAGGCCCCTGGGACGAGGCACACCAGGACCAGCAAGTTTGGACAACGACTTGGTGACTAAGGCTTCAGCCAAACAATGTTGTGTGATGAAACTTGGCATCCCCTAAAGCACACCTAGCTTCATATATAAATCGACTCCTAACTCCTAGCTGATTATATACATACCTACTACCCCTACACGTCCGGTGGACAAGTATTAAAGGGGCGTTTCGGCCCATCAACACCCTAGTCAATAGAGATGTATCCAACGATCAGAGTGTCTTTCTAGCTGCTCTCCGTCCCTTCTCTAAGCTTGATTTTGGCGCTTGCTGCGACGCGTCTGTCCGAAGGACAAATGCCGCATATGAGACGATCATGAATCCGACAAAGCCAGCAGAGCCGGGAATGGTCCGCTTAGCCTTGCCAAGGGGCATTTCGCTCCCGCCCCCAACTTTGTACTTTGGACCATGCGAATGTTGGAATATCGATGGGCGGCCTAATCGCTCCTCCGGCCCACGCTCAGGCCTGAGAGTCTCAAGTCCATGTGCTCAATCAAGTGGTAGTTAGGCATGCGTTTCATGCTCAACTGATGCAGGGACACTAACTAAAGCCTAACGCCGCAATTAACAACAACATGAAGTGCATATCGAACCAGATTTTCTCAACCTCCTAACTACCTCAAATCATCAATTGTCCAAAGATGCCAAAATGAATGCACTGGATTATGCATGGAAAGTGGCAGCCGCGTGGCTGGGAGTGATTATCGGGATTTCGGCCAACACTGATGACATCGTCGCCCTCTCGCGCCGCGGTCGCGGTACCTGGCAGCGGTATGGCACGCCGTTTGTGCTTGTCCTTCGAGGCGCACTGGAAGCATACTATCAAATCGAACATGTGCTCGAAACCAGCAGTGAGAGCCTCAACAGCTATCAAGAATCACTGATCATGGAGTGCAATATGATCTCTGTGGCCGCGGCGATCGTTGCATCGGTGACTATCACGACGTACCAGTTCCCGTTGGTTATGGATATGCATTGGACCGTTACTGCGGCTTTTACTTTCTCTCTCATAGCTAGCCTCTTCTGTGTCTATGGCGCCTGCACGCTTCAAAGACGCATCTCAAATCTACCAAACGATACCCAATTTCGAGCCTGGCTTACTGCTGTTCCACCTCCTAGTCCGTCTGGAAGCATGTCTGGGGACTTCATTTTGGGCGAGGTGGCGGACCACCCGCGGGCGAATGTGGCTACCGTGCTCACCCTGACGGCACCGAAGACGCTCCTCGACCACTCTATCCGCTTCTTCCTCGCAGGCCTGGTCGGATACCTTGTTTGCATTCACGGTATCTCAGTGCGGAGCAACGGCATCACAATTGGCGATGAACCCATCATCCTGGCTCCGTCCGGATTCAGTCCTCTCGGGAGCAGGAACACCATCATCGTTTGCTCGTTTTCGTTGTGTATCGGGATTAGCCTGCTCATCTCGCCGAGCAGTTACAAGAATTTCGTGACCACGCTATCAGGTCCGGTGAAGGCGCATGCGCATGGTAATGGCGGGATCGCCGAGGGCCCTAACTGGCACGGTCATTCACATGAATCACGGCCGATACCGGTGAATGCGCAGAACGCCAATGGTTCTGAGAAGATGTATCACCCCGCCTCGATGGCAGCGGAGTCCAGGGCAGTCGGTATTGTCGACGTGCTAAGATCAAATGTTGGTATAGCATCCACAAGTGAACGACAGGAGATATCTTTGCTGTTGCTTAAGGCAATGAAAGAGAGCGTGGCTGCACATGAGCGAAGCGCGACTGCTGCGAGAGATTGTGCGAGGGTAGACGAGAAGATTGCTGAGCTATATGGACGACTCGTGGCCAATACTGGTTCTTGAAAATGGACCAAAAGGAATGTTGTTAGACGACAAGGATGACTTCGACCTTGATCAAGGGAGGCTCCCGGAACATAGAGGTGAAAGTCTTACTCTTAGACCCATTTATTTCTTTCATCGGAGACAAACAAGATGTAGACCTTACTGAAATTATCATACTGCATGGTTCAACCGTCTGCGCTCTCTCGTCGAGTGATAGCTTTGTCTGAGCTTAAACCTAGTCGACGGTAGTAGCACGGATGTCATCCCACAACACTCTTCCTTCTTCATCGCATTCTTCTTCAAAGCCAAAGAAAACCTGTACAAATCTCTCTTACTAGATTCCACGCACTCGCGTTATGCTTGACAGAAGTCCATCTCGCTATCGATACGTACATCTGTCTCAGGCTAGGCGTCCCATCGGCCACCGTGCCGCATAATATTATTGCCCAAAGCAAGAGTCCCTGGTAATCGTCCCACATGCCCAAAATCAAGCAATTGTCCATTGCAGTTAGAAGCTGCTTGGCAAGACGTGGGTGCATACCTGTGACACTCGGCACCGGGAAGAGGACAAGTAGCGTGTATGCCATTGTACCAAGCCGGCATAGTTCGTACAGACAGCTATCACGCTTCAGACCTTCGTCTGATCTCTCTGGCAGCGAGATCAGATCGTGTTGCAAGGAATTTCTTGCCCACAAAATACGCACAAGAGGAGGATGTGGTGTCGCCTGGTGCAGGGATTTGTCATATCCGATGGTGATTTCCCGGAGCCTGTCTATTATGGTAAACAATAGAGATCTATTGAGACATTCGGGCAGGTCCCGAAAACCAGTCCCAAGTTTTTTCAATAATGGTCCAACTGTATCGGGCTTCGGATATGGCCAAACCGACATCACGTACGAAGAGGGAAACACGAGTGGGAATGAGGGAGCGCTGAGGGGTTGGAAGTTCAAGAAGATATCACCTCTATGACGGGTCAGCAGGTATGATACCAAGGAAGAGACCTGTATCTTGTACATACAATGCAATTGCATTGGCCAGACCAGGTAGGCTGAGTTTATGGAGCCCACCCTTCTGCTTGACCATATGGCGGACAGCTTCAAGATGCGCGCATTCCCACCTCATGTCACCATAATATTGGAAGTTGTGAGCATTTGCCAACGGTGAGAGTGGCTTTTTGGGCACCTGGGGAGGTTTCAACGTTTCTCCAGAGCCATGAACGCCCAGAGTGATGATCGCGAGGAGCAGTTCATCCGATGGATCACCGGTCAAAGAGTATATCTCTTTGACCAAAGCTTTGATAGCCTGTGTTTTGAACGCTAGTCGTAACGTGAGGTTCTCTTTTGGTATGGCATTTTCTCTAAGAGAGAACGCATTATCAGTCGCACCAGCGAAGATGATGGTGTAAAACGAGGCCGGCGATGACATGGCACATTGCAGAATTGCATTTTTGATATTGGCATGCGCCGTTAGCGTCTTCGAAGAGGAGAACATTGGCCATTGATATGAGATTGCTTTTGTTCTAGGTCAGCCTTCCTAAAGTCCAACGCAGAAACACTAGTCACTGAAATGAACTTATAATAAGGGCATTAAGAGATGAGAGTTGAACATTAAGTAGGGCTCCGCTCGACTTACCATGATCCAGCATCTCAAGAGCATAATTCGGTATGCCTTCAGGGACGCAGACATGAAATGGATCCCATTGCCCAGCTCCCACTTCAATGATCGTATGGGGCATCTCGGTCTCTGCCCCATTTAGGAAAGTGTTCTATCTTGGTAAGATGCAACGAGTGAAACAGGTTGATTGATTCAGATTTATGTCAATCTTTTTGTACGACTTCCCTTTATTCGCTGGATCTGTCTTATTAGCGAATCGCTGCAGCTTTACCTTCCTATGATACTCTCTGGCAGCATGCTTTTGCTGGGATATCCCTGGCCAATTGCCACGTGGTTGTTTAGACGAATACGACGGACGATAGGGCACTAACAAGACATTAGTTTCGATAGGAATTGCCATACTGAAGCTGAATCCTGTTGTTGATTACACGCAGTACATGGAACAGGTATAATCTAGTCGTTGGAAATTCCTGCGTTTGCAGAGCAGACATAGAGAGACATATATTCCAGGTCGGCCATAGTGGGCAAAAGTTGTATGCCCTACCCGAGGTCTGGAGCACGACCAAAGGTATGGGAGTTCAGCTTTGTTTGCGAACGCCATCAACCTTCAGCATTAAGCGAAGCCAGTAGGACAATGTTGACTTCGGTCTGGAAGGGTCGTGGTCAATCAAGCCAGTCAAATCGCCACGCCAAAGGGCGAGGATATAGGGCGGAGTTTATTTGATTCGGCGAAATGATATTCCCTGTCCGGTCGGTTGCAGGCATCGACTTCTCCGCCAAGCTCCTTTGACGCCATTGCCTCCAGTTGCGCGTTGAGCGGTCGCCTTCTCTTGATGAGTCGAGTCAAAATACAGAATAACTCCAACCCGGTAACAACCCGGAATTTGCTCGTCTCTACGCGCCTCTCCAGCCTTGTCTCCATCGCTTAGTGGCCTTCCTGGTGTAAGCGACCCTTTAGTTGCGCCCATCAAAGACCTTCGTGAGTCGTATCCCACAATACCTGCGCTGCCCCTCCAGCCGACATCATGTCCAAAACGGTTCACATCGAGTCGACCGTGCAATTCTCGAATCTACTCTCCTCCTCTGTAATTGTTGTTGCAGACTTCTATGCAGATTGGTGCGGACCATGCAAGCAGATTGCCCCCATATACGAGCAGCTGTCTGCGCAACTATCGAAACCAAACAAGATCACGTTCGCCAAAATCAATACCGATCAACAGCAAGACCTCGCAAGATCTTACAATGTTAGAGCCATGCCTACCTTCATGATCTTCAAGAATGCCCAGCAAATCCAGTTTATAGAAGGGGCGGATCCTAAGAAGCTCTCTCAGGTGGTGAAAGATCTGGCAAACGAGGCAAACAAGCTGGAGGGTGAAGATGCTGGTGGGAGTTCAAGCGGCGGTACGTGGTTGGGTGCAGAGCTCCCCCGTGGCTACGGGGATGTAACTGGCCAAGTCGATTTCATGAGCCTGGAACTATTGAATTGGGACTCGACTCATGGAACAGCGAGAACATTGATCAGTGGTGACAAACCAAAAGGTGAGCAGCCGGAATATCCTTCTTGCTGCCTGTGAGACTGATGACTGTAGGTCAAGCTAATGCAAAAGACTGGGTGGAAAGTGACACTGATGAACAACTCATGCTCTACATTCCATTCCAATCCACCATAAAGATTCAATCTATCCACCTCACCTCCCTCCCTGAAGATACAGAAGATGATGAAAACCCCAGCAGGCCCAAAGTGGTCAGGATCTACACCAATAGACCACACATTCTTGGGTTCGATGAGGCGGAAGACACACAGCCAGCACAAGAGTTCACGTTGTCAGAAAAGGACTGGGATTCCAAGACAGGCACTGCTAAGATTGACCTTCGTATCGTCAAATTCACGAACGTCTCCAGCATCGTCCTTTTCGTGGTGGAGAGTGAGGGTGACAATGAAAAGGTCAGGATTGACCGAATCCGAATCATTGGCGAATCAGGTGAAAAGAGAGATGGCAAAATCGAGAAAATTGCCTCGGACGATTGATTGATGTACTATTACCTGCCAGATATGTGAATGAGAAACGAGAGACGACTGCATCTAGTCAGGCGCGAGGTATAGAGGCGCGGGAAGCAAGGAGATACCAAAAGTCAATCATAGATATCCGAGAGACGGAGCGCAAAGTACTTTGTCTACTTGAAGACCCATGACCCACGATGGAAGATAACAGTCCTTTACCTTGCTCGGTAGCCCTTACAGCGGCCAACCCGCATTCGTTTCCATCAAGTCCATCGTCTTCATTATCAAAATCTCTGCCGCATTCCAGTGACCATCGCCCATTTACGGGTTTTAACAGTGGAGCGCGGGCAGTGCAAACGTAAAAGGATGTCCGACCCCACGCATAAATTAGCGCAGAGGCACTCAACGAGGCCCTCATTCCGCCATAACAGGCAACAAAAGAATAAACAAAGGCCATCGTCGAGGAGATCAGATGCAATTTTAATTATCACTCTGTGCTGCCACTGACACTTGGGCTCGTTATGGGAGAGAATAATCGACCAAGCAACACAGGGGTAAGTTTGTAGGTGGCAGCGCCGCACGAAGGAAAGGAAAAGAAAAGAGAGAAAGAATAGAGGGTTCAAAAATTTGGGGTGATAAAAGAGAATCTGCTGGCGGTGGCAGAGATATTCGGGGCTAGGCTGTTTGCGGTATGGTGTAGTGTGATAGAGAGTCTTGGCGGGAAAAGGAAGAAACCTCGACTTTGAATTTTGTTGTTGCTTTGCACCTGGTTGATTTTCTTCTTCTTCGCAAAACATATGTCAAGGCTTGTGATGAGTTTGCAATAAATAACATTGATAGGAAGAGAATGATTGCTAGTTTCACTGTCTGGGCAAAACTTGTTCTGGCGATGTTTCAGCATGATCTCATTGACTAAACTCTGAAGCCAACGATACATGGATTGTTATTATTATTGCTTTTTATTGAAACCTCCTTGATTGTGCAGATTACAGTATGGAGTACGATATTTGTTTCAAGGATTCTCTTGATAGCTTTCCGATGAAGCCAATCTGGTGCATATCATTGCAGACACCGCGTATCTCTACGCACTAGTTTGCGTGATATCGCGTGCGGCCGAGACGAGGTTCGCTGCATTCGATCCGAAGACACAACATGCGTTCGAACCCTTGCATACGCTTCGTGTCTGTGCCGTGATGGTGACAGTCCACTTTGTTGCGAAGGACAGCCACCCGGTCGAGCCGCAAATGTGCAGTACCCGGGCACGAAGATGAAGACGAGCCCCTGCGAGAATCGGAAATAGCGATATCGGACTGTTGATATAGCGCCAGTAGACAACGTGATACTGCCCCACGGATTGCAACCCGAACTTGCTCATCCCGCTCTGCAATCTATTTCATACATCAAACCATAACTGTGTCACTAAGCTGTCCTCACGGCAAGGCTCTTTCGTGCCCAGTGGTACATTGGGTTCCTGGAGATAAAGAGGAAAGTGCAGTAGGCACGGTTCTTGATGTAGCGGTCTGTGCGTATGGTATGCGCTGCCCGCCTCGGCTCGACTCGCCAGGGTGCGAGCCTAGGGAGGCAGGCACTTATAGGTTCATGTATCGTGATCGGGCCGTGCTGATGTGCAACAACCAAGCACTTGCAGAGCTTTGACGGCGGCTTTGAGGGATGCAGCACCAACCTTGATACTAAAGCCGGAGGAGCGTAGAGGGATTTTCCAAAGACCACACAATGATCAGGCAGCCTTTGCAAAGGCGAAATGGAGTCGCATGTAACAGGCTGAGTCGACGTTCAATTGTCGGGATCAGCGCGGCGATAGCGAAGCTGTTGATCGATAGAGAAGGAAACCTTCGCCTATGAGTATTTGCCAACGTGTCACAAAACCCACTCTGCACAACCGGAGGCAACGCCCACCTTAAGCTGTGCGCTTGAACAAAGCCGTGAGGAGACGCAGGGAGTGATGGACAAAATGACGACTTCAGCTTTCACACAGGTACGTCAAGGTGATTGCAGGATAGCGATGGCAGGTCTGCCCGGATGACTTTTTGACAGAAACCAACTGTAGCAACCCGTCCAGCCTCCTACGTAGTCTCTGCATAGGAGAATCGCGCAATATCTCCGTGGGTCTTTCCAGTTATCGACAACGTCGACCACACTAGGTTGACAGGGACGACGAGACCCGACTGACGGTCGGTGCTTTCACTCACTGGCACTACTGACAGACACACCCACTGGTCTGTCTTCCAACGTGAAAGAAAAGCAGCCAACTTGCAACGCGTCACGGACTCGCGGGGGAGTCGAGTCGCGGCGTTGTACAAAACCATAATATTGACTTGCAAATCCTGCACTGCACAGCCTCCTATTGAGCTTTCCCGGAGTAAGCATTCCGCGGCCACAATTAAATATATTGTGTTTGCATATTGACCACAGATGCCTCCCGTGTCCTTACTCCCAGGAACCACACGATCGGGAAATCGATGATGACGCCCTACGTTTCCTCAGTAGGCAGGCATGTAACTTTCTTCGGGCCAAAATTGAAAAAGAAAGACAGGAACACGACTTATGCTAAATTGTCCCGAGGGGACCTGAGGGGAGAAAACGATGTGCCAATTCTGTGAAGGTCCCGCCCAAATTGGTGGCGTGCGATCGTCGAGAACTGTCAACTCACCTCAATAGATGTCCGCTTCGGGCTGCCGCAAGTCTGTTGGCGCTCGAAGATCTATCTTTTTAGAGCAAACTTAATCGAGCGAAACACTCCGATTGCCTCTTGGTATGGATGTGCCTCGGGGGTCCTCCGTACGAGGCACTACGAGTAGTTACTGCGAGTACGAGTCCTTCTCGTGGCCATAGATTGATTCTATGGAGGGCTTAGTGTCGGGAGCGAATTGGGGAGAAACTCGCCTGATAAGGTTTTTTTTCCTTTTCTTGCAGATTTACGAAGTAGCGAAGTGATGGTGGTGGTGGTGGTGGTGGTGGTGGTGGTGGTGGTGGTAGTAGTAGTAGTAGTAGTAGTAGTAGTAGTAGTAGTAGTAGTAGTAGTAGTAGTAGTAGTAGTAGTAGTGGGTTCAAACTCTCCTCGAATGGGCCATTACATTGTTCCAAAACTACCAAGACTGGAAAGGCGGGATGAGGGTCTGGTGTGGATTTTGATATATCTTTTGGAGGAATCTATCGCGACCGGTTTAGGGCACTATTTCGCACTTGATACCCGAGTACTCCGTCTTGTGTTGCAGTAAGTCTACAGACTCGTCTAGAACTGACAACAAGTATTACCCGTAGACCCTTCGACTTTGGTCGACACGGGGACGTAATACCTGAACCGCCAAACGGATTGATCTATTGACGGGGGAGCAGTGTGGCCTTGATGGCTATTGAGGCACAATTTAGCAGGTCGGAATGATTGGCTAAGCCGCGATTCCAACGTAACTGAGTCCGGCTTCTGGTCTAGCGCCTTTATGAGAGGTGGCTCAGAATGGCTTGGACAGTTGAAGATCCCAATGCTTAGCTCTGTGGAAGGACTATTGCCAACTGGTGGACGGGCGAGAACGTGAGCGGCCGCCACCAGAACTCCAACAAGGGAGGCTTCGTGCGAGTGTGGTGTTCTCCATTTCCCTCGTGGAACCTCAAAGAAGGTCAAGGTCCTCGACACAGAAATGGGCCTTTCCAAACGAGGTTTAATGGGGATTGGTACCATCAACCTAGGAAAACTAAATCAGCCTACCATGGTCTTTCCCCGACGCCAGGCACGATAAGCAGATAGCTGAGTGGAGTGTGCAATTTCCCCGGAAGCACTACTGAGTCCCTCCGCACCTCGTCCATCACCGGGTGATCCTACTGAGGACCACCTAGCGAAGAAGCCGGTCTGAAAGCTGGCTGCAGGCAACAGCACCGTCTCGTCCCAGAACCTGCCAAATTTCTGAGAGTCTAAGTACTCGTAGCTTTGCGAGAGAACATGTGTCCGCCACTTTCGCGGCGACCAGGGTTCTGGCACCAATTTTGGAGTCGGCGGTGACACTACCTCGCGCACTAAGATAACAAGGTAGAATCGAGGGAGAATTTCTTATCTCGTGTCTATGTGCTCCGTAACAAGCTCCAAAAGAAAAATTTCATCCCAGTCTTGGGTTGAACGAGGAGAATTCTTGTCACAACCAAGGGAAATCCTCGAGTGGGGATTTGGGGTGTCGATCGAGAACCCATTGATGGGCACAGGTGTTTCCGTTTCGCCTCGATCCTGAAACACAAGCTGCATCTCTTGGACGAATATCATAGGCAGTACTCGTAGAGCTGAGAGGCCGATGGGCGAATACTGAAGCGAAGAGAGTTCGTACCTGCATCGAGGGGACTTTTTCATTGGTTCACCTGTGGAGGTAGCATCATTGATGAGCAAACGACTTGAGCACAAAGTGCCTAAAAGTACCTCTAAATGTTCCTGCAGTAGAGTCCTGCTTGGCGGTGGATCTCGCAGTGCTTCTGGTGGTATTCGGGGACTCCAGCTAGGTAAAAGATAGTCGCTGGAATCGCCACCACCTCCTGGTGTGATTCTCTGGGTCGACTGGGCCCAAGACTCTGGATTCAGTGGAAACCAAATCAACAGCGAGCTTCTGGAAGTGCTCCTATCCTAGTTGAGTATAAGCTGAAAAGCCAGGAAGGCGGGTGCACCACTGTAGGCCCGCCCGCGAACGGACGGTGCCTCGACGCTTGTGCCTGGGGCCGCCGGGTTCGAGGCAGGGGTACAGGGGGTCCAACTTCTCAGTGGACCAGCCGGCCCGCGGATCAGTTGGGGCCCACGAGTAAGCGTCACCGGGTACCTGAGGGAAGATGCTGGTAGCTCACAAGAGAATCCTTGGGCCGTGCTCTAAAATCTGTGGGCGTTGTGATTACGGAGTACCCTGGGATGGACTTGGGCTGTGCAAGCCGCTGTTCGCCTACCGCAGCTCTAGCATTCACACCACCAGCTAATTTGAGTGAAAGCACCATGCTGCTTTTTCGCTTCCCACTTCTCTTGCAACTTTGGTCGGGCGCTGGTTCCAGATGAGAAAGCATTTGCCTTCGCCTGTGTCGACATCGCCCCAAGCGCAATCATATTCGTAATTGTTGGTTTCGGCAACAGCAGTCGGGCCTTAAAATAACGGTGGCGAGAAATAGCACCGATGGCGTACACATCAGTCCATGCTCTAGACAAAGCACACCACCTTCTGAATGATATTGATGCACACACAGGTGACTGCCTCTAGGAATTGGTGGGGAGCTTTGCTGGGAGACTAGACCACCGTCACTCGACGTGGTGACGCTGGGAGAGCGCGATAGAGCGCGATAGAGCTGCAGTAGCCAACGACTGCTCCGTGTGGCCAGAAGCACGCCCACAGCCCAGCGGGCAAAATGCCTATCGATACGCGTCCTTCTGGTAGAATCATCGACCCCACCGCGGCAGGGGTCCCACGCTTTTCCAGGCATCGGGTTTCGGGGCTAGAAGGTCCTTTGACACATGAACCCACCGAGGACAGGCATACCAAAACCCATGCCTGGCCGAGGGAGGGCTCAATGCTACGAGAGACGGAGCTCTTACGAGCTCGATTCTCAAGATCATGTCAGGGCACTGGCGATTTCAGCATGTTATGCCATCGAGAGCTAGCCAGCCACAGATGGCGTTGGGCAGTGTTCGCCTTGATCCAGACCCGTGAAAAGTCGATGGGCCGTTTGCTCCATCCCATTGCAAGAGTATGAAACACTGGACACAATAGCTTGGACACATAGCCATAGCGGGGAAATGCAAGTGGTTGGTTCCGCAGGCGAGGTTTTTTGGATACTTTCGAGCCTTCTTACTCCGTACTCAGGACCTCGTACCGTGTTTTCACGGTGAACGAGCGGATTAAGTTGGTCTACGGAGTACGTCTAGCGTACAGCCCATCTGGGTTTCTTCTCCATCGGTTCGTTGGCGATTGCAAGCATGTGCATTGATGTTGCCTTCTCGGAAGATCTGATGCCCACGCACAGTGCCGAGTGGGCTAGTAGCAAACGTTGCAGGACGCGATGAGAGAAAAAACAACGAAACCTTGAGCCGAGACATTTGACACGGTGTCGCGTTTACACTTCAACAGACTGACTCCCAGGCGGCGCCCAATCCAGCCACCTTGGGACGCGGATGTACCGTTCACAACCTAGAAGAGTCGCCACTACCAATCGCTAAGACATTCAACTCACAGTAGGAATGGTACCTGCATAGGTGCATGCGGCGGTGGCTCGAAGATACTCTGAGACACAGCTTTAGGGGATGCACAACGACAGACACGCCCGCTGTAGCTGCAGCACTGACGCTTTAGTCATTGCCATGGTCCATTCACAGTTCCTTCTAAACCCAGTGCTCTCTGTAGTTGCCACCTTCTCGCTCTGGCACCCGCGTCGAAAGCACCCGGGCCATCTTGGGACTACTCGGTCCGGAGGTTGGTGGCACTGTGTAGGTGGTCTTTGTCTCTTGTCAGGTCAAGTAACTCCAACTAGTGGGTGAGCCAGTTTTCTCTTGCACGAGCATGGTAGCCCAGTGAGAAGAGAAGTTCAGGCTGAGGCACCATGGACAAGTCCGGGGTGAAATTTGGCTGAGTCGTACCCAATAATCCAGCTGAGCGTTTGCGAGGGTTCTGTCAGCGAGCGAGATTTATCTGAGCTGAACACATGCTGGAAGGATTCCCATGGAATATGGGGGATAGTTGATATGGATTTGTGGGCTTTTGGATGGACCGAGCCACAGAGCCAGAAATAGGTCGGGAGGCGATTCGCTGGGGCGGCCGTGGACGCAGCTTATCACCTAGTCCTCATCCACGTCACGCTCATGATTGGCGTCGAGATCCCAGCGCGTCGCCCAGTCGTTGAGTCTGACTTGGATGTAGGCGCACAAGGCGCCGGACTGCCAGTTCTGCCAACTGGAGATCCGAAATATTGATTCGAGCCTTCACTGATGCATTGTTCTGAAGGAGAGCACCTATCGTACAATCCGTGTCAAATGAACTAGGCTGGGGTGACTGGTTTCGCCCAGCCAGCAGCAGTAGCTCGTACCTATCACGACTCGCCAGTCGCATTGACCTCGCATCGCTCACCTTTGTAAGACCCACGATATTTCGTGTGAAGCATCGGACCAAGCCGACTGCTCTTTGGGCCTGGCAGATCTCGGCCTATAGAGCCCTGGGGCGAGCAATCGGGCCACGTTAGTCAGTTGCGAACACTCGTATCGATGCTCTGGGTAATCGATGAGGGCTCCTGCTGAAGCGCTGTTCGTTGTGATGGATGCGTTTCAGATTGCCAATGGCGAAGGTTGATCGTCCAGTGTACTGCCTTGTCCATCTCATAGGATTGTTGGCATAGTGTGTATAGGCACACCATCACATCCCCGGCCGGCTAATCGGTCAGTTGCATACGGCCACGGTCAGGTCGGCGGTGCGTCATCGACACGAGAGAATAGGCGGGTGGTGGTGAGAGGGTGTGCTCGGCGTCAGTGTGCAATTTCCCGTGCATATCAGTGCTGCGTGACAGGGCTCTCTCAACGTCACCCCGTCTCCCCCAGCGCGCAGAAGCCATGCATTGCGGCAAAAGCACGACTGGGTCTTCCTGTCCTCCTGTTTTCCTGTCTTCCAGTCTTCGTGCTGCCCTAAGACTGCGGCTGGGCAGGTCCGAGGGTACGAGGGTACGAGTCCTGGGCTCCTGGGTGGGTGGGCCCTGGTTAGTGGGTGATAGTCTTTGAGACGGGCTGGGATGGGTGAGACCTTGTTCTCCACCATCCTCCAGTCACTTTGCATGGGTCGCGACGACGGTCCCGAATCGCAGCGCCCGTTCCTGCAACCATCCACCTGGCCGCATCGAGAGGTGGTCCAAGTCACTGGCGGACTGGGTGGACAGGCCGGCCTCAGGACCCTCGGGACCCTCAAGGGACCGTCAAGGGACCCTCAGGACATCTAGCGATCTCTCTTATGGCTCGTCCTCGCATCCAGCTCTATCCTGCATTCCTCCATCACTGATATCGAGGCAAGACGCTCTTTTCTTCCCCGCGATCTACACTTTCATTTACTTCTTGTTATATCTCTCGTTCGACCAGGCCAGTCCCGGATCTTGTTCAATCATCTGTACTACACTACCACTGTATCATTGAACAACCTCCAGTCCTTCCTTCAAAGCCTGTGCCAACATTGTATCATAACATAATCTCTCTCTACCTACATACTCTACGTCAGGGAACCCAACTCTCTCTCTCTTACGACGGTTACCAGCAGCATATTTGCATATATCTATGTACAGCTAGTTACCAAGAACCAGGGAGACCCGAGACGCCAGCCGCCGTTCATTGGACCACCAATTTCATCTGTACTATTCTGTATCACAACGACGACATTGTTACCAACAACTGACACATTAAACCTGACCCGGCTTCTGGCAAAGACAGACAGCTGAAGATCGAGCTCGAGGTTGAAAAGAGCAAGCCCCTCGAACCAACAAACAACATAGCAAGCCCATTGCAATGGAAACACCCTACGCAATGGCCGCCCAACAGATTCAATTCTACCAGTACCGACCAGACACGGATGCACGACATAATGCCGTGTTCACGCCCATGCCGACTGAGCAACCGGTCTTCAGCCCGATGGTTGGATACCCGCAACATCAGTATATGGCACCGCAGTACTGGCAAGGACCTCCTCACTTTGCCCAAGCACACTACGTGCCCCAGCAAGTGATGACTCCCCGAGCCTCACCACCTTTGACTCTTGCGATGCCCATGCCCAAGATTGTGCTGGACCGCAATGGACAGATGGAGCATGGACACTATCTGGAGAGCCGGCACTCTTCACCTCCGACCCCATGCCTCTCTGCCTGCCCCAGCACAGCTAGCAGCCCACCATCCAGCAGCATCAATCAGACTCCCGTGCACGGAGCTGGCTACTTCAACCTCCCAATCGAGTCATCTAAGGAGGAGATGCAACCGATGCAGTTTCTGGACGAGTGGCACGCGGAGCCTGGACGTGAGTGTAACCCGTGCTTTGAAACCGAGACGGCGAAATAAATGAAACGAGTTTTGCTAACATTTGATGTTGCTTGCGTGACAGATATTCACATTTTCCCGCATCCCGGCGATGCCAAGCTTTTGCCCAGCAACTCAATTGCCCCGACCGTGCCTGGCAACCTCCCCCGGAACATGAACGTGCACTCGTCTGTCGCCAGCCTCAGCAGCTGCAATTCTCCATCCCTAGGCCCTGCTTCACCTCAATCTCACGTGTCGCCCTCGAGCTACCCGGTGGCTGAGTTCGTTAACCTGCGAGAACTGACTTCAACCTCGTTCGAGCCCGTGGCTGCTGCTCCCGTCCAGAGCTTCCCTCCTCTTCCAACCCTGTCTGCCGAAGACGACGAGCACAAGTTCGCTCTGGCCAACGCCTTCCCCATCACCCCCGAGCATGACACTGCTGATCCATTCACCCTCACTGAGAACCCTTCCTTTGAGTCCTCCTTCTGCAGTGAATTCGACTCGGAGGACGAGTTCAGCTTTGTCAACTTCACTGGTGCCGAGATCTCCTACAACGGTGAAAAGAGACAGAGGCTCTCGCTAGGTGAAGAGGAGGACTTCCTGAGCGTTCACAGCTTCGGGAGCTTTGACGAGGAAGATCTGATTGCCCAAGCCGGTCTGCCTTCTCCTCCTGCCTCGTCATTTTCCGACTCGTGCTGCTCCAGCAAGAAGAAGACTCACCGCAGGATGAAGCGGACGGACTCCCTCAACAGTGACTTCGAGTTCACTCAGATGACCGAGTCTGATGGACACATGCATAGCCACGCTGATGGCCAACACACTGCCTCCAACGCCTCCCAAAGCCAACCGAGCTCCACCGAGGACAATGGCAACTCTGCCGTCGGCGATGCTGGTTCATCTGCACAAACCCCCACCAACCGTCGTGGCCGCAAGCAATCATTGACCGAGGATCCCTCCAAGACCTTTGTGTGCACCTTGTGCTCTCGCCGTTTCCGTCGACAGGAACACCTCAAGCGTCACTACCGATCTCTCCATACTCATGACAAGCCTTTCGAGTGCAACGAGTGTGGCAAGAAGTTCTCTCGATCTGACAACCTCGCCCAGCATGCCCGCACACACGGTAGCGGTGCCATTGTCATGGGTGTTCTGGAGAACGGCGAGCTCGCTCCTCAACAAGCTTACGATGAGGACATGGGCCACGCGTTGTATGAAGCTGCCCAACGTGCTGCCCTTGCCTCCTCATCCAGCGGCAGCAGTTCCGACTCTTCGTCATCCGGAGACAGCAAACGTGCTCTCAAGAAGCGAAAGCGAGACGAGTCCCTATAATCTCTCCAACACGTGAATTCTTCGGAACCCCAAAATTTCACGAGACAAAGATGATGATATTCCAAAGTCCAAAAAAATCCTCTGCACCAAACTTCAACCACCAACGACGAAACGATCCTTATGATGTGAACCAAGACCACCCATTACCAAAGCAGAACATTTTTTATCCTCAGGGACCTCGCTTCAATTCTACAAGAACAACCACCCACCCACCCACCAACCAACCAACCAACAAAGAGAGACATCTGGAGTCAAGTTAACTTCCAACAAACGGACCAGCGTAGGAGCTCAAGAATGTGTATGTGTATGAGATGGCAAGAAAAAGTGCTTTAGAACCTTTTTTAACTTATTCAAATTCTTTTCGACGATCAAACCAACCCATTGTATTCTATTGCCTGTATTTGGCACTGGGAGAGAAGATTTATTTGGCGCACTTGCTCATTGCACCGTGGAGGATGCCGAGGAAAGATATCTTTGCTGGTTGCTTGCTTGCAAGAGTGAAACAGAAGGAATGACGAGGAGTCGATCCTCTCTCTCTTCGACCATCTTTACCAATATTTCCTTTTCTGCGTACCACCTTTTTTTTTACTACTTTCAATTCTTTAGTCTTTCTTTTAAGTCACTTTTTCGGAGGATTGGAGAGCGACGGCGGGGAGTCATAGAACAAACTCGAAGGGGGAAGGGGAAGGGGAGACAGGCAGCCGCCCTCGTTGGGAGGAATGGGTTGTGTGTACCTACGGGAACACCCACAATACAACACACCTACCTGTACTTGTACTATTAGACAGACTGAGACTTGAGGCAAATGCATGTTTATCGAGTTCCATGAAAAACCAAACCGGCTACTGTGATTCTTCAAGGAGAGAGTAAAACTCCCAGCCACTAATTACTGTAGGTTAGGTTGTCCTACCCCTTCAGTAGTCACCCACTGGCTTATTCGCTTCGTAGAGCGGTCTGCAGGTAACGATAGGAAGAGAGCTCCCAACCCCAGAGCATGAGCGTGTCGACCACACATTTTCTTCACGGATTTCAAAATTCACAATCGCTCCTGGGGGAGAAAGTACCGGGTAGCTTTGTTCTACATGCTCCTCAATAAACGAGACACTACTACTGTACTGCACGTATGCACAGAGCATACATCACATGGGGGCTCGGCTTTATCACCTATCTACTATCAGGGCGATCCATCTGCTTGTCGATAAGCTGGCCCGAGCCTGGGGCACACATTCCACCCAAGTTTAACAGACGGGAAGGACGGGTCGGCCGCTGATAGGCAAGATCCGTACGGACCCAGCGACGAAGGAAAAAAGCACCCCCCGACAAGTGGGCAGGAAGAAAAACAAAAAATCAACCAGCTCAGCACCTTTTTTCTTTGGACGCCCTGCCCTGAACCCTGGGTCAGCCTAGCTGGATGCATAGGATTTTAGGCTCTCGAGAAGGAACCCGCAAGGTCTGGTCTGCTGGTCTGCTGGTCTGCCTTGGTGGTACCAAGTGCTCCGTCCTCGAAAGTGCGGTTCGATTTCTGGAGTCTTGACCCTGGCACCCTGTTCCCCTGAGACACAACCCACCCAAAAAATTGATGTTTGTTTCTAAGAAAAGAGAGTGGGAAAAACTTTAAACAATGATCCTCCGTAAGGGAAAAAGAGATCAATTTGGATGGGGGGAGGAATGATGCCCAATTTCCGTGATGTTCACCTGCGCCTCGTTTGTTATGCATGCATTGTTGGTCTGCATATCCGGATTACGAGTACGACGTGAGAGTCTGGGAAATGAGATAAAGGGCCAAAAGACCGCGTGTACGGACAGGGTACTTCTCGTTAACGAGAAAGGCTGCTTTGATGGATGGAAGCGATATCGATGACAATCTTGAGCTGCTGCTTTTACGTGTTGAGCTCTGTCTGTGGGTTCTGCAGTAGGCACAGGGAAAGTCATCTCGCATCTCTTTTGCTTGTGTTGTCGCCACTGCCGTGATAGAGGGGATTCACTGCTGCGAAGGCAGATTTGTGAAACGGACTATGTGACTGAGAGCAGTTACTGCATACTACCACCAGTCGCCAACAGAGGCAGTATTGGATGGGAGCGACCAAGGACGTGCCATGGTGGATTGTGGGGCGCGTTTAGGTAGTGATACACCGAACAATGCAATCGATAAGAAACGTGGCCTGAGAAAAAAAAGAGTCTCGGTAAACAAAGGTCCAGCGTCTTTTTCTCGGCCGCTTGGGAGCAGGGGACTCTCTAAAGAAGCATCCACCGGAGATACTACCGTACGATGGCCAGGCCAAAGGGACCTGATGGAGAAGCGCGGGTCACGGAGTCATTTTCCCTGAGAAAGTGAGAAAGTGAGAAGGTTCTACGACTGCAAGCACAGAATCCCGAGTCGAGAAAACGTGGGAATGGATTCAATGGAGTCGATGGATTCTGTGGATTTCTGTGTGTTGAAATGGTGAAACAAAGCTAGTGCAGGGGCGTGTCACGCTAGGGTTTCGTGGGAAGGAAGGAGGGGTGGCGGGCTCTGTTGGGAAGGTACGAGGGCGGATATACAGGCCGCTTGAAGGAACCTTCGCTTCCCTCGGGAAGACCAAGCTATGCGGCATGATGCGGATGTGTGAGTTTGCGGTTCTTGGGTGCATGTGCATGTGCATGGCCATGTGCATACGGTAACTTAGTCAGGGGTAATGGGCCTGGAAACAAAGATGCGAGTCTAACAAACGAGTGAGGTGGTATTTGACTCGCCTTCCGGAGTAGTATGGTGCGCGCGCAATGCTATGCGATAGGAAACTGACCGACTGACTGCGCAGAGAAGAGCAAAAAAGAGAGTAGAGCTGCCTTCACCTGCAGAAGCGCCGTGGGTTGGGATCGCCGGATCAAGACGAGAGAGGCACGGAGAGCTTCATGCTAGAACTCACCATCGTCGACAGCAAGTCCCCTTTTAGCGCTTCGACAGGCGCTTCGGTACAAGGACAGACGATCCATTCTTCCCCTACAGAACGATCTCAAAGCCTCTCGGAGGGCGAGAGCAGCGTGTCGCCCTGAAAGAACTGAGAGCAGTCAGCGCCGTGCAACTGCCGAGCGCGCGCGCTCCAGCACTTCATGTCGATGGTGGTGGATGTATTGACTTTGTTTCTATCTTTCCTCGCGATCGACTCGCCCGTGCTTGAACCGAGGACAAGACTACATGTTCATTGGATGCTGGTGACAAACAATCGAGCCAGTCAGACTGAGTGTGATGTTTGAGAGCTTGACTATTGATTGTCCGGCCGTTGATGTGATGCACGCCATAGAGCAAATGATGTGCATGAGTTGGATTGCCCGTCTGTGGGTGAGCTGCCCCTTGAGTGGTGGCACTCGCGCTGCTTCCTGGCTTGGGACTGGTTGCACAATTGATGTAGATCGGGTGACAATAGAGGCCTGCTCACGCTACGCGCCTGGACCGCCCTGGAGGTCAAGTCCTCGCAAGTACGGAGTTCCGCAGTCAACCATCCGAGTCCTCATTGTGGGTTCAACGCGCTGGAACCTTTGTGAATCGGGCACGCTAGGACTGACAGTATTACTCGCCACCACGGAATACTGCTGAGCCTAACGCATGGATGGTTCGCAACCTGGATCGCACACAGCCCGTATGTCAGAAAGGCCAGATCTGACGCGATAGTGACGCGAGAGTCCCCCGCGCGCGTGTCGCGTCAGTCTGACGCTGGGCCCCGGTGACGACGAACAGGTCAAAGCTGCTATGTTTCTGCAAGATACCCACAAACGTGAAAATAACGCGTGTGAAAGACGCGTTTTTCCCGACACTTCACACACAGACACCTTGGGTGACACCTGTCGGTCTGTGCATTGAAGGTTTCCACTCCGGCGTTCTGCCAGCAATGGTGGGGTACTGAGTGAAGCTTGACGGTGGGAAAGGTTTCCTGGGGCGCTATTTCCGAAGAAGCGATCAGGACCTGATCGGTGTCGTTGTCAAACCTGGCTCGCAGGTTTCGAGGTTCCTTTCATCGTCAGTTGACGTGAGGTTGACATAGTCGGGTAAACTTCTCGACACAGACGAGCAACTATCTACATCAAGCGATCATGCTGGTTACTAGACCGCTTCCATCTGGTTACAGACACTGCTACAAACATGACAATGTTTCAGCAGAGAACAGCCATGCGAGCAAGATCGGAACGAATTATGAAACCGTGCCCTTTGAGAGCGCCGCGCAAGACTCTTCCGACCGTTATCCAGCCTTGCCGTGCATTGATCTGGTGGCGGTTATCGGAGGATTGTGCATTGTGGGGTTGGGAAGACAATGAATACAGATAACCAGAATCGACCGAAATGCCATGCCATGAGTCTCTTGACATGTACTTCGGAAGAAGTTGACACTCCACTATGGCCATCCCCAGCTCCATGTGCAAAGTCGCCATCCCGGCCATGCCCATCTCTTTTGGCAGCTGTCAAAGACCCTGGACTGGTTTTAGGTTTGGCTGTCAACGTCCACTAGGCGCTCAATGCGCAAGGTCACTGCCAAGTCGAGTGGCTGGCAGTCGGCAGGAGGCGGCGGCGGCGGCGAGGCGTTCTTCATGGCGTTGGAAAACTCGCTGCTTTCTTTGCCGATGGTCATTCCCGGACTACCGAACATCGCTGTGCATGGTACCAGGGTGACGGCCGCAAGCAAGGATTCGCTTGCCACCTGCCTCCAGTATCTCTCACCTTCGGATGAAATGAAAGCTGTCCCATGGACTGCTTGAAGCTGTGATGGCACATCCACATCTCCGTTGTTCCCAGCCAAGAGCAACTTGGACAATTCCTTCTCGATATCGGCAGTGTCTGAATGTGCAAGTGTATCGTCCTCTCCAGTGATCGACGATCTCACCAACAGCGTTACAAGGCTCGTGACTAGAACTGTTGTTCTCTGAGGAGGTTCGTCTCGCAGCGAGGTCGTCGGCCGTATGGTGACCATCGAGATGGCGCCCCATCCATACAATCTGGTGACTGCCTCCAGACGAGGGTTCGAGGTCGTAGACATTTGTGCCAGATTCGCTATTCCCAAACTCCACCACTCCACGGGCGCATTGCGAGGTAACGCAGCGACTGCAGCCGAAAGGAAGCTGGGTATATACGTAGTAACGGACCGATCTAAGAAGACCTTGGAGTTCGGCAAGGTATGAAGATGTGCGCCGACAGACACCTGAAACTGCGAAGACTGAAACGCCATCGACCGGTTGAAGCGTAGATCCCAAGCATCAGGACCCTCACTGTCGTCGTCGTCGTCGTCGTCGTCGTCGTCGTCATCGTCGTTCTCATCATCAGACATACCATTGCCCGTCGGCTTCGTCCCAACCAAATGAGTACGCTGCCACACGTTGCAAGCCAACTCAGCGCTCTTCCGACAGCCTTCACTATCACTGCCATTCCCTTTTCCTTCTTCTTCTCCTGCTTTCAAGAAAGCAATCCCCCAAGCCCAAATGTCCACGCCCCTCTCCTGCCCCACGCGCCACAAATGCTGAAGACTGAGCACGGCACTCTCGCCAAAGCCCATCTCCCTCTCAATCTCCATACTCTGCGGCACAAGCGGGATCTGGCCCGCAACATGTACGATCTCGACTAATCCCGCATCATGGACATTCACATTCAAATCCACATCCACATCCACACTCTCCCCTGCATCTGCATCATGCCGTCCCAGCTCTACATCAAGTAGCGGTTCACAGATCGCCTGGCTGTACGGGCCGATATTCGCAGGCGCCCAGTAGCTTCTGCTCTGGACGTGCAGGCTGCGGCGCACGTGGCGTGGCGCCAGGCTGAGGATCACGCTCAGGCTGACATCGAGGCCGGGCGGCAGTCGCGAGCACGAGAAGGTCACGCGCGCTGGCGGGTTGGGCTCGCCGGGCCGGAATAGCGAAGCGTAGGCCGTGTTCACACTGGTGAAGTCGGACATGCTGCGCAGGAGGAGCGTTGTTGAGATGATGTTTGATGGTGTTGTTTGTGGGTATGTGGAGGATGGGGGTGACGGTGACGGTGATTTGCATTGGAGAATCTGTTGGAGGTGCGACACGATGTGCTGCATCTGCTCTGCAGCGCTGTAGGGTGGACTGCCTTCGGCTGCTGCCGCTGTGTCCTGTACGGTGAGATTGGCTATGAACAGATTTGAGGCGGTGGAGATCTGCACGATTTGTAGCAATTTCAGAGAGGTGTTGCCGCTGCTTTTTCTGCGTGCAGATATCTGAGCGGCAGCGGCAGCAAGACTTGGTGGTGATCTCACGTCGCTAGGAGGCCGTCTCTGATCCCCTGGTTGAACTTGTAAAAGCACAGCCTGAAATTGCCCGTCCAGCGGTCTCGGCACTGGGACAGGTTCGTCGGCAACAACGACAACAACACCACCAGACTCACCCTCAGGTTCATGAATCTCTTCATGGTGCTCTACGGCCCTCGCACCACTGACCACTCCATAATGCACGCCTCCCTCTCTGGTAACGACACCGACCTGCCGATCCGGCACTTCAATCCTCTTCCTCCAAAGTCTCCTCGGCCCGTTGACAGCGAGGGTCTCATACTCGCCCCCTTCGCCGAGCACAGCGCCTCTCAGCCAGAACTCGTGCCTGTCGAAGAACGGCACCAGCCCAGAGACAAGCCTTTTCTGCACGCGCGGATCGCCCACGTCCGCCCACAGCAGACTCTCCGGGATGCCGCCGCTGGCGATCTTAATGATGCGCGCGTCGCAGCCCGCAGCGGCCATGTCTTCCAAGAGTCCCGTCAGAGAGTCAGCACGGCCGAAAGGCGGCGGCAGGGCTGGGTACTGCCAGAGATAAGCGAGGGGGGCCAGGCCGAGGCGGGTTGCGACGGATTCGACGCGCGTGCGCTGGTATGTCGATAGGATTGCGCCTGAGCACAGTGCGTTGGCTTCCGGGTGCTTTTGTTGGATCGACTGTAGTAGCGGGATCAAGTCCTCTGTCTCGTCTTTCGGCTCCGCACCCTCTACCCCGGCCCTCGCTGCGGCGGCGTTGCCAGAGGAGTCATAATACCGACCTGTCTGCGTCGCCAAGCCCGTGATAGCTCGCCTGTACAGCGGCAGGCCGAGACACTCCGCGTACAGTGGGATGATCGAATGGCCTACGGTCTGGTACATGAAGCTGTTGAGATCGTCCCGTTCAACGCCCTGCTCACCACCATCGTTGTCTTCCTTGGCTGACTCGTCGAACCCAGCTCCAGAAGGGTATAGATTCGCCAGCGCGGTAAGTTTATGTCCATTTTCAAGACAGTGGAGCAGACTGAACAGCGAGTCTTTCCCTCCGGAGATCAGGGCGATGACGTTCAGGCCTGTGGTGGTGGTGGCCATGGCTGTAGAGAGAGCGAGAGGGCGAGCAAAATGGGCCCTTCACTCTCTCTTGAGTTGAAAATCTCACCTGGCTCTATTCGTCCTCAGACTCTCTAGCGTGAGGAGCAATACAACTTTGTTCAACATAGCGCTCAATGCCAGGGCCCCACGATTCTCCAGCACTTTTCCCCCAAGTTCCCAATTATCGGAAAATTCGATGTGGCTGTGAAACGAACGGCCGCGTTTTGGGCTCTGAGATTCGCCGTAGCATATCGATCGCTGGAGATTATGTAAGCAAGGCTGTTCTGGTTGAGTCGTCGGGCTTGAGCAAACAGAACGTAGGACAGCTAACTGGCCTGCGATAAGAAATACCTAGTCATTTGATAATCGAACGAAGTAGAGTCTGTATTATTTTCATTCATGTTAACTCGCATCTCCTTTTCCTTTCTAGGAGTTCCTTGGTCACCAATCCGCACGTACCGCGTACTGGGATCTCGCATACAAAGCTCAAACCCACGGGCCTTTTTGCATTATTCATCGCCAAGGTATGTAGGTATGTATCTTTTAGTTGTTGGTGAGACGCACCCGCTTCTTCAATACGTTTAAGGCGTTCCATTCATTATTGTGGTAGGTTTGCTTGTCGTTGTCGTTGTTGCTGCTCAAACCATCACGTTAACGCCGCTCGAGAGACAGGTTCCTTGCCCCCCGATCCTGTTTGTAACCAAAATATCATGCTAGGAGATTGCAACTTTTTCCACTGGATATCATGCGCATTAACTCCCGTGCATTCTATTTTGGTTGTGCCTTGATACATCTACATCCCAACCCCAGGCCAAATAAAACCCCAGATTGCATATCCATACTTTGCTTGTGTGTTTTGCAATTTTAGTTCTAACCTTCCAGCCTTGACTATCAAACCTCAGTCTCAATACCGCCGGCCTTGGCATCATCGCCATGGTGAAAGAGATCACCGACACGGTCTTTAGACCTCTTGACCCTCCCAGCCATCCAGTCGAGAGTCCTGGCGCCTTTCCACTGCATGACCCCGCGATGCTTGCGGTGCAGCTGCTTATGGTGGTCCTTGTAGTCACGGACCTGGGCACGAGCGCCGCGCTCGCCATCACTAGCATCATTGTGGCCGTCGACGTCCGCAAGGCTCGTGATGGTGTCTTTCGCGGTCTTCAGTGGTGTCTTGGCAAGTTTCTTCGATGGGTGTTCGGATTCGCCAGCGTCGTCTGAATCAATGCCGCTGGAGGTGTCATTGGTGTGTGTACGGAGCTTGCGGTCGCGACGGCTTGTTGATTGGGACGAAGAGCGTGACGACGAGAAGTCGCTGTCGGATCCTTCTGTGCCTTCGGCGTCGTCCCCGTTCTCGACTTGTCCTTCGTCGTTGGCTGTGTCCAGGACTTCCATCACATTCCGCACGTCACTGTTCCGCCCCTTGTTCGCGTAGCGCTTATGGTACCCACTGAGACCGCGCCAGAATTTCAATGTGAGATCGATCTCACCTAGTGGTTTCTCATTTTCCTCGAATCCTTCATACCCGTAACTTGAGGTTGCTCGTTTGATGTTCTCCTTTCCTCCATTCCATATTTTCACAGTCACAGTTTTCTCCTCTTCGTCGGGAATGTCCTTGAGCCAGAAGACTGCAAAAGCAGGCGTCGAGTCTGGGCCCAACGAGGATTTGCGGAATTCGATGATCAACGGACTAGCATACCGCTTTCGCACCGCGAGGAAGATGGACTCTTTGTCCCGTTTTGGCTTCCATTCGCTTACTGTGCTATCGTGGCCTTCAACTGCAGCAGGCTGCATCTTAGCTCGCATCAGAGTCGTGCGAACTTTGATGCGGTGTTGCATGAGGGATTCACCACCGGCGTTGTTATCTGTGGACTTCCCTCTTACGGGGCATTTGACTTCAAGCGTCCCGTAGTTCCAACCAAGCAATTCCTTCGGTAATTGTAAATCCACACTTCGCCAGACCATACTGACTCTCGCTCTTCCATAACCGATGCCACCGACGAGTGGGTATGACTGCATAATTTGACTCCTCTTCTCGAAGACTCTACGCAGGGGCAAGTACACTATGCCAAGAAGTGCATCGTCTTCTTTTTCGCGATCGTCACGCACCGAAATCATGACTTCTGCAGTCTGCCAGTTGGCAATAAAACGTTCCGTACCTGCATTGAAGAAGGGTTTTGCATTCTTCGGCTTTGTTCTTGTCCGGTAGATCTTCTGGTGATTGAGGATTATCGTGGCGTAGCTGCTAGGGAGGTCATCAGACTGCTCTGCTTCATCCTCTCGGTTCCCCTCAGTATGCTTCTTGTCCTTCTTCTGCAACGATTCCACTTCGAGACCGGTGATATTATGGATCTGGATGCTGAAAATGCCACTCAGATGATCGTTTGGAGGCGGTGAGGAGATGATCAATGCATCTTCTCGCTCCTTGTAATCTTCTTGTTTCTGCTGCTTGATTTCCTTACTCTCATCTTGAGCAGTAGCTTCACGCAACTTGTGCTCAGCAGACTCGCTGACCTGCTTCTTGAGTTCTTCTATCGTTCTGATGTTAGGATCCTCAGTCTGTTTCGCGAGCTGCCCTTCCGTGATCTTGGTCTTTTCGAAGTATCCCACGCTCCACTGCACTGAACCTGGCATCTTCTCGTCGGGGTCTTCGCCTACAAACCGGTCTTCTCGGTCGCACATCTTGTTCTTTGTGTCGTTGCCATACATGAGTTCGCGCAGGTCGACCTCCACACGGCCCAAGTCGTCATCAGCACTATATTTGTCAGAATCCCAAAGCTGGAGACGAAGCTTCTCGCCTGCGTTCAGTTCTTCTGGAGTAACGAGAATGTGGGCCCATTCATGCCAGCTAGGTTCCTGGTCGTCAACTATGACGCGAGTTGAGGCCACGGGTTTCCCAAACTTGCCCCACGAGACTGTCATGTAGGAATCACTTGAGCCCCTGAATGGACCAATACCACCATCACCTTCCTTGAACCCACTCGCAGACTTGATGTGGATCATGACTACGCCTCGAGTGATCGTGTCTTTCTTGAAATCATCGCCGACCAGCATGTCCTTGAGATTGAGCGTCAGGCTCTTCGGTGCAACATACTCGGCAAGTGCTGCGTCAATCGACGATTGCACGAAAGATGAGATCAGTGGAACGTCCATCAGATTGAGCGCATGGCGTGACAGTGGAATGCATGAGAGATCCGCCTGCGGCTGGCCCATAAATGAAAGTGTACACAGACTGAAGAACGGAGGGTCGGGCGTGAGTTGCAAACGCAGTCTCATCGTTCCAATAATGCCGCGCAGCTCGACCCAGACTGGAACCGCGATGCCTCCGGGGAGGTAAAATTTGAGATATAAGTGTGCATTCTTTGCCTTCGCTTGTATGGACTTGCCCGATGAACGGGCCCGATAGGCGAATGCTAGCTCCATATTGACGAAGTCACCCTGTTCAGCTTCCATACCTTCACGAATAGCTTGCTGTTCTTGCTCCTTCTGTTGCTTGTCCAGCTTACTGTCCTTCGAGGCATCCTCATTGTCGCCATTGGCTTCAGAGGCATCGTTGTCGATTTGACCCTGGCCAGCCGTTGCACGATCATTGTCATCACCTTCATTGCCAGCGTCTTTTAGCTCGCCGTCAGAGTCAACAGACTGGCTAGCAGCACCAGTGGGAAGCCAATTAACACCGAGGATTCGGAATGACTCACTCCCTTGCCCGAGGTCATCTACGCTGACCATACGTACCACCTTTGGCAGTGAAGCCTGCATGACATCCTCAAGCATATCAGAAATTGAAGCGAAGAGATCTGGGTTGATCAAAGGCCAGACGGCAGCCAGGAGGTTGTTCAACCACGCCACAGACTCGGGCACGATGGTATTTGAATGATTGGCCTCGAGTTCCTTGGAGCGCGCCGCGTCCCAGACTTCATCTTTCCATACCTCTTCAACCTTCTTCCCAAGCCAGCTTCGGGTCGCGACAACGACTGCAAATCCAATCCCCACGGATGTGGACAGAATGGCCACGGCTGGTATGACAGAATACAAAAACGAAGTGCTGTGGTCAGACCTGCTGAAATCCAACCCAAAACCTTGAACGGCAGTCAAGGCCAAGGAGACCAACAACACAACCGAACCTAATCCGACTGTCAATGCTAGCTGGTAGGTCCTAGACAACTCAAGCTTCAGGTCCTCGAAAGATGGCGGCGGGAATAATTTCTGCATGCCATCATGGCTTTGCTGGAACTCGGACTGCTCACTTTGAAGCTGGTCGTCGGACTTGGTGGCACCACTAAGTCCCGTGCTGGTGCGCGGCACATTCCCTGATGCGACTATGTTCTCAGGTGCTGACTTGAGATCCTTGTGTGTTGAGTCACGGATGACAATGGGCAAATGCGTGACCGGGTCGGTCACTTCTCGACCACCATCGTCGCGTGCCATATGTTTCATGTCCTTTCGTTTCTGTCGTGGGTCGTGGTGTCCTGCAACAGCCTCTGTGGCGGACTTCTTGCCCTGTTTTTTTTCTGATTTTTTGCTGCTGCTATCACCACCACCCCGGTCATCGACTTTGCCTTCCGGGAAACTAGCTGGTTGTTGCTGGCTGGTTGACCGCGACCGCGACTGTGCGTCTGATTCAGCATCTCCATCGGCATGCCCATCAGCATCAGCATGGTCTCTTTGGCCAGCACTCTGCATGTTCCTGTTCTCCGTACGGTAAGGATCATGACCGGAATGCGGAGCACCACCGTCTTCCCCCTTCAGGATGTCTTTTGCAGCATGATAGGCCCTTTTTACGGTGGGGTCGTCGTCTTCGTCCTTCTGGGCCTTTTCGGCCTGCTTCTGCTGGCCCTCCAACTCGCTGCGCTCCGCTTTGTATTTCTGGATTGTAGGGATTGGGTGGTGAGCCGTGTATGGAGCTTTGTATCTGCGCCTCGAGGCTTCGGTATCGAAGTCGTCGTCTTGGCTCATGGTTACTGTCTTGCACAATGCGGACGCGTGTGTGGGGTTTTGATCGTAGATTCGAAAGCAGTCTCAGACGGGAGGCGTCGCAGAAGAATTCTAAGCAAAAGAGCAAAAGTCCGCCACCAGGACGAGGATCAGATCCTACCCCGGGGGTATGTCTTTGCTGCAAGCACTTTGAAGGGCGAAAGCAAGAGAAATGGCGGCACAAGAGAAGAGAAAAGAAGCAGCCTCGAGAAAGGACGAAACCTTGTTTCTGGATGAATCCTATTATCAAAACACAGCAAACTCGAACAGATAGATCCTGGCAGTAGCGAAATGGAGTGTAGCAATGGTCAAGTCAGTCCATGCGGAATGCCTACCTACGTAGTAACAAGAATGAACAAGCATCAAAACTGGGCGACCCCATCAGAGCAGAGTGCTTACTCCGCACTTTGCAGCTTGTATTGGTTTAGGATGCAAGGTATGACATGAGGAATCAAGGCAAAAATTGCAATTCCCATGGCCAGGGACACAGAGCCCCAGAAGGCCAGGGAAGCAAAGTATGACGTTTGTGTTTCCTCGTTTTCCATTGACAACGCGCGGCCGCGCGGCACACGTACGAGGGACAAGTCCGACCGCACGGGCAATCCTGGTACGGATTAATTAATTACCCCTCCAAAAGGACCAAACGGGCTGGGTACCTGGCCCGTCATTATTGCGGGTGCATCGTGACTTGCGAGACCTGTAGGTGATGTTCAAATCTGGACATTAGATTGTTTCTACAGTTGTTTTCGTGGTGTTTCATGTTGGCTGGGATGACCATCGAACAAATGATGACGAGGAGGGGAATTTCCGACTAGGCAAGAGTGGCTGAAGCTAGAAACACGGCGAGAAGGAACGGTCGAGTGCTTGTGGCGAATCGCCATTTCGATCAACGTCGGCCACGGCCCCAGGATTGGACTGACCATCGCGACAATCACTACTCCACTTCCTTGTTGACTACTGCAAACCCTTTGTGGAAGCACCAGTGAGAGTCCCATCGATGCCCGGGGAATTATGACTGCATTTGTTTTCGGCACTGTGGTCTGTGTCTCTCGCCTTGACTGATTGATGTCCACCAACGCTACTCCGACCTCCCACCAGACGGCCTTCGCAGTGGGAAATCCGTACACATATTACGACATCTTGCAACTTGCACGCGGCGGAGCGGAAGGCAGCAACTTTCCCAAAGATGGGATCAAGGCAGCATACCGCCGCGCCTTACTTCTCCATCACCCAGACAAAACTTCCCACACTTCCGTAGAGCCATCGAGCAGCAGTCAAACACAGCCACCGACACCGAAATACTCCATTGACGAGATCGTCTCCGCATATGAGGTGCTCTCCGACTCGAAGAAACGAGCTGAATATGATAAAGCTCTAAAGCGCAATGAGAAAGACATGCAAGGTCAGCATAGAACACACATTGGGATAGAAATGTATGATCTGGAAGATTTGGTCTATGATGAGGACAAAGATATTTGGTCCAAAGGGTGCCGATGTGGCGATGAGCATGGCTACATCTTGACGGTGCTAGATCTCGAAAACGAGAGCCAACACGGAGAGGTCTATGTCGGGTGCCGTGGGTGCAGTCTCTTTATCAAGGTCTTGTTTGCCATGGACGAAGGTTGAAGGAAGGGGTCAATTGGAGCGGTCTTTCGGCCGTTGCTTGTCATTCTCAACATCAACCACCGCACTCTCCAGGTCTCTAATCGATTCACCGACTTCGTCAGATCGACCCTTGGCGATAGCTTCAAACTCTTCTGTCGTGGTCGTACAAAGGTTAGCCAGGTCTCGAGTATGCCGAACAGTTTGTCTCTCCACTTCAGCCTTGCGTTGCAGCAATGTAGTGAGTCGATCGAGATACGCATCTTGGCCTCGTCGCCTGCGAGGATCCCACACGACCAACCGGTAATCAGTATGACAAACAAAGAGCAAATTCAAGTTACGGGAAAGACTCACACATTCTCTCGATAAGTAGCAACTCTTTCATCAATCTGAGCCTTGACCTCGACACTTGAACCTCGAAATCCTTCTCCAGCCGTTTTTGCTGCTGTTCTTTTCGGATTCCAGCCTGTACGTCCGAGTCTGTTCAAAGAAGGCCTAGAGACCGTGTAGGTTTGACTCACATCGACAGCCACACTCTGCCTGAGATTCTCCTCCATGATTTCTTAACTCTTGCACCATGTCAACTTCTCCAGCCCCACCAGCACTCCTCCTCCTGCTTCGTCGTCTGCATCACCCATTAGTACGGCGCGAGAGGATGCCTTCTTCAAAGCCCTTCTCGGAGGCATTGCTTCTGGACCACGTGCGCGTAGAAAGAGCCGGGGGAAATCAAGTGCAAGGGGCAGCGGAAGACAAAGAACAAGAGCAGAGGATCGCCGAGAGTCAGACGATAAAGCAAAAAATGTCCGGGGCGCAGATGGAAGAGGCAAAGGACGACAGAAAACGACAGCTTGAAGAAGACGATGAAGTTATGGAACTGTGATGGTATTTTAGACCCAGACATGAGAGAATGTGGGTTGATCAAAGCGGATTCGACATTCCAGCTACGTACCAGTGGGGAAGGCAGGTGGCAGGTGGCTGGTGGCAGGTGGCAGGTGTGACTTGAGAACGGTGCGGTGGGAAGGCGCGACGGCAAAGCGAGTCCTACCCAAGATATCCAGATCACTCAATAGCACATTGATTCTAGCGTGAGGGATCCAGTTACCAGCCAGCATCGCAATGCACAGTACAAGCACTCCTGAAATGGCCATCGTGTTTGTACATTTCCCAAATAAGTATAACATTCATCGTCCACCATCATCAAGCCCTTTTTGTTTCCTGTCCCGTGAGGTCTGCCGCTTGAATCCCCATGACACCAGCATGGCCGTATGATATGCTATGATATACAAGAACAGTCGCGAGCATGCCTCGCGACCTGGGGCATATGGGTCGCGACTCTTACTCGACGATTTCCAGCTCGCCTTCCCGATCCCTGGCAAAAGTATCCTTGTATCCATCCCACAGCCTCCCCAGCTCATCCACATACTCGGCGTGGACTTTATCAAGGTATGCCTCGTCGACCTTGTTGTCCGCAGTTCCCTGCTGGATGACCTTGATGGGCCGGCCGACCACGATGTTGACCGCGCTGCGGTAGGGCATCAAGCCGACGTCGTAATTGAAGACACCGCGAGCGTGGAACAATGGGATGGTGAAGCCCATCATCTTCTTGACGACCATCTGGCCCTTGTGAATCCATGGGTGCTCGACACTATCAACTTGATCGTACAGTTCGTTCTCGCCAAATGCGAGGACAGGGACTAGGTCCGCGCCTTGCCGGATTGCAAGCTTGACAAAGCCTTTTCTGCTTTTCAGCACCAGCCGTAGCGAGTGTGGCTGCGCGTCGAGGCTTTCTCGGGCGCCGCCGACCACAATGGTTACTGCGCGGCCCATGCCTTCGCCGTTGTGCCCTCCCTTGGAGAGGAGATTCTCAATAGACTCGCGCGAAACAGACGCTAACCCCATTGCCAGAGCGTAGTCACGATAGAGCGGAACCCGAAAGTTCGTGTCAAGGGTCAACAAGGTATTGGTGATGCCCGGAAAGAGCTCGGAGAACCCGAGGGCTTCGGTAGCAAAGGCCGCAAAGGCTCCATGCGAGATAATCCCATGCGGATGATATCCAAAGATATATTTACGTGTAGGCTCCAGACCCACCGTTCGGTGTAACCGAGCTGGAAAGTATGAGGCGAACCCGGACCAGAATTTCGACCGCCGCAGCCAGTTCTTCCGCCGCGAAAGTTTTCCATTCGTAGCATCCTCGCTGATCAACAGCGTATAAATAAGGTATGGGATGAGGAGAGGCCAGGTGAGCGGAACGGCGCAGAGGAGGAAAAAGAGGGAGAGGAAGATCGGGATGGTCATAGTATGCCACAAGACCGCTAGGGTTTGTAGCCGACGTTGTAAAGGAACGTTTAGCGGTGCCCATCGAATACTACCATCAGTCTGTCAGCAACAATGCTTTGTCGAAGATTAGGCCATGGGTAAGTGTGGTGTGCTTACGCTGATTTCTCCCAGCCTGCGCCAGCTTGCCGACCACTAGCAAGCTGTTTGGGAGTATCCTGTTTCTTGACCTTCTTGATATCTTGCAGTGCTATCTTCTCACTGTGTTTCAGGCTCTGGTCTTGCTCGTCGTCCACCTTGACGCTGGTCAAGGAGGTCTCTCCATCTTGGCTGGTATACTTCTCATACACCAGTTTGTCTCCGTCCCACTTCTTCGCATCGCCATTGACCGTGTCAGAAGAGACCATACCATTAGTTTTACTGGAAGTGTCTCCGTTGAGAGCAGGGTGAGATTGCACGACACTGTCGGCGTAGGATTTCGGAGGCAGATTGTGCGCGGCACGATCTTCAGGGTCTGCAGGCTCGGGGTTCAATAACGATGTGGTAGCATCGTTGACTCCACCGTTCTCTTGAGGTGTCGACCGACTCACAGAATCGGCATATGACTTGGGAGGAAGATCATGCTCAGCACGCTGTTTTGGATCCGCTGGCTCGGGGTTCAAAGCGGCGGCACTGGCAGCGTCGTTGGAGGTAGAGGAGGCCATTTCGGCATAAGCTGTCACGGTATCACTCTGCAAGGTCTCGGTGCGCTCTTTGAACTAGGCAAAGTCGGAGTGTTCTCGCTGAAGCATAGGTCACAGCTTGCAACAGATCAACTGCCCATGGCCGACGGAACGGGATTGTTTGGTCGGGCAAAGCCAACAGGAAGGAACGATAATTAGATGGTGGGACTTGAATAACGCAAAGAACTGGCTTTGACAAATGGCTGTAACGTTGCAAGGGATGAATTCGATTTTTGATATGGGTAAGAAGTAAAAGGTCTGGTATGGATATGGCTAGTGTTGAGAGTGTGTGTGCTGCGTGCACACCTCATGATTGGCATGTTGGCTGGGGGCGTCCCAGCTTGGGATGATGGGAGGTCGGTCGTTAGTGCCTCTCTGACGTCAAGTGGAGGCGGCACGGAACTCGGAACACCACGTCTACCCTTTATTCCTCATACTGTCAGGGCCGGATCATGAATGATCTGCACTAAAGCAATGCACGTCGCACCAAGTGTGAACACTTCCAGAAGCATAAGCGTGTCCGTGGATTCTTAGACGCTAGCACTTATAAAACCATGGTATACTCTCTGTCAACTGGCCTGCATCCAAGATGATAGATTTTTTCTAACAGCGAAGGAACCAAAGTGTGTGCGTCCATGTGACGATCACGTGCAATACACAACTTGACCACCAACGCTCGATGATGGTACTTCAGGGGATCCTCACTCTTCCCACACTCTTGTAACGAACAAACCCTGAAATGGTTTCCCAACAGATTCACCTCAGACAGTTTTCCTCCTCTAAACAGAGGTTGCCTCTGCGTTCAGGTCCTCCTTACAAAGTCTTGGGGGCAACTCCGAACTGGGTGTTGTCACTGTCGAAGACGGCAAAGACAGCCTTGAGGAAGATATCACCGTAGATGGAAAGACCAAGACCCTGGTTGCTCTGGATACCGCCAAAGCAAGCTAGCAAGGGATCACGATTGATTAGCAACTGCTGGAGAGAAAAGTCCGGAATGCACGAGCCACTTACTTGCGCCAGAATTGTCCGTGGGAGCAAAGTTGATGAAAGAACCTGGAACAACGGCATGGTAGCTGCCAATACCAAGGGAAAAGTCTGGAAGGCTAGCTGAGCAGGGGAAGACGAAGCCACCCTGGCTGTTGTCATATTTTGCTCCCCATACTGACCTATAATACTCGGAAACAATCGCATCTTCGATCAAGATCAGTGTGGTTCCAGTGTCGGCGATTGCATCGATGCTTGATTTCTTGAATGAACCATTTCCAACGCCGTAACCAGTACCTGTGAACTCCCAGAATCCATTGGCCGGGTTGACTGGGGTGTAGGTAATGTCGCCTGTGTGTTTGCTATCATCGATAAATCCAAAGTCGTAGGTTCCTGGAACACCCTTCTTCAGGTCAACTGTGAACAGATTGGAAGAAAGTGCTCCCTGCTTGACCGCCGTGTCGAAGAATGTAGTTTGTTGCTCCGGTTGGACTGTTCAATGGTTAGCAGGGGTTTCATGGAAAAGTTCTGGGGTATGCTTGCCCGTGTTGATCGAGCTAAAAGCCAATCCAAGGAGACCATCATTGTTCTCGTCTTGCTGAAATTGCTCGCTGATTTGAGAAGCGGCCTCAACGGCCTGGTTAGTGACGGTGACACCGCCAACGTCCACAGTATCGAGGTAGACATTTCCACTGGCACCGGATCCATCCCCATAGGTGATATTCCAGGTCGCACCGTCGAGCTCTTGGGCAGTGTCAGACTTGGAAGGGTCATAGAATTGATGACCTTGACGTTGAGCAGAAGGAAGTTCTGAGGAGAAAACCCATCTGCACAAATATTAGCCTTGTCCCTCTGGTAAAGCCGGCCATCAAACTCCTGACAAGTCTGCAGAGCCAGTATCGAAATCGAGGTTCACAGTCTGGCCACCAATAGTCACTGGTGATAGATATTCCGCATCAAATTGTTCCGGTGTTGCACTGACGGACCCATCTTGTGCGGCCTTGGTGACGTCCGTGGGCACTGCGCGATTGTATTTTCTGTAGGCGCGTTGCAAAACCACAGGACCAGCTTGAAACGGCTTGGGAACGCTCTGATTGATGGTAAAGCCTTTTCGTGCGGCCACCTCCGGCGCCGGTATAGGCTTTGCAAACGATGTGCCAGCAAGGGCGGAAATAGCAAGAAGAGTAGCGAAAGAATGCATTTTGATGATAAGGAGTGACAACGTCTTAGATAGACAAAAGTAAAGGGATGAATGCCTTGCTAGCAGGAGGTAAATGAACAGATTGATGGGAAAAACAAAAAATGTCAGAGACCTTGACTTCGAAGGACTTATCTTATATTCATCATCGATTTAATGCTCTGTGATTGCAAAGATGTCGGAAACCCGCCTTCCTGCGCAGATCTCATGCTCAAACAATGGTATGGAGACAATACTGAGTTAGCTAGGTCCATTCGGCGATGACTGAAGACATTGGAGGACCGCAGTGATCGCCCATCTCATGGAGTTGAGGACGATTCAAGAAGGTCGCAACCTCCCTCAAACTTCAGCACTTGCATTGCATAGCGACACATGCGATAATGATTCGAGAACAGAGATGCGGGTATCAAGCACTAGGTGAAAGCTTGGAAGGGCTTCAATCTGACAAGAAAGGTGGCTGACTGTGATCAATTGGCTGGAGTCATTGACAAGCAGGATGGGAGAGACTCCACGGCAGCCTTATTCTGGCGCGTGCTGAGGAAATTGGCATAAGGCCAGAGAGGGTGAAAGCAGGGAATAATGGCGACATGTCACCGTCCTGGTACTCGGTACATGTGAGCCTCGGCCAGGAAAATGGCGAGAGAAACGATCATAATGTTTGAGCGAGGGGTTTTCGGTGGTTCTGTGGGGTTTAGGCTTAAGATGAGGTTGGAAGAACAAAGGGCTCTCTTGGCTTATGGTTGGACGCGGGTCGACGCGCTATGCCATCCATGGTCGAACGCGCTATGCCGTCCATGATCGACGCTCCGTCCGATCAACGGCCCACAAAGGACACCAGTAACACCACAGGCTACCAAGGGGGGTTTCAATCTTATCTGGACGTCGAGACTAGTATCCGAAAAGCTTTCTCCTTGGTTGCGGCCACGCTATTCGTCCGGAGGAGGATAGAGCTCAAACGTTCAAGGCAGATGCAAGGCTATCGTGAAGCCTGACCCCTGCCGCGTTGCAACCAGCCAGCATGGTTATCAAGATAGGTCACCGAGCAACTCGACCCAAGTGACGGTCCAATTTCGCTTCTAAACTATACTGCTTTACTCGTAAATAAGGTGGCATTGTTCTAAGGAATTATGATGCATTGCACGACGCGTCATCCCCTTGCACTGAGCTACTGTGATCTTTCGAGATTTCAAGTCACAAATTGATGCACATGAAGGCTCTCACCTACCGAGGCGAGGCAAAGGAAATGACCAAATGTAATCACTGGCGGCGTGGAAGCAGAACCAATGAGACTTGTAATGGTATCTTCGAATCAGACTTCTTGCTCAAAGAATGCTTCAACAACTCAACAACTCCAATATCGCACTCTAAGTAATGCCCGGCAGATCTAGACCATCGCCCAAAACGCTCAGTATCAATGGCCCAGAACTACATTCAGCGAGAGCGAATCACTTGCAACATGATTGTGCGTTTATATCTCTTCATGACCTCACAGATGGCTATCCTAGTATGTGTCCGAATGTAACGGTGTTATCGAGGAGGAAGGTGGTTGGAGGGTGCGGTGGTGTTGGGGCGTGATGCAACGGTTGCAAGCCCGGCCAACGTGTTTGCTGCGTCATTTTCGGGAGATTCCAAGCGCTTTCGTGCTTCCTCTTGAGGTTGAGGTCGTTCAAAATGCGCTTCACCTGCCAGTGGTCGGGAGTGATCGAGAGGACGGCCAATAAAAGGAAGTACGGAAGGTCCTTGAGGAGGTGCACGGGGTGGTGGGAGATTCCTCATTCCATGGGGCTGGCTAGGATCGTGGGTTTTATCAGGAGTCAACAGTGGTGGAAGGTGTGATGGCCCAATCTGATGTCCTCCTGGCGCAAAAGGTGTAGAAGGTTGAAGTACTCTTGGCGAGTCGTACAGACCTCGAGGATCGTGGGCACGGCTCCTCCAGGCAGCCTCTTGCGCCGTTGGGGATGGGTAAGGCAGCGGGAAAGATGGACTAGATAAAGGTAGATGGGGAGGCAGTTGGCCTGGCATCTGGCCTGGCCCGCTGGCCGGTGGGACATTTTGTATCGGTGTTTGTGTGAAAAATGGTAGCCGTGAGCGCGTCAGCATATCAGGGGATCCCACAGGGTCGAAGGGTCCAGCACTAGACGTCTGCGATGGAAGAGGTGGAGTGCCCGATGCCGACCCCAAACTCAGGCCAGCGGTCCTCAGCAAAGACTCGGGCAGATCACTACGCATAGTGGAAGATTCATCTGAGACAGAGCTGTGGCTCGAAATGAGTCCTGGGCGATAGCTTTCCCGGGTGGGCTGCAAAGCTGGAGGCGAACCACTTCGAGACGAGGGCATGGGTGGTCTCGACGGAGCAGCACCTAGAGGGAGGCTGCTTGTCGAGTGAGCCGGGCCGCCTGTATAGGGTGACGAGGCCAACGAGCCTATTGAGCCTCCTCTGACATGGGTTGAATGATTCGATACAGCCTCTTGATTGAGTTCCATCGATCTCGCAGACACGATACTTCCACTAGACTCAGGCTCGAGTCGAGGTCTCTTCTGTTCTGTAGGTTGTCCGTGCTTGGCCTTGAACTCGGAGAGGTATTGCATGTACTCCTTGTATGAATCAGTCTTGCGGTATGTGGATAATTGAATATTATATCGCTCTTTGGCAGCATTTGCCTGGGCCTCAAACGGCTCCTTACCAGGAGGATCGAGCTTTTGCCATCGGTCTCCAACAAGCTTGGCTATTTGCGTGAATGAGAGGCTCTGATCTTTGACCTCCTCGCGGACCTTGTTGGAAAAGATGACGTAGGCTGACGGAGGACGCTCCGGCGCATTTTCATCAGGCTTTGGATGACGACGATATTTTCTCTTAGTTTCAGGCACTGGACCTGAGCCTCGTTCTGTGGTGGCTAGGGGCGGGATGCCAGCTTCCACATTCTTTCCTCCTTCATAGAGGCTTTCTTGGGCAGGGGAACCAATCAGACGTTCATATGAGATTCCTCGGTGGTCAGCAATTGCTCGTTGAAGCTTCTGTAGCCAGTGTCAGCGAATTGGCAGTGTAAGGCTGGGAGAAACGTACTCTTCGATGGCCAAGTTTAACGTTGAGGGCGTCACTACGCCGGGATTAGCACGCGATCCTTCCAGGACCATCAGTCGAATACGTACAAGTCTGTCTCCTGGATGTCTAATACCGTTTCCCAGGTATCAAAGCCTTCGCCTATGAAGGCGTCGAAGTATTGCTCAAGGCCCAGGCGCTCGAGATAGGGGGCGATATCTGTCATTCAAGCGCCTTGATGGGAGCATTGATGCCAGAAAGTGGCTGAGGAAGAATGTGGTCAATCAGGGCGAAATGCCTCCCAGGCTGTAGAAGGAATGACAATATAGGGCGGCGTTTGTTGCATATGGGAAGGACCGTGATGAGCTGTGTAATGACCGCAACCAAGCCCCTCAGTGCTGATTCGCCAGATCAACGACGGGGAAGGACGTGGTGTTCGTATGTAGACGTGGCGATTCCACAAACCACAACCCTCGCTTATGTGAATGGGTAGATGTCGGAGTGTTCAAGCAACGTACCAGTCTGGCATGGAGTTGGTTGCGTGATATTTTGTCAATCACCTTGTTGCAAGAAGTCCAGCGACAGCTGTTGAACTGGTGATGTCTTCGAACCTCTGAAGGGTGAGTGACGACAACTATCAAGTCGGAATTTTCAGGGTCTACAAATATCTGCTTCTCACCATTGAGCTTAAGTGGCAAAGAGATTGGTTGATTTGAGCCAGGCGCAAAAATAGAGTGGACCCTGAATATCGTGTTCCCTGGACCTATGAGTCGATCCGATGAGCTGCTGCTGCCGGGCTGGAAGGGCAAAACGGCTCTCAGGCCGGGGAATCAAGACGACAATTGATGGCAATGAGATGGAAATCGACCAGGTCAGGGATGGTGTTAGGGCCAGATATCGATGAACGCCGCAAGTAGACGCGAAGAAGCTCACCACAGGCAGCCAGTGCCGCCACCCGTAATATCCAAAAGCGTGACTGATGAAAAAAGGGCGACAAGCGCCAGTGTATGGAGAAGTTGCAAAAAAACCGGACAACAAGGGTCCGGGAAAGGAAGTCTATAGGTGGTTCATGATGTCGGTGCTTTGAGAACAATGTTGTGGAAAAAGAGGCCAAGCCAAGGCTTTCTGAGCCGGAGACGAGCGAAACGTGATGGGTATGGAGATTGGAGCTATGGACTCGTCCTCATCGACCTGCGGTCCGTCATGGTGCGTGGAGACGATACTTTAAGACCTGGGAAACTGCCGCCAGCGCCACTAGGAAGACTAGGAGGGCACTAGGCACTAACATGCAAGAGTCGGTTGCCAATACCTCATGCCTAATGCCCAATGCCTAACGCCTAACGCCTACTGCAATGTCAGTGTCGGGGCTATCTGCTTTAGTGTGTCTTCGCTTGTGGTGGGCATCGTCCGCCGCTGCCGTCATGCAAGGCAAAACAGGTGAGAGCGAGGTACTAAGGGTCCCCTTATACTCGTAAAATGGAACGCCAGTTGTGTGCGGTGCAGATACGGTACGTTGCCGGTACAGAGTACAAGTACTAGCGGCTGGAGTGGGTTAAAGATGCCCTAGGTCACTCAGTAGTCACTGCCTAAGATATCCCCAATACCCAGTACCTTATAGGCACACAGCGTACTCAATAGGCCCCCTCCCTAAGCCCATGCCCGCGACTCGAGCCGCTTCTGCGCGCACCTGGCCCATGAGTACGAACCCCCATTCGGAGGGGCCGAGGGGCTTCTTGGTCCCTCAGAGTCATTCTCTGCCCACATCCACCGCTCAATTGTCAATTGGACGGTCCCTCCGCCAAACCAGCTGTACCTGCGTGGGATGAGCCCCTCCAACCCGATGACGGAATACACCTGGATAGCGCAGCGATCCCTGTGCGAGGCTTTCTATTTCCACGCCATTCAGTTGGACCTATTGACTTCGGCACGATGAGAGCTTACTGTCCTGACTCGAGACTTAAGGTAGCACTGCTGGTAGTCTGTGAGCTTAGGTATTTTCATGAGGACTCAGTATGAAAGGCCCTAATTCCGTGATGAGAACCTGCATACTACTACTGTATGTAACTCGGCCATCTTCGAAGTTAGACCTCACGCACACAGCCGGTGGATCAAAACCCCAAGTGTGACTTGGCCTTGGATCCGCCCGTCTCTAGAACTGGGAATTGATGCCTCTGGCACTTCTGGCACTTCTGGCATACGTCCAACCAGGTGTGCCTACCTGAGTGCCACAACAGCGCTCGTTCTCTCTATCTGATCGCTGCGTTCGGGATCAACGTGGGTGGACATGAAGCAAATCGACAACCAAGCCTGACATGTAGATTCACATCATCGGGAGAACGACGAGCACCACTGACGCAAGAGGAAGGCAGCCGGTCGATCTGGCGTCTTGAGGTCGTCTGCTCGAATGCCGCGACGATACCGAGTCGAAGTCCTGCCATTATTGGAGGAACGAGCACTTGGATCGAACTCTACCCACACCATGCAGGATGGTCGATGAGGACCCTGCAGAGATTGCAACTCCCCGAGGCCTGTCGGGTGGGTGAGGCAATGCCAGCCGGCAAGGCGGAAGGGAGAAGGTGGAAGCGTTCAACAGGCTGTCCCACATATAGTTTGCAGGTTTATCGATTGTCGCCCAAGGAGCCGATCTTGAGGATTCGCACGGCCAGGGGACGAAGGATTTTGTTGAACACGATGTCTCTAGGAATTTCCGATCATTGCAGTTTGGTGCTAGCTGTAGCCAAGGTTAATTGCACTTTTGACTAATCGAATCAACCTTTGGGTCAAAGGTAGAGGTACTCGGTAAGAGGTACTGGTCGTCCAGAGCTGTTCCCTGTTCACCGACAGAGCGCCTATACGCGGGAATGTGTACAGTACTCCGTACTCCGTACTTTGGTAGTGGTTAGTGGTTAGTGGTTAGTGGTTAGTGGTTAGTGGTTAGTGGTTAGTGGTTAGTGGTTAGTGGTTAGTGGTTAGTGGTTAGTGGTTAGTGGTT